GTCGGAATTGTTACAAGACACTACGAATGGACATCAAGAGGCACATCAAGGACAAGCGATCTCCGCGGCCCGCTGCCCCGCGAGCTAGCAGGGAAAGTGCAGGATCGAGAAATCCAGACTGGGTAGGCTGTTTTATCTCTAGAACAGGGTCAAGTCGAGCAAGCGTCGCACTCACGCGATGATTCTCCACGATGAACAGTCCTGCCGGGTGCCAAAAAGCGAATGCGACCCGCCAATTTGGACCGTCATGGTCATCTGCAGGTACCCTCAGAACCGTCTTAGTCTCATCTTGCCGCTTGCGAATCGGAATGACCTTATGCGACCCACATCGGTCAAGCTGCGCCACTACGCATGTCAAATTGACACATCGTGACCGAGCTCAAACGACACCAATAACCTCTTCCTTTGTGCGTGCTCGTGTTCGGGTGAGAACGCACTGGAGTTTCGGGGGCAAGCTTAGACGATGCGAAACATGAGATTGATGCCGACGGCATCTCCATTTTGAGCCACCTGCATATCGATATGCGACAGTGAACACCAGGACCAGGCCGCTTCGAAATCGGTCGCCCAACCTATCGCATCCTCAAACTCCCATGCTTGGCAGGCATTTGCTAATGCTGGCCCAACTGCGTGTTAGGTCGCACGCATCGAGAGTGGTGGCGGCAAGTTCGGGTTTCCTGGACCAACGCGAGCTGTCACTTTTGCCATCTCCAAACGCGGGGCGAGCCGAGCGAGGCCTCTAAAATCTCGTAATCCCTGGCCAGCTGTGTTGCAGGGACTGGCCCCGGCAAAAACTTAACGCCAGTCCAGCCGCTTGATCTACCCGTCTGCGTCAAAGGTAATACAAGATATCCTGCACCTTCGCGCCTTTTGATCACGCTGCGATTGTAGCGCCCCATCTTGCAGAATCACTCTAAAGAACCTGCATGCACTCGCCGAGACACGCACACCATAACCAGGACCCTGGTCGACCAACCATCTCCGCAAGCGAGATATCTCATCCCGCACAGATGTACCGGAGATACGTATCAAACTTGGCAAAGAGGCTGGCCCAACGTAATCGTATGATGACTCCATAGTTTGTCCAGGGCTTCTGGAGCAGGAACCTTACCATTGGGCTGCAGTCCGCTACTTTGAGAGAGTGTGTGTGGGGACGTCGTTGGGAGGTATGGTACCTGTCAGGTTTGAGATCGATGTGCGATCCGCTGCAAGATGATGCATACGAAACCGAGATTCGTGGATCTTGTATTGCCGGTCGGCGACCTGAGATTCAGGTTGAGCGATCGCCTGCGCTCGCGACGAGAAGTCGAATCGAAATATGTAGATGCGCTCTCTAGCCGATGCTACAGAGACAGTTTGTGTTAGCGATATCGGGGCCTAGGCGGAACTTGCCAGGCAACCCAACTACAAGGATTGGTTGGTCTAGATGGTCTGATGACAACTCCTTCAGAAGATTCGGGTGCGTGAGCCGAGCGTCGAAGCGACGTGAGGATGAGCTCGAGGTGACTGTTGAGGACTGTCGAACTCGCCGGCTCGAGCCTCATCTTGTACGGATGCCAATTCCTTCACGCTGCTAGCATCTTTGACTCCGATAGTCAAAATAGATGGCGACGACATCTGCGTAATTGGTCGAACACTGACTTTGTGTGCAAACTATTGACGCTGCTGCAAGCCCACTATCCGTTTGACCTCCCGTAATTCAGGCACTCCTCTTGTAAGCTCAATTCGGGTCTTTTACGCAATCTCTGCGACTTCTAGTATACAGCAATATCCATATCATACCGTCATGCCATTCTCCATTCCACCACGGCACAACACTGAACAGCGGTGGATGGTTACAATGTTCGCTCCTTATGTCCGTTTGCCGCTCATCCAAGGCCATGCTTGAGAGCAAACTCTGGTATGGTTCACAGCCTTAGGGACGATGAGGGATGATTCATCATCGGAAGGAGCAATTGAAAGCACCCGAGGTGAGGTTTCTAGGCATCAGAGATGATAGCAACGTGTGTGTATTCATTCTGGAATATGTCATGACGAATTAGTTCTGTAGTGCTCTGACAAGGAGGTTAAAAGAACAACGGCGGACAGCAGCCGTGTATAGAGAGCGTACTCCAGGCCCGCTTGTGGTGTTTTTCACAATTGTTCGGTTGCCCATACATGCTTGGTCCATGCTTGATCAGGTCAAAATGCCATGCCGGATCTGGAGACATTGGAGCTTCACTTGTATCTGCTATCGTTGGCTCAGGCGGGTGCTTCACATGTGATTTTCTTTCTGAGCTCAATTGTAGTTTTCAACTTTGCAGAAGTTCTGCCTCCACCTTCTTATAGCTCTGGGTCAACATTTCTATTGAACCTGTAATACATTTACTTCATTGTTAGATAGACTACTTTAGTACACCTCTTTTGACAGCTCGGTGCCTTTTACTACGTCTACTAGGCCTAGAAGTACAGATTTGATAGATTCTGGCTGATAATCAGCCCTCTATAGTACACAGATTGGCTGAAAATGTGCAGAACTCAGTAACAATACTGTGGAAGTGGGGGCAGAGCTTTTTCAAAGCACAATATCATGCAATACTTTGTAACATCTGCTCGTGCTGCGAGAGATACTCTACACGATGTGCTACAGTATCACATGGAGTAGCTAGCTCTCAAGTCCGCAGCACACAGGATGGAAACCTGGGCATTCAATCGTTCGTATTCATCCCTCTTGTCACTGTTCCCTAGCGCCTCTCCCCATGCCAAATGCTCTTTACTTACACACTGCGAGTTTAGTTTGCAGTGCGCTAAGTTCAGTCGTTCTTCAATTTTAGCGAATTGTCGGCATTGGCTCCGGATGAGGGCCTGGCTGTCGGTAGCCTTGCTCATTCTACATGGAATCTGTCGATGGGCTTATTTGCACCGAAGGAGGAATGTGAGGGATGCTCCAAGCCCGAAAACCACGGGCGTAGCGCAAAGATGATTAAAAAGGCACGGAAACATCTTTTCCGCTGGAGCGCAGAGGAGGAGGGAAGAACTTGGGAAAGGAGAAAAGTGGGACGAGGCAAATCTTAAATCAGAAGCGGACAAAATTTGCATTTGTACAATTTTCCATACGTTCTCCCAATTCACAATTTCTGATCTAGATCATTAATTCTTTCTGCCGTCACTGTCCTCTACCGCGTTGATCTGGAAAACCTGCTGGATACTGCCTACATACCATTTCTCAGACCAACCTTACTGTCTTCCTTACCTGGAATCTACCTCCACGTCTTTGCTACCTTTCAGCAAAGAAAAAGACGTTGAACCTATTTACTAGACATGGCTCGTGGAACCGAGAGCGCTTCATCCAGGTACGCGTTCTCAGGAAAGGATTCGTAGTGTCCAAATGAGCCCACTACCCGTCATACGTCTCTTTCGCGATGCAACCCCACTATTTCCAATGCCGTAGAATGCGGAACATTCCTTTAACCAATTTTTTCTAGAGATAAGGTGTGGCCTTTATTGTTATGCGTAAGGCGTAGTAGTACATGCGGACAAGGCTTATAGCTGGTAGTCATGAAGATCTACTCTACGGAAAGTTGTATCAACACTGCTCATGCGGAACGGGCGAATGAGATACTTCGAATCAATGTGATTCATAATAGCCAAAGGCAAAGGTCCGAGTGGTTGTAGAAGAACGGTATGAGCTTGCTACAATCTGTGGGGAAGAGCTTGCGGAGACACCAGGCTTGTGGTAGTGGGAGAGTAAACTGTTGAACAAAGTAGCAAGGGATGGGTCGTTGTCTAGCAATCACATCATGATTCTTGTTGGGTGGGTATGCACGTAGATGGTCAATTCGTTTTAGGAAAGAAAATCTGTCATTGTAACAGGCCGGTGCTAAGTGGCGATGTCGCGTGTGGTGATGGAGGTAATCAGGCTCCTACTGAAAGTGCGAGCTCGATGCGGTTACAACCCTCAGTGGGTGGAGCGAAAGTCCACGAGAGCCCCGTACAGTAGGCAACAAGATGCTTGGTTGAGATAGGTTGTATAGGTTGAGATAGGTTGAGGTGGCACCGGTGCGTTGGAAGCTCGTCTCAAAGGTAGACAAGTATTGAAGTACACTGGAAGTTCGCCTCGCAGATCAACACCCCAATTCCTCTAAAATGGAAAGGTGTATAAATAAACTATCTAAAGATCGCACCTCGCCAACCTTCGCCTCGTAATCGTCAATCCTTCCGTGGTCCTCATGCTTCAACAGCAAACAGTATAATATAGATGAACAGAAAGACTTCGTGCGACCTGACCCGAGCCACGTATCTCGCGCCCATCGTGTGAGGAGATCCAACATGAAGTAGAAAACATCCGTAAAGCTTTTATCAATGATTGACCCGTCGAGACCACCAAATGATCCTGATAAATGTCACCACGCGCACGGTGTTAGGCATGAGCCTGGAGCAAGGTGCTGTAGGAGTGGTAAGGCGCAACTGTGGGCGTGATAAGGAAAGGGGTATAAGTGATCGCGGCTTTCTCGTAACGACCTTGCGAGGATATGTCTCATCCTGGGCTTGACATCCGAGGATCACATGTCTAAGGACCGGTGTATCTATCGAACCTGTTGCGCGTTAGTCAAAGCAGCCCGATAGGAAGCGAAGGCATAAGACGGTGGGAGGTAGAATAACAAGAACGCGGATGCGAGGCAGATGACGATGAGTGCATGGAGGCGCAAAGTCCGGCGACTGCAGAATGCATCTGTCGGCCAGGGTAAAACGCGCTTGCATATGGGGCGATCAAGCTGCAGATAAGCCCGGCGATTCGCCGCCGCCTGGCCCCACGCTCTCTCTTTGCTCAGGCATGCCGCGTGGGGTGCGTCTGAGTAGAGCGGGGAACATCGATGCCAAGCCACAACGACGACCTGCCACTGTTGTTGATGGCCACACCGCTCGTCACGTAAAGCGATGGCGACATGCATCATATGACTGCTCGTGCGCATTCTGCAAGGCTGCAGGTGGGGGGATAGTGTGCTTGGGGAGGGGACCACTTACTTCCAGATGCGAGCACGCATGTCACCACTGCCTGTAGCGAAGATGCCTCCCGTCGGGCTGGGGGCGACAGAGATAACTATGGAGTGTCAGCTTATCAGCAGCGAGAAAAGCCATCGGTCGCGTAACCAGGAGTGTCTGGTATCGAGTACTCAAACTTTGAGGTGCAGCTAAACGTACCCGAATTCTTGTGGCCTTGCAACATAAGTTGGGCAACGCCAGTATGAGGATCCCAGAACTGGACGCCGCGATCTTTGGATCCACTGAGAACCCAGTCGCCATGCGGAGTCAATGCGACACTGAGAACGAAATCCTAAGGTTATGTCAGCACGAGCACGAATAAATAAAGCCGCAATGCATACCTTGTGGCCCTCGAACGTGCGGATGCACTTGCCGCCAGGTGCAGCACCTGGAATGAGACGAGATGGAGTCGTCAACTCCCACATCTTGATCGTCTTGTCCAAACTTCCACTGACCAAGCGATCACCAGAAGGAGCAAACGCGACACTATACACGCTATCCTTGTGGCCCTGCTCGCCCTCCAAACGCACAACAAGGCTGCCAGTGTGGATATCCCAGACACGGACACTCTTGTCGAGAGAACCGGCAGCAACATAGCGGCTGTCCGGTGAGATGGCGACTGTAGTAACACCGTCCTCAATGGACAAGTTAAGCACCTGTTGATTCGTTTCCAAGTCCCAGAGACGCACGCTCCTATCGCCGCTTCCGGAGGCGATGATACGGCCATTCTTCGCAAAGTCTAGCGAATAAATATCCTGCTCGTGACCAGTGAACTGATGCTTGATAGTGCGGCTTGCGATATCCCAAACCCTGATAACCTTGTCCTCGGCACCAGTAGCAAGATACTGGCCATTGGGGCTGAAGCAGACGCTGCGAATGTAAAGGTCGCCATCCTCAGGAAGGCTTGTATCCTGGAGATGAGCAATGGGCGTTCCACTCTCGACATCGAAAATTTGAGCCGAGCGATTGCAGCCAGTGGCAACATAGCGACCGTCTGCGCTGAACCTGACACAGCAGACGACACTCTGGTGGGGCAGGTTGTGGACCAATTCCACATCCAGCACGCGCCGAGCGCGAGGGTTGAAAACGGCGAACCAATCTTGCTCCTCCTTCTTCAAATTCGCTGGTAGCGACTCAAGATCAAGGTCAGCCAGGATGTTGCTCTGGCTAAGAGGTATTCCTCCCGGCGGACCGAGGGGATGTTGCTGGTGTGGAGGAGGAGTGGGGCGGGGCACTTGGGGTGATCCGGGGTAGGGAGCCGCGCTGTTCTGCTGAGGAGTAGCCGGTCCAGGAGGTCCGCGTGGGCCAGGGCCGGGCCGCTTACCACCAGGCGAGGCGGTGGGCTGCGGAGGCTGACCGTAACCTGTAACATCATTGGTCAGAATTGGGGATTTCCCTTTTTTGGCTATGTAGGAAGGATGACGCCGTTGCTCACCATTCATAGAGGGACCCGACCCATAACCGCCGAAATGTTGGGGTGGTCCTGGGGCGGGGTTCGGGCCTGGCGGCCCTTGGGGGCCTCCGCCTAGGTGAGGAGGAAGGCCGCCAGGCTGCGGGGCCTCTTGCGGAGGAGGCGCCAGACCAGGACCGCCTTGGTTGTTGCCAGCCATGATGCCGCCAAACAAGTTGCTGGGTCCGTGTCCTATCGACGGAGGCGGCGGCTGTGAGGGGCCATGGTGCTGCGAGTTTTGGCTGGGGCCACCGCGGGCCTCGAGTTCGCGCTGCAGGCGGGCGATCTCTTCTTCGTATCTGGGTGGTGAGGTGTCAACAATTGTGCCACGCAGAGCAGGTGGGAGCACATACTTTGCCTTGACCTGGACGTGCTGCTGCTCCAGAGAGTACACCTTGCCTCGGATCATCTCAATTTCTTGGATATGACGAGTGACTGGTTCAAGTGGTTAGCTGCTGCTCTTGCTGTACGATACTAGGCAGTGTATCTTGTATGCGACGGTACGGAGCGCGTCGCGCGTCGCGGCGATTGAGGTTGCGAGCGGTATATGCAAGCTGATTCGGCTGCGAGTATGGTAGTGGCGGAGAGGTGCGTGTTTACTCACTTTGGCCTTCGTAATCCACGCTGCGGTTGGATTCGGTCTCGAACTCGGCGCGGATCTGGTCCAACAGCTCGTTCAGGCGCTGGCTGGGCGCACCCGTAGGCGGCCCAATGCGGGGAGGATAATGGTTCATGACGGTGTATCTCGCAGTATGGCGGGCGGACGGCGGTGTTCAGCTGGTCGCAGGCGTGGGGCTGTCAGGGCGCGGCTGGCTGTGTTTGGCAGGTAGTTTGACCGGACGGAAGCACGAGGCTGCAGTCGCACACGTCGTCGATTGGTTCGCAGTAGCGGCAGAGCTTGCGCAAAGCTCCGGGAGAGATGCGCTGGGGGTGCGATGGGACGGACGCGCAGCTGGGATGCAGCGCTGTGGAGGAGAGGGAGTTGTGGTGTTGGAGGTGCGACGAGGGTTCTGCGGTGGTCCAAGCAGCTAAGAGCTAGTAAGAGGAGGCCCAAGCACCAAGCCTCAAGCCTCAGATTCCCGCTGAGACGAGCGCGCTAACGACGCACTGCGCGCCGGGAGTCAGTCTCTAATAATATGGGGCCAGCAAACATCCTCCACACCGCGCGCTGCCGACGTTGCACGGCGCATCCCATGAGTGCTGCCTGCCTGCCGTCGCACCACGCCTCTTCTTGCGCAGTCACTGACGTCCAGACAGGCTCCGGGTCCGCGTTACGATGGGGGGCAGCGATCAACTAGTCCATGTCGAAGCAACCACGGTTCTTCGACGTGCCCAGCATGCACCGCACCTCGGACCGCCACTTGTTCGCCGTGCCCCCATGGCGCGTTCGGCAGCCTGCAGTCTGCGACAATGCTCGCGCTTACGCTGCCTCTCCTTGTCGAGTCGTACGGGACGGCCGTCGTGCGTTCATTTGGTTCATTCACTTCACGGCGCGTCTTGTCTGTTGGCAGAGGGCTCTCTGCAACGAGAAGCGACTCAGGACGCCGTAGAGCCCATGTTAGGATGGCTTCGGATATGCGCGTTGCCGACTTGCACCCAGCGAGTGCCGATCCGAACGCGGCCCTGTTGAGCTGTGGTGTTCGCCTTGATGCGCTCGCGGAGCAGCAACCGACGCCTGCCCGTAGCGGGCAAGCGCCGTCAAGCCACGCGACATTGGAGCGGCCGGCGCCATCATCCCTGCTCACGCTTCGCCAGTTTCTCCGCCAAACCTCAACAGGTGGTGTGTAGAAACCCAGCGCTCGGTCGCGCCGTGCCACCACCATCTCCGCCCTTGACAGTTGCTCACTATGGCTGCCTACCTCTGAAATGCGTCATGCTTCTGTCTTTCAAACTCGACCCGCATTCACGTGATCGAGTTTCCAGGCCGCCGAGGGGTCACGCCGTAGCGGGGCATGGAAGAGTAACAGAATAGCTACTGCAGAGGCAACAGTCAGGTGCTCGCTTCAACCGTACCGTCTTCACCGATTTGCAAAGTATGACTCAAATGAAACGGGCACGATGCTGTGCTTCACATTCTTGCCGACTGCTTCCAATCACGCGCTCTTCACGCCACACAGTGGCGCTTTCAATGCATGGACCGCAGCCTCCTATATAGACTAAAGGTTTGCAACACAGGAATCCAACCTACCAGACTGTTTGAAACCACCCAGCGTCCTGGCTTCTCCGTGGCGTTATAATATAAGGCCCATCTTTAACCTCAGCGAGTACAACTGACACTGACGTCAGACTGACCCTGCAGTCGCGAGCATACATAAGATCAAAAACGGTACCTCGTATACTGACTTTGCAGACACACCATGTCAACAGCCATCTCCAATTTGCAACCCCGGCCGCCGGCGATGCGGCGACAAACTACGCGCCATGCCTTCCAAGCGCAGACCTCCCTCAAGAATAAGCAACAATCGGGCAGAGATACAACTCTCAAAGTGAGCCATCATTATTTTTTCCGCATCGACACTCATGTAATCCTAAGATGGATTTGCTGACAAAATGCCGTGCAGACACTCTACGTCGGTATCGCGGTCCAGCACGGCGCCACAGGATCTTTGGATGTTGGCTTGGCCTCTCACGACGGCACGTACTCCATCGATTTCCAGGTCACCACTTTCAAGTTGAAGACTTCCTCGCCAAACTCTGACTCTGGTATATCCGGCACTTCCACCCCAGCCGACAGTGCCATCGACAATTTGACCCCTGTTTCGAAAGAGGAACTGCCCGATGTACTGAACAGGTTTATAATCGACATGCTAAGGCAGTATGAAGAGGAGCATATGTTCAAGTTCGTTGGTGCCGGTATCAACAAGCAGACTCTCGCACTCAGTCCCCAACTTGCGGCACGCTTGTGGCAAGACCTGGACATTGTCCCGTTAGTTTTGCCAAATGATCCTAATCCAGAATTGCACTCCAAGAGGGGCTCTCATGCGGTCACTGTCGACGAAGAGGCGGATTCCATGGCCAGGAAGGCATTGGTGTGAGTTCAGACAGCAATCCTTGTGCTTTTGCAGATAGCTTATAGATGAACAGAGAGTTCGGACCGGCCCACCAGCCACGACTCCTTGTGGGAACCTACCAGAATATGGTCGAAGTCGACAGTGACGGACGCGCTCAGCTCACCGTCAAAGAAGACTACAAAAAGACCGTCAACGCGGAGACGACGTGGAAAGCTACGCTTAAATATGCCGAATCTCTGAAGAAGGACAACGTCAAGATCGCCTTCTTCAATAGCACTCCTCAAGGTGGCGGTGTCGCCTTGATGCGACATGCTTTGATCCGCTTCCTTCGAACTCTTGAAGTTGATTGTTCTTGGTGAGTTTTCTGTCCCTACGATCAAAGGCCTAAGTTAAAAACCCCGCAGGTACGTCCCCAAGCCAAAGCCAGAGGTCTTCCGCATCACCAAAAACAATCACAACATCCTCCAAGACGTGGCAGAAGAAGGTGCCCGCCTTACCCCCGAACAAGCCAAAATCCTGGACGACTGGGCCCTGTCTAATGCTGAACGCTACTGGCTCCGACAGGATGGCCCTCTCGCACCTCGCAAGAGCGGTGGTGCAGATGTCATTGTAGTGGACGACCCGCAAATGCCCTCCCTTGTCAAGATTGCAAAAGAGCAGGACCCTGATAGACCAGTCATTTTCCGCTCGCACATCCAAGTTCGCGCCGACCTCGCAAACACCCCCGGCACTCCAGCCCACGAAGTCTGGTCCTGGATCTGGAACAACGTCAAAGCCGCCGACCTCTTCATCAGCCACCCAGTGCGCGAATTCGTCCCCAAAACCGTCGCGCCCGCGAAAGTAGGTTACCTCCCTGCTACCACCGACTGGCTCGATGGCTTGAACAAGCAGCTTTCAGACTGGGATACGCAGTATTACATGCACGAATTCGAAACCGCGTGTTTCCGGGAGCGCATGGCCACGCTGGCATATCCGGAGCGTCCATTCATCGTGCAAATTGCACGCTTCGATCCCGCAAAGGGTATACCGGATGTCTTACGTGCGTACGCTGAGTTACGCAGGAGCTACCTGAAAGACCGCCCTGACGCCGAAACACCACAGCTCGTCATCGCAGGCCACGGCGCCATCGACGACACAGACACCAAGCGCATCTACGACGCCACCATCTCCGCTCTATCCACCATCTACTCGGATATTAAAGACGATGTCGTAGTCATGCGCGTTGGCCCCACGGACCAGATCCTCAACGCGCTCATGTCCACCGCACACGTAGCTCTCCAGCTCTCCACGCGCGAAGGTTTCGAAGTAAAAGTCTCAGAGGCCCTTCACAAAGGCATTCCCATCATTGCTACCCGCGCAGGTGGTATACCGCTGCAGGTCCAGCATAACAAGTCTGGGTTCCTCGTCGAGCCGAGCGATTACGCCGCCGTAGCGAAGCACCTGTACGATCTTTTCACGGACGAGAAGTTGTATGAGGAGATGAGTCATTATGCGGAGAGTCATGTTAGCGATGAGGTGGGGACGGTGGGTAATGCGCTTAGCTGGTTGTATCTTGCGGATGCCTTGAGTAAGGGCGAGAAGCTGGAGCCGAAATCTAGATGGGTGAATGATATGGCGAGGGAGAACGTCGGTATCAAATACCAGGAGGGCGAGACAAGGTTGCCGCGGAGTGAAAATCTGGATTTGACGGGAGATGAGACGAGGGGAGATAAGAGCAATTGAGCTGAAGAGGGGAGACGGATGTTGGGGGTGCTGTTATTCGGCTTGTCTACGATTAGCGAGCATTGCTCGATCAGTATCTTTTCTTGGTTGTATGGTAAGCGAATGAAGAGGTAAAAATCTTTCCGCAGCGGATGTTGTTTCCAGATCTTGTTTTGTAGACCGGTCTGTGGCCGATTGAGGGGATTTCCTGTTTGTCAACAGAGCACATCGTCACTGTAAAAGTATTGACCTGTCATTCGTTTATCATGCAGGCTTCGTGAATTCTCTTCGAACCTTCCGATTCATCTTCCTCGTGGTAACACCAAGTTCGGCACACTGAGCGACTCGAACGCTAAAAACCCCCTTCTTCAGTACAAGCAAGCCGTATGTCCGGACTTGCAGCGGTGGACCTGAACGTCATGGTAAAAGCGGCACAGCGCGATCGAAACCAACTGGATCACATCGATACCGAAAATTTTGGTGGGAGACGAATAGTAGTGACGTTTTCAATTCGGCGCTGACATCCACGTGATAGCCTGTCTTCTCTCGGCCGTGCACACCTGCGTGCTAGAAAGAAATCTCATAATGCAGCAGATACTATGCCCAAGGTATTTCCCGTCGTCCAAATCTTGCGCCGTTGCGAAGGTGCTCATATTCTCCGTGCTTCTCTGATCGAACATCATGCGGATGCCAAGTTGGTAAAGGCATCCGCTGCCTCATACGAGTCTTCCGATACGCCGTGCGCTAAGCATTCGATATAATCAAATAGACAAAGGGAGTAGTAGTAAGATCCGACCGATCCAAAGCAGTCTGCGCATACATTCAAATGGCAGATCGCCTCGATCGATTCGGTAATGCGTAGCTGGCTCTAGTGGCTCTTCCCTGCGTAGCCGTAATGGTGTTAGCAGATGCCGTAAATATACATTGGTGAATAACAAACAAGCGACGAAATAAAACTCTCAAGGGGAACTATCTATGTACGCGGGGTACGCCGAAGTTCCCTGACCGGGAAAACTCGTATGTGAGTGTGATTGCGGCTCGCGATAAGTACCGTACGAATGACGGCTCTGTGCAAGGGGAGGATCCATCCGTACGCCATCTGGCCGGGAGTGCATTGAGGAATAGGAAGGCAATTGATACTGACGCATCCGATCCGGTGCACTGTTAGGAGTGCTGTACGCTACCTTTTTAGGCCGCGGCTCGTCGTCATCCGACAGCGTCAAATCAATGACTTCAGAGGATCGTTTGCTCCCAGTTCTCGGAGCTGAGGAAGCTTCTCTTGATGGCGCGGGCGGTGTCCTTATGCTTGGAAGAGATTGCGGTGTCGGAGCGGCCTCGCTCTTGATTGCTGAAAGACGATAATCCGGTATCTCTACGAGTTCTTCTTCGCTCTCATCTTCTTCCTCGTCATAGTTGTAGCCGTATGCGCTGCCGTTACTTTTACGATTAGTCGCTGGAGGCTCCTTTTCGTTGCGCCACTGGCCGTCGGGCTCGACCGTGACCTGGTCTGTGCTCCTAGAAACGTTGCTCAGGATGTCCTGTACGTATTCATCCACAGCTAAGGACTGGAATGAGATGGTCTTATTGCAGATTGGGCAGGTCCAGGTCGGCGCTTGTTCTTGCAATTGTAGGAAAGACTCGCCATCGAAGCATCGATTGTGCGAGCAAACTGTGGACCTGCAGGGTGTGCTGATCTTCAGGGTCGAGATGGGATCTTTGAGCGACATGACGCTGGACCCGACCTCAATGTCAGGGTCGTCTGCTTTCTTCCTCACTGTTCTCGTTCAGCACGTACGCACCAGAAAGGCGAACTATATCAACACTTACTCTCACGCAGCACCGAGTCCTTAGTGATGACACTCCGATTCTGGATCTGTTTGACTAACTCGTCGACTGAGAACTTCCGTACCATGTAAATGAAAACATTGTACTTCTACAGGTGGGTGATGTTAGCCTAATACGCGAAATACGGAGGAAGAGGGAGGGGATAAGAAACCTGATGGTCGCTTGCCTTCTGCGTCAGCGCATAAGTGATTCCAATTGAATTGCGATAGTTAGCGGGTGTGATGCGAAGAAGATCGGTGATGTCAGCTGGCCTCGTCGAGCCTGGTTTGTTCTTCAAACCCTTGTAATTCGCCTTGACTTCATCCTGATTAACACGCACTTCTATTTGGCTTGGGAAGGTGATATCTAGTCGCGTGAATGGGGCCAATGGCTGTTCTACAGCACAGAAGAGCAAGACACGCAATGTGGGGTCTGAACGCAACCGAGCACTCTGTGCGTCGTTTAGGGTTAGGTGCTTGTTAACACTCTGGCGGTGGCTTGGAGAGGCTGAAACATGTCAGTGAGAGTCCAGCAACCACATCGACTTGGACGCGTACTGTCAAGAGTGATGTTGTTTAGCAACATGTCTCGAATCTCGAAGAACGGGCTCTCCTTGAAGAAGTACTGCGGGCCTATCGTGATGTCAGTCTCTGTTCTGTAGTAACCGCGGGATCAAGGGACGTACGCGCTGGTTGGGCGGGCGTTTGATAGCCGCCATATGGCGATCGTTGGTACCCATTTGCCATGCCGCCCCGCCCGTTAGGCATGCTTGGAGAAGATGAAGTCGCAGTGCGCGACGGGTAGGTGCTGTAATCCGCGGCAGGGGCGCCGGGGCCGTTGGAGATGTGATGTTGCAGACGATTAAAGAGAGCGTGGTCGTTGTTGAGGACAGCTCTGTTTATTACTGTGAAGGTGAATTAGAGCGGTGAAAAGCGGGATGGCATGGGGAGCTCAACGGTACGGCAGGCGCCGTCCACTGTGGAGGGGAGAAGGCTTGTGCAACGTACAATCAGTCACTCTGCCCTGCAGCTGGCTCTTGACGCCGCTGGTGGCTACTCCTTCTGCCCTGCATATTCTTTGCAAATCCTTGTTCAGAAGTGTTTTGGACCGCTGGATGAGCGTTGCGGACATCTGCCCCAGACTCGAGGACGCCATGGTGGCAGTTTCGTGGAGCGTGTGCTGGCGGACGTATGGATGGGAACTATCGCGGGCGGGGTGCTACCACTTGTCGTCGGAGGAGGCAGACATGGGGCACCTCTTATGCTCGAGGGCACTGCGGCGAGGGACAGTGAAGGGTGTTTGCAGGTAAAGGCCTCGGTGAAGGGCGCGCTGGTGAGGTTCGGTTTGGAGGGTCCAATGGCTCGCGGCAGCGGCTTCCTTATTATCGTCGACCACCAGACTCGCCGACACGCGGTGCGACAGCGGAGAAGCAAAGGGACACGGAGCGCACAGAGGTGAGACTCGCGACGCAGAGCCCACGGCAACGGGCGCTCGAAGCCTGGTTGAACTCGTCGGCGGCTGTCGCGGCCGTGCTCACGCATCGCAAAGTCATCATCATCCAGAGCCGCTCGCTTCTAGCACGGCTCCCAACCCTGCACGGGCCGATCGCTCCTGCCTGCTGCCCGCCGCCACCTGAAATTCTTCGGCCGGCCCACACTTTTTTGCAGCACTGCTTTCCTCCGCGACACCGCAGCGCAAACTCACAGGCTACCTCAGGACTCCCCACACATCACCACAACAATGGCAAAAGGCCTCCGCTCCAGCGTCAAGAAGTCGAACCGCTCCAAGCTTCGCACTCGCGTCTTCGAGCCCGTCGAAAATGCCCGCCTAGAGCGCCTTCACCAAAAGCTCCTCGAGACCGCCCAACAACCCAAGCCCGAGACAGCAAAGGAAAAGGAAATGGATGTCGACGCCGTAGAAGGTAACAGTCATCACATGCCACAATCCCCCGCGCACACGCTAAATAGTGCCCTTGCAGACGCCGACGCCGTTGCCAACGACGCCAGCAAAGAGGAAGACTTCCCCAAAGGTTCGTTTTTCCTCACAGCCAGCATTCCGCAAAGCCTCTGCGACAGCGACACCACACACGACAAACCCGCCCTGGCCCACGACGACCTCGAAAGCAGAACTCTGTACGACGTACTAGGTCTCAGTTCCGACGTCGTGGGCTTCACTCCCAAGGGAGACCTCAAGCTCGCCTTTGACCCGCTTTCGCCAGAATGGTTGAGTGATCAGAGGCTAACTGTATCATGATAGACATGGATGTTGATGGCGAAAATGCCTCGAAACGGAAGCACAAGGATCGAAAGACCGTTCACAAAGCGAAGATGGAACGCCGGAAGAAGCCCAAGAACCAGATTTCGTTCCCGACCACCCGCGGCAAAGGCGCACTGAAGCCCTTCTCCGAATCTCGTATTCGCAAGCGCCGCTCGTAAATAATCTCATGTCTACCGAAGGGCTACGTTACGATTCTGGACACAGTGTGTTCTGGGTTGATCAGTGGTCTAAAGTTCGGACGCGAAATTCTACCATATTGCATTTACAGGCGTTCGGGGGATTGTTACCCGTCCCGGGCATTACGGTCTATGGAATGATACCACGCCCGCGCAGGGCTATTGCATATAGTAAAATGTCATTCTTTTCAGCATTTTGACGTCCATCCTCCTGGTTGACGAATGGTTTTTCGTACCAGGCTTCTTATCCACATTCTTCCATTGTGAACGATAATCTTACCTTGCTTTGTACTTTCTTCGTATGCTTTAGCCTTTTCGAAATCGGGCGTAGTAGACGGAGTCAATGTGTGCCCTATTAGAGTTCTCGTACACTTGTCATTGATATTTTATTCGCTCCATTGCATCCCTGCAGTGTCCACGCGGTCCATGTAATTTGAGGGGTTGCCACTGTATCTCATTTCAGCTCACCCTTGGATTATTTAGGGGCGTCTACCGATCGTAGCTTCTCTTCAACTTCACATGTCACTTAGCATTGTTTCAGTCATCAAAGTGCTCGTTATTAAATGACAAAGATCCTCAAGGAGGGAAGAAATGCGTATTATATTGATGAAACGCTAGGAAGAGAAGTCAAAGTACGAAGCCAGCACGAGACCGCAACAACAAACTCCCGATACCGAATGACCAGCGGACAGCCGTGGAAACATACTTTCATGATTCAAAAAGAAAACAAGTCAATCGAAAGAAGCACGGGGCATTCCCACCTGGACAGTAACAGTCAGCACCTCATCGTGACCCCCAACTTCCCGTGTTCCTCTCAGGGTACAGGGTAACCCCATCCATGCTTCTCGAATAGATGCTCGAGCTCTGCCTTGGTTGGGGCGACTGCTCTATGGAGAGGCCGACGAAACCGCCCGTGTTCGCATTTAGATATCGATCCTCGGTCCTTACATTCGGGCTCTGTCGCGGCTGTGGAGGATTCTCCATGGCTAGTCGCCACGCGAAAACACCACCATCCTTTGTGTCGGGAAAGCGATCCTCTGCATTTCGGCCGGTGGTTCTGAACTTGGACAGTTTCTTCGGATTAACCAGCGTTCTGTCGCTCTTGACGGATTTGCTTTTGCGCATAGAGGAGAGCTCGATGTTGCCTTGCTCGTTGTCTTCGTCGGTATCGGGGTAGAGCTTGTTAGTGACGTGCCGCATGATGAGTAGCACGAGCGTTAAGAAGGCAATGACGCCTATGATGGGGAGGCTAATTTCGAGCATCATGAAGAGGAGGTCTGCCTCAGGGGAATTCGACACGAGGACGTTGCATATACGGTGGCGTGTGTCGTTGCTTGGTCTGAGTTCTTGCCTGAGACCCATTGTGGGCTGAGGGGCTGCTCGTCGGGTATGATTGAGAGGGTGCACAGCAACACTCGCCGGCGCGTTTGAGTTGACCTTCTCAGACCCCACTGGGTTTGTTTGATGCATAGGAAGTTTTTTCGTACCGGCAGGAGCCTTCGTGCCTGCTTCCTTGATCTTGACCGATTTGCCATGTATGTGTCGAAAGCTAACTTTGCCTCGAAGCCAGCCGTGTTTCTTCACAACGTCCATAGTCTCCCAGCCGCAAAGATCGCTCTCGTTCTTGCCGTGCTGTGCGCCCAAGGTGAACCCCTGTTCCACAAGGTCGGCGCGCAAAGCATCCGGGTAGAAGCGTGTCCACGGCGTGTAGATGGAGTAGTGCAGCGGCGTGTCTGACTGATCGATGAAGTAGATGTATGTGCCATCTGTGAGGGAGGAGTATTGACAGCCGTGCAGCTGTCTCCGTTCAAAGAGCGAGATAGGGATGATTTGACTGAGGGCAATCGGGACAAAGGAGAGAACTAGGAGGGCAGTGAGTAGCCGTGGAAGCATGACTGATATGCTAAGTGAATGGATGCTGCTGGGTATTGATGCGATGAGTTGGCGGGTGGGGTGCGCTGTAATGAGACTTGTATGCCACGGGATGAGTGTTGTTTAGCATGGTCCCGAGTTTGCTCTTACTGTCCTTACGTTGCCGGCAGTGGAAGGTCGGAAGGACAGGAGCGGACTTGCAAAGTTCGACGAAAAGACCTTCGTTGCAAGTACGACCTGGAAACCGAGTAACAACGGAAGGTATTACGTTTGCATAGTGTCGCACCTCTGCTGATTTGGAGGATGATATTACACATGCCCTTTAGCTTTAGACACTATCATGAGTGTATTCAATGCAAATCGTCTATGTTCTCTATTTGAGATCCAGAATCTATAGGACCGCGCATGCAGATCATGTTCCGAGAGCCACACATTCATTACATGAATCTCAACTCCATGGGCTTCTCCAATTCCGTCGTTCGTCATAGGATGAGCATCGGAAGCCAAGGCGACTTAAGCCTTACCATCAGAAAACTGCACTACAGCCCACTTGCCGCTCCATGCCCACTTCCGCGCCCCGCTGTCGCCACCACCTCCTGCAATCGCCTTAATCCGTTCGTCTTCGCCTTCCGGAAGACCAACTACGACATCAGCTTTGCATGTTCTTAGCGCAAGAACACGGATACCGGACCCTGGGCCGAGCGGTCCAATGGCTTCGGTAAAAGGTGTTGTCGCAGGCCATGCTACATCAGCGGTCAACTTCCTGTAGTTCAGATCGCCCTTAAAGATGACAAGTTCGCTCTGCTTCAGGTCTTCTGTCAGATTTTGCTCTGTCTTCGGCAGTCTCCAGAAACTGCCACCGGCAGTCCAGAAGGTGTTCGGGCGCAAGACAAGTTGGCCCTCAGCGTGGAACGTGCTCCAATGCTGGAAAAGGAACTTAAGGTTGTCGACCTCCGCGTCCGACAGCGGCGGTGTCTTCGTCCCTGACTTCTCGCCGTCATCGGAGAGTGCGGAATAGAAACCTTGCGGGTCGGCAAGCGCCTGAATGAGCGCACCAAAGTCCTGCGGCAAGACATCGGAGACAAACCAAGGTATCGACTTCGGGTGCAAAACGATGTTGGTGGCTAGACCAGAAGCGAGCAAGTAGCCGGCTAGGATAAGGTCGACAAACAGCTCGAAGCCGGCGTTATCGAGCACGATGTCTACCCTTCGTTCCTTTTTGCCTCCCTTTTGTGCTGCGGACAACACCTTGAACGCCTTGTCAAGATCATTGACGATGATGTTCTTCTCGGACTTCTTCCGCGCCTCAGAGCCCTGTAGCTTCTGGATATCTTCGTATGAGAGGTTTGTAAGGAGGGACAAGTCGGTTGCATTTCCCCACAAGCAGATCTCGCATATCTCATCGAACAGGACCCTCTCTGCCTTTTCAGGCTCCTCGGCCGTTTTGGCGCCCCTTATCGTATGCTTCGATTCGAGCTCGGTAACGATATCTCGATAACGCGAGGCGAGTTCGATAACGGCGGGGCGTGACGACCTGAAGGTGGACATCTTCTGGCGAGCGAAGATGTCGTATGACTTCCAGTGTTGTGTTCGCTTGAAGATACTCGAGATACGCCTTCCAAGAATGTCAGTCGCGGTCGCTAGGTGAGATATCAAGGGCGGTACTCACCTGTAGAGGTAGCATTCCGAGTATAGCCACGGTACAGAATGCCACTTCGCAGGCTTCAATGCCTCCAGCTCTTTGTTGTAGTCTGCGACATCCGGTTCACCATCGTCTGTGATTGACGAGAGTTCGCGGTCATGCTGAAGCTCGTACTTCAAACCTGCGAGCTCTGATACAACCCATTTACCCTCCTTCACCTTCTCCTCATCTTGTGTATCGTATATCGTCCGATGCACATCATCGATGCCCTGGGTGATAATGATGGGCCATCTTTCGCGCGCGGAGGTGTGGGCGAAGGAGGTCGAGTCTGAGGTGTTATACTGCGCTACAGGTCATCAGTAACCAGTGTATAGTATACATAGGCGCTACGAACGTGTCTGAGGGTCGAACTCCATGGCGATGTTGTGCTGGTGCTATGTTGCTATGTCCGACGGCGGGGGAGGGGCATAATTATAATTTTAGCAGGGATCGGACGCGCTTGACACGCTAACGACAAAGCTATTACTCGTATAGTATTCCTCCCGCATCCTCTGACTCGTGTTTCAGTGCCCACAAACTCGTCATCACCATTTGCCTCAATGCATGACTTTTGAGTATCGATTCCACTCGACGCCATGGAGACGCTCAAGCCGATGCATCTTCCGCTCGAGCTGGTCCTAAATGTGATTATCTGTTCGCTGCCGAAGCCGAATGTACTACTACGTCCCGCGCACCCCATCACTCAGTTGCTTCTACAGTTTACTTTGGTCTGCCATGAGACGAGACGTGTGGCCAACCGTGCGCTTCGAGAACATTGCGTGTACCTCTCTTCTGAAGCACGCCTGTGCTCGCTGCTCCTGGTCATACCCTCTGCCAGACCCGATCTCAGACAGATAACCGCCCTCTTCCTGGCACCTTTCAACGAGACTATCGACGACCAGCCCATAGCAACATGGATCCGCGAACTCTTCAACTACACATGTACGACGCTCAGGCGTTTGATCATCGACATCCCTTTGCGCAGCGTTTATCCGGAACGCGATCATCTCGGAGTTCGGAACATCCTGCGTGAAGGTTTCCAGAGGCTCGAACATCTTGAAGAATTCGTAAGCGTCCGGGATGAGTTGTTTCTTGATCTCAACTGGCATGGTGGTGAGCCTGCTTTCTGGACGAACTGGCCGAAGCTCCGACGGCTGGCCATCTACAATCCGGTAAGCCATGCCCATTACTGTCACCAACTTCCGTTCCTGACCCCAGTAGGCCAGCCACCCGTCCTTCTGGAGAGACGTCGGCAAGATGCCAAATCTGGAGACGTTAGTCATGACTCGCGCCGATGGACTTCGGGACTACGACATCAAAACACAATACTTCAGACACTGCAACAAGTCATTGAAGGTGCTATTAGTCGAGATCGACAGTCAACAGATGCGATTTGGTAACTTCCGGCGCGAAAAGTGGGATAATGCCGACCCAAAGAAGCGGATGACCATCATGACATATAGTATACCCCTGTTCATGGACGATGATCCTATCGACGTGTGTCAGGACTATGTGAGGATCGGAGCCGAACACGGCACGCTTTGGAACTGGGAGGGAGAGATCATCCAACATCCTCCGAGATTTACCCAGCCACCACGGTTGTCAGAAGCAATCTCCTTCTTTACTCAGTGACAGCGCAAAAGTCGGACATATCGATGTTCACCAGATGATTGCATACCCTTCTAGGTTATCCATGGCACGCACTAGGGAAATGTGAATACAAGATGTCAATCAAAGATGTTCAGCTAGCAGCTTTACCAACAACCAGCCTGACCGCATTGGCCACGTACTCGACGTTTGAATCGTTCAGACTGCAAATGCCGGCGAAACCTGAGGAGATCAGACAAATATGGAACTCTGATCGCAATTGATCGGCCATCTTCCGATCCAGTCCAGAATCGCTGGAAAAGCCAATTTGCTCCTCAACACGCGACCAGTCTCTTCGAGCTCCTCTGGCCTCCAGTCTTCTTCGGAAGCTGTCCGCATGCCTTCGATTCTTGAGCTCACAGTGTCTCAGTCTTGTTTCCATTAGACTTTGAGAACAGGGTCGCCTATGACCTTCTCGAATATACTCGCCTCGGATTGGGGAGCATATGAATACTCCGCACGAGCGAGACCCATCATCTGCGAACACGCAACTTGCAGGGGAAAATCTTCGAGAACGACTGCGCGACAAAGAGGCCTGGAATACCCGAGCCTTCTTTTAGGGTCGCCATTCCACGGAGGATCTGATCGCCCATGCATCGCCATTCACGTCGCCTGTCGCAAAACCCTGGTAGGCGCTGCCGAATAAGACAAACACCTCCTTTCTCTGCGTAAGCTCCGCCACCTTTCTCTATTGTCATTATGAGCGCATGCGAAAGGAGTATGACATCGTTGGACTGTCTTTTGCTCTCTGGTAAGTTAGTTTTTCGGTGGGAACCCACTTCTCTTCTGTCTGATTATCAAATTGATTGTCCAGGTGCGGTACGTTCATGGGTGTCTAGACGGCCTTCTGGTCGGTACACGTTGGCGACAATATGAAAACCCGGTTTTATGTTCGAATTTTGTTTGAAGATGAGCGCCGGCATATCGTTTGCTCCTATTCATAGGCCCTTTGGAGAGAGTCTAGAATTCCTTAGAATTTCGAGGCAAGTTCACGTCCGAAGACGAGATATCGAGCCGCTTTGGTAAATGTTGGCGAGCCTACTATTCTAAGACATTTACAGGTTTGGTCCTTGACGAGACGTGCGCTGGCGTAAATAGCTTGATCAATTTACACCTTGTGGGTTAATAGCAGCTCGCCAGGTCCTCTATGTCGTTGAAAGTACCTGGGGTTTCCTGTTCTCATCACGGTACGCTCCCGCAGTGAAACACATTTTGTCTGGATGAGGATCGGTCACGCACCCTACCATGAGGCCAAAGATTTCTTCGCTCATTCTTCGGCATGGAGGATTGGTTCGCGTTGTAAATGGCACAAATCTCTAGTCATGCAGGTATGAATTATGGCGAAACGCAACATCGGTCGGACAGCTATGCAGTCAGCTTGAGCCTTATTCTATAGCACGAACGTAAGTGCAGATCTTATTGAATGAGCTATTACCTACGATGATGACGAGTTAACTACGCCGACTCCGCCCTGTTCTTCGTTGTCCCTGTAACCTATTTTTCTGAAATCTCCGTGGACAACCCATGCATCCACATACTCCTCACCATTTCCATCGGCCTTCTTCAACCGCCCCGCCTCCGGAATCCGCCCAACATTTGAAAAACCCAGCTTTGTCCATAATTTGACACTTGCCTCATTGCTCGCATACACTAGATTGAAAACACTTCCACGGTATCCGACAGCTGGCGCGTAAAAGCAGAAAGAGCGTGCTGCGATGCGGCCGAGTCCCAGACCCCGCGTTGAAGAAGGTACCATGAATCCACCATTGCACATGTGAGAAGACCGACCGGGGTAGTTCGGCTTGATGTAGTAGGCGAAAGCGTAAGTATCGGCTTGGTTTGGCAGATTAATGCTTGCTGACGATTGTTTTAGGGCGCGGATTCTCGATGTACCAATCTTGACGCTTGATAGTTGTGACGCTGTCAGAGGAACGCCGAGCGCTGGGACATCAGAAGTAGTGTACAAGCTCTCAAGCTGCGCTTTCGTAATGATGAACCCTAATATCAGGTCGTATGACATAAAGTAGGCTTTGTACGTCTCTACGTCCATAATGTCCTCTTGTGGGTATGTTCGTCCCTCGTCAATTGCCCTGTCAGTCATATTAGTCTAGGAGCTTTGTTTGGCTTGAACCGTGTCGCAACATACTCGTTGAAATCATCGTGAAGCGTCTTCACTAGACTGGCGTCAAGTTCGTCACCCGCATTGAAATCAACAGGAATAGTGAGGATTGCTGCTCGTGCCTCTGACGCATTCGACTCAACGGGGAAGATGCGCGCTGGGATGTCGCAGAGCGGCTTCGAGATACCACGTACTTTTCCGTAAGCCATCTTGTAAGACAAAGTATGCAATTGAGTGATTTTCGCAAGCTCTGAATTAAGATACAATTTGACGTACGTAGGGCGCGTCCGAATGTCGGCAGTGTGGATCTGATTCATGTGCCGGGATGGTGGGGGAAACATGACTCGATGGACCGGCCTGTGGTCGCTGTTCTGAGGGGTCACTCCGGTCCATCCCGGTCCATCTTCTCGGTCTCTAAATGAAAGGCCGGTCGCGACTAAATGTTACAATGAAAACACAAAGTCATGTTATTCAACAAGATATACTATCCGCTGCTGTACACGCTCCCGTCTATGACTAGAGTGTCCAATGCTTACACCATTTCCAGATGAAGTCCGTAAACGAGCAGAAAGGCATTGAAGCGGCTTGTAGTGCCCGCCAGAACAGGACACTCTAGGCACAAGGATTTGCGAATTGAGAGACAGAAATTCCAGCTATGATCACAAACCCATTTTCTGAAGGACTAAACTTGAGCTCTGGTCCAGGTTTAATCATCCACCCCCTTGTACCATGGATTAGTGCAACTTGAAGGTCACTGATGTTGGATAACAAGCTGACCAGTACATAACAGGTCTACAACAATTAGAGAGCCTAACCGCTCCTACAAGAGACATCTCTCAAAAATACCCGCAGCAGATTCTTGACAGGTACACGGGCCATTTCGGGTGTCTGCGCCTCGCATGTGTTTACACCAGCCAATTTTGCAGGTAGTTTCTCCGCTTGAGTTCATCTTTAAGCCTTGAACGATACGTGAGTATACCGGCAATAGGTAGAGCAAGCACCAATCGAGCAGATAAACATACACTGACAGCATTGCCAATAGACGGCATCTGGTTTGACGAGGGTCTCGATTATGACCATTTTCGAATCCTTGGTTAGTACTGGCAGTTGGCTCTGGGAACTTGGCTATGAGAAGCGTAGAGGTATAGCGTCTCGTAGCTCGATAACGTGAGGAATTGCTGCTACTTAGGAAATCGGGTGTTGCTGTTCCAAAAGGCGCCTGTGGCCGACGCATACTTTATATAGTTGTCACTGGCACTGAACTTCGAGAATTCTGTTGTTTCCTCATTGAATAAACATTGTGCGCTCTTCAATTACCTGTGGAAAAGTAGAATTGAATGAGTATGTGTCCGTCAGGCCGATAACCTCGACCATTGAAGCGTTGAATATATGAAGTGAGAATCTATGTGTGTAATGTCAAGCGCGTCGTGAAGGCTGAGAGAATCCATCAAGGTATGAAATGAGACTCTCTCTGCACGCGAAAAGGGGTAATTGAGCCTGAAATGGATCAACGAGGATCCGAATGTCTTAAAATGAATTACAAACCGTGATTTTACTTTGACAGGTCACATGCACTTGTCTCTCCGCGAACGCCACGTTTGCTGAATGTATATTGGTGCTTTGTACAAGTTCCTCCCTTACCTTTTCATAGCTCTAGGCCAATTTTTAAAACTTCATTCGATTCTATAGTAGACTTACTTTTTGATTCCGTAGAATACTTTAGTAAGACTATTTCAATATCTACTAGGACTAGAATTGAAGAAGGGAGTGAAGTTAAGCTAACGATTAGCCTTTTATAGAACACAGATTGGCTAAAGATATACAGAAAATGTACCTAAAGCTAAAGAATATAGGGAGAAACTCTTGCAATCGACTATAACAGCCTTATTTCAGGATATGCATGTTACTGTAATAACCACACGACTTGGTTGTGACGAATCCTGTCACAGACTATTCAAACCTAGTTGAAGAAGCTGTGGATGAGAGCCCACAAACTATAGGCATTGGTCAAGTCGCGAGATGGAAACCTCGCCTTTGGTGAAATCGGAGAGTTCAGCTTCGGGGCTGGTTCTGACGGTTCGTCTGATTTACCCAATCTCCCTATCTATCCGCGTCTACTTTCGGGAACGGTTCATTTCCCCGGTGCATTTAGTGATTCGAGCCTTGAAAATCTGCGCAGGTGCAGAAGGAGGTGGAAGCTTACCCATACCCCTAAGCAGCATTTAAAAGATAAGAAGCATTAAGGAAAAGGTCTGCATATGAAGGCCAATCGGCATATGGCTCGGCTTAAGCCGTGACCTTAATAGGACAGAGTAGGTCGAGCACAAGGAATAGCATCATTATTAGTCGCCTTCAGGGAGTGAAAAGCGGTGTGTATGTGCAGAGGGCCTCGCATCTGACAGGGAAAATGGGTAAAGTCAATAGTGAGTCAAAATCCGGGTTCAGAGCTACGTCCGAGCTACGAACTCATAGAACTTTTGTACCTTGGTACTGCTGTCCAAGTTCCAAACTCTTTAACGGCCGAAAGACTGTTTTAGCAGACTACGCAAGTTCCTCTTCTCGGCAGGCGCAAACATCCCAAGCTAGCAATCGCGCGGATACATCGGTGTTATGATACGAAAAGGTAGGAATGGTTTAGCGAAGAGGCTCTGGAAGTGGTCTCATCCGGTGCAATGTTTAGCCGACGCTAGCGGCGTCACGCTTAAACCTTGTCGAGCCTCGTCCACCTTCGTCTGACATTTGAACGACCTAGCACCTACCATGGCCATTCGACAAAGCAATCAGAAGTTAGCAGCTCGTCCTGTCGTAGAAACAAGCTTTCGAATAGCCCCAGGCCAATCAGACTCGTGGTGCACCTACACGATGGGCAGTCTGAACACCTTTGCGAGATCACGTTCGATTGGGTACCTTAATAGGTTTGACACTCTTAGGGGGGAATTGCAACGCTGCAATAACCTAATCTGGGTATGAGAACCACTCGAGTCAGATTTTGCGATGGGAAGCTTGGCTCGCTCGGCTCGATGCTCTTTGAAGCTAGCTTGCTTCTTCATTGAGTTGGAGGCATGGTAACAATTCGCACGGCCACCAACTCTTGAAACAGTCCCTTGGCAACGTCATTAGCGATCAACGAATCATTATATATAGACGTAGTCATGCTTAACAGCAGACGTTTTGCCTCCACCTTACAGTCCACCCAACAACTAAATGGTTGGTAGGAGATATAAGTTTCTTGTTTTGCCTCGAGCCTTACAGTCCATTCAACAACTAAATGGTTGGTAGAAGATATATGTCTCTTGGGCCCCCAAGGTCCGGGAAGCGGCACATAAGTTGGATATGGCCAACGTTAGGGTTATTTGCGACTTCCGCTCTAGGCATTGCGTTGACTGTAATGAATGCGAAGAGTTGGAGGAGCTCAGAACACACAGCAAGTATTGTTCTCGCTAATCGCTCCAGTATTGCCATAACTGTACAGATCCTCTCCTCGATACTGGGTTTCCTTCAGATACATGCTTTGTGTGGGCGTTGTCTTTCCCCCACGTCGATGCATTTGGAATTAACAAGGATGCAGGTTATACAATTGCGTCCTCCTTTCGCGTCTCACAGCTACTCCGTGCTTACAGTCTCGACACGATGCGCTTTGTTGACGCTGTTTCAAGACCAACAATAGCTTGGCACGGGCGTTGGCATCTTGGTCTGGCATCCGCTATGTTCTTGGGGTTGTCGTTCGTTCCAGCCGCCTTGTGGTCTGGTGCCCTGACTCCTATTGTTGCCGAAAGAATGGTCCCGCGTACGATCAACATACCAACATTCATATCTAGCAATTATTCTGAAGCCGACATGTTCAAAGCTAGAAATAACACTGCTGCTCAAAGAATTGATGGCTACGGAATGAGCCCGGTCTGGATAACTAGTGACGGCTTATTCACTTTTGACCTGTCTCTTTCCAGCGTCAGCGGTACTTTTCAGGGTCTGGCAAGCGCATCCTCGAATGCCTCTCACACAGACGGGTTCCGCCCAAAATTCGATTCCTCCGGATATAGATTTGATGGGCGAAGCTATGGTGCTGGAGCCTCGGCTGGATTAATCAAGATACCCAACGCTTCAGTCCCCGCCTGGTATAAATACTACGAAGTGGGCTTAAAGACCGAAACCACATGCATGCGCAATGAATCAGCCGCGTTTTCGATCGGGTACGCGGAGTCCGATGATGCCAAGTTTCGTCACGAATTCACGTCTAGTGGAACATTTGCAAACGGGGTTGGGGTACCAGGACACTATCCCATGCTCGCACCGCAACGGCAGGACATATTCATTTGGGCGGTAGGACATGCTGCACCAAATATGCCTTCGGCGAACAAGACATTAGTGTCATTAGCTGTCGATACGAACACAACGGCAGACGTCTGGGATTTCCATCAATTCGACAGGGTCCAGTGCGAGCTTACCTTCGAGGCTACCAATTTTTCCATTATGGTCAATGCTACTGGCAAGACTATCAAAGTCACGGACAATGGTTCAGTGCCCACCCCAGAGTGGGCAAACGTTGTATTGAAGCACCTCGACGATCCGTTCAGCCGCTACTCAGGCAACGATCGCATTGTCTATGGCTCACAATTAGGCCACTCGATTGTGCTCAACGTCAACCAGCTACGGATGCTACCGGATTTCAAAGATGATAAAAGTGACAAGACTCTATTCCAAGGGCTCAAGGATTACATAGAATCGCTCTTTGACAATGGCGTCGGAATGCTCTCTGCCACGCGCCTAATCGGCGCGAATCAAACCGTCGAAGCCCCAGCCCTTGTTGGCTTGCCTGCAGTCACATATGGGAAGCCGGCTTTCGTATATGCGCTGCTTGGAATCAATTGCCTTATTCTGTTGGTCTTCCTCATCGAAGCAACTCGAACTCACTTCTGGAGAGGCATGGCCAAGCTGCAGATCTCAGATGTCGGTGGTGTCATTGTAGCGGCTTCACAAGGTGGTGATGCTTTGGCCGCGAAAGCGAATGGGAAGACTAAGAGAGACATCGGAGAAATCACCGTACAATTGGTCAACTCAGGAGACGAAACTAGGGAAGCGATTGTCCTGTCGGAGAGGATGGGCAGTGTAAGAGATGATGGCGGCACCCGCAGGTCTAGCGACACCGTGCGTTTAGTTCCATTGCCTGCCAGGGCGTATCGCGATGATTAGTACGAATTACGGGTTGGTAAAGAGTAAAGTATCGATATATATAGTCCGCTCCAGACGAATCATTTCAATATATTACCAAAACATCTTGAAAAGCTCGATAATCGACCGGTCAGTTCAGTCTGGAGATTTTACAAGTTGGGGTCATTGACGAAGGAAACCATGGATGTATCAAGGGTCCCAGTATGGATCGTCTAGGGGACGTAGCATATACGCTGGCTCAAGCGCACATCCATGGGAAGGTCGCCTTGGAGACCTTGTCATCTAGCCAACAAATGGAGAGTTTCCATACCTCTTCGTTTCAGGCGGGCTTGAGAGAGGCGTCGCAGGTCCTTGTGAGTTCCTTGCCAGAGCATACTTTCGAATATGCCAACAACAGCGACACACGCCAATCCAACTTCCCGGGCGTCATCATCAACCGTGAAAGTCCAGTAAGCGTCCTTGGAAAATTGACCATTGACCATACAGACTAATGGTCTACAGCCATTGGAGGGTTTCCAGCGACACCGGCACGACTATGAGACAAGACCGTAGAGGGAGCACCGGATTCTCCCCAAAGAAAGAATAGATTGTGTTTTAATAATATCATGGCAATGATGGGGCCTGAAGTTGAAGTCGAACTTGGTTGGAAATAGGCCGTTACTCCGAAAACCACCCACAGAAGCCGCGTGCCGAAGTGTATGCCTTACCCAAAGAAGGCAAAGGGATTCCAAGATCTAGGTCAAGTTGCACACAACAAGAAACGACATCCGGCAGACTAAGGTGAACCGATTGACAAGATTATTGGAACGGACTGCCAATCATGCGGCTCGCATGCAGGAGCACGAAGGCATGAGTCTAATCTCTACCCTTAGCGAGCCACCGCCAGGTCTTCTGGACAACGTCAGCGAAGAGCAGCTCGGCATGCAGGATACAGCCAGTTCACCGGTCAGGATATTGTGGTCCTTCAAAGTGTAGCGTGTTGAGAAACAACAGGTCGTCAATGATACGGTTAATGCAAGTCTCGACCGGGTCACAACACAAATACAGACGTCGGAGACATTCCTGCATCATGCGCGTGATCTTGGACGACTTGATATTGAGAGGATATGGTCGAGTTATCGCGCGCACGTAGCTTCTGAACTTTGGTCGCCCATGTGTGGTCCGTAATATTGGTTCACGAGTAGCGTCGACGAACATACAGCTTCTACCTTGGTCAACCCTTCGGATATCCCAAGTTGGGTAGGGAATATTGTACTTGCTACTATGGGCACCAATTGCTTCGCAGCAAGCAAGGATCATGTCTAGCAGTAATCAAGATAGCTCGATGATACAAGAATGGTAATGACTCGGAGAAGTTAGGAGGATTACAAATCAAAGGAGACCCGAAGATTGCTCAAGATTGTAGAGAAAGCTCCATCTCAGTGTGAACGAAACCTTCGTATGCGGACGTATCAGTTCAATCGTCACTTCTTAACGTAGGTCGCGAAGGCTCAGATGCGTACCCTTTCTTGCCAATTGTGTGATAATTCACCTCTCTCTGAAGATCGCAAGGTCGAGGTGCTTGGAGTGGCTACAACCCTCAGCAGTGTCAGCGAAGCATCGCCGTGAGTCTCTTTCGTAGCCACTACATTCTGGACATATACTATTTAGGCTACTTGCACAATAGTTCAGCAGGATAGCACTTGTCGAGGCGAGGTTGTACGGCTTCAAATTGAGCAGAGAACACGCCGTCATATGGCAGTGGGGGAGTACTTGTGTTGGTAACATCATATCAGAATAGTGTGCACAATGAAGGGTTCCGATGGTTCACCAGCAGTCTCACTTCGCAATTTTGTGCCGCATGCCACTTCCGTATACCGCAAAATCGCGGGTCGTCATTTCTCGGAAAGGACCTGGACAGACCGAGTGATATTTCTTATATTACCTGTCAAGTAATATAATGTGTGCGACAATGCATTCTGAAGATCTTAAATCACTTAGTCTTAGTGTGCCACATGCTACTGCCACATGTTGCGGTATCGCGCATTATCATTCCTCTTGAAAAGGGTCGCGATGAAACCAGTGATATTGCAGGCCAGGTAGGATGTGATGCGCGATGATACAATCTGAGGTTCTGGATTTTTTCGCCATGCTACGCCACATACTCTCCCCATATACAGCAAAGGTGCGCGTTATCATGCGTTCATAGCAAGAAGCGTGTACTGGATGCTCTGAAAGGATAGCGCACCTGGATATTCTTAGTACGTTAGAATGTTTACAATCAGCGAAATGGTGACACACGCTGCAACTTATTGGTGTAGCATAAAGCTCACTCTGAACATTGCGAAGCGATGGTGTACCGTAATTTTGATAATTCGCCAGAATCTCCATGATAAAATGCACTGCTAGATTCTACCTAGGCACTGTTACATGCTGCAAGATTCCACGGTAAATGGGAAGAGGTATGCCAGGATCACAAATCATTGCGTGGAAACAGTGACGGACCGCAACGGAGATGGCGAGCCGAAAAGCAATGGTTCCACAACTGCAAAGACCGAATGCGAGGACAATCTCCCATGAATATAGCTGCTCTAATAAAAGCGTGCCACATGTACTTGAAATATCATGTGTCGTTATTGCATTCCAACACCAATGGCTGTGAATAACTCTCGACGATGTGTCGGAATATGGACGACAGGTAACATGGCACTAATAAATCGACAACACGCAATATCATGTACAGCGCAATATCAGCTACATACTGCGATATTGTGCTCTATCTATCATTGCTTTATAGTCTGAAATTGGCACCAGAGGCCAGGGATGAGTAGTTATCTTGAAAATGCAGCGGGCATTTCGATGATACATAGCACGAAGTGTGCTGTAATGTTTCACTGCTACATGAATGCAAATTTTACAATATGTGTCATCATTGTCTTCTAGCAAGAACCTGACGATAGAAGCTGGCCAATGATAGATACTTTCATAATGCACAGAACTGCGTGAGCCGAGGTGAGAAAATAATTCAAAAAAATATTAAGCAATGTTGATGAGAGTGGCTACGTTGTGTCAGCGGGTGGATACTTGTGTTCAGAGGATGGAAACTGGCTTACGACTCGAACCCACGCCACTAACGTGACCAGGAAATGATGTTAAGAGAACCTTAACCTGGCGCCATAACCTGATTGAATTAGTCTAGGAATGCACGGAAATGGGTGATGCACATACCAACTCGGCCATCTCACCGTACACGAGATCATGTGACACATACAAATTACCTACATTAAGATCGATATATAGCTGCAAATCAAAGCGGTGCTGTTTCGAGACATATGCTTCTCCTTGCACAACCATCACTTCAATTTTTGAATGGACATAGGTCGTTGCAAATTTTGATGAAGTTTTTTCGCCTATTCACATTCAGGACCGGATGAAGCATAGGGGCTTGGCATGCATTGCAGCATGCACGAACACGATATGAATGTCACGAATGAAGAAAAGGTAGAGGAACCCCTGTGTAAGTTACGCGGATCTACTTGGAATGCCAGTGGCGTGTCTTATGGACCCGCGTCGACAACTGGTGGGCAATTTGGCAAGGTAGCATGCGTGGACTTTGCAGTCTCTGGGATTGGCATAGCCGCATTCCATTGAAATTCGAAGATGTGATCACTTGTCTTTGTGTTATCACTGCAAGGCCAAGAGTGCCCTGAATCTTGGAATTTCGATATTGCCCTGCCTGATGGCATGACCGTCGAAGGATTCGATTGGTACGCTAAGATTAGCGCTCACGCTACGTCAGTGATAAGCTTCGACAAGCTTTTGGAGCAAGGAAACAAGCTTTGATCAGCCAATCGACGAACCATCACAAGCCACAGACGGCCGAATCATCCGGCGGCCCTGTTGGTCGACGTCACTAGCCACACGTTCCATACAAGATTGAGAGCCAGACGGCCGGTGGCGGATCCCACGGCACCGTCTCCGCTTTCGTCATTCAGCCTTGGTCTCGACTCTTTCGTAGCGGGACGCGCAAGTCAAGATGATGTGTTCCCCAACTCATTTGAAGTGACCATCACCTCCATTACACGTTCACGATTGTTGTCTGGTGCTTGCGATACTCGTAAATTTGTTGTCTCAATCAATATCGCAATGGCGACCCATATCTCGGACAGGATACTGAGCTTCTGCAGAGAGCCTAAAAGTGTAAGCAGTGAGTACGCAAAGGATCCGACGAAGACACCAGGTCACTATGCGGCTCATCTGTATGGACAAGAGCTACCTGCGGTCACTGAGCATCAACCACCTCACTTGAGGAAGTCACCGACACTGGAAGACATTGCACGTGCGCGGCAATGCGGCAATTGGGGCGACTCCACCCCCAGCGAGCTTTTTCTGCAATGTTACCACGATGCGCTGTGCTCGCTCGAACACGATTCATTGGCAGGCATGATCAGCCCGAGCTTGATGGGAAGTAATGGTGTTGTACCACTCACGATTATCGCTCCGTTGCCGGATATTTGTCGACATATGTCTAACCTCATTGCGCGAGCTGAACATGAAGTCTTCTTAGCGACCAATTTCTGGACCGCGTCAGACGCGTCACGATTGATTACCGACTCTCTCTTAGAGCTTAATAAAAGAGCCGGAGAACGGAGGCAGAAGATCGTAGTCAAGATTATGTACGATCGTGGAAACATCAAGCAAGCCAAGGACAACCATCAAATAGTCACGGTCGAGGAGTATACCGGCAAAGCGGTCCAGCTGCCTCATCCCTCGGAAGTACCCAATCTCGACATGCAGGTCCAGAACTACCACCGTCCTGTCCTAGGAACCTTCCATTCCAAGTTCATGATAGTTGACCGGAGGATCGCCATTGTCCAAAGTAACAATATCCAGGATAACGACAACTTGGAGATGATGACACACCTGGAAGGTCCGATCGTTGACTCATTCTACGACACTGCTTTGCTGTCTTGGTATACGACCATGACGCCACCGCTTCGCCTTTTGAGCTCACCTGCAATGGCTGCGAGGGGGAACACCTTTGACGAACCGAGTTTCCGGTCCTTGTTCGATGGCGCCGTGGACAATTTAGACCAACGCAGAGAGCTTTGGCCTCTACACGCGGCAGCAGACCCTCATTACGACCCGGATATAGCGTCCGAAGTTCGGAGGATGCAGGATGTGTTAACACCTCTACCAGGGGAATCGCGAGTCGACGCTATCACGCGCCACCTCAACCTGGCCACCAAGCTCTCACAGAATGGCGTAGTCCCTGAGAATCAACTCGACGAGGGCATGACACCCATGATTCCGCACAAACCTCACCATGCCTTCCCCATTGCGCTTGTCAACAGGAGGCCCTGGGGTGCGGTCAATCACCAAGGCGTCAACAACCCTCAGAACGAAGCTTGGCTCTCGGCGATCCGTAATGCCAAGTCATCAGTGTTCATACAGTCTCCCAATGTGAATGCTGCACCCTTGATCCCTACTCTGAAGGAAGCTTTACTGCGGGGAGTCGAAGTAACGTACTACGTGTGCTTAGGCTACAACGATGCAGGAGAGCTCTTGCCTTTCCAAGGCGGAGTGAACGAGATGGTTGCTGATAAGCTTTACGAAAGCCTCGACAAGGCTTCCAAGCAACGCTTGAATGTGCACTATTATGTGGCCAAAGATCAAGTGGCACCGATACACAATAGCTTTAAGAAGAGAAGTTGCCACATCAAGCTTTTGATCGCAGACGGTCATGTTGGCATCCAAGGTAACGGGAACCAGGATACACAGTCGTATTTTCATTCCATGGAGGTAAACGTCATGATCGATTCCGAACAGATCTGTGGCGAGTGGAGAGGCACCATAGAGCGAAACCAGAGTATGTTTACCCACCTGCATTGAAAATCTAAGACTGACGGTGAAGACACGCATCGGTATGGCCGAGCGTCACAGATTGATGGCATATGGCGCGATGAGCGTGGAAATGAGGCTGAAGGCGCCGTCGGAAAAGATCCAGGAAAATTTGCCTGGGCAAAGGGCATGGTTGGCGCTGTGAAGAGGGTTCAAGGCGCCGGTGGGTTTTGAGAGCAGGTAAAAGCGGCTTTAATGCTCTTCCGTAATTTTCCTTGTCCGATGGTTTCAATGCAGTGTGGTTTACTGTTTACTTTCGCTCTTGCCGTTTCCAGAAGTGGCAGTGTCGCATGGAGCAACCGACTGATAGCGAACACAACACGACCTCTTGTCGCTAGAATATCCTGCGCACCTCAATCCAAAACCTTCAACTTATTCCCTTCAACACTATTTTGTGCTTTTTCGCCTCGTCGCATACGCCTCACAGGCAGCATGCCTGAACTTTACAACGACGAGTTTTTGGCGACCATCCCCCAAGCCTTGACCCCAATGGTGGAACATGCCAGACAGCCTGGTCCAAATTTGATAGAACAGTTCCGAACTGCTTGCGGCACGGATAGCGACAAGCTAGCTGCACTACAACCCGCTTACAGCAGGCTCCGGGTGCACCAAGGCGTCCTTGATAAACTGAGCGCGCCGGAGACGAGGCCAGTTCTACACAACTTTGTGTCCGAACAACACAGGAAGAACCGCCCAAATGGTACGTAGCTCCCGTTGAGAGGCTCATGTGCGACAAGAAGCCTATCTGATGCTAATCGAACTTGTAGCCATTTTCTACGGCACTCTCCAGTCTGGTGATGCGTACATCTTCCTTCACGAAGATGATGGGACATTCCCTTACAAGCCCACTTATCACACTTTCGACCCTGTAACCCAGCGTCATCGGTCGGAGTTCTCGGGTCTTTATGTGTGGCTGAACGTCAAGAAGGAGCAGCGTGCTGAAGCATTCATGCATGCCACCAATGAGGCGGAAATGAAAGCGCTCGCGATGTATTACTTTGCTGGCTTAGACTCACTGCCATATCATTATCCGCTGATGCATCAGCTCGCTTCGAACCTTCTTGTCGTCTGCAGCTCTATTTTGGGTGCGTCAAATCTTTCGTCCCAACTAGTCGAACCCCAGGCACAGGCTACTGTGAAGAGTCTTCAAGAACGTATGGAAAAACTTCCGGGGGAAAGCTTTGAAAGAACAACGCAGAATTCTGGAAAGGGACAGGCTCAAAACTCCGTTCGGAAGGCTGTCCAGAAGCCTATCGCGAAGCCTATTCACAAGTCTGCCCAGCAGCCTAAACGAAAGCGTTCCCATGAATATGGCCCACCATCTATCCGAAATCCTGCCAGGCAACCCACTCAAAACCCTGGACAGAATCAGATCCTTAGACCTGCGCAGAAGCCTGACAAGACGTTGTCTTACGCGCCTGACCAGAGGGTCACGGACAATGTATTGCCCAATTCGGACAATGTCGCGGAAGATATGCATGAGTACCAACCGGGAAGGTCTGCCATCTCTTCCCACGGCATTCCCGAAGTTCATGGCTCTCTTGCACCCGCTCACATGTCTCTCAATCCGACGGATGCGCAAGGCCAGATCATTCATCGTGGCGAAGGTACAGCGCGTTCATCAGTACCTTGGAAGAAATCAAGGGTCTGTCAACCCAAGTTACTACAATGCATCTCGCTGACTTACAATGATAGGGTGCCGACCATCAGCGCGAAAGCATCAACCTCCGACTCTACAAGGAGGCTCGTGAGAATCGTGAGAGCGCCCAAGCGTCCCTTGAACTCGTGAAAGGTCAAATCAGAGACTTGGAAGCTAAAATTCGAGACCTAGAAGCTGAAAGTCGAGACCTAGAAGCTCTAGATCAGGGACTTTTGCTTGAGGCTCGCCGTACTGGAATACGTGAGCAAATTTGCATCTTCAATGGCCGTCTTGAAGCTTTGCAAACGGAACATGAGACTACAGACCGAAGATTCAGCGGTGCATCGCGATACATGAACAGCACTTTTGGAAACTTGACTCCAGCTGAGGCGGCCGTCGCCCTCGAGTGGGTTCCAAAGCAACCAAAAGCAAGCACGGCTTTCGGTCCCGGTCCCTGAAAGCTTTGTGCAGGAATGACATGCATGGAGTCCTCCATAATACAGTACTAACTGCAAACAGGAGCGGTCCATTTGAATAGAGGCATCGGATTGAAACGATGCTATGCTTGGCACAAGAGCACATTTATTGGGTTGATCTGGCGACCTGGGATTGATGGATCGATTCACGTGAAAATTCCACGAATCGCTCCGGACAGATGCTTTCCAAGCCATCGTCGCGTAACCGTCGCGCAACGATGGCGATCATGGGAGCTTGGGTTGAGTTGACCGTTAATGGTGCTAGCAGAGATGCCCGACAACTGGTTGGTCAGGCAGATTGGCTGATTTGGGTACTGCGTCTAAGTAGGGTACAATTTGTGAAATGGTTACCTCAGAAACTGTTCTGCGAAGGACATTTCTCACCTTTCTGTTCCTTAATAATCTGCCTTTTTGACATGTGACGCGCAATTCTCTTTCACCTTGGCCAAATAATATTCTGTGTAACGATAGGCAGTGGAACCCTACTGCGTTTGCTCTCTCTATGCGGGCTGCCGAGCCTGTTTGCTCATCTCGAAAACCTTCGACTCACAAGATCAGCCTCTTTTGTTGGACTTACGACAGCAGTCTCGCTACGACAATGGCAAGTGCAGTATGATATCCTTGAAAGTTTGCGCACACAGCTGACACAGATAGACCCCCAATCAATCTGCCAAAGTGGCCGCGACACCACCGAGCGCGGCCCAATTCAATGCTTTGCGACAACTCAAGACCGAAATGGGAGCCGATGGTGACTTGCTTGATGTGCTTCCTTTCTCTCAAGTGGTCATCTGCAAGCATCAGGATCAAAAGCTCCTCACCGGAAAGAAAACGGCACTCGCTGGAAAGATCAGGATGGGCAATATTGAGGACGAGAGTGGACCGGTATCTCCGCTTTGGGCTTATCTGCTTGACAACAGCATGACTAATGGTACTACGGATCTTACGTATTACAGCTTCGGCAAGCGGTGTAGACAAGGAACGAGACACAATGCGACCGATGTTCATTCAGCGAGACTGCGAGAAGAGTTCCGACACTGCGAAACACCTTCGGTACTCACTGCTACGGCGAAATATTACCTTTACAAGAAAGGTGTGACAGCATCCTTTCCCATACAAGTTAGCAAGACCCTAGCGAATTTGGTCATCAGATCGTGCAAGGACTACAGAGATGCTGATCATGAGGGAAATCTTGGCAAGCCGATGGAAGATGCTGCGCAAGATAATAAAGATATGGAAATCATCGACACGGTGGCAGTGGGTGACCCCATGAGTGCCTTCGTGCCCCCTACGATAGGAATGACGCCACTCCATGCACCAAACCATTTGCGCGAGACCGTCAGTTCGTCGCAGCACCCGGTTCCAAGTGTAAGTTGCTGATGGTCCTGGTCTCGTTCATTATTAACAGCGACAAGGCCTACAATTACCTCCTAGTAAGCACCGACTCTGTTCTGATGCTTCAGGCTGCACAGGCTAGGGAACGTCAGATTGTCACGGCTGGTCAATCCACTCAACAACGATTCGACGCCGCCAAACAACACGTCGACCAACTGCGCACTAAGCGAGACGTGCTTCAAGTCGAGCTGATACAGTTGGAAACGGCGATCGATGCGGGTGACGCCGAGGTGGTCGCAGCCGAACAAGAGAAAGGCAGATACGGCGAAGCTATAAGAATATGCAGGGTTGAGCAGGAGGAAGTCATGAACGGCATGGACCCAGGTGTCAGAGCCATGATTGAACTAGGTCGGCAGATGGAGCGTGGTTCGCAGCGAAGAGAGTGAAACAATTGTGGATGTGGCCTCGCACAGAGCATCCTCTCACTCTATGGTTTTCTGTCAGTGATGAGAAAGCAAGGTCTTCAGTAGCAATATAATGAGTCGGAGATTTTGATCTCAGCGACACGACTCCGCTCGCGGCTTGATACCGGAGGACTGGGGGTAATACATGATCATACGGAGACAGGAGCTTGCAGTGATGTGCAAGGTGCTTCGTTACCAAGACTAATGTTGAAGGACAGGGAAGTGGCACTGAGCAATGACGTTGGCCGTTGCCCCGCAACACCAACAATGTAAACAAACCTGTGACACATTTCTGTACCCTTGCCCCACCACCATCGCGCGTCAAAATCGCCGTGCAACACATCTTACCAGCCTTTCGCTCGACATACTTTACGCTACCAAGATCTACCTCAAGTTGTTTTGCTTGCAGCCATGTCCGCCAACGTGCTCAGCGTCCGCGACACCAACGCGCAAATGAAACCGGCCTCTCCCGAGAAGAAGGCAGACAAGCCTGGGCCTAAGAGCCTCGATGTCCACCGCCAGGAGTTTGTGTCGCGCCTGAAGGAGAACGACACGTAAGTACCACGTCTTTACTGACATCCGTGGCACGGGATGCTAATTCTGTGCAGGACGCAGCAGTACGTCTCCCCCAGCGACTCGATTCAGTCTCCGGCTACACAGAAGCTCAGCGCTTTCCGCAACAAGCACATCACCAAGAAGTACGTCGACGCGAGAGTGCGGGTTGTCATGCAGGGCAAGCGCTAACTAATGCAGGACTAAGCCGCAGACGCTCTTCAAGAGCACAAGCTCCAAGAACTTTGAGTCGGCTAAGGGCGCGGCCATGTTCGCTGATATCCCCAAGAAGGAACAGGACGCGAGCAAAGCAGAGGCGAAGGCGGAGCCTTAGTACTCACCTTCCTCTCGTCGGTCTATCCGCGCGTCTTGTTCATCGCCATGCGCGTGTCTCTCGAAGGGTTTGGCATTGGTTTGCGTGTTTTTGTCGAGTTGTACGAGCGCGATCCTCGACTTGGAATTTTAAAAGCGACCTGCGGCTTGCTCGGGGCGCAATCTTGATACCCAGGCCCACATTGTTTCGATTTTGGTATGGGACTTTTGGCCTCAAGCGGGATCGGGATGGATGGATGGTCACGAATTGTGTGGTTCCTCGGAGTTACGGTAAATTGGGATACGACATCTGATGACCGACTGTAATAATAGCATACTACAAGTGTTCCGGATGAGGAGCGCAATGCAACAAGTCTTCATCGATCGTGCATGGCTATAGCAATGCGTGTGGAGGATCTCGCCAAGCCCCCACCTGAGAAGATCCTCGCTCGTGCTTCTTCATCATCTCTCCATGACCACTCCCGACAGCCAGCAATCTCTGGAAGATGAGATCGCTGACCTCGAACGCCGTCTCCAGGATGCGAGGTCCCGACTGAATGCCGAAGATGTTCCCGTCGCCCCCTCAACTCTTACCAGCGAGGCAGGTTCGTAATCAGCCCACGATAACTGTCTTGCTACAAGTCTAACAGGGCCACAGCGCTGCATGCTTTACTACTCCTGGCCGATTCAGCGCTTCCATTAGGGTCTTTCGCATTCAGCAGCGGGCTGGAATCATATCTTGCACATCATAAGCCCAGCCCGCCGTTCGCGTCGCAACTGCCGTCATTCAACGTCTTCCTCCGCCTGTCTCTCTCCACGCTCGCCAGTACCGCGCTGCCGTATGTCCTTGCAGGCTACCGCAGCCCCGCAGACATCGAGACGCTGGACAATGACTTCGACGCAAGCACACCCTGCACAGTCGCGCGACGGGCAAGCATAGCCCAAGGACGGGCGCTGCTCACTGTGTGGGAACGCAGCTACCAGACGCAATACAGTCCGACTGCCACCGACAACGCATCGCGCGACGACAGTTTTCCGCAAGAAAGCGGGGCTGCCGAAGCGCTTACATCCTTCTCTACCGCCCTTCGCAAATCCGACCTCATCAACGCGCATCTGGCCCCACTGTGGGGTCTAGTTACCCGCGTGCTCGACGTGCCGTTGCGCGCTGCTGCATACTTGTTCCTTTTCTCGCATGCGCGCACGGTAGTCAGCGCGGCCGTTCGCGCCAGTGTTATGGGGCCTTATCAGGCGCAAGCTGTACTGGCAAGCACAGAGCTACAGGACAGGATAAGAGGGTTGGTGGAAGAGGGTTGGGAGAGGGAGGTCGAAGACGCAGGGCAGAGCGTGCCGGTCATGGATCTATGGGTTGGCAGACATGAGAAGTTGTATAGTCGCATCTTCAATTCATGAGCTTGCTTGTTCTCTAGGCCCGCTTCAAGATGGACAAGAAAATGGCTCGTTATTCACTGTACTAACTCACCGGCTATGCAGCATCACCGAGCAGCGTGATTTAGGCCGTGTTGACTTTGAGTCTCGACATTGTCACACGTTGTTGTTCTCGAAAGCGCGTCATCTTGGACGAGCCACTCGATTCGCGCAGCGCCCCCTCGTGGTCCGCGTAACGCGAGACAGATGACCACCGCTTTGCCAAGCTTCCGCTCCCGCAGGCAACAAAGATAACAACTCCCCGCTTCCTGATCTTCCCAATATCTCATCTTGTCTTCGTCTTCTCAAATCCTCTCCTATGTGTTACTCCGACCTAATATTTCGAACCAACCTGGTGTTGCGTCGCTTCTATTCATCATGCTTCCTCACAGCCTCCTCTTACTGCTCACAGCCGCGTTAGCCACCTCTAACTCCAACACTCTAGACCAGATCCCACTGGAAGCACCGCTGCCTACAACATTCCCATGGATCCAAAGATTCGCATCAATAGGCGACTCGTACTCGGCCGGCTTGGGCGCAGGTGGCCGCCTGGATTTCTATTGCTCCCGATACGCAAAATCCTACCCAAACATCTTGCACACATCCCTCCTGGGCCACAACCAAAACAGGACACATCAGTTTCTAGCCTGTTCCGGTCAAACAAGCACTGAGATCCTAGAAACACAGGTCCCGGCCTTGAGCCATGACTTGGATCTTCTAACAATATCGGCTGGCGGAAACGATATAGGCCTCTCACCCATCCTGAGCAACTGCGTCTACCAATTCTACATGGCCTCCGAAGACGACTGTAAGACGAGCATCCAAGAAGCCGCTCAGCGCGTCGCCTCGAAGGATCAACTCTACAAGAACATCACCACGCTCATCTCCGCCACAAAGCCCAAGATGAGCCCCCATGGTATCATCTACCTAACGGGCTACGCAGGCTTCTTCGGCGTCGACGATGACGGATGCGACAACGTCACCTGGGCCGTTTGGTCCACAGTCGAATCCTCGAAGCAGTATCTCAAGCTCGAGCTGCGGGAGGCGCTCAACGCCTTAGTGCGCGCCGTTAACAGCGTCCTCCTTGACGTTGTCTCAGACAGTGGGCCTGGCGTACGCTTCATAGACTACAATGCGCACATCGAAGCCCTGCGCGGCCGCTACTGCGAAGCCGGCGTCGCTGAGCCCGCGCCAAACCGGCCTGCGCTCGCTTTCTACGAATGGGATACCATGGATTCTGGCGAGGACCCTAAGAAACTTCGCAATCGCACTGGCGAGGATGTGCCGAAGGACAGCTTTGAGGGCGATATCGCAAAGAGGATTAATAAGACGTTGAGGGAGCATCCGGAGTGGGAGTTTGATCCTGACAAGGGATTTGTGAACAAGACAAAGGCAGGGGGTGTAGATGATAAGGGTGCAGTTGGGGATACGATTCACTGGCTGTTGCCGGATAGTTGGAAGCGGGTGTTTCATCTTAGGCCTGAGGGGCATGAGGTTGTTGCAAGGTTACTGCTGGAGCATTTGGAGAAGAATGGGAACGGGATGAAGAAGGATAGGTTAGAGTTGTGAGGGTACGTGTATGGATTTTGGTTTATGATTGCATAATTCGGTATATTAGCGACCTACCTGGATAGGGCGTCAAGGTTGTTTAGCAACTCCTTCTGCACGTATGGATTGTGCTTTCCTCGTCCGAGATTGGCTGTTGCTGGTTCTCGCACGTTCTTCGGTACCACGGATATCTCCCAGGCTGCGCCCTTGCAAGTCTTCCCGTTTGATTACTGATTACTTTCCTATTTGCATCACCACACGTCGCTACAGGGCTTCACTCTATACAACCTCATACAGCCTGGAAGCACGAAGACAATCGTTTGTACATCATTAAACCCATCATAACCGACCAGGCAATACTGCATCTTCAAATACCAAAATGCCCAAGCACAACCTCGGCCGCGCCAAAAAGCCCACCGTCGTCGAATCCGCCACCTTAATCTTCTACCCCCCAAACGAGCAGCCGTACGGTGTCTTCTGCCATGGCAACCCTCCACCATCAAGCTCCCAACGACTTCTTTGTCTTTCCTCACCACTTCCTCAACCGCAGCGTCTGCATTCCTCACCTCCTACGCGCCCACACTAACCTTCCCATGCGCCGAGCAACTCTTCGCCAAAGGGCTCTTTTTCGCCGATACGCACGCTTGCACACGCATCCTCTGCACAGCCGACCCTAAAGAGCAGGAGAAGATCGGGAAGAGAGGCTCTGACTACAATGACCATGCGTGGACCAAGGTCAAAAGTCGATCCGCCGAGGTGTGAAACTGGTATAAATTCACTCAAAATGAAAAGGTGAGGGGCGTGTTGCTGGCAACCGGGAAGAGGGAGCTGGCGGAGGCGAGTAGTTTGAATGAGAATGGGGAATTGGGTTTAAGGCGAAGGCTGCAGAGGGGAAGACAGGGGGATGGGGCGGTGATAGACGAACTGGATTGATACCCAGTTTTGGAGCCGTTTCATTCTCTTTGTTGATGGAATGGACTCATCTATGCATCTATACGCTCGTCCTCTACCACCTTCCTACAGACACCCCAGGGGTCCCGCTCTTGATGGCTTGCGCCTCTGTGCCGCAGCGATTGATGGTCTTGTAGTACGAACCTACCACACGCGTGTCAAATAGGACAAGTATGCGCCAACCTACACAAATTGCACTTTAGGACTGACGGCGTGTGATACGAGAGCACATTCGGTCTGTCATAGAGGAAGGCCAACTCCACGCTAGAGCAACACACTGCAGGGATCTACATTAATACCACAGCATACACGTGCACATCTCAAGTCATCTTGTCTCTTGCATGACACATATTTCATTTCAATGATCATATGTAGTCGCGCAAAACGGCGCAGGCCCGCTTCCGGCTTCCCCGCAACCCCTAATGTGGGAACGCACTTGATAAGGCGCGGCCAACTGACGCAGGGCAGGCGAACACTCTCCCAAGCACGATCCTTTACGACTACCTTTGCCCAAGAGTTCACGAGGCGTCTCGGCACTCTAGCCGCGATGAAGGAGTCGTCTGACCTCCTTCGGGCCGGGACAGTTCCACAAGCGCCCCATTGAAGCTTGGACGGTGATCGCCCCGGATTTCTTATTTACACCATCTCCACCGCGAACGTCTGCCCCACCATGCGCGATCGCTCGTTCGGACGCGCCTTGCACACACTCCTTCGCTGTTGATTATTCCTTTTGTACATCGAAACCATGTCCTGCCCTGCTCGCTACGACTTCAAGACGCACCCCGTTGCGCATCCCTCCGCCATTGTCGCCGGCGACAAGTACCGCTTTACTGTCCTCACCGATGGCCTCCTCCGCTTAGAATGGGCCGCAGACGGACACTTCGAGAATCGCGCCTCAACTTTCGCTATCAATCGCAAGCTTGCCGTGCCGGATTTTTATGTTTGGGACCGTGGCGATGTTCTCGAGATCGTAACAAAGCGCTTCCATGTTGTGTACAACAAGAAGGCTTTTAGCTCAGAGGGCTTCGTCATACATTTGAAGGGATCAATCAGCGCGAAGTGGACTTATGGACAGGAAGTGTCGAATTTAGGAGGCACGACTAGGACGCTGGATCAGGCGAACGGACGGGTGGATTTGGGCCCTGGTGTGCTGAGTAGGGAGGGTTTCGCGGTGTTGGACGATAGCAATACTATGCTGTTCGAAGAAAATGGGTGGATTGCACCGCGCAGGTCTGGGGCGAGGAAAGACAGAAGCGACGAATACATTTTCTTGTATGGACACGATTATCGCGAGGCAATACGGGCATACTTCGCTGTGAGCGGAAGTCAGCCGCTGCTGCCGAGATTTGCAATGGGCAATTGGTGGTCCAGATATCATCGGTATGATGAAAAGGAGTATTTGGAACTACACGACCATCTAAACAAGGACGATGTCCCGATGAACGTCGCGGTCGTGGATATGGATTGGCACTTGGTCATTGCAGGGAAGGAGATCCCCGCTGGCGAGAATGGGTGGACTGGATATACTTGGAATAAAGAGCTTTTTCCGGACCCGGATGCCTTTATTAAGACATTGCATGATCGCGGGATGAGAGTCTCGCTCAATGTACACCCTGCGGATGGTATTCGACATTGGGAAGACCAGTATGAAGAAGTGGCGAAGGCCATGGGCATCAACCCGACATCCAAAGAGCCGGTGCGGTTCGATTGCACGGACAAGAAGTTCATTGACGCATAATTCGACATTGTGCACCAACAGCATGAAGCTAGGGGCGTTGACTTTTGGTGGATCGACTGGCAGCAGGGCGAAGGATCGAAGATTCCCGGTGTCGACCCACTGTGGGTGCTAAACCACTTCCATTTCCTGGACATTGGCCGTGGCAACGATCGCCCATTGATCTTCTCAAGATTCGGTGGCCCAGGCGCACAACGATATCAGGTTGGCTTTTCAGGTGATGCCATCATTACGTGGGACTCGCTGCACTTCCAGCCGGAGTTCACATCAACTGCATCGAACATTGGGTACGGGTGGTGGTCTCACGACATCGGTGGTCACACTGCTGGCATCCACAACGACGAATTGACGACAAGATGGGTACAGCTAGGCTGCTGGTCGCCCATCTTGCGTCTACACTCTGACGTCAACCCCTTCAATAGTCGCGAACCATGGCGGTATAACGACGAAGCATGCAAAATAATGGAAGACACGCTGCGTCTTCGACACCGCCTCATCCCGTACCTCTACACCATGAATGCCCGCTCTGCTTTGAATGACGAGCCCTTAGTCACGCCATTGTACTGGGACTACCCCGAGGTGGATGAAGCATACGAGGTGCCTAATGAGTACCGCTTCGGTAGTGAACTGCTCCTCGCACCTATCACACAGCCGAGGGACAATATAACACACCTTGGATCGGCGACGGCGTGGCTGCCGCCCAAAAGATACGCGGATATCTTCACTGGCGTGGTCTACTACGGCGACCGCAGCCTGAACCTTCATCGCCCGCTGACACAAACGCCCGTCCTCGCACCAGAAGGCGCCATAATCCCACTAGACGCCGCCCAGCGTCCCAAGAGCGGCAGCCCGAACCCCGAAGCCATCGAACTCCTCCTAGTAGTAGGCTCAGACGGCTCCTTCGACCTCATCGAAGACGATGGGAAGGGTACCACCGTCGACGACGGCGAATTCCAGCTCGTTTCCTCTGCTTCTTCCTCCACCTCCTCAGATGACGGCATGGATGTTGACACTGAAGCCAGCAAAACCGTACGCTTCGTCCACACACCCATCACATACAAGCAAGATACCGGCGTCCTCACGATCGGACCCACATATCCTGTTAACGACCCCGCTGTTCCCAAGACCCGCGAGTGGAAGATCCGCCTCATCGCCTACACATCGTCTAACCCTTCAACCTCAGTAGAAGCCATCCGATGCATAACCATCTCCGCCAAGCGCGCAAAGTCAATCTCTCATACTATTACCTCCTCCCCCACCGGCACCCTCCTCCACCTCGCCTCGGTCCCGACGAATCAGGCTGTCATCGTTGAGTTATCCTCTTCTAGCCCGCAACTAGACGTCGTCGATCCACTGCCGAAGATATGGACCATTCTAGACCAAGCGAACATGGAGTTGAACAAGAAGAGGTGGATTTGGGAGAGCGTGTTTGAGAAGCCAGGGAAGGTCGAGGTCATGGTGAATAAGCTGCAGACTATGGGATTGGAGAATGCGTTGGTCAATTCGTTTGTGGAGTTGCTTTGTGCGGATGATCGATATGCGGAGCAGGCGAGAGGAGGTGGGAAGGCGGTAGAGGGTGATTTCGAGGTGTGGTAAGGTATCATGCAGGCAGAAAAAGCGTCGTAAGCATGAATTATGAGGTGAATGGAGCTTTCGGCTCTCCAAGGAGCTAGTGTTTTGCATGTAAGCGTTTTCTTTCGGAAGCATAGCTGTTGTTGTCAGATAGCTACGCCGTAAAGCTTATGAGAAAGAATCACTTTACGAAATTTGTCTGATATCACTCGTGAATCCAATTGACCGCCATCAGCCATAGCGCCAAGCCTACAAGACGACTCTTCGATGCATTTCCCGTCTGGCACCAGTGCAGATAGTCAAGTCAAATATCAAGCTGGGGTTTACTCTGCTATCGCGGATCTAGGTTGAATATGTCAGTCCTGCTCTTGTGAACGGGGTTGGCAAATCAATATTACGTCTGCTTTGGGACGATGTATTGACTCTGCAAGGCTGAAAAGAAGTTCGACCGCAATCTTCAGCGCGGGCGAGGCGGCCAATGAATACACGCGATGCTGTCGATCGCACGAAGGTAGAAGCGTGGGAAAACTCAACATCAGCTTGCAAAGATTGGACTACAAGGTTTTTGTGTAAGGAAGCTTTGATGATAGCATAAATATTGACTCTTTCCCTATCAATCCCTTGTAGATGCTCGACCATCGCATGGCTAAAAGATCCCATGGGGACTTGAGCAAAGTATTGGACCGTTAAATGTTCCGCGAAAGGGTTTGCCCACCTTCGTAATATCCATGTTCATCGGAGAGAATACATCTTGAGAAAGAGTAATCTAGCGATCATGTTGCGGAGTTGCAAAAGGTCCGGTCGTGCATTGGGCATCTGCGTACGCTAGACAACGGATCGGACTAAAGCAAAATGCTCCTACGAGTAGTCTTATCCATGAGCACCACAAGTGCTGCAATAGACACAGGATCTTCAAAACCCCTGCTTTTGGTATGCAAGACTCCAAATATAGCAACAGTATAATTCAAACACATGCTTTGACAACTCAATATATTAAAGGGCGTAACGTCTTCTACGCCAAATCCCATGCGCTCGGTGCGCCTTCACAGCCACATTTCAAAAGTCACCAGTAGTCATTCCGAGCTGGGACTTGTTATACAAGCACGTAATATCCCAATGGCACAATAGTCAATTGCAAAGGCAAGTAACCAAATGCTCTTCGCGAACTAAGACAGGCTCTGATTGCATACGTGAGAGACAGCTGAGATAGTTCGAATGCTTACAGAAGGGATTAACAAGGGCTACGCGAAGCTGGTGGCTGCCAGATATGGGTTAATAATGTTAGATAAAAAGGGCTTAAAGGGCTCATCCATCACAGAGATAATCATATTAAGATACTTGTATTATCGTTTGTGAAAAGAACGTGCCACCTCTTACGGCGCTGGAATCAGGAGCCTGAGCATTCTCAATTGATATAGTTACCATAGGTACTACAAAGAGTATAGAATTAGTCTATCTCTCTGGTATCTATGTTGACAGCATAATTGTCCTATTACAGGCTCTACCAGACTCAAAAAGACAAATCCGGCAAGTTCTAGCCAAGACTTTACTATATTTAGTAACCATATTAGTTGAAAATCTTCAGACTTCTGATGTCAAAGCGCCGTGGGAGGCGGCACATTCTTTTCAAGAAGCACCGATAAATGAAAGACGCGAGGTGGGAACCTAATCGATCACTCGATAGCACACAATTCTCGCATTTCCCTCTAATCATATAGAGCTCTCGAATCCTTGTATAGGGCCGCAGCTTGGCCAAATTAGAAGCAACTTGACAGACTCGCATCGCGTGCTCCGGACGCTGTCGTTGTAATGGCCAATCCATCTCGCACCGGATGCTTCACGCGCTATCTTGTCGTCACACTGTGCCACACCTTGATCAAATGTCTAGTTACCGCGCCGGCCGCCTGGGTCGGCGTAATTGCATTTCATGCTCTTGACCGGCTTCCAGAAGTTGTATATGCTCTCGTCGCGCTGCAGGTAGAACGCCTGGAATTCTCCTTTCGGATTGAAGTGGCTGTTGCAATTGTCGTCGCTTGGAATTGTCAGTAGGGTACAAGACTGGACACCGTAATTACGTACTCATAATACCAGCAGACAAACCACGCGTCTTCGCTGTCCTTGTGTTGCTTGATAGATCGGACTATGGTATCTTTTCTATTCGAAGCGTCAGACAGATAGATTACGGATGCCAGGCAGGTCACCTACGGATATTTCACCGGAATACAATACTCTCGCTCAGCATCCCGCTGAGTAGCCCAAGCAATGGGGCTTCCACGGTATTGTGCATCGTTGTAGACTTCGGTCTGCAGTCGTGGGTAAGCTTTCCAGCTGCGAAAGCCGCTTTGAAATCTAAGACGCTGCACTCACCAAGCGATCATTGTCATGAGTGGATGGACCACGAATCTCCAGTTCCTTCTCAATAGGGGTTCGGTTGGAAAGTGCTGGTTCGTTGGATGTCTCGGGAACACCTTCTTGTGCATTTATCGGCTCGAGGAAGGTGCCAGCTTTTCCGGTCCCTTGTTTGCCAATATCTCGCTCGCGGATCCAGAAGCATTGCACACTGCCAATTGTATCTTTCCAATTTCCAACCACATCATTGCCTACAGTACGAGGCTCCTTTTCGAGATCTGGCTGTTCCCAAAGGTCCACTTTTGTCAGTTCACCAAAACTGTTCCCGCAATCCGGCTCCCTAAAGTCATGAGCACAACTGCTGCTGTACATACAGTAAGTTAAGATACTCACGCGAAGTAATGGCACCTAACGTGGCCATGCCCGTCGGGGCGCTTTTGTCGAACTGAGAGAAAGTGTTCACCAACCCTGTACGGCATCATCAGCATTGCAATTGAGAAACCTAGGCTTCATGCGCAGGCTGGGAGCTTACAGGCGTAGAACGGTGCGGCAAACACGGTCGTCAGTGTTCGCCGCTGTGTAATGGTAGTACTGGCCCTTGAGACCCTTCCGAAGGTAGATCTCGATCTAATCTAATTAGCTGCCCTGAACAACTGTGTACCCTTGGTCACTTACGACATCGCCTTTGCCTCTAGGGCGCAACAAGGACGCTTCGGCCAAGCCATATGTGGAGCGCTCGATGTTTGTTGGATCAACAACGGCGCCAGTCAAAGTAGACATTGTAGCAGCTGCGGGAGTGCCGGTCAGTCTATCGGAGACCTCCATGTTGCCCGTCACGTCAACATCCCGCAGCAATACAGCGGCGGTGCCGACGGAGACGGCTGCAAGGAGACGAAGTAGATTCATCATAGTCAGTGGCCAAAACGGCTGATCTGTGTATTGTGTATGATAACGAATGTGTGTAGAAGGGTTGGGAAGTCGAAGAAAATAGGTTCGAGGGCGTAATGGGCAGCGGGGTATATAAAGGAATCAAGACTATTATGGATCGAGGTGAAGGCAGAGCGCGAAGGCCCGAGCGCGAAGTGAGGGTTTGCGGGGAAGGAGCGGTTGTTGGCCCTGCCGGAAAGGGAAATGAGGCCCAAAAGCCAGTCGCACGTAAACCCAACGATTCTTGCCGACTTCCTGCGTGAAGACGTAAGTATTCTAGCCGTTCAACTTCGCCATCTCAGGGCTAGTGCACGAATCAGCTTTGCAAGGCCAATGGTTATCTCTACGTCTGTCTTCCCATTGACAAGCTCGTTGCTTCACCTGTGGTGTGTGCGACCTGGTGAACTATGTCTGACAAACGCTAATGCGGCTGGCATATTGCACATTGGGCACTCTGTATCTCCACTTTATACGGTGCGGACAGTTTCGACTATGACCTTGAATGCGATGTCCAGGCTGGATTGCCACGGAAGCTGGTGACCTCAACACTTCATAAGCCTAATCCCTATTCGCAATAAAGAAGCGGAGCCGACGACGTCAAACATGCCCACCGATCACGGAACAACGGGTATCCATATTCAAGCCTGCGGCTCTAAGCCACTCCTGATATATCCTCATATGGTGCCTGGTGCGCGGGGCTTTCTTATCCTTGCTCGAATTCCTCACCTCTAGACACACCATAGACATCCTTTGCGTAAACTACTATAAATAGGCAGTCCTACTTGATGCAGAGTGCTGTCGTATAAGAGCTGGTCCCAATGAGTCTTCTGGAGCGATGTCCATGCGTTGTTCGATCTTCGTGACCGCGAAGGCCCGACTCCACGCACAGAAAAGCAGTGTCACATGATCTTGGCTCATACTGGTGCAGTCACACAATCTTTGTCGTTCTTATGTTGCAAAGTGTTTCGGCTTCTCAGGATTAGAGCCTCTTGCACAATAGGTCAAGACGGGGTTGGTGCGCTTGCCCGCTAAATTATTCGGGTTCGGGGGAATGAGTCAGCGCTGTCACCTCAGGATTGTCAGTTATTCAATTCTCTACTGAAGGTTTGAAATGTGTAGGTGGGAGCTGCCGTAAGAGGATCGCTGTGGGTGTTGGTCGATACACTATTGCAGGGCCGGACTACGTGATCGGCGAGGGGCTACTTTAGCACCAGCGGTTCCTACGTCTAATTAGGCGTTGCCAAATCCCAACTCGAACCACCAGTCCGCCCGACTGCTCCTCGCTAACGCACTTACACAGTATATTGACCTTCCTGTGTTCCTGCGGTATTCCATGCTTCGGATAAGACCCGGGGGTCAGCTCGTGACGCGCATCTCCACTCCAGTTTGGGTACGCTAATGTTTCAGCATCAAGCCTACTCTGAGCGTCCGCCGCTTTGTCCATTTCAGCATCGACCCTACTATCCTCGCATCATGTCCACGTCTATAAGACCGTTAGATCAAGCATTGTACTCCCTGTCATCGCTGCCAGCTTCGTATATGCCAGCGTAGAGAGTGTTCTCCTCATTCACGAATTCATCGACCCCAAGCACAGACTTCACGTTTACGACATCGTCTATCTCCGTGTCGACATCACTCGTGTGGACCACGGCTCCAACAGCCATGGCTTCATCTACTCTAGCCTCAAGACTTTCGTCCTCTTTCACGCTTTCATAGATTCAGACTCGAAAAACAGTCTCGACATCTACGACACCTTTGATCCCCGCGTCGAGTGCGTTCTCATCCACTGCAGATAGGCCTAGTTGCGGAATTGACAGTAAAGAAAAGGTTTTTGACAGGCTTCTCGAGGGTCACTGGGGATTTCGTGTCAATATATCTCAGTTCCTCGTAGATCTTGGTTCACCGATTAGCCTGCCAACGCCTCAGCATTATTGATGCACGCACTGGCTGCACAGGACAAGAGTAAGACGAGGCGTTCGACGGCCCCGCGTACTTTTGAATCGACGAAATTTGTACACTCCTTTTTCTTTTCCAAAATTTACGACACTTTGCATGTTGATATACAATACGCGGTAGGCGACGCTTGCGCCACTCCCCCGCCCCTGTGTCTTACCGTTCTAGAAACCTCTAAGTAATTTACAGCTTCCATCAGAGGTCGGCGCATGTATATGCAACATGCTCGGGGATTCGTTGGTTTGCATCTGGCCCAGGCTCTTGCAGCTAACATAATTCCATTATGCGGCTCTGAGGAATCCGTATGGGGCGAATAACACCAGTAGAAATAGGCGACAAGAAATACAAAAATACACAGCAGCGGGGAATTGGTGCCTCCGGTAGGCAGTGATTACCTAAGGTCCCTAGGTACATTAGGGGCATGGGTGTGTCTGCTTGCGCTTCGGCAACGCCACCCGTATACGAAGTGCGTGTCTCGCGACAAGGCATTCGTCAGTGACCGGTTGATAGAGGAATCAAATAGGCCTCCGGTGGTTGGCGTCGGGCTTTTCGATTGGTCGGGGAGCATGGCGGAACAGCGACCAGCGACGGACTCTTGGCACGTAGCCTCGCCCCCACTTCTCGTCAGCACTACGCAGGTCCTCATTCGTTGCTTGGCTCCGTAACACCACGTTCCCACAATGGAAAGCCAAGAAGTATTTCGGAAATTGGCTTTGTAGGGCTGAAGCTTCAGCGGAACAGCCCCATCGACCGTAAGAATCCAGAACGATGGTGTCTATGGCAGGTATAAGACGAACTATGGGCGCCCGAGGTACGACCTTCCCCAACAAGCTGGTTACTTCTGTCTTTCACACTCGTTTCTTTACGGCCTTTGTCGTAATCCACTCTTTTTTCCCAGGAATCCTGGCTTTCGTTCTTTACTCCAGTAGTAACTTTATCTTCCATTCTCTATAATTTCTGCCGATTGAACACAAAACCACGCCGCTACCATGAAGTTAACCCAAAAGCCGACGCTTTCGGCCATTGCTGCCATTACGACTTTTATCGGATGCACGCAAGCCGTTGGCGATTGCGACGGTGGTGGACCCTGGAATTCAAACCCCGTTGGCTATGACACTGGCGGAGAATGGTGTGCTACTAAGTGGAAGGACGGTGCCGCCATCAACGGTATACAAGGTTGGGCAAACGGTGACAGCGTCAATGCTGTTGAGTTCCAATACACGAACGGAGTCGCTCCAGAATTGTACGGCAAGATGACTGGAGAAAAGAAGGACTGGCTTACGTGGGACACGACAGTAGACACGGTTGAGTCCATAACCATGTGGCCCAACGGCAGATCCGATGTGAGGCGAGTAGCTGCCATTGAGATCAAGATCAGCAACAGGGACGCGTGGAGGGTTGGTACTGTCCCGCCCAACACTCAAGGCTACGACAGTCCTGTTGTCAATGGCGCAGGCATTATCATGGGCGCCTATGGTAGACAAGGAGGCAGCATTGACGCACTTGGCTTCCTAATGATGGATTCTGCCATCAAGAACCGGGATGTCAAGGACTTCGCCCCCAACGGCGATAGCATCAACGGCGCCAACGAGGCGCTCAAAAACCAGAAACCTGAATCCATCGACTCATATACGCAGGAGAACTGGACTGGCGAAAACCAGACATACCAGTACGATAGGACAATCAGCAAGACGAGGAGCTGGTCGACCACAAGGACCTCGTCCAAGACGTTTGGTGGCTCCGTCGGCGCCAGCATTGATTTTGGACTACCGGCGATAGGCTTGGGTGGAAGTGTCTCCACTGAATTCCACTGGGAGACCACGAACACCTATGAGAACACTGAGGAAGGTTCAGACACAGCGAGTTTACCCAGTTCACTCTAGGATACAGTAGACTAACACTTCTGACATAGGTGGATCTCTTGTTTTCGGTGAGCGGCAAGATCCCCAAGGGCGAGGCCATTTACTGCGAGGCATTGGCTTTCAGCGGCAAATACGACTTGGATTATGGCAGCACGGTCAGTCAGTCTCGTTTCATCTTTGGCATGAGTGAAACCCTAACGTTTTGCAGATTGAGCTCGAGCTTTCGAGCGGGCGAACTTGGTCTTATCATGAGGCAGGAACTGTGAAGGGTGTCGCGTGGTCCAAGAATGAGAACAAGTGCATCAGCTACAAAAAGGGAGAAGATGGCGCTACGGTATTGGAGGCAAAGCTCAAGGAGTGGAAGGAGAACCCTGAGAAAGAGCAGCAGGATAATGACGAACGTGAACAGAGGGCCGAAGAGGATTCAGAAGAGCCTGAGCCCACGACAACCACTGAGGTTTCTGCCTCTGCGACCGCAAGTGCTACGCCGTCGAAGACAAGCAAAGCTACACCTACCAAGACAGAGGACTCTGAGCCGGCCGCGACAGATGAGCCTGAAGAGGAGGAAGAGGAAGAGGAAGAGCCCACAGGCGAGGAAGAGGATGAAGAGCCCGCAGATGAGGATGAAGAGCCCGCAGATGAGGATGAAGAGCCCGCAGATGAGGATGAAGAGCCCGCAGATGAGGATGAAGAGCCCGCAGATGAGGAAGATGATGAAGAAGAGCCAATTGATGGAGAGGATGAAGAGCCCGCAGATGAGGAAGAGGAGCCAGTGGATGAGGAGGAAGAAGAGGAACCTATCGATGAGGAAGAAGAAGAACCTGTCGATGAAGAAGAAGAAGAAGAATCTACCGATAGCGAAGATGAGGAAACCGTTGACGAGGAGGAAGAGCCCGTTGATGAGGAAGAGGAGCCGATTGATGAGGAGGAAACCACAGAAGAGGATGAGTCCACGGCGACTGCTGAGTCTTCAGCCACAGCTGAGGCCACAGCTGAGGCCACGCTCGAAGTCTCACTCGGTGATCCTGAGCCCACTGCTACAGAAGAAGAACCTATTTCAACCACCACACCCAAGGCCCGTCAAAGCGCCACCTCTCGCGCTCGTCCTAGCACCAGACGCAACGTGGAACGTGCCGAGATTACTCCTGCCCCAGTGGCTTCTGTGGGTAAGCGCAGCATGTGGTTTACTGCTTAAGCGCTCACTGCCGGGCGGCGGTTGTTGCAAAATGTCAATAATTTGACACATTTGTTTACTTTATTACCATATTCAGTTCTCTAGGTTTGAGGTCTTTGTACTTGTTTGGAATATGGTGGCTATGGATTTCGAGGCGTACGAGTTATTTTGGGTCATACGTTGTATACTAAACAATCGATGTCAATCGACAAAATCGCACAATCTTCGTCTGCAAAGACCATGCAAATCATCTTTTTTGTCTGCTCTCTGCTCTGGTGATGCATCTACCCCCAGTGGGTGGTATAACGTTTGAAGCCGTGCCCTTTACCAGCTTTCAACAATGCGTGGAAATTTCAAGACAATTGAACGAGCGATTACATTGAACGTAGACAGTCTTGTTCAATACACAAGCCGCCTTCCAAAAATCCTTATGCGCCTGGCCAATAGCAGCCTTATAGTACCATGTACCCCACAGCGCATGCACGTGTCATTTTAAGTGCAGTACTTCACGTCTTCGAAAGCTCCATCGAAAGAATCCTCTCTTATCTCATACCCGTTCTCGTTCAGGTGTACAATGAAAGGAGCATGGTGTGTACTTTGCATTCGTTCTCTTCCAGTGGCTTAACTTGGGCAATTCTACAGGTCCATTATTATCGTTTGCGAATAGAATGCCCCCACCCTACCGTGGTACAAATCCCCAAATTATGTCAAATGTATAATACAATCACCATTTTACTGGCTAGATCTTGTTGAATAGCTAGATTTGGTAGTGGTAGACGTCAAAATAGGGTACTAAGCTGTTAAAACAGGCGTACCAACGTAAGTGAACTAATAGTAGAGTAGATATATAATACACTTAACAAAAATGGGAAACCGTACTATGGTAGGGTGGGGACATTCTTTTCGCAAAGCACCGATAGCAAGAAATGTGTCGAAAAGCTGTACGCAAGAAGTATCCTGCAGCGATGGCCTCTCTTATCGAACATCAAGTACGTCGACATTGTTCTGAGAATTGGATAGTTTGTGGACAGTCCAATTCTGTTTTGCAGGGATATTACCGAAACGCCTTACCTCGTTTCTGCATCTCTATTGCTCCGATCATACCTTGGCATGCCATCACCCTCTCCATCCAGACCGAACGCTCCCGTACCGTCATCCCGACTCCTCTTCTCGCCGCCCGTCCAACCACAAGACCTCAGGATATAGTCTCATAGATATTCTCATCCCCGGTCGTTGTGGGTACGTCAGACGAAGGAAAATTACAATGACGGGATTACTTGTTACGATCTGAAGCCACCAGTCTCGCCAAGGATGAAACGTCCCGAGAGACCGTAGCTACCTACGAGTATGGTATGAAAGTCACCCCGCTAAGAGTACGGAGGGAAGTCCATGTATCGCGGAATCAAATGTGTTGAGTCAACTTGAAGTTTGTTGGGTAGAGGTTAGTTTTGAGAGGGGTTTACGCTGAATACCATAGTAGTTCAATATTTTGTGTCGGCCACTGTGTATGTTGATGCATGCTCCATGCACACTAGAGAATAAAAAAAATGTCCAATCCACCGTAAAACTTCGACTGCGCGCTCCCGATGCTTCAACATCGCACCCACGCACCGTTCCTGGATCCACTTGCAATCGCTGGAGAATGCGACAGACGCATGAGGACTAAAAAATGCATCGGCCGGGAATCGAACCCGGGGCTAGCCGAATCTATTAATCAGGAGGAATTCCTGATCAATGGCAACGGCTAATTTTACCACTAAACCACCGATGCATGTTGCTGAATCATGTACAATTCGCTCGGAATTTTCGAATATATACTAAAATCAATATCCCAATCATGGTTTCCTTGTTACATATGCCATTCGATGGAAGATGTTGGGATTATGAATGTGGGCATCCTAGTAAGTTAGCGAGGGCTAGCGGAAAATTAATCACGTGAATAGATGACCTCCAGGGCTAAAACACAAGGATGTTTCACACCAATTCCTCGTCGCCCCAAAGATCAGCTTCACAACTGTTTCTTAGACAGCTAGCAACACCGCAATATGCGTACAGAGACCTTGACGCAATCGAGGACGTAAGGCATAGGCGGCGCAAGTCGCCAGCGTATCCACATATCAATTCCAGTGTAGGGTATCTCATCTATCTAACATGCCCTCACTGGTCATTGCTGCGCGTAAGCAAGCCGCGTTAGCACACCAGCCGAAACATCACATTAATCGTCCCAAGACTTGTATATACGTATGCAGAACGCCATCGCTCCCAATGCTAAATAAATACTCGTGTGAGAACGCTCAAAGCGGGGCTCTCACATAATAATACACTCGCGCTCAGGCCGATCCTTTGCCTTGTGCTTGCCCTTAACTTGCACACCATCCGTTCCAGGCGAGACCGGTTCTCGGCTTTTGCTCCTGAAATGCTTTTTGCTCTTACTACGAGATACGCCAGCGTCCTTGTTCAGCCTACCTGGACTGGCAGGAGGTCGAGGATGGGCTTGAGCCTGAGCTTTGATCGTCTGTGTACTTTCCGCGGTTAGAGGAGCCTCATTCACAACGATGACCGGGTCTTCCGAGCCATTATCCGTAGCTACGAGTTTGTCTTTACTGCCTCTGCCGGTGAGTCTGGACAATGTCATCGATAGTCGATTTTCGCCGCTCTCGCTAGTAGGGCGACTCTTGCTACCGGATAACCAAGCTTTCGAGTTACGCCGGGATGCAGACAAGAAACTCGTTCGTTGCTCATCTGGTGTAGGCGGTGGCCGCCCCCGTGCGATATTAGATGTACTGCTGTCGAGATCTTCGATGGCGACACTGCTCCGACGATTACTTGACATGCTGTTGCGTCCCGGAACCTCGGCATCCGTAGTGGAGCCCACGATGGACGAAAGTGCTTCAACTGAGCTGACCTTCTCCCACTCTCCAATGTCGGCGTCGGTAGTTGTAGCGTCAGTCATAGCGTCAGGCTCGGAGCTGAGCGTCTCCTTGGAAGGCGCCGTAGAGAGTGTTACGGACTGGACTTCGTCGTAACTGGGAGGATCACCCCTCGATGCAAGCTCTTCGTCTATCGGTTGTACCTGGTAGAATAGCAGATATGGAGACTCCTCCCGTAGCGCGTTCTGGATATCAATATCCACTACGCGCGGATTTGACAGATCGTCGAAGCGTAGCCAAGAATCTTCTTCAACGTCTTTCTCTGTATGTGACGTACTGGGACGCTTCCGGTAAGGCGGCTTGTTCGCACGTATTAGTGACACGTAGTGGCCTGAGTCGACCGAAACCCCCCGATGACAGACAACCGACTGAAGCACCAGCTTGAAGTTTCCAAAAAGCGGCCCCTCCTCCATGCGTTCATCTGAAATGAAATGTGGTAAACCGATCTCTAAAGGTATATCAACATAGGTGTTGAGTCGTTTTGGTGTGCCATTAGGCAGCATCGTGTAGCGTTTGAGACAGATACCAAGAACAGGTCGCTTGGAAGAAAAGTGCGCGGCTACTTGAGCATCTGTCTTGGGGACGTTATCTGTGTACCAAGGGATGAGGCTGAAGAACTGCCAGGCGGGCATCATGACTTCTTTCCTAAGGAGGGACGCTGACCGCGGCCGCCCGGAGGAGCTCTTGTCTAGCATTTCTTCCAGGTGTTTCTTCTCATCGAATCGACTGTATTCCTTTGGTGTACCGTGGATGTTATATCGCTCAGTGAATATGCTATCTCCCCTTCGGCGTCCGGATAATGGTCGAACAGGTGAGACAGGTGATGGTGGGCCGAACGTGGTGGGCGTGGCCACTAGCGGCGTATCTGGTCCAGATAGCTCAACTGTTTCGATATGCATGGTCTCCTTCTTCTCGCTACCCTGGATTGCTGTCTGAACGAAAGGTAGGGTGTTTTGGCGTTGCAAATATCGCTTGACTTCGATCCGATTGTTGAAATAGTTTTCAAGGCAGTCTTCAAGGGTCACGCCTTTGTCCGCCTCATTCTCTTCTGGGATAGCCACTTCCAAAAGTCGTTCGTTAACGAATTTGTGATCGTCCTCCCTATCCTCCCGCCCAGTGTGATATATGTCCATCTTCAGGGTCAGCAGAGGCAGTTCCAACGCGCCAGTGATGAAGGTGAATGCTTCAGAAGCGTCCTGCTGGCGAACCTCGGCCGCTTCTTCCCAGCCACACTGTGCCAATGCGTCCTGCAGACGCTTCGTGAAGTCAACTCTAATGAGCCTACCCGTCCGCAAAAAGTTCACCCACAGTCGGAGAATGGCCGCGAGCTTCTTTCTCGGTTCGTCATTGAACTCGTCGTATAGCATCGCCTCGAAACTATCCATCCGAGCGAACATGGCGAACAGGAGTGCATCCAAATAACAAGTCACCATATTCCGATTTATGGCACCGAGCATTGTGGTATCGGCATTGAATTCTTTCAGTTCGCCCTCGAGGGATTCGTTGGCGAGGACGAGCAGATCGTACGCTTCGTCGAGGTTGTCAGGGGACCACGCGAGGGCATAATCGACTTGCTCCTCATGCATCGTAGTGATTCCAGCAGCCTGTAGGCGCTGGAGAAGGGTCTTGGTCCGTCAGACTAAAAAGGATAATTCCACACGTATACAAGTACGCACCTTCGTCTTCTCGGCATCCTTGTCCGCGGGCTTCTCGTCGTTCGTGAATACTTTGTAGAGTTCGGGTGAGACTGTGGGCAGAGCTTGCCGTGACTGGAAAGTCAAAAAGTCAGAGGAGGCGTTGATCGATACTGGAGCATAGCAGGGGATTGTATGTGAGGGGAAATGTTTGGAAGCTATGAAATGGGCGCTGCCGTCTACAATGCACCTCCAAGCTGAGGACAGCTGCTCGAGACAGGTAGAATTGTGCCGGTGGTGGCTTGACCCGTCGCGCAAACCATTACCGGCGGATGATAGGAGATATTGCGAAGAATACGAAGAAGAAGAAGCAGAAGATGGACGTACTTTGCCGAGCGGGTGCTTCAGCGAACGTTTCTCGTGCTGGTGCTTGTCGCGCCGGCTGAGGAAACGCGAGACACCGTTCATGGTTGGTTGCTGGAGGGAATACCCATACAGCAAGCGCAAGGGTCGAATATGCGGCTCCAGGAGAGGTTCAGGCAGCGATGACGACGACGCGCTGGGCTCGCGCTGGGCAAAGCGGCCGAGGTGAATGCGGCGGACGTGACACGAGGCCGAGCTGCACCAAAGTCGAGTGAGAGTCTGGTTACGGCGGACAGAGCGAAGAGGCGAGGGCGCCGGGCAGCGGCTTCTTGTTTGTCGCGGTCGCGTCCATGGATCGTCGCTGTACCCGGAAGGTGTAAAGGGCAGCAGCGTCCCGCAATCGTGGTGGGGTTTGTTCCTGCCTTGCCACGATTGGGTGGGTGGAGCCAAGGATCCGTCACATCCCTGCAGCCCAGGACGCGGACCCCATCGCGAAAGATTTCCTGCGAGACCTCATTCCATCGCAAGCGCATACAGCCCATCAGCATCGCCCATGGCTCTACGCGAGTTGCCGTTTCGGACGGTATCCGGTCTCTGCAGAGAGGTGCGGCCTGCTGTGCACGCCGTCCGACCCTCCCTCCGCCGCAATGCCTCCGCGGGAGCCCTCCAGGAAGTCGAAGACTCGTCCTCCTTTGCCGTGCCGCCTCCATCGAAAGATCTCGTCCAGAACTTCGACCCGATAGCGCGTAGCAGACTAAGGCGCCAGGGCAAGAAGCAGCTTCCGGCAAGCAGGTACTACACACTCAATGTCAAAATCATGAGCAAGAGTTGACACTATCTAGGTACCAATACCGCCCGCCCAAGTACTACCGCGGTCCACTCCATCCGCATCAGCCTCCACCCGCATCGGATCCCGTGTCGCGTGAATTCCAGCCTGGTCCTTTCAGCCTACCTCGATTGGAACAGACATACCAAAGCACGATTGCCGCCGATATCCTCACACTCACATACCAACACTATCCGCCGGGATACAGGCCGCCAAAAGTGGAGAACCGACTACGGCAGTGGTCTGGCGATTCGCCTTACTTCAAGAACAGACCACTGAGGGGGCCGCGAGGACGTGGTGAGGAACTGCGATTATTGAATGAACCCAGAACATTTCGCAATGTTCCGAAGATTACCAAGATCACCGTGCACTCTATGGTGCCCGAGGCCCAAGAGAATAGCGCGTATTTGCACGTTGCCGGCATGATATTACAGGCAGTTAGCAACGTTCGGGCGACGGCGCACAAGGCCAGACACAACGTGGTTGGCTGGGGACTTCGTGAGGGCAAATATGTGGCTGTGACATCCCACATGGAGCGCGAGGACGCGCACCATTTTTTGGCGAAGCTTGTGGATGTAGTACTTCCACGAATCAAAGAATGGAAGGGCGTCCCAGGCTCATCTGGTGATGGAGCAGGCAACATGAGCTTCGGTCTCACCCCCGCTCAGGTCACCCTCTTCCCTGAGATCGAGGTCAACTATGACGCGTGAGTCGAACTTGAGTGCACAATACTATACCAAGCTAATCTCCAAAAGTTACCCACCCAAAATGATTCCGGGTATGCACATCACCATCCACACCGACGCCACGAACAACAAGGACGCACGCCTGCTGCTCCAAGCCATCGGCTTGCCGTTCTATGGAAAGCTGAACGACTAGATAAGCATCATCGCCTGTACAAACATGTAAACAATGTAAGACAACCGTGTATAATGGACACAGGGCTGCGCGCGAACGCAGCAACAAAGAAAGAGGTTGATAAGCAAGCTTTTTATTGTTTGGATTGTTTTTCTTCCCGTCTTTGTCTATATTATTAGATCTTGTTCCATTCTGCATCATCAGACAATGCCGTTCATCTCTCCTGGACACTGGCATTCTTTCCGCGTGCAAGCCTCAGTGCTACCCCCTTTGCAATTGTGCCTTCCATAAAAAGCAAGCTCTTCCATCTAAAAAATTGAGCACTTTCAACCCCAACTTTTCAATATGTTTCCTCCAAGCTGAATTTGTCCACAATTAACCTCAACTTTACACCATTTCCTCTGCTTCGTTCTACTTGCCTCGTACATCAGCTTTTGCTACAAGATGGGCATTCCAGCTACCACATATAACAACCTTGCGAGACCCACCGGAGTCACCAAACGTCGCTCCAGCCCTCGTCGCGGCTCACTCAAGATCAGGCGCACTCGCAGTAGAGACCGCTTCTTCTGGTACAGTGCCTCCGACGGCGTCTCTCGCCTTGTCAACTCCAACAACAGCATCCCTGAGCAAGTAAACAACTACAGCTTCGCTCCTTCCGAGTTCCACCACGAAGCCTACCCCAAGACATTCCCCGTGGGCGGCGTCTGGCCACCCCAGCAAATCGACGACCTTGTATTCGCCACCGGCTCCGAAAACACCGACTGCGTCGGCGACACCTGCTACAATGGCAACATCTGTGAGGATTTGGATTGCACACACACCCTCGCCGCCTGGAAAGCCGCCACCTCCGACTGGGAGAAACACTTCGAGTTGCGCAAGACGGAGCATCGAGGTATCGGCGTATACACCAGGCACGCGTTTCGCCAGGGGGCTATCCTGGGCTGGTACGCAGGCGAACTCAAAACGCTTGCATCCATGGACGGCAGCAAGAGTGACTACCTTATGGAGATTGAGATTGGCGACATTTCACCGCACACGCCGCTCGAGCCAACACCGAGTATTTACATTGATGGCGAGCACAAAGGGAATTGGACAAGGTTTATCAACCATTCTTGCGCGGCGGACTGTGTGTTTCGCATCATGCGGGTGGGGAACACGAGGATCATGGCGGTGGAGGCGATCAAAGATATACCGAGGGGGAAGGAACTTAGTGTTGATTACGGGGAACAGTATTATGGTTTGACAACTAAGAAGAGGTGTGCTTGCGGGGTGCCGGAGTGTGTGGAGCGGAGGAGAATAAGGCTAGAGAAGGCGATGGAACGGAGGAAGACCGCAGAGAAGGCGATGGAACGGAGGAAGACCGCAGAGAAGGCGAAGAGAAATGGAAATATCAAGAGGTGTAGGCGGGTTGCGCCGCCAATCTTGGTCTAGTATCTTCTATTTCGTAGTGTAGCCTTGAGATGTTTGCAAATATTTTGCTTACACTGTTGAATCTATTAGTTGAGTCACCTTCTAGACGTCTGCATTTGGTCAACTTGTTGTACTCGAGTGCGATATGGATGCGCGACTGGACAGCAATGGAATTGAGCGGTCTGATTGGTGGTCAAGACCAGGATTCATTGATAGCCTTCAAGAACCGTCAGTGAACTGACAAAGATCAGTGAAGTTCTATAGCTAGGAAGGACACGGGTGCCTTGAGCCCGATCCGCTACTCACCATGTATGATTGCGCTGCATATGGGCCATTTCACTTTCGCTCAACTCGGCAAGTATACATTTACCTTGATCATACGTTTAACAGAATTAACTTCCTACAAAGAGCGGATCAGTGCTAAGAGATTTACGATGCTTCTCCTGACCGAATTTCAAAACTGAAATTCGGAGGAAGGAGAGTAGATGCTGGGCTTCAACGTTAGGCATGAACACCATGAGCGAACTCGGATTAAGTACGAGCTCTATGTATGGCTTGCGGTCAATAATCCTACGCCTGTTTGCTCCTTATCGGCTAGATCATACTTCAGTTCTCCAACTTATTGCCATCCTGACTGATCTCGCTGCTCCTTGCGATGCGGAGTTAGATCAAGAGATGAGGGAGAATCCATCAATTCGAACGACCTTGAGAGTTATGGCTGTTTTCCACTCGACCACAACAATGTAACTAGGGCAGGAAATAAAAGCAGCCATCTCCCGCAGGGACTGAGCCAAAGTCTTGCGAGAGCACCGATATCACTCTTAAGCACCAGATTTCGGAGGCCCCTTCTCAAAACCTTGGAAGGCTGACACTGCCACCGGAGCGTCACAATTATTTATGCCCCCTCCCAAACGCCACTGTCTCGCAGCAAGCGCATACCTCGTACCCGACTTCAGACGTTCTCTCCAGAATGCTCCAGATTCAGCTTAACCTTCAGCAACATACTAAGTACCCATCGGGTTGATCTCTGTTCGTCAGAGAAGCATCCCTTTCTTGCTTGGCTGGGCCACGCAGAAGGCATTACAGCTGTTTTGAGCCAGACTGACTTCGCTCAGAGAACGAACACGTAGGCAGGAGCAATCACAAGATGACCGTCTCCCGGCTTCTGCACGTCGCAGTCCTCAGCGGTCTGCGAAGCACGATGGCGATTGCGTTATGCTGGGAAGCACCTTGAATTTAACACATTTTTGCGCTGATCATTTGCGTCCACTCGATAAGCATTTATGATGGTAGTTGCTTATAAGTAATTGATAAATTAATTTTATATCACACCTCCAGAGACGCGCATGTTGCAGCGAAGTGTTTTTCTTTTTTTCCCCTCAAAATTCATCTCTTACGTGTTGGCGTACGTACTTGGAGTATGATTATACTTGTGCTCTCTACAATTGCCACGGCAATCTATTTCTCTTTGCTAATGGTGTCTTTTATCATTAGCTGGAACTGCCTCCACACTGTATCAAAAAAACCCATCAATTGCCTCGTCTATAGCCATGCAGACAGCCCACCCACAGCAACACTCACCACAATGCCCGCCACCAGCACCCTCTCAAAAGTCTCCACCCTCCCAGTCTTGTTCCCGATCCCGCTGTCCCTCGCGGTCGCACTCGGTATCCCTCCGCTTCCCTCCAAACCTCTACGCGTCGTGCCGTTCCTAGCTGCGTCATTCGGCCCGTTCCAGAAAAGGATTTCAGTAGGAATATCATTGTTGATATTTGACGGCATAAGCCCCGGGAGCACGGACGGGGTGAAATCGCGTACCCCAGATGGAATGTAGCTGGCAAGTAGGTCGGGCACACCTGTGGGGCACGTGATACCTGTGAGATTGGGGATGGGCCCGTTGGCGAGGGCGCAGAGGCTGTGAAGAGCGAGAGAGGCTTCGCAGAGTGGGTTTGTGTGTGACGGGCAGTAGTATGCTAGACAGCTGTGCTACTGTTAGGGGCGTTACTTTTGCAAAAGGCCTAGAGTAGGCGAAGGAGCATGTTGAAGATGGGCAATAGGGGGAGGAGTAAAGGGAATAGAAGGCATACTTGAACCCAACGTTCGCATGGCTACATGCACAGCCCAAGTCATCGCCTCTGCACTTGTCGATCTCTCTGGAGATGGATGCGGAGCATGAACCCCATTTCCTATCTCGGCGTCAGCCAGAACTGCGTCGAAAGTTCGTGCGGACCTACAATCTAGCTTCTCCGGTCGCACAAGCTAGTGATGCAGGATTGGTGATAGTGGTAGTGGACGGGTCTTGAACTTCGTCATCCTGGGGCCTGGCAGAGGCGTGACAGGACGCTACGAGCACTGGGGAAATGAGGGTGTAGAGTCGCATGATGGAGATTTAACAATGAGCCACTCGTGCCACAACAAAGAGTCGTTTAGGAACTGATTCATGTATCGGCTTCAAAACCTATCATCATTCCGTTGCGGCCTCTTGGTCGTGTCACCTTTGGCTTGTAGCGCGCGTTTGTTGCACCCGAGGAATGTTAAACGCGCCGCTCGAGTGGGGGTGTAACGTTGGAATGGGGCTCGACAAGGTGAAGATAACGGGATTTTGGATCCGTGCATCATTCAGGTTAACATGTGCTTTGAGAGAGTATATGCAATTAGAACGCGTCTCCACCGGCCAGTTCTTCGACCAACGTCTCCAGTTCTTCTTGGCGGAAAGGCACCACTAACCTCTCCGTACCCATCGAATCTTTTCTGCTCTCTATCATCTGGTGATCATGGAACTCCTTCAGGAGGGTTCTAAAAGCAACTTCGCTCGTACAAACAAACTCATCCCTGGCTTTGTGATATAGTGTGCGATACTCCACTCCCTGCGTAGCTTCGGGCGCGGCACGCGGCCCATTCCTCTTGCTTTTCGACGTGGCAGCGAGTTCCTCATCCTCGGCTTGCTCCTCATCTTCCATGTACGCCAAGGCGAGCTGCTCAGTGACAATGATGCGAAACAGTGCTCTTGCGTGCTCGGGCAAAGATTTCAAAACGAAACCAACGCCATCGCGTCCACCAATCCTTCTCCCGCTGCGTCCAAGAAGTTCATTCACAGTCTCCACTGTGTCTATCTCGACATTGTACGTGGCGAATGTTGTGGCGTCGTGGAAGAGAAATTTATACTGCGCCCTTAAACCCACATCCCATAGTAAGGGGAAGTTCGGCGTGTCCGCTGTGCAAACGAGATTAATTGAGGGATGTGCCGCTAACAAGGCTAACATCGCCGGTGTTGGATGCTTTCGTAGATTTGCCGAATCAATCGAATTGATCACGATCAAAAGAGGATGTGGTGGTGGGTTTCGGGATAGATGATCCAAAATGTAATTTAACAGTGAAGCAGGCTGGTTAGGCAGCTTTCCACTCTTAGGAATGGCAGCAGATGCAACAGTCGTGAGGATGTCTTTCAGTATTACACCTGGCGTGTAGCCGTTGATGACCGCGATCTTAGGTGTCTTCTTGGTTCCCCTGTAGGGTGCTTGGTCCAGGAGATGTTGATAAATTCGTGCCGTGAACTCGTCAGTGATGGCTCGCTTTGAGCCGTAACCGTAGAGGCAGATGTTGAAGCCTTCTTCCAGCTCAAATATCCATTGGTCGTACGCTCGACTGTGCAGCTCCAGCAGAAAGTCTTTCTCCGGTTTGTGGCGATCCGCATACGATTGCATTGTGTCGAAGTACTCATCATGATTCAAGAGAGTGTGCGAAGGTAGGGTGTTGTTGGAAGTTTTGGTGCCTCCAGGACGGTTCTGCCAAAAGTATACCTCGTGGGCTGGTAGCTCATTGGGCGGTGTGGGCTCACGTTCCTTTCTCGCCTTTGCTGCCAATTGATTCTTCCCGGTGCCTTTCGGTCGTCCTCGCGGCCGTTTCGACGGTGTCTCCGGCACGGGAACAGCTTCCTGAGCACCAGCTTCTGTGTCTTGTTCTTCATCCTGGCCATGCTCTTCTTCACTCAAGATCTGTTGTGCCAGCATATCCTCCTCGTCCAACGCCTCATCCTCGCTATCTGGCCCATTAATGGTACGATCGATCAGCTTGCGGTTACTCTTGCGACGGGCGCTGCGGTCGGCGTTGCGAACAATGGTCGGCGTGCCACTTGGAGTTTCGTCGCTTGCTGCTTTCGTGGGCGTCGCGAACAGGAGGCGGCGATTGGATCTAGGTGTAGCACCGAACTCGGTTCTAAGTCCGGACTGCTTCAAGATGGACCGTGGTGTTCCATTTTCTTGTACAAGCCCCCTGCCTCGTCTTGACGGCGTTTGCGCCTCAAGCTCGCTCACGCGATCGTCCTCCACTGTCTGCGTTCGTAACTTTCGTGGGCTCGTATTCTCGACATCTTGCTCGTCTCTCTTTCGTTTGGCGCTCACCATGTCGCGTCTGAAACGTTGATGCTAGCGCGAAGTTGAAGATTCTCGATGTCGCGTCGCGTCGAGGTCGGTGTTTCGTTATACCGATCAAGCTTGGCGCGGGTTTGGTCCAGCCTTCGACATGTGCATAGGCCCGAGCGATGAACATTGAACAAGCCGTAATCTTCATGACGAATGCAGTACGTGCATGCGTGTGCAGCATTCATGGGGAACAGTATTCATAGGAATGGTGGTGAATTGGCGAAGGTTGTTGCTGACAGTGATGGTGCTGAGAGGAAGCGCGGTATCGGTCCGCACTCACGATTCCCACCCACCATGCTCCGTCTTCCCACGCTCGTGCCATAAACATGCACATACGCCTCACGACAATCACGAGCATTCCACACCTCCAGCAATCTTCACCAGCAAATCTTCTCGAGGCCCTGCAGGTCAATGACCGCACTACACATTCACATGCCGTGATAGTTTCTTGCCTGACGACGATCGTCCATGACTTGTGACAAGTCGCAATCGGCAGTACTCGGCGGTACTTCGCACGATACATTCACCATGGCAAGATGCCGAGGCTCACGGCATGCAAAGGTGCGGCAGCTATAGCCGCAGACCGCGGCCGAACCACCTTCCCAGCCTGGCGACGTACTCAAGCAGCACTCAAGACGCCGCTCCTGATTATGGAGAACGCAGCAAAGCATGTGACGTTGGCGATCTGATGTTGGAGTTTTCTTCAGCAGTTGTTAAGGAGTGTATGTATCTGGACGCAGAAAACGGTCGAGTGCTAGATCGGCGTGCGTCTCGCTTTCGAACCCTCGAGCTAAGCTTTCTAACTAGCTGCTATTCCCACACCTTCCCCAGATCCCCGCATGATTGCAAAGGTTCGGTCAAGCAGCGGCGGCAACACAAAGCAACGTCATTGGCGTTCGCTTCGCCCTAAGATCAGCAGCCCCTCCCGTCACCCCAGTCTTGACCGGGGTGCGGCTCAAAAATCGTCGAACCAAACGGGAATGCCGAAGACAAGCTTGCTTTACAACCTGTCAGGTCTCGCAAACGTGGTGAATGCCGCCTGATCTTACCACAACGCTAACCTCCAGCAATTGTCCCCGGATCCACTATACCCCGTGTGGAGTCCTCCGGTCGACCTCACCCCCAATGACGTCTTGGGAATTGCACCATCTTTGAAATTTGCGGTGATACCACTGCGTCGGATATAATCTGCGGGACTTGCATGGAGGACATGCGTGCCATGTCCCAACCATGTTGGCGCAACAGCTGCCGGGGTGGACTGGACGAGCAGATAAAACCCTGAGCGCCCCCCACACATGTAACGCCAACTCCACTGTTCGTCCCCCTCGTTTTGTGGTACCTGTGCTAGTTTATTCTATTTCGACTGTCCGGATTTAGAAGCGACGATATGGCTTCAGACGATCCCAACAAGCCCCTTGAGGCTGCTGCAAGAGAAACCAATGAGGTTTCCAACGCCAAGATACCGAGCTTCCTAGGTTTCTCTGGCCGAGGTTTACGAGTGCTTGTATCGATCGTATGTACAACTGGTTTCTTGCTATTCGGCTATGACCGTAAGTGTTACGCCACGTGAAGTCCAGATGACGACTGACCACACGCGAAGAGGGTGTCATGAGCGGAATCATTGCGGCGGATCCTTTCAATGATTACTTCCCGGAGACGAAGAACGATGCTACATGGCAAGGTTTCGTGACGGCTATTTACGAGATTGGGTGCCTCCTTGGAGCTATCACTGTTCTGCTCGGGGGCGATTTCTTAGGACGTCGCCGAGGCATGATCATTGGTGCTGCGACCATGATCCTGGGAGTGATAATTCAGGTCACGGCTATGAAAGGACACAAGGCCACAGCACAATTCATCATCGGCCGCGTGGTCACTGGCGTTGGAAACGGGATGAATACGTCAACAATCCCTACTTACCAAGCTGAATGTTCAAGCACCAAGAACCGTGGACTTTTGATATGCATACAGGGTGGTATCATTGCCTTCGGTACTCTTATTGCTTACTGGGTCGATTTTGGTTGCCAGTATGGGCCTGACGATCTTACATGGCGCTTCCCTATCGCCTTCCAGATCGTATTTGGATTGGTCGTACTGATCGTTCCGATCTGGCTACCGGAGAGTCCCCGATGGCTTCTCACGAAGGATCGTTCGGACGATGCAACTAAAGTCATTGCTGCTCTTCGTGGCCTGCCTACCGACCACGAGGAGACTACACTGCAAATAACCATCATCGTAGACAGTATCCGAGCGTCTGGCCACCACGGAGGTATCACACCTTTCAGTGCTCTTTTCACAGGCGGGAAAACGCAACACTTTAGGCGCATGATGCTCGGCGCGTCCTCCCAGCTTTTCCAACAAGTAGGCGGTTGCAACGCCGTCATCTACTTTTTCCCCCTTCTCTTCGAGAACTCGATAGGCGAGACGAAACAATTGTCTCTCCTGCTCGGTGGCGTCAATATGATCGTCTACAGTATCTTTGCGACAGTCTCTTGGTTCATCATTGAGCGGACCGGACGACGCAAGCTTTTCCTTATTGGCACGATCGGCCAATGCCTGTCCATGCTGCTCGTTATGGCCTGCCTCATACCGGGGACCCCGTCTGCAGCCAAGGGCGCCGCCGTCGGTTTATTCACCTACATCGCCTTCTTCGGCGCGACATGGCTTCCGTTGCCGTGGCTATACCCCGCTGAAGTCAACCCGGTCAAGACGCGAGCGAAGGCGAACGCAGTTTCGACCTGTACCAATTGGCTTTTCAACTTTATGGTGGTCATGATAACGCCTATCATGATCGACAATATAAAATGGGGGACGTACCTTGTCTTCGCGTGCATCAATGCAGGCTTTTTCCCCCTCATTTACATCTTCTACCCAGAGACAAAGCAACGCAGTCTGGAAGAGATCGATCTCATATTTGCAAAGGGGTTCTTGGAAAACATGACCTATGTTCGCGCTGCAAAGGAGCTGCCTATGCTTGACGACCATGGTATCGCGGCCATGGCGCGCCAATATGGTTTCCACGACAGTGATGACGAGGCAGGGCAAATCAAGGAGGCGCAGGCGGATGGGGATGAGAAGGATGTGGTGACACATACGAATGCGCAGATGGCGTAGGGTTGGAAGGGCGCGGCAGCGCTCAGATACGGATGCAGGAGGGTATAGACTAATTGGATTTGGCATCACTCGAAGGTCGACAGACGGCTGATCGAGTCAAGGAACAAGAATGGTACACGCACGAATGTACCGATGCGAGCATATGAAGTATCCGTGATTGTTCGGTCTCTCCAAAGCGTAATCATACGCCGTGTAACCCCGGGATGTATTAGAGCCAACCATGCGTGATTCTCACCTAGGCGCCCGCGGAGGATATCAGAGGGTAACTGCGGGGCTCGCAGCGTGAGGTGTCTATACACCACCCTCACTGCCCAGCGTCCCTGTTCATGGCGTGTATGATGGTGTTCATGGATCGCGATGTTACACGGTCCTTGTGGATCCAGGCCATGCACGTTCATGAACGGCTGCCCCATTCAGCCTTGTGGTAAGGCCACAGCACCGCGTCGAAGGCAAAGGCAGCGCGGCCGGCGACAAGCGACACACGCCGCCACCCAGAACGCCTTCAGTCAACAGCCCCGGCCTGATGGTAGAGCCCGTAGCCATCACGGGCTCCCAAGGGCGGCGTCATGCGCGCGCCTGTCTCAGAATCGGCGTCATCAGCAGAGCGCAGGGTGACTCGCAACAGCAACAGCGTGATGCTGCGGGCACGTCGATACAGCTTACTTGGCTTTGTCAGGCGCTTTGATGATCTCACCAAGGCGGCGGCTTGTTTATCGGGGCTTCGTCCGTCTCCGTCAAAAGCCTGCAAGCCCCGCGCTCCGCCGCCACAAGAACCAAACTCAGCACGGCACTTGCACTTCAGCACCACCATTCCCCCCGTACCAGCCACACATTCCTACCGACAAGACAGCAGTTTCAGAAAGACGCGTCTCTGACCAGCGGCTCGCTCTGCAAGGGCCGACGAAGCCAGCTTCGCGCTGAAACTCGGAACCCGTGCGGCTTTATCCCAGCGCGGCCGCGCGGGCGAGGCGGGGCTCATAGCTACACTCGAAGATTTCTTGTCGAGGGCAGATGCGACCATGGAACCCCGACGGCGGCCAGAGTACCATCTGGACATCTTCGCCGACCTGGCCTGCGTCAAGGATGTCGTGAAAGGTGTGTTTGCACCCTCCCCATCCGCACCTTGCTCCTATCGCTGCCCAACTTGCGCTACCTAGTGTTTTGCATGCTGACGCTTTCTGACCAGCAATCCTGCACACCATCTTCTTCCACAGATACTTCACGTCCATATCGCCGCTTACGAGAGACCTGCTCGACCTCACCCTCCCCGCCATCGACGACGTCGACCTTGAGACGCTCATCGACCAGCGGACCATTGCGCTTGTGCGCGCCATTGAGAGCACACACCAGCAGAGGGGTCGCGGGCAGCTGGTCGTGCAGTTCTTTGAGAAGAGGCGGAGAAAGACGTATTTCTTTGGCAAGGCCGACGAGGATGTGTGCTGGGAGCAGTGGACGCTGGACGTGACGCTTGCAACGCCGCGCACAGAGACTGGTGCGCCATCCTCCTTCCTACATAAACAACGACATACGCTGACCAGTACTACAGACGTCCTTAAAGTCCGCCGTGCCATGACCAAATCCCTCGAGAAAGCCGCACACAAAATCATCACCATCGTCAACCGCGACAAAGACCACATCCCGCCGATTACGACCACCGACGCGAACCCGTTCCCCTACCAAGTCGTCGTGAACCCAAAATCCGTGCCAGACCAGAATACCTGGGGCCCCAGAATGGGTATCTTTTGAAACGTATCCCAGACTTAAGGTGGGGGCGGGGTAAGCAACGTGCATGACTCCATTGTACATATTCTAGAAGTCGTTCGCTGCGTCAGCGTATAGTTGGACCCGCCCACACATGCTTACGACGTGCTTTAATATTTCTAGCGTTGTCGAAGAAGAGGTGGAAAAGCATTTTCTTAGGAACACGGCCGCAACATGGAACGAGAGATGCGCTTTTGTCAGGACAGCTCAACCTTTTCCTTACACCCCCGTCATCCATCCCACCATCAATACACGAAAATCATGAGCTAGATGTACAGTGTCCATGGTGATTAGGGCAGCAAAAGAAGGAGGTTACGGAATGACATTTCCACCGTGGTTGTTGTTTGGAAGGAAAGCTGAGATGATGTAATTACACAAGATACCCCCTTCCCCAATGATATTCTGTTTGTTCACAGCATGCTTATATAACGTGGCTCGCGTGACTTTTGTTGACTCTTGCGCACCTAGTGAACGTTGCAGGGATGCTGTACGCTTGCGTATACAGCTGCAAAACGAAGCGACTTGGCTATCGTGATTCACAACATCACCACTCCAGTCTGCATGTAATGAGACGATAGTGAGGATACATCAATTCCTCGACACGACTTTGAGCTCCGCCCTTGTTTCCAGTGGAATTAAATCTCGTGATGGCTTTCATCTCTTACTTCGCCCACATCCGTTTGTTACTTGGGCTTATCAGAAATGGTCTGCATCACGGGATTATCTATCGAACCGTTCATGAGTAGAATGAGGAGAATCAGAAAATACTGTAATGGCTACAAAAAAGCTGGATCTGGGGTTCCCTTTCAGCCCGGAGGGCTCTCCACGCTCCACGGCACCACACTACTTCAAGTAAGGGCCAAAAATCATCTCCTCGCAAAAACATACAACAGCGGGTATTCGCTGCTGGTCACCCACGCAACTACTAATCCGCCGGTACACTGCTTATATATGGCTGAGCGGACGGGAAGCCTAGTTCTCAGTGTCCTATGGTCGTATGTATTGTACATTGTGGATTTGTACATATATGACCCTTAAAAACACCTGGCGCCAAGGATTACCTATCCTGGGATAATACAGCATACCTCCCTTTTAGCGCAGGATCGTATACTTTTGAACTTGATGAGCGTTGTTTCTAGCAGATTCTCCCCTTCTTGTTCTTCCACATCTTATTGTGGTTTAGCAACCTCACAGGTGCCGTGCCCACTGGGACCAAAAACAAACCCAAATTTCTGACCTATTACAAGAACACTGGCAGTAAAGTCGGCGATGAACTTGACTGGCAGCTTGCTAAAGCAGGCCCCGAAGATGTGCTTCCTGGAAAGCCAGCAGCGAGGCTAAAACTGGGCCCACGCCTGGTGTTCATGGCGCACTGGACAGTACCTGCTAATACAATCTTAGATGTACAGCTCGGCCAGATTTGCAAAGATGGACACGAAGACATGTTCAAGAGCGCGAAACAGTACGATTTTCACGTCGAGATTTCCAGGACACTATGTTGCCCCAGAGCAAGCAATATACACGCCGACTGTACTACTACTTTCACCATAGTACTATAGTACGGTTTCTCGCCCCACACGATAATAATACGATCAGCTATACTAAGGCTGTTCGCCCAGCACTGTAAGGTAATTGGCCTTTAACAAGATATTCATCCTATGGAAGAATGAGTCTAACACGATGAATAAGTACTTTAAAGGTAAAGGTAAATGAATGTATGATATAACAGAGAGCTTCTCACCACCTCCGTACGGCAAGATCCAGGCCCCTTCGTGTCGGTACATCAGGGCATCAGCTAAGCGTACTCAAAAGTCGAACCTAGGCCATTTGCAATTTATGGTTTTGTATCAACAACGTACATGACCCCCTTCACGTTCGCCGGCTTTCTTCACACGGCTTCCCACGGCTTCTCGTCCCTCGCCTTGATAATCCTATATCTCACATTCGTTCCCTCAAAGATTTGCTTAATCGGTTCGTAATTCTTTTCCTCAAACTCGGAAGCATTGCGATCAAGATAATAACACACCTCCTTAAGCCGTGGCGTCCTCGTCGATGCAGTCTCGAGTAGCCATGCTCGGACGAAGTCCAATTCCTCATATTCGTCGTATGCGTAATAATCTGACGTGAACGCATCCGTGACCGTCACTACCTCAACGTTGCGAGGCAAGCTGTCTTCTAGTCGTCTGGTCGGATCTGCCCCGGCATCCCAGTCCCAGTCAGGGAGCAATACCCCGAGAGGGGCCTGGAATCGCCTGATGTTGGCGAAGCCTTCGAGGCCGTGCAAAGTTCCCAAGGCTTTCATCATTCCGGGTTCAATACCACCCCAAGACATGTCATCGAATTCAAAACCAATAGTGAGGTCCTCGAGAGTATCCCTGATGGGTTGCACCGCTTCGACAAATCTATTAAGATCAATCGTATCGGTGTTCAGGGGATGAGTATCCTGTATCCATTTCCACTTCCAGCATAGGGTTTTAAGAGCGTGCGTCCTTACTAAGATCTGTGATAAGAAGTCGATATGGATGTAAGATAGAGCCAGTGACGTGAGGTGAACTGGATCTGGCGGGTCTATAGGCCAAGGTAACGAGCTGGGGTTCCAACACCAGCCCCGGATACTGCGTATTGATGGAAGACTAAGAAGAGCCACCATATCACAGGGATTACAAAAGTCGGGATTCTTGCCAGGATTAATGCTTATTGGTCCAGGAAATGATATCTCTTGCAATTATTGGAACTGAGAAAGTCCATGATCAGATTTGTTGAAGACAGCGGACTGGAATAGTTTACCGAGAAACTGGTTCTCGCCTGCGATGTTTGGGGGGTTCCTTTGACCTGAGCTCTCAACGTAGGGTACGACTGCTGCGTATCCAATGCGAAAGCTCTTAAGGTCAGGCAAGCGTGAAAGTAGTAGTGCGACAAAAGCGTTCAAGTCGGCTATACGCAATTTATCTATCCAAAGATGGGCATACGATAGACCGGTCTTCTTAATGAATTCAATAAATTCTGGCATGCCTAAACGCGCAGGTACGAAGTCAGTTAAGTCAGAAAAGTGGGGATAGTACGAAGTGTTAATGCCTAAGACATATCGACTTCGCACCCGGGCAATACTTGCCATCCTCGTCTGTCGGTCGCGGGGGAGAGACCTTAGGAACACTTTCGTCGTAAGAGTATCCTCTGTAAAGTTTTTGAATCTTCTCATCGCCATCGCGCAAACGCACGGATTTAACATGCTTCGTAAGCTCAGGGTTGTTGAAAATGCTCCGAGTAAGGTGAATTATAGGGCGCGGGCTCCCTCGATAGATGCTGAGGTCAATGTACAAGTAAAGCTGCGGCGTTGCGAATTCATGCAGCTTCTTGCTCACGAGGCTCAGAGCGGCAAGATCATGGAACGACACTCGCTCGAAGATAGTATCTACGAGTTCGGCAGGAAGATTAAGAAAAGCCGCCATATTGCTATTGAGGTTGGTGGTGAAGCTAACCTTGGAATGGAATGGAGACGATGTTATAACGCGCCAGGTGTGGGGCCCTTTCTTAAATGGTTAGTGCAGGCAAAGACGTTAACTGGAGAACTGCTGCCACATGTACACTTTTGAGGATTGATCAAATAGGTGCACTGTTTCAAGGTGGCCGCAGCCCCCAAATCCACCTCCTTTTAAGTTTGCATGTCTAAAGATCTGGCGCTATGCCGTTTTGGGCTGACCTGCAGACGCCCAAAGATAACGTAGACGTTCACCAGCTACGAGTACTGATTCTAGACCAGGTGGCCAGATATCGGTTGACGGTGTTGCGTAGGCCCCGCTCACCGATTTCAGACGTTGGGGGTGAGAGTCGCGATGAATTAGCATCTGTAAACGTCGCCGCATTAAATTCTCTGCATCCTAGCGCTACGATATCCTGACTGCTGTAATGTGAGCTAAATGAGATCTAGCGGAGCGGAGAAGAAAACCAATTCTCAGTGTCCTATGGTCGTGTGTATTAGGCATTGTGGATGTGTACGTATATAATTCTAAAAGTCCTACTCGGCGACACGATCTCTCGCTGAGCTTCCGACCACTAATCTACCACTTGACCATTCGCGAGTGGTTCTTCAGACTTGTTTCGAGGTGTCACAGTGGCTCGGTTTGGCAGGAACAGGAAAGTTGTCCACCAACAACGATTAATCTTGTTCGATCAACTTGTTCCGCCGCCGCCGTACAAATATGAAGCGCTGGGAACGCATTCGTCCGCCGTTATGTATAGGTAATAATTCACAAGGCAAAGGTTAGCTCTACGAATGTGAGTGGGTACTTACAGCGAAACTAGAAGATCACTGATTCGAAGATTAATTTTGCTTTCGCATCTTGAAGCGCTCGACACGTGCGGCGTAGAAAATTCCATGCTTTTTTGACTCCGCGTTTTAAACAATCAATGTTATTGATCGCTGTAGTCATAAGAAATCCGTACCAGATAATATCCTGAATTCGGCCGATCAACATCGCAGACTCAGTTAGTCACACTGCAGCTTCCGCGGACGCCGTAATATCTACAGGCGACGCGCAGCCAGTCTCAAATTCAGGAAAACCAAGACATCTATAAATTAGATGTATTGCAAGCGATGCTCTCAAACAATACGTCCGTGATCAATGTCACTTCATTCACGCGCGCAGTCTTAATTAGGTTGGATATCTTTGACTTAAGACCTCCTCCCGTTGGACCCTGTAGAACAGCTTCAAGCCCTTCCCCCTAACAAGTTGAAGCTCTTAGAGCTCAGCGATACCTGGGGCACCGAAAAGTTATCCACGAAATGCAATTGGCGCGCCATGTGGAGTCTCGAAGCTTCGATGGTGTGAAGTCACACTTTGTCTACTAGCTCTTGAACGTCTTGCTCGTCATCTGTTACCGGTTTCACCGTGCTTCGCAGGCACAATCGTGAAACGGAGTTGTCCAAACGGAATTTATAGACGTACCAGCATCTTCACAGACTTTCTTTCTCCAGCGCGCCACTGCCACCTTCCTACTACCACCTCCCCGCTCTCCAAACCAGCGATCCCAACCCCAGCGTACCCCCAAAGTGGAACGCAATTCCCCACGCCATCGCATAGAGATACTTCGGACTAAAAACTGTCCAGATGAAAAGATGCGTCCTCAGCACTGTACAAGCCACCATTACACTCCCCGTCGCTACACCCACCCACAATGTCATCAGGCCCACATGCCTTCCCCACACCTCACTACTTTCCCTCCTCTTTCTCCCTTCCTCCTCGCTCTTCGCCATCCTCTCCAAATGCTCCCTCTCCTTCTGCACCCAATCGCGGCTATCAACCTCGTTCATCGCGATGTTGCGCCGCGGGCGCCCCGGCGAGGAGAGCAATAAGGACGAAGCGGCGGTGAAGTATATTGGCCCAGCCCAATTTGAGAGGAAGAGGAGGAGGCCGACGGCAATAACATTGTAGCCTGACACACCGTTGTAGGCGTTTGAGAGGTCGATTGATGAAATTGCGTTGGAATTGCCAAGGGCGAAGAAGGAGGTCTGGATTAGGAGGAGGGTAGTTGTTGTTATAGCTGCTGGGGTGAGGTCGAGGAGGGCTTAGTACTGTTAGAAAAAATCGAAAGGAGAGTGGGGAATGGCTTACATAAGAAGAAGAATTGGAAGCGGAAGAGGAGGTAGAGAGGGATGTTTTGGGCTTTGGTTTGGGTGATGAGGAAGAGCGAGAGTAGGTCGAAGAGGGCTATTGCGAGGTCTGGTCTACAATCAGCATGCGCACTTTGCGCACAACTTGGGAAAGGGATCACTTACCGCCACTGCCTTCGCCTCGTCTGTCTCTGTTCCTCTTCCATTCGGATATTGTGATCCATACCGCGCTCAATGCTGTTCCCGCAAACACCATCCTTGCCACATCCACTAAGCTCAAATCTTCAACCCACTGGATGAGACCCTGGTTGATACCATACGTTAGCTCAGGCGCATCCCTCGCTGTGAATGCAAGCTTAAACACAAAGGCCGTAGCGCCCAGCGGCAGCACAGCAATCACCCCCATGAAGCGGTTCGCATCCACAGCTTGCGAATCTTCGCTGCTACTTCCTTTATCGAATACCAAGATCGAGCGTGCAACATGTCTGGAGATCCGTATCGTGATGTCCATATACGTGGCGCCTACCAACGCCCATAGTATGAACGACGTGTTCCCGTGGAAGATGCCGCTGTGCACGATATCATCCGCGCCTGCATACTTTTGCCCTGTTTGGTTCCATCTCCGAATGATACGGTGAGTTACAAGAAGCATAATAGCGGGATGGAAAACAAATTTGGACTGCCACTCCTTGCGCGACTTTGAGATGAATAGGCAGAAGAACCAGCCGGAGGTAGCCCAATACCAGAAGTTGTGCTCCTCTTCAACGTATGAGGAGGCGAACATGAGAACGCTGTAGAGAATGATTGTGAGAGTGTAGGCTACACCAGGAGGTGTGATGCGCCTGAGAGATGGAAGGGTGAATAAGGTCACGAGTACTGAGACGAATGTGAGAACAGTGCCTATGATCAGACGCGGGACGTCATAGTTGGAAGCTGTGCTGGACATCTTCTCTTGGGCTGCGGTCAAGAACTGCACCAGTGTCAGTAAGGGAGAACGTCAACATACAATACTGCAGATTTACCCAAAAGAGCTGATCTATCCTATGCTCTGCGGTCAGATGTCTGCTGGTTGTTGACATAGTGTCCACAACACCATGCCATTTGCACGCTAAATCTTGTCCGTCGCTCTGTCGGTGTCACTGTCAGCGGGGAATCTTCTACATGGCCATTCTAACATACTAGTGGTGGCTCGCATTCATTGCCGGCGGCCTTTGACTCGTCCTCAAAGCTCAGGTTCGGATACGTCGCTTCTACAATCATCTTCATCTGCCTCGCATTCCTGAGCAGCAGACGTATCCGATCAGCCGCTACATCGTCAGTTTTGAACAAGACGTCCGAAGTCTCATACTCACCATGTGGCCAGAAACTTAGGAACTCTTTGATAAATACACCCAAGTTGTTCCTTGGTACCGGGAAGCCCAATAGACCAGCAAGGGTCGGCGCGATATCGCTCTGTTCTACCATCCGATAGTACTCAAATTCCCCGCCTTTGTCCTTAGGCTTCGTCGGGCTCACTTTTTCCATGTGCTGACTGATGTCTTTGAGTTTAGGCGACATGAAGACTAGAGCTGGAGAGGTTTCTCCAGCTGCGCTGCCACCGTGATTGCCGCCCTCGTTCATGCCATGGTCCCCGCAGAGGACGAATAGCGTTTTCGACAGGTGATCCTCGTTCTCAATGGCTGAGTAAATATCCCTGACGATGCCGTCCATCTCTTTTTGCTTCGGGAGCATGTTAGGGCTGCGAAAAGTTAGTGTTTGCATACTACGATTACCATGTATTATCACCTCTTAGGACCTGCCTTATGCCCGATGTGGTCCAGGCCCAAATAATGCATAATCATCGCATTCCAATCACTGTTCAGTAATTCTTCAGGCACATGTCTCGTCACGTTGTTATCCACCTCGGTGAAATCCTGCAAAGCACAACAATCAACTTCTATTTCTAGATCTAGTCCACTAGAACTACTAACCGAAACAAAGAAACTGCTTGTTCCATCTGCGCGCTCAAAGAAGCCCGGGAAAAGCTTCAACCATGTGTCGTCACCGTACATGACCAATTTTCCGCCCTGCTTTGCCCTGAGCTGCGCAAGCCACGTATCTTGTGTGGAAAGCGTGGAGGTTGTGTCCGACTCGGCGAAGTTAAGGATCACATCGAGGAAGGAGGGTATGGAGCCGGTGGTCATGGCTTTTACTTTGGGCATAGTGATGGTTGGGGATGCGGCGTGCGCTGTGAAGGGTAGGGCGGTGCCTTCGCGGATCAGACTATATCATATGTCAATATGGCCCAACTAGGTCACTCGAATCCAGGTTCGGAGAGAAAGAGGGTGCCGTACCTCTGCACAAAACTCATTCCACTGTCCTCCCCGAAGACGAAATCACTCCGCAGCGCGTCCACAACCATGAACACCAGCTTATCGAACGGCGCCTCAGGGACACTTTCCTCCTTCCATCCCATTGCTTGTTCCCAGCCTAGCTTCTCGTACTCGGCGAGTCCTGGCATAAATGGCTTATAAGGGAAGAAGCCCGTCGCGAAGATCAAAATCGCAACGGGGATGAGAAGGTTCGCAACCGTGAGGAGGACCGTCCGGAGCGCCATTGCGGCGGTATTTACGCGCAGACGTTCGAAAAGCCTACTGTATTAGTACGCTAATTATCAGAGCATCAACTATTCATGGCCTCGTAAGGCAGCTTGAAGTCGAGATGGGGACACAGAGTCCTCAACCTTCCCACACGTCGCGTTCAGGGTTTAACGCTAGCACTCGGAGCGGCCTAGCTGCTGCGCTCAGACAGCCAATGACATCACTACATGGCATCTCACCCCGGCTTACTTCTGCAGGCATCATCTCTTTCATACTGACTCTCATGTTTTGCTCGCCATTGCACCGCTATCCTACCTCATTGCACTTGATACCAGCCAGATACGCGCTTTCTCATCCTATCCTGCCTGCAAGCTCTGGATCTCGCTTTTTCAGGACCTTGAACGGAAGAAAACACAAGGATTTGCACTCAGAGCTTGCTGTATATCTGCGACAGAGGACCAGTGCACGACACGAGAAACATAGTAGGAAGCCCTACAACCCCGTGGCAGCCAGGCATCAGAACACCATGGCTTTCCTCCTCCCTGGTCTTCGCCGCAGCCTCTTGCTCTCGACTCCTCTCATCCTCTCAGCACCACTCTTGGTACAGACAATCAAACGACCTGTCCTTTGCGACGGTCCTGATCCCCTGTCCAAAATCACGTCGGACCTACGAAACAACTATACTCACGAAGCACAAACGCCAGTCATCAAAACCTCAGGCGCGCCGAACCCTCGAGCAATCCGTCAAGTAAGCATGGGTAGCATCCTGGGCGTTGTCGCAGGTCTGGGTGTGAGTGTATTCAGCAAGCCATTAGCAGTCCTGATAGGACTTGGAATTGTGTGTATTCAGGTACGTATAAAGCGGCGTCGCTCTTCGTATTCTATATCATGCTATGCTGAAGGGGTGGGGATATCTCGGAAGCACGCTGGGACAATGCCATGGGCCTTTCCGCCGCCATCTATGAGGTGTATGCGTATTTTGTGATAAAAGAGTATGAGAAGAAAGAAAGCTGACATGCTGTGCAGTTCCTTGAGAGCCGGGGTATTCATCTCGTTCCTTACTCGTTCTTGCAACGGAGGTTCAAAGAGACGAACGTACGGTCGTTGATTCAGGACAACGTTGCATTCAAGCTCTCATTTGGCGCGACATTTGCGCTAGCTGCATTCGCGGAATTTTGATTTGCTGGAAGTAGGAACTGGCAGATACTACATTTGCGAACCCTACTAGTAGTTGAAGCGATGTCCTGGATGCATCATCTGCGGGGCAAATTGCATCTGGAGCTGTTTGCAGCTCTGCCAGAACGCCTTGACTGCTTCCTTGAACGCGGTCGAATTCTTCGCGTTCCTGTAGATGTTAGCTTACTGTCAGCAAATGACTCAACAGACATACCGCATTAAGCTTTCAATGAACTTTCTGATCATGTCTTGCACTGCTTGTTCACCCTGCAACCTCTGCAAAAGTGGCTGCTCCGACAGTGCAGAGCTTATGTAGGCCTTAGAGTGACGGTCGTTTTGAATGAGCTTCCGAAGTGGAATAACAATATGTTCCAGACTGGAAGCATCAACTTCGCCACTTATATTCGTGATCAAGGCAGATGTGACTGCTTGCCCGAAATGATCGACAATTTCTTGACACATCACTTGGTCTGGACTGCCACTACTAGCGGTCTTCTCGATGATGTCCCGCCATAAAGAGGCTGCGGCTCTCTTTGGCAAAACCTCTGGCGACTTGATACATTCGACGGAAAATTCGAAAGTGCCTTTTAGTACATCCGGATGCTCATGCTTCAGGATGGAAGCGTTCTGCTTAATGAAGCTCTGGATAAGCTCGATGCATCCAACGGAGACCTCTGGCTCATTCCTTGGATGTTGGAGCGCTTGCATGATCCCTAGATCGTAATGGAGAAGGCGCTGTGCTTGTTTTTCAAAGTCACTTGATCCTTTATGGCAAGAGACCCAGCAACATGCTGTCTCCAACACGTAAGTTAACCGAGGCGTCTGCAGCGTAGTTCTCATCACATAGTCGACCGCAGCAGCTGCAGGCAGTACGAAAGGTCCTGGTCCCATTTCTTTGAACCCGGCCCGCAAAGTGTTGCAAGCGGACTCGATGATCTCGTCATTCGCAGGAAACACCTGGGTAAGGTAGCTGATGAAATTGATGACCTGGGTTTGTAGGTCCTTTCCGGGGCCTTGTGTCCAGAACGATGAGCCATTGTTCGTCCCATCCAAGTCGACAACACCGTCATCTGGAGCTTGAAGCGCTTTCCCGATGCAAGAGAGACACTTCAAAGCGGTCAAGGCAAATACTAACCCTTGCTCTGGATCATTCCCGTCTTTGGTGAGATTAAGAGCTTGCATCGCATCTTGAGCGATATACTGGAATAGGTGTTGTAGACCGGTCAATTGCTTTTCTTCGGATGATTCTGCCTGCACAATCGCCGCAATGCCTTCTAAGACTTTACTCTTCGTAGACTCCTCCGCAGTCGGATACGTAAGGAACTGGTCATACATTTGGAAGAATGACGGAAGCTCGCCGGTCAGCGTCTTCCTGCATTCCGAACACAGCGAAGCGAAGGACTTCGCAGCACCTTGGGCAAGCGATGGCTGAGCCAAAGCGCCGAGCAAGAACGGAAGAACTTGCGGCAAGAAGTGCGGTTTGCGCAAGAAGAAATGGTTGAACGCTGCGACAAGTTCGACTGCCGTCCTACGTGTTACAGCAGGGATGCCAGTATTCTCGGATATAGTCGTGAACACTGGTCGCTCAAATAGCCGACTGAGCTTGTCATCAACAGCAGTTAAGGCGTCAGCAACTGATATCAAGCAGAAGAGTCCTGCTTCAAGATCGAGCCACTGCTTTGTCTGTAGAGACTGTAAGGAAAAGTCGATGAATTGCTCGGTCAGCTCGTCCCGTAACAATTCAAAAGCCTCCATTGTGATGTCTCGAACGTCCATACGAAACACCTTGAAGGTCTTCTTAGAGTCTGAGTCCCAGGTTTTGGTGATCTCTGAAGGTGGATAGATAATCTTTTGCAGCAATTCAGCGATTGCTTGGAAGACATTGCTCCTTGCAACGACAAACCAGGGAGGGTGCTCCCCTTCTAAAAAGAGGAAAGACTCTTCGGCTATGGCGGAAATGTAAGTACTCCAGAAATCTAGCGTGAGCAGGGCCACCTCGTCCTCAACGCCAACCGGTTCTGGATACTTGAGTAATTCATGGAGAAAAGCTGATAACTAATTAGTAGCGGATCTCAAAACGAAACCGGGGTTATCGTGTCAAGGCTTACATGAGACTTGCTGATGATGAGGATTGTCAGGTTCTTGGTAGAGTTTCTTCGTCTCGACCAACTCGGTCCCGTAACCGACTATTATCCTCGCCAGCGAGACCGTCTCCGCGTCAAGATTCTTGAGGATGTCAAGACCCCATTGGCTCGTGATTATTACCCATAACATGTGCAGGTGTTTCTCTTCGAAGAATTTTGGGTAGCCCTCGAGTACATTGGCAATATGTTCCATAGCATCATCAACATGATATTCGAGGCAGGAGAAGGACAGCTCAGTGACTGAGCGAAGGTGCTTAAGCTTTTCAGGTACAGCTTTGAACTCAGACTGCGCGTAAAAGATCCAGCCCTGGACACGTCAGCATGTACATACTTAATGATAGGTCAAACCCACAAGGAAGCATTCGAAAGATGCGACGCATAATTTTTCTCCAACTTGTATCAGCCGCTCATGGTTTGGATCATTCGGCGGTGTTGACAAGTATTTGATGCCTCGTCCAAAAGCGACCTGCAACAGAACTTCTATGCTTTCAACGTTCGCTATCAGACGTTCGTGGGGCCTTCGGCTGAGGTGAGTCAGCGAGATTTCTTGCGCCTCATCATACACGCCTTACTCCGGGCTATTTGACAACCTCTTTGTCTCATCAGCAAGGTTCATTGCGAATTCCAGTAGCGTCAAAAGCTGCTCATCGGCCAGCGGAGGAAGAACATCCCAGGTCGAAGAGTGACTGTCGAGCGCATCATCCAGGATTGGCCGCTGCAAAGCGAACGAGAGTGTCAGACTTCGGATGCATTCCACCCATGATGAGATGGGCTTGGTGAAATATTGAGCAAGCGTCGAGCATAGTTTCCGGGTTGCGGTGGAGGAGCTTGGACGCGTCACAAGATGATACTTATGACAGTTAGCTGTATATGGCCATAAACTGGATAGAAGACGTACGATAAGCTTGGAAAGTAACTGCGCCGACTGTTCTTCGCTCAATCCTGCCCTACCTGGAGTCAATATGAAACGGAAAGATTTCGAAAATTTCAGAACTCTTACGAATCGGCATTTACTTTCACAGTAAGTGTTAGCGCCCCGAAGAACCGTACGTTCTCGTCAGTACTGTTCAGCAGAGCGTCGCCGATCTCCCAGCCCTGTGGGGACCTCTGCAACACACGTAGCGTAGCTTCCGTCTCGGGGATTTTCCTCGCATGGCCAGGGTCATACAAGGTCTTGACGAGTCCTTCGATGTCCGGCAGTGCCAACGGAAGCGCTTGCGCTTGCGGCGCTGCCATGATGGTGGGTTGTGGAGAAGCAGGTGGTCGTTCACTGAAAGATATTAGCGGATAGATCTGCTGACTGATTCTCTTGTTGTTAGTCCGCCTGGATTTCAAGTGCACCGAAACAGCCAGCTTCACTAGCTTCAAGTTGATTCGAGTGAACCCCGGATTGAGGTTGTCGTCCGTGTAAGGAATTATGACTCGCTAGGTGCGAAAGGACTAGTACGCAATCACATACCTCTAAACGAATTTTGTAACTTGGTTCGAAGATATATGCTGTAAAATTAGCAAGCCTAGAGAGTTGTTCCACGCTCTGACAGCGTCACAGAAAATATAACAAGGCTTTGCCTCAGTCCGTTCGTGGCTCTGGCGGGATGCATCTACCTGCCTACGTGCGCCGGCAGACCGGGAAGCGGATTAACAAGGGCCATAGGCATCGTCACAGCATCCAGGGTACGAATCCGCCAGCGGAGGGCGGTGCTGCGAAGCATTGGGTCGTCGTCGTGCTGGGTGGGATGGCTTGGCGAGGGCGAGGCTGTAGAAAGACGCTAGACTAGCTGGGCAGGTGCGACCAGTCGATGGGCTGCAGTCGCGGGGCAGGCGCATGCAGCTGCAATACTAGGACCCGCCGTGGGAAAGCCATTCATGCTGCTCTCGCGCCTCTTCCTGCGCACGCACGCGACTCCCGCAGCGTACGCAGCCAGTAGTCCGCCCTCTCACTGTCAAAGAGCCTTCCACGCTTCAGCCATCCGCCGTTTGCTCGAGATGGAAAAAGTGAACACCTCTGAGCGGCTCGCCGAGCTCCGCAAGCTCATGAAGGAGCACCAGATAGATGTCTACAGTAAAGTCATTCGTTCCGAAGATAGATTGCACCACTAATGAATCGACAGTGGTCCCTTCGGAAGACAGTCACCAGAGCGAGTACATTGCGCCTTGCGATGCACGCCGCGGTCTGTTTACCCCACAGCGCCCCTCCTCGCACATACTGAGACAACCTAGAGTACATAAGCGGATTTACGGGCTCTGCGGGCTATGCAGTGATCACTCAGGAGAAGGCCGCCCTGTCCACAGACGGACGCTACTTCAATCAAGCCGAGAAGCAGCTCGACAGCAATTGGGAGCTCCTCAAGCAAGGGTTACAAGATGTGCCCACGATTCAAGAGTGGACAGCGGATCAGGTTGCGGGGGGAAAGGTCGTGGGTGTCGATCCAACTGTCGTGACAGCGGGAGATGCTCGCAAGCTTGCCGACAAGATCAAGAAGAAAGGCGGCGACTACAAGGCAGTGGGAGAGAACCTCATTGATCTTGTGTGGGGCAAAGAGAGGCCGTCACGGCCGAACGAGAAAGTTATCGTGCAGCCGCTGCAATACTCGGGCAAAAGTTTTGCTGACAAGATTGCGGACATTCGGAAGGAGCTAGAGAAGAAGAAGAGTCTTGGGTTTGTCGCATCTATGCTGGATGAAATCGCGTGGTTATACAATCTGCGTGGCAGCGAGTATGATGCCCCTCTCTGAACATGATGCTCAGACTGACGATCTACAGTATCCCATACAACCCAGTTTTCTTTTCGTATGCTGTTGTCACCCCCACGCAAGCCATCCTGTACGTCGATGAAAGCAAGCTCACGCCGGAAGCGAAAGATCATCTGGGAGATAAGGTTACGATCAAGCCATACGAGGCCATCTTCAACGACCTCACGGCACTCAGTGCTGAAGCATTCGAGGCGAACGGGGACCCGGCAGAGAAGAAGAAGTTTTTGACATCCAATCGAGCCTCGTGGGCACTGAACAAGGCTCTTGGTGGCGAGGAGCGTGTGGATGAAGTTCGCAGCCCCATCGGAGATGCGAAGGCGGTGAAGAACGAGGTCGAGCTCGAAGGCATGCGCAAGTGTCACATTCGTGATGGCGCTGCACTGTCAGAATACTTTGCGTGGTTAGAAGACCAGCTCGTCAACAAGAAGGCTACTCTCGATGAGGTGGACGGAGGAGACAAGCTGGAGTCAATTCGCGGAAAGCACGATCTTTTTATGGGGTTGTCCTTCGACACAATATCCTCCACCGGACCCAATGCTGCGGTCATACATTACAAGCCCGAGAAGCCCCTGGCCTCAATAATTGATCCTAAGGCCATATATCTCTGCGACTCTGGCGCCCAGTATCAGGACGGTACCACGGATACCACCCGAACTCTCCACTTTGGCGAACCCACAGAAACCGAGAAGACGGCATACACACTAGTTCTGAAGGGCAATATCGCACTTGAGCGGGTGAAATTTCCCAAGGGGACCACTGGCTTTGCTCTCGATGTCTTGGCTAGGCAGTTCTTGTGGGCCGAAGGTCTCGACTACAGACATGGCACCGGCCACGGTGTTGGCTCCTTCCTGAACGTTCACGAGGGCCCCATTGGTATCGGCACCCGCGTCCAATACTCTGAGGTGTCTCTAGCTGTAGGCAACGTTGTGTCAAACGAGCCTGGGTACTACGAGGATGGTAAATTTGGCATTCGCATTGAAAACATGGTTATGGTCCAGGAAGTGGAGACGAAGCATAAATTCGGCGACAAGCCATACCTCGGTTTCGAGCGGGTGACTATGACACCCCATTGCCGGAAGCTCGTCGACACGAGCCTGTTGTCTGAAGATGAGAAGACTTTTATCAACGAGTACCACCAAGAGGTCTTCGACAAGACCAGCAAGTTCTTCGAGAACGACCCACTGAGTCTGGCATGGCTCAAGCGCGAGACCGCGCCTTATTAATCGCTATAGAACACAGCGCGCCCTTGTAGAACCTATACATGCGTTTGCGGCGTCTAGTCTTGCTTTTTGGTAGCATTGGCACCTGGGTTGATTTCTCGGCATCCCGCGGCTCAGCATGCATCATCTCGGCGTTGCATTCACTCCTCAGGTCCGGTTTCGCGACTAGTAAATATCACATATATCTATGATACCCTGTAGTCAGGTATTCGACTCACACCATGTCCTCGATCAGGCTAAAACAGTAATCCTCTGCTGCAAGGCCCACTCCGCCCCCGCTGTTCACGGTGATCGATGCACAAATTCTTGATAATCAACTCAAGCTACGGAGGATCACCAACAGTATATTCGTGCATCCAACCTAGCTGTCACACACACATTCAGAAATTGTTGGCCAAGCGGTGCGACAAGGCGCTTGCCAACAGCTCGCGAAGTAGTTCCCACTTCCTGATTGGGGCGTTCGGAGCGGCGCAATCGGAGCTCAAGCAAAGTTTCCGTCAGTAGCCATGGTGTGGGGTTGTAACCAACGGCGCGGGGCACCGGCTTCGCGGTCTCGCCTCTGGCGGGCAAGTGTTTATGCAGCTTCTTTTTTCTGCAATTGGTCTTGATTATGAGATTCCTTGACTCACATCCCTTCTCCGTACCTTCCCTTCTCTGTAGAATTACACCGACTCAATTGACTCACCCTCCATCTCGGTCCTCAGGTCTTTCACTTATTGTCTAGAGACGAAGAACCCCATCGCCACCCAATCATTCTACTGCAAAAGTCAAGAGTCAATCGAACGAAGCAATGCCTACAGAACTGCCTACCTCGAACGGTCACACTGCCCAGGATGGCGAGAACAATTTCGCTGTTAAGGCAGGATTGGCGAGAATGTTGAAGGGTGGAGTCATTATGGACGTCGTCAACGCTGAACAGGTACGTCATTGGAAGCTTTCGTGGTAATTGGAGTCGCCAGATCATGAGAGGTTTCGTGAACTAATGCGAACGGTTCTGACAGTGAGATTAGGCACGCATAGCAGAAGAGGCCGGTGCATCCGCCGTCATGGCCCTTGAGCGCGTTCCCGCAGACATTCGAGCCCAGGGCGGCGTAGCACGCATGAGCGACCCCAAGATGATCAAGGAGATCATGGAGACCGTCACGATACCCGTCATGGCCAAGGCACGGATTGGCCACTTTGTCGAGTGCCAGGTACGGCCTTTACTCTTCCTCGCCCTCCCTCGGCTCAACGGATTTCGACCTCCGTTGCCCCTAAGCATGGCTCACTATACTAACACTCTGAACCCAGATTCTCGAAGCCCTCGGCGTAGACTACATCGACGAATCCGAAGTCCTCACACCCGCTGACGCCATCCACCACGTCGACAAGCACCCCTACAAGATCCCCTTCGTCTGCGGCTGCCGTAACCTCGGCGAGGCCCTGCGCCGCGTCTCCGAAGGCGCCGCCATGATCCGCACAAAAGGCGAGGCCGGCACTGGCGACGTCATCGAAGCTGTCCGCCATATGCGCCAGGTGAACTCGGACATCCAGCGCGCTCAAGCAATGTCCTCGACCGAACTCTATACCTACGCGAAGGAGCTTGGCGTAGACTACAATTTGCTGAAAGAGACGGCGAAGCTGGGTAGGCTGCCGGTGGTAAACTTTGCCGCCGGCGGTGTTGCGACGCCGGCGGATGCGGCGCTGATGATGCAGCTTGGCTGTGATGGTGTGTTTGTGGGTAGCGGTATTTTCAAAAGCGGAGATGCGGCGAAGAGGGCGAAGGCCATTGTGCAGGCTGTGACGCACTACAACGACCCGAAGGTGCTAATGGAGGTGTCTATGGACCTGGGAGAGGCGATGGTGGGCATTAATTGTGGCGATTTAGGTGAGAAGGAGAAGCTCGCGAAGAGAGGGTGGTAGAACGTTGTTGCATTGTATGAAGGGCGTGCGGTGGTCATCGTGCGATAGATTTTGTGTATTGGATCATGATGTGTCTGTGTCATAGCAAGGCGTAAGTAGCAAAAGCGAGGAACTCTGCTTAATGTCGCAGAACCGAGCCACGTCTTACCCGTGCAAGCTTAAGCGACCCATAGGGTATTTGCTGCAAGCTGTCGATTGGGTCATGTCACTAATTCTTTCGTCTCAGGTCTGTCATGCATGTACTTCGCGAACATGTACAGGCATAGAATCACAGGTGGTCGAGAACCTGGCTTTTGAACAATACTTCTATGGCGGACGACTACCAATAGCTCATACTTCATTTACATGACCATGCGCGTCTGCGACCTAAGACCATCCATTCGCAGACCGCCTTTTGTGACACATGCCACCGTAGAAGCCTGATAAGTTGCAGGCAGATCAAACAATGAAAACGAACCCCTTGAACACCGGCAATGTCATAATCATTTCCTTCTATCCACAGATATAAGGCGTGGAAAGAATAACGTGGGAGCCGTGGCGTCGGGGCGTGTCGAGATCGAAGGAAAACCAAGAGAGACGCGGGGATAAGGAAGCCGCTTAGCGGTCTTCAGCCCACTCGTTCTCGCGGCGGATCTGATCCTCCTCCTCAGGCGTGAAGTCGTTCTGAATGTTGAACGTCTTTCGGATCTCGTCGGGCGACTTGCCCTTGATCATATTGGCGACGGTCTTGCAGCCGACGTCAAGGAGGGCCTTGATGTCGAGGTAGTTCGCGGCCTAAATCTAGGTTAGTATGCTGTACATCATATCGCGAATTGCGGGGCTGGGTACGTACCAAGATGATCTCGAAGAGCATCTCCTGATCAACCTGCATGAACTTCTGGTCCCACTCGTCGATGTCGGTTGACTTCTTGCGGGAGTCAGAGTCGTCGTCCTGGGAAGCCGGAGGGTCCTTGCGGTGATGCTCGCACCACTCGAGGACCTTCTTCATGACAGCCTCGTTGACCTATGCGCTGTTAGCCGGTACTCTATGGTATAAAAGGCGATGACGAGTACGTACGTTCGGGATGGGAATAGCCTCATCATTGTCAACACCGAGATCCTCCAACAAGTTCTTGATCAAGATGGAACGCTCGGCGACGTCGCGGTCGACGGGAATCTCAGCGTTGTCGGAGGTGGTGAGCTTGATGCGGTTGTCGTTGGCGGCGGGAGCAGCGGAAGCAGACATGTTGGCTGTTGTATGTGTATGACTGGAAGTTACTGTAAGGTTGTCGTGTAGTAGGCCGAAGCGGGGTCGCGGCGAGGTTGCAGTAGCGTCGAGTCGAATACTGTGCGTGTGTTGAGGGAAGCTTTCGCAGAGGCGAGCGGCGGGGGATTATATACCGGAGCAGGAACTCGACAAATGGTTTGCGCAGGTCGGTGCGGTGGTTGAGTGAAGGCAGAAAGGTGACAATCCACGGCTGCGCCTTCAAAGCGGCGTTGTTCAGGCCCCAGCCCACCGAATAGGAAAGGCGCAAGGCTGCCGTTTCCTTGTCCACGCCGAGTCAAGCAGTTGCTCACTTGGTCAACTTCACGCAAAGTGCTTTGTCTGCCTGTCCTTCTTTCACTTGCAAAACCTTCCAGCTGGACCTAAAATTTCGTGCTGGGCATGCGCATCTGTGGTAGGCCGATTGCGCAGTCAACTTTCGCATTGCGGGCGAGCAGCTGGTATTCTTTCGGCCAACAACCGCAACTTCCGCGCGTGAGAACCAAGGGCGCACTGCTTCCACACTCAAGGGCGGGGCGCTGAAGAGAATTCATGCTGCCGACTGAGACAACACAAACTTAAGCTACTGTTTGTTAGAGTCGTTCTCTTTATCTGTTCCCCACTCCCCTTGCCGTGCCAATAACACATTCCTCCAAGTAGAGAAAGACTATACGCGCATCCGACTTGAGCTGTCCACGTGAACAGTCATCGGTTGCCGCCTCTGAGCATACGATCCCAGTTGTCGAGCGACGTGGGCAATCTAACACGTCTCGTTCGTACGAATGGTACATAGCAAGGAACAGCGTATCATAAACAGGTTTGTAACTTTGCAGGCAAAAGGAGTAGAGCTCTTTTCAGAGCCCACCAGCAGAGCAGTGCCCTGCTCATTCCTCGCGATGCTGAATCAGCCACAGCGGCGCGAAAGGTATGTCCGGTTCGAGCGCGACAACTGTTTTCGGCCGCAGTATGCACGGTTATCGCGGTTAGCTCTATATTTGTTTCAGCATGTAAATAATCGACATTCACCCCGACGCTGACGTGGTGCGGATCGGGTGCTTTTTGGCTATCCCCCCCTATCCAGTCCACATGGTCGTAGCACCGAACCGTTTGAATTGATCACGCTTAATAACTCCACCACCTGTTCGCTGGCCTTGCCTGCGACACAGAATCGCCCGCCGCGAACAGACATGCCCCAGAGCACACTCTTCCCATCGCACCTACCGCAGGCACCATGTGGCGCAGGACCTACTTCCTGCTGATTCTCGTGCGCATCTACTTTGCCCTGTCGCCGAGCTATCTGCACCCGGATGAGAACTTTCAAGGTCCTGAGGTAGTCGCAGGTATGCTATGGTCTACATGGAAGCCTTCCACAAACCTCGACTGACACTCGACGCGCAGGTCGCGTCTTCTCGTATCCGGTACACGAAACTTGGGAGTTCACGTCGGCGAATCCCATCCGCAGCACCTTCCCGCTATGGCTCGCATACGGCTGGCCCATGTATATACTGCGTTGGCTCTGGGAGGGCTTCGGATATGGGGAAGTCTCGCCGTCTGTCGTCTACTGGACGCTGCGTGTGCTGATGCTCTCGCTGAGCGTTGTTCTTGAAGACTGGGCAATACAAGAATTGGTGCAGTCGCGGCGCGCCCGACGCGTCGCTTTGCTGCTGATAGCTTCGTCGTACGTGACGTGGACATTCCAGACGCACACCTTCTCGAATAGCCTGGAGACGCTCGTTGTCAGCTGGAGCTTGGTGTTAATCCAGCGCATTGTGGAAGACAAGGTATGCCCGAGCCTCGGAATGCATTCCGGATCTGCGCGCATGCAGCTAACGATCCGCAGAAGCGCTCCGGCATCTTAGCTTCATCATTGCTGGGCTTCTTTGTTGTCGCAGGCACCTTTAACCGTATCACCTTTCCCGCCTTCCTGGTCGTGCCATCCTTCAGCCTGCTGCCTCACTTCTGGAGAAAGTCAGTAGTCGTCTGCCCGTCGCGAACAGCGATCATACATTGCTAACACGTCATAGACCATTTTCACTTATATTCATAATCCTCTTTGCGACCTTGACAGCGTTCCTTGCGATAAGTGTCGACACGGCATTCTATACCCCAGGCGACTTGACATTTGCAAGTGTGCTACATAATCCGGTCATTACGCCACTCAACAATTTCCTATACAATTCTGACTATGCGAATCTGGCCCAGCATGGCCTCCATCCTTACTACCAGCATTTCCTTGTCAATCTCCCCCAGCTACTTGGTCCGGCTACCGCTCTTCTCTTCCTTATCAACCGTTCACAGATCACCATGAGCTTGGTCTCCGCAATCTCTGGCATCGCCCTCCTCAGCATCTTTCCACACCAGGAAGCTCGGTTCTTACTTCCTGCTGTTCCGCTGATACTTGCGTCTGTCTCTCTCCCGAGGGTTCAAAGGAGGTTTTGGATATCAGCTTGGGTTCTGTTCAACGTTGTCCTCGGTGTCCTAATGGGCATTTACCACCAGGGTGGAATTGTACCTGCACAAATGTACATCGCAAAGACGAACGAGACAGTCAGTCATGCGTTTTGGTGGAAAACATATAGCCCTCCCATCTGGCTTCTGAACGGCAAGAACGAGGAACTGAAGACCATCGATCTAATGGGTATGCCCGGAGACGAGATGCTCGAACAGGTGGGCACCGCTCTCCCAACCTGCCGCACTCGTAGACCCCCAAAACTCGTGGACAGAGCAGCAGTCTATCTCGTCGCACCACGATCGACCGACTTCCTGCATCCATACTACGATCTCAGCGAACAACAGGATATCTCCCTTAAAGAAGTCTGGAGCTACCGACGACATCTTAATCTTGACGACATGGACATACCCAAAGACGGGTTTTGGAAGACTATGGGCCGTGTTATTGGCGACCGCGGACTGGTCGTCTGGCGCGTGACGAGGAACTGCTGGTCCAAGCAGTCGTCATCCAGCCCCTAACCATTTCTTATTTGCATCATAGGCGCACTGGATCGGATTTAGACGAATGGGCGCGAGCTTAAATTCTGGCATGGATTGCTTTTCGGCTCTTGATACCCTCTTGCACATAGGCTTTGTAATACCAATTTATCTGGGGTTTGTGGACATTTGTAAATACGTTTAGATCTATCTCTAACTATTTGTAACGGTATCGTGGGTCTGCTTCATGCGTGCGAGACTGAGATTGGAAACGCTCTGGACAAGGCCTTGCAGGGACTTTGGTTAAGGCTGGAGCCTTGCGCTGGACCTGCCCGGCATTCTCCATCAAATTTACAGTCAATTTTCTTTATTTATTTCTACATATTAGGACAAAATGTTCAACTAGAAGTCCCTCCAGTGGCGGAAGATGCAGATTTGCGGTCTTGATGCTGAGCGTTTTCCTTGTCTAACGCAATCGGGGTGAACAGCGGGAGCGACTCACCGCCCCCAGCCATCGACAAATTCCGAATCGGTCACAAATCCGTGGTCGGCACCAATATAAATCTCTTTACAAACGAGAAAACTAACGTGGGTAGAGCTTTAAGGGTATCATCTGCTGCACAATATGACGCGTGCAACAAGAAAGTGCCATACCCGGGAGCAGTGCCGTGCGAGAATCTCCACTACGGTGCTACACCCCAGGATAGGCAATACTAATTCCACTCTTTTGACTTGGTACATACATTAGCGCCCGCGACACGTGCTCATCGCTTCGACCTCTTCTAGCCTTCGTATCTGACCTTTGTACCACCATCTGTACACCAACCCAGATTTTACGGTTCACACCGCCGCCGTGCACTGCATCGTGCACCTTGGCTGCGCGACAGTGCAGGGGCTATGGACGATGCCTACAGCGACGAGCTTCTCGCGCAACTCCGCAGGAGGTCGACATTTGGCGCGTTCGTCAGTAGGAGTGAATTCCAATCGAGGAGCAGTTCGTCGGGAGGAGACAGTCTGGATAGGTCAGAGACAGTACGTACACAGTCGCAATTCAAGATGTATCCTGCACAAGGTTGACAAGTATGCAGCTACCCAGCAAGCAGCTCCGCGACGAAGTCGGTAATACAGCGCCGCACTTGTTCAGCGAGTATCCGGAATATGCCCCTTCAGTGCAGGCAATTCTTGAGACAGAAATGCCGGCCGTGCAGAAGATCTCTAAAATTGCAGCGGAGATTCTGCGCACGGACGGATCTCCAGATCCCACCGTGCAGATTCTGGGCAAGGCAAGCATTAAAGAAGAGCACACCTTCAGCGATGACCCAGAACATACGGCGGAAACCCCAGAGATTTCTGAGGTAGAAGCGGTACCAGAGTGCACAAACGAACCTGAAGAATCGGATGTTGAAGGTTCGGATATCCTCTCTGCTGACGAAACGCTCGAAGACCTAAAAGGTGCGCCGAAAGAGCCGGAGACCGATGGCATAGATTCGAAAGTTGATGACCTCAATAAAGCCAAAATTAAAGAGAAGGACGCCTCTAGCGACTGCCCCAAACTTGTGCCAGACGAGTCGGGGACTTCTGATATAGCAACGCCGGTGGTACAGGAGGACTTTGAGCAAGACGCCGACGCTGGAGCCACGGTCGATCGGACAAATCCTAACATTGAAAATCCAGATAACGCTATTGTGGAAGAAACGCATATGTCAGGTCGAAAGCCGACTCATGATCAAGAACCAACTACAGACCTGTCACCCACTTCAGACCAGGATCCAACTTTAGACCAGGATCCAACTTCAGACCTGGAATCAAGTTCAAAACTGGAATCAACTCCAGAACAAGATACCGCTCTAGACCAACATCCAGCTACATTTCAAGAATTGGCCCAATATCAGGAATCCTCTCCAGATCGAGAAACCACTTCAGATTCAAAATTCACTTCGAATCAAGAATTCACGCTAAATCAAGTTTTCACCTTGATTGAAGAACTTACTTCGATACAAGAATCAGTTACAAGCCAAGAACCTACTCCGAGTCAGGAATTAGTAACAAACCATGGACCAAACCCGGATGTAGAATCAGCCTTAGATCAGAGGCGGTTCCCAGATCATGACCCCACTCCAGATTCTGAATCAGGTTCAGATCTTGAACCAATGCCTGATCAAGCATCCGCCATATATCACAAGCCAACTCTAGATGAGTCCTATGAGTCAGTGCCCGAGCGAGAGCACACAAGCGAGTCTCTACATTCAGACATTGCTGCTTCCCATGAAGTCATTGCTGAGACAATGCGTACTCCAGACCGGAGAACGACACCAATCCGTACGCCGAGTTCAGATCGAAGGCCGACTCTAGATCGGACACCACATTCAGCTCGAACTTCAACCTCAACTCGTAGCCTGAATTCAGAGCGAAGGCCAACTCCAGACCGACGGCGTACCATAGATACTCCACCACGTCCTCCAGTCACCCCTAAGGCATGGGTATCACGAGCTAGTTTTGCTGGAGAAACAATTTCTTCAATGCTCAAAAAGAGGGATTCTAATGCATCTTCAAGGTCACCTTCTAGCGCATCTATTAGATCATCTGCAAGCACGCTCTCAAGAGCGCCTTCAAGCGCTTCCATAAGATCGTTCATGAACTCGCCATCCAGGATACCATCAAGAGCATCATCAAGTGCTTCTTTCACCTCGATTCCGAACACACCTCAAACGCCATCGAGAATACCATCAAGAACGCCTTCACAGGCGTCTTTGAGATCTTCTGCAAACGCAAATGTGCGCCCAGGCATACATTCAAGAACACCCTCAAGTGTGTCCATGGACATGCACTCAAGACCGCCTTCTATCACGTCTTTGATATCACCAACGGCATTTGCAGAAGCACCCTCCAGAACACCTTCGAGGATACCTGTCTTGCCACCTGCGATACCGCTTATGACTAGGTCCGCGACAACGCCTACAGCTACGTCTGCAAGGCCACGATTGTCCACCCCCGCAAAGTCGTCCCGAACGAGTGCAAAAGCAGATAAATGAAACTTTTCTGAGATTTTCTGTAGATTCAGCGCGATACCCCTTAGATTTCGATGAACCTTGCCAATCATGTATAACGAATGATGTTGTAATATAGTAATTTGAATCTTCATGTCACAAGTGATAGCTTGTGCTCTGACGTATGGGTTGTTTCACGAGGGCACAGATACAGAGCTCTATGCTCTTCAAGTCCACAAGCGCATGCGTAGAAAGGCGTTTCCTCGTTCTCGTAAACCACATATTCCACACACGCCCACGCGAATCATGGAGTGTGCTCATACGCACTGAATCGTATGCATACAACAGAGCTCTGTTTGCAAAGGCGATACTATACGTCTGCCTATAGCAGAGCCGGAAATTCCTTACCAGCTACGAAAGGCACCCCATGTTTCCTGCGTCAAAGCAGCTCAACTCCCCAAACGCCACTCATGCCTAATTTGATGTTCGTACACAGTTCGATGCTCCGAACTCATGCGTTACTCGGCCCACCCCCTCCACTCTTTGGATCAAGCAAGAGATGCGGCTTCAAAAACCCATCGTCAATCTGCTTAAACGCATTCGCCGGGTCCTGACTGATATCGCTAATGAGCTGCTTCACCGCGCCCGTCGCCGTTGCCACTCTACTGCTCCCGTCCGCACCGCCGCTCGTCGCAGGCCTGGTGCTGCCTGACGTCGGGTACGGCGCCTCCGGTGTAAGCGGCGAGGCCGCGCGATTCGGTGATCTCCGCGCGCTGGGCGGCAGGTCAAGATCGTTGTCGTCGTCGGAAGAAAGGGAGCCGGTGTCGACGGGGCTGAGAAGGCCCTGGTCTGCGCCGTCTTTGTGGCGGGGTTTACTACTGCCTCTCCTGCTCGAAAGGGTAGGACGATTGGGCGGAGTGTGCCCGCTGCTACTGCTATACGCGCCCTCCCCTCCATCAACACTCGAAAGCGCGAACCCGTTTTGACTCGGCCGCGGCGTGTGGCCAAATCCTTGCCCCCGATTTTTAGAGTACGTCCCACCATTTATGGCCTCAATGTCGAATTCGTCGTCGGAGTCTATCTCTTCGACCACGCCAGTGCGAATGCCGAGGATCTCGAGCATGCGCGCTGTGGTGCCGCCAAATATGATAACAGTGAGGACAACGACGATGAGGACGGTTGCGCGGAGAGTGTCTGCATTGGGGCCGGAGAGGCCTGCGGCGAGGGCAACGCCGACAGCGCCGCGGAGACCGGCCCAGTACATCATTACCTGATGCGAGTAAGGGAGTTCTTCTCCCGTGTCAGGGGCGCCATGGCGTCTGCTCCTGTACCTGCTTACGGCGTTGACTACTTTAGCGAGCGGGAAGACTGCGGCCCAGCGGGCTGCACAGATTCCGATGACAGTGATGAGTATGAAGAGGGGCTTGTAGTCGTCATAGCTGAATAGGGAGATACCGAGGTAGATGAAGATGAAGTTCTCAGAAAGTTGCGCCGTGGTTTGGAAGACGAACTTCGTCGTCAATTGGGTGCGGCGGGACATGTTGTGGTAGGCGTAGTGTTTCATGCAGATCCCGCAGAAAAGCAGACTCACAATGCCTAACTTGGATCAGCATTTGAAAATAAGCCCCAAGGAGGTGGACTTACCGGACATGTGTATGGCATTGGAGAAAAAGTACGTCAAGTAAGCTATGAGGATGATGAGACAGCTTTCCGTCTTCGGGAAGCGTCTGATGTATGTAAATTTGAGGGTCAGAGAGGCGGCGATGCCCACCATGACTCCGATGAACAAACTTCCAAAGAAGACACCGAAGAAGATACCAATAGCTTCGAACAGGCTTAGGAAGCCAAGCTTCTCAGCTCCGTCCTTGTACTTCTGCGCCGTCTCGAACAAGACGATTGCGATGGCATCGTTCAAGATCGATTCGCCAAAGATGATGGTGTACAGTTTCGGCTCGACTTTATACGTGTTGAAAATTGCGAGGATGGTAACGGGGTCCGTGGCCGAGAGTGTCGCGCCAACGGACATGGCCTCAACGAAGTTGATCTTAAAGCCATCTAATGGTATTCTTGTCCACAAAAACAGTATGACACCCAGTACTACGGCGGATATGAAGGTACCGGCGAAGGCAAAGGTGAGGATGGTGCTAATGTGGCGGAAGAAGTTGCCCTGCCGTGGTCAGTCATTGGCGCACTGTGGAGCACGTGAAGCATACTTGGTGCAGCTCATATCCAGAGGACAAGATGATGGGTGGCAGCAGAAGATTGAAGAACATCTGGTAGTCGAAGCTCACAGTCTCCCGGACCGACGCCACAGCTGTCAACCGCAGGATCAGGCCGACGAACATTCCAGCGAAGATGGATAATACAGTCTCGTGTACGGCCTGTATTTTCCGCGTCTGCAGGATGTAGCTTGTGAACAGGGCGATGATGAGCAGGGAGATCAGAATGGAGAGTCCCCATGATGTGAATATCTCCTTCTGGCCTGCCTCGGGGGCCTCTGTCGGCGTGTTAGAGATAAGACGAAAACCGAGGGAGGGAAGGGCATCTGACCACCATCGGGGTCTGCGTCGGTCGTCTCTCGCTCTGTATGTGTGTCAGTTTCCATGCACATGCCGCAGTATTGCTACTGTAGGTTGGAGCGCATACTGAGCAGCTCGTTGACAACCCATCCCACTGCTGCGGAGGCCATGTTGGGCTCTCAGGAAAGCGGCGCTATCATGGAAGACGTTGGTCGTTCGCGCAGAGAGGAGAGGTGGCTGTTCGGAGCGGCACAACGCAGGGCAGCAACTGAGCTGCAGCCTTGGGTGCTTTGGTGTCCGGTGTAACGTGCCACGCCGCCGAGCGCGATCTCGAGACCGGGGCTGCTGCGTGCGGGAAGGACTGCGGGTGCTCGTGTGCGAGGAGGCTTGAAACGGTGCCTGGCTGTATGTGTGCTGGTATCTGGTGATTTCTCCACGCGCTCAGTAGCTGCGGCGTCGCAACACGAGCCGACGTCTCGAAAAGCCACGTTCTCCCGTTGCAGCTAGCGTCCTGGCAGGGATGCGCGCGTCTACTGTGTAGTCCAATGTGCCCCGGAGCCGCGCCGCGCCAACGTCATCGCTGGTAAACTCGCCGTGGGCGCCTGCATGACCTTTCACCGCCGGCTCCAGCATCTTCTTCACTAGCCTAGCCTAGAGTTCTCTGCATCCTGCTACGCATAACTGACCGCCCCACTCCCGCTGACCTCATTGTCTTGCAGCCGTCTTTTTCTCCATCCTACACCCTGCTACTCAGTCCAGTCGTTCGTTCCCAACCTCCGCATCCACGCCTCCTCCCCGTGACCTTTTGTGGCCGCCATAACATGGCATTTTTGTTTCTGTGCCCACACTCGTACTCCCTTAGCTAGCGCCGCATCTCACACAACACGCCACTGTATTGCCCGTTTGTTCGTTTACCTCGCCGCCAGCCGTGCGCGAACCATCGCCATCTGCCACCACGACAACACCTGCACAGCACGCCGGACCCGCACAGCGTCCGCCCAAGTCACCATGCCGCCCAAGCGTCCAACCCTCGTGTCCTCATCGACGAACTCGCCGCATTCGTCGCTTGCCTCTCCTCTCTTCCCTCCGCGACCCCGCCTAGACACAGATGCCCGCAAGAACGTCTCCTTCCGCCGCAATTCAAACGATCCACCCATGGAGCAGATTATCACTGAAACCTCGCCGTTGATGCGGCCGCGGTTGTCAGAAGATATCGACGACCTACACAAGGTCGTCTCTCCCATCGATAGTGAAGATTGGCAGGGTGACTACGACCAGGATGAGACCAAGAGCAGTTTCTTTCTGTTCTTGCTGACTCTAGGGGGCCTTGGTCTGCAGATCGGTTGGTCTGTCGAGACGTCCAATGGCTCGGTAAGTGGGACTTCGAGGTTGGTAGACAGAACGAGCGAGCTGACAGTACCAGCCATACCTACTATCTCTCGGCCTCAGCAAGTCTATGCTTGCGCTCGTATGGATCGCTGGTCCTCTGTCAGGTGCATTGGTTCAACCGTATGTTGGAATGAAGAGCGACAACTGCCGCATAAAGTGGGGCAAGAGACGACCCTTCATTGTGGGCGGTGCAGCTGCTACCATCGTCTCCTTGATGGTGTTAGCTTGGGCTGCTGAAATAGTCGGTGGGTTTCTCGGCATCTTTGGCGCCAACCGCGAGGGTCAATTCGTGAAGACAAGCATCATGCTCTTCGCCGTGTTGTTCGTATACGTGCTGGACTTCGCTATCAACGTCAGTAAGTGCGCAGGCTATCTCGTTCTAATCCTAACGTATCGGAGCTAACAGCAAATCAGTCCAAGCTGGGATTCGAGCATACATTGTCGACGTCGCCCCAACCCACCAACAAGAAGCCGCAAACGCCTGGATGATTCGGGCTTCTGGCATAGGCAACATCCTAGGCTATCTCGCTGGAAAAGCCGACCTTCCTAAATACTTTCCGTTCTTCGGCTCCACTCAATTCAAGGTGCTTTGCGCCATTGCGTGCATCATCATGGCCATCACTGTCGGTATAAGCTGCGTCACGGTATCGGAACGAGACCCCAGCTTCGAAGGACCTCCGACTTCTCATGAAGGCCTCCTTAATTTCTTCACATCCCTCGCTCGCAGTATACGCTCGTTACCTCTGCAGATCAAAAGAGTCTGCGAAGTCCAGTTCTTGGCCTGGATCGGCTGGTTTCCCTTCTTGTTTTATATCACGACATACATTGGTGACCTCTACTTCGACCAAGAATACGAGAAGAACCCAAATATGACCGACGAGCAAATCACTGACGTGTTAGAAGAAGGCACACGCGTTGGAACAGGTGCTCTTCTGATCTTCGCCATCACAACTTTCGCCGCCTCCGTCTTCCTCCCGTTCATCATTCCTCCCACATACACCGCGCCCAAAGAAGCAGGCGGCGCGACAACACCTATGACGCCCATGACCCCTGGAACACCCGGTGGACTAGCAGGTTCCGGCTACTTTTCGCTCAAGGAAACCAGCCGAAGCTCCCGGCATGCTAAGACTTTGTCGGCACGTCTCGCTGAGTACAGCAACATCTTACAAATTCAAAGCCTTACACTGCGCCGCGGTTGGTTCATCTCGCATCTGATGTTCGCCGCCCTTATGGCCGCTACCTTTTTCGTTCGCGGCACAACCTCGGCAACCATACTGGTAGGCCTCATCGGCATCCCCTGGGCACTCACAAACTGGGCACCCTTTGCGCTTCTCTCCTCCGAGATCTCCAAGCGCGATGCTATGCGCCGCGGTCTCCTCCGCCCGGATCCAAGCGACCGCGAAGCCTCCCGCATCGCTTCCGGTGAAGACGACGCTGCGGAAACTGGGGCTGATCAGGCAGGTGTCATTCTGGGCATTCACAACGTGGCTATTGCGGCGCCACAGGTCATCGCTACGCTGTTCAGCTCGATTATATTTAGGCTCTTGCAGAAGCCGAGAGGGACCCCGGGCGATAACAGCGTTGCGTGGGTGCTGAGATTCGGGGGGTGCTGTGCGCTTGTTGCTGCGTGGCTTACGCTGAGGGTGGCGGAAGAAAAGGAGGATCCCGAGACGGTTATCTCGAGGCGAAGGCGTCCGTCTTGAGGCAAACACTATATCCAATGATCTCCAAATGAGAAGCGTTCATCATGAGGACATGAGGAAGTCAGGGTTGGAATGTCGGTTGGAGTTGGTACCTGGAATTCTTCCCTGCATTGACGCGCGTATGGATATACACAGGGCTTGCGCGGGCCTAGGCCTCTTTCACGGCGTTGCGAGTACGTATGTATATATCTGTGTTAGCGGTTCGGTTTGGGCAAGCTTTTCTTTTGGATATAGCATGGCAAGCAAGGCGTTACATGTAGATATCACCCTCTCTTAGCGAAAGTGGCATGACTGAATGGAATTGAGCTACGGTCACGACAGTCCATGAGAGTTTCTTCCTCTAATTTGGCTTTTGTGTGTTGTATGATATTGTGCATTGATGGAAGGAATTCCGCAGACAGAAAAAGCTCGCAACATGGCGCCGGCAGACACAAATTGCCAGCAAACTACGCAGAGGTACGATGGGCGAACAGAATATGCCCTAGCCCTAGCACCATCTCTACATCTGCAGATCGACCCCACTGAACTCCACTTCAACTCGTTCAGATCACACCGCCACCGAGCCCTCCAATACCGACAATGACGTGCGGCCCACGCGTTCGCTTCGCTTCCCTCACCCAACCTCCTCCTGCCCCGCCTATGGACTTTCTTCTCCCCGTTTGCTGTGCCGTCCCACCGTACGCTAGCCATGTCGTGCTTATGTTAGCGTCTACAACAGACCATGTGATGACTTCGCTTTTGTTGGTAGGTGAACGGTGCTGCAGTGCGTGACGTCAGGCAGGAAGCCTTACGTTACGGATACAATGTACTGAATGTGGTCCGCGGATGTTGAGCAGCACTGCCACAGAAAGGTTTATGTCACCTGTCACTGGGACTAACACTAGCATCGGACGATGCCGCACCTAGAGACCCACGCATGAAGAGTTAAGCTCGTGACATGCAGATGCATTCCATTCCATTCGAATCGAAACTATATCCGTATCGCATCCCGGCCTAAAGCCGTGCAATCCGTTCGGCTCTAAAGCCTCATCAGCATCAGCCTCCGCCAAAACCACATCAATCGTATCCGAAAATGTTTCCAGTGTAGAAGGGATCAAAACACCCCTTGCGCCCGACCCAGTGAAAGAGTCGTCCCACATCTAAGGGCGACTCGGATATGTGGGTGACAAGGAAACGAAAATACCGCGCGCGCCCCGTGTAGCCAGCCAAAACAGAATTATACAGCTTGGAAAAGACATCGGGAGAAAAGGGGGAAGAGGCGTGCAAGTCGCGGGTGCTAGAGGCTGGTGGAGGTCTTGCATGCAGGAAGGTGACAGCTAGATAAGTCAAGCCATGCAACTGGAAAGTCTATGACAATGTACAGAACCTTTCAAATCTGCTAAAGTTAGTGACCATCGACTTTATTTGTCAGGACGTGTACATACACTTGAGTCGCTCATATCGCGCGAGGTGTGCCGACAGCGCTGGGAAGACCTGTGCTCGGTCCTCCATTCACCGAGCTGTCGTCCCTATCGTTAAAGCTTTGCCACTCGGGATAGTCTATGGTAGCCTCGGCCAACTTTGCATCCAGCGTCGCCTCGATCAAGTTTGCGTCTTTGTAAAGCAGACTCTGATCCTCATTGTACGTTCGGCAGTTATTGCAGAGGAGAGCAATGTCTGCACGGAAGTGCTTGAGGGATTGGTACTCCTTCTTGTTGATCTTCTTCTTGATCATCTGCATGCAGATTGGATTCTTGATGAGCTGATAATAATCGGGGTAGTCGTACTTGTCGGGGAGCTCGATGAACGGGTCGATGATGCCGCGAGGCGGAAGATCTGGCTCATTAGGGTCCGTGACCTCTAGATCATTCAGGGCTTCGTAGGCTTCGTTGACGATCTTCTGAAGTGCGGTCCGCTGCTCGAGGTTGAGCGTCTCTGCCACCTTAGGAGCTGGTCGGCCGCGCTTGCGAGGGCCAGGGTCTCCGTCCAAAGAGGCCTCATCGGCCTTGCGCTTCACCTCCTTGGGCTTCCTGCCGCGCTTCTTGGGCTGTGGCTCCTCGGATTCCTCGCGTGAAGGTGCTGGCGAGTCGCCGACGTCCCCGCCTATGCGTATCTGCTTGTTCTTCGAGCGCTTGGCGATCTTAGCTTCCTTGCGCGCAACAGCTGCGTCGATATCATCTTCAGAGTTATCGACCGCTTCAAGCCACTGCTCCTCTGTGAGACCATCGTCATATTTGACCCGTGTTCGCTCGCGAGCACCTCGTCCCACTGGGACCTCTTCAACAGGCTCTGGAACGGCGTTGTCGTCCTGAAGCCAGATGTCGGGCAGCTCAGACTCGCTCAGAAGGCGTGGGAACTTCTTTCCTGGGCCGTAAAGATCGTTTGCTGCACGGTCTCTGTCCATCTTTTGAAATAGTTCCAGTTCACCCTCGTTTCGCTGCATGATTACATTGAGATCGTCGTCATCCATCTCATCCTGCTCCATGTTCTCCACTGCCTCTGCAGAATCCAACATGATACGCAACATCGCGTCACGTTCAGTTTCTGTAGACCTGTTATCGAATTTACCAGCTTGAATGACTTTGCCATCCATGTCCAACTTGTAGTTTGCTCGCTCAAGAATCTTTTCCTCGACCGAGTTGGTTGTGATAAGGCGAAGAATGCGAACCTCGTTCTTCTGACCGATACGATGCGCACGATCCTGGGCCTGCAAATCCTGATGAGGATTCCAGTCGGAGTCGAAGATAATGACAGTATCGGCGGTCTGTAAATTAAGACCAAGACCTCCTGCACGGGTAGAGAGGAGGAAACAGAAGTACGGTGAATTTGGCGCGTTGAAGTCCTTGAGAAGATCGGACCGGTCGTCGGCCTTTGTTGATCCGTCAAGACGCATATATTGCATTCCTCGTAACCGCAGGAAATCTTCCATGATGTTCATGATCTGGGTCATCTGGAAGAACATGAGAACACGGTGACCGCTAGCTTTGAACTTGGGCAAGATTCGGTCCAGCAGCTCGAACTTTCCGGCCGTTCGCCAAAGCAAGTCATTTGACATCTTGGAAGGGTTCATCTGATCTTCAACTGCCTCGAACACGAAAGGATGGTTGCATACTTTTCGCAGCTGCATAAGCATGTTGCTCAAACCCCGCATACCAGTCTTACCACCTTTTCCATCGCTGACTGAGATGCTCGAGTTTGTGACAAGCTGTTTGTAAAGCTTCGCTTGCAGTGCGGAGAAATTGCACTTGATGACGCGCTCCGTTTTGTCCGGCAAGTCTTTCTCGACGTCCTTCTTCAACCGGCGAAGCAAGAATGGGCGGAGAACTTTATGCAGACGACGAATGACAAGCAGCTGTTCCTCTTCGGTCATCTCCATCTTGTCCTGGCCACCCGTGTTGGCAAAAGGCGTATTGAACCATTCATCAAATGATTTTGATGACTTGAAAATGGTGGGTAGAACGAAGTTGAGCATCGCCCAAAGCTCAACAAGGTTGTTCTGCAGAGGCGTTCCTGTCAGAATCAAGCGGAAGCGCGTTGTGTAATATTGGGTGATCGTGCTGCTGAGCTTGGAGTTCTGGTTCTTCATTCGGTGACCCTCATCTACAATCATGTGAAGCCACTTGATCTTGCTCAAGATCGGCCGGTCCTTGATGATGAATTCGTAGGTTGTCAAAAGAACTTGAAACTGTCCCCAACGAATCTGCTGTTGGTGCTGCTTTCTTTGATTAGGAGGTCCTTTGTAGACGATCTTCGAAATGCTGGGTGCCCACTTGTCGAATTCATTGTTCCAATTGGTAAGAGTACTCAAGGGTACGATGACCAGGTAAGGTCCGGGCTGCTGCTTCTTCTCGATGAGATACGTAATCAAACTGATTGTCTGAATGGTCTTGCCCAGACCCATCTCATCAGCTAAGATACCGTTCAAGTTGTTGTTGTATAGTGATATCATCCACTGCAAACCCTTAACCTGGTACTCTTTAAGGGTGCCACCAACTAGACAGTTGGCTTGGCCTGTGACCTCCTCCTTTACACGATGAGCAATCTCGTAGTAGTCTGTCCGCTTCTTGCCAGGCCGGGGTGCGACTTCGTCGCCAGACTCGTCTTCGCTCGATTCTTCGGCTGAGGACTCCTCTTGCTGAATGCCCAATCTGTTGTTCTGGCTCCGTTGTTGCGCTTTGACAGAGTCGGACAGCTGCTTGAGGAAACCATCGGTCTGCTTGAGCAGGTGAGAGATACGGGTGTCCTTGGCTTGACCAAGCAGTTTGAGATATGTCTCTTCGTCGTTCGACTTCAAGGCCTGGAGACGCTGCTTGGCAGTACGCTCGACCCGCTTCTGTTCTTCCTTCTCGATGTTTTGATGTGTCGTGATCATGGTACGACCTAACTTCTGTAGCCGCTGTCGCTGAGCCATGCTGGCTTCGGTAAGCTCGTGGCGGTGCTTGCGGATGGCTTCGATGAAGTCGTGGTGCTTCTTCTTCTCCTTTGTTTCGCGAGCATCACGCTGTTGCTTCTCGAGCTTCTCCGTCAGACGCGCCTCGCGCAGAGATTGCTTCTTGAGTCGGCGGTACAGCGTTCGGTTGGCCGTCATGGCGAGATTATCGGCATGAACCATTTCGCGGCTGATCTGCTTTCGCAACAGGCGTTGCTTGGGAAGCAGATTGAGCATCTTCTGCTCGATGACCAATGCAAGCTTCACCTTGCCGTCGTCCTCCGGAGTATCGGTCTTGCCAGTGTCCCATGATCCGATGTTGGCGCTGATCTTCTCCAACTCTGCTTTGCGGGCGGATAAGCGGTTATACAGAATGACCTCACGTGCTTCTCTTTCTCGCTGATCGATCAGATTCATCTCCCTTCGGACCTCCTCCACACTCACGCCAAGCGGCATGATGGACGATATGTACGGTCGGTTCGCACGATACATGTGCGCCAGGTAATGGATGTCCTTCTTCACGGTATCGGTACCCCAAGGGTTCTCAAACTTATCCGGGTGCTTGTGTTTGGCAGGAGCGCTCGCACCGGAACCAAGGCTGTTTGCGCCGGCAGCCGCAGCGCTACCGGCGCGGGACGCATTATCAAGAACCTGGCTAGCGGCAGCAACAGCCTCAGAAGTGCTCTGCTTCTTTGCCTGTTGGGTAGCGAAGAGCTGCTGCTGCATGTGAGAGGGCAAAGCCATGCCTTTTGACAAATGCTTGAAGGCTGCGATCTGCTTGCGCAAGAGGACGAGTTGTTCCTGTGTAAAGGCCGGGGCGGCTGCGGAAGCTGATGTCGGCGTCTGGCCATCAGCGGAGACTGGCTGGCCGGCCGAAGCGGCGCCTGATATTTGCAATGGGGCCACAGACTTCCCGTCGGCGGATGCGGTGGGTTTTGAGCCATTGGTCATGCCTGCCGCAGCGCCGTTCTGTTGGGGCTGTTGGTCGCCTTGACCAGCTTGGCGCTGCTGCATCTGTTGCTGCATCAATCGCTGTTGTTGTTGACGCGCACTGTTCTGCCTCTGAACGAGGGTGAGGAGATTCTTGGCTTTGAGGAATTCGGGATCGGTCTCGGAAACGCCTTGTTGCTTCATTTGCTGGTATTTCTGCGTTCCGTCAGTTTGTTCTTCGAGTAGTGTGAAGCATGCGCCGGGTATGCGCGTTGGGGATGTAATAATGAGTGCCGAAGCGTGTGCATATACGTACCTGGTAGATCTGGCCGATCATCTCTTTTGTCAGGCCGGCGGGAAGCTGCCCAGGGCCCTGGAAGCCCGGGGCTGCCTGAACACTAGCCATGGTGCCTGTAAAGACGGTGGTATTGTATGCGGCGCAAGCAGGCCGTTTACAAACAAGAGAACGCCTTAGACGCGGTCGTCGCGCGAGGCGCAAGGCGGCACCGAACGCGCGAAAAGCGGGAGGAAAGTCGCGGACGATTGATTGGGCGCGTGCAGGCGACTGCTATGACATTATCGAGCGTCGTGGTGCACGCCAAAGGGCCTCGGTGGATGAGGCTGATGGAGCAGGGCCGGGGGTTGCGCCGAGGGTGAAGTCGCAAAGGAGGCAAGCTGAGGCCGCCAATGCAAAATCGGGTGGGCGACGTGGGCGGGCGCAAAAGTGCGCGGACGAGGGCAGAAAAGTGAGAGCACGCGTGTGGGAGCGTGTTGTGCACGGATTTGGGATAGACGCGGTTGGAGATGATGGGGTTCGTTCGCGACTTCCGAGAAACTCTGAGGTGGAGTGGAAGGCACGAGTTGGCTTGGCGCACCGCCGCTTCCTGAAATGGCGGCGCTAACTGCGTTAGGGTTAGACATGCGTACGTAATCATCACCCTCCCTGTGTCGAACGTGCGAACAGATGTTTTGCTGCTGAATAACACGCTCTGTAGGAATGGATATCCAAGCCACTGTACTCCGCTGTCCCTAAGTTGCCATCGTATGCTGGGCCGTCGCGCCGGGCCGCGACCATGCACGACATATCGGGCGGTCTACTAGCGTTGGCATCGCCAATCTGGTGGGGAGCCCTATGACACTTGCACATTCATGCGCCAGACCGCTAGGACCAACCGTTGAACGCGCTATACACATGCTCATGCGAGCTGGGAGCTCCCAAAAGCCGCTATCTTCCTGGGAACTTCTCAACTGCCGGACCCCTACCACTGTTGCCCGCCGATTGGGATACACCGATGGCGTTCAGTCTGTACCAGGCTTGCTTTACACAAAAGGAAATTTCTCAATACAGTCTTCGGGCTCAACGACCTATTATAGCATCGTTCTCAGCCATACTCATGATCATCTCTGAACGGTTTCGCCGATCACCCCATGTCTCACAATCGGAGCGCCTGCGTACAACGGCGGTCCGTGCGTCCGCAAAATGGCTTGCTACGACCTTGGAACGGAGACAATCAACAGACCAATAGATATGGCCGATGTGCTAACGCTCCCCACCCAACTTTCAGGAAGACCACTCTACGGAAGACAACCTGTGTATTCTAGTACAGTGCGATATAAGTCTAAAAAGGGTATTGTCGATCAAAAGTAAGAGAAGATCCTAAAAGGTGCTAAATAGTCGGAGAAATCGCGAAGCCAACATGAAGCAGCGATCAAGACCCTGCTATGCCGCGAAGAGCTTACACTTTGGATCGAGTGATTGCGATTGAACGCTCCAAAGAAACAGGTGACACAAATGATACATCCATGTAGCAATCACGAACCGGGTCAACATTCTATTGTTGTTCCACAAGATCAAACATGAACAAGGATCTGCTATCCTACAGAATACTTATCGTTTCGGTCAGATTGTTTTACGATCGAAGGTCCTGATTCCTAGGACATTTGGTTGATGCACGACGAGTGTGCCAGCACCATCTAGCACTACGAGCGATTTGCGTCCGCCGTGAAGTCATTTCTCCTTGATGGCAAGCCAATTCGGAAGGTAGTCCGCCAGAACTACTGCATCGGGGCTCTCGACGTTGGCAACGATGGTGAGGCGCCTGTACGGCGACGTACCCGACATCATGGATTCGCTAGGCTATGACGAGAACAATGTCCTTGTGGATATACAGCCTCTTCTCTTTTTTGCCGCGTTGGGCTGCCGTGTTGGGGACATCCTCGAGTCAAGGACCCGTGCCATAAATCCCCTTACCTTTGTTATGGGGACGTTAAGTTATATGGTGGCGAGCCTGTGAATCATCTTTCTATAGTAATCAAGCTACGCAATCTTGAGGACCACAAGCGTGTATCGGCTGACTTCCACTCATTCTCATCGCTAAACTTCCTGTAGCGATGATTCCGCAGACGCTGAGATGAAAAGCTCACCAGTATCGATGAGTCCGCCAGAGTACTGCCATGTCCAATCAAGAAATCTTACCGTGGGCCTGCTTGGGGAACGTCTCCGTCAACTACCTTCGAAGGAGCTAATCGCGCAGACCGCTGCTCCCTCCGATCGCACTCTACAGTGGACCAACACAGGTTTTCAGTCTATCTAGCCATTTGAAATGGCGGCCGTCGTAGGAAAGTTGACAACTCGAAGCCTGGCTTAACAGATCGCCCAGCACGCATGCTCAGATCAGTCTGTGCAAATATCGGCATGGAGAGGCACATCATCCCCTAAGATATATGAAGTGGAACGGCCAAGGATACCTCTGCCCTCACGACCCAAGCAAAAGGAAGATCCGCCCAGTACAGGCAGTGATTTTACGCGTGAGATCTTGTTGCAGTCGAACGCGACACGAAACTCCGGCACGGCCCGCGAATGTACCGGTGTTGCGCAGGAAGATTACGGGAGACTGCGCATATTGGCCTCATCGGACACGCCTTTGACCGGCCGCTGTTCGCGGACAACGATCAGACAACGGATATCGCCAACGAGACGAACGAGAATACTATATTATTGACGCAGTTTCCATCACGCCCAAGCTCAGTATAGCTGCTTGGGTTCTAGCGACCGGGCCGAAGTTTTAGAACACTATCCCACGAGGCGCTTCCCTATCAGAAAAAACAGACGTTTAGAGCTCAAACGAAGCGCGCGACAAACATGGCGCAGAAGGCTGCTAGGGAGGCGCTCTAGCGGCAGACCCATTATTTCGCGGAGAATCCAATCGCTCAATTCGCAGGCAAAGTCGGTATCATCGACCTTGTGGAAGCACTGAACATCGTCGATCGTGTGGACAGACTTGACATCATCTACCTTGCAGCCTGATCTATGACCTCGACAAGCTCAAAGTTATCGGGCGAAGGGTCAACCTCCGGCACTTTTACCAGCCTACCGAGCTCTCAGGCAAAGACTCGTCCAAGAACCACACATGGCAGTGTCCCTAGCCAAGCCGCGACCAAAGTTCGAGTTCAAAAACGCTCTTCTACATCAACAAAGAACATGCACCCCGACCAGGATTAAGTAGAGACAATATTACGAATGGTGATGCGAAAGGAAGCTTGCTCTGGGACGCAAAATTGTAAAGTTTGGTATCTCAAACCATCTTATTAACATACTGACAGCTGTAAACTACAAGTAAGTGTCAACGAGAGTATCCCTTAACTTTCCCATTTAAGACAGCGTCGGCGCGGTCCAGTCAATGTACGAGGCAACATCAGCAGTAGGACCCTTCTCGATGTTCGCCGTGCTCCCGCCAGTGTTGAGCAAGAACCTGTTAATGTACGCAGTCAAGTCGCTCTGCTGGTTGCTAGGGAACGAGCAGTGGTTGTGGTTTCCAGAGCCAGTGAAGCCCATGTTGTCCGGCACACCAAGCGCCTTATAGATCAAGCGACCTGCCTTCATGCATGCAGTGGTAGACACGGGGCCGAGCCAGTCGATCTCGTTCTCGATGACGATGAGTCCGCGGGGCGCGACCATACCGGCAAGCTGGTGGTGGTCGGTTGATAGGGTGTTCGCCTTGGTGGAGAATGCGTTGAAGGCGGGCGAGAACCACACGTTTTCACCAACGATCTGAGAGGAGGTTTGAATGTTCTTGCCCTTGGCCTTCTCGGAGTCGGAGATGCGCCAGCAGGCAGCACCACCAGAACCCGACTCTTGCGGGATGCCGAGCGCGATGCGGTTGACAAGGGCAGCGGCCACGAAAGCGCCCTTACCGTTCCTGGAGCAACCAGTCACACCGACTCGCTTGGTGTCGATATTGTGGCCAGTGGTGGCCTCCAGAGCATCCATAACACGGTCAACTCCCCATGCCCAAGCCGTGAGGGCACCGGCGCTGTGACCAGAACCGTAGAGGTCGTAGAATTTACCCTTACCGCGAGAGCTCTGCCCTGACTGCTGGCCCATCTGGTCGTTGTTGAAGGTGATTGTCGCGACACCCGACGGAATAGGGATGCTTGCGCCGCCGTAGGCAATGATAGCGGGAACCGAAGAACCAGTGTTGCCCTTGATACTGACGGAGAAGGAGATAGACTTGCCGCCCTCACCAGCAGTGAACGAGAGAGTGCCGCCAGAGTATGTGGCGGAAAACGTGGAAGGCTTAGGTGGGAAGGTTCCGAGTTCCTGCGCTTGGAGAGCGGCGAGCACCTCCTTGTTTTTGCATTCATAGTCGGCCTTGGTTTTGACATCAGTTCCATCGAAGAACTTGAACGGGTTGGGAAGCTTCGAGTTAGCCGTCGTTGGGAACGAGGTCGGGACCTTGCAGGTGTCCTGGCGGGGTTCCAAGGGTGCAGCCAGCACCGTGGTGGCGAGAAGCGGCAGAACGATGGAGTACTTCATGATGCGTGAGTTGGTTTCTGCTGCAGAGAATGTGCCACTGGAGAATCGCGGTTACTGAAAATGGGAGCAGCTTATTTAAATACGGAAATTGGCCACTGGGAAGTGTTGTACACTAATTTGCAACATCCGGCGGTAAAATCATCTAGTATATGAAGGGTCGTCGTGGGCGAGTGAGCCTCGTGGACGCGATTATAGTGTAATTAACGAGGAACGTCTTGGCTATCGACTATCACCAACTTTTTCGCCACATAAGCGCAAAGTGGGAATACCAAGTAAGGGAGGGAAATCGCGACGCCTCGATGAATCATTCACGGTAACGAATCTTCTGTTGTAAACACTGTTCGGAAGATATGTGCACCTACACAAGTGGATGGGTTCAAAAGTACTGCTTCAGATGCATCTCCTGTGGTGCCTGGTACGGTTCCAATGCAGTGAGCGGGAACATCATGTTACCTGGCTATGGTCTCGGAGATACAGCCTTGTGCATCGCACGCGAGGTAGATACTTTCGAATGCATTCAGCGATTGATGGAATAACTCGCCGTTCGTAAAGCGTACCGTCCTTGGACTACATAGCCAGGTATTCAGAGGTTCCTTTGAGCCGCTCTCGAGGGACTTTTACTCTACGGCCCGTGGAATTGTGCGAAATCAGGTTAGAAGACAGGCTTGGTGCGAAATAGGGAGCCGATTTGATCAGCATTCCCCAGAATAGTAATGTGGAGTGCGAAGTGGGCGTCTGCGGGGCCATAAAGGGGAGGCTACACAAAGTATGCCATGACCAAATGATTCGTTCCCCACGTCTAGAATCCAATATGCAACCCTTGTCTCGCTTTAAGGTTATTTTGACAATATGTGGGGTGCGGTAGACCAACGCCAGGTGCGTTTGGATTGCCGGATTTAGCCTGATGGCAATCACCTAGGAATAACCGGATGGTAACAGTATCTGAGTTGCACGCATGTCATTCATGAAGCGTACCCAAATCTTAGTATGTATTCTTAGTACGTCTGGTGGCCGTGCTCGCAGATAACTCGGCGGATTGTGATCTATGGGTAGGTCCGCGGGCGTCTGTGAGCTCTGACCCGCTTAGGGTGGATGTCATCGAAGGCAGAAAAGTAGGCGAATAAATAGAAATGCTTTCTTGATGTTGTAGATCTTAGCGTAGTGATTCGTAACATTATTATGACAAAACCGACACCTGGCCATACTGATAATAAGATCTGATGCAGAGTTGGAACGAACTCGCATAATTTGCGCTGAGAAACTTTGTCATCGCTGCTCTTTATAATCTGTAGTAATCCCCTTTGTGCGCAATCTGGGTTATCTTGGTATTGACGAAAGTATGAGAAAGTGTTTTATCTATCTAGCCATGACTAAGAAAACACGACTTCCCAAAACGCCCAACAAGTACAGAACTCCCTACTTTACAGTCGCCCTTTTGCCCCTAAACCTTCACCAGTGGACATGCAACCTTCAGACTCCAGTTATCGCCGTGCAAAGAGTTGCAACCACCAATGCCCATCCACTTACCCCCCGGTCCACTACAATCCTTACTCGCATACGCGCGCACTATTTCACCAATATTAGTATCCATACCTCCCACCCCACAGGCTATCAGAGGCCCACTCACGTTTACACTGCCCATGGAAAAGGGTTGGGTACACCCTGATACCGTGGTCGGCGTCCTGGAGCTCAATGCACTCGCCTGGCTTGGAGGTGAAGATGGGTCCGCCGCTGCTCATGCATGTTGTTCGAGAGAATTTGCTGTACTGGATGTCTATTCCGGTGGGTGGAGGTATGAGGTGTGGAGTTGTCTGGGCTTGGGTTTGGGAGGTGAAGAGCAGAGCGATGGTAATGAGGAGGGTAGAGAGGTTCATCTTGAGAAGCTGGTATGAGTAGGTACTCCGCTGATGAGATGGTAGGTGAGCCGACGCGTGCAATCTTATAGTGTGCGATAGAAAAGATATAGAAAGGGCGAAGCTTTCGGTAGGTGCAGAGAGGCGGAGACACGATACGTGCGACCGTATCACCAGTCCCTTGCCTTCTATGCCATGGTTGTTCCAAGTTGACCTGCGCAGCTAACAGAGAAAGGTATCATACGGAAGCGGCTGAAGCGACGCAATCTGACTGACACTTGGGTTAGAATGATTGGTTGGTGTGAATGTTGACGTACTAACCATGTACCATAGTAGAGCTCTAAACCTTGCATGGACATGCTTGCTCTGATCTGCTTCCGTAAGGAGAAGTGAGAACCCCGAGTCAAACAGTATTTGTGTGATATGACAACGTGATCGATGTTACACAGCCCTTCCTTAGGAAGATGGGGTTGTAGCCAGGCACGAGCGTATCTGTCCAACGACCTATGTGTGGTACCTCCTAAACGCCTTTAAGTTATACATGTTCACACTTAGCCAAAGCCGGAACTCGATTGTGGTGGCGCCCATCGCTCTCTTCTGTCCTTTGCTCCCATGCGCTTCTTAAGTACTAGTCGAAAACCACGAGCCAGATGCTCCGATTATCGAGTCGTCAGTAGCACCAAACATATTTTCAGTGGCAAACCATCCAAACTTTGACGACAAACGAGACTTCTGTTATTGGTACTGTGTGGTATTCCTTATATACAGTTTCCACAGCGGTAAGACACGAAGCAAACCGGTACGCCGAACGTGCTTTCCTATTGTGCACTGCCCCCTTTCAATGATGACCTTCGTCATGATGTCCGTGGTGGTCGTCCTTGAAGAAGAGCGCTTCGATCACGCAGTATCCGGCGAATGCGACAGTTGCGATACCGAGGCCGGGGAAAGAGCCCTTAAAGCGGTTCCACCGTGAGAAGGGGCCGGTGTACCGCCATTGCTCACTATGAGAGGTCAATAAATCCCACACATGGATTGATGATTTCATAGAGACGTACTATCGGGCCCATGGGTCGCCCTTGGTGTTTCCAGCGGCCGCCGCAAACTTCTTGGGGTCGAACCCAGTGATGGAGGGGCGTTGCGCAAATCTGAGACTGTCGCAGCGAGTCAGCATTGGATCCAAGAGCGCAGAAGGCAATCGTTGTGCCATTGGATATTGTGCACTTACGCTGTGGGCCGCATTGTGTCGGTACTGCGAGCGGTGGTGGTTGTACGCGTTGACGTCGCAGTTGGAGCTCAGTCGGATTGCCGCAGCACGGGCCATATATCTTGGCGCGTTGATTGTCGCACGTCCGACCTTCGACGTTCGCGCACTTCACGGCATTGTTGTTGCGCACGCCTTTCGCTCCTGACTCTCTTCATCCGCATTATTATAATATCCTGACTTCGAACAACACTTGCGAACCGCTTGCGTCAGACGCGTCACCGCCTGTTCGCCGTTCATTGTCGCATACATCGCATACAGAACTGCACCACGATCGAATCCCCGCCTGCCTTCACTGCGACGACCGTCCACAATGCCACCACACGGGGGCCGCTTCCCCGGCCACAACCTGTCCAACCCCTTCGCCCATCTCTCACAGCCGATCCATCAACAACCACAGTTGCAACAGCAGCAGCACCAGCAAAACATGCAGCACCCAGGCTTCGGCAGCGCGAATCCACAACACAACCTGAACCTCTTCAGCCATAACCAGGGCAATTTCCAGTCAAATGCGGCGCTCGCCGGCATAGGGGGAGGTGCATCAGGCCTCGGCGCGGCAGCAACGCTCGGCGGGGTAAGTGGAGGGACTGGACTGGACGGCCACGAAGCGCGCTTGCGATTTGCTCATGGTGCTCAACTACAACAGGATGCCCAGATGGGTCGCGCACAAGATGGTACAAAGGGCCTTGCCGGACAACGTATACGCGAAGTGTGGCGTAATAACCTGCATCAAGAGATGGAACTGCTGCGTTCTTTGGTGGAGAAGTACCCGTATATCAGCATGGTCAGTGAATCTCTTCCATTCAAATCGTTCAGGTTTCTTTTGTCGGGGTAAAGTGTCTAATAAAAAAGGAAACCGTCAATGGCGGTCAGTTTCAAAGTCTCTTTATAGAGCCTGAGGACGATGAAGATCGGGTATTTCATTTGTTCACCCTCTTTACTCATCTCCCACTATTGGAGGCTATACTCACGTTCCACACAGGACACCGAGTTCCCCGGAGTCGTTGCCCGCCCTATCGGAGAATTCAACTCCAAAGCGTCGTATCACTACCAGACCGTACGCTGCAACGTTGATCTCCTCAAGATCATCCAATTGGGAGTAACGCTCTTTTCGATACAAGGCGAAATACCGCCATCACATCTCGACCCTTCAGAGTTAAATTACCAGCCAAAAGCAGTGCTACAGTATGCGAACAATATAGTAGTCTGTCCGTGCACCTGGACATTCAACTTTCAATTTTCCCTTGAAGACGACATGTATAACGAGGAGTCTATCCAGATGCTGAAGAAGTCCGGCGCCGACTTTCAGAAACTCGCAGAGCAAGGAATTGATACTCAGGAGTTTGGATCCCTCCTTATAACCTCCGGCATGATCTTGACTCCCGATGTTAACTGGATATCCTTCCACTCGGGCTACGATTTCGCATACCTGATCAAGATGCTCACAGCTAAGCCGCTACCCGAGAACGAGGAAGACTACCGCAACCTCGTTGAAGTCTTCTTCCCACGACTGCTGGATGTCAAGTATCTATGGCGACACGCAAACAGCCTTGTGCGCCGCGGCGTGATTGGGTCGCAGGCAACAAGCATACTCAATAACCTTGGCACAAAATCTGGCCTTCAAGATCTTGCCGACGAGCTAGGCTGCCAGCGCATCGGTAACTCACATACTGCCGGTTCAGATGCTTGGCTCACAGGCATCGTCTTCTGGGAGCTTCAAAAGAAGATCTTCGACGGCAAGGTACCAGACGATATGAACGGTCAGATGTGGGGTCTTACTGGGGTTGGACCGCCGGCTAGCGCGACTGCTCAAGCTGCCGTCCTTGCGGCACAAGGGCAGAACCTTACGGGTTATCAAGGAATGAACGGCGGCATGATGTTCCATCCTGGCGGCCAAGCAGCCCACCGTGACGGACCCAGTACACCCACCAGCCACCCCGCTGGCCTTGCATCAACGCCAGGTCCGTCACATGGAGGCATGATCACACCTGGTGCCACTGGCACTTTTGGTGAGTTCAGATACGGTGGCAAGTAAATGCACTATGCCAGCGCAAGGCAGTGTTCACTCCGGGGTGTGGTATTTTGTTTTGGGCTGTGTTTTCACATGGTCTACAATGGGACTCCAATCTCGTGACGTGATACTGCATGCTGAAAGTGCTGCTTAGGATCATCGCCGCGCGTTTTGCCTCCACCTTCCTCAGCCCTTCCTCCGCGCCTCCGAACTCCACCTCAGGATACCTTAAGACGACCGACTCAGCCATTACCCCAACGACCAGTTTCAGCATGATCGTGCAAACAATCGTCTCGACCTTGTTATCCTCATTTCTTAAGGCAAAGTCCTACCGACGCACGGCATTCTAGGCCGGACGGGCCAGTTCTTCCTCGTTATATTCTACCGCTTGCTCTCGCCCAGACACCTCCCCGTACCCCGCAAAACCCCAATCAGAGAAAATCACGATGGGAGCGGAGAAGCGCCCGAGGGATTGAGGTTTGTGTCGAATTAGAAACAGCGGTTGGTTTCAGAAGGGAAAGGAGTTCAGTGTTTACTTGCATTGCATTTGTATGGCGAGTACGGAGTTATGCCTACGGGTCAGGGAGGCGCACTGGACTGGTAGCTCCGGCGCGAGTTTAGGCGTGCTCTCGAATCGAATAGTTACTGTAGTATAGGCTTTGAATAGCACGTGCATACCCCTTCTTCTTGCACGTTGAGAATCACGACGGGGTTGACGGACCACACCTGATGTATTGGGATTACTGCTGACCTTACTGGATTGGCAGCCTGAGAGATAGGAGTTTCATTCCTTCATAGACGACATACGCGCAAAGTTGAGTATCAAGTTTACATCCATACAAGTCGAGCCCGCCCCAACAAATCAAAAACACCGCCCATTTCCCCTCATGAACAACGACGACTCCATCTAGTCCAACCTGTTATTAACACCGTACTTTCCCCATCCCTCTCCCTCGCTCCTCTTACATCTCCCTCCTATCCCTCGCATCCAGCGGTTTTCGCCCAATAATCCACTTGTAACTCGCGCACCACCCCTCCCTAATATTTCCGAACCTGTCTGTCCCACTCGCCCAATCCATAATCTCGCCCTTGCCCACCTCAATCATGCTCTGCACCTCCTCCATCGTCCAGTGGTCCTTGCTCGCATCGCCCCACTGAGTCAAATACCGGAGGAGCATGGATTCCAGCATCTCCATGATGCAGACTAAATGCATCTTCCCGATGGTGCGCTGCTCCTCGTCCTCGGGCCACTGGCCTATAGGCACGTTGACGTACGTCTGTTTGATGTTCGTGAAGCCCGCGTCGTCGAGGTAGGTGGGATGCATGTAGAAGGTGCCTACAGGCCGCCCGGATTTGAAAGCTGCTTGCATGACGCCGAGGTACAATTTCGCGAGGGTCGGGAAGGGGAAGTTGTCTACGCCTTGCTCGATGTTGGGTAGACTCATGTCGAAATCCACGACCTCCAACCAGCCACCTGGATTAAGGTTTTTGTAGATCTCGTCGTAGACACCTTCCCAGTAGGCGAACACGCCCTTCATGCCGCGCATATAGATAAGGTCGAAGGGCTCGCTGAAGTGCCAGCCGGGCTGTGCTTCGGGCTCTAACGCGTATGATTCGTAGGCTGAGTCTGAAGGTGTATGAGGCTGGGAGGAGTCGCTGGCGGAGGTGTGGCCTTTGAGTTTGGCGGCCTTGCTCGCAGAGAGGGGCTCGCGGTTGGCATAGTCGTGCGCCATGTCGTAGCGCTCTAGTCGCCGTTTGAGGTCGTCGAAGTCGTCTTCCACGCCCCAGACGTCCAAGTCGTCGATTTCCCAGTTTACGCCGGTACATCCTACCGACTCTTCTGTGGTTTCGATGTCCCAGACCGCCATGTCGATGCCGACGATCTCGGTATGAGGATACTGCCGCGCCATGGCGACAGCCCAGTGCCCCGGTCCTGTTCCCAGGTCTAATATTCTTCTTGTGTCTGATGTTACGGGTGTTGTAGTGAGTTTGCCTTTTAGGGCATGGGTGTATATGCGGTGGTGGATGGCCAGGCGATCATTCTCTGCCTGGTCGCACGGCATGTAGTAACTGTCGTTTCCATATTCCCGTCCGTTCTCGTAGACGAATTCTACATCATCAGATTGTAATGTCCGTGTAGACCGGCTGTATGCGCAAGGCTGTCAGTAACGTGTTCAGAATGATGAGGTCGCTAGTCATGGCACGAGACCCACAACAACAGGATAACCTGCTGCCGCACGACGCTCGAAACAAAAAAAGAAAAGGGAACAAACAATTACGATTTGTCGGTGAGTGTTCGATAAGAAGGAAAAGCCGCGTCTTACAGGGATTCGAGGGATGTGGAACTGTCAGAATCACTTCTCAGGCGCTTGGGCGGTACGCCTGTGTGATCTCTCGCCAGATTTTCGGGTGGTGGCGGTCCCTCCTCCATGGTCCTGGGCCGAAGGACCGGCAGAACGACTCAGGCTCTCAAGCGACCGGCAGCCCTTGCACCCGCCTCAATTTATACCAGTAAATTCTCTCAGAGGTCCGAGGCAATCCTGTGGTCCTGGGGTATTATGGCGCGTTGCCTTGGGGGAAAAGGGGTGGGGGTAATTGTTGTTGCTAGTCGGCGGCCTGTAAGGAGCTAGCTGTGATTGGCAGCACAAGACCGCAACCAAAGGATTCACTGAGGAGCAGCTGCGAGTCTCCGCAGAGCGCTGACGACGTCAAATTAGTAAAGGAACGAAAGCTGACGTTCTGTGTCCACGGGGGCTGATGTGGTCGTGTGTGGGCAGTGCTTTTTTTTTTTGGCACCAGTCCTGAGGATATACGGTTGCCAGCAGTCAGCGTCGCCCGAGCGATGATCAATATAACATGCAGGAGCGAGCTCCGCGTTGCTGCGAGCGAGGGACCTGTTTGATACTGTTATGGACGGCTGGGCGATAGCTGCAGCAGTGCGACAGCCGGGATGAATGCGTACGTTCCCTAGCTAAGAAGCGAACAAAGAAGTATTCGGCACACCAAGTCACAGCTTCCGGTAGTCAGCTACCAGTGCGAACACTGCAGCATTCCAAACGCCCAGGAGGAATGAAGAAGTGACCAAGACGGCGAAGTCGTTGCGGCCGCTATTCTGCACAGCAACGTCAGGCGCAATATGAGGTCTGCTAGCAACGCTTGAGGATGAGGGGCTTGGACCCCGGGCACGCATGCAGAGCTTGCTGCGGGAGGAAAAGAACGGAGAAGCAGCGGGTATGTGAGGGTCGGACAGGTGCTTGGAAGGCTTCCAGAAGACCTTAATGAGTGGACCCGCTGCCCCGGGTGTGTCGGTCTGAGAGAATGTGTGCGTGAGAGCAGAAGCCGATGACTGTGCAGGAGGTGCGCCCGCTCATCTACTATTCGATCGTGGTCGGATAGTGCTGCGCCAGCGCCCATTGCACCTAGAGCCGTTCTCATGAAACCTTGGGAAATGCACCGCTACTGCGCAGAGCAGCCCGGATCCTGGTCGGTGCCGCAGACGGTCTGCTGTCAAGCTGTATAGTTCAGGATTGCCTACGGGAGCAGACGTGCCCCGCCACGACAGCTACAGCTGCAACATGGCAGCCCCGCTGTCTTGTGCCATGGCGGGAACGGCGCGCTTGCTGACCATTGGTAGAGGCAGGTCACGGCGAGCTCTCGTCGATTCGGTAAACGGCCGACATTTGCGGTGGGCTACGACGGTCGTCAGTTGAGCAGCCCGCCGACCCAAGCTTGACCGCAATGCTTGCAGATGCTAGACCGGGGTCAGATCCCTCAGGTCGCCATTCGCCACCGTGCGTTCCAGCAAGACGGCGACCTCATCCCGGTCGGGCCCAACACCCTCTTGGGAGGATCTGATCTGCCTCTGAGTTTGCGTCGGCGTGCCAGGAGGAAATGCTGGCCGGATCCACGGGCCTGCGGCAGGAAGAAGCACCGCGGGACGGCGCTCGACAAACCATCCCCCCGGATTCAGGCCAGCTCCCATTTGTCAATCCATTGGGTCTCGGTGCCCACCCGACGACGTGTCCAGGAACGCTCCCGCGCCAGCTGTGCCTCTCCAACCCAACGCTGCATGTCAGCCTCGGTCGCAGAGGGGAGGGTTGTGGTTCGCTCGTTCGCCGACGTCGTGCGAGCATCATACCGGCGGCAGGGAGCCGTACGAGCCCATCGCCATCGTGAGAGGCTGGTGGGAGCAAGTCGTTGCAACGTCGAATGTGTTCCTGAAACTCCGATGGTCGGTGCTCGGTTGCGGAGTGGCATACGTCCTGCCATGACAGCTCGGTAAAGTTTGTGAGGCTTGAGCGTGCAGCACCTGGGCGGCGTTGAAGATGAACTTGCGGCCGACACTGATTCGTTTGGGAAGGCGCCGTGTCGCAGATGCAGATGCCGCATTGCATGGCACTGAGCAAGGACGTCATGCTCGCATAGAGCTTTCTTACATGTGGCATCGCAGGCGGCGCGGCTTTTCACCAATCCACACCACTAGGCCGCATGTGTGATCCCGCCATCTGTGGGTATTCACTCTGTAACAGCCAGAACTCAATATTCTAATATAATTGGCCTTCGCATTGTCTATCCTGCGTAGCACAGGGTACTCAGATTCATCTCCTGTTGATACAGCTGCAGAGACTGCCACAAATGCTCCTTTTCATGATATCGCCCTCCCATATTGCATGCCTCGTAACGCCGCGATCGAGAGCGCCACTTCAAGACGGACCTACACCCTCTTCCTGGCCTTCAAACTTGGGTAGACGCTTCGAAATATCTGCCCATTTTTCTCTACCTTCCACTAGGCTAGATATGGCCGCAACAATTTCGTCCAGGCTACCGCGCACCTGTTCCGTCGAGTCGCGGTCTCGCAATGTGAAAGTGTTGTCTTTGACGGATTGGAACTATTGAGTGTTAGCCTCATCTTTGGAGTACAGTAGGGATCTAAGTCTGTCCGTCTTGGGTAACACAGGTACTCAGGATCGCGACATGGCATGGCGTCAGTGAATACTTACGTCAATTGTGATGCCCAATGGCGTACCAAGCTCGTCATTGCGCGAGTAACGCTTGCCGATGGAAGCACCCGAATCGTCGACGCGGTTGGAGACGCCAGCGTCTTGTAGCTTGTTGGTCAACTTGCGTACGAAAGGCTTGAAATCACCGTGCGAGCTCAAGGGCACAATGAGAACTTTGGTGGGGGCAACTGTAGGAGGGAAAGAGAGCACGCCACGCGCCTCATCCTGCTCGCGCGTCCAGTAAGAGTGTTCGCAGAGCGCCTATGAAGCTGTCAGTACATGTCTCACACACGCGACAATCGGTGCCTATGTTGGGTTGCCAGGGGTAACGCAGTGCGCACCAGCTATTGTCCTGAGAATGTCTGCATTGACTTACATAGAAGATTCGGCCAATGCCAAATGATGGCTCGATGACGTTGGGCGTGTACTCCCTCACGTTCTCCACCCGGGTTCGCTTCTCGATCGTGATCAGCTCCTTCGGCACCTCGACCTTGCCGTCACCAACGCCAGGGACGTCAATTGTAATCTTGCCATCCTTTTGCAGATCCAGCGACAGTTTTTCGCGGATATCTTGGGAGAGAGATTCAATGGCAGCTTCCACCGTCTTACCATCCTTCTTAAACTTGGGACCGAACTTTTTCTTATCAAGATCGCACTGCCACTCCTCGATCTTGAGGGGCTCCTTGCGAGGCTCGCGTACTACAAGAGGAGCACCTGTTTTTTTCATGTGAACCGACAGGTCGTATGCGCTACGGTCGGCACAGCCAACACACTCAATCCAACCGTAGGACGTTAACAGCTCGGCATCCCAGCAGTCTGCCGCGTAGTGTGCCATCTCGTTAGCCATGTGCTGCCTGAAGCGAATCTTTTTGGGGTCGACACCGATCTTGAGAAGGAAAAGCTGAATGCGCGCAAGGAAGTAGCCAAGCGTCTCGTTGTCAACGAGACCCGTTTCGACGGCTTTGCCGATAGTCGTAGTGTCAACGTCGGCCTTGCCAGAAAGCTGCACATCCCGGTTGAGGAGCTCAAGCTCGACATCCTTGACCTCATCAAAGTAAGGGTGCTTCTTGCCGCCCGAGGGGTCCACGAAATGCTCGATTTCTGCCATCAAGAACTCTCGCACACGCAACAGACCCTGACGCGGAGAGATCTCGTTACGGAAAGACTTGCCAATGGATGCGGACGCGAAGGGCATTTGTTGCTGATTAAACTCGAGAAGCTTTGCGAAGTTGAGAAACTGGCCCTGGGCGGTTTCTGGACGGAGATAACCGGGGAGATTCGAGGAGGGACCAATCGAGGTCTGGAACATGAGGTTAAACGCAACAGGAGGCGTGAGCTCGCTGTTGTTCGCGGGATTGCGGATGTCGTACTCCTTCATGAGACGACCGAGCTCTTCACCGTTGTAGTTATCGATCTTGTTGAGAACCTCCTTGTACTCATCCCTGACAGCATCGTCCAATTTTACAACAGCAATGTTCTTGACCTTCTTCTTTTTCTTCTTCGGGTCTTCCTCTTCCACCTCAACTTTTTCGCCACGCGCCTCCTTGTCGCCCTTGATTCTCGCTTCGAGAACTTCCTCTACAAGGTGGTCTGCGCGGAAGATCTCGCCGGTCTTGGGGTCCTTGCACATCCAGTCGGCGAACTTGTCTACATGGCCGGAGGTCTTGAGCACGTCGTGCGGAGTCAACATGGTGCAGTCCACTAGGTGATGTCAGAATGTGCTCTTCCGAAAGTCGCGTGCGCATCACCTTCAAGCATGTTTTCCCTCAGCACAAAGTGTTTCCGCCACACGTCGATGATGTTGTTGGTCAAGGCACTGCCTGGAGGACCATAATCGTACAAGCCAGAAACACCGCCGTAGATATCGAACGAAGGGGTATAGAACATACGGCGCTACGCATTGTCAGTGTGACTGCCCCGCGGTGTGTGCCTCGACGCGTGTTTACCCTCATAAGAGACTCCAGCGAGGCCCTGTCAAAGGCCTTGCCCTTGAGAGTCGTCATTTCGGGCGCCATGTCGACAACTTGCTGCTTCCGCTTGGGGGATTCGAAACGGTGGTGGGGCGGGGTGGTAGAGAAGCTGCGGGCGAGATAAACACGGCGAGGTGGGGTACTGGTATTATTTTTAAAGAAGGGTTCACGAAGAGAAGAGAAGCAATTGGCGCGCAACGCTTTCGAGAGCACGCGCATGCATACGGTCTCCTCCCCTACAAGGTCGGAGAAATGACTCAATGAAATACTGATACAATATATTACAGATTGATGCCGAGAGGCAACGTTGTGACTCCGAGAGCTCTGACTGCTGCGAGACGCCAAGAACGCGGCAAAAAGAACCGCCGTGCTCCCGAGACCCGCCAAAATTTCTGGGAAGTCGCGACTCGCGCCGCAGCAGACAGCACATGCACATACACTCTCCAGGGCTGACTGTTGGAACAAAGACGGGCTGATACTTTTCCGTCATTTCCGCCAGCATGGCTTTTTCTAAGGAACCACCAATGGCCGGCTTCAAACCCAAAAACAAGCTTCGCCGACAGAGCGCATACCTTGCAGTCAAGAAATCGAAAGAGGCGGCCAAACGCGACGAACGATTCAAGCGCAAACGCGAAGAAGCGAAGTCCCCTGGACTCCGAGAAGAGCGACAGCGCAGAAATCTGCCCACCACTATCGAAAGCAAGCGAAAATTCGACAACGATACCGTAGGCGACGAGGAGGATGCTCTGAACTGGGCGATAGACGTAGAACGTCTGGCAAAGAAGCGTAAGCTTGAGCAAGAAGCGGTTGAGCGCGAAGAGAATGGCGGCGAAGACGGCGAAGAGGGGTTGCTAGAGAAGCTTAAGAAACGCGACGCAGAGGATGGCGAAGAAGAGGAGGATGATGAGGCGGACAGCATGCTGGAATCTGATTCGGAAGTGGAAGACGACGCATCGGACTCTGATGTTGCCCCAGAGTCGAAGCGGAAACCGGAACGAGCCGCAAGCCCTGCAATGTCTACTACCACAAACGCGACGAACGCGACGAATGCGACGAACCTCGACATCTCCCCAGACTTCCTGAAACAGAAGTTCCCGGCGGTTTTCGATCCGGCAGAAACCCCAAAGATTCTGGTCACGACATCGATCAACTCAACTCTTCACAAAGAGGCCGAGATCTTAGCGTCTTTTTTCCCAAATGCAAACTACGTCCGTCGCAGTGCTCACGCTCATGCGCACAAGTATTCTGTGCGCGAGATAGCGAACTTCGCAAGCAATCGCGACTATACCGCTCTAGTTATTATGTTCGTCATCCCTCCTTTCCAACCCTCTCCTTCCCAACTAACAGCGTCCAACAGGATGGAAGCTCACCACGTGAAAGAGCCCGATGGCCTCGATATTGTTCTGCTACCGGCAGGCCCGCACTTCCACTTTTCCATAAGCAACTGGGTAGAAGGGAAGAAGCTTCCAGGGCATGGTAAAGATCAGGGATTTTATCCTGAACTGGTGCTCAATGGCTTTCGGACGCCCTTAGGCCTGTTGACCGCGCACCTTTGGCGAGGACTCTTTCCCGCACAACCCGAATTGCAAGGTCGTACTGCCGTTACGTTACACAACCAGCGAGATTACATATTCCTGCGCCGCCACCGATATGTCTTCAGAGAGAAGAGGGCGACAGAGAAGCAAGTCCTAGATGCAAATGGAAAACCACTGAAGGGAGTGGAAGACATAAGAGTTGGAATGCAAGAAATCGGTCCGAGAGCGACGTGAGTTCACAATTTCAGGAATCTGCTCCGACGGTTACTGACATACGCAGACTCAAGTTGAGGCGGATTGACAGGGGCATTCAATTTAAGAGCGGACAGGAATGGCAATGGAAGGCTCACGCCGAAAAAGAGAGAACGCGTTTCAACATGTAGTTGCCTGCCAAGACCTGCATCAGATCTGGAAGATCTACTTCAAATGTTGGAATCGATTTCAGGTGCTCTGATACCTCTCACAAGCTCGTGTCGGACTGATTGTCTATGTGTGTGCCTAGGGACCAGCAATGTCATCGGTCATTCCTGTTATCGAAACGTGCGGCAATCACCAAAGTTTTCAAGGTGGAGATGCTCATCTGTTGCGACATCTGCCGGTCTCTACTCGCCCTCGTGTCCAGCCGTTCCTTCTGCGTTGGTATATGTTGACCTCGGTTAATGGCCTTTAACTCCATACTTAGAAGATGTCACCTCTTACAGCAAGGTATCACTCCAGATCATGGAAACCACGACACGGCTAAAGATCCATATATAACCACGAGTATGAGACAGCGCGGATGCACGCTCAACGGCCCACGAACTTACATCTCGTGCGTTCACGACAAGGGTATTTTGTGGACGCCGTGTGTGTGGCGGCACGCTGAGAGTACTAATAATTACTTAGCAACTGTGGATTCCAGACGAGGCAAAGACCGACAAACAGTGCAAGATTCAACCCTTAGCAGTAACTAAATGAGAATGGTTGTGCAGCTCTGATGACCTCTTGAACTACCAGTCAAGACATGTATCGTGATGTGTCTACGTGAGTCTTGCAGACTCGTGAACAGAGACGTTGAGACAGAACAACGATAACTTGACTGCGACCTCTACCGTAGTGAGGATCTATATTATGATATCGAGGTCTAGTGTGTCTATCTTCCTAATTCTTTCTGTTGCAAATTATACTGTCACAAGAGATATAATGGTCGCAACGAAGTTTGATTATGAGAAGGATCCTTGATCGCGAGAAGAACTTCTGTTCACAAGGATTTGGGACACCAGGAAAATTTGGAAACGTGAGGACAAGCTCGGAATTCAAGACAAATGTTTAGTCATGAGCAAAGGGCTTGGTCGCAAGAAGGATCTTTGGTCGTATGGAATTTTTGTCGCAATAAAGATGTTTAGTTGTGAAAGTTTCAGCTTTAACATCCTTTCACCGTAGGGCTCTTTAGCCGTGAGCATGTTAGTCGCAGGGAACATTGGCTGTAGGAGCTGTTCCGTCAAGGAGTTTTCATCAGAAGTAGTCTTGCATCTGAAAGACTTCTATCGCAGGCATTCTTACATTCAAGGGACTCTTAACGCAAAGGTTCGTGTATACAAGGGCTTCTTGTCGCCTTAGACATAATTCGTCACAGAAAGATTTCTTGTGAGGAAGAAAGCGTTAAACAAAGGTATAGACTAATTCACGCAACACACGCGCGCAGTGAACCAACTTCCTTCCTTCCTTCCTACCATGATCTCACCAATCTCTGATATAGATATTTCGCTCTCGACTTCTTTTGTATCTCCCCCCTTTGGAGGTCTACCTGCATAACACATCCTCACTCCAACTCCGTCACCGCAATACAAACCCTGATAAAAATCCAACCCCTTCTGTCTCCTACCCTCTGCGTCCACCCATGATCTACCAGCTGCCGTCCCTCCTCCTCACTCCTTTCAGAAGTGTCAGCATTACCACGCACCAACTTGGCCCCGCTGACTACAACCACCCCGCACCCCTGCCATCTCACATGCTCCCGTCTGACCACCCTCGATCCGCCGCCCCGGACCCAACCCATAAGGCCGGCAGTTGAGCAGAGTACCGAATCTCACTGTTACACGAGGTCAGCACTGCCTGAGCGGTGTGAGAGCGGATGGCGGTAGGATGGCGCTCGCTTCCCTGATTGAGGGATGTCAGATCGAGGCGGGCGTAAAGTTTGGGTGCTGATGGTGGATATGTAACGGACGGAGGAGGAAAGAAGGGGTGGAATGCGGAACGGGTGTGGGTTGAGTGCTTGCTGGTTCACAGATCGTGGGATGGGCCGGAGCACTGCGATAGTGCAGGATGGAGTGTATGCTAGATATGAAGCTGAGCGCTTTTCGTGTTTGGGAGTTCACTGTGAGCCTCTCAGAAACTGGCCCAAATATAGCGATGATTTACAAGAAAGAGTGTGTAAGACAACCCTCTGTCCAGCTGTCGCGTCTGATTGGAATCCGCGGAGGATTTGACAATGGCTTATCGTCATACACAGCCACCGCATCCCAACGAAATTGACAGCCTGAGCGTCACGTATCAGGTGTGAAGGTGTTGCGCTTTTGCACAGCTGCAATGAAGTGCTTGACGTACAGCCACTTCTGGTTGCACCAGTGTCATCCATACGAAGCATGACTTGCAGGCCTGCTGTATCATACTGCAATGGTGGATATTAGATCTATTATCATTAACTCGCTAATTAGAAGGCGACTATGGTTCTTTATTCCACCGAAGCATTGAAGTGCACTGAGCCAACATGTGCCTCGTGGCCACTGAGGGATAACGCGTGGAGGCTACGCAGCAGGACGAACCTCTGAATACGCCCGCCAATGCTCCGCGGAGCTCTCGTTTATTCTTGTTAGCAAGCCCTGCTCCACTAAACGTCCTCACTGATCGAAGAGCGCTCACCGCAATTCGAACCTTCACGGGCGTCAGGATTACATTAGGCGTACCACCCACGCTCTTTAGGCAGGCAATACTGCACGCGGACTCGAAATATGTCACCAGCTGCTCATCTGCATGACCTGGGAGAAAAAGTGCTGCCTCAGACCCACCTGATTACACGTACCTGCAGTAGTAGAGACAAGGGAGCCTTGCAGGATGCAGATGTCTCGACAAGTCCAGTACGTGAGGTCAGAGCATAGATCCTGCGGCAGTCTCATAACTTTCTGAAAATACAAGGTGCTGCGAAATCTCAGGCTTCGAACATCATCTTGAGTATCGTGATGGGTTGCTGGTTAAGGCCTGTGAAAAGTACCAAGCGATGTCGCATACCCCTGTCGTACGTGCCGTGCCGTGCCGTACCGTGCCATCATCTGACATTCAGGCCATCTACAGGCACGCTCGCGAACGAGACGAGACAGTTGCGATCTGGAGTAACCCGCAGCCGGTGAGGGCGACGGTGATGGTGGCGGTCTCGGCGACAGCTGGACAGGCCCCCAAGCGAGCACACGCGAGTACCTAGTACACGGAACAACTCCCTCTTCCGGGAATCACAATCGCTATTCGTATGCGTGCAGTCGATGCCCGGTTCGTGGAATTATATTCACTCCACCGCATGGGTTTGCAGATGCGGACCTAAACGCCGAATTGCACGCAGGGTCGGCGGTTCCTTAAAACCTTTGAAAGCGCTGGGTCCGAAGGATGGACCCCATGTTCGTAGCCACTCTAGCAGGTGCTGTTACCCGGACTTCGGGTCTGCGTGTGCAAGCATCCTCCGCCAGATCACAACTTCCTAATTGCGTGAAGCTGTGAATCGTTCCAAGTTCCCGGACGGCGGTAATTAGATTTTGCAAACGTTCTCCATCAGGATCATCTTGCTACGTAGGCTTGTGTAATCATCAGCGTTGAATGAGCGGTTTGATTTGAGCTTCAATGTCAGAATAGGTAAGCATGCGCGTTTTAGAAAGGTAGGTTTGGCAGCGGCTCGTGCGCAGCTTGAAATATTCATCCAGTATAGCTGACTTGTGGATGTTATAAAGAGAGCAGTGGCTAGCTGCCGAGAGCCGACTTCAACGGAGTCTTCCGCGGTAGGATTGGGATGAAGCGTCCGCCTTTGCTGTCATCGTTTTGGGAGCTGCAAATGACCATGGATTGGGCAAGGATGCGCTGAAATCGAAAGTCGATGCTGGCACATGGCCGATAACATCAAGCCTTTAGCTCTCAAGTGCTTGTTGTCGTGCTGAGGCGATCATGATTAAGCCTTGCACTAGTTCGATCCGGGTAGATTCCTGACCTGAATTAGAGAGTGTTATATCTCATCGAATACCGAAAGTGTGGGTTGACCGGATCGTGAAAGAACAACTCATTCTCGCATCTCCTGGGAAAGCTACCACCGGAAGCTGTTCAAGCCGAGGATGCGGTCTTGACTACTCTGGGTAAGGCTATCGAATAAACAGCGCAAAGTAACGAAGTGGGGTCGGGGAACTGGGAACAATGATCGTGGAAAGTAGAGCGAGAACAAGGACTTGGGGGGGAGGCCCTTGAACCTGAAGTCGACTGATGACGAAACGAAACCACGCTGCACCATGTTTGCAGAAAATGATTGTCTGTGCTGCAGGATTGTCGGTGAATGTTCTGATCGTGTCAGTCTGGTGAGTTGTTGTAGTTGCTTCTGCGATGCCCATTACTCAATTCTTGACACGCGCTTTAGCTGGTGCAAAGTAGGGCTATGAGGCTGGTTGTGGAGCCAAGCACTGCTGTCGAAGAATGACTGTGAAACAGTGAAACAAGCCCTGCGCCGCACCATAAGCGGGCAAAGCCTTGACTCGCCCGCTCACATAACAAAGGTCGACTTAGTGGCCGGGCCGATGCGAAGTTGATTGTTTCAGCTTTCAGTGAAGCCAGGCACGGTACTTTTGTGCCATTATTGTGCTACATGCGTAATCAAGTGTCGCCTCACTGTCAACATCGCGATGCCGGATGTGTGCCGGTTGGGAGAAGGATAAGGACGACCTTCCCACTCGACATCACGTGTCTCCAGCCAGCTGGTGCCTGGATCGCCTGGCTCGCTGTCTGTGGGGAAATCAATAGACGCGCAGTAGAGCTTTCTCCAGAAACAACTATCCTTTGATGTTGCCCCGTATGTGGCGTATTGATTAAAGTCATAGCTGTCGGCAGTCGGGTTCGGAAAATTGCTTGGCAAGAAGCTGTAGTTAAAATTGGAGTTCACAGACAGGTTGAGGAGCGATAAGATAGTCGACCAGAAAATGAGCGTTCTAGTGGCTTGGATATGCCACTGCCCGCAAGCGGACGCCACATCCAAATATCGCCAATCACATTATCTACCAACTCTTGACCCAAGATTGCGGGAGCTGATCAATGGTGCGACTGCTCGTCGTAGGTATTTATGACCATCGAATTGTAGCAGTTCCTCTATGCAGCGCCTTGTGCGCTTACATACGGTACTTACATTTATGTAACCCTACATATTGGGGAAGATTGATTTTGACGAGACCTCAGTGTGGAAATAGTTCAATCCTTTGGACAAACACGATCAGACAAGTCTAGCCCCAATTCATAGGAAGACAACTCAGCAGAGGCCCATTTCCGTAGACCCAAGGTGGGTGGACGTTCGGGAGAAAGCTGCAGCAGGCGCGTGGTGTGATTCAGCTAGCTTACGGAAACGGGCCGCCAACCAATGCGGAGGTTTTCGTTCTCTGCGTTTGGGGATGAAGGCTTCGGGCTGCAGTAGTGAGCTTTACTGAGCCAACGGCGAACGTCGGCTAAACTGCTGGAATACTTTGAGCATATAATAGACAACGCATGTAAGATCGTGGGGTGGTTGCAGCAGAGTGCTAACGAGGCGTCGTCGGAAGCGCTTCTGGCTGGGATAAACCCTTTGCAGGTAGGCAGAAGGTTTTCGCAGCGTGATTGGATTATGAGATGCAGGTATGAGTTTGGTCTTGCACGGGATATTGAGTTCTGGCCAACGATCATAAGGTATCTTACAAGCCAATGCTAGGAGTCGGGAAGAGAGATGACTTCGTTCCTGAAAGCCGAATTTGTGTGCAACACAAGCAGGCCCGATATGTTCGGGCCTATCTTGTAGAGGTACGTAAGCTCCCGGTTATCGGGGCGCGTGCACATCAGTCGCATGCGTGCATTCTACAGTGGGCTGTAGATACTGATCGACACGGGGAGACGCGGTTGCGCTCCTCTCTCGGGACCAGGATTCTAAGAACTGCAACGACACAGGCGAAATGGACCGCACGGCTCATCAGACGAAGGTGGTGACTGGCTGGATTTTCGGCGGTGCAAGGCAACGTCATCACGAAGAGGAGAGGGACCCCGAAAATGTGGTCCAGGCAAACTTGCAGCTGGGATGAGTTGGAATTGTGGATGCGATCTCCACGACGCAGGTACCAGGGCCCAACGGCACGGCAGCGTCGGGCATTTCAGGTGTCCTTGCAGGAAAGCGCGAAGGCACTGGCTCTTGTTGCTTTGTGCGCCGCTGGGAAGCTGAGCTGAAGTGAGCTGAAGTGGTGCTCCGATAGTACGGGCCGTCCATATTCGTCGCAGGGAGCGCCCAGATGGTGCCTGAACCGTCACTTCTCAAAATGCCGTTACCATGCGGATGGAACGACGGCCTGGAAAAGCTCCAGTTTCAAGTGCGAACTGGTGCTGGCGCGGGCGTTCATCATGGCGCTGGCCGTCCGCATTGCACTGCGGAGGGATACTGATATTGATGGGTTCGTGAGTTTCGATGGAAGCAAGCTGATAGCAATGGGTCGCCGTGAGCCATGATGGAAGCATGCAGTCGAGGGTTGTGCTTTGTGCAAGCTGCACGAGGCGAGGCGTGCGAGCAAGACGCACCTTGTTCGCGGGAATGTGGCGCGGGAGATGTCGGTGTGCTGGCGCTCGAGTGGTTGCTTCCACCCGTTGCAGGTCGCGCTTTCCCATTGCAGCCGCGCAGGTCGCTCCTTCCTCAGAAGATCCTTCCTCAGAAGGGAAAAGCACGGCGGACTCGATCCCACAACACTCGTCCTACTTGGCTCCTTGGTGCCTCCACAGCACGCAATTGTGTGCGCAGCGTCCAGACAGTCCCACAGCGGCTCAGCAGCGCCCAAGCATTCGCCCTTTCCGTTGCACCGTCCTCCCACCACCTCGTGGCCGCCAGCAGCCAGCAGCCGACTGCAACGGTGACGGCTCAAGCAGCGCTTGCAAGAGGCTCACAACGTGCGCCCTGGTCGCGTGCATCAGCGCCTGTGCCTGCTGTGCCTGTGCCTCCAGCGCCAGCTTCCACGCCGTGGACCAGCGATTCCTGCGGTACCCGTCGATTGTTGCCCGAAGCGGCAGGCTATCATGGCGCAGTGCCGCACTCGCAAAGAAAACGTGCCGTGATGCGACCCCGGAGAGAGCCGTCGATGAGCCCGCTGAAGGAGAACTCCCGCCTCGGCGCTCTGCTAACTATCCTTGCGCTGGTTATGCTGGCCGTCTGAGGCCATCAGATTCGCGACAGCCCTGCAATAACAGACTCCGCTATGCCCCAACTGTTACCTGTCGGGGCTTTTGACACGAGCGTGATGCTCGTCGGCTGTTTCATCGCGCGAGGCAAGATCGCTGGTGGCTTGAACGGCCTACTAACTGCAAATGGAGCCCTACGTTGTGCTCTGCAACGTACACACGCTCTGTAGTGCGCACTCTTCCGACCACACCTGACCGCCTGCCCACTTCATTGCGCCGTCTGCGTGGATTGTGGTAGCTTCTGCATTTCTTCTCGATACTGGGCGCTTTCCTGGGGATGGAATCGCCATCTCAAGCTCCTCGGATCAGCGTACAGCGTACCCTTCACCAGCACAACACGCAGCGGAGGAACATCCGCCTCTATGCATCCGACCCGCGCTGCTCGCCTGACCGCGGCGGATGTCGTTCGGCCCTGCATCTCCTGCCCGTTCCCATTGCACCGACACTCATGCGCACCGTTCTGTTTCGCTCTGTTTCGTTTCGGGCGCACGACATCTGGATGACCTCGACATTGTCCACGCCATTAGTCTCCTCATCGAGAATCTGTGGTGAGACAATTCGCTGCCGATTCTTGGTCCAGTGCACGGCAGTGGCTCTCGCACGGGCTGATACTTTCGAGGACAACGTCCCTGCGAACTGACCCAATGGCGATCCCGGCGGCCATTTAGCCGTTTTATTTACAAACAGCAACCAATCAACGCGTCAAATACAACCCCTGTTATGTTGTAAATTGCCCTGCTGCCGTTATGTCGGGCCGCTGGCCTTACGGCTTCGATGCTGAGTGGCTTGAGCCTGTTCTCTGCTCTGGCCCCCCTTGTCCTAGACCCCTGATACTGCTTCCCCCACCCTGACATCCATCCTGGGCGGACTCAACTCGCCCACAGCCCGAACACAGATCCATGCTTCGAGGCCCTCCTTTCGTGCAGCACGCTGGATCCCTGCTAGCACGCTAACGTCGGCGAGCACAGAGCACAATTCACACCCTTCTCCACATGCCTCTCCGCTGCTCTGTGGACGCCCATGTACTTACGGATGCTATCCCTACCTCTGTTCGCGTTCTGCTGCCACCCGAGTTCCTCGACTCCTCCTCTTGCAAGAAGATGCTGCGCGACGAATACGCCTTCTAAGACGTCCACATCCCCTCCTTCTATATAGACAGAACAACACCAAAAGAAACGTCACTTCGATACACAGGCCCGGCAGTCACATTAACTCGTTTGGCCGTCCCGTCGCTTTTCGGACTGTCTGCCGCCATCGTTGTTAATCACTGCCACCTCAATCGATATTCCTTGCATCATACCATCGCCAGACAACGCATTGTCGCATTAAATCTGCGATATAGCCTGGGGCTGTCCTTCCTGTCAGCGAGACGCTTCACTGTGGTCCATCATCGCTTCAGTCATTGCTTTGGTTGCGGCTGGACCGTCCTCATTACAGGTAAGCCTATGGTGCGCACGATACTGTCGCGGCTGATATACTCGCCTCCTCCTCGTTGTTGTTATTATTTCCTGGGATTTACCCCCGGTCTTTCTTTGCGTTGTTCCCGTCCAATCCAGTCGCGTTCCTAGGGCTATCCTGGGCGTCGCGCATTATACGCCAACTTCTCTGACACGTCTAAGCAGATTATCGTTCTCTCAAATATCCCGTCCACGCACAACGCGACAGGTCCTCAGACTCCCCGACCTGCCACATATTACCCCATGAAGGTAGTCCTGACTAGTCTGGCCAGCGACTTGCGGAGTTCTGTGCACAACATCCAAGCACTCTGATCTATATTCTCATTGTTGAAGGTACTATTGCAAAACCATCGTGTTGTTTCGGCCATGTTTGCTTTGCAGAAAAACAACGCCTTTACAGCCTCCACCCAGTCATCCGTGGACTCACTCATCACAAGCAAGTCGACCTCGACGTCAGTGTCCGATGTTGGAGCGTCTCAAAGCTCAGAATTGTCATTCTATGGAGAACCGCATTCACCAGAGCAGCGCATAGGATCTTTGTCTGGCAAGAGACATTCTGTCTTCACTCTGCGATCTCGCAGCAACACGGCAACTTCGACTAGCTCTTTCGCGTCTCCATCTTCACCGAACATATCTGGGCATGACGCCTCATCAAGTCGGTCCATCTTCAAGAGCAAGAAGAGTAAAAGATTGAGTGGGTCGTTCTCGCATGTACACGACCACGATGAGCCGCAAGTAGGGGCCAGAAGGGCATCGATGCTGCGCAAGACCAAGAAGCAGGCTGAGCAACCAGAGAGTTTTGGTAGGTTAATCTCCCATTCACAATTCTGTTTCGCATCTAATGAAGGCAGCGCAAAACCTCAAGAACCGCATTTCAAGCCCCTTCGACTTCCAACACCTTACGCATACCAACCGGCACCATTTCGCCGCATTGGAAGAAGCCACCGAAAATGAGCTTGCTGCTGGTTTCCGCGCGGTCCGAGCCTCACAGGCGCCTCGTCGCAATCTTAACGGTATCAAGGCGCAAGACTTACACTCTTCGAACTGCTCAGAAGAAGATTTGGTGGGCCTTGAGCGACGGTCCATCTCTGCTATGGAACTCAGGCCGCCACCCGATTTTATCGATCACGTCGTCGAAGCGCAAGAGCCCGCCGCATCCCCCGAAAGCTCGATGCGACCCTCACTTCGGCAAAGTCGTTCCGTGGAGAGCTTTTCACGACCAGGGGTCAATGCTCGTACGCACCGCCATACCCAATCTGCCAACCCACCGCCTCGAGGATCATCCCGTCCTCCAGTCGCCGGTCATGATGACGCACAAGATACTGTTTCGATGCGCACGAACAGACAGTCGGGTGTGTGGGATAGTCTGGCCCCATTGAGTCCCACACGTATGGGTGGGGCCCTTTCTAGTATGGCTGAAGAACCCGACTACGTCGGACACGCCCTAACGACACCCGATGATTCGGCTATACATCCTTTCACTCCTCCATTCAGTCCCGGTCTTGAGGACGTTGCAGAGGAGCCAGAGCGCTTCATTAGCCCTAGGCCTGCACCCCCGCCACCAACCAAGTCTCCGAAGTCCCCTCGATCTCCTCGATCGCCCTCTCATGGATCCTTCTCTCTCAGTCAGCGATCCCCCGTTGCCAAGTCGCACGCTCGAAGAGACTCACATGTGTTACCAAAGCAGCTAAATACGCAGAGCATGATGCAGTCTACAACGCAGATGTCGGAGACCCTCGCGTCTCCTGGCCTCACTCGCAAATACTCAATCAGGAAGCCGCCTAGTGCTCGAAGAAAGTCAAATACGTGGAGAGTGATTGAAGAGTCTTGGGAAGATGACATTGACTACATCTACGATAACGCTCTAGAGGCCGAGTGCGAGCTGGACTGGGATGGGAACAACGACGATTGTGACCATTCACCTGAGCAACAGCCTCACCAACAGAGAACCACCATTGCGTCGAGTTCGAGCGCAGTACCGTCGCCGATGATAGAAGAAGAGCCACCATTGAGTCCAAGTCTGTTTGCCGGCAACTTTCGTGCGTCGTTGCTTGTCCCGAACATGAATAATGTCCCCGATTTGGAACCAAGATCTGCCATTTCCAGCTCTACAACGAGCGTGCAAACGCCTTCTGATTACTTCAACCCCCAGGGTCCGTTTGGCGAAGCTGGCCGCTTCAGTTTTACGCCGTCGCTCAAAGAGCAGATCCCTCGCGAGGATATGTACGACAACCTTCTGGCAGATTATGAAGGATCGGACAAACATTTTCCGCTTCTTGAACCGATCAGAAGTGTTGCCAGCTCGACGCGCAGCAGCCATGTCCGAGCTAGTAAGTGCAGCTCTTACGACAGTAGCATGATTTCCAGTGGCCATGGTTCAGGCTCATGGACAGCAGGCATTCGTCGTTCTGCAGGCTCTGCAGGGAGCCTTCCAGAGCTTGTTCACTCTTCGCGTGCCCCTCGTCAGGATCTCTCTACGGTTGTTGACAAGCTTGCTGAGGACATGGGCACATTCAACACTCAAGACGAGATCGACCTTGAAGACGACGAGGCTACTCCGCCAGGTCACACTTCACAAGAACGAACGTTCTTCGCCTCGGACGATGAGCAAGAACCGACGAACTTGGTGCAGACTGCCCTCGACGCAGAGATGAAGACTTCTCTTGAATTAGCTCGTCAGGGCTCCACTGCTTCTTCATCTCGGTCTCGAGCACACAAATATGCTTCTTCTGAAGGAGTTGCCAAGCTACTTACCCCGAGCAGCACCACTCGGAGCAGGGCCGAGAGCGTGCCACAGAAAGCTCGACTGAGCCTCTTCCCCACGCCGCCCAAGAACTAGGCCGTGTCTACACCGGCCTCCCCACTGGGCCTCGCCTTAGATCACTGTTGGACCGTCTAACATTGATTCCCTCCCATCAACTTTGCTTTATTTCATATGACGTTACGACTTTGCATTGCTTTCTTGTAAATATTGATGATCACAACTGGGTTGGCTATTCTCTCTGTTGTCAGCATTTGAGAAAGCCTGGAGTTATTCTAATTGGAGTGGGAAGACAAAAGCTATGTGCCAGGCTAAGTGTTTCTTTGGAGTCCTCTCTTGTTCATGTCTCAGTCACTGTCGTTTCCACTGTCTTCTTCCGCTCGTTGGTTCTCGGAGTTCATCTTCAGTGCGGCGTTCTTCTGCAGTTTAAATGCTGCATCGAGCCGAGTGTCGCACTCGCTCTGTACTATTTGCGCCCGCGCTGTTGGGTCTTGTCGACTTACAATTTCCTATGTCTTAGTAAGGGGCGGATGCTGGTACGAAGCGATGGACATGAGGCGGCTGGCTGCGTTGGGTTTAATGCCTGCTGTGGACATCTTGGGCTGGGTCAGTTGCTTGCAGATGATGGCCTATACAAGGTATTGCAATATAATATTGCTCTTCTCATTGCTCATTCCTGCTGATGCGTGCTACGTACTCGACTCCCAGTCGCGGTTGAAGTCTGGTGGCTTGCGAGTTTGCGCCGCCTGAATGCTGTGCGACATCGCGTAGACGCAACGATGAGGTGGCACGGTTCGAGATGCGTTTCGTGGTCGTGCCGCAGGTGAGGTACTTGTCGACCCATGGGCTTATCTATTGAAAGGAAGCAGATCAAACTGTGCAACTATGTGTATCAACCAGATTCGTCACTTGGGCGACCATCGTTTACAACGCATCCCGTTTGTTCCTTCCTCAGACAGTTCTCTGCAAAACGCGTGCATCCCCTCCACCAACACGGCTGGCTCGCGTGCCGCATCCGCACGCACGCCCTGCTCGTGTCGTTCCACCACTCACACCTCTCTTCTCCCTCCATTGCGGCAGACCCAAGTGCGGCCCGGATAAACCCCTCGGCAAGCTGTAGGCCTTGCAAGCACGATCTAGAACTTTCCCACCTATCCAGGTCGATGGACTGATATTAGCCCTCGCTTGTGTGCCGTTTGCAAACGGCACGCGAATCGAACATCAACGGTTGCCGTGCCGAAGCTAGCATCGCGAGCGCGCGAGTAAGTGGTTTTACCGCGCCTGTTTGGATGTACGTAAAGGCTGGGATGAGAGTCAGTGGTTTACCCAAACGAGCGCGAGGCGAGCGCCAGGTGGGTTCGGTATTTGTCGCGCTACGTGTATTTACCGCAGCCTTGTGTGCTAACCTGGTCTTAGGAGATCAGTGTTATCAAGAGCAGGGGCACGATCTGGGAAGCCGTGAAATAGCCGAGAAAGGGTTGCATGATGCACAAGAGAGTGCGGTACAAGTCGTACAGTGTTCTGCAGGTAGGCCGGGGTGTTGAGAGGTGTAATTTCCGTATTCGAGGTGGAGGTGGCGATCATGACCAGGCTTCTGGGATGAAGAAGGGTACATATTCACTAGAGGGACGTGCCGCTCTCATGCATTGTAGAGCCGATGGTAGATATCAATATCACGAGACATGTGCATGGCGTCTGTTGTGGCTTCTAGGCTGATTTTGGAGTCGATCTCCTCGCTTTGCGCACAGGCTTACGGCTAGACGTGGATGGCACGAATGAATTCAGGATGAATGGAGATGCGTGCGTGGCCGAGAGCGGCGTGAAGGTTGGCGCGCGTTTGCTCATGTACGCGCAGGCGCCACTTTCATATGTAAGGTTTGTTGGATGTAATGTCTTGTGATATGTGCATTGATTCGAATTGCAATACATATATGATTGTGCTTCTGAACACGGTCTGTGTACTGGCGACCTGCTGTGCAGTAAGTTGAAAGCTAAGCAACAGCAAAGGTACGAACGAGCTATCAAATAAATATATTGCTATTGCGGGGAATTCACCCACTCAAAAGGGTTTGGTTAAAAGGCGAGCAGACACTTTGGCTTGCCTCTGATATCAACTTCTGATCTGGTGGGTGGATTGGGCCCTTTTGGTGAAAAGGTGATGCGATCAAATGTTTCTGACATTGACTTCGGGCAATATATATATACTAGAAACATAAATTTCCAACCCTCAAAAGCAATGTTGTGTAGTATTTGTGGTGTTGCTGAGGGATGTAAGCGACTCCAGGCGCTGATTGTAGTGTGGGTACCCGAAAAAGCAAAGTCTTCATTGGTCGGCTCGTGCGAACAGCTCGTCAGGCTGAGAAGTGATCAAGCAGAGGGGCACAAGGCTTCTGCGATGAGCTTCCGAAGATACTCATTTCCAAGCCACAACGGTCTATGAGCATTGGATACAACTGTCGCACCTTCTCGAAATCACATCATCGTCCAGTTTCAGTTTCGTTCGTGGATTTCCCGGCCAAGTAATCATCAGTGACAATGAAAAAACAATCTATGAACAAAACCCGCGCAACATTGTAGCCTCTACATGTTGAGCCAGAGCTTATTGTTGCGAAGACACCGATGGGAATACTCTAAAATGAAGCAATCTCTCGTGATTCAGAGTTGCTAAGGCTGGAATTAGCTTTAATTTTTACACCAGCTCTGGTTGCCGCGGTATTCCGGCGTTGGATAAAGCAGCACACTTGGGAAATAATATCCATGACGATCGATTATCTCAAGGCAATTTGGTGTGGCCTCTCGCCGGACACCTAAAACCGCCGCTCAAGCCTGGAATGATAAGGGTAAGTAGCCAATGTGTAAGTGACCATCAACCTCCATGTTATGGGTTTGGCTAAACATTCTACTTTCTTTAGCTGCTAGAAGAGCAAACAAGGTATAGAAATCTCCTGAAGAACAGGGGCGTCTCTGGGAACACGTTGGATATCTATACGGAGAAAACATGCGCAAATCCAAGACGCTACACTTGACCAATTTCTGCCTCGGAATAAAGATACTCACCGAAAAGATCAGGAACAGAGAACATATGCTTGGAGAAGCGCCTTGGGTTTCGTCAGCGGATGCTTGTGCTTAACCGAAAGTCCCACTGGAGTCAAGACGAGCTTTCCATGCACATGCAGCGACCTTCCATTCTCCGCTGCACCAATGCCTACCACCTCGGCCCCAGCCCTGACACATGCTTTTCGTACTCGTAATAACTAGCCCTCTACAAAACGCCATCTTAGCCTCAAATTAGTTTTCCATCGTGCCCCAAGTATCCTCTGAAACCTCTTCACCCGGGCCGCATATGACGTATAATCGTATCTGCAAGGTCCCGAGACATCACCCCGAAAAGCAAAATCGCATTTCCACACCACGGATCTCGAAGTAACTTGTACAGTGTGAAGCGAGTGTCAATCATGCCTGATACACAGCATCTATCCTCGCTCGTCCCCCTCCCTCAGATCTTCGATTTCCCTTCGTTCCCTGCAGGCCCCTTCAAGGCACAAGTCTGCGTCATTGTCGCAACCAGCCTCATCTCTCCCCCCTCCTCCCCGTCTTCCTCAGTCGACCCCATCTCTCGCCATAAATTTGCCTGCACATAGTCCCTCTCATCACGGGCAGACTGGCAAGTATGCTCCCTAACATGCCACGCAGTTGCATCCAGCTCGTCGACATGAAACCGCAGTGCAAAGTCTAGCGTAGCATACACCTGTACCTTCCCGGGACCTGCATGTGCCCACCAAGGAGCAATGACCGAGGTCCAGGTATCGAGAAAGTGAGCGAAGAAGCAAGCTGAGGCTGCGGAAGTGGTTGGAGGTAAACGCGCTTCTGTGCTTTGCGACTTTGTACTTTCGAGAGGTAATGTCTTGCGCAGCTGGATCCAGTCATACGATGCTTTCTGTGCATACGGAAAATCTCTTTGAGTAGTCTCTTTGTCGAGACGAAGGCCAATTGATTGCTGGTCCAACATTCCCTCGGGGCAATAGCGGTTGTGCCAGATGTCCAGTAGGTCGAAGAACGGTTTCATGTACGCTAGCCTTTTTTTGTCGACCCTGCCGTTTGCAGCGTCGACCCGGAGCTTATCGTGAATGTCTTGCAACTTCGAGTGGGGGGTGATAGGTGATATCCGTGGCTGAGCCGAGAACGAAACGACTGTCCTATCTGTAGCTTTGGCAACGAAGTCTACAAGTATGACGCTCGTTGTGCGGATTTTGCCAGATTTGTCGGAGGCTGGCTGAGATACAGTGATTTGCCGTGTTGCGAAGCCTCGTGTGTCGCGAAGGGATGTGACTTTTAGGTTGAGGGGAACGGAGCAGCGAGTAGCGCCGTAGAAATGGCCGAGTACTGAGTAGAGACGCAGAGTGGGTAGTCGCGCTGGCTCTATCGTCTGGTATGCTGCATGAATAGCCTGTGCTAGTGTGCTGCCGCCAAAGGCCACATCCGCCGCTGTGTTGAGAGGGCTCGGTGGCTGGCTCGATTGGAAGCGCCAGCTGCTATCTGAGTCCTGATCTAAGGAGCGAAGAGCCAGGATTGAGGCAGCGTCGAGCATTGCGACGTTTGTAATGACTTGAGGTTCAGAGTATGTAAGTACTGCGAAAGCTCAAGGGTCTCTTGCGACGGAAAGATGGGCATGAACGGGTTGGTTATACCAGAAGATGCTTATACAGGATCAATAAGCTCTTTATAGTGTTTCATGACTCGAGCTCGATGCATCTATGCGCGAGATAGTCACCGTGAGCCCAGCGGCGCCGTAGTCCCGAGGTTGTTCACTGCTTACGCCAAGCATCTCCGCACGTGGCAGAGCTAGCATTGCCATCGACATACAGCCAAACTACAGCAACTTGAACGAAGATGACATTGCGTTTTTTTGAGGCTTATAGCGATGGCGGGGTCAATCGTCAGGATCAAAGGTGGGGCCGAGTCATCTTAGTCAAGTTGTAGCCGCAACAAGATCAGGCCATGCGTCCTTGTGTAGTATTTGGAAAATGTTCGAGATGATGATACTCTGACGTTCAATTTGAGTACTGGTAGACTAGCGTTTGTCCCGCATGTCAACCACACGCAAAACCCGTTCTCAGTGAACCCTGACCCATTAAGGATCAGGATCTGTCAAGCACATGCTCGACTAGACTAGCTCCTACGATCTCCTGAACCCAATGCCAGAAGCATTCCTCCATTCCCTCAACCTAGAACGAAAGCGGTAGATTGAATGATAGAAGGTAGCCATCGTATTACAATAGGGGTATACCTAAGCTCTCCAAATCACAACGCTCTTATGCAAACAAAAGGAATCCAACCCAATGACAGACACAAAATCAAAGCCTTACCCAAGCACCCGCTATCTTCCAACCATAACAATACTCGGCGCCAAACAATGCAAATGAGGATCCCGCCCTTAAGCAAACAGCAATTTCTGTCTACTTAGTCTTATCACCTAAGCGCGCCGTCTCTTGGCGGTGCAAGATCCAAGCTCTTCAAGAACGTGCCCTGAGTGTTAGCCCTCGCAAGGACAGTCAACCTGGTCTCAGCCGAGACATCCTAACTCCCGTTCACGAGGCCATTGCCGTTGTTCGCGCCGCCCATGTACCGCTCCATGTAGGTGATGTAGTCGTATTTGGGAATGTTGCGATCTTCCTGCATGTCAGGACCCTTGTGTTCTGGCATGCTTGCGATAAGGTCTTCGATGATCTCGTCAGGGACGAGCGAGTGGCGAAGGTCGAGCTCGGTGACATATGGCTATGTTGTATGAGTAATCGCGCAATCTGGGACAGGTAGGAGAAGGGTATGCTTACCTTGCCGTCAGCAACCTCCTTGAACGACTCGAACACCTGCTCCGCTGTGTTCTGGTCTTCCGTCTCATCAACCATGAATCGAATAAACTGCTCAAAGGTGACGTAGTCGCGTCCTCCGCTCGTGTCACGGAACTTCTGGTGCATCTCTTCCTCGTCGTAAACGAGACCCAGACTGGCCAGCGCCGCCGAAAATTCTAGCTCCTGCAGTGAATTCGACGCATCGCGATCGAAATGTCTGAATACAGATTCGAACTCTTCTAATTGTATTGGCGTTAAATTTGTCATGTTGCGAGCTACCATTTGGTTCTCCAAGAAAGCGAGCTTTTTCGAGACGGATGACTTCACCAAACCAAGTTCGTATTCGAGTTCGTCGTAGGTATATGTTGTGTAGTCATTCTCTTCAATGTTGGCTTCTTCGCACTGCTCGTCGAGTGAGGCGATGAGATCCAGATACTGGTCTAAAGGCGCGAGGTTATCGCTAATCTTCTTCGTGTGTTCCATTTGATCTTCTACATCGCCTTCCAGGCCAGAAAGTGATATCGACAATGTATTCAAGGCGAGTGCGAAGTCGTTGGCTTTATCGGCAAAGGATTTTCGAAGTGCGTTCTTGATATCGCGTATGGTCTCATTGATGACTTGCGAGCGGTCGCGCTCAGCTTTCATGAGGTTTGACCAAGCTGTATCCAAAGCTTCCAAGCTAAGTTCTGCTGGAGGTTCATATGGGTTCAAACGGTATGTTGATAGTTTCGTCTTGATGTTACCCAAGAGCCCGGCGACTTCTGACTTCTCCGCGACCCATGCGCGTTTGTTCTTGCGTTTGTATTCTGTGAACTTGCCCGACTGAGCTTTTGCATCCGCGTATGAACCATCGAAAGTGGCCTCTTCCCACTGTTTACGCTGCTCGGCAATTTGTCGCAGCAGCGCACGCATCCGCTGCTCAAAGTTGTTCTGCATTTCCCATGCGCCATGCATATTCTGTACGAACTTCTCTACCCGGCGACCGGCATTCTCGACACGCTCCATCTGCGAGAAGGCGTGGAACCAGTAAGCGATGTAGGTCATGAGGGAGCGCTCGTCGGGTTTGGCTACGTCGCAAACGTCTTCTACATCGAGCAGATCGGGTATGCCAATCTCTTTGGATGCTATGTCAAACGCAAGTTGCATGTTTCCACGGTGATCGCTCTTGTCTAGACTATCGTAGTCGATCAGGTCGGGTCGATGGATATCTAGGAGCGCACAACTGTTTGCCTGTCAGTCCTTGTTTGAGAAGACCTCACAGTCAACCTACAATGCCAGCCCATCGTTCCAGCTTGTCGAGAAGTCCCGAACTTCGACCTCATCGTAGCATGCCGTCTTCCGCTGACACCATAATAGCAGACCCTCCTTAGCACTCAACCCCTCCTCGTTGATGTCGCTAATGGTGAATCTCAGGATCAAAGTCCATATCAGGCCTAGTATAATCTTGCTATTGCCGTCGACAACGTCTTCTGCACCAATGTTGGTCATCTGGATGCCCCTTCTTTTGATGTAGTCCAGCGACTTATTGACATTCTCAAACTTCTGCACGCGGAGCTTCGGTCGGGAGGCATAGCGGCCGAGCGATTCATTGCTTAGGATCTCGAGGAGGTGTACAAGGGCGATCTAGGGCAGTCAGTAAACAAAGGACAACATGGCCGTCGAACGATGGGCAGGGGCAAGGGAGGACGGGAGAGGGTGACTGACACCGTCGGACAGGTCTAGGATTAGGTCATTGATCTCAAGCTCGCGGGCTTTGAGTTTGCTGTTGAGCCTGTAGCAATACGCTTAGTACGGGGTGTTCGGGGTGTTTGGCGGGGGATGCGCACCACTTTGTGAAGGTCTTCTGCTGGACCTTGACCCATTGCTGCTCAAGCGGGGCCATGGCGAACGATGAACATGAAGACTACGAAGTCTGTGTGCGTACTCGAAAAGGGTGCATGCGGTAGGAATATGGGCGGAGAGTCTATTGGGCGTGGTGTGCTGCTGCTGCTTGGTGGGTTGCGAATCGGCGGCCAAAACAAATGGGGCTGCCGCGAGTCGGCTGGGTCGAGGCGGGGGTCCGCAAAACACCGTTGTCACCCTGTCGTTGGCTCGCCCTACAACCGCGATATCAAACCCGGTCGACCAATGTTCTTGCGCAATCCAGCTTCAATCGTAACTTGACTTCCAAATTGCTTTTACGAGGCTGCCTTGACCCTGCCTGCGCGACCGAGAACTGCGGGAAATAGGCAGTCGCATGAATTTGCGCCTTCCACCTCTTGCAGGCTTCGCGTCTTCTTCCTGGTGGCATCATGGATGCAGGCTATGCTGAAACTGCGCCATCGCTTCCCTACCATGAGCCGGCTATAGTCACATCCTTGTCCAGTCGTCACTCCTGCTGCTACTTAACGTTGTCAACGCTGTGCTCGACCGCCTCGTCTACTGTGGGCTTTTGGGGCAAGTGTTGGTAGGCATCACGTGGGGAACTCCTGGTGCCAAATGGCTTTCATCCGAGGTCGAGGAAGTCATCGTCCAATTGGGCTATATTGGCCTGATTCTACTTGTTTACGAAGGTATCCAATCACCCCGACAGAACTTCCATCGTCGCATTCTCTAGCTCATATCAGATCTCATAGTGCTCATCAAGCTTCGATTGGAATAGATAGTAATAGAAATGAACGCTGACATATTCAGGGGGCCTTTCGACTTCTTTTAGATCGCTGAAGGCTAACCTCGTGCTCTCCTCTGCCGTAGCCCTTACCGGCATGGGAGTACCTATGTGCCTTTCCTACATCCTTCAACCACTTCTAGGAGCAACCGCAATCCAAGCGTTCGCGGCTGGAGCTGCACTATGCTCGACAAGTCTAGGCACCACCTTCACAGTGCTTGCCTCAAGCGGCTTGTCGTCAAGCAGACTGGGTGTCGTCTTGACCAGCGCTGCCATGATGGACGACGTCGTAGGACTTGTCATGGTCCAGGTCATCTCGAACATAGGAGGAGGAGATATTAGTGCCGTGACCGTAATTCGCCCTGTTCTGGTCTCGGTCGCATTTGCAGTCTTCGTACCTTTCCTGTGCTGTTTATGTTTTAAGCCTTCAACCATAGTACTGAACCGCTTTCGCAAGAACCACCCGGACGCTTGGATCGCCAAGTTGTTATGCCTAAGACAAACAGCCCTGGTACTTCATACCAGTCTTCTGCTGGGCCTTGTCACGGGCGCCAGCTATGCAGGTACATCAAACTTGTTTGCCGCATATATTGCGGGAGCAGTCATTAGCTGGTGGGATAGTGAGGTACCTCATCCGGTTAACAAGCCAGGAAACCAAGCATCTCAGGAGAAGGCGAAGGCAAACCTGCGCGATTCACCTCGCGAGAGAGGAGAGATTCTTGCGGGAGAGGATACTCAACGTAATGCCAGTCAAGAATGTGAAGGAGAGCGCAATCGTGACAGTACAACGCAGGAGAAGCCGGAAGTCGAGAACGACACTTCTGGGACCGCTGTCTACGAGCGATATTATCAACAGGCTGTGGGTAGAGTTCTACAGCCGTTGTTTTTCGCTTCTATTGGCTTTTCCATCCCAATCACGCGGATGTTCCGAGGTTCCGTTGTATGGCGCGGCATCGTCTACACGATCCTGATGGCTTTGGGAAAACTTGTTTGCGGTCTTTGGCTTGTCCGCTTCTCTTTGACGCCTCTAAAGGAATCCTTGAACAAGACACTAGCTCAACTAAGGCTGCCTTCGATGCCTCACCTATGGGGAAAGAAGAATAGCAGCACTGGCCGGTCACGACCTACAAGTGCGCAGGAAGGACAGCAAAACACCAACCCCGAGACAGACCGACATACATCGCCTGTACAGAAGCCGTTTTCTCTGCACCCACCCCTCATATTGGCTTGCGCGATGACAGCCCGTGGAGAGATTGGCTTTCTAGTCTCCTCAGTAGCTGAGTCGAACGGAGTGTTCTCGTCAAGGAGCCAAGAGCATGGCTCAAACTCAGATATATTCCTCATTGTAACGTGGGCCATTGTCTTGTGCACGATCCTCGGACCGCTAGGTGTGGGTCTGTCGGTGCGTAGGGTGAAGAGGCTTGAGGAGGAGAAGAACGGGGAACAGGAAGGATCTGGAAGGGATGTCCTCGGCGCATGGGGTGTGGAATAGCTTGTAGGCCACGCAAGTTTGGCGTTTGACATGCTCGGTAACTGGTAACCCGGCGGGCGTGGAAAGTCACAGTGGCACCTTCCTGATGGCAGGTCCGCGGGTCGCGCCTTCCAGTACAAATAGTCACTGCCACTTGGCAGGACACCGCAAACCACCGGCAGCTGTCCTTCCGAATTGCTATGTGGATTTCACATCTGGTAATCTTAAGGCCCAGAGGCTCAAAGCTTCGCAGTTGCAACTTGAAATCATCGATCGACCTGGGATTGCCTATTACTGCAAGCTCTGGTCTTGCTGTGTTTGTTCGCCTCGGTAAGGATGCTCAGGAGAACGTCGTCCGGCCGCCTGGCTGCACATATGACGTCTTGCACCGGAAACGCTGTTACACCTGTGCACTGCATGCGCATTTGATACACAACCCCAGCATTGAAACGCGGGAAAGCGGCCGTTTGGGGGGGAATGCCGTACATGTGGGTCTAGGCGCAAAACAGAAAGAGATCGGACATGATCGCTTGAAGAATAATCCGAATCACTTTCCGCGCGCGAGAATCTGTGGTCGAGGGGTGGAGCCGCACGCTACTACTGTACAGGGGCGAGCAGACGTGGACAACAAACATCGACTTTGAACACCATCACTGGGCATCAGCACGCACATGTGACATGGCAAGCTTGGAATGGACAATTGTGGCGGGCGCGGCTGGACGCCGTTGGCGGTTGGTGGGTTTGGTAGCAAGGCAAGGGCGTTTCAGTCGCGCGACTCTCTGATTTAGGCGGACGTCTGAAACGTTGATCTGGGCGAAGATGGCAGAGCCGCCGGCGCTCTTTGCACTCAAGCTTTCGCCCGCCCGCTGCTGGAGCCGTGGGTTGCGTCGCGCGTGCTAGTGCGGGAAACACTCCCGCGCTGTGTGTTGCTGCAAAGAATGCTCACAGAATCCTTCATATTACCCACCACCCTATGAAGGCCCAGTGCAAGATTCATTGGCTGCTGTATCTTCTTTGAGGCTTAGAGAGGTGTCAGCAGCATCACGTGCCCCGTGTCGCTGCTTTAGCCTGGCGGACTCGACCAAGCTAGCTGTCGAAGACGCCGCTACGCTACGCCCATCGACGTCTCCCCACCCACAACCACGCTCCTCTCGCCCTTTTGCTCCTGTCGGACGCCTGCGAGCACCTCTGCTTCGCGCCGGAACGCCTGAGCCTCCTATGTCGGCGTCTACCTAGGGCTCACTCTCTGGCAGCGACATCGATTGGCCGCGGCTCGCTCGCTTTCACCGACTGCTACCCACCCAGCCTTCCGCACCCACGACTCGCCCTTCCCGCTACGCTGGTACCCACAGCATTCACTCTTCTTCAGGGGCTTGAGTGTACTCGACCACAGGGCATTTTCTTTCCTCCGCCGCTGGCAACGGCATTTCACACGCCTTTCTGTCCAGTCGACTCCCCCGCATTCGCAGCAACATTAGGCGCCTTGCGGCAACCACAGCATTCGCAGACAGTATTGTCGGATCCTGTAATAATTAGTACACCCTCGCGCGCCTAACCGTGACTCCAAGTGAGTACTCACTCAAACGGGGTTGTCACAGAACTTCTTGGCCCCCCCTTCAACCCCCCATTCCAGCATCGGGCTCCTTACCACCGCTCAAGTGCGCCTGCAACGCTTTCTCCGCAACACCACGCACTGTCAGGCTAATATCTACGCAGAATGTATTCCCGCGATCAATTCATGAACCCGGGGCCCGCCCCGCGGCCCCCTACTGACCGACCTCGCCTCGCTCTGACCCCAAATACTAGCAACACGCTCCCCGGAAACATGGCCGGCATGAGCTTACAATCCCCCGCCTACAGCACCAGCGGAGGATACGGCAATGGCTCGACTACGTCCCTGATGCGCACGCAGTCCGAAAAGAGCATGTCGTCAAATGCAACGGTCAAGGAGGGCAACGTCAAGGTCAAAGATGAGGGTCTTTTTAAGTCTTTCGTCTGGGCCGATCGGTGGCTTGTCCTTCGTGAGTTTGAGCTCACCTTCTTCAAAAGCCCGAACTCTTCCAAGGTGGCGAATACGATCCAGCTTCGCGACGTGCTTGGCGTGGAGCGTTCAGATACCCAGCCTCTTTCATTTGAAATTACCAGGTCACTGAACCCCAACAAGGGTTCTTCTCCGCCCCGCGACGGTCCTACTAAGATCATCACTTGCAAAGTAGAGACCGATGACGAGGTCTATTCATGGATAGACAGCATTTACCAACGCTGCCCTAGCATGGGTGGGGTCAGCAACCCCACCAACTTTACTCACAGAGTACACGTAGGCTTTGACCCAACGAGCGGTGCCTTCGTCGGTTTGCCGGTAGAATGGGAAAAGCTGCTCACTGCTTCGGCACTTACCAAGGATGACTACGCGAAGAACCCAAAGGCTGTTCTGGAGGTATTGGAGTTCTACACAGAGAAGCTAGTCAAGCGCGCAGATGACCCAGCACAATATCCTAGCCTGACACCCACACCGCCCGTCAACGCTGGCATGGAGAAACAACTTGGATACGCTGCCGGTGGCAGTTCCATTGCACCACCTCGTCCTGCCCCACCAAACGGCTACGCTCGCAAGGACAGCTACAGCTTGGCTCGACAGGACACCCCACCTACCTCTGGCTACGCAACGTCACAAGGTCAAGACCCTCGTTATGAGCAACAGCGACGTATGGAACAAGAACGAGCACGCGAGCAGCAGAGGGCGCGTGAGAGGGAAGAGTACGACCGACGGGAACGAGAAGAGTTGGCTGCCTACAATGCATCCTTACCGCAGAAAAAGTTACCGATGGCACAACAAGAGTTCGGAGGTGGCTATGATTCGCGAGAACAAAGTCCATCGGGAACATCGCGTTACAATCCTAGCCGTCCAGCTCCATCAACTCCGGGTGGTTCAAGAGGCCCGCAGCAGCAACAGCAGCAGCAGCAACAACAACAACAACAGCAACAACAACAACCTGCGGCTCTGCGCCAGATGCAAGCTCAACGTCCCGCTCCCTCTGCCCCCCGGCAACAGAACGGCAATGGTTATGGTGCGCCAGCCACTCAGGCACAACGCCCTCCCGTTCAGCCGAACTCGAAGTACCAGAACTCGGCCAACCAGGTACCTCAGGCACGCCCGCCGCAAACCCAACCGCAACAGAAACAATATCAGAGCTCTGCTGCGCCCAAGCCTTTGAACGTAGTGGCCAAACAGCCTGCTGCAGCTCCTGCTAGTGATGCCGTAAAGAAAGCAGAGCAAGCACTCACCGCCAAGAAGGAAGAGACGCCTCGCAAAGATGTGCGCATGTCCAGCATGTCAGAAAGTGAGGTCATGGCCAAGCTCCGCGAAGTCGTATCGAAAGACAAGCCTTTGGATTCGTACAACAAGCAGAAGAAAATCGGACAGGGTGCCTCAGGTTCGGTGTACGTTGCCCGGATCCGTGAGGGCGCCACATCTCCAATGGCACAGAAACTGCTACGGGAGAACGGTCCTCGGGCTCAAGTCGCTATCAAGCAGATGGACCTGCGCAATCAGCCACGTAAGGAGTTGATCGTTAACGAGATCATCGTCATGAAAGACAGCCATCACCCCAACATTGTCGACTTCTTGGATGCATTCTTGCAGGAAGAACAATCGGAATTGTGGGTGGTCATGGAGTTCATGGAAGGAGGTGCCTTGACAGATGTCATCGATAATAACCCTTCCATTAGTGAAGATCAGATCGCCACTATTTGCTTAGAGGTGAGTGCTCATTCGTGTTTCCTGGGCATATACTGACCATGTGATAGACATGCAAGGGTTTGGAAGATCTGCACACCAAGAACATCATTCACCGTGATATCAAAAGTGATAACGTGCTACTGGACGGGCGCGGCCGCGTCAAAATCAGTACGTTCCTGGTTCATTCCGATGTACCGAAATTCTGCATGCTAACCTAATAACAGCCGATTTTGGTTTTTGCGCAAAGCTTACCGAACAACGCAGCAAGCGTGCGACCATGGTCGGAACACCCTACTGGATGGCCCCGGAAGTCGTCAAGCAGAAAGAGTACGGCAACAAGGTGGACATCTGGTCGCTGGGTATCATGGCCATTGAGATGATCGAGTCTGAACCACCATATCTGAACGAGGAGCCACTGAAGGCACTTTACCTCATCGCGACCAACGGTACCCCCAGGCTCAAGAAGCCCGACAAGCTTTCCAAAGAGCTGAAGGCCTTCTTGTCCGTGTGTCTTTGCGTGGACGTCAAGTCCAGAGCCAGTGCTTCGGAGCTGATCAGCCATGACTTCCTCAAGACCGGATGCGGCCTCGCTGGTCTATCCCAGCTTCTTACCTTCCGAAAGAACGGCAGCCACTAGAACGGTTTACCTTGAAGCTTTCTTCGCCTTATATCGATCGATACCCTTCCTCATAAATACATATACTAACTGCGCTCTCCTCTGCCTCTATTGTACCAGCGATCTTCACACAGCTTGACGAGATCGTAAAAGCGCAACCGGATCCATCTTGAGTTTATTTCCAGAATTGTTGGTGGGCTGCCTTTGAGATATGGGTTGAGTTTAAGATGTGCATCTACTCGACGAGACATGCCACGAACTGGCTTCGTCTTGCACGCGAGCAATGTGAATACGCACATGTTGTTACGGCTGGCTCTTTTTCGCTCCTTTCCGCGCATCGCATAGGATCAGTCTATTGGAGGGAACGAGGTCGAACGCGAGCGCAAGCTACGGCTGCGCAAAATAGGCGTAGCATGGCGCGCATGGGAATTCTGCTTCACGTTAATGAAGATGATAGATTTACGAATTGAAAAGTTCCGGCCCGGGAGAGATGCAGGGTGCCAAGTGATTCTTCCCAATTTGTGCGTGAGTGGCGACGTGCGTTGGTGGGCACTGACTGACTGTTGGCTACCTGCTTCTGTTCTTACTCCAACACCTCAAGCCACTGCTTCTCCATCACAGTGTCTTCGGCAACATCGGCCTCAAGAAATGGGCCAAACAATAGGTCTTTGATTTTCTGATTCTTTGCATCATCCGCACTATCCTCTCGTCACATCCTCACAAATTCTCAACCACAAACGTACAATGCTAGTATACTATGATTACAGAGTGTAAGAGACGTGAGAGGTGATCGGTAAGTTCCTTGACTCCGTCTCCAAATGTTGCTACGATCCCGCCACCTCCTTTCAAGCGCTCACATCCGAATTACTTCCACCCTTGACCGGCTTTCTCAAGTCGTTGTCGACTACATCATCCAGCACTGTCTCTCCCCTCTTCTGAGCCTTCACCCTTGCTAACTTGAGCCTCCGTGTATCCTGCTCCGACTTTCGCGTCATCCACCACGTCCCCAAGGTCGTTAGGATACAAGCTGATACGAAGCTCATCGCGATGCCGAAACTGACGCCGTAGTGTGGTGCATATCTGCTTTGGAACAGATGCGGTCCGATAGCTCCACCTATAAAGGGTCAGTATAATCTAATACAAGGGGGAACAAGCAGTGTTATTGGATTTTGAACAAGCGATGAAGAGGCCTCCCTTCGCTGCAAAGACAACTGCACTTTGAACCCAAGGTCGACTTACCGATCTGACCATAACTATTGACGAAGCCGATGGAGAACGCAGAGCCTGTGGCTTTGGATGTCGTCTGTACGCGCCATGGCCACATCATCGGGTACTTTCTTTCATTAGCTGAGACGCTGACTTTATGCTGGAGAGTCACGTACCCATGCGGACGTTAAGCCGTTACCTATCAGTGTTGCTGCGTACACACCACCACTGTTAGGGTAAGCGTACAACGTCCCATAACAAGCCAGAATAACGATCAGGAAAGACAGTGGATACAGCGGCCGTGGTAGTCGCCCGTTGTCAGCGGATGCTCCGGTGATACCAATGACGATAATGCTAAAGATCGAAATAGGTAAGTTCAGAAGCTGCGCGGATGCAATATCAGTGTACCCAAGATCCGCTATCACAGTAGGTTGATAGAAGCGGACACCGCTAGTTCCAATGGTAAACAGCGCCCAGATGAGCGTGAAAACCCAAAGTCGTATGTCCTTCAACGACTCGACGATTTCACGCCAGTTGAAGTTCATTTCTGCGGCTTGCGGTGCGTTTCCGGGGAGACGCGCTTGGATAAAGGCCTTTTCTTTTTCGGTGAGCCATTTTGCCTGCGGTGGGAAATCGGGGAAGATCCAGTATACGGTGATGCCGAAGGCGATGGTGATGATACCCTCCACGAGGAAGATCCATTGCCAACCAGAGAGACCGTGGGCACCGTCTAGGTGGGAGAAGGCAAAGGCAAGGAGCCCGCTTACGACGCCGGAGAGGTTACCCAGGATATCTTCAAGGAAGTGAGTTTTGGATGAATGCAGTGATTGGTGAGTTCTGAGCTTACAGAAATAGAGTAATCGGACGGACATTTCGTCAGGTCGATACCAGTAGCACATTTGTAGTATGACACCAGGAAATAGTCCCGCCTCAAACTAACGGAAGGAAAACGGTCAGCATCGCGCATCACATGTTGTGGAATTAGGCACACTTACAAGTCCAAGAAAGAACCTCGCAACATACAAACCCTCCTTATTCGTCACAGCAGCATGACAAGCCAACGCAATGCCCCAAGTAACCATGATTCGCGACTGCCAACGCGAAGGCAGTAATTTCTTGATCAAGAGATTCGAAGGTGCCTCAGCAACAATATACGGAACATAATACAACGTAGTGACCAGATTGTACTCGTTCGAAGTCATTCCAAGCTGGTTCATGATGTTTGTTGGACTGCCTTTGTTCATAACACGCGCATTGGATACGTTGTCCGCGTCGATGTTCTTGAGCAGGAACATAATGGAACAGAGGGTCATGAGGCGCCAATCGATGTTCCGAAGAAGCTTCTTCTCCTCCTCGGCGGAGAGAAGGGCTCGCGCGCGCATGCGTTCGGCATCGTAACCTTCGATGTCTGGGTCGGCTGCTGTACCTGTAACGATGGAACCGCGTCGTACATAGTGAAAGTCTTCGCCATGGTTGGAGGCTATGGCGCTCGAGGCCGTAGCGGTTTGCTCCTTGGTGTCGACCATTGTGAGAGGACGTAAGGATGCTTGTCATCGTCAAAGTCTAGCTCTTCTATTTAAGACTGGCAAATTAACAGGGCTACGCACGCGTCGTCTCGAGCCAGCCAATGCTGCATCATCTTCGACAAGCATCGTGCCATTCAATCCAACTAGACTCTAGATGGCATACTTGTTCACTATGTGGGGTGTAAAGAGTGGGCGATACGCGACTCAAGGCATGTCTCACGGACATAGGCACGCTTTCTGGTGCAGGAAATGGTCGTTAGTCGCAAGCACGCTATGCAAGCCCTCAGTGACGACAATCCACTAAGAAGAACCTTTGATAACAGGCTTATAGATGATTCACCTCGCGATGATCTTTGGCCGAACTTGGATGGGTAGTTGCGTGCTCTCGCCAAGGATCACGACAGCCCTGCATAAGCTTGCGGCAGCTTAACCATACACCCGCATTGCGCTAAGTCTGACGTTCGGCTTATTGCCGAACCATCTTGCGGGGTCAGTGTGTATTTAGTCGGGCGAACCTACTCGAGGAACTGAAGCCATTCGAGCATCATTGATCTAACAACATGGCTACCATTGTGGAAACTTCCAGAGCGGAGACTCCCGTTCTGACTTACAATCAAGTTCCAGAAACACAATTCGAGCGTGAGTGATAGTCAAGATGTAGACGGTTGGCATGCTGATGTTTGCAGTCCTATGGGCAGATCTCGCCACCCTCGACCTCTCCCTCTTCGACACACCAGGTGGAAAAGAGAAGCTTGCAAAGCAGCTCCTCCAAGCTATCGACAAGATCGGTAATCTAACCAACCACCATATCACATTTCCACTGACCCAGCCAGGATTCTTCTACATCACCAACTTTGGCCTTAGTCAAGAAGCAGTCGACCGCCAATTCGCCATCGGGAAAGAGCTCTTCAACCTCCCCACCTCAGAAAAGCTCAAATACCGCGCCGACCTTGAGAATGGCGGGTACAACGGCTACAAGCCCCTTGGACTGCGCGAAGTACGTCCCGGCATCCAAGACAACACCGAAATCTACAATATCCCCAAGTTCATCCCGGAGCTGGAGCGCTCGCACCCAGCCATCATCAATGCGCACCGCGAGGAGATTGAGCAGTTCGCACGCCACATCAACGACGATGTTGTGGGGAAGTTACTGGTTTTGCTCGCCATCATTTTAGAGTTGCCTGAGAATTTCTTTCTGGAAAAGCACCGGTATGACCAGAAGAGTGACTGTCATTTGAGATACATGAAGTACCACAAGCGGACTGCGCAGCAGAACGAGACACTTGGAAATGTTTGGGTGAAGGGACATACGGATTTTGGGTCGTTGACGCTGCTGTTCCGTCAGCCTGTGGCTGCGTTGCAGGTATGTCAACGGATGAGCATCTGGTATTGTGTCTTGCTAATATGATGATGTGTAGGTTCGCACTCCAGAAGGCCAATGGCGATACGTCAAGCCTTACCCAGGAAGCATAACAGTCAACCTTGCCGACTCTCTCGAATTTCTTACTAACGGGTTCTTAAAGAGTAGTATACACCGCGTAGTCGCTCCACCACAGGACCAAGCCGAAATTGATCGCCTTGGTGTGTTGTATTTCGTGCGTCCAGAAGATAGCATTGTGTTGAACCCGATTCAAAGTCCGGTTTTGGAGAAACTAGGATATACGAAGAGCAAGGACGAAAGCGCTGTCGGAGTCACAGCCGGAGAATGGGTAAAAGCGAGGGTTGCGAAAGGTGTTGCAAAGGGACGCGTAAGGAGTGAGTTGAACGAGGAGACTATTGTTGGGGGCAAGAGCGCTAAATACTATGACTGATGCGACGATGAGATACGGAAATGAGAAGGTACTGAGTGAAATACAAGCATTCTATGATAGCTTCGGCATCTTACCTAAGCCCCTACCATTGGCCACGACCAATTTGTCGAATATCCATTGGGGTAGGAACGGAATCAACCACTTGACCACACCCGAATTAGCACCCTTAAAGACTCTCCCGCTCGCACCATTGAGTACCTCGCTGGCGACTTCTTCAGCGAACTTTGATGTTGACATGTTCGTAAACGCCTCCTCCTTTGCAATCTCTTTCTCGATAGGCTTGTAGAAGGAGTGTTCAGGGAGCTGTGTAGGTGGCGGCGCATTGTTGACCATATTCGATGAGACGTTTCCCGCCACTAGCGTGACCACCTTAACGTTCAATGGTGCAAGTTCCATCCGAAGTGTTTCAGAATACTGGTTTATAGCAGCTTTGGACGCATTGTATTGGCCTGCATGCATTAGCTTCTTGATAACATAGCTTCACGAGAAGAAAATCGTAATATGGAAAAAAGGATCTCGATGACAGGAGAGATCGCGACCCAATGAACACTTACTCTGGAACGGCACATAGAAAATCCCAGCTGCACTCCCAACATTGACAATCGTTCCTTTAGCCTTCACCAACATCTGCTTAAACGCCTGTATCATGCGCAACGGACCCCAGTAATTCGCCTCAAACACATCTCTCGCCTTCTCGATATCGACATCCAGTGCTGGCATCACGTACTGTACTCCGGCATTGTTGATGAGTACATCGAGCTTGCCACCTGTTTTTGCTTCCACCTCTTTGGCTGCTGCGGCAATGGAAGCTGGCGACGTGACGTCGAGAGCAAGGAGATGAACGTTGGGGAGCGATGCGAGATCTTGCATTTTGGATATGGAGCGCGCGGTTGCGAAGACGGTGGCACCGTGTTTTTGGAAAGCGAGCGCGAGGGCGTGGCCTATGCCGCCGGCACTGGAACCAGTGATGAGCACTGTTTTGGAGGACATTTTGAAAATGGTACAGAAGATGAAGCACAGCAAGGAGGCGTTATAAGGCTCGATCAGACTCTTGTTTTCAGTTGCTTGATATGCGTTTGAATTTCGCAATTGCGTCGCGCTGCAGCTTAAATACTCCGAGCATGTTGGTACAGTTCAAGCGTGGTCCGAGATAGCAAGCGCTGAGCGTCATCGTCACGACCACCGCTCGGAGTCAGTAGCGCGAGAAGCAACTCTCGGTTTAATTGAAGATGCCGCTTTGAATCGCACACGCACATGTTAGCGCAGATTGTCAAGGGAAACGTACCCTGAGGTCAGTCCAGAAGTGGTAGCACAGGATCGGCCTAATGTCAGCCCGCATGGCCGCAGAGGCTCTACACTGGATTTCGTCCGCGACAGGACGGACAGTCAGCCTGGAACCGCTTATTAGTCAGGCGTAGGCCTCCAAAATTTCCGAGATTCTCGTGTTTCCGGTCGAACGACTGTGGATTCGCATGTCACCACTCGCGTGAACTAACCCGATCGGCTATATGGCCATCAGCATTTCGAAGACGAGGTCTAGTCTTCACAAACCCAATGCACACCACTTCGATCACGTACGTTGAGCTGTTTTTTTATTGCTGATGACATCATGAGAATCGAGCGACGCAGCAAACATCAAGTAATTTGTGATATTCGTAGGGTATCCATTTCATTAAGCTGCCGTACAAATCATCGTGAACATCGTCACCGCATACTTTTCGTCAATCAAACACGTCACAGGACTTAAGCCTTGCTACCCGCAACCTCAGAAACGGGCGACGCGGTCGATGCGCGCCCCTTCTTGGCAAGCCTGAATCCACCGAGCAGCATGAAGGCAGCGAGCAGGCCCAGCACAACCGCAAGCGTGACAAACGCACCAATGACGCCGCCGATAGCAGCTGACATGTGGCTACCACCACCACTGCTGCTCGCGTTTGCCGACCCGTCAGTGCCATCCTGAGAGTACTGCGCACACTTCCCAGTCGTGTTACCGCACTTTGTGCACCATTGCTCGGTAGTCGAGACGGCGATCTTGTTCATGTTGCTGGAGAATTTGTTCCACGAGATAGCATCGTCATTGCCGCCAAAGAGCGGGTACACGGCGGGTTCGCTGGCGTTGGATGTTGTGCCGTTGTGGAAGAGGAAGCGGACCTGGAGGTCGTCGGTAGCGGGGAAACCGTTGGAGGTGTCGGCGGTGGTGAAGAGCTCGAAGACCATGGAGGAGGCGTAGTCTGGTACGCCGTAGAAAGTCTCGTTGGCGTGGGGCAGGTCGACGAGGCCAAAGAAGGAGAGGAAGGTCGCATAGGCGCCGAATTGAATGCCGAACTTGTTGGCGCTGGTGCCGTCTTGGCCGGACTTGATGGTCGTATTCATGTACTTGAGAAGTTCGCCTGCGAGCTGCATGCCTGAGATGGCGCGGATGTTGTCGGAAGCGTTGTATGCAAGACCGTACTCGTGGGCGTCAGCAAGGGTGCGGATCTGGTAGAGGGTGTCGTTTGTGAGGACATCGGAGGAGGGGATGGAGGAATTATGGATCTCGGCCACGTTGATCAGGTCGTAGACCACGTAGGCGTTCTTGAAGGTGACGTCTTTCTCGTCGAAGGTGCCGTTCACAACGGGAACAAGCGCCTTGTAGAAGTCGGTGGTCTTGTTTAGAAGATCGTTGTACTCGGCGCTGGAGAAGAAGGCGTTGGAGCTGGTTTTGGCGTTTGCGCAGCTAGACGCATCCTGGAGCCAGCCGTTGTCTTCGCTGCCTGCGCCGGTGTCTACCGTATTAATGGGAATCAATTGGTATCCGTCCATGGGGGCCTGAACATCGCTACCATTGCGAAGAGTCTGAGCCGATTGGTAAGGAGGGTATAGGCCCTGCAGGAAACCCTGAGCCGAGTTCTGGAGCACATTGTCCACAGGCGCAGTGACGGCAAGCTGGGTGAGCCTGACGGTGTCCTGGTTCATCCCCTTGATCTTGGAATCGCCGGTAAGATACCTCGATCGGTAGTACTGGCCAGATGTGTAGACCTGCTCATATCCCAGAGCAGTGAGGTTGGTAGGCGCCAACGATTTTGGAGTACGGTCGCCATGGCGGTGGAACATGTAAGCTCCCAGCACAGTCTCTGCGGCTTCAGCCGACGCGACGGCGGAGGCAAGAGCAAGGGTACCAGTGAACTTCATCTTGACGGCCTGCGGAGATGAGGGCAAAGAAGCAAGAGTAACAGCGCAGGGCAGAAGCAACGCACGATGCCACCATGCTCCCTTTAAAGAGTCGGTTGGACCAGCCGATTGCCGGAGATGGCTCGATTGTGCAGAGCATAGCTTCGACTGTCGTACGCGCCGGGCCAATGGCGCGTCGCGGTGGGTAGCGGGGTAAGGAAGAGCTTCCTGAAGTCGCCTGGTGCGTGCAGTGTTGGGATGGGACGGAAAGTGGGGGTTAGCCTCGACTGGGCCGGCTTTTTCACTCACAACGAGAGACGTGCCTGTGAACCGCAAGCTCTGGTGTCTGCACGCCATGCGCCTCGATTCGACATACGTATTAACTGCTTGTTCACTCATCCTCGCCGCCATACAGTATCTCGCAGACGCCGCCAATTGGCACGTCCATGACTGCGTCTGTGCTGATGCTCCAGTAGCTCTTCCAGTCAGCTTTTTCCGCGGCACTCCACCGGCATGCCGGATGCGAATCTCTTCGGCCGCTTGTCACATCGGCTTGTCCAGCCTTATCTTTGCCATGTGCTTGCGATGACTGGGACGGCTGGCCCCGAACAATCTCCCCAGTCCGTTTGTCGACCAAGGCAATCTGGGCCGTCTCGTCTACGAGATTCTCACAACTGCTCATTGGGAGCGTGAGGTATCCCGTGTTGTAGCTTGCGAGAGCCACGTAGATGTAGACGACCAGGGCAACTAGCCAGCAGGGCACAGCGAGAGCCCACCAGCGATTCGGATAGTAGTGGATGCCCATCTGATGCAGCAGCGGAGATGGAACATAGGCCCACACAATGTACAGCAAGAAGGCGGCAGAGCTAGCGAGATATAGCGCAAAGCCATAGTACTCATAAGTGGGTACCTTGGGAGACGCGCGAGGCACCAAGGGCGCGTGGCGCGCAGACTTTGTGATACTTGCGAGGTTCGTAGTCGATGCAGGCGTTCTGGTGCCAGTAGACACGTCCACATCCGAAGAGTCTGGCGTCGTCCGTCGCGATGTCGTGGTGCTAAATGACGGTCGTAAGAGCGACGTCAACGAAGGTGAAGGAGGAAGTGGAACCGGTGGCCGATTGTAGAATGGCGGGTAGAGTGTGCTGGTCGCGTGCGGGAGCTGGGTGTAGGAACGCGACGCGTACAGTGGCCGACGCGCTGAAGGCGCCTCGTCCACCTCGTCAGACTCAGATCCTTCAGAATCCCCCGAACCAAGCATCAGCTCGTCCTCGTCCTCGTCCTCGTCCTCGCCCTCAGTATCATTCTTGACAGACGCTGGCTCCGTCGGGGAAGTGTGCGGGGCAGGTGTAGGCCGGTTCGCGGGCACGCCTGGCTCATTGTATGGCTTCCCGCTGTCTGGGGACTGTGGTGATGGAAGATTGGGTGTCGATCTCGACCGGAGGCCAACAGGCAGCGGCTTGCCTCTGCTTTTGGGTGACATGATGTCGAAAGAAGCTCGCAATGGCCGGCGTTGTGTCGTGTCGCATGCATTGGCGCGCTTGGAATTCGAACGACATCATCCTGGCATATGATTGGCCCGTGATCGCGAACCTGTTCATGCACCCCTTCCGCAATGTATCCCGTCACCGAGGAAGGTTGAACTCAACTAGTCACTCATGTCACGAGATCCAATGCATTAGGGACGTGCGGCTTATGGTGACGCTTGCAACATGCCGCAGGTGTTCCAGGCCAGGTCTTCGATTAACGGGTGGTTGTAATGCCGCAACAGGTCCTACACGTGGAGCTTGCCTGTAGGTAACCTCACCAACATTCGATGCACGCTATTCCTCCTCATGAACGTGGAGCGAAGTTGCCAAGATACTGAGTGGACTTGGCATTCCCACATACAGTGACAAGTAGTGATCTCATGGCGAACGCCAGATTTCTGGAATGAGTACAGATGAATTCGAAGATATATACATGGAAACAAAAAAACCTTCCTGACCGACCAACCCCCATGAACCAGCCACCGAGTTCTTACCCAAGCTCTCCACGCCTTAGACAGTGACCTTCACACTATCCTTGCAATCGCGCGAATTGGAGCATACGTGGAAGTTGTAGTCACCCTTTGCAATCGCCCAGTCCTGGGCCACAACATCCCAGTAGCTGATATCCTTGCGGCGGATCTCGAACGTGACTTGGGTAGAAGCGCCAGCCTCAAGAGCGACCTTCTTGAAGCCACGCAGCTGCTTGGGAGGCTGGTCCGCAGCAGCCGGGTACTCAACGTAGAGTTGGGCGACTTCTGCTCCTGCGAGATCACCAGTGTTGGACAGGGTGAAGTCGATGCTGACTACCGTGTCGAAGAGGTCAGACTTTCCACCAAGTGTTGCGGTGCCGGTTGGGTACGTGCTGTTCAAAGCACTGGAGTCGGTAGAATTGAGCTTTGCCTCGGAGTACTCGAATGAGGTGTAAGAAAGACCGTACCCGAAGGGGTAGCGAACCGTCTTGTTGTACTTGTCGAAGTGTCTGTAGTCGATGTAGACACCCTCATCGTAATCGCAGTCCGCGTCGTAGCAAATGGATACAGGATAGTCGCTCTCATTCTTTGCAATGGTGTTGATGAGTTTGCCGCTTGGGTTGACATCGCCGTAAAGTACGTCGGCAATGGCATTGCCAGATTCCTGGCCGAGGTATCCGCCATAGAGGACGGCAGTGACGTTCTCGTTGTCAATCCAAGCCTCCAGAAGGCGCGGACCTTGGGTATTGATGACGACAATGGTGTTGTTGCACTCTGAAGCGATGCTCGTAACCATGGTGTCTTGGTCGTTGTTGAAGAGCTCAGTGCGGTCGGCACCCTCGCCAGAGAAAGAGTTTAGGAAGACGATGCATGCTTCGGAAACGGAGGCGTAATTGGTAAAGGAGGGCGACACAGAAGTACCGGACTGGCCAATGCCAGCACCGCCGCCACCGCCACCGCCACCTCCCATACCACCATCCGTGGAGTTTCCGCCATCCGTCGAATTCGCTCCAGAGGGCGGCGAACCTCCGCCCATGCCTCCTCCCATGCCTCCTGAGCTGGAGGAATAAGTGTCGTTCATGATCCACCAGAGCATGGCTCCATCGTTTATAGTGCGGTTCATGATGCTTTGGTACGGCGTGCTGATGTAGCTGAGCGAGAGCTGGGCAGATCCAGACCCAGAAACAAGGTGACCTTGATAGGTCGGTTCATCGGTGCCCTGGACACTGAAAGCCATGTTGGGCCCTGCCATGGCAGGTCCAGCATGAGCGCCAAAGATACTGACAGTGCGAGGGCCATTCAATGGGAGACCAGCACCTGAAGTGTTAGAGTTCTTGAGTAGGACTAGGGATGCTGCGCCGATATTGCGAATGAGGCTGCTGTGATTCGCTCGCACATCGCGGTACTCGGTGGCCTCAGCCTGAGACGGCAAGTTGCCGTCGTCGAGGCCAACATAGTAGTACGGAATGATGTTGCGAATAGTCATGTCATCGAGACGATCTTGAGTGAGGGAGCCGTTGGCAATGCCTGCAGTGATGGTCGACTCCGACCAGAGGCTGGAGGAACCATAGTCAGACCCACCATTGGCAGCTCCAAATGCTGAAGTCTGGCCGCCAACATCTGGCCAGACAAATCCAGGGAATCCAAGCTCATTCTTAAGAAGATCGTTGAGAAGGCGGCTGTTCTCACACGACGCGGTGTCGTTGGCACGATTCATGGCGCACATGACTGCAGCCATTCCAGATCGAACGGCATCCGCGAATGGCCAGAGATATAGCTCGTGTATCGTCTTGTCATCGGCGTTACTGGAGTAAACGGTGGTGGTAGAGCCGCCCAGGCCGGAGGTGCGGTTGGTCTCCTGCTCATTAAGCAGAAAGTGACGGCCTCCAGCAATGACACCGGCTGAATTCATGCCGGCGATCGCCTGGCCAAGAATAAGTCCGGAGAGATATGGGTCAGGCGACATCGCTTCAGCCTGACGACCACCCCAAGGCGTGCGACCCAACGGTCCGCCTTCAGGGCCTGAGATGAGTGCGTAACCTCTGCCATAGAATTCATCTCCGGAAGCCTTAGCTTCAGCGTGAACCATATCGAGATCCCAGGTCATGGAAAGTGCGTTGCCAGCACTGAAACCAGAAACAAAGTAGTCGTTATTCATGCCTGCGAAAGCATCTTTGCTTGTATAAGCGGTCCACGAGACATTGGTAGCGGAAGAAGAGTTGGAAGTGACATCGCCTGCGGTGATGACAGAGATTTTCTGGGAGTTGGTCAATTGAGCTACGAGAGCCTTGGCTTTGCTGTAAGCTTCTGCGAAGTTCCCCAGACGTTCTACGGCTCGTTATTAGTACACATACGAGACCAGCAAAAGGAGTGCATACCAGGTTCAGAAGACAGAAGGCCAGCAGAGCTATTGGATGCGCCCAGCACGCGAGCTACAAGTGCTGAGGTTATAACGAGTGACGAAACGACCCTCATCTTGAAGGCACGAATAATTAATGATCAGCGAGTGACTCTTGCGGCGGATGGAAAGCCCTATGAGAGAGGGTACCGAGAATGTGCGGACTGCGGCGACATGGTAGGATATATAGCAGATCACGAAAAGAAGCGCCGCATTCGCAGCTCGAGCTGACGCGTTTAGCAAAGAAGGTCGGTATAACATCCTAGCGTCGTAGTACAGGGCCACCGGGCTTCCCGCCGAAAAGCGTTGAACCTCATCCCATAACGGTAAGCCTGTTTTGCTCCTATCCCATCGGCATCAAGTTTCCTGTCCCAGGGTCGTTTAAAAGAGATCCTTGCAACGTTGGTAGACTAAACCACAAGCAACGTCAAGCTTTGCGGCGCTGCGCTTTTTGTTCCTAGGTAGCCGCGCATTAGGCCATGACGCAGCCAGGTTGTGGCCGTGAGTGGACGCTAGTACCTGTTTCGAAACAGTACCGGTGCAGTCCCGATCGATTGGTGGTTTGAAGGTTCAAATGAAGGACAGAGGTGACGATGCCCACCACGTGCTAGAAGTGGATCACTCGACCGGCACTTCCGTCGGAAAATCCGAGATACATGCTTGCGCGGCCACGGCCCACTCTTCGGGGTCTGTCAATGCGATAATCTGCTGCTGGATCGCCGTTTTTATCGCCATGTTCGCATGGCCTGCTGAGTCTAGAAGGGAACATAATCTGATATGATAAAAAAAATTCTTGATGTTCTGTCGATGCATTGTCGATGTCGGAAGGGCGGATTTTCGTCTGCGACTACCGAGGTGATGGCTGCAAGATGGAGAACAAGCAAACTCTTGAACATACATTTTGGTAAAGCTGTCAAGACGATAGATGAAAAGAGTGTGGCGTGGTTATAGTGTAACGAGTGTACGGTGTCAAAAAGGTACAGAGAAGTGAAGCAAGTAATCGTAATGACTACCCTAATCGCACTTAACAAAAAAGAACAGAGATAGTGTTAGCAAAGGAACGAAACTGGAAGATCGTGGATGTACTATTGTCTTGATGCCTCAGGGTGTACGTGGTCGCACAGAGGGTGTTGAGGCACACAGTACTGATATAGTAATTATCACAGCGCTGCTCTTGAGTTTACCACTCATTCTGACAATCAAACATGGGGACGCCGGCATATCGACTTAAAGCATGAAGGCAGCCACAGGCTTGACCAGATCTCCCAAACCAGTGATCGTGCATGTTTGGGCTGAAGCGCAAAATGCGTCAAAAAATTTGAGATGCAGCTGTCGGCGCTAGGACGGTCGCCATAATGAGCTCAAGGCTAACCTTGATTACGATCGAACCAGGGGTCGTTGATCTGGGTGAGAATTTGCTCGACGACGAGGAGTTCATCGATCGTGGAAGAGGCTGATGAGGTTTGGTGGATATCGCGCCATTCCCGGACTAGCACGATCTTTGGCGTGCACCCCGCGTTTCTGCTGGTCCATGCCACTCGTCCTTCTCGAGATCGTATTCTGACACTGGCGAGCTCAAGGAAATCGATCAAAATGAAAAGGAATTGATCGATCGATGGGCGATGATCGCTTACTTTCATGATCCACGGATCCGGAACAATGGGCACTGAAGCCTCAGCTTCCCGAGCTTTCTACCTATGGTGCTTTCTGCATCTCACAACGATCCGATAGCAATACTTCACGCTACCACGCCCGTACAGTATCGTGTAGGAGATATAGAATGTGCCAATTATTTGGGAAAGACAGCTGGCTATGGATTGAGATGGCGCCTATGCTTACCCAATCAGACACAGGCCAAGAAACGACGCGCCTCGAACTCAGCCTGTTGGCGACATGGCCCTTTCCTCCCTCTACTTTGCTACATTTACGCTTTTAAGAGTTCCTCTCTATCTCATGATCTGCAAAGGTCTATCACGACGATAAAGGAGCACCCGGCGCACCTGGCTTCTTCCTCTGCTACGAACAGTTGTAGGAAGGCAAATTGCAAAAAGAAGCGTGTTGCCCCGGTTCAACTTCCACTTGCCGACTGCGCATCTACTTAGTGGAACGGTCGTCGCTCCTAGTGACCTTTTGCAATGGGTAACCTAGAATCTTCGCTGAAGGGAGATAGTGTGGTGCGCAGGTATGTGCGCGTATGCTTTCTCGAAAGTAAGAGCTGATGTTATCAATGACAGCAAAAATCTAGAGAAACAAATAGACAACCTTCGCCAGCAGCAATTTGAAGAAAATCATTTCATTCAAGAGGCTGATGACCAGCTGAGTAAGAACAAGCTGAGACCCGGAACAGATGCTCAACTATGGCTCGACAGATACTCTGCTCAACAACGTAAAGAGACACTTGAAGAGCAAATTCAGGCTCTTAGAAGTCAAGCCCATTCTAAAGATGATGCGCCATCTAGGCCTCAGAATGCTCACATTCGTGACGGTCAAATCGACTGGTTGCAGGGTCTGCCCGAAGGAGAACCTATTCCGCGGATCAACAGCGAAAACTTGCCAATATATTGCTATGATGCTTTCAAACAATCAGAAATGATACGACTACTGATCTTGCACCCATCTTCAGACCCCAAAAGCATTCTCCGTTGCTCTCTTCGCTCCGTAGATCAGACCGAGGCTCTTAGCTCCAAATACGAAGCCCTCTCATACACATGGGGAGCCCCGTTCTTTGTTCACAAAATGCATCTTGAACAAGGCTGCATCAAAATTACCGAAAGCTTGAATTCAGCACTACGTGCACTTCGGCTCTCGGACAAGCCCCGTGTCCTATGGGTGGATGCAGTGTGCATCGACCAGCAGAACAATGCTGAGAAAGCACAGCAATTACCTCACATGAGTTGGATTTACGCAAGTGCGTCGCAGGTCGTTATTTGGCTTGATGAAGATACTGATGGGACGGCAAAAGCGGGCTTTGAAGTAGCAAGGGAACTACATAGATTGACCTGGGCGTTGGGACTTCCAGAGGCGACTAGTGTCAATGAGGATCAATACGAAGAATACATGCCCAAATTCGAGGCAAATCTTCGCTCCATGGGCTGTACCCAATTCTTCAACATCCTCGCGAAAGCATGGTTTACAAGAACTTGGTTAGTAGCCTCCCTGAAAAGGCAGCGTTCTCTTGCCACTAACACACGTACGTAGGACTTTACAAGAAGTGGTCCTCAGCTCGCGGGCCCTCGTACTTTGCGGTCAACATTCAGTTGAATGGACCCAACTGGAAACCGCGGTCAACATCTGTTGGCTAGGGACATACTTCCTCACCAGAGAACAGAGCGCCATACTTCAAACCGTTCATCCCTGTATAACAACGCGAAGTCTTGTGAATTCCTTACGAGACCGGATGTCTATAAAACTGTTCGACGTCAAAGAAGCGTTCGACGTACTGGTTCCAAGCGTGGCTCAACTCCGAGCCCGTGGTTGTGGGGACGACCGTGATAGGATATATGCTCTATTATCTATGCAAACTCTGAATCCAGAAAAGCTTGGTGTTAGGATATCCTATACAGACACCGTGGAGAAGGTCTATGCAGACTTTACGCGGACCGCTTTACAATCTGGTCATACACAGATTCTCACGAGAGTGGGCCTGTGGGACCGACAGTCTACTAGCTCGAGCGAATCAGCCCACAACCGGGGAGAACTTCCTTCTTGGGCCCTGGAGCTCAGATTGGCAGAACTGCCACTGCTACGAGAAGAGACAGAGAAATTTGGCACTGAACAAAGGACTCCTTGGAATTTACGGCATGGTCATTACCACAACCCTCTTGATGTCATATCGATAGATCATAAAGATCCTCGAAGGATCAGGGTCAAGGGGATAATCATCGACGAAGTGCACTTCGCAAACTTCAGAACCTCTCAGCAGGTCACTCCGAAGGATGATTGGCAATCTATCGTCGCCCAATGGATCACTCTTCGTTTCGATAGTCTCTCTCAAACATGCTCTATGACCGGAGATTACCCGGTGGGGCATTCGCAGACGAATTTAGAAGCTTTCACGAATGCAATAGTAGCCGGTGGAGGTCTCCAATCGATTAGTGGCGGCAGGTACAAAACAACATGTGGGACCTCTGTCGATTTGCTCCTCGACACAATCTGGGCAGGATTCAAATATGACATCCGCAAGCAATTGCACATCCGACAGATACTTCGCGCAACACCATCACGGAAGTTTGAGCAGCTGTGTCTCCCCTTTGGTAATGGAATTTGGCCGAGAACAACAAGGGATGAAGTCCTTAAGTTCAAATCGAAAGCTGTTGAAGTGTACAACTTATGTTCCTTCATCATGACCGGGCGCGGATTGATGGGTTTGAGTGCTCCTATGACTACGATGGGAGATATTGTTGTTCGTCTATCGTGTCGCAAATGGCCATTCCTATTGAGACCAGTTAAAGGCACCGGTGACTACCAACTCATCGGCGAATGCTATCTGCACGGTTATATGAAGGGAGAGGAGAATCCTGAAGATAGGCCGCAAGAGGAAGAGCAGTGGTTCTCTCTCGTCTAGCTTGACATAGTGCCCGCTTGACACGAAAGAATGGAAGCCCAATACGGGATGGATTGAGGGTGATACGAGGATGGATTCGCGAGCTGTCGCATTGCCGGTAAAGAGACGGTGGTAGGGCGCATAAAGTGCGATAGCTGCTGATTTGCAGTAGATGCTTTGTATAAAGAGTACAAAACGCATACCTCGAAAGAGCCTAACCCAGATTAGGCGATGTGAACAGCAATCGATGTGAACAGGAACCTCACACCCAAGCTCTGACCGCTCATGAAATGCTCGAATACCAGTGTCGCCACCAATATATCGATACGTTACGATAAGGGCAAGGAGCGCAACAATGAAGGCTGCAAAAGCAACAGCTGGAACTTTAAGCGCATGTCTCATTCCTGCTTGTTGGTCAAGTGCCATCGTCGAAATCGTAGCGTATTGGTGCTTTCCGTCAGCGGTCGGTGGGACGTAATACGGACCTGAGACGGCTCCAATGATGGCCACAGTCACTGTGTGCTCATCTGCAGTGAGGAAGGACTCGAGCTTGTAACTATGGCCTTTCAATGCCTTATCCAATCGCTAGATCCATGGAGCTGTACATCTCGCTAAATTCTCGCTGGACGTCAAGGTCGGAGAACAGTGTGGCGCGTGGCACCGGGGTTAACAATGTATGGCTTTGCGGGGTCGTAGGGCTATCGAAACATGGACTAGGAATGAGGGCCGAGAAGGTAGTGAGAAGACGGGCCAATAGTGTTGCGTAGCTCTGGTGAAAACGGAACAATTTTGTGAAGTCGAACATTGCATACAAATTGTTGGGAAGTTGGAATGAGATTGACTATACGTTCTGTGGGCTGAGGTTAATGTTTGTACTGTTATCTATTGCATAATAGGTCCAGCATGTACATAGTTTAAATGAAAGGTACAAGCAAGAGCGTTGAGCAGGAGCTGAGGTCTACAGTGTTGTTGTGTTCAAGGGTGCGTCAGCTAGCCACAGCCTAGCGCCTTCTCGCTTTGCCGTACTTACGGTGCGTTAATTGGCCGTTACAGTTGATCATACGGCAACTTCGTATCGCGATAGTGGCAAAAACCCACATTGTCGGCCTATGTTAAGATGTAGCTACTTCCTCCTTTCGGCAGTAAGCACAAAGTGTCGAAAACAGCGCCGGGTAAGGACCGGTTAAGAGCCGGCTGAGGATAAGACAGGTGCACCATCACCCCGGTCATAACATGCCCATCAAAGCTTCGTGGGTAGACAAGATGTGCTTTTCAGATGCTAGCGGACCAGCTCAGCGATTCTGGCGTACCATGAGGTAGGGGACACTTGGCGTTCAAATCAAGCATTTATGTTACGTGGTTCCTACTAGCAGCAACGAGTTGGTATGTTTTCGTACTTCGTGTTAAGCAACATCAGTACTGGTCGGTCACTATAAATCAATATTACCCCCAACTATTCGTCCATTTTTTAACATGTTACTTGCTCTCAGTCCATTGTCAAGGTCACCTTGGACGTTGAAGTGGAGCAGCCAGAAGACTTGAACATATCGATATTGACTGTTTGTTTGCGGGCAGTCGCAACTCTTATTAGTCGAGGTTCTTGTTCCGCTAATGAGTAAACAGTTCTTACAGTTGCAGCAAAGTCAGCACTACGTTACGAGTACGCCACATCGTGTTAATCATTGAGCTATACGCAGTAAGAATAGACAATTGTAAATAATGTTCCAAAAGCTGATACCGAAGGCGAGCAGTAGTGATAGCAGACCCGACGTTTTAAAGCGATGTGCCGGGAAATTGCAGCCGCATAGATCCTAGTGTAGGAAAGTAGAGGAAATTGTTAAAGGCGTCGATCGAGTGGCTGCAAGTATACACTGAATGAGAAGTACCTATACCAGAAACAGGCATTAAGCAAACCACCCTTGGTGCTTGATGAGTCGACGCATCAGGTCAAGAAGGGGTCTGCGTTTGGAAATTTACCAGGCAGCTAATCTGCATACAAGCTCTAATCGAGGACACCCTCTCTTCATGCGCTAAGCTGCCAGTCGATACGCAGCACGTGTTGCATGAAGGTAGTGCGAAAAAATTCCGCAAAGCCGTAGAAGGCTGCGGGCGCCGGCGTGGAGGGAGGCTGCCTCGAGGGCGGAGGACTCCGCTGGAGGACCCGATTAACATTGTCACCAGCTGAAGCTACTACATAGGTTCGCATGGTATGAGGGCTCGCCTTAGGGACCTTTGCCATACCCAAGAACAACGGACATAACCTAGATGTCACGTCACGAAGATCAAAAGATATGGAATTTGCACCAGCAAAAGTGTTTGATTGATTTGATATAATGTGGCTCAAAGCCAACCAGACCTCAAGAAGAAAGGAGCGAACAGGTCTTCCCCCAGCAATCGCTGTAAAGAAACAGAGACAGGTCCATGTTCGCTTTAAGCAGCAGCGCTAACAGCCTGTGCCGTAGCACGGTGCTCCTTCTCGAGGATAGCCTCGAGAACATTGACGGCACTCCCGCCAGCCTTCATCTCCTTGAGGACGGTGTCGACTTCGAGCTGCGAGTCGGTCCACAAAGGCTCCGGTTCCTCGACGCCAGCCTCGCCGACGCCGATGAAGCCTCCCTCGGACGCCCACTCGCTGGTGCGCTTGATACCGAGTTCGCTCCAGACGCTGTCCACGGCTTCGACAAGATGGTCGCGGTATTCCCGAACGTGGCCGGGCGTGGGCGTGATGCGGAGACGCTCCTGGCCGACCGGGACGGTAGGGTAGTTGATGGCTTGAACATAGATACCCCAGTCCTCGAGGAGCATGTCGCTAGCCTTCTTAGCGACTTCCGCATTTCCAACCAACAAAGGCACAATGTGACTTGGGTTGGGGATAACCGGAATGTTCTTTGCATTCAAAGCATCCTTGACTGCTCGGGTGTGCAATTGCTGAAGGCGCCTGTCGCCTTGGTAGTTCGCCTGGTATTCAATGGCGGTCTTCGCGCCTGCCATGGTTGCAGGCGGTAGAGAGGTGGTGAAGATGAAACCCGGAGCGAGAGAACGGATAGTATCAACCAACTTAGCAGATCCGGCGATGTAGCCACCAACGCAGCCATATGCCTTGCCAAGAGTTCCGGTGATGATGTCTATGCGCTCCATAATTGTACCTTGCGGCTTGCCTGCTACATGCGCTTCGTAATCGAGGTGCTCAGCAACGCCGGCACCGTGTGGTCCGTACATGCCGACGGCATGGACTTCGTCGAGAAAGGTAATGGCGCCATACTTCTCAGCAAGATCGCAAATCTCTTCAATGGGCCCGATAGATCCACACATGCTGTACACACTCTCAAATGCGATGATTTTAGGGTGTTCTGGTGGGATAGAAGCGAGCTTGGCCTCCAAATCGGCTACATCGTTATGCTTGAATACCATCTTCTTGGCGCCAGAATGGCGAATGCCCTGAATCATGGAGGCGTGGTTCAAACTGTCAGACAGAATGACACAATTGGGAAGTTTGCTGCCAAGTGTTGCAAGTGTTGCATCGTTAGCTACATAGCAAGAAGAGAAGACCAACGCTGCCTCTTGAGCATGCAATTTCGCAAGGGTGGCTTCCAAAGACACAGCATGCTGGTTATGACCGGAGATATTTCTAGTGCCTCCAGCACCCGCGCCATAATTGTCCAGGGTGTCGTGCATCGTCTTCAGCACGTGCGGGTTGCGTCCCATGCCGAGGTAGTCGTTGGAGCACCACACCGTCACCTTCTCCTCCTTGGAGGCCATGTGAGCGCGGGGAAACTCCTTGGCGAGTCGGTTGATGTTGTTAAAGTAGCGGTAAGATTTGTCCTTGTGCTTCTTGTCCAATTCGTTGTGGTAAAAGCCATCGTAGTCGAATTTCGAAGCAGGAGGAGTAGGAGGTGCGGTCGTTTGCGTTGCTTGAGTCGCTGCCGGCTTCTTCGCAGCCGGATAGGGTACTATACGAGCAAAGTTTAGTAACGTATTCTTTACGACAGCAGCCGTCGTTTTCTCCGGCCTTTCTGCACTCCTCTATCTCGAGGAAAAGCGTACCTTGCTTGGAGCGTAGCTTCTCAATGTCGACGGCCTGGGCTTCCTTTGATGTCGAGGTGTGCAGTCTAGCGCGGCTCACACGCGTGGAATAAGCCCGCGCGCCACCGAAAGCGCCCGCAAGCGCATTGTTGCCGATGCGGGCGCTCTGGACGGCGAGCGCTTTGCCCATGATGGGGCAGCGCCTGGCAAGCACCTGCAGATTGGACATGCTGCCTGCGCCGGGCGAGACATGGTGCTCGGTAGCAGTCGTAGAAAGCGAGCGGAGCGTGGCGGGGGACGTCTTGGAGAGGAACGGGCACATGGACCGCGACTGGCGCAGAATTGACTCCATGGCGGCGAGGAGCGCAGTTGGAGAGCGCAAAATCAGAGAATTGGGAGCGAGCAGAGACGGGGTCCTGGGAAGGTGGGAGGGGCGGTGAATGCGGATGAGAAGGTTTAAAGGCGTACGTGAGGGACAGGATTCATTCCGCAGCGGAATAGCAGGCTAAAGCACGCCGGCGGTCCGCTTAGAATGCCTATCCGTTGATTGGCTGCGGTCCTACAACGCTGCGCCGACCTGCAGCCGATTTCGAAATACTCTAGAGTAATCCGGCAAGGTCGAGATCATCAATGAATGCCGCAGGTCCCCTCTTTTGCCGACATAGACAATGGAGACCAAGAAACGGTGCCGCATGTGCGGGTCCGCCCACATAGCGCTCTACAATTCAAAAGCCGATTGTGAAAAAGTTCTCTCTTTCCCATAGCTGAATGTCAGCAAGGGCTGACGCACTCTGCTCTCATGTCACCAAGAGTTCAGCTCGAGAAGTTTGTTCCGTTGCCATCGGTCGCCGATCTAAATCCACTAGGGTTCCCTCGGCAACAAGACCTTCCGTCTCCAATTGACAGGTTTGGCCGCTAACGGACCGGGATATCCAAATTGAAGCCATGTGTCCACGGCGAAGCTATCATACGATGGCTGTGCCTATGATTCGAAGGAGCCTCTTACTGTGCAATGTGTCATGACCTAGCGTTGCATCGATGGTTGCCTTCCTTTCATTTCAGCTCTGACCGAACTTTGATCCTGGTTTCACTTCCAATGGTGGTCAGCCATCCTTGTGCACGCCTGTTCAGCGACCGCTTCTACACAACGACTGGGAACCTTCTCGTTGTCACTCAGCGCCGATGCAATAGCTTATTGCCCACAATAAAAGCTTTACTCCTCGCTTTAGTTCCTCACTCAATCCAGCGTTATGACGTTGTCTTGGGGTAGATGCCGTGCTTGCACTCGTCTCGGCGTTTGTTCCTTCCGTGATAGTGATTTTGCAGACTTCGATTCATCGTCGTCAGAGATCACGATAATCTCTTCCTGGGATGGGGCCTGTGCATTGCGAAATGCTTCCTCGCTGAAGTTTCTGTTTAGGATGAAATACACCCAGTCATAGAAGGTTGAAAGGTCATCGCATTGGTGGAGCCCAGTCACCAGTTCGTGGAGTTGTTGGTCCGATGGTGTTTTACGCATGTAGTCGTCCGCGAGCCACCAGCACAGAAAGAAACTTGTCATTCCCATGATCTTTGGTAGATCGGATGGCAACACGCCCAGCATCTTCTGCTCTTTCCGGTACAGCATGTCGATGCATGTACTGATCTCCTTGAGTAGATTCGCCTTTTTCAAAGCTCTGATCCTTTTATGGATCATCGCTCGCTCTTCTCGACTCATGCCGAGCATCACTTTCATGATGATTCTCTTACGGTCCTTAGCCGCGACCAGGTCTTGCATGTCCCAACCTGACACAGTCAAAATAGATGCGATTTCCGGTCGACTTCCACGACCCTTCTGCGACTTCCGTGACCTAGACTCTGCATGTCTTGCGGCAGGCGAGACTGAGGCTCCATCTGGGTCAATCGGCGAGACACCCTCAGACTCTGTAACTGTGCTCTTCAACCGTACGAGTTCAAGAGTTCTCGGTGCGGTGAGGTCTGATGTCATAGTCGAGGGATTAGCAAGAGTACATTGTGTAACGGCCGGTTCCTCAGCATCCACAAGCATTTCTCTTTCGTCTCCGTGTTGTGAAGATTCTGGACTTGATCCAAGATCAATGACCTCAGCGTCATGTCCTGAAGTCGATCCTTGAGTTGCAGGTATACGATGCTGCTCATGATCGCTGCCGTCCCCAGTGTCCGCCGGAGGCAATTCATAGATGGACAGGTACCACTTAGCTGCTTCAAGGTTGTGCACATGCATTTCCAGGTTCCTGCAGTGTTGGCGCGTTTGTTTCTCTGACTTCTGAGGGATCTTGCAGATCTCTTCCGCCAATCTGTCCAGCTTGTTTTCGAAGAGTCGAACTTCGAACTTGTATTTCTCGATGAGTTCCCCTCTACGGTTAAGCGCTTCTCCATCCTCCCATAGACGAATCGGATCGAGCGACTGCTCCTTGCTTTCCGGTGCTATTTCATTAATCTTGCTAGGAGACCACTCATTCATGAAAGCTTCTATGCTCTCATTTATTATGCCGATGACGACCTCTTTTGGCACTTTTCCGGCTCGTTCCCGCGAGTGCTGGTGAAGTTGCCTAATTGCCACCTCTTCGGCGTCAAGCGAGTTGTATTCGAGGCCATTGGCGATGCTTTCTACCTCTCCATCGACGGCATGAATGCTAGCGGCTCCTTCGTCCTCATCATCCTCTTCCTCATCATCTTCGCTCCAACCTTCTTGATCCCACTCGACGATTGTATCTCCTTCCTCCCTGTCCCAGTGAAGGAGATGATCAAAGGCATCCCCGTTAGCAGATGGTGAAGCAGTTGCTGGTAGCATGTGCTGGTAGCATGTGCTGGTTCACGGCAAGCTCTGCGGGCATTACAGCCGTCAATGCCGCTCTCTTCTGTCTCTTGCGACCACTATCATTGGTGCAATTCTCCGTGCGCAATACCTGGACGCCTTTGGCGGCGGCCGACAACTCCTTGTCCATTCCAATTTCGCCTCGGTCTGTTGCGACTCAAGAGTACCAACTGATCCAGAAGTCAGACAGTCTCGAGCGGCGCCGCAGCTGGCAGTCGCTTATGTATAATTCGAACAGCGGGAAAGTTAAGATCGATACCAACGGTGAGTAAGTGTCAAAGAATCGTTTCGTAGAATGGGCTAATGGCTCTGCGTGTGTGTCTACAGCCTCACCCACAGGCCAAGTTCCGCTTTCCTTTGGTTACAGTTGCCGTGACTTGAAGCTTGACGAGCGTCGCCGGGTACGTGTGGGTATTTTCCAATGCTGGCGCCCGACAGGTTGAGCGTGTCGACGTAATGACTTTTGGGCCGTCAAGGTCATCAACATGCGGATACTTGGCCCAATGCTCAACAACAATCTGCCATTGCGCGTTTGTTGGTCAAGACGGCAAGAGCGAGCAATCGCTCTTGCCGCACAAGCGGTCTAAGCGGTCACGCTAACCGATCACGTGAAAGCATTCCATGGATCACAGCTCCTCGAGCTTGTGCATAGTGCACGTAAATTGTGTTCTTGGCCGAAGCTCAACTGTATTCCAGCACTATATATCCAATTAAGGTAATTGACCAAAAGCACCTTGCACTAGCTCTTCCGAAATCCGGCGCTCGAAAGAGGAAATCGCTTAGCGCGGATTGGGTCATTTTACTAATGTCAATTCACCCCACCTACTGTACTTGTCTCTAACCCGAGGGCAACAGAACACTGCTATAATGGCGGTCAACTCCCACGAATGCTATCCGCCGGAGCTGTCTTCAGAAGAGCAGGAATACCTGTTGACGAATCTGAAAGATTGGTCGATTGCGCATGGACTAGCGGTGCGGCCGGCTCCGTCATTCGTCCAACCGGCCCAAGACCCTGCTGGGGTGCTCGCTGCTACAGCACCCGTCACTCTCTTTCCGAGTCTGTTCCCTCGGAACTGTTTCGAAGAAGGATTAGCGATACAAACAGCTTACAATGAGTTGTACTCGGCAATAGCTCGAGACGAAGAGTGGTTAAGAGGCATCGTGGAAGAGTGAGTATGGTTGTTAAAGTCACACGCTATATTCTCATCCCGATATTGGAGCCTTTGTGTAAATCGAAGTTGGGCTGACTCCTCGTAGACTGGTCGATATTGATGACTTCGTGGGGAAGCTTTGGCAAACCCATCTGGCAGTTAAGAAGGAAGGCTATGTGCAGGTAAGATGCTGGTCGCCTTACCCAAAGCACCCTATCTCACATGTTATAGAGTCTATCGCTTGGTCTGTTCCGTTCGGACTACATGGTCCACATGGATCAGGCCAATCTTTCCTCGCCCTCCGGTCTCAAACAGGTCGAATTCAACACGATTGCATCGTCTTTTGGTGGTCTATCCTCTCAAGTATCGCGGCTGCACAAGTACTTGCTCTCGGTAAATGCGTATCCATCATCTGCAACTTCTCTCATTAAAGAAGAAGCGCTCCGCCAGAGTAAGTCGGCCTCTTCTCTGGCTCAAGGACTTGCTGCTGCGCATAAGGCATACGGGCCTTCGTCGACGGGCCGCTCCCTGTGCGTACTATTTGTGGTACAAGACCCCGAAAGAAATGTTTTTGACCAGCGGCACCTCGAATATGCATTGTTCGAAGAAAACGGCGTGCGCGCTTTCCGATTGCCTTTCGAACAAACCTTGTCGCACACAGAATTGGATACAGACCGTACGCTACTGTATACACCACCTAACGCGCCTTTTACTACTTACGAAGTTACTACCATCTACTTCCGAGCCGGTTACTCTCCGGACGACTATCCAGAAGAGAAGGAGTGGGACGCAAGACTTCATCTCGAGAGGAGTAAAGCAATCAAGTGCCCGAGTGTGCTGACGCACCTTGCCGGGTGCAAAAAGGTCCAGCAAGTCCTCGCGACCCCGCATTCTCCGCACTTGAAGCGTTTCCTGCCGAACGATCAAGTGGCTTCGAAAGTGCTTTCGACGTTTGCGCCAATATACCCCCTAGACGATAGTGAAGCTGGACAGGAGGCTAAGAAGCTGGCGCAAGACGTGAACTCTGCGGCCCGTTATGTACTCAAACCCCAACGCGAAGGAGGAGGAAACAACGTCTATCGAAAGGCTATTCCCACCTTTCTCGAGAAGCTCCCGCGGACACACTGGCCAGCGTACATCCTGATGGAGATGATAGAGCCGCCTCCGCTGACCAATGCGATCCTTCGAAACGGACAGCTGCAGCGAGGTGGCGTTATTGGAGAGCTCGGGGTCTATGGCGTGTGCCTTTGGCGAAACGGGACCGATGACAAGGACGCGGGTCAGGTCTTGGAGAATTGGGAAGCTGGATATCTTCTTCGAACCAAAGGAGACCAGAGTGAAGAGGGCGGTGTGGCTGCAGGGTTCGGAGCCGTTGATAGCGTGTTTCTCACCGGTGCATGAAGGCTGCCACTACAGAATCCTCTCCTCAGCCTTCGCCAAATGGAGCGAATGGTAGCCGTCCGAGCCAGTATGAATCGACAGTGTTAGGTCACAATGTTGGACTACCTGTTTGTACCGCAACGTTGAAGACGTGTAACATTCGAAAATTTCGTATTTCTGTCCACGACATGGGCAATGCACGAGCTAGGAGTCGTGTCACAGAACCATTTGCTCAACTGTTCTCTTGGAATCAGTGTCTGGAACAGCTGACAACAAAAGAAGAGTTGACTTCCAACACATGCAGCAAGGGAAAGAAGCCGTTGAAACCTGTCGAGTAAGTACGAGCAACAACTCTCCGGTCAGGAGTACGTTTGACTTTCTGGGATCGCACTATAAAGAGGCGTCTACGCGAAGGCGCTTCTCCGGCGGCGCAAGGACGGGAAAGCACAGAGCAGGATCTTCGGCATCGCGTCGATCATAAGGTTCACTCCCGAGCCACGGGCGTCAGCTCAGCTGCATGCGTTTTTGGCTTGCGTCGACCCCACTTGCTCTCGTCTGCTCGTCTTCAGATGATTTTCTTGGTGATACAAATGCACAGCACTGCCTCCCGAGCTGTACCCACAGCTGCACGCTGACCCACAGCGACTTATACACGGGGCAGGACTCTATGCAGGGTTTCCGGCACTCTTATGCAGCGCTCCCGAAAGCACTCTTCTGGAACAGCGCCAGCGGGGATGGGCGCAAATCCCGGCGAATCATGCAGGCCCAAGTAAAAGTAGTGGAGGCATCACTCGCCTGATTGGCCCCTGGCTAATGTCTTTTCGCGTGTCTCGCGACGCGTCCTTCATCAACTTCCAACTTTCAAGCTGACAGTTCATGCACTCTGCTCCGAGGAGCACCCTTCCTCCATGACGTCTCGCTTTCGCGTCGGCTGCGCTCCTCCAGAGTCACATCGTGATGAAGGAGACGATCGGGCGTAGCTGCGGGCACTTCGGATGCGGCCTGCCAATCCTCCTCCCTGTTGACTCTGCGCGAGGTCCAATTGCTGGCTAACAAAGTCCTCTGAGTCCAATGAGGCACAGCCGAAGTCGCCTGGCGCGAAAAGGCGAGGACGGTGGCTTGGTGCAATTTCGCGATGCTTCAGACTTACTCCAAGTAGTGTAGGCTTGTCCTCATTCGACACACCCGTTTTGACGTTTGACGACGGCGCTACGCTTTTGGACAGGAACTCATGAATCGGTCTTTGCACCTTCGAAGGCCCAAGCTCCTGTAGCTTCCGGCTCATCAAGCTGTGCCAATTGATGATCCGCCCGTGGCCATGCGGATGGCCTTTATCGCCGACAGATATCCCTGTCCCCTCATCCTTGATTTTGTGCCTTCTTGCAGCTGCGCTTCTGCACCTCTCCAGCAACCAGTTCCACAGACTGGCTGCGTGTCTTTGCCGGCGTCCATTCCTTTGATACCAAGTAATAATTACCTCATCGTTGTGACTATTCGCTCCTTCCTTTTCGTCGCTCCTTCTTCGCGTCCGTCGAACCTCCCGCGATCGCACTCGCGCCTTCCTACCTTTCAGCACTTTCCTGGTCATCCCCCTAATGCTACTTCGCATGGCCATTGTCAATTAAACGCATCTCGCCATGCGCTCTTTCCGAATTCTTTTGACTACACTTGCGCTCCTCGTCTGCCTCCACGTCGTCACAGCAGCCCCCCGCTACCCATTGGCGCGTCGTCAAGATGGCAGCGAACCTACTTCTGCAGTCTCCGCAACATCTGAGTCGACGCATCCATCCTCTACATCTCGTCCCAGCGAGTCGTCTACCTCGCAATCAGCATCGGACCATCAGTCAACAACTGAAAAGTCCGACCCCCGCTCGTCTACAGTTGTAATCACCACCACTTCCTCAGCATCACCAAGCGCAACGGCCTCGGCGGGCGCGTCTACCAATGGAACTGATTCAGGTGAACACTGCCGGCTGTCCGTTCATCAAGAGTGGCTAATTTGAACTTACCACAGGCAATGTCTCACATGACCCGCTTCCACTTCATCCAAAGATCACCCCAGCTCTCGGATTGATTGGAGCAATACTCCTGCTCTCGGGCGCGTTGTATGCCGTCGTGGGCATCAAGAACCAATGGTGGGGAAACTCAGATTGCTATCGTTTGCAATTTGCTGACGGTGCTAGGATCTATGTCTTCGGTTCTGCGGCATATCTGACGGCTCTCGCGGTGACTGTGCTGATCATCTATCTGATGAGCCCCTCCGTTTCAAACGCGGTGCAAGGCGCATTCTTCGTGGCTGCCTTCATTACTGGAGTCATGTTTGGAGCGCTAGCATTGATCTTCTCTGACCTCACTGAAGGACTAGGATGTCTTCTCGGAGGATTTTGCGTCAGCATGTGGTTCCTGTCACTCAAAGAGGGGGGTTTGATTACTTCGACCACAGGCAGGGCTATCTTTATCGGATGTATGAGTGTGGCGGGCTTTTGCCTGTCGTTCTCACATTATACCCGCACCTATGGACTGATTGGGTCAATCTCATTCTCTGGCGCCACGATCGCAATGCTGGGCGTCGATTGCTTCAGTCGCGCAGGATGGAAAGAGTTTTGGCTCTTTCTTTGGAGTAAGCCATGTTTGGGGTACCACCAACCATGAAGCACCGCTGACGTGTACAGACTTGAACCCTGACGTCTTCCCTCTCCACACTACCACGTACCCAGTAACTAAAGGCATCAAAGTCGAGCTTGCAGGTGTTGTCATCCTGTGTGTGTTCGGCATTATATCACAGCTTCGTCTGTGGAGACTCATCAAAGAGCGTCGAGACAAGAAGGAGGAACATGAACAGCAAAAGGCAGAGAGTCAGCAATTACACGAGGCAGAACTCGGCCGAAAGATCGAAGACAAGTTCCAGAGGGAACGTCGTGAATGGGAAGCTACGTACGGAGAGAAAGGACTTCCAGGCTCAAGCGACGAATCGGGTTCAGCTACGCCTCAGTCACCAAGTCTCAACGAGAAAGAGCACTACGCAATTGCTTATGATTCCAAGGTCGACCTTGCGGGACTTGAGAACAAGCACACGAAAGTCACTGTTGCTGCTGTCCAGGATGATGGAATCCAACGAATTGATGCGACGGGAACACCTATTACTCAGGATGGTCTTGTTCCTCAATCCGCTGATGTTAGCCGATCCAACAGCGCACGTCCGTCCTCGGACGCAGTAACTTTCTCGCACACCTCCCGGACTGTATCTGTCACAAGCTCACTCAAGCCCTCATCTCCCCCGCCTCCGGTTGTTGTACCACTTCCCTTTAAGATTCCGCAGGAAGAAGATGCGAGATCAGCAATATCAGACAACCCTTCTGTTTCCGCCTTGCCCGATACCGAAGAGGAAGCCACACTTACGGAAGAGCAATTTACTTCCCGTCGCTTGCCCAGTAAACCGACAATGAAGCGCATGTCGACGGTCAGGTCTTCGGTTGATGGGTTTCAAAATGGCAAGGCACTAATGATGTCGCCGATCGAAGATGACAGGTCTTCTGTTGCGGCTACGTTGGACGAAGAAGACAGGATATCTCTATCGGAGTTGTCTCCGCCCTCCTCACCTCTAGATGCGAAGTTCAATATGGAAGACCCAATGACTGACGAGTCGAGCTTCAAGACTAACAAAACTGGCGAAGTACGAGAGGACAGCGCGGTTGCTTTGGGAACAGACGCAGCAACAACACCTAGCACACCAACCATCGATGTACAAACCGCAGAAACGCTGGAGGATATATCCAAAGCTCATGAATTAGCGCCTTCGCCGTCTCAGATTGGTCTTCGCAAATTCCTTACCATCAGCACTGATCCAAAACATGATGCTGTACAGTCCAAACTCATTCCTCCACGAAGTCCTCGCTTACGACACGATACTCTGGTGAAGGAAGGCAGCGACAATTCCAGTACAGCGAAGTCTGATGCACCAGGATCCGTAAATGATAACCTCTCGAATGCGCCTCCGCTTCGCCTCTCGAAGGTAGCGCAATCGTACCGAACCAACGAATGGGCGAAACACCTTGAAGCTGCAGACAGACCAGAAATCGACGAGGTTTCTGAGCCAAGCTCACCAGGTGCTCAACTAGACCACGAGCAGCCCGCGCCAGTGAGCGAAGGCATTGCACAGCCTTTTGCCGTAGCGAAGAGGGTCTCGAAACGGGTTTCAAGTGATAGTAACGTACACAGGAAGAATGCATTCATGCAGATCAACTCCAATTCAGCGAGACAATCTCAAAGTGAGCTTCCGGCCTTCGCGAATATTCGCATGTCCGGCTCGCAACAGCCGTTGGCAGTCGATCTCGTTGGCAGGAGAGTCTCGTCTAGCCCTGCACAGCCCCTCAGTAAGACTCTGATGGGCAAACGCGAGTCGCTGATGCGAGACCGGGTTTCTACGCAGAACTTTAACCAACAGTTATCCTCTGTTAACAACTTGACAGTAACAGCTGAGGATGACATGACGTTGGCACAACGTAGACACGTCTTAAAGCAGCAGAAGCCCCCTTCGGCGTCGCAAAAGTGGCAGAAGGGCAGCTGGGCAACGAGCCCTCAAGCCGAAGGATTCGATTCCCATCAGCCGAGGAGAACAGTTGGCTCAGGCTCCGACCAGAAGCGCGAGGAGTTGCTTGTCGGGTGGAGAGGATCGGTCCCACAAAACGGGGTGCCCATGCAGAGCGCAGTAGCGAAAGAGGAGCAGCAGCGAGCGGCGATGATGAACGCAAAGAGACAGAAGGAGATGGAGCAGCAGCAGCAAGCTGCCATCGCGCAACACCGAGAGTCGATGAGACATAACATGATGCGAAGCAGTGAGATGCTTGACGCGCACCGCGACGCAATGCGACGCATGCAGGCGTCCGCCAACAGAAAAGCGTAAACATCGCCATCTTATACCTGGATGAGCACAGGCACATAGCCATTTCGCGCCCTCCGTCTACTGGAGCGGACATAATGTATAAAATTCTACTGGCGGTCGGGGATGATAACGGATATAGGCATGGGAGGACACGATACCCTAGACAGAACAACGGTCACTTTCGGGACTTGGAGGTATAATGGGCGTATTTTTTGTATTCAGCACACGGACTTGACTTTGTTCACATATGGCTGCTGGAATCACGGGCTATGGCGAGTACTCTTCTATGATGGCCACGGCTATGGAAGGCACGAGCGTCAAAAGCATATCTTAACATACCATGTACCCCTTGCATTCGCACCCCTGGGTACCTACTCAGGGCAGCTGAGGGTGGATGCTGTTTGCATCATCTAATTAATTATGTAGTACACTATTGGGGTTGCCTTTTTGAGAGCAGTGTTTGCCGATATGGCAGTAGTGTCCCTACTGTGCACGTAGATGCATACAAAATACCCGAAATGGATGCATTGGAGCAATACATGTCTCCACACGAGGCAGATGTATTCCCTTGCATGCAATCTCGGCTTGTGGAGGTTTAACGCGGCCTCGAAGCCTCAGGCCAAGCGCTGTGTTTCCTCCCCACGGTAATGGCATTGTGGAAATGCGCATGGCCGGAAAGGATGATGCTCGCAGCACGCTAGTCATTTCACAAGACGGACGTGTGCACGTGCAGGGATCGCAGCCCTGGAGTGAAGGGCATACGTGTGGAGGAAATTACGAATTACGCAAAAGGTTGGATAGAAAACCGGGAGCAGATCCGCAGGCGATCCGAAGGGACGGATCTGGGTTGGGCCCGACGCGGATGAGGCGTTTCTGCAGCGATAGCGCGACGTTGGAGGCCGCCAGGAACCGGTACCTTTGTGCCAGGGCTCGCGGCTGGGTTGGGAGGTGTGGCGACGAGGGGGAATGGTGGAAGAATGCAGGGCGGAAGCAGGTACGTGGTGCAGGGTAGCCAATTGGGCCTCTTGGGGGGAATGCATTGGCATGCATGTCGAAGGAGGCACACAGGGCAGCGAATGTCACGATGGGCTTTTGCGGCGTGTGGGAGCGCAGGGGCGCAAGCATCGGCGAGGGATGCACGGAGGCCTTGGGTTATGACGGCAGGGCTGCCACTGCCACTGCCACTGCCCAATTTGTACCAGAGTTTGTTTCTTCTGCTGGCCTGACCCGGCCTGGAGTTGGACAAGAGCCAGGTACCGCTCTGCGTGGCTTTTTGGCACCCACTGCCACTGCGCACGCAAAGCTCAGTCCCCTCGCCGAGTCTGCTGGCCGTCCCCGCTGCAATCCGCTGGACAAATAGTGCCCGTCCGTCGCCGTCTGCTCGCGTGTCTTCTGCTGCTCCATTGCTCGCCGCCTTGCTTGCTTGCTCTCTCCATGCCTGTCTCGCCCGCCCAGACCACGCCCGTCGGAGCACCTGCACGCTTCGCCGACCCCTTCGCATCGGCCCAGAATCCTCACCACCAAACACAACGGCGTCCCACGACCCTCCCGCCGCTGCAGCGCTGCCAGCCCGCTGGTCCGTAACCAACCGCCTCTTCGGCCTCCGCTCGCTGTACGCGTCGCCGCCTCGCCCGCCCGCCTCGCGCCTCTGGAACCCCGTCAACTCGTCCCCCCGGAACCTCGCTGTGCACCAGCAGCGGCGCACCGATACGCGCGACGAACCAAACAGCCCCGTGCCACGAGTGCAGTCGGACACGCGCGACGAGTACCCGCTGTTGACCCTGCCTGAGCAGCGTCTGAGCCGGAAGAGCCCTGCGCCGTCATCCCCTCGCCGTCGAACGTTCCACAGGCGGCGACAGCAGTCGCACGAGCATCGGCCTCCCGCGTGAGCGCAGGAGCCTGCATATCGACTCGCAGCCACAGTCGCCAAACATGGCTCTGGAGCACGAAACCCCACCTGCAGATGCACCGCAGGCGCCCGTCCCCGGCGCCCGCCCAGGCGACTTGGAGGCCGGCGCGACCATCTCGAAGCAGCCCACCCGCGCGTCGCTGCCCTCGCGCCCCAATTCGATGCATTCGAACGAGCAGGGCGACGGAGCTGCCGATGGAGACGACACTTCAGAATTCCCTTGGGGTCCATCGCACCCGTGCTTCCCGCACCCGAACCCACATGTACCGCTCAACACGCCGCTGTACGACACCACACGCATCATACGGATAAAGCGCGACTGGATGGTCAAGGGCGACCTGGCACCCACATATGCCAATCTCTATCCTGAGATCCTCGACCCGCTCATTTCCGAGGAAGACTTTAGGAAAATAGTACAGCGGGTCAACGACGCTTTGATAGAAGCATTCGACCCCTTCACTTTCAGGGCGTGGCTGGATGCCGTCATGGGTGTGGCTACTTTCTGGCTGTGGGACGACGCAGGTCTTACTAAAGTCAAGCGGAAGTTGGCGGAGCTCGAAGGTTGGATAGAGAACTGGAATAGGGTCCATGGCGAGAAAGAGGGTGTGAGAATCATTCCACTGAGGCGGACGGGGTATTTGACTGTGCGTAACAACCCTATACCTACTACGTGGGCGGAGATTAACATGAACCAGCTCGACATCCAAATCCCAGATCCTCACCTCGGGCCGGACAACGGCACGGCCTCTCGACCCAACACACATGGAGATAGCTTCCAGAACGGAGCTCTGCCAGAGCAAACCTACCCTGAAACGCCCACCTTCCAAGTCCACGCATCCTCCTCCCCCCATTGCCGCGGAGAGCTAGCATCGTCGCGTGCAGTCGTTGTCGGGGCATGATCTAAGATTCCTTACCATCGTTCCCTTAAGCTATACCACGTTTCTGTTCGGTGTACCGGCATTTCCTTTCAGTTGTTTCGGGTCCAACTTTTGTTGAAAAAGGAGGTGCATGGGATGGCCTCCCACATTATAGAAACCGCTGCCGCGAGGCATGGCATAATCGCTTTCCTTATTTCTGTTTCGTTTTTGCGGAAGTGTTTTCAGATACCCAATACGCTACTTTAGCATCACACCTACATACTGCATATACGTATAATACCACCTGGCGACCGCGCTGATGCGTTGTTCGTGCTATCTTTTCTCCCATTACGACATTGCTTCTTCGACTTTCGTTTCGCAACATTGCTTATGTGGTCACGGTGATGCTCGGCGTCGTCCCGCCGCTCTTTGCTTGTGCGTCTCGCATTTTCTTTCGCCCTACGAGGGTCGCAGCAGGGGCGTTGACTCGCAATTCATGCGCCTCCCGACCCCAGTGATGGGTCCTGTCAATCTTGTCCCCGCGCACCGCATGATCACCCACGCTGACGGAATAACTAAAAGGCTTTTTTGGAATATGTCTCGCTTCCAAGCTGTCGGAACAGGGCGTCAAGTTACGATGCTTTGGGAAGCCCCTGCATTGGTGAGGGAGGTGGAGATTGGGAGATTATGCCGGATGGGAGCCTGAGGGGATCCATTGATAGATTGAAATTGAGCTGTAAGCTGGGCGGGAGAACATGGCAAGTGGGCGGGTTAGAGAGTCAGAAAGCGAAGATTGTTGTTGTGTAGAGCTTCATTGACTATGCGTGCTTATAGAGACTCGCTAAGAGATATGGAAATTTGGAGCGATTGGACTAATGGTTCGGAAAGTTAGGTAAGTTGGTAGAAATGGGAAACGGTTGAATGCCTTTGGGGGCGATCATTCAGACTGAGGAAGAGTATGATGGCTTAGTTAGTTGGTCTAGTTGGGTTGAGTGGGCCTGGTCTGCTTGCGTTGGATTGGGTGAGACGTGTGAGATGGAGGCTGATTAATATTCTCTAGCATGTCTGTGTTATTGACCAACTCATGCTTCTGGGCTGCGGTCAGTCTGTCGAAGCTCATGCGAACTAACTACCAACAGCCCATTCAAGCGGCCACTTTCTCCGCGTGTCCCTTGATCAGCCCTAAATCCTTCGCCTCGTTCTCGATAACATCGGGCAGCAGATCTTTGAGACTCTTCTGTCTAGGCGTCCAACCTAGCAGTTCCCTCGCTCTCACAGCTTTGGCCCGCGAGTTTGTACCAAACAAGAAGCGGGCTCCCCTCACTAACTTGTTTGCCTCCTCGACAGGTAGGATGTCAACGTCCGCAGTCTCGATGAGCTTCTTGTCCTTCGCGATCTTCGCAATCTGATGGGATATGTCGCCCCACTGGAAGCTACCGTTTTCCGCAAAGTAGTAGCCCTCCTCATTCCACGTTGCTTTACCACCGCCCGGTTGTAGGGCTGCGGTCACGAGACCAACGAATACGTTGGAAAGGTCCTGCACATGGACCTCGTGCCAGATATTCTGACCAGCGTTGATTTGGAAACCTTTCCCGCGGTTAAGCGTAGCGTTTGCGAGCTTGTTGGCCTGTATGCTGCGCTGGTTGTCTGGGCCACGACCGGGGCCGTAGATACAGGGCGGACAGACGATGGCCGTGAAGACGTTTCCAGAGTTTCTTTCCGCAGCAGCAAGAACGATCTTGTCAACGTCGCGGTGATCGAAACTATCTGGCAGAGACGTGACTTCCTTGATGCCATCCCAGTCATCGTACACGTGAGCAGTCTGCTCGCCAAACGTCTGGCGCTCTACATCCGCGGTGGCTAAGATTCCGGTGCCGGAGACGTGGATTAGATATCCTGGAGTTTTCTTCTGGGCGAGTCCGGCTACGATGGCGGTTGCGGCGCCCTGATGATCGGCATTGGCTGTGTGCACAACGATGTCAGCTTTGGCGGCTTCAGTTGTGAGTAGCTCTGCGTTGTCCAGGTCACCGTAGACGAGCTTGACTTTCGCATATTGAGATGCTATTTTGGCACCCTTGTCGGAGGTGCGAACAAGAGCGGTAATGTCGAGGTCTGGGTAGGTGTTGGGGATGGCGTACAGGGCGTCTCCACCAATGTAGCCTGTGGCGCCGGTGCTGTAGACGGATCAGAAATTGCTCTCATTTGAGCTCAGACATGAGTGGTAATATGTCAAAGAGTCCAGTGATTGCTTGTCGTGGGGAGTGTGATTCATCTAGGCACTTACATGAAGAGTTTAGTCATTTTGTAACGGTGGAAGTTATTGTCAGGTGAAATTGATCTGAAGGATGCTAGGATCTGGTCTTGTAGGAATAAGTTCTGTATGCTGGTCCACGTCGGTTTATATCCTCACTGTTAAGAGGCCGGTAGCAATGAAGGCAGCACCAACTGGGGAATGAGTAATCCTGGTGCCAGAAACTCAAGTAGCAAAAGGTTTAGAAATCGATGTGCTGGAATCTCCCGTTGTACGAAGAGTAAGCCGAAGACAGACCAGGTCGGATGTACGTTTTAATCCGCCGTGGGGTGTCGGATGACTGACGCCATAGTCGAGTATGTAAACAACGCAAGCAGCCAATGAAGGCCCTTAATCCCCGAGCACCACGTTAGATCACTATTGAAGGCGCGCGGAGGTTTTCCCTAGTCTTAAAGGTTATCCTATAATCCAGCCTCTGCCCCCAAAAGAGTTCAGTGTGCAGAACGGGCATTTGCAGGGGTCGGATCGGAGATAGGTGGTCTGACTAAGCAAAACTGAAGCTCAAGCCACACCTCACGAGCTACGTCAAGCAGTTGCGACGGCATGGAGCTGCCAGCAACAAACGGCCACCGACGATCCACGCTCCCCCGAACCGTAAAACGACAGGCTTCTCACAGCCATGGATATTGTACAGGCCGTCTCCGGCTACATCACGAAGATGGTGTCTGCTGGGGACAGCGCTGCGGCAGGCACTTCGGCCGCGAAGATGAAGATACTCCTGCTGGACAATGATACGGTAGGTCTGTCTACTCTGTCTGAGGGTTGATCGTGCTCACGCTAACCTCTCTCAGGTCTCAATTGTATCTACCGCGACGACTCAATCCGCCCTCCTAAACCATGAGGTTTACCTTACCGAGTACACCCCCCGCGACCCCGCCTATAACGGGTGTTCTGACCCGTAGATTATAGTCGAGTGGACAACCAGACTAGAGAGAAAATGCGCCATCTTCGTTGCCTGTGTTTCGTACGACCGTCGCCCGAGTCAATACAAAGCTTGATCGAGGAGCTGCGGGAGCCCAAGTACGGAGAATACCACATATGTGAGCTGGCGCAAGAACTATATTATGTGAAAGGAAGGCTGATTGTATACAGTCTTTAGCAACATCATCAAGAAATCATCACTTGAGCGACTCGCGGAAGCAGACGACCACGAGGTCGTCCGCGCGGTGCAGGAATACTTTGCCGACTTCCTCGTCATAAACCCTGACCTGATGTCGCTCAACCTGGGATTCCCACAGCATAGGATATGGAGCACGAACCCTGACACTTGGAATGCGGAATCCCTACAGCGGTCGACCGAAGGCGTCCTGGCATTATTGCTCGCATTGAAGAAGAGGGCGTTGATTCGCTACCAAAAGAACAGTCCTCTGGCTAGAAAATTGGCAACTGAGGTGCGATATAACATGACGCAAGAGGAACAGCTCTTTGATTTCCGGAAAACCGACACGCCGCCAATACTTTTGATCGTGGACCGAAGAGACGATCCTGTTACGCCGCTGTTGACGCAATGGACGTATCAAGCGATGGTCCACGAATTACTTGGGATAAACAATGGCAGAGTCGATTTGCGTGACGTGCCAGAAATAAGACCAGAATTGAAGGAAATCACCCTTTCGCAAGACCAAGACCCTTTCTTCAAGAAGAACATGTACCTCAACTTTGGTGATCTTGGCCAGAATGCTAAAGAATACGTTGAGCAATTCGCATCTAAACAACAAGGCTCTCAAAAGCTCGATTCGATTGCGGACATGAAGCGATTCATCGAAGATTTTCCAGAATTCCGTAAACTGTCCGGCAATGTCACGAAGCATGTAACTCTCGTCGGAGAATTAAGTCGAAGAGTAGGCGAAGACAGCCTTCTAGAAGTGAGTGAACTGGAGCAGAGTCTTGCTTGCACGGACAACCACTCCAGTGATGTTAAGTCACTTCAACGCATTATTCAGGACCCGAAGATCCCTGCAGACAACAAGCTACGACTGACAGCGATCTACGCTCTGCGGTATTCGAAACACTCTTCCAATTCAACACCCATGTTGTTGGATCTGTTGGAAGTTACTGGTGGTGTATCACGACACCGGATCGGTTTAGTCAAAAAGCTTCTGGCATACCATAATTCACTGCAGGCTACAAATGTCGCTGGTGGAATTCCGGAGCTTTTTCAACCAGGCTCGTTCTTTGGCGGTGCTCGCGATCGACTTAAGGGCCTCAAAGGTGTCGAGAACGTCTACACTCAGCATTCGCCGCGGTTAGAAGCGACGTTGCAAGAGCTCATCAAAGGACGATTGAACACCCAGGTCTATCCATTCGTTGATGGTGGTGGATCCACCAAAGACAAGCCACAAGATATCATCATCTTCATGGTGGGCGGTACGACCTACGAGGAAGCCAAAATGGTCGCGCAGGTCAATGCAAGCTCGCCCGGGGTGCGAGTGGTCTTGGGCGGCACAACGGTCCACAACAGCTCGTCTTTCTTGGAAGAGATAGCCGAGTTCTGGCCGGAGCCCGAATCCACCGCTGCTCGATCAAGGCGATGATTTTAAACCATTACGGGACTTACGATACCATTTGCATTCCAATTACGCTATTCGGGCACTACAGGTGGGAAATTTAATCGGCATGTTGTCAACTGTTCGGCGTAGCAGGCGTTGAGCGCTTGAGCTTACATATTTCCAAAAACTCTCAGTCGTAGTATGTTTGTTACGATAGACGAATGCCAGAAGCTCAGCTAGATTCTCCCGCGCGTGACAGTGATGGCTAGAATAGTGGCCTCTACTGATATAGTCTTTAAGATGTTGGTGGCTGGTATTTGGGTGACCTGTACCTACGGTATGCACTTCATTGATAAGTGGGGCCACTAACTTCCCAGCCGTTTAGATTCTATGGACAACCCGAGATTCAGTCGTTCAATGATTAGTGGTAGGGTGCGGTTCACGGGTACTGCAGCTGCGATCATACTGCAGCTCCCCCGCACATGCATCGCAGCCACGTGAACCCCCCTTGGATCTACGAGCGGGTTCGACACAGGAGATGAACTTGCAGAGCTGTGATAGGAATCTCATTGGCAACCAGCCTTCATCATGTAATCATGCTTTTTGCTTGCAATTTGGCTTGCAGAAGATGAGGTTGCGCAGTTCTGGATTCCTAAGTCAGCTGAAGAGTTTATAGTAGTGGCGCACGAAGCTTACGAATCAGATCAGATACACATCGTGTGGAGTTCCACCTTCATATGGGATAACCTCTGCTCTTCATCGATAAGGGCGATAGAGATCTTTGGTACACTAAGTTGAAAGATACATATGTAGGATGCGTAGTGATAAGGTTTCACTATTGCTATAGCTGAATGTGTATCATATCACTGAGCATGTACCCCGCAATCGACTTTCGCGGTCGAGAACCTAGGAGCAGAACATAGGCTGAAGAAGAGAAGCCATAGTTGTCAGAGTCTTATCAACCGAAGTACATAACGCAATCTGAAGATCCTTTCCAATTGCACATTGCGCCCTATTCATACACGTAGAGAGCCTTCAACTTCACTACAACCTGTCCTTACCAACTTACTACCTTAGCCATCTTTCCACCCTCTCAACACCGAAAAGCCTCCACTCTCTCACTCTTAGATGTCAGACCCCTCGTACCGATACGCCAGCGGGACCCAAGACCCCACAACCCTCAAATCCTCCACGGACGACACCTACGATTGGGCCACCGTCCAAGACAAAAGCTCCGGCCGCTCTGGCGTCAAACTCCTCAAAGCCACTGCCGATTCCAGTCTCCCTCCCTTCACGCAAAAGGTCGCTTACACCCAGAGTGATATGGACGATACTCCGGGTGCCCCTGGTTACAGCACCTTCAAGGTCGAAGCGTCCCCGAAGTGGTTTAGCTTTGTTAGTACGGAAACGAATGATCAGGGGAATGTAACGGTGATGCTTGGAGTGCAGGCGGGGAAGACGTTGGTGAGTGGGAAGGTGGTGAGTGTGGTGACGAAGTGGGGTGGCGTGGGGATGCCGGGGAGTGGCAAGACGAAGGAATATTTTTATCAGATTTTGTAGTGCATTACGTGGCGGGAGGTTGTTGTGTAGTTTCAGTCGGTATTCTAGGATATTGGAAATTCTCATTCCGTAGTTTCGTTGTTGCGTTTGAGGTAGAATGCCCTCTTCTATCAGGCGGCATAAGGAAAGGTTGCCTCTGTCACAAAACAATGTTCGTTTGGGAGTCTTTGGGATGTCAACAGCCGTACTTAAAAAGCTGTTGGGTTTTCTGTAGATATAGGTCAGAGCCTGAATCTAATATGGTCATGCAGCAGTCTTGACCCCTGCAGGCAATCCTTTTATTTTATTTTTCAAGACTGCGAGAGTTACTGAGGCATATTTATCCTTGTTCAAGTTGGTCAAAGGACTAGAAGCGCGGTGGACATGTCCTTAAAGCGTAGATAGACAGCATGTAGAGGAAAATAGCTCGGAAGTCCCGCCCAAGTTCGTCAAATCATTTATGTACCACATTATAAAATGAATGACGAGTCGAAGGTAATCTAATTCTTTCCTTTATGGCAAGGTCGTTGCTGTCGAGCCTCCAGCGTGCCCTCCTGATAGTCCTGTACGCCTACCACTCGCGATCTCACTGACCTTTAATTCTTCTCTGAACGACAAATTCACCAGCGTTGTTTGTTTCAACCTCGAATGCAACACCTGTTCCCCGCTCGCTTATTCGTCCGCTGACTTACACACCCCTTTCGTTCAGGCCAGCGCACCAACCGAACGCCCTAGTTGTCTAACAGTGTACGCTGTAATGCGTCTTTACTACAAATTCGACCTTGTCGTCAGAAGTCGGACCGAGCTCAACATGTTGTATTCGTTTACATTCCGCTTTTCGGTTCCCTGCAGAAAGAACTGCCTTGATAAGGGTTAGGTCCGGACCCTACTTCCGGAGACTTCTAGGGTGCGACAATGCTGTGCAACCCGCAAACACTACCTCATCAAGGCTCTCTAGGCTAAGGCGCTTCAGGAGTTATCACTCGATTGTGTGCATGATCGGATCCGTTGGGATCGGCTGATATCGACGAACGCAAAAGCCTTGAAATTGAGCATGATGGTCTAGGTTCATTGGCTGCGAACGGTCCCCCAGCCACATTAATGACCCACCTTGGCGCGCAAGTGCGTCAATTAAACCCTCGGCGGTCACGTGGAGCTCAGCCTTGTGTCTGAAGATCAGCATATGCGGGCCGACAACCGCTGCCATCCCTCCCCCACCACACCCGCGCGCGACCGAAGTACACAACAATTGCAGTCGCAATGGCTCAGACAACATGACAAGAAATGTCCGAACAAGCATTGCCGCAGTCACGCGTGGTGCGACGCCGAAATCCACGCCCCATCAATTCCTGCGTTGAATGCCGTACGCGTAAAAGTCGATGTTCCAAAACACACCCTTGTCAAAACTGCACCGCCTTTGGACGAGAATGTGTCTTTATCACGGTGCCGGAGAGCGCGGCACGCAAGAAGCAGAGGGAAAGGGAGCAGGCTAGTAAGAGCAGCGCAGAGTGGACGCAGCCGATCCCCCTACGCACCAATAGTTCAAGCACCGTTCAGATCGAAAAGTATGAATCAAAATATGATCAAGATAAGACTGCAAGTACAACCACCCCCGGAACGCCACCTAGAGATTACGAGTGGGAGGCGTATCAGCAAAGTGTGCAGGTGGATCAATTCGATGGCGGTGCTGCGTGGGAGCAATTACCCGCCGAACCGGAAGAGACGCCCGACGATGTGTACGAAGATGAAGACGACGACGAAATGGAAGTTGCAACTGATCTGACGATTCGCATTGGGAGAATGATCATATGTGAAAACATTACCGGCTTCTTTAGACCGCAGTATGCGGAAGAGGTACTTCTCCGTTGACAACCATGTGGTTCGCGAAAAGCATCAACTGAACATAACGCAGCTTGGAAAGCTTTTGTCAGACCATCCTCCATCGACATCCTCAGTCGCAGGACAGAGAGCATCACAAGCTTCAGCCTTGTTATCAGCAGAACATATGCCATCTCTCTCACCATCTCTCAATCTTCTCCTAGGTGGCTCGATCTCCAATTCCTCAAACAACGACATTGAGCCCCCTCTGCTTCCGTCGAGGATGGAGGCCGAAGCCCTTCTGAACCGGTACATAGAGGCTGTCAGTCCTCTTGCTCACGTGCTACACATCCCGTTCTGCAAACGACTTTTCGAACGCTTTTGGATGAACATCGAGGTTGGAACTGCAAATCCGAACTCATGTACAGCATTGATGCTAGCTGTTTGCATGGCTGCCGCTGCATCCGTTTCCCCGCTTCAGGCCAAATCACAATTCGGCATCACCAAAGAAGACTTATTCCTGAGGCTCCAGAAAGCGACTGAACGAGCACTCCTCCGCGCGAATTGGGCTAAGACGTCCAACATTCGGACGCTCCAAGCTTTGACTATCTATCTCATACCTCTCTGCAGAGCTCAGATCTCTCGCGCCACCTCTGTCGTAGTGGGCGCCCTCGTGCGTCTAGCCCAATGCATTGGTATCCACCGCTTGTCACATTCCTCCGCGCATACCCTCACCCCGCTTCAACGCCACGTTCGCTCTCTCTTATGGTACCAAATCTGCTTTCTGGATTTCAAAACTGCCGAAGCGCAAGGCCCACACCCCTCCATCCGCTCGGACGACTTCGACATCCCCTTACCCCTCAATGTCGACGACGATGTCTTCGAATTTGGATCGCCGCAATGGCAGCACAATCCCACCTCCGTGCAAGGTTGGACAGACGCGACCTTGTCCTTGATACGGTACGAGTGCAACGAGATTCACCGGCTGATCTTCAGAGGCCGGATAGAAATCGACCGCAAAGCCATCACCTTGCACGATCTAAGAGCACGGGTGGAAGCGAAGAAGCGACACATACAGCAGAGGTACTTGCACCACCTCGATGCCTCGGTCCCCATCCAGCGCTACGCCGGCCTCGTAGCAACTTGTCTTATGGCCCGCTGCGACTCCATGCTCCTCTACCGACATCTCCCGCAAGCCTCGCCACACCCACGCTCCGACTCCGAGAACCGTCTTCGCGACGTTCTCCTCACCGCTGCCTTAACAACCCTCGAAATCGGCGCCACGCTCGACACATTACCCTCGCTATCCTCCTGGGCCTGGTACAGCACCACATACCAACAATACCACGCTGTACTCTTGCTTCTGACAGAGCTCTACCGCACCCCGGATCTAGACCGGAAAGACAGTATGATGACGATAATCGACCACATCTTCGGCCACTGTTACGGCGTCGGCGTCCGCGAACGCTGCGCAGACCTCCTCTGGACGGTGAAAGAAAACCTCGAAGCTTTCTACATCATGAAGGGCATTCCTAAAAAGTCCGCCGCGCCGCCACAGCAACATCCCACGTTACAACCATTGCCCCAACCGGGAGCACTGAACCGCTCGCAGTCGAGCGTCACGAGCCCCGATCTGGGCATCGGTATGACGGGTCTGCAGACGCCGATGGATAATCTAAATGTGGACTTTGAGTCGCTGCTGGGGAGTTTGAGTGCACAGGGGAGTGGGGTCGGAGAGGGCGATCTAAACGGATTTTTGGCAGGGTTGCAGAGGGGGAATGATGCTATCTTTATGCCGGCCGATGCGTCGAACGTTCAAAACGGGACGAGAGATTGGGACGACAGTGCGCAGCCTGGGCTACAGCAATGGGTAAGTGTCTCTACGAGAGGATGCTAGTTGTGGAGGTATGGACACTGACGGACACGTAGGACAATTGGACTTTCCCCAACCAGACTCAAAAGTTTGAGTAAGATGTGAGGACAGGAAAATGTGGGAGGGAATCTGCTTTCGGGTTGCAAACATTTGGATGGAGAAGGAGGATTTTGGTTGTACTATACCACGGCGCGGACGCCTGAATGGCGAGGCCTGTGAGCAATGGCTACCCGGTCAGTGCTTTTTGAATACCCTCAATCTCAATTCAATATTCTTTCGCGTTCAACTGATATCTTGTAGTGTTCAACAAAGGGAATAGCTTCTTATTGCAGATAAAAGCAACTAGTCGATGTGTCGCGTGCTCATGCACCCCATTCGAACTATCCAAATCATCGTCCCTTCTCAAATCATGAACGCCGTACGCAATACTTTCCGCTATGTTCTCGTCCCAAACGCCGTGCCTGCCATGCTGCCCCAAACTTCGCTGCAGTCGCTGACGCGCGATTCCACTAGTGCTGACAGGACCGGCCAAGGTATTCATCCCACGAATACATTATCAAATCCGACACCAATTATGCGTATTCGAACATCGAACAGATCAAAGCGTGACAACTCTTGTGGGCTCTAAAGCGCACAATGTCAGCCAAAGGTTTTCGAAATAGCTCGAAAGATATCATGCTAATAATGCGAGACCTCAGAGGAGCTCAACGCACTTCGCTTCATCGGCGGGGGAGGTGGCGGCGGCTTTTTAGCCCTCGATGGCGGCGGCGGTGGGGGAGCTTTCTTGCCCGCGAGGGGCAGATCGTGGTTCGACCAAGATGCGGCGCGAGACATGACACTGCCCTGGCTGCTAGTCGTGGGGCTGGGTGGCGATCTGTCTCGTCTATATGGTTGATGGTGTCCGTTGGCGCTGGCGTTGGCGTAATCGTCTTCGTATTCATCTGCAAAAGTGTTGGTTTGTCGCACTGGACGCAAGTTACTGCGACCGGCCAACATTGCGGTCGGTTCGGTCGGGACGCGGGAAAGTCGGTTCCGGGCGGGTGAATCGTCACGCACGGAGCGGGTTGGGCTATCGAAGGTCGTTTGACGGCTATATGTGGGGCGGGTGACGGGCGAAGGGTTGCCGTGCGGCGAGAGATTGCGGGAGGCGAGCTTAGGAATAGTAATACGCGGTGCCTCTGGTTCCGGCTCTTCCTCGCGTGGGTTGTAACGCTCAGCGTAGCCATGGGCGGTCGAGTGTGATCGCGAGCGTGAGCGGTTCAAGCCAGTGTCCCTGTCAATAGTGTTAGCTGCGTCATGTCGCATATTCAATAGTGGCATGCTTACTGAATTGGCCACTCGCGCTTGACGTTCAATAGGATCTCGCGGCAACGGTCGTAGTACGTAAGCTCGGCCTCGAGGAATGCAGTGAGATCCTGAACCATCTCGACTTCTGACTCCTTGATGTCCTGCATCCGCCTGTAAACGTCCTCGCTCGACTCCTCATATTTGGCCTTCTGTGCGCGGAGCTCCTCCTCGACCCTGAAGTCCTCCTTCTTCGCCTTTTGCATCTTTGCGAGGGATGTGTCATAGTTTAGTCGGCGTTGTTCGAGCTTCTTGCGAGCATTCTGCAATTAGTTAGCAAACTATCATCAACACACAGTGATGCTGCGTCTGAATTTGCATACCTGATACTCTTTCATTTGAGCCAAGGAACGGTCCAAGCCCTCCAACCATGTAGAAGTGGCGCCCTGCACATACGTCTCCTGTACACGCGCCAGGCGCTCGTTCGCTCGTCCAAGCGCTGAGGAGCCATTAGTATAGAGCACGGAAGGATAGGGGCGCTGCACGCACAGGAAAGGCAGTTGCCAAATTCCGAGTCGGGTTCAAAGTCCTCGCTATGGGAGACCATGGAGGAGCCAAGGTGGCCGCCCGGCAGCATCTTCTCGCGGTCGGTGCCCTGGGCGCGCTCAGAGAGCGACTTCACGTAAACGGTCATAGACCTCTGCATGCGGTCCATACCTGCGAGCATCAGCAATGATGTTTGAAATCTGAACAAGGGGTCGCATACCCTCATGGCGGAGGTTCATCTCAGTCTCGAGGGCTTTGAAGTCGTCGGAGACGCCCGTCTTGACCTCCCCACCCATCTTCTCTCCCGCCCATTGCTTGAAGCGGTCGAGCTTCTTGTTGACGAGCATGTTTGCGTGTGCAGCGTGGCAGTTGGTGCAGTGTTACGGTTGTGGTATGTTGCTGGCTAAAGCCAGATTGCGCGGGCCAGATGTTGTGATAAGGACGTCAGGAGCCCCAGGGTATCGGAGCTTGGTGCTTTGAAAACTAGCGGGACGGACTCCTCGACGTGTAAGCAGCGGACGGAGAAAGGACACTGGAGAGCGGCGCAGCAGATTCTCCGGCAGAAAGCGAGTGTGAAAGAGCGAGCAGGCAGGAGAGCAGCTCCTGTGGAGGGTGTGGGGTGGGTATGTTTCGTGCAAAGGGAGGGACGCGCGGGCGTGCACTAGCTAAATTTGGGACACGCCTGGACACTCGTGGAGCGGGCGGTAGAGTGGGTGCAGGTGGGCTAGCAACGCTGCGATCGACACACGGTCAGACCAAAGACCATGCCTCTCTCACTCGCCCTGTCTGACGCCAGAAGGCGACTATTTGCCGCCGCCCGGCGGTCTCCCGTACGCGCTACCCTGCCTTCTCTGGCCGCCAGTCCCTCCCCGTCCTCCCCTGTCACCCCAAAGGCGCCGCCGTGTGCCTGTTTCACCTTCCATTGAGCTCCCTTTTCGTCACGGATGCACTGATTTGCTCGAATGCCCCTCCTTGACCCGCCCACGGGCCAACCACCTTCAACGCCACGCAAGATCCAGCGCCGAGCGATCTCCCTCTCTGCAGCGTTTCTGCGTGCACATCCTGCACGTTACCAAGACGTAGAAACGCTTGTTTTACTCCCGGCGGTCCAGGATAGCACCTTGCAGCGTCAAAACGCTCATCAAGCGTAGCTCAGGCACGAGCGCCTGTGGAGCTCTCTACCTTAGCGCAATATTGCATTGCGGGTATGCTTCAAGGAAACTCCACCGAGTTGCAGCGTGTGGCCTCCTGGCACAAGGTTCATGCCGTCCTGTCCAAAACTGCTTCACCATACTATCAATACCTTTGGTGGCCACGGCCATCGATACATTGTTGTTGCGGCCCACCGTCTATGGTATGCCCCTGAACCTCGTGCGAGCCATGAGACAGCGTCGGACAATTATGACAGCGTTGAAGATCCGCTGCTGACACGGACTTCTTCTGCCTCAGTCTCCACGAGGCGGAGTCGTATCTACCTCGCTTCCCAACGGGTATAGCATGCGATATGTATTGTTGCGGCGTCCTTGAGCTACGATCCTGGCGCTTGCGCTCCGCGAGCCCACGCTACATGGCCTGGTAAGCATCACGCGGCCGTCTTTCCGCTGATACCTCTACAGTAGGGCTGCATGTAGAGCAGCGCAGAGAATCCACTGTCCCATGCAGTCAACGCTTCCATGCAGTCAACCCAATGGCTGTGGCATTTTGATCGAAATTATTGACATTTTGAAATAGCACCGGACACAGTGGCCGACACTACAGACTGAACTTGGTTCGGGGTATCAATGATCATAAGAATGAACATCGGCCATACAATGTCACCTGTGACTTTAGAGGCGTATTGTAGCTTAAGTTACCCTAGGATAGACTGGAACATCTCGCTTTACTGATCATGCGCCGACCTACACGAGAGCCTACCCAGACTAGCCTAAATTTGAAATGACGGCCACTGGGAGGAAGCTGTTGATGGTATAGGTGTCGAGGAAAACAAACTACCACCTTGATTTCTATTACATGGTTACATGTGGGTAGTGGTACAAACTCTTGCAGCTCGGTCTACTCCTCTTGCAAGAAATTCGTGACAGCCTTGATAAACTCCTCAGGCTTCTCGCTGATAACCCAATGGCCGCAGTCGACATCGACCAACTCGAATCTTGGGAAGAACCGCCCGATAATCGGTAATGTCTCGTCGCTCACGTAGTGGCTCTTCGTCCCCCGGATAAATAAGGCTCTCTTATTGAAGCGCGCCTCTTCCGGATTGTCGAATGGAAAGTCTGCCATATCGTCCAGCGCATTTGCCAACGTCTTTACCGGTATCCTCCACCGTAGCGGCTGACCTGGCTCCCGCACCAGGTTCGTCAACAGGAATTGTCGCACAGGTAGCTCTTTCGCATACGGCTGCAGGATTTCATCCGCCTGTTTCTGGCTCATAGGCTCTGCGGCTTCAACCTTCCGCATGCCTTCTACATATTTAGGGAAGTCGGACGCGAGGGCCGCGTCGACTGGCGCGTTGTCTACGGGAATGACGTTGGCGCAGGACGAGGGGTTGCGGAGGGCGACGGCCATGACAGTTTTAGCACCCATCGAGTGCCCGATGAGAGTCGCATCTTTGAGATTGTGCTTTTCAAGGAAAGCTTCAACATCTTCGGCAAGGGCAGTGTAATTGTGTGTCTTATCGTGGGGCGACTCGCCGTGGTTGCGGAGGTCGATTGCGTAAACGGGACGAGAAAGTTTGCGGGCCAAGGCACTGAGCGAGGCGTTAGCATGTTAATACTGTTATCTTTAGGAGAGGCACCTACTTGCTCACGCTACGATTGTTCTTCTTGCTTCCGAACAGCCCATGGAGAATCAGTATCGGTGCGCCCTTCGCTTTGCCTTGTTCATCGTGAAGGCTGTACACCAGGTCGACAGCTCTGCAGTTGGCAGACGCGTGAAACGATCGCGTCCATGACGGCAATGGCGTGGGGGCTATCCGGGCCGTGTGCTTCGGATGCAACAGAGGCTTACAAACGGGCTGTAGGCTCCGATATAGTGAGCGCATTGTTGTGGTATTGCAGAAGATTTTCGGTCAGTTGCGGAACATTTCCGACCGACCCACACGTCATTGGTACCGGGTACCTGCCAAGACATATGGACCTCCATCCTCCCACACTCTTTACCTCTGACAGAGCACTGTCAATTGTCAATACGCCCCCCTTGATGGCGTCTCCTGTTGGGTAATAATCTTCTCATTTATACCCATAGAAACCTCAAATTGATAGGCACGATGTTTCGAGACATGCACCTTCAATTTATGTTTCCATGCAGGATCCCTTATGCTTTTCAAAGCATGCAATGCCAACTTCACTGACGACTGACATCCAAATACATCTGCCCTATGTGCCATCTAAATTTTCCGCTATTGACAGGTATTTAAACGACCAGATTTGCTCGCTTTTTGCAAATTTCCACCGAACAGTCAAATCCAAGCCATGCAAGTAGGTTCGTCCCGGCATAAGGGGCCTCCACTTGAACTTTGTTACCTGGCTTTCCCACATCTCACTTCGATGCTCAAACGCACCCACCGAGTCAAAGCGTAGCAGTGTTCGCAACGGTCTGCTTGACATCATGAAGGCGAAGAACAAATGTAGCCTTCCATCAACATTGTCCCGATCAAGCTTATGTACAGCTTGCTTTCCCTGGCGACGTACGATCAGTGACATGCGTCGAATCCTCGCGGTCAAGTCGAGATCAAGGTGTGTCCACCTACATTCTTACTGTCTCTCATTTTGCAAATGCACATGCAGCGAGCTAATCCAAGTAGTGGTATGACAGGGGAGATCAGTAATATGGATGCACTAGATCGCAGTCCTCTCCATATAGCGGTCGCTACTCAAGCTAGAGCCGGTTTGGCCGTTTATGTCGAACCTGTTTGAAGTCTTAGAGCTGCGTAAAGCCCGTCTTCGGGTTATTGCTTGGGAACGTCCCAATCTCTCGCCCGAGTGAGAAAAATGGGCCTTGTACGGTGGAACCCGTCGAGCTCGCCTCGTGCGCCAATCGCGCACTCTCGCATTCAGCGAGAGGTAACTCAACCTGGACCCGTACAAGGATTGTTTCTCTACCAATAGCGCACCGTCGCACTGACCTAGCATATCGTCAGCCTCCACGATACAATCTGCCTGCTCGACCAATGGCGCACCTTTGCAAGTGCAGATCAAACCTCAGGATACCGTGCGTTTAGTGTATTTCTCAAGCGCACTGACTTGCGGCATAGAATATAAAGCTCGTCCTCGTCAAGATAGAATGGAGATGGTTCAATTTAGTTCCTCAGCCTCATCGGCACGATAAAATTAGCAACATGGCCTTCCTGCAGCATGGCACGTCGGCCACCTCCTTGCAACCTTCATTAGCGCCCTTCACAGATTCTGAATACACATTCCACGATCTCATGAATACCTCAGGATCAGCAGAAATGCCATCACAAACTTTACGACCAGGTCCCAATAGCCATATCGCGGCGCTAAGTGAGGGCTCCGCAGGGCGTAAAAGAAGAAGGCTGGACTACATTAAATGTGATAGTTGCCGGAAAGACAAGCAAAAGGTTTCTAGCACACCAAATTTCAAAGGATACGTCTCTAACTAGGTGGAGTGTCTGCCTGTAGGTCGTGAATGGCCACAGCGTTGCGATCGCTGCGTCGAGAGAGACCTTCCATGCGCAGAAGGCAATCGAGCCCCGCGCCTTGGCAACTCTACTCGACCAACAATACCTATACGATCGCCAGAAGAACCGCGCGATCAGTCTGCGGTGGATCTTGAGCATGAGGCGAACGATTGGTGCGGTCTCTCTCTGGCAAGGCGACAAAAGACTGACCGAATTAGGGCATTCCTTGTGATGTTTCGCAAGATCGTACTACCGGCCATCGACTGCCTCAAGGCACTTGAGAAAGACATGAACTTGCTCTTCGACTGCTTCCTTCCTATTCGCACCGATCACTATCGATATGTCGAGCACCAGAAGTTCGATTCATTTCTGCGACACCTCGATTCCGATATCTCCAGGTGTGCTATCAAGCTTTGGAATATTGACACACTTTCGACCTATGGTTCAGTGTTCAGGTCGTTGCTTGCGACTCAACTTTTCACTGACTGTCCTCTCCGCAACATCGGCGTGTGCCCAAGAAGTCAAGGTGCCCCCATGATGGACGACCTTTCGAGACTCGCCCCTGCCCATGCGTTTGTGGTTGCTTGTGGAATGCTGGAACACCAATGCGTATGCGCATATTGTCGACTACCTAGCGATTACTTCAGGGAACTGTCCGGTGAAATTCATAAGCATGCCAAGCGGGTATTACAAACACGCGGACTCTGGGAGCTTTTGCCTCCTACCGCTCGTCGACATGCATCTTTCCTCCCTGTAACCCACGCTACACTATCGCATACCCAAGGAAAGTGGCGTGCATTTAATGAAGACGAGGATTGTTTGGGACGTCATTCGATCATCCGTGTCGCGGACCATCTGAGTGAGGAGGACGCGTTGTCTGCATTCCAGCAGCTCCTCGACTCTGAGAATAGCGAAGTGTATGAAGAGGGTGATGGTTTCTCCGAAGCTATCAATCATCAAGATATCCTGGGTCGTTCGGTCTTGCACATTGCTTGCCAAAGAAGGAACACACGCTTAGTTGAGCTACTATTACATCAAGGTGCGGAGCGTGCAGCGCGCACAGTCACTGGTACCTTGCCTATACATTTTGCTGTTGCGGCGAATTCTCCCAGTATCTGCAGGATGTTGTTGCTCAACAACGTACAACATGCTCACAAGAAAGACAACTTTGGCCATACCCCCATGTCCTACGCTATATCGAAGAAGTTCGATAAGGTTATGCAGGTCTTCGAGCTTCTCGGATTGGGCCCGACACATATGTTGCACCAAGCCATTGACGAAGGTAATTCAGAAAACATACGGTACGCACTCAGTGTAGGAGCGGATCCAAATCGCAAGTGTGACTATGCTTATCAGTCATCTTTGGAGAAATCTATCATGCGCTGCGATCTCCCTTTGCTTCAGATTTTGGGCGACTGTCCCCTCACTCGTTTCGATGATCGAAGCAGGGACCAGTCACCTCCTCTATTGGATGCGGTGAATCGAGGCTTCATACAAGGAGTCGAATATCTTGTGCAATGACAAGACGTGGACATCAACGCCAGGCGCCGTTTACACGGAAATACTCCTCTCATGGCAGCAATCCAAAAAGGGAACACAGCGATTGTGAAGATACTGTTGGGAAGGCACGACATTAAGATCAACGCCCACAATGACAGGAGTATTACACCACTTATGAGGGCAGCGGCGATTCCACACATCGAAATTCTTGATCTTCTTTTGTCCCTGGAAAATATCGACGTCAATGCCGGAGATTGTGGAAGGAGGACAGCACTCATTATAGCAGCGGAACAAGGCAACCTGGAAGCGGTGGCAAGGCTGTTGAAACACGCTGATATTGACATCAATGTTCGAACAATGTTGGGGAAAACAGCAGTCGCAAGCGCTTGGTCAAGAGGCCAACTGGACGTTGTGAACTTGCTAGTCGCACACAGAGGATGAGAGTCATGCAGTACGCTTACCCTCTCTACCAACTCTCAGCTAGATCATTCTTTCCTAATGAGCAGGTCTGCCTCTAGTCGACACGGATAAGCGTAGCCTTCCTGGGACATTAGGTAGGTCCCGGAAAGCAGGAGTAGAGTACCTTCCGTTTCCTGTACGAGATTCAGATCGAAATGTGAATTTTGGTGTACGAAAGAGGTTTTGACTTTGCGATGGTTGGGGTCCACGCACGGCAAAAAGCCCGTGCGCAACCTCACCCGCAGCTTTCCAGAGTCACTACGGGTCTGTTTCGTCTCACCTACACCGACCAATTATCACTATCTGTACAATGATCAAGCTCACATCTTCGCGTTCGGGAAATGCTTCCCACCTCTTGATAGCGGATGCTCTTGGCGTCTTGGCTTCCCCGCCCGGTTCGTACTCTCCGGCTCGGTTGAAGGATCCAACCGTCATTCGCATGGCCAATTGCTATACCCGGTCGTGCACTGCATGTGCACTACTGTTCCGATTAGGAAGCTACGTATCGTCTGCAAGCACGCTCAAGCACAATATTGAGCTAATGGCGAGTACCTGTATGCCGTACCTGTCCCGCTAGGCGTGCCGGAACGCACACCGTATAAGAGGAGTGCTTGCCCGGTCAGAATGCAGACACTCAAGGCCTCTAGGACGTTTCGTTGCGGTGAATTCGATTGTTTATGACAATGGGTCTATCGCGATTGTCGCTCGCTGCAGCTTTGGGTGCTCTTAGCGGGGTCACCCTTGCCCAATTTCCACCAACACCCAGCGGTGTTACGGTGCTCAACTCGCAGATTGAAGACGGAATCAGGATTTCATACAAAGAGGTAATTCATGCATCCGTATCTTCGATCGACATTTGGCTGACTTCAAGGTTCAGAATGACATATGCGAGACTACCGAAGGTATGCAGTCGAGTTATGCCTATTTTCCAGAATTCGGGCTCATTCATGTGTCAATCATGTAGGTGTGAAGAGCTACTCCGGCTATGTCCACCTTCCTGCAGGTACACTCGATGATCTTGGCGTGAGAAACCAAACTTATGAAATCAACACCTTCTTCTGGTTCTTCGAATCACGCAAGGACCCTGAAAATGCTCCTTTGTCAATCTGGATGAACGGTGGGCCGGGAAGTAGTTCACTTTTGGGCTTATTACGAGAGAACGGACCTTGCCACGTAAATCCGGACTCCAATTCGACTCGCTTGAATGAATGGTCATGGAACAATGAGGGTGAGCCTCTATTATGTCCGAAATGTATAATGATCCTTGCTAACCGACCACAGTCAATATGCTATACCTCGATCAGCCTGTTCAGGTTGGGCTCTCATATGATGAGCTCGTGAACGTCACGGTCTCCTCTTTCACCGGCTCAGAAGGCGTGGAAGTCGCGGACTTCTCAAATGGTGTACCCGAGCAAAATAACACTTTCTACGTCGGCACGTATCCGAGCCAAAACGAAAACCTTACCACTCAAGGAACAGAGAACTCAGCACGAGCCCTCTGGAATTTTGCCCAAGTTTGGTTCCAGGAATTCCCTGGCTATAAACCCAACGACAACCGCATCTCCATCGCTACAGAGTCGTACGGTGGACGTTATGGACCTGCTTTCACTGCATATTTCCAGGAGCAAAATGAAAGAATCGAGAACGGGACCTGGGATGAGGAAGGCGAAACCCATATCTTGCATCTCGACACTCTGCTTATCATAAATGGATGCGTCGATCGTCTTGTGCAGTGGCCTGGATATCCTATCATGGCCTACAACAACACCTACGGCATCAAGGCGTACAACGAGTCGCGACACGACCAAGTTCTGGAAAGCCTATACGGGGATGAAGGCTGTCTCGCACAGATAGAAGAGTGCAGAAACCTCAGCCTTGCTTACGACCCTACAAACCAGGGCTTCAATGTCTCAGTCAACAAAGTGTGCCAAGAAGCAGAGACTTTCTGCACAGAAAACATTCGCGATCCCTACTTCGATAGCGACCTAAACTATTATGACATCTCCGCCCCGGGAGCAGCGAGTTTCCCACCGCCATGGTACGAGGGATTTCTGAACCAGCCATGGGTTCAAGAGGGCTTGGGTGTGCCTCTGAACTGGACCCAATCTAACAGTGCGGTATCTACGGCCTTCAGAGGAATTGGAGATTACCCTCGTCCCGGATGGAAAGAGGATCTCGCATACCTACTCGAGGAAGGAATCAAAGTCACACTAGTGTACGGTGACCGAGACTACGCTTGTAACTGGTATGGCGGGGAACTTTTGTCCCTTGCAATCAACTACAGCAACACGGAGAACTACCATTCGGCTGGCTATGCACCAGTACAAGTAAACAATTCATATATCGGTGGACAAGTCCGTCAGTATGGCAACCTGTCGTTCACTCGTGTCTACGAAGCCGGCCACGAAGGACCTGCATATCAGCCAGAGACTAACTATAGGATCTTTACTCGTGCGCTCTTCAACTTTGATATCGCCACCGGCAATGTCTCGACCACCGAGAACCCAGACTATGCAACCGAAGGACCAGAAAATGTCTACAACATCACAAACAAGCCAGTTCAGTTACCCGGTAGCCAATGCTACGTTCTAGATAAGGACCAGTGCACTGCAGACCAATGGGCGAGCGTCGAGAATGGCACGGCGTTGGTGAGGAATTGGATTGTCGTGGATGCGAACAGTAGCTTTCTGTTCCCGGATCTCGCCAACGGCACAGGCAATGGGACGAGTCCTGTGGGCACGACCACGCCGTCGCTTGGTCCGACTCCAACGGATGGTGGAGCTGCACCCATTGAGAATACAGGGGCTGCGAGTGGAAGGACTAATGCGCAGCCATTCGGCCTGGAGCTAAGGGCTATCGGCAGTGCGGTGCTAGCAGTGGGTCTGGGCGGTTTGATAGTGATGTTGTAGTGGATCGTCGGATCTGATGCGACTTGAAAGTCTCGTCACAGTGGCGTAGCTATGCCATCCCCCACGGAGTGCGTCTAGGGAGTCGCGACTCTAGAATTTTAAAAGAACCCTGATGCCAAGGGCTATTCTTTGTCTACGCCATGTTGCCTTCAACACACGCAATTGTACCAGGATGAGACTCTAGACCGAGTTGGCGATGTCACAAAGTTTCTGAAGCGCACGGAAGTGGAATATCAGGAGAGCCTCGAGGACTTGTACCCAAATTCACAGATCCATGGCGACCACGGCTGAAGATCCGATCCTGAAAATTTGCACGAAGAAGTTAAACGCATGGAAAGGCACGGTAATCTATGTGCTCCTATTGTTCGAAACACTACAACCCTACAGTCCAACACTCCGCTAATGCATGTGAATACAGTACAGCTAGCTTCGCGCGCTCGGAAACTGATAGTCCGAGGCCCTAGTGAATGCGCTTGCGGCGGAGGATGGCCACGCACCATGAAGAAGCAAGTCCTACAAGTACATCGGACCAATGATGTATTAGCTGTCAAGAAATAAAAATAGAAGAATGCATCATACCTCGTCAGGCAAATCCTGACCAGCTGCGAACTTGAGGATGTGCATACAGTTGTCGCACAGCATAGCATGGTGAGGAAGGATGGTAAGCCGCCTCCGCGGACCAATCAGTCACCAGCGCCCATGCACCCAGCTACTTCTTCTCTCGTATCTCACCAGGTATCCCCCTGTCTCCGTCCTTCCCCGGCACAGGGGAGCGCAGATGAGATGGCAGAACACGGATTGCGCCAGCGGTACCGGTACTCGTTGTGGGCCGGTTCTGTCATACCGAGATCGGCTACGGCACCCAGCAACCCGGTTCAGCATGTCCCGCGAATCTGAGACCCGCATCCCCTTCCGATCCCATCTGAGCCCATCTGGTCTCATCTCTACGCTGTATTAACCAAATCATAACGATCTCGTTGCAGTTCGTTCGGCGCCAACCTGCTCGTAATAGTATCCAGCAAATGCTAGCGGCATTCACGCAGCGCCGCTGTGAGTGCTTTCCGCGCGTCTATCTCTGCTTTTTCTTTGTTCTTCGGCTACATCAAACAAAGAACGCCACGCGATTCCTCGGTGCCTGAACGAGAACTAAAGAGTCCAGGCATGGTCGAAGTGACACAAAGACGTGTAGTGTATCTCGTGGCACAGTCGCTTCGCTTGACAGATGTCAAGGTAGTGATAGCAGACTCGGCTTGACACGTCCACTTTGAGTAGCCTCTCCCTGCTTTTTCACACCGTTCGGCGGCTTACTCTTGTTCGCTTTGCGACCGGACAGCCTCGCTTCTGTACGACCTAAGATTTGATCAACATTTTGGAACAATCTTCCTATATTCCACGACTTCTTCGACCAATTCCTCGGTAAACTCGTACGAGCCCCGTGCCGACCACTATGTTTATGAGTCTTCCAAGGTTAGTGGAGAGCGATATTGTCGAGGTGAAGCTTCATGCGTCTTTCCAGATCGAGGTACGACGGTGGCGTTTGCGAACGCTAACACGTTGACCGGCATGGCAGTCCTCCAGGGTCATCCTGTCTTCGTTGCATCTGCGGGAGAAGTTTTGATTGCGGCAGAATGAGGAGCGACTGGGAATTGAGGTCTCCGGGGTATAAATACGCCCCGTGATGTCGTGAACAGAATGTCCAATGCCACTGCCTGGCAGAGGATTTCTTACACCATCGTTCAATCATGCCTCATAAGATAAGTGACGTCAGTTGTGACTATCCTCCCACGCCCATTAGCGTATCTACGGCCTTTGGAAGTCCGGAATGGGTTTCTACATCCCCTATCGCAGTAAGTCTGATGAACGCTCAGACAAACGTTTAGCCGCTGAATATGAACACAGCAACATGCCCACGACGTCGCGATTGTCGGTATGTCCTGTCGGACCGCCGGTGGAAACAACACTCCTGAAAAGCTGTGGAGGTTTCTTATGGAACAGAAGCATGCTTCCGGGGAAGTACCCAAGAAGAGATGGGAGCCATGGCTCCATCGAGACCCCCGCAATGCGAAGATCATTGCGAATACCACTCGCAAAGGTTACTTCATTGACGATCTTGAGAACTTCGACGCAGCCTTCTTCGGGATTTCTCCAAAGGAGGCTGAGCTTATGGACCCGCATCAACGACTTGCTCTCGAGCTCTCGTGGGAGGCACTAGAGAATGCTGGTATCGATCCGAAGCGATTATCTGGATCCGACACAGCCGTGTTCATGGGTGTGGACTCTGATGATTATTCGAGGTTGATCATGGAGGATCTACCTAACATCGAAGCGTGGTCGGGGATAGGCACTGCTTACCATGGCATTCCAAACCGGGTATCATATCATCTCGACCTCATGGGACCTAGTACTGCAGGTCAGTGAGCATTCTACCACCACTGCTTGTTCTTCGCAGAAACATGGCCGGTCAATACTAACGCGACTGTAGTTGACGCAGCATGCGCTTCATCACTGATTGCAATTCACTTTGGCCATCAAGCGATCCTGTCAGGCGAATCGTCTGTTGCCTTATGTGGGGGTGTCAATGTGCTCTGTGCACCAGGACTGACGTACATGCTTGACAAGGCAGGTGCACTCGCATCTGATGGACGCTGCATCTCGTTCGACGATGATGCCCATGGCTATGCAAGAGGCGAAGGTGGCGCGATCGTCATTTTGAAGAGGCTGTCGAACGCTATTGCGGATAATGACAACATCCTGGCGGTACTCAAAGGCACAGCTACAGCGCAAGACGGGAAGACGAACGGCATCATGGCCCCGAATGCGAAAGCCCAAGAAATGGTCGCAAGGCAAGCACTTTCACGGGCAGGTGGCCTCGATCCTCTGACGATTGGCTATGTGGAAGCCCACGCCACCTCGACCGCCCTGGGGGACCCGACCGAGATTGGTGCCATCTCAGAAGTCTACGGTGTTGGCAGACATGGCAATATACCTTGCGCAATAGGTTCAATCAAACCCAACGTGGGTCATCTCGAGGCAGCTGCCGGAGCTATTGGCTTTGTGAAAGCAGTCATGGCAGTCAACAAAGGCGAATTGGCTCCGCAAACGCTCCTGAAGAAGCTCAATTCGCGTGTGGATTGGGGCAGCTCGGGCCTCAAAGTCGTTCGAGAGGCGTCAAAGTGGCCTGAGAGCGGGGGCCTTCGCAGAGCAGCGATTTGCTCCTATGGTTACGGCGGGTCTGTAGCCCATGCCATTATCGAGCAAGCGCCAACATCCTACACATACACCCGTGAGATCGTTAGAAGGCGCCTGAAGGAACATAATGAACGTCCGGTGACACTGGTGCTATCATCTTTCCAGGAAAAGCGGCTTGTTAATCAAGCTATCCAGCTTGCGGACTGGCTGGCAGGCCACGGAGAGGAAACGAACATCAGAGCTATCGCGAACACGCTTGCCCAACGCCGAGCAGCGCAAGACTACCGCGCAGCTTTCGTGGTCAGTAACCACGTTGAAGCCATCGCAGCCCTTCGAGAGTTTGCGGGTGGCTCAATCAGCCAGTGGTCAGCCAGTGGCAGGATACTCAATAATAGTATCAGAAAAGATGTCGTATGGGTCTTTTCCGGGCACGGCGCGCAGTGGCCTAACATGGCAAAAGAACTCCTGGATGAAGCGCTCTTCTACCGCACGATTAAGAGTCTTGACGAGTTGATAGAGAGAGAAGCAGGCTTCTCCGCTCTTCGTGCCTTGGAGACGGGTGAACTAGGTGGTGCCAGCAACATCCAGATCTTGACCTACCTCGTGCAGGTCGGGTTGGCGGCGCTACTTCGAAGTAAGGGCGTAGAGCCCCATGCCATTATCGGCCACTCAGTGGGTGAGATTGCGGCGTCCGTTGTAGCGGGATGTTTGACGACTGAAGAAGGCGCACTACTGGTCACAAGACGAGCCCACTTGTATGCACAGGTCGAAGGTCAAGGTGGGATGGCTCTGCTCAACATGCCCTTTTCTCAAGCCAAAGAGGAGCTCAGAGGCAAGAAAACCATCGTAGCGGCTATTGACTCCTCTCCTACTTCCTGTGTCGTCAGCGGCGAGGTCGCAGAACTGGAACGCTATCTAGACGACTTGAGACGAAGGAACATCAAGACGTTCCGAGTGAAGACAGATATTGCCTTCCATTCCCCTATGCTTGAAAGATTGGCCACGCCTTTGAGAGACGCCATGAAAGATGCAATTTCCCCTCATGCGGCGACCATCCCAATCTACTCTACCTCGAGCATCGATGCGCGCACTGACGCTCTCCGCGACATTGACTACTGGCTACTGAACATGATTGAACCAGTCAGACTTAATGATGCCGTATGTGCAGCGGCCGATGATGGATTTAGGATTTTCTTAGAGGTCTCTGCGCACCCCATTGTCACGCACTCCATCAGCGAAACACTGGCTGCTCAAGGGTTGGACGAGTCAGCCACCTTCGGAGTCATGAAACGCGACATCTCATCCGATAAGACCTTGTTGCATGCTCTGGCTCAATTGTACACATCTGGCGCCACCGTCGATTTTGGGGCTCAGCTTGAAACGACTCATTGGGCGACGAATGTTCCTGGTACGCCGTGGGTACAGAAGCCTTACTGGAAAGAAGTCGAGACAGGCCTTGCGGGTGCTGCCCAGCGTCACGACGTCCACAAGCATACCCTGTTAGGTCAATGTACCGAAGTTGCCGGCTCAGGCACACGCATCTTCTCAACTATTCTTGATGAGAAGGCAAAACCCTATCCACTTACTCATCCACTCGATAACACTGAGATAATTCCTGCAGCAGTCTACTGCAACACGTTCCATCACGCTACAGGTGCAACGATCTTGAAAGACCTGCAACTGCGGGTTCCAACTCCCATGACGGCAGATCAGCGGGAGGTACAGGTCGTCACCCAGGGCGATTCAGTACATCTGTACTCGCGCTTGAAGTCGTCGCACGACATACACGATGATTCAAAACATCCATGGATCAACCATAGCTCCTGTAAGTGGGGCAAAGAGGATGCGACGGCATACCGCAAGACTTACAAGGTGGAGACTATCCAAGAGCGAATCGGAACCGTACTACCGAAAGGCTTTGCTTGGAACTTCCTGCAGAAAATTGGTGTTTCGGGAACAGCGTACCCGTGGGCTGTCATCCAACACTATGGCAATGACAAGGAAATGCTCGTCAAAATGGATATGGACGCGGAACAAGATGCGATCACCTGGGACTCAAGCTCTTGGGCTCCATTCCTGGACGCAGCCACGTCTGTTGGCTCGTCGATCTTCTTCAACAGCCCGAAGATGCGCATTGTCTCCGGTATCGACCAGGTGCTATTCCTTTCACAAGAACCGCCGCCAAAGGTTGGGTATCTCTACATTGAACAGGCCAACGATTCGAAAAGCTTAGCTGCAGATATCAGTGTACTGAACGAGCAAGGCGAATTGTTGGCGAAGTTGAAATCAATGCGGTTCTCTGATGTCGAGGCGGCTTCGGATCGGACCTCAGGTATCGATGCGCTTGTACACCAGCTTGCATGGGTGCCACCTATTTTCGCGGAGAATCCACTTGCGGTGAACCACGTGCTGCTTGTATGCGACGACGAAGAGTTGTCTCAATCCTATACAGACGATCTTCAGCAGACGGTCGCAAAGGTACTACTACACATACCTTCGGTCGATGACTTGAGCGATACAGGAGTGTCAAACTTATTGAATCAAAGTGGTGCAATCGTTGTCTACGTTCCTGGAGGTACCCGATCTTGGGACCAGATACCAGACAAGGCTCATCGGTTCACTTGGGAGGCGACCCGGCTGTTGCAGCATCTGTCTACTCTGGCTTCCACACCAAAGCTATTCATCGTGACGGATAGCGTCCATGAAGCTTCAACGCCCACAGCGCTCGCCCAAGGACCGCTGTATGGCTTCGCACGAATAGCAGCACAAGAACACCCCGAGCTGTGGGGCGGACTGTTGGATAATGAGGGATCTTTTTTCCCTACGCTGGCTCTCAAGTACGTCCAGGAGCAAGATGTAGTCCGCATTCAGGATGGACTGCCGCGCATAGCCAGGATGAGGCCCTTCACCAAAGCCCAGCGACATGAGTCTGGTTCTCCACGTACGTTACTACCGAAGCCGCAAGGCACATATGTCGTCACTGGTGGATTTGGTGATCTCGGTCTTGAGGTTCTGGACTTCCTCGTTGAGAAAGGTGCTCGTCGCATTGTAGTAGTTTCACGCAGCAGCCTTCCACCTCGCCGTGAGTGGGCGAATGTTAACGGCCGCACGAAGATCATTACAGACAAGATTAAGCAGCTAGAAGGCAAGAGCGCAAGCATATACGGCGTTTCGTTAGACATCAGCATGCCAGATGCAGACTCCCAACTACTCGCGGCGCTCGATCGCCTTCACCTTCCGCCCGTATTGGGTGTAGTCCATGCAGCTGGCGTCAACGAGGACGGTCTCATCGAAGACGCGACTTCCGAATCTTTCTCCCGCGTCTTCGCTCCCAAAGTTGCTGGTGCGCTTACACTGCACAGACTGTTCCCGCCTGCCACCCTCGACTTCTTTATTTTGTTCTCATCCATCGGCCAGCTGGTTGGCACGTCAGGCCAAGCACCCTACGGTGCCGGGAATGCTTTCCTCGACGTACTCGCCAAAAATCGCAGGCAGCAGGGCGACAACGCTATTGCTCTGCAATGGACCGCTTGGCGAGGCATGGGGCTGGCGGTAGATTCGGAATTCTTGACTGTGGAGCTGAGTAGCAAGGGCATCACCGATATCACACGCGATGAAGGCTTCCAGGCATGGGAGCATCTGGACAAGTACAACACCGATCACGCTGTGGTGACGCGTGCCAGGATCCTCGATGCAGACGAACCGATTCCGTTCCCGCTTGTAGCGGAAGTCGCGCCACGGCGTCCTCGCCCTGCCATTGCCATTTCGGCTGACGCTGCAAGCGCGCCCGACAGCAAGACAGTGCGCCCAACATCAGGTCCCGAGTTCAAAGCTTGGCTCAGTATGAAGATTCGCGAATGCATTGGCGCAGTACTACATATGGATGTGGAGGATATCGATGTCAGGGCTGCCATTGCCGATCTGGGAGTCGATAGCGTTATGACAGTCTCACTGAGGCAGAAGCTGTTGAGCGTGTTGGGGGTCAAGGTCCCGCCGACACTGTTGTGGAAGGAGCCCACTGTTGGTCATCTGGTGGAATGGTTCAAGGGCAAGATGGCGGTGGACGAATGAGAGAGAAGTGACGGCGTAGAGACGCGTTCGAAGATATCTCGGTTTTCATGGTCATGTGCATAGATTCTCTCTGCGTCTTGAAGGCCTCGGCCTGGAAGCTGATTAGACCGTCGTTACCTGCTTTGGTAGATTTAAGTACACGAATGAAACATTCCTTGGTTGTGATACAGCCTGATCCCAAATCACCAAAGAACCAACCCCCTTCCACTGTGTTGACTATCATACTTCGCCGGTCCAAAGATTGCCACGTGTGCTGCTCTAGTGGTTGAACCACATGCGCACCATAAGGCGCCTCTCGCTCCTGCTTGTAGACCGAGACTGGTCTTACTGCTCAGCCTACTCACAACAATGAAAATTCTGTACTATGCCACATAGGACTCGCAGGTTATCCCCCCTCTTGCCTCTCTGCTCATGGGTTTGTGCGCTTGAACCTCGGGATGTGCATAAAGACCTTCACGAGGTGCGTGAGTTGACAATCATTTGTCCGCAAGAGCTAAGAATTCAGAGAGAGGCTGGTAGAATACCAATTCACTCTTGCGCAGGCATAGACAATACACCAAACAATCTATCCAAAACGGCAGGCAAGCTCGCCTGGTATGGTATTAGCCCGTGTTAATGTGACGGCCGTTTTCCACTCACCGCCTTAGCCCATTGCTTGAACTCATTACCATCTAGGCTTTCTTTGCCCGCCAATACCTTCTCCGCTTCCGCACCCTTATCATCCCTCATCACATTGCAGATATCAGCCAAAGGTCTCAGCAAAGTGATGGCGACTCTCAAATCGTCTCTCGAAGGTAGGGCAGATGACGGAGGTAGGAGACGTTCGGCCAATGGCTCCAACTCCGTAATAGTTCTGCGCTGCTGCAATGTGAAAGATGACGGGTGCGGGTAGCGAATGCGACATAACACATCAATCACATCGTCTTTCGTTGGGACTCCGGTTGGAGGTCTAGGCTGGGCGAGTGCTGAGAAGACGAACTCCATTCTAGCCGTTCTTGAGCGAATTCGTATCGTGGGCTCCTGACCAACAGCTGCTGACTGCGAAAACATATGATCACTGCTCTGTGTAACCAAGCCAATGGAGCGAATGAGGGCATCTTTGGTTAGTGGTCCTTCTTTCGCGAACGGAAAGCTCGCGTGCGAACGGAGCAGCAGAGAAATTGTTGAAGATGCGGCCTCAATTTCTTTCTTGATATATGGATGGCTGTTGCGCAGACGAGCTTGCACATCTTCGATGGCGACTTCACCGGTGTTAGCATCAATGGCTATTGCGTCCAGTTGGCCCTCTAAAATTTGGAGTCTCTCTGGTCTGAATGCAGCTGATTGACCATCGTCGGTGCCAGATTTGATGAGTGTGGTAAAGAGGTCATATACATCATCTAAACAATTTAACTCCTCGGCAATCAGGTCCAGGTTGATCAAGCCATACCCGCTGTTGCTGAATCACTCCAATCCTTAAAAGTCTGACTTGTAGAGGAGCGAGAAATTCCTAGGCGAGAAGCAAGTCGATTCATGCTGGAAGGAAAATGATGATATGCCCAGTTGCAGTGCCAGAGTCGTGAAGCATAGGGCCGCAGATGATTGTTCCTTGTAGGCCTGATCGTAGAAAAGGCCAGACGATGGGACTGTTGTGGCGCAATCGCATTGGCGTCGGTGAATGATTGTCGCAGAATCTGCCAATGTCCGCTCCTCGTACGGGTGTCTCACGCGGGGCGTAGCTGGTCCGTGGGCCTGATCTACCTCCCCCATGGAACCCTACTCGGATTCGGCCAATCACGTTGATTTGAGGCCACATGTGCCAACCGCATCGGGCACTAGTCTTCACCATCCCACCTTCCCAAAAACACGCAATCGCTGGCCTTGAGTCTTGCAGTCTGTAAACATTTCTCCCAAGACAAGCAGAGCCACTCTCAATGTCCGATGAAACGAAACATTTGCACGTGGTCAGCTCTTCCTCACGAGCTCATCCCCTAAAGGCATGTATGCGTAGCGGCGCAGATGTCACCCCTTACGGTTGACGGTTTCGTTTCAAGCCGTGTGAATTGCACGTAGGCGTCAATGTGAAGTAAACTATGTTGCGCGGTGGGTGCGGCGAGATGCCGACTATAGACGCTTCCTTCTCGCGGTTCACCAGTTAGACTGATACTGTATAAGACTTGGCTCTCCATACGCTAGCCGAAATACACTGACGGACATTGCCATACGCAGGGGAGGCGTTGCACAGGATTTTCGCATCCGATCAGGTCGACCACTCTATGGAAGTATACAATGCAACAGTGATGGCCGCTTCTTAACACCCACAGCCTTTCTTCTGCTCTGCTTGCGGAGACTTCTCCGTTCATTGCCTTTCCATTTCAGTCATTCATTTAAGCATCATACAGTCACTCCTTTCATCTAGCCACTCCTTCTGGGATTTTCACCACCTGCGTAGAGTCATCGCAATCGAATAGCTCTTCCGAAACACTTGGACGAAGAAGATGAGAGGCGGGCAATTTGCCCTCCTTTTGGTGGGCATATTGCTCACCCTGGGAGGGGCATTCAGCTTCTTTCCTCAGTTTGGGTAAGGCTCTTTTTTGGACAACTCACAATACCTCACTAATCGCTCCTCAGTCATCACAACAATGATGTGATGCAAGTTGACAGCGGGGCTGTCTCAACCTTCGAAGGTGTCGAAGGAGTCGACCTGCAGCACCTTGACGCCCGCAGGAGCAGAGGCTCGCGCACCTCCAGGAAGAGGCCAGCACGGCCTGTAAAGAAGCGACCCGCGAAGAAGAAGACCACAAAGAAAAAGACTACTACTAAGAAGAAGAAGACACCTAAGAAGACAACTAAGAAGAAGACAACCAAGAAGCCTACGAAGAAGACGCCGACTAAGAAGAAGGGGACTAAGAAGCCCACCAAGAAGCCCACCAAGAAGCCCACTAAGAAGCCTACTAAGAAGCCTACTAAGAAGCCTACCAAATCGAAGAAGGGTAAGCATTCGATCAAGAAACCAATCGCCTCGAAGACCAAATCCCACGCTAGCACATCCTCTGCCGCAGCATGCAAATATAGCCCGAAGCCCAAGGCAGGTACTGCCGGGGCCAAGGGTGGCAAGGTCAACAAGAAGCTGCAGGCCCGCCTCGAACCCGACCCCTGCCGCACCAAAGACGATAACGACAAGGTCATGATCGAAAACTACAAGATTGCCTCGAAAGCCGCAGCGAAGAAGGGAGAAAAGCTCAAGGTCAACCAGATGTATCTCTTCCTGCTGAAGCAAGGGCCGACTGTTGGAGCCAAGCACCATGCTGTCGTAGCAGGCAAGGTCATCAAGGTAGGCAACCATCTCGGCATGGAAGCCACTTTCCAACAGCTTGGGAAGCCTACAGATCAAAACGGCAATGCAGTGAGACACCCTAATGCCAAAGTCTTCTGTGGATCTGCAGTTGGTGGCGTGTGCAACACCGGGCCGTACCGTAGAGTTGAGTGCGGGACGATCAAGGGCAAGTACAAGTTTATCAGCGGGGCCAGTGTAGAATACGCGGATCCAGAGCACTTCATTCAAAAGGGTATGTCCTCTTATTCTTTTGCTCCTCACATTTACCTTTTCCTAAGCTAACTCTTCATCAGGCGAAGAGGTTTTCATGGCCGAGAAGCCGTACAACGTTCTAACATGGAACTGCCAAGTCTACGCGAAGAAGCTGATCAACGTCACCAAGCTCAAGTCTGGCCAAATTGTCGAGCTTACCAACGCACAAGCTCAGCCGAGTCGACCGCTGGACGAGAACTGGTCCGACTCTGACTCTGACTGGGGTGATGACGGCCTTTTCAATGGGGGCATGGGTGGCTTTCGCGTGATCAATGCGGAGCCGGAGCCGTTCAACCAAGTCACTAACAACGGGGACAGATTTGAGATAGACTAAGCGAGCGAAGGAAGGAAAAATACGATATAGACATCGGTACACGTAGTACGAAGACGCCGTTAGTTCGATATCGTTGCCTCACCAATGCATACAGTGAAGGCATAGCGCGGCTATATCATGTCAAGTGTCCGAATTAAACAATCTCTGCATTGACTCATTGGTCATCAGAGCAATGGGCACAGCAAAGGCCACAAGCTTTCATGTTCAGTACAGGATATTCATTTCTCCTATTACAGGACAGACTCCTAGACTAAGGTTGTCTCTAGGATCACGTATCACCCATGACAAGCACTTCCATGCGCCGTGGCCCTAGAAAAAAGCTTATCGTGTCTCAAACGCCGCCTTCACAGGTGGGAATGACGAAGAGTCGACAGTCAAGCAAAGAATACTTAGCACCGATCAGCATGTCCTGTACGCCTATTAATTTTGCGCTTCATACCTTATGAAGTACAGCAGCGTGTTCTAGAAGCCGCAACATCGAGTCAGATGTGATCCTTACGGCAGTCGTCCTGCTGACCCTGGCCAGTAGCGATGGACTTGTGATCACAGCCCTTCTCAAAGTGGACACGCGGATGACCATTCGTGACGTCGACGCCATTGACGAAGTCGCCCATCTCGAGGTCGATATCATGGATAGCGTGATCGTCCTTGACGACATCGGCGTAGGAAGGGAGAGGCCGGCTCAGGCGGCCCTCACGGACGAAATTCTTGATCACCTTGGGTTCGCAATGCAGTGTACGGGCTTTTTGAGCCAGCCGCCATAACATGATCGCGTTGACGACGGAGAGACCGAGGCATAGAGCCAGGAAGATATGGATGACGCACGGGTGCTCGACGTAGGCGTTGTTGAGGGTATCCTGGAGGGCTGCTTAAATTAGTAGGCAATCCATTGTATGGAAGAAGGGGAGCGTACCCTCGCGCTTGCTCTTGGGGTTGTGGCAGTTGAAGATGTCGGGACAGTCAGCGGGCTTGGGATGGTGCTGGCCCATGATGGCGATGTAGGTTCGCAGGAATGTCTGATTTGTTGATGAGGGGTTCGTCGGGCAAGGTTGTAGCTGGTGGTGAGTGTATATAGGAGAAGTGAGGTTTTGGTGAGGAAAGTGAGGCTAGAGGTAATGTCTACTCTGGGCAGGGAAGGTGCACAACTTCTGCGGTCACGGCTGATCGAAGCAAACGGCGAGTGGTCATAGCTTCACCGAGGGCCTTCACGGGGGCAAACGTGGATGCAAGTGAATGGGGTAAATGACTGAAGAGTCAAACGACAGTCGAGGGATGCATTCCCCACACTCGACCAATTCTGATCTACCATGTGTTCGCTCCACTCTGCCCAGAATCGTCATCGTCTGGAATCCCGCTGCCCAAATAAAGGGCGGATACACTTTTAGGTAAAACAAACAAACCTCAGTGATCTGCCCGTGTCCTTTTGGAGCTGACCGTTGTTCCGTTACTAAAGCGCGCCAGCGCAAAGTCAGCAAGCGCAGGATCCTTCTCGCCCGTCAAGACCAACTCGCTGATCAGCTTGCCAACGATAGCCCCGTTTGAGACGCCACTGTGCATCGTGGCCACCGTCAAGCCATCCACGCCCGTTTCGCCCAGGATGGGCAGGCCGTCCGCTGGTGTGGGTCGATATCCAATCGTATAGTAGTCGTACTCAATTGCATCACCCCCCTTGAAAGCCGCCTGTACTTTTGCGAACAGTTCATCAGCTACGGCTTGCGGGTCATCAGTTGGGTCTGAGCCTCCGAAGTCGGATCCAGAACGGATGCGCCCATCTGCTGTTTGTCGAAGGTGAAGCTCGGTCGAGTAGACGACGCCGTTGAGCAGTTTTCTCTCTGTGGGAACGGTATTGATAAGAAGACCGGCTTCTGGCGTCAAGGCTACGCGTCGTTAGAGAGGCCTCTTTCAGTACCTCGTGGGTCGTGGGACACTTACGCAAAGCTACGCCTTCGGCAGCTAGTAAAGGCACGCTGCCCAATCCACCAGCTAAGACGACGTGGTCGGCACGCACCTCCTTCCCTCCGTCAAGTACAACACCCGCAATCTTCCCGTTCTTCTTCAGAAAACATGTTACGTTCGTCTCCAGCAGTCCCGCGCCGTTCTTTTGCGCCTGCTCGATAAGCTTCTCAGCCACAATATGCGCCTCCATCTGTCCCTCCTCCGTGTATCTCAATGCCCAGTCCGGCAAGAAACTCTCCTGGAACTCAGGCTCATAGGTGGACTCGATCTCGGTTCTGTTGACCGTGACAACATGATAGCCCCAGTTCGTCAATTTCTCCCCATATTCCGCCCTCTTCGTTTCATTGGCGATATCCCAGTTCAAAGATGCGCCCCAGTGAATGTACCTGGACAGTTCAGGGACTGCACCCTCGATCTCTCTCCAGTGATTCATGGACCGATGTCGAAAGTTATAGTAGAATTGCTTGTCTGTGGAACCTGCGTTGACCCAGGCGAAGGAGTTGGGTGTCGCGACGCCTCCGATCTTATCTGCGACGATGGTGGTCTTTGTGGTGGGTGAATTTGAGAGGTGCCAGGCGATGGAAGATCCGACTATGCCGCCGCCGATAACAACGACACTCTGAGGTGCTTCGAAGTAGCTCATCTTTGCTTGAGTGTCTGGAAATGAAGAGAGTAGATGTTGCTGAACATCAAATAGAACGGGATGCATCTTGCTTTTAACTAAGTCGAACGACGTCACGTGTGCTTCCAGTGATATAATATTGTACTCGGTTGTTATGCCTACCGGATAGCAGTCAAATTGCCTAGGAAGGTAAACACGATCGTCTATTCGAAATAGCGAGGTCAAAGTACGCGTTCCAGTCAAGTTTAGAGATAAGATCCCTGGCTGCTGTGGAGCAGCAAGGTCTGTAGGTCGGTTTACCCGCTGCCAAGGGTCACGAAGGATGCAAAGATCACAGCATTGCTTGTCGTGATAAGTCGTTGCCAAGACCATACGCCATTTACCTTCCAGATGTAGTGCGCGATCATCTTACCGGTTGCATTTTCAAGAGTGGGGACCTTGCTGCCCCACGTTATAGTGTCCTGGTTCGGAGAATTGCGCAATTACCGTGGCCGACCTCGCATATACGCGATTTGCTGTTGCGGTATGCCAATCCTGAGGTGACCGGATATAATGCGAACAACACTCAACAATCTTTCTCACGACCCTTGCAAGCAGAGACGCATGGTCCTCCGATACGCCGTCGATACTGGATCCAGCGTCGATATCTATCAAATCATCACGTAACCCCTCTCTTTTTCTCCACGTACGGTCTACCTACCGAACTTTCTTTCTTTCGTAAACCGAACGTGGGTTCGAACGACGAGGGCGGTTGTGAATGAACACGACGGAGCTGAATAGGAATATGAGCTGATGAGATCAGATCATAAACCGTGGGAAGAAGCCGATTATCAACAAGCCGTTGCTTGTAGAAGGTCCTCAGATGTTCAGATGTTGATGGAGGAAGTAGCGGGCGCACAGGCGGGAGATGAGTGCAAAAAGGATGACCTGGAGAAGTGCAAGAAGGATTCGAGTGAGGCGCGAATTAGCGACAGCCCTAAATTTGGGAAAGTACGTTGGTGGATGTTAGTGTGACTTCCAATTTTAATGCCCTTTGTCCTAGTAAGTAATGACGACCGCTCGCAACAACACATTGCACAGCAGCCACCGTGACTCCACAACCAACCTCTTCACTTACCCATACAACGTCGCATCATGATGATCAACCCAACACCACTTTCAGGTTTCAGATTGCTTCCACGGCATTGATCATCCATCCAACAAGCAACTTATCAGCAGCAGCGAGACCAGTGCTGCCGAGTGACACGATGTCAACAGAGCCGCTTGTAAACGATCCCAAGTGCGAGACAATCACTCTCGTACCTGATGAATACAAGTCCAAGGATGCAACAAGCACGCAATCAGGAGGGGGCGTTCGTCGCGACAGAGGCGAAATCAAGGTTTATCCATGGGATTGTGGCTCGCCACGAGAGCTTGCAGAATCAGAGAAGCTGGTACCGGAGGCATATAGGCCTCGTCGCGATGAACGGGCCCAAGGTATGGACATTTCTGATAAGAGTACGTCGAGCGAGTTGAATGTATTATCGCAAGGCAAACTTGGGGGTGCAAAATGCGTAGTGCGCATATTCAGAGCATGTCTCGAAGATCCACACTTCGTACAAAGCAGAGTTTCTCAGAGCGGAGGAAGAGGAACGATCAGAGATGTGTGAGCTATATGTTCGGCCTGCGTTTGACTTCGCTGATACGTGAGCCGATCGATACCTTGAGGGAGGAATGCGACCGCGCAGAGAGCATTGAACGTCAATTGGGCGGAATTTGATTTCATTCCTATGTCAGCTCGATCTTCTATCGTAATAGACCTAGCCGTCCCATGCAATCATTCACCATGACCCGAATGAACCGATGCAGTGAACTCCTTTTCCATCATCCTCATTTACCCTCGCTTCGAATCTCTATGCTGACGCGGCAGCAGCGCGGGCCTTAGCACCCCTGACCTTAGCGGGCTTGCTCTCCTTGACGGGCTTCTGCGACTTGCGGATGGCGGAGGCGCGGGCGACAGCGTCCTTGCGGAGGTCGGTGCGGTAGTTGCGGTTGGCGGTCGAGTTGACAATGGCGGTGTAGGTCTTGCGGGTACCCCGGCTGGAGCCGATGGCGGACTGCTGGATGTGCGAGGCGGGCTGGTGACCCTTGCCGTTCTTCTTGGTCAGGAGAACGATGCCACCCTCCTCTCCGGGCTGGACACCGATGGCCTGTATGATGTGTCAATCTCGAATTCAATTGTGCGGCGCCTGTTCAACTATTCGTGTGATTGGGGCGGAACGGTGAAGCGTACCCTGTCGTCTACAAGACCCTCATACTGCGCACAATTAGTCAATGGTCATATCCTCAAGAGTATGGAAGCCTACCTTGCGCTGGAACGAGTTCCTCAGGTTGAGCGGGTCGCGCGAGAAGGAAACACCACCAGCCTGTGTCCTCTTCACAAGGGAAGAGCTACCCTGCTGCTTGACGACTTCCCAGATAAGGTCGGAAGAAAGAGTGGCCATTGCTGCGGTTGTCTGTGTCGAGTCTTCGTTATGCCGGCGTCGATGTCGATTTGGTGTGGTCGAAATTCCAAGCTTCGTCTATGGCCCCGCTTTCGGGAAGGTGCGATCGGCATCGGAAGAATGCTTCTTCCGCGCGCTCGGACCCCCGCTGACGACGGCTTCAGCCACGATTGAGGATTAATGCGCTGCTTGTCCGTGTCTCCAGATCCGCGAGTCCCTGCGAGAGTTCCCCACCACTCTTCGAAGGGTGAAAGGAGACTCCACATGTTGTTGCTATAGCAGCTCTACACTTTCACTATAATCCCTTCTCTTTTTGTGTGCTGTCTGCTCCTCTGTTGCTACAGCTTGCGACCGTAACTCCGGGCTTCCGAACGAACCGAGCTGTCACTGAATCTAACTTGACACACCTAACTTAATCATGGGCTACATCCTCTACTCTCTTACCTTTTTCGTGCTTGTTACTGCAACCGGTATGTATTCATTACCAACTACGATAAATAGATCACTGACAATCTCCAGTCGCGTACTTCACCAGACATCACTGGTTACACCGTCTCCCGATCCCCGAACCCATCTACCAGCGCCTACCCACCTCCTTTCGCGATGACATAGAAGCCGGACTTTCATCTTCTGCCTTCGACCTGAATACGAACCTAGAAGCCGGCGACTCGCGACAAGGGCTAGACGATGCAGGGAAGCGCGAGGTGCAGAGGATCATGAAGAGGAGAGGAGTCGACTTTGACGAAGCGCGACGGCTGTACATGCAGGATCGGTTCAAGAAGAACAACATCGGACCAGACGGATTGCCACGCGACCCGAAATTCGTTAGCTTCTCGTGATGAAGTACAAGGTCAAGAACCGAGAACCCTATCCGGGGCAATCTTCAATGTGATACAGCGAGTTCGCGTGGTCATTTCCTTACTGGTCTTTGCCTTTTCGGAATTTAAATTTGCGGTTGATTAGGCAGCGGGTGTTCTTGGCTTGGCCATGCATTACTCGGATTTGGAAGAGAGGGTCTTACCCCTGGGCTGGATTCGATTTCTTTTATCACCGCTTCTTCTTTCCTATGTCGATTCTCTGTTCTGGCGTTACCTTCAGGTTATACCAATCTCCTATCTGTTCATCGTCTGATTGCAAACCCAATCAATGGCATACCTTCGACCAACTTGCTCCGAAACTCACGCGCAGAAACAGCTACTGCTATTGCAGAAGAAACCCGTCTTGCTTTGTTCATGTTCATCTCAGTATTCATCACGGCTTCACATACACGCTCCTGACTCCCGAAGACGAACGAGCTGTACAAGAGGGCTCAACCGACCACACCGAAACTGGCTAAGCCAAACCATTACACTACTACACTCGCTCCTTTCTCTCCGTCTCGCCTGCACCTATCACGCTCACCTTGCTTCTCTTCTCTCTTCCCACCTCTCTACTCTTATCCAAGCTCTGTGCGAACTTACTCTTCGCCCGGATCTCCGGCCCCTTCCAATAGACAATGTAAATTGGAATGGTCACTAAGAACGCCAGGCACGCAAGAATAGTGGAGGCATATTCAAGCGGACGTCCAGGGATGTTTTCATACATGGGTGCAGAGTAAAGCGCCGCGATACCGGCAAGGAAGTCGCGCGCAAGGTCGTTGCCGCCTGTTGCCGACGCGGCGTACACGCCGTAGGCGGCAGTTTGATAGTCGATGGAGGATTGGTATATGGCGTACTATTGCGTCGTCAGTTCATTGCTTCATGTATGAGAAGAGAAGCCACTTACATTTGCAATCGCAATGAAGGTAGAGAAGATCATGGGTGCTATCCACGGGATGCCGTGGTCAGGACCTAACGATGTCCACGCAAAGCCGAAGAGTCCGATCGTCTCGAGGGGTGCCAGGAAGAGCAGCCACCAGAGGCGTACTTCGGGTTTGAGCGGAATACCTTTGCGGCGCTTGGCGCGGAAATGATGGATGGATGGGAGATAGGAGAAGTAGGAGAGGAAATAGCCGATCAAGATGCTGGGAGATGTTAGGTATGAGGCTGTTAAGAGATGAACAACGACTTACGGGATAAAAGCCAAGCTGATGCCGACGGTACCAAAGCCCCACTGCTCGTACACTGGCTGGAAAGACTGAAGGAACGTGAAGATAAGCGCGTCTGAGAACCCGCTGAGCAGAGAAAGCCAGAGGACGATTGGCTCGGTGAAAAACATGTAGAAAGGCCTGTTAAAGTCAGCGAGCTGCCACTCTTCTCGAATACAGTAGTACTGACCTGCCAATGATAGTTCTAAACTCCTTCAACGTAATTCTCCGCTTGCGAATCTCATTCGGGCCATACACGTTCGGGTCCTCGCCCGTCTTCCTCCTCCTCTTTGCTTCGCGATCCAGCAAGATTGTAGACCGTGTCTCGGGGTTGCATACGGCGTGGAGAATCTGCGTGGCTCCGCCGACGATCAATTGGACCCAGAAGATCCACGGCAGGGAGCAGTATTGCTCAACGAAACCACCTACGATGGCGCCAACGACCGATCCTCCAACTGAGGACAGCACAAGGAACGCAACAGCGTACTGGTGTTCGTCAGCCTGAGAATCATGTAGAAATCTGGAAGAGAACGTACCTCCTGCTCGTCCGGCTCCCACATATCCGCCAGCACGCCCAGCGTGACTGACCCCCCTGCTGTCGAGAGCCCACCCAACGTCCGACAAACAATATAAGTCGCGAGGTTCTTCGACAACGCACATGGAATCTGCCATATATTGACCAAAAACAGACTGAGCTGCTGAATCGGCCAGCGTCCGTACTCTTCACTCCACGGCGCCCAAAGCTCGCAGCCAAACGCATACGCAACGAGGAACGCCATCTGCGGGATACGAGCTACCTGCTTCGAGATGCCATGCTCCTCGGCGATGCGGGCGACGCCGTTGGCGTATAGCGACGCGTTCATGTTCATGGAGATTTGGATGCAGAAGACAACGCCTAGGATCTGCCATTTGCGCCAGGTGGGGAACGAGTAGCCAAGCTTATCCCAGGCGTCGGTGTCGGTGAGCTCGATTTTGTCGTCGGACGTGATGATGCGGTCGGTGTTGTCGGTCTTTTCTTGCTGGAGGTCGGCGCCTTCGCTGGCGTGGGGGTCGCGGTGGGTTTCAGGAACGGACTCCATGGTGGAAAGGTATAGCTCACTGGGAGCACGTGTGTGTAGAAAGAAAAATGTGTTGTTCGAACTAGGCACAGACTCGGGTAGAAAAGAGACAAGGCTCTTTTCCGCTCGTGCGCTGATGAGCTTGCGAGTAGTTCCTACCAGAAACGAGGTTGTATGAAACAGCACCACGCTGCGAGCAGGCTGCGCAAAGTAAATACCCAAGACACCTCACCTGTCTATCTGTCGCAGTTCACCCGCACCCGTACCCTCCGCATCAGGCACCTCTCACCCCTGCACCACTGACATCAACTCTCACCAGCCTTTGTACTTCGCCCTTCACCGGACCAATTACCCCGCCTTCTTTCACGCATCCCAACCGCCAAGCCACACAAGGCGTCCTGGCGCTTTCATGGCGCTTTCATGGCGTGGTTACAGGGAATTTGTCCTGCTGCGAATCGAACGATGGTCCGGCTATGCGGCGTGCCTCGTGAACGTGTGTGGTGAGTACAGCCAAGCCGTAGGATCGCGCACTGCGTCATAATGAAGATCTGGGGCGCAATCTGCGACGGTCGCACAGCAGATTCTTGTTCCGTGCTTCTCGTATGAGAGCATATCGTGATGTCACGGTTTGATTGAAGCATGCGAACAGCCTCCTAGAGATGGGGTTACGGGCCTGACGATGGGGATGTGCGGCTAGAGTAGGTGACCCGCAAATAGATACGCTAAGGCTCGGTAAGGTTCCGATTGCTCCAAGAAGAATGCGAAGACAATCGTGGATGCTTGAAAACTTGGTAGAACGCTTACATAGGCTTACGGCCTTGGGCGTTGTACCGTAAGGCTGGAGAGGAAAGCTTGTGTTGCACAGCAGCACATGTGCGCAATGACACAAAGACTAGGTACCGTGCGTTGCTCGGGACAGGCCACGATAGCCCATCAATTCAGATCTTATATGCTACGAAACTATTCAATCATACAACAGCATTCAGCTCTTCGATTCGTGGCGCGCTTGCGTCGCGGTATCCGTCGTCATTGAAATGATACTACCACATCAACCTCTTTTCCTCCTTTCGACATTTTGCAATCTCCTGCCAGATATGTCGCACCTCATGCCTCCTATACCCACTCCAATGTCTTATTGCTCGATACTCTCATCGTGCCTGCCCCTGGATCCCTGTCAATATCGCTGTAATGTCGTCCACACACTGGTGGAAAGACCGGCCAGTATCTGGACTTGCAAGGTACGCCGTTGTTTTGTCCCTAATTGGCTCCTCTGCGCACCACTCCTCCAAAGGTGTATCATCGAGATTCGGCACATTGAACCTGAAATATTTCAACCAGCCACTTTTTATCAGGCCCTCGTGATCCCTCTGGAATTCGAGACACTGTTGCTCCGCATCACCGTTTCGTTTGAAGACACTCTTCGCCATTTCTTCACTTTCACGATCTGGATTCAACCCGGATCCTGTGCCGATAGAGACAATAACCATCTTATCTCCGGTGTACTTGTAGAGCTTGCGACATTCGTAGTAGGCATCGGAAACAGGATTGTTCTTTGTAGTACCGTAGTCAACCAGGCCAGGCTCGATGACAGATCGTAAGGTTTTTCCGTTTTCAGGACACGCGTAACGAGGTGCTAGTACGGCAGCTTTCATTGCTTGCCAAACGAGTATATTATCGTCAAGCTCGGGTCCAGCTATTCGTCGTGTGTGGTAAGAGCGCAGGACTGCGGCTTTAGTGAACCCTATTTTGACCTGAGTTGTAATAGCGAATCTGCCGTGGACGGTAAGTTATGCAGTTCTCGACATCAAAGACGGGCTACTTACGCATCGGCACAGTCTTCTCGAGGATCATAGAGACGGACATCCACGTCTGAAAGCTCGGCAGTCACAACTGTCTTGATGGCATCCTCCACGCCTTGCGCATCGTACATGTGTGACACTGTATGAGGGTCGAGTGAGGAAAAGAAAGCTCTTTTGTCTTGAAATACTTCCCTCGCGATGAACTTATAAGCCTCCCTAGCTGTGTGCGCTTGCATTCTCAAGCGGCTGAGCATCAACCCCAGTGCAGCTCCCATTGATGAACCGCCAATCAGGTCAAAGATCTGGTAAGGTTCGACATTCTGATTAACCTTTGTGCAGATCGCACCGACCAGCGCTTCGACAAGAAATACTTGCGATAAACCACGAATTCCGTCTCCATCCAGCGAAAGGATAATTTTAAAATCTCGACTCTTGCGTGGCAAAAGTGGTGGAGGATGGGCAGGTTGCACATTTTGGGCAGATACCAATTCCTGGTAAGTTTCACAGTTGTCAGCTTGGGGTGAAGAAGCACCTGGAGGAGGGCGAGGCGCTTCGATTGCGGGGAGCTGCGGATCAATATTTGAGTCTATCTCGGCTGGAGGCGGGTAATGGTTGCCATGGACATTTGTGTGACGTGCACTGGACGAACGTGAAGTATGGGCCACTGGCGGAGGCGCTGTTGTCGACAGTGATGCGGCAATAATTGGCGGTGCGGATAAATGTAGAGGACGAGAGACCGCCGTAGGAGCAGCTGAGGAGGGTGTGACGGAAGAGGCTAATGGTATATGACCAATTGGAGGTAAGCCTGGAGCCAAGTCTGGCAGGGGAGTTCCTGAGGATAAGGTTGATATGGAAGCCGGTGCCGGTGCAATGCCATCGTGACTATGCGGAGGAGAATCAATTGGCGGCCGAACTAGGTGATTGTCCTCCCTGTTCAAAGATGGTGTTCCCTCAACAGGAGGATGTGGATGGGAAGCCAAAGGTGAGTTTAGCGCTGGAGAAAAGGCCATACCAGATCGGGAAAGTGGGAAGAGTGCTGTTGGGGAGAAGGCGTCGCGATTTGACCCTTGAGAGAAAGATGGGGACAACGGAGATTCCATATCTTGAGGAGAGAAGGGCCGGTCTATTGGAGCTCTTGGTCTCGATATATCGCTTTCGAGGCTAGGTGAAAATGGCTGGCCGACGGGCGCTACTCGAGGCATGGGTGTCGAGCGCCATCGCTCATAAGTCGAAGAGGATCGAATTACATGGGCTTCTGCATCTGCGGCGATGTGCTTGATCTCAGGGTCGTGAGCATGGCTGTTTGAGATCAGGAAGTAGATTCAGACTGGTCACTTTGACGACTCACTGCTTGACCCAGCCGACGTCCCACGATTCCCACTTGCCGTTGAGCAGAAACTGGATGGCGGTCGGATGCTGCGGGTCGTAGAAGTAGTCTATGAGCACGGGTGTTCAGTCAGTACAAGTCGAAAGAGTGGTGTGGGCCTCCTGTGAATGGTACACGTCCTAGCCAAATATGAAGGCATAGTCCCACAAGGCTAGAACACAATGTACGTAGGACGGAATGGGTTCATACAGGTGTCTTCGATAGGCGAGAAGCGAACCAAGCCAAGGTCAACCCTCAATGACATTGGTGAGAGGTTGCAAACTGGCGGGTGGATCGCAGCGGCGAGATGGAGCTACGAGCGACGGGTGGGCGACGCGGTGGTCTGTGGTCCGGGGCCCTGCTGCCCCCGCGCGTTGCTAATGGGTGTTGATTAACGTGCGTTCAGACCAATGAGTGGGCGGGTGCCGCTGCAAGGCTCCCTTGCTACCCGGCAACAAGCAATATCGCGCGATCGCAGCCTCTATTGAAGGCTGGCGGTGGTGTTGCTGCGTTGGACTGGGCGCGAAAGCGATGCTGTGGTGGTTGGAGAGCGCATCCTGGTAGATGAGCGGGTCTCAACGGCTTGTTGTCCAGACTTTGACCGTTGTGCCCACAAGGCTCCGCGGGCAGTCAAGTCACGGTTGGAGAAGATAGGCGAGGCCAGTGAAGCAAACCTTCTTCCGCAAGCCGAATCCCTCGCTCCCTGCACATCATCGCATCGGCAGCCAGTCAGCGGAGCCCGCCTGGTTGGCCCCCATCCTATTGGATCACACGCCCGGCCCGAGCCGCCTCTTCCGAACGGAGATCAACACAACTCGATGGCGGCACAGCATCTGCCTGCTCCATCTTGGGAAGCGAGTTTTGGTCGTCATGGATATAGCTTGCTGGAAAGCTGTGACAGGTGGTACAGAGATCTGGCGGTGAACCCGATCAACTTCTCAAGTTCCCAACGTTTCAAGTTTCCGAACTTCCATCCATGCATGTACCCACATCACATGGTCGCGCCTGCTCCAGGATTCCAAAGAGCGCTTACTGTGGGTGGCACCTTGACCACTGGCATCTCCGATAAGTAGGCACCAACGAGGCGACTGGCACATGCTCATGACATCAAAAATCATGACGAGGCAGCTCATCAAGCTTCTCGGAAGCGTTCTTGATTCTTCAATTCTACATGTGCACACCTCCAGCGCTTTGTGCTGACTTGCTCAAACCATGCCGCATGCTTGCACAGGCCAATCGATCCAAGGCAGGAATTCGAAGCCCATCACCTGTTTGGCCTCTGTGATGATGTGTTCCGCGAGTCCTTCGAGGTACCAAAAGTGAGACGCTCTCTGCACTAAGACAGCCGCGTTCGCGAGGAGAACCACTGCGCGTGGTCTTTGCAGGCTCAACAGGTCGATGTAGCCTTGTGGCACTCGTTCAATCCAGAACAGAAGTGCGTACTTTCCCCCGAGCATGCTTTCAGGGTTGTAGGTATGGGCGTATGCTTGCCGCAGCCAGTAGAGGGCGCCTTCGTACGCCGGAGCTTCGTTTGCTTCCTCGAAGGGAAGCGATGCGATCAAAGCTTCGAGGCATTGAAGCCGATAATCTTCTGGGTTCAGGGACGGGTCTATCGGTTGCAGTCTCCGTCTGTGCATTTGCCGATCGAGGAAGGTATTGTTGATCCAACTCTGCCAGTGTGACGGTATATCTCCAACCCCTCGGTGCAACAAAAACCACTCGGGTGGACCCTCGGCGAACAACCGGCCTGGATCCTTTGGTTCTGCAAAAGAATAGATGGTAAGAATAGCAGAGAAGGCCATGACTGCGGCTGCGTTCTCCTTGGTCACGTCGAGGAGCGTACTTCTGTATTCTGGGATTGCAAGGTCCTGATGATAGGCGGCCGTGCGAAGGTACCTGATCCTCATGTCTCGATCAAGGGTGTTTTTAGCTAGATGAAGGGCGCTCAAAGCAAGAATTCCGCGCATGAGGAAGGGAAAGTGCTGTGCCATTATCGGTATGTGCTCTCGCCAAGGATCTGAATCTTCGGCGAATCCGTCTCCAAACCCATAACATGTTGCGATAGACCATTGATGCATCAAAGCAAGATCCAGCATAGGGAGGTCATGGGGGCCGCCATAGAACTCTTCACTATAGCTTTCCGGGCTAGGAGCGGCTGGGCTCATGGATGGTCTTAGGTGTTCGTTGTCCGCCGGCGCTGGATAAACGCACTCGGAAGCATATCGATGACAGTTGGAGCATCGAGGTTTGAGCTCATCGCACTGGTAAGCTGTTAGTCAAGCGAAAGTGGACGCTGTGTGCTACCGCTAGAAATGTTGCTGACGAGCTTTTGCCTATACAATCGGACGAGCGAGGACCACTCGTACGTATTGCAATATATCGGGTCGCTATTTGAAAAAGGATGGGAGCGTACCTTGATCTTCCTCCGTTTGCAGGTTTGACAACCGCTTTTAACCTTTCGATGCGGTCTTTTCTTGTAAACTGGGGTCATTAGAGGCTAGTCAACAGCAATAACACATAGAATTATCGTACCCTTGCCCTCCGTAGATGTTGATGACATCTTGTTGTGCGACACCTGTTCGATAGTGATGAAAGGGGTAGGACTGCGAATTAAAGATCCTTTGATTCGTGTAAATACTATGAGTAGCCGTGGAATAAGTCAGAAGGTTGGAACGCTTGAGACAGAGATTGTGATCAGCAAATGTACAAGGGCCAATATGCGCTGAATAAGATCATATAAGTGTGACGATAGAATACCCGTCCCGTCGGTGTAGCAAGCCTTTGCTTATGTTGCAAGCGTTGGAAGGTTGTAGAGCTGAGGCTCATTGCGCGACGGGAGGCAAGCCTAAGCCTATGAGAGGCTGAGGGACCGTTCCAGCGCCGCTCCCGCCCGGAAAGGTGCCAGTCGGAGGCTTGTACACTTATTTTGGGCCTGCTGGACGAGATCCACGGTATTCGCAATCTTTCTTTTCAAATCTGCGAGGATCAACGGCAAAGTTCGACGACTTACCAATCTACGTCGCATCCCTCGCTGGCACTGGAGGTTTTCATCCCGTACTACCGCATAGTAGACGAATTGGGTTGATGAAAAAAGTTGGACTTGATTTTCTTAGAAGTGTAACGATAGCCGGGCGCAATACTGCGCGTGCATAGACTGACGGCATCCTTCCCATCAGCTTAGGCATTCAATGTACAAGCGGGTCAGCACGTCCCAATTGACGGTACGGCGGTACAGCACGTTCCGTTGAAAGGTCATGGTACCGATGTTGGAAAGCATTGGTGGTGGCTGACGGCGGGAGGCCGCGACGAGGCTATTCAGTAGCGCTTCTTGGCGACTGCATAGCATGCACCCCACTCATTCCTTCATGTTGCTTTGATGCGTCTGTAAATGGCTACGACATCGGTCGCTAGGTTTAGTGCGCAAGGCGTTATCCTTCGCCTGGGTACACCGTGTGTCATCCCGCAATTTGGCTTCGAGCGTGGAGGTTCGAGTGGTGACAGGGTCTATCACTGCAAAGTAAGCTGTCCTTGTCATTAACAGAATAGTGCAGGCGTGTCTACGGGGTTTTGATAGGATTGACGAGCAATGACGTCCGGTGCGGAAACTGGGGGCTTCCATGATTCGTCGGATACGGTAGACCTTAACAACAGGCGTGCGCAAATCCGCTTCAAGCTTACTAGTTTTCAGGCGACCATGGAAGGCCTCGAGCTGCCAGTGCGGCTGTACCTTCGCTGGACAGGTGGTATAACGAAAGCGAGCACTGCGGCCGACCGGCGTTGGAGAGTACAGTCGCGCCTCCCTGGGTAATCACTCTTATTGTTCAACGCCACTATCAAGTTTTTGAACCTGCAAAGACTTTAGGCAGCGCAGTATCATATCCGCCAAACAACGAGAAGCAGTGCGTACATTGTGGTCACTGTTTTTGAAGTCATGGTGGCCGCTTCAGCCCGAATCTATGCGTCGACTGCTCGGGCTGATACAGCTGACTCGGGGTGGCCATGCGATGGATGTTGGCGGATTGGCGAAGTTACCAATGCCGTTGCCAGTCATAGTACATTTGTTGGGTGGTTCTTTAACTACACGTACCGTGCTGGCACCCCTACAAGGAGCCCTGGAGTGCAACATTCACTCTCTCAAACCCACTTAGTCCCGTCACAGGTCCATGTCGGACTTCCGATTGCAATAGACTTCGATTCAGATGCCAATTTGGAAGTCAGAAATAACCCGTCATTGGGGCATATGACGTGCCGCTTCGTGTGCGTCTCGTCTCCATGGGCGACATGTATACAGTACGGGGATGACTGTGTTGACTGCAGTTGTGGTGCAGCGAAATCTAGTCCTCAATACAAGAGCAGAAATAAGCTTGTTTGCGATGAGCTTCCTTAGGCAACGCCATACATGTAAAGCTCTTATAACTGTGGTAATGTTTGTCCTAGAGCACCGTTAAGATTTTGCTCCAAAATTTATCTGTAACTTCACAGCTAAGCCAACCCTCACGCGTTTTCCGTTGATGCGCACACAAATAAGAGGCTAAAAGCGATTTCCAAAAGCATTCTCAATGCTTCCATGATTCTAAGGATGGCTCAGGGAAGACTACATGTAGCCTATGTGAGTGTGGTATCGAGCACCGGACGCGGCTTCCCATGCGCTGCTACGATGCGTGGCTCAGGATGCGGAAGGTCCCGTTGTCGACTACAGCATTTGGAATTGGATGTTGGAATTCGATACTGTTCTGGGCATAGGTCGCCAACGGTGCGCCACGCTACCATATGTCGAAGAAAGCTGTGTCAAATAGCTTCCACCGACAGTGCCCAGGTGTGGTTGATGGTCTTACTAGATGCTCTAGCCTATGACTGTCGGAAGCCTTTCACCTCGCGTTCGTTCACCTTCTACGCATGTACTGACCGCTCAGCAATAGGGCTGCGGCTGGAGACCTGCGTCCGCTCTTGCAAGCAACGTGACTCTCGCATTACCGTCCGTATTGGCAGCACGAACAATCTTCCACGGAACCGAGCTGACCGTGTAGAGCATAACGGGACAAAAGCTTCGCGCTTGCTCACCGCATGCTCCAGCCCGGACACTAACACCAGAGACCATATCCACGAATCCCTCTATTGGGCACGCAAAACTGCCAGGAGAGGATACCGGCATTTACGGTCCCTCCTCAATATTGACCTTTCCGTCTCCACCCATCGCGGAAGCTCCCCTTTTGCTTTGATAAGCCAAGCCTCAAAGTCCGCGAACTTGCTTCTCGTCGCCCAGGATCCTGATGCATGACGAACTGCGCCCTTTGCAAGATCGGCTCACGATTTAGTACCCAGCAGCTGAAGCCGGGACACACCAAAGACCCTATGTCCGTGAACGGGGGCCAAGCAGGGTACTGTAAGAAGTGAATCGGCTTCATTACTAGATCCGCCCCGTAAACTTTGCCAAACGGGTGGCTAATGCAGGGACACTTGCAGGATAATTGAGGCGGTGGCCCGGTGGCTTTGCACTTTGCGAGTGAAAACACCCAGCGAGGCTGAGAGATCTGGGTGGCCGTATGATCGGCCGTGGTTATCGTTCCGTATGGGGCGTAAGCATGGGAGAATATGTACCCTAGCGTACTCTAAAGGCCAAGCCCTGCTCTAGCTCCGAGGACATAAGAACGTAGACTCGGATAAGCACACACAAGCCTTCCCGTACAGCTGTGTTCCCTAAACGTACAGATTACTACTGGAGGACTAGAGGGATGCAACTAGGGGTCTCTGCCTTGACCGGACCGTCACTGTGGGAAAGTTTTAAGAGTGCTGCCTACTTAGTTTCAGCCTCATGCGGAAACTGTCCGTTCAGGTTGCGGCTTCATCTGAGACAATTGTGCGTATCTACCGGAGCAATGCCGCCGCTAGTAGGCTATTTTATTAGAATCATTTCGGAACTTCTGAATTCCGGAGTCATCGCCTTTTGCTAGATGTACACCGGGGCTGCGGCCTTTGCGGCAAGAGATAACTTAAAAAGGAGGATTCATTTTGCAATCGTTGCTGGATGGATAGATGGCTTCCAGGCGCAATTCCATTCTAAAGCACCTGTTTACACCGTGGGCAACTGTTTGAGTTTATTTCATTACCAAGACAAGCACTGTACTGGATAAATCCTGGAATCAGAACTTTACATTAACGTTCTTCACTACTCGAAGCACTGAACAAAGCTTTCCGCCCTGTTACTTATCCGGACGGCGCTATACAGCCGTGTAGTCAAACTACTGCGTGATGACTGGCGCTCCCATAATAGCAGTCCAATGTGGAAGACGCTAGCCCTAATTAAGATGCCGCTCCGGTCTCCTTCCTACTCTATCGCTGATAGTCTGCCTTCCGCATAAGAAAGCACAGTAAGAACGTGCGAATCTCCGACGAAGCTAAATTATGATGCTCAGGAGGTTACATTCTTCCTAGTAAGACTAGCCAGCACTATCATATGAGCACACTGCATTACTACCCGAATTCATACCATGAAATTGGTCTGGTCCCGGTAACAAGTGCTTACGAGACTATTTGGCAACAGCGAGGCTGTGGAAGGTAGTATGAGCGGTGAGCTAGCTGTTTATCTACATGCATATCCAAACCAGAAAGCATGCACGCGTGTGAAGCGGACTTTAACATGATATGTATTCGACTCGAATCCATGGGGCCCCCGCTGTGTCGAAGCTGTAAAACTGAACGAGAAGTTTTAATGCCTTCAAATGACCCAGCTAGATCATACCGAGTTGAACAACCCTGAGATGCTTTGCAAGGTGGCTTCAAGCGGAAAGTCAAACTTCAGCTGCAGTAGCATTAACCACACCAACTATGTTGATCCTCGCAAAACGCACCCCATAGCCCAGAACCAAAATTCGAAATGATAAGAGTCCGTCGTAGTGCTAGTATCTCCCACCCAACGTTAGCATGACTAAGAAGACTCGTTAGCCATTTCCTCGTAAACAGCACCGATGACTATAGTGGTCTCCAACTGGTTTCTGGTCCTGGCATTCTCTATTTGGCACTTGTGGCGCTCCATCACTGCTTTCACATATCGAAGCGAGACCTAGGCGTCCTTCATCTTGAAACACAAGTAGTAAGTCCAAGGGCGAGTAGCGACGTTGAACGTACTACCTATCCTGATTGAGAAGGACAATCTTCGTACACGGCGCTGCACGCTATGATTCGCGAACAAAATGATGGCAACTTCACACGAAAAGCACAGTAGATTGCTTTATACAGCAAGACTTGATACTCGCTCTATGATGCACTGCAGTGTGCTATCTCTGGAGATTATCGGCGCCACTGTTGACTTTTCCCGGTTTCCTGGATCGCGATTGGTTCAAAAACAAAACTGTGCAGCCAATCAGAAGCCTGTCGCACGACGAACTTGCAAATTCTACGCCGCCGGAAATCGTACGCAATACGATGACAACAAACCTGAATTTGCATGATATCAGCGTCTACAACTGTGCACATTCGTCGTGCACCCGGTCTCATTCCAGGCAGCGCAGGAAGGGCATCGTGGCCTTAGCGAAAAAGCTCTCGCCGGCGGCGTTGCGCAGTGCGTCCGGGATCGTCCCTCGCTATCATTGCGCGCGGCCTTGACCACCTCCCACCAACAAACCGCGACGCCCCTCCAACCTTCTCCATCAGAAATCTCCCCCAACACCATCGGAAAATCCGGCCTGGGTCGATATTCCGTCTAAACAGCGGATGCGAAATCGTTCGACACCCATATTGTGATTTTTCACGCCCGGGAGTGGTCGCAAACGAGTCACCGCTGCGCGTCGCAGCCATCGCCGCGGCGCTGGCCCTGGTCAGCCAGCACCGAACGCCCCAGCCCGGCTGGTCACGTGCGCGCAAATTCTTGTGAACGCGCTGCACTTCACGGCACAGCATCATGACACAGAGGGTTACCGGCCAGCGCTTTCGCCAGCGCAAGCTATCTACTAAACAGAACCTACCCATTCTTCGTGAGAACGAGGTTGAGCAGCTCGGCGACGATGACGCGACGCGGCACATTCCCAAGGTCGAGACGGGCGTCGAAAAAGGGGAAGAAATCGTAAGTTCACGCTAGGCCTATTCCGTCACCATTTCGACATCAGCCGTGATTGCGATGACCGGTCAGCACACTCGTGCCCTGCTCGCAAGGCTGCTATGTTTCTGTCGTCTTCTGTCGGTGGATCGGTCTGCTAACAACGCATAGGAGCACCATCTGCAAGCCGTGATATCTGCCGCCCAGGCAGCATCTCAAGGTGGCGGCAAGATCGCACAGCTCTACATCCCTACACCTGATGCTGTTGCAAGTAAGCTGCAGTATGAGGACCTTTACCCAAGACAGTTTACTCAACCGTCAACCTACATTCGCTTCTCGTCTACCGTGGAAGACACGATAGGATGTCCGTATTGCATGACCAGCGAAGATGCTGCTTGGCTTAAGTCGTACAACCAAAAGAAGAACAAAGGTGTACAGTGCTCCGAGGAGGAGCTCGAGCTAGTCATCAACTTCTTCGAGGAAGCTACCCTAGAAAAGCAACCATATGCGGACGTGGACAACACCCCCGTCCTCACGTATGAGGAGCTCGAGGCTTTGTTCGACGAGAGAATCCCCGAGCATGCACGGAGATTCGCCAAAGATGTTTACGTGCACTGGAAAGCTGAGCGCGAGCGAAGGCTCAACCGTCCATTGATGCCCACGCTCAAATTTGAGAAGAATCTCGACACAGACGATTCAGATCCGTATGTCTGCTTCCGCCGTCGCGAAGTGCGCATGCAGAGGAAGACGCGCGGTCGCGATGCTCAGGTGACCGAGAAGCTGAAGAAGCTAAGGAAGGAGCTGGAGGAAGCTCGGTTTATCATGGCGCAGGTCAAGCGCCGTGAAGTCATGATCCGGGAACAGCTCGCCTTGGACAAGCTGATCTTCGAGCAACGAGGTGAAGTCAAGGAGACCAAGAGGAGGCTTAGCATCAAGGGTGATGACGAAGAGCTCCTCATCAACCAGAAGGTTCGCGTTCCTCTCGATGCTCGTAAAACCCCATTCCTAACACTTTTGCAGCCTGCTCCGAAGCCCAAGCCTAGAGTCGATACCCAGGCTCTTCAAAGAGGCATTCCTGGCATGGGCCCTAAACCTCCGGTTACTCGTCCCGATGGCCGACTTGTCGATTCGGATCTTGTATATCTTGATGACCAGCTTGTGAAGAAATCCGAGATCATCGACGGGTTTATCGAAGAGAATTTGATGAAGCACCAGAAGTGGAATGTTGGATGGGTGGATGCAACATGGCGCCCTATCACACCACCTTTAGAGCAGCCCGCGGCAAAGTCAGACTTCCGCCGCGTCTTTACAGATTCGCAATTGCCGACACCCCCAGCATCGGTGTCTTCTGAAGAAGTTGGCGATGCGATGGCCGTCCAACAAGTGAAGCAATCTGAGCCACGCAGAAGTGCGCGGATACGGTTCGGTACACCCCCAGATGATGTTCCGTACCAGGATCAATCGCGGTACCGCCGGCGCACAGGTCGGGGTGGTCGTGTAATGATAGATCGCCGAGGCGTGAAGCGTCCTAAGCTTGACAACGATCCTATTGACGAGCGAATGGCCGACAGGTGGAAGTTCGCCGGCGATAGTAGCGAAGACGAACAGATCTATCCCGTAGACTGGACTGACAACCTTCACATTCGGTACAGGATCATGATCGAGCGCCAGGGCGAGAAGCAGCATGCTCAACACCAGGCTGCAGCTGCAGCCGCGGCCGCAGCACAGAACCGGAGAGCGATTGAGAACCACCAAAGATCCGGGTCGGGTCATCTGGCTCCGCCTGGCGCTGGGCAGTGAGACTTCGCGGCCATCTCTTCACCACCTTCCCATTTGCGCTTTTAATGATGCGACGAGTTGTTGTTTTCAGGACACGATGTTATACCCATTTGCGCTTTGTATTCGAACAGAATAGGATGATCCGGGCTCTTTTCATTCGATGCCGCTCGAAGACGCCTGCAACACACTGGCACCCCTATGTACACTACACCGCAGGACGCTACGAGAGGGCGGGAGCCTGGAAGACGGATTAGCGGCTGGGGGATATTTGGATATGTATAGTAGGAAAGATGTATGCGGGACAGGTCCTGAGATAGTGCTAGTAAAATGCAAAACTTACCATGCATCTACCTGCTGCCCATCAAGTAAAGTCGCAGTCTCCATGGGCCAGATCTTGCGATCGCGACATTTCAAGCTTTTCTCATCTCGCGCGCTTCTTGCCTCTTCCCACCTCTTCTTCCTCTGCCGGCCTCTTCACGGAACCATTGGCGTTGACCAGATCTCTCCCCACTTGCTCCAAAGCCTCTTCAGCCTGCTTCAGGATCTTCTTCTCACCAATACGAACTTGCTTCGCGATAGCATATCGCCGCTCTTTCGAAGTGGCCTCGCCCTTAAGCGATATCTGGGTCGCCGTAAGGTTGTCCTCATCCAGAGTAGTGGTATATTGCTGCAACCTGACCTGCACCAATCTATGCAAGAACTCTGCGCCTTGAGTGGTGCTCCTTTCCGGCTTTGGTAATTTGCCTTTACGCTTGAGATGCTCGAAGGCTTCGTTGTCTAGCAGGAGGGTTTCAACTACGACAATAAGCTCGGGTGATACACTTTCTTGAACAGTGAATGGCTCGCTGGCACAGATATCATAGCCGGTTTCGATGAGGTCGTTCTCGGCTAGGTACTCGAACCGAGCTTCAGAGTAAACGTTGGCAGCAGAAGCGGTCTGAGCAACCAAGTCGAATGGGATTTCCACGACATCGTACTGCGCATAATTATCTGTGACGTAACCATATCGACGGAGTAGATCTGATCTCGGCAGCGGTCCGTAGTCGTTGAAGATTTCTTCCCCAGTCTGAATGGCCTTGAGAGCTTTCATGGACAACGACTGTTCTTCGTAGAATAGCCTCGCGTTGTTCCTGTCTGCGTCTGCATTAAGCATGTCCGCCATAGGCACCATGCCCTTGGGCAGCGCTTCATCCTCGTCCTCGCTCGCATACCCCTCCTCATCGACCTCCTTCTGCGATTGCGCCGGCTCAACGTCGAACGCATATGCCATAATGAGACTACCCATTTTGTGCATGAGGAGCATCCCCTCTTCGCTCTCCATCTCGGCCGCGCGCTCCTGTGCCCTCTCATCTCCAGCAAATACCAACTGAGCAAACTCTTTAACGACCGGAAGTAGCTCGTTCTTGAAATTCTCGTCTGCGCTCTGGCGCCCGATCTTATGCACCACAGCGGATGCTTGGAGCTCTGCGAGTTCGTCTTCGGACCAGAACATCAGGGTGTTGAACTCGTTAGGCAGGACGCGGAAGTAGGGGGCCCAGTTTGAGGCATCCTTGTTGAAGTACTCGTAGAGCATGACGAGGATGAGGGAGAGCCAAGGGCCGAGGGCGTCGAAGGTGGCTTTGGGGATCTCATTGGAGAGGATCGAGTTCTCGACTGAAAGGATTGCGGAGCGGGGGATTCGGAAAAGGACTTCATCTTCGTCGATGTTTTGTATCGCAACTGGGTTGCGTTAGCTGTGTGCCTGTGCATGCTCGCGTACGTTAAGCAAAGTAAAATGTGTGGAGGAAGAAGGACGAAGTCTTCGGGGACTATCCGTTAGCAAGGTGCAGACTCACCGACGCCACGGCCGGCTTGCATGTTACGCAAATCTTTCAGCTCGATTTTGGGGCTGATCTCCGCTCCAGAGCGTTTGAGCCAGTCCAGGAAGACATGGCTGGCCTCATTGAAGGGGTCCATGATTCTGCAAGTGGAAGGTGTGGGAGTGGAGGTGGTGGATGCGATTGAATATTGCGGTCAGTCGGCCAACCGAGCGGGCTCTGACGGGCACTGATTGGCTCAGCGCCTAGCGACACCGCAAGAGCACTGAAGACCAGCCACAAATTCAGTCCTGTGTGGAAAGTCGGTAAAAGGTACGAGCATCCACGTGTACCAGAGTTACATGTTCAAAACTCGTCATGAAGCAGTTTAGAAATGCATAGTTGCCGACTGTTATGGAGCTTCAAGGTCAGGACCCCTTCATGTAACCATCAGGAAGATACACGCAAGAGCACGAAATATTGTGCTGTCCACTTCCCACTTTCGCGCTACAGACTCTGTTTAAAGCTCCTGAGTAATTCGAGTCTACTCGTTAATTATCTTCGTGCTTGTTCTTTCTATAGCCTTGATCAGACCTGTGATGCTCGTTTGTTTCCCATTCGTCATCAGCCCTGCGAAAAGTTCCAGCTTATCGATAGCATCTCCTCCACCAATAACCCCTCACACATTCCGCAACCACCAAAGCTACAGCCAGAAAACAATCTGAGAACAGTCGATCTATTTACACCATAGAGAACCAAACGACTCACACTTTCCTCTCTTGACTGCACACATCCACCAACCCTCCATCCCCCAGCCAAGATGATAGCCATCGGCCTCGAAGGCTCCGCCAACAAGATCGGCATCGGCATAATATCCCACTCTCCTTCTGAGCCCCCCGTCATCCTCGCAAACCTCCGACACACCTACAACTCACCACCGGGCGAAGGCTTCCTCCCCAAAGACACGGCCCTCCACCACCGTGCATGGGTCGTTCGCCTCATAAAGCAAGCCATCCGACAAGCCCGCATCAAGATCTCCGACATAGACTGCATATGCTACACGAAGGGGCCCGGCATGGGCGCACCCTTGCAGAGCGTCGCGCTCGCGGCGCGAACGTGCGCATTACTATGGGGCAAGCCGCTCGTAGGCGTGAATCATTGCGTTGGGCACATCGAGATGGGTCGGAGTATCACAGGGGCAGAGAACCCCGTTGTGCTGTACGTTTCGGGGGGAAACACGCAGGTCATTGCGTACTCTGCGAACCGGTACCGGATTTTTGGCGAGACGCTGGACATCGCGATTGGAAACTGCATTGATCGGTTTGCGCGCACGCTGATGATTCCGAACGATCCGTTTCCCGGCTACAACGTAGAGCAGCTGGCGAAGAAGGGGAAGAACTTTGTGGAGTTGCCGTATGCGGTGAAGGGCATGGATGCGAGCTTTTCAGGTATATTAGCGGCAGCGGATGTCCTTGCTAAAGGACTCGACGAAAGTTTACCAGATGAGAAGAGGTTAAAGACGGAAGATGGGGAGCTGGTCACTAGAGCGGATCTATGCTTCTCGTTGCAAGAGACGATTTACGCTATGTTGATTGAGATCACGGAGCGCGCCATGGCACATGTAGGGAGTAAGCAGGTCCTCGTGGTTGGGGGCGTGGGTTCCAACGAGCGTTTACAGCAGATGATGGGCATAATGGCAAGAGATAGGGGAGGCAGTGTTTTTGCGACTGATGAGCGGTTCTGCATCGACAACGGGATCATGATTGCGCATGCGGGCCTATTGGAATATCAGACAGGCGTCACGACCAAGCTGGAAGATAGCACATGCACGCAGAGGTTCAGGACAGATGAGGTGTATGTGGGATGGAGGGAGTAGATCTCAATCTGATCTAGCATCCGGCACCCGTCTCGTGAATTTACCAATATGATACCCAATTTTACCTGCTTTCAGGGAGCACTCCCAGTTATCTGTGGTGTGCACGGTTTCATCGTTCTATCTATTCTTGTCCTTGCTCTTGTCTCCTCTTTCGCCTTCACAATTTCTGTTGTCCTCCTAGGACAACCACACTTTCTCCTTCGTAAGGGAAACAGCGTGTCATAAGTGATGGACCGGGCGAGCCGCATGTCAGACTTCCAACCGCTTCTGTCTCGGGAGGGCTCGTGCACCACCTCCACCACCACCGCCAGAAAATAGCAATCTAGGAATAGTACCTATCACAACCACTGAGCCCTACTGACTACAACCGGGCCAGCGTGAGGCATTCCGAGCGTCTGCCCTCCCATCTTTCCTGTTCCTGACATACTTGCCGGAAGCCACCGGCAAAGAAGCGGGGCCGCCAGGTACCACCGTCCGGAAACCCCATCGGAACAACATTAATGTCGGGTGGCGAGGAACGAGAGTAAACAAACATCAGGCACAGACTATTGTGATCCACATCGTTATTCGAGGAGATGGTGATGGCTGGTTGAAAAAGAGGTGAACATGAATCGCTGATCAAATAGGAAGTGGAGACTCATAGTGATTGACTGAACGATTTGGATTCGTCAAAGTACGTTGCTATGCTACAAATTTGCGCACGGGCTCTGCTGAACAGCTGCACTCGTGGCGTCTGAGAGAAGCTCAGACAAGTCGTGATATCCACCTCTTTCTGTTTTGTCGTTCCCTGAGCATCCCTTTGCCCATGATCTAACAATGGCCGTACTCTATGTGCGTGCCTAGAACTCCGGTTCGACCGAAAGGCCGAGGAATTAAATCAGCTAAAAATGGTGGCGCTGAAGCCTCCCACTGACACCAAACCACCCCTAATAACGTATACAGATCTGAATCCAATGTAGAAGACTCTCCGAGACCCTCAGAGAGATAAAAATGCTAGCGAATGGACAACAGCAGCGCCGTAAAATGCAGCAATGTGGTATTACAAAAATTGTGGTCATTAAACAAGATCAAGAGAAAAGTCCGGGCGGAAAGCTTGCTAAACTTGGTGTCGGTCGTTCAGTTCGATGTCTTTGCTGCTTACGCGGCGGTAGAAGGGTATCCGCGAGTATGCGTACTTGCTCCTGGAGTTGTTCGCCTGGCGGCCTACCACGAATGTCGAGTAGATGCACCAGAGCAAAGCAAGGCCCACGGTAAAGCCAACGACAGTGAGGACCATCCAGTGTGAGGCCATCCAGAAGATGAGCTTGACGTCATTGTTGTGCCAGCTGTTGCCCAGATGGTGGGTGAAGAAGCTCCAGCTGTGGTTGTTGTACTCTGCGGGAAAGAGGATGCGAACGCGGTCCGCGCCCACTGGGTTAGCCTTGTTGTAATGGCGCCAGATGACGCTGAGGTACAAAGGACCGGTCGAGGCCATGACGGTAATGTATGGCAACGGCCACCGGCGGTTATAGTCGGGCAGACGGTCGATGGCGTTGAGGAAAAACTTGTGGCGCGGAACGGAGCCCATAGCATCGTTGGAGATACCGGTGGGGCTCGTCTTGCGAACCCACGCGGGGTAGGCGAGGAGCGGATCGAGGCTGCGGTTGCATCCCTAGAATACTGTTAGTGCTGTTTCGGTAGGAGTTGAAAGGGCACGCACGTCGTCCAAGTCGATGTAGATGCCTCCGAAGTGGTGCAGCACAAAATATCTTATCGCATCGGCGCGCTGGATCGGGTACGGGTAGCCGTCAAAAGTCTCGAGGAACCAAGGGTATCTGCTGCGGTCAGTCGCTGCACATTCCCATATTGCGCACACACAAGACATACTCGGCAGCAATAAATTCGCGCGACTTCTTGTCCGTCCAGAGCTGCGTCTATGTTAGCGAAACTGCCCCGAAGTCGAACAGCCATGGCGCGCACCTTGTACTCGTAGTCGGGATGCATGTCGATGCAGCTCTGCTGCGGCCCCTTCCAGTGTTCGGGTACGCTCTCGTTGATGTACGTCTGGTGGATGATCTTTGGGATCAGTTGGGGTCGTTCGCTGATGGCGCCGGAATTTGGGGCCGGCAGTTCGGCGCGCAGTATGGCATCTTCCTTGCCGTCGACGACGAGAAGTTCCAAGAGGGTCCAGACATGGTGGACTGCGAAGCCGAGCACCACGATGGTGGTGATCAGGAATACGAGGATGCCTCTGCGCATGGTTGCTGGGACCTCCTTTTCGGTGGGCGGGCGGTCGGTCGTGTTAGAGCGTGGCGAAGGCGTTCGATATCGATATAGCAATGGGCGGGAGGGTGTCCGGTCACTGCAACATAAAAGAAGTATTAAAACGGCGGTGCGTCGGCTTGGGTCGGGCACGCAGAAGAAGAAGAGACAAAGGAAGGTTGGTGTTGGAAGAGCTTGGTTTGGCTGTGCACCGGGCTAGCACTTGCAGTGGGAAATTAGACTATGGCGCAGCCGAGGCAGGCCAAGCCTCGAAGCCAATGTCCGTCCACCGTCCGCGTCGCAAGTGAACCGTGGCGACGGCGCCGTCAACCCCTCTCCAGCTTGTATTTTCTGACACTTGCTGCGCTGGTACTCCAACAGACCTTGCTACGCTTGCGCGTCCTTCCCAGCCTTCTACGACCTTGCGAAGACCAACGCGTCTGTGAACACTGCCCATGCTGTGCGCTCGCAAGCCCGGCCGTCTTTGGCGTCTGATGCGAGCTGAGAAGGCTGTGCCGTGCCACTCGCGGCATGACGATGACCTGCATCTCGCTTGGCCATCTGCTTCTCTGTTCTAAGAGCGCCATTGTCTCTGCTGTGCGCGTCGTCGTGAACTTGCAAGCCTGGCCTCACACAAGTGCGCCATTTCCTTGCGCCTGCCGCGGCTCGTCCTTCCCACTGCACATAAAAACAACTGATCCGTCGTATTTCATTGGTCCGCCGCGAATACGGGCATACGAGTACGCTGCAGGAATGACACGCCCGGGGACGATGCATGCCCCGCACATGTCGCAGAACGTCATCTCGTGCACTTCCTACACCACACTGATCGCGAACGGACTACGGTCTGCATCGCTTCGCAACCATGTCCATGTCCAGCAACGGGCATACCTCGTCCTCGTTCTCCATCGGCGGGGACCGAAGTCCAGCTGATTCAAGCCTCACTAGTCCTCGAACCATTTTCTTACTGATAAGGGCAGCAGACACAGCCTTCGCTCAGATGTCGAGTATTGCGGGGGGTTTGCACCCGTCTTTTCGTCCGATTGACGCAGGTATTTGAACGCGTACACTTACGGCTGTATGTAGTAGTCTTCACCCAGCGCTAGTCGAGATGACGGGCTTGGCCAAATCTTACACCTATCTTAGACCTATGACGGGACGGTCGGGACGAATGCATGGCTCATGCGATGTCTCAGACGACCGAGTCCAAGCCTGACTTGGAAGCTTGACGTTCCCAGACGCTTGACACCTCGATTTGTATCTTGACTTCGTTCAACCAAGCGCTCCTTCTCCTCTCGGCTTACAAAAGCCCTACAGTTTGCTGCTTAATATCTTCATCCATTCCATGAGACAGAGAAGGCCTCTCTGCAAAACCATATTCGTACGAGATACATTTGCGTCGACTAATCAAGCAGTTCATAGGACGACACATTCCCAGCTCTGTTATGATTCTCCCGAGACACGAGAGTTTCGGCTGGACAAGACTCACATTCTATGACTCCGCCGAACCGGGGTCTGTTGAAAAGTAGAAGCTCTATCAACTACGAATGCGTTGCCGCTCTCGCGCGGGTATGCCCTATATTCCTATTTTGAGCAAACAGTCACTTAGATCGGTCCGCGGCCTTGCACGGTTGGTCGTATCGATCTTAGATCTGCTTGCAAGCCTCGTCCCACACTGGGTGCACTCAATTCTGTTCCGCAAGACTTCGCATCTCCTTTCATCTACCGACAAGCTTCCAATAGTTTGTCTGTGGCGCTCGTGTGCGACGCCGCAATCGTGATCTTCATTCTGGCTACGCCGCCATGAACCATCGACCACTGACTGCATTGGTCACTGTTACACGCACATTGCTTTTTCGTCTTGAGGCTCGGTCTGGGTGAACGTGGAGCCTATCTTTTCCTGTGCTGGGTATGTAGCTACTGAATGCATTGTCTCGATCTCATACTAGTCGCCGAGTGGTCAGCCAGTGACCTGGTTTCTGGGTCGCCCTTCCCTGCTGATTAGCAGTCGGGTGGCCCCTTCCTCTGTTTTAATAACATCTTAGGACGCGCTACGCCTGACCTTTGGCCACATTGATACGGCAAACGACACTCGACATGTCCTTACAACGTAGTTCTTGACCTCCATTGATATCCAAATGGTGCTAGACACCTGCCCTCGTCTTGGATTGCTGGAGGTAGCACTATCTTGGAACGTGCTTGCATCCACTGCAGCAGCAAGCCCGTTCCAACCTCCGGCTGATACCAACAATGGGACACATCGGCCTGCTAGCTACGGTGAATCACCTACATCGCGAACCTGCTTTCTCTCCGCATCGATCATATGCATGTCGCTTCTTGCCGGTATGCTAGGTAAGAGCTGCCACCAGCATGTTTGCCCAATGACCTGATCTCAGATAGGGTATCGTGTTCGACAGCTAGAACGGCAACATTTCAGGACCCTCACCCTCACACGCGTGTTGGTCATAGTTCTTGGTTGTCTCGCCATGTCCTTTGTCGCGTCTGCAGCTATCGTCGAGAGTGGCCTCGGACTGTCTACTTCAGCTGTATGTCATGCGGCCAATATCATTTGTCTCGCATTCTATGTAAGCTGTAAAGTTGTAATGTAAGCTTGCTCGACAATTGCAGTGCTTTGCATCACATCCATGCAAATCAATGCACCGCCACACGGTAGGCTAACCGAATCCTCAGGTATATCTTTCTGGTTGAGCGTGCCCATGCGCTTCGAGCGCCGTACATGAAACGTTCACGGGACTGGATCTGGCTTGGTGGAATGCTGACAATAGCTTGCGGTTTCGGGAGTATCGCTATCTGCGGTTTCATATGGCCCATCGCGAACTTGTCGGAGGTTGATGGACGATGTCGCATTGGCCTGCCCTTCCGCGTCACAATCCCGCTGCTCACCTTCGACGTGGTCATCAATACGCTCTTGACCGGCGTATTTGTATATCTTTTACGGCCTTTACTTCGTCTCAACTTCAGGTCAAACGATGCAGCCCCCACGACACTATTCGCGAAAGGAGTGCGTCTCATCTTGAAAAGGCAACATGGTCGATCGAACAGCTTGGATGTGTATCCTATGAATCACCAATCTTTTCAGTCGATCGAGAGATTACTTTGGAGGTCGCTCTGGGGGGTCCGTATTGGTCATGCTGCCGACCGTTGGAAACCTTGTGGCTTTGATCCCGCTTCACGGGCAGGAGCTGGGCTGGGTCTGCTTGACTATTTGCGCCTTCGATGGTAAGTATCTACCTGTACCATTTACGACGTTCAGGGCACATACTCACGTTGCGCAGTTACCTGGTCCACATGCGTGGTCCATTGGCTTACATTAGGATCTACCGAGCTTGATGGGAGGGCGTTGGTTTTGCTAGCACAGCCGCCGCCTGATTCCGCAAGCAGCGCTTCTACTGTCCCACTGCAACAACCAGTACATGCACACGAGACAGGAAAGACAGGGCAGTCCTCAAACATTGGTGCTAGGAAGATGCCCGATGCCGATAGGGATGACCCATTCAATATGCACTACCTGGTTAAATAAGATACAGCGTTCTGTTCCACCCATTCAGCAGCAAATGTCAAAATTCGGACTCTTCCTCAAGGATCGGCTGCGATGATAGGCCTCTCCTTCGAAGAGCTGCCACTCTATCGATGCGTGGACCAGACGGGCTTCCAGCGTGCGGCTCTTTCTTCACTCTTCGCGTTGCCCTAAACTCTTTAACTGTCCTACCATTCGCGCTTGGTTGAGACTCCGTTGCTCCGTCAATCTTGAAAGCTGAAGTAAGGAACTTGAAAATCAGAAAGAGGACGGTGCCGGCAATGCATCCGATCAGAGCCGCGACCCCGACCCATATGTATATAGTCTGTTGTTGCGTTAGCACGATACCCCTTGCTTTGGTGCTCGCTGCATCTCGGTCTGTGTAGTAGTCGTTATAGAACAATAGAACCAACCTACTTCAATGCGTTCCAGGATATGCAGTCTCAACGGGAATGAGACAATAACGTAGATACCGTGGAGGAGGTAGGCTACGGGAAGGAAGACGAATTTCGCGACTGCCCAGAAAGGTGATAGGATGAAGCCAAGTGCGAAGAGAATCCTGTTGGTAGGCCACCAAAGGCAGTACAGTATGGTGGAGAGGATGGTGTGCGCGTCGGCCATGATGGGCGGACTGCCTCCAGTACAAGAGTTAGGGGGCCGGCGTTTGTTGCCTTTTGGTGTACCACACGGTATCTGGGACGTTGGCGTGTCGGTGCAGGGGGTGCGGCGTTCGATGGCAGGGATGAAGCGAGTGAATGCTAGGCGGCCATGGTGGTCGTTTCCGAGCGTAGGTCCACCAACTCAATCAAGGAAAGATGGTCCCATCAAGCCTGCCGCAATCCCTCAAGTGAATGTCGTGGAGGCGATGTAGCTAGTGACTTGTAAGTGTTCCAAGGATCGAAAGGGAGTAGCTCAACGCCAGGGAAGCTACTGTGGGAGCCCCGCGATAGAGCTCCATGGCCTGTGCGCCGTGCAGATCGATCTTCTGCAGGCTGCATTGGCGGGCGAGCGGGCGTCTTGTGTGCGACTTCCATACTGCCTTCTGGATGGAACGAGCCGCCGCGGCCTCCTCTCGCACGCTCTCGACATGGGCAACCAACCCAGCTCGTCGCGCGCCCCCACGCCGGGAGGGAGCTCCAGTCATCCACAAAGCCCCGTCGCGAGCGTGACATCGCCCACGTCACATGCGCCTTATCATGACCGCGATCGCGCCCAGCAGCACAACCCCAAGCGCAGAGAGTCGATCCAGGCGCTCAGCACCGTCTTCGACAGGAAAGCGAGCGTCGCCCCACCCTCGGCTTCCCTCGAGAGCGCTGCTGCCCTCACAGCGCCCGCACGGCCGAGAAGCCGTTCGCAAACCGTTTCCGCCGCCACGCCCACCACGCAAATCACAAACACACTCCGCGCCGCGCAGGACAACTTCAAGTCGGCCTCGCAGGAGAAGATGGGCAACGAGCAGAGCCGCCCAAAGGGCCAGCCACGCGAACTGACCCCACCTAAGCCAAAGCCGCTGCCGGTAGAAGAAAAGCCGATACCGTCCCCGAAAACTGCGCCAAAACCACTACCGATACCTCGTGAAGACCCGCATTCGCATGGCGGCAGGAACGAACCAGCCTCCGCTGCCTCTCTCGAGCCCGCCGACGCCTCGCAGGAAGCCTTCGTTGTCCCCTCGTCCCACTACAGCCGCCCACCCCGCCTGCCGTTGCCCATCGAAGAGGAACCTGTGGGCCCAGGCTCACCCATTATCTCGCCCGCAGATCCAACAAGCCTCATAAACCATGACGAGATCGAGGGCGCTCTCCCGCGCCGGACGTCCATGCTGAGCGACCGGACTGCAGAGGATGATGACCTGGCAGACGAGTTCAAGGGACCGCAAGGCCAGGTGACGGTACCAACATTGATTGAGTGGGAGGGGCCTGGCGAGCGAGTATATGTGACCGGTACATTTGCGGGTTGGGAGCGGAAATTCAAACTACATCGAAAGTGAGTGGCGCCTTTTACTTTCACGTGGGCAGCCGGTTTCAGAGCTCAGGCAGAAGATCTGCCGGCAGCCTGCGTCTACCCGTGTGGCTGCGGTTTCGTGCAGGGCCGCCGAGACCTGGTCAATCATGTCCAGCCAATTTCTTGGGGCTTGCATGTGTAAACTCTATTCCTTACGCGTCACTTTTGCCTCTTTTTACGGTTACACTGCACAACGACATACTGACTTGCTTTCCTTGATAGTGGCCCCAGCAAGAAGAAAGATGTCCTCTCTGCCTATGTCCACATTACACCCGGCACGCACCATCTCATGTTCATTGTGGACAACGACATGCGAACGTCCGATAAGATGCCGACGGCGGTAGACTACACCAACATCCTTGTCAATTATGTGGAAGTGTCGTACGACGATATCCCGAAGCCCGGAGCCGAAACCAAGGACGAATCGAAAAAGTCAGAAACCGCTCCCGTCCCAGTTCAAGATCAACAGGCTCCCGCTGGTATCTACCCTCCGCAAGTCCTACCAGCCACCCCAGAGCTCGCGCCCGTGCAGAAGCCCCTCCCCGAACCTAAGCCCAAAGTGCCGGCACCAGCACCCAAAAGGTATCACCAAAGCATACCGCGCTATCTGCTCGATCTGGATGCCCCCGAGGACTCACGGCGCTTTGTACGTGCCAATGCTGCGGGTAGCGCCCTACCGACTCCTCCCACGCTTCCAATGTTTCTTAGTAAGAGCATCTTGAACGGGACAACGCCGATGAAGGACGACAGCAGCGTATTGATTATGCCCAATCACACGGTGCTAAATCACTTGGCGACGAGCAGTATCAAGGATAACATCCTTGCTACGAGTGCGACGACAAGGTACAAGCAGAAGGTATATCACGACCCAATGCTACTATAGATAAATTATCTAATGATGTGTAGTTCCTCACGACAATCATGTACAAACCACGAAGCGAGGATCCAGACTACTGATCCGCCCTCGAAGGCGTTACGTAAACCGTGCCCTCGCATGTCGTTTGGGAGTCAGGGTAGATGCGGATCACGAGCTTTTGGTTCTGCATGTCCACACGTTCAGCGCAGTGGGAGGATGACGAAACGACGCAATGAAATGACTGGCAGGAATGGTCTGATAGACCGTCCGGATTTTCCCTTCTCCACGAATACCCCAGTAGGGTTTTTCGATTCACATTTCTTTTGGTGAGGCAAACAAAATCGGGTGCCTGGGCATCTTTCACGGCAGGATTATAGATCTCTATCTCCGGTTAACAGGAGGAGATGTGGGGGTTTGTTGCACCGGCCGAGCTTGGGCTGGTCGGTGGTTTGGTGAAGGTATTCTCCGGTTCTGTTCATTGTGGATGATGTTCAGCTGAATATTAGGTATCCTGAGAATTATATTTCGAAGCGCATTGCATGACTGCCCTTTATGTCTCGTATATTTACTAGCTTGCACAATAAAAGCTTACACCAGGGCGGACTTTTTCTGGTGGATTTTGGAATACAAGATCCTGAGGTGATCGACGTGCGTTGCGACCGAATAATCTTGGAAATGCGTAATGAGCGCGGCTGAGCATGTCTTCCTTGTCCGCGCTAAAAGTTGCAGTGCACCACTGTTACTAGGAGCCCCGTCCCTGTCACAGTTACCGAATTCAATACCCAGCGCGAGAAGATGTATAAGAGGGCCTATGTATGTGTAGCACTCGACGGAGATCCCCAACATCCTCATCATGCTATTGTTTACCTTCCGCAGTATCTCGACGAGCGGAAGGAGGTTGCGGAGCGGTTCGATACTGCCGCATATCTTACAGAAGGCACGATCCAGTCGAATCATTGCATTTGGGCATGATCAAATCCAAGCTGCATCTGTGAGCATCATCGATAGTAGCAGCCCTGAGCTTGGTAGCCAGTACGATAACAACGATCTGGCAGCAGCACCTGGTTTTGCTGTATCGATTGGCGAGCTCTCATTCGTGGTATCGCCGGCGCTTTCAGAATCTAGAGGACGTTCCGTATTGGAGTTCGAGGCTCTGGTAGGCTTAATTGTCGACTTAGATACAGACTGAGTATCGGATCTTTCGGTAGGAGCAGAAGTTACCGCAGCGTAGCCATCGGCCCTCAACGTACTCGTAACGTCATCATATCCAATTACGAGGTGCGGCAGGTCTGCGAAGGCATAGCTAACGCCATCGATGACAACATTCTGTCCGCTCGGGTCAAAGTAAACGGCGTGTCCGTTCACCGAGATTTGCGCGCTGCCTGGCTGCAGAACATACTCGCCATTGACCTTCAGAGTACCAGAAGGTGGGTCTAGCACCAGTGATAGGCCCATGATAGACGTAGTAACAGGAACTGTCGCACCTCCCGTTGGTTGAGCTAGAGATACAGTAGTGCCAGAGATGACAACAGCATTGCCACTCAGGCTCAGCGTTTGCATCTGCTCCGATGAGTTTGGATCACCGATGAGCACCACTTCCGGACGAGACGGATCTCTCCATATTGTTTCACCACTGACGGTGCCGAGAGGTATGAGCTTACTTTGGCCAGATATGATAAGGGCGCCACCGGTGGGTGCGACAGAGATAGTGGTGCCGGAGATGACTAGAGGAGTGTCGCCGATGCTGAGGGTATGAGAGTCTGGAGCCCCGGGATCTCCAATGATGATGGCGCTTGGGTTACTGGGATCGATCTCGATGGGAGATCCTCCTATGGCAGCGATGGCTGAAGTGGGAGTATTTCGCCCAGCTGTAGCTGTTCGTTGTGGAATTGGCGTGGTTCGAGTGAAGGACACAAATACAGGCATGGCGGCAACTGGTTCGTGCGTAGGATCCCGTCCATTTGGCGTTTCATTGTTCGGAGGGTCTTTTGCAGGAGCACTGCTAACAGGGTCGTTCGGATTACTACCATTTGGCCGACCGTTCGGAGGGTCATTGTTCGAAACTTTCGTACTCTGCGGAGAGCTGGGATCGTTCGGAAAATTAGGCCGGCTTGTTGGCTTTGGATCGTTCGTGGCCGTCACGACCGCTTCAGGCGTAGTTCCCGGTGCAGCATCGCTAGTTTTAGGTGGTGCATCGGCCGTTGACAAGAAATTGTCAACGCCACTCAGGGCAATAGGTGGATCGGGAACGCCTAGGAAATAAGGCACACAGCTAGCCCAAGCTGGATCGATCTTCTGGATCTGGGTAGGGACCGCAAGTCCCAAACCGGCCAGCCAGTTTTCAGATACAATGGAACTACAGCCAGCAAGACATTGCGGGATACATGTATACGCCGAAGCTGGAATCGGACCATTGAGATCGTCAAAGTTGAATGGAAATGCTGTCGCCCCAATAGGTTGAACGTGCAACGCTGGATTCATCCTCCAACTACAGATAGATGAGATGTCGCTCGAGGCGACCTCAATGATTTGGTCGCTGTACACACTGCCAACTGGTACCGTTGTAACCTGTAGCAGATTGCCCATGCTACATGTTTTGTATGCCGAAAGTGCCGAGTATCGGACATAGGCCTTGTCTTGCCAGTATGTGGTAGAATTGATGACCGTGGAGGCATGCGGTTGCGAATATATCGACACGGAAACTGTGCAATGTCAGTGCAGAACTCTGATAGGTTTCTCACAATACTTACAGCGATTGAATCCCGGTGATGTACTAGCGCAGAGGTCTCTACTCTGCGATGGAGGTGGGAAGTATATAAGCTGAACATGCGTTGCGGCAATTGTACATTGCTCTGTTGCACACTGCGAGGAGATAAGTGTACCACTGGGCGGACCGTTGCAATTCTCGCCTCGAGGGCCCATTGCCAGTGCGGTAATATCGTTGCCATTCCAGGTGAATGTCCCTTGACCACCTGGGGTTATGATCGCCCGTCCGGTCAGACTAGTGGCGTTTGTAATGCTGTACATGCTCTCGTCTGGTGGATAAGGTGTTCCATGCAGTGTTAATATTGGCAAGCCACCATTCGCTGCCGGCAATGGTGTTGTTTTCCCATTCACCACGACAGAGATTGGAGGCGTGGCTAGTGAGACGGTGAGGACATTGGAGGAGGACCAGGAAGAGAGACTCCGAGATAGTGAAGAAGCGTAGAGACCCCACAGATCCGAACATGCCGCAGCATCCTTGATGGAGCATTGTGGTCGAATCTCAGTGTATGTTGGGGCTACTAGCACTGTCATCGTAATGTATGAAGTCGTGACCACAGGGGTCGGAAGAAGAACGGGCTTGAATGCAGCTTGTGCTTCTTCCTCTGTATCAAAGCGAGGGAAACCGTCGCAGAGTACAGTGTAGGATTGGTTGCCTGACGTAGCTACTGCTGGCCGGGTATAGCTAAGGGTCGAGGCCCTCGTCAAGGTGGTCGTTGAGGTCTTTCTTTGCGACCTAGTAAATGCGGCCGCTGCCTCGGTATATGACCAATATGAGAGCCAGCAAAGAGTTTCATTTGCGAAGCCTGATCCGCCTTAGTTTCTGCATCAAGACCATGCAATTGTGAAGGTTTCTGCTGTGTACTCACTTGTTGTATTAGATGGTAATGAGGTGGTGCTTCCATTTCCTAGCAACGATGTCGAGTTCAACGATTTTACCCACGGAGCAACTGTTATTGTCGCTGGTGATGAGAGATCGCTCACGCCTGTCGTAAGCGAGCCTGTCGCCACTATTCCAGTGCTTCTAAAGGTATTATTTGCGGAGTGACTGAACCCTAGGAGTATCAGCTTTTTATCATCTCGGTGTACATTTACGATGCATACCCCAAGTAGAGCTAACGCCCGCTACGGCGAGCGAACTAGTAAACGAGTTCATCCTAGCGACGAGTTGACGGGAAGGATTCGGGCGTGGAGATCGCGACTTTTAAACGACTCTAGGCTTGTGCCATCTTCCAAGGAACCGCGTAACCTGGGCTGTGGGGGCTAAAGACCAATTAGCCTTGGTCTCGCAAGCCATAAATTCCCCTGGAACGAGGCCCCGAGCGCTTACGTGCATAGCCTGTGGGCATTTGGGCGTTAGCCTTGTGTGCATATTGATCTACAGTAGGGGACAGAAGTAAACTTGTAAGCACTACTGTGCGATTTCATTTCCTCGTTATTGCCAAGGATACCTCGTGGGGGGCTATTTCCCTGGAACAGGTCAGCTCCACTATTGGCACTTTCTCCTCATGAAGATCGGATATTCCCAAGCAAGCCTAACTATACAGTGTAGTCTAAGTCTTTCGTAGAGAGTGTTCTTAATCCATGGGTTGGCGGCGCGCTGGTGCGTCTGTTTGGTCCAAGTTTTTGATTGCGCCTCTTCTTCTGTCGGTCATGCATGATGTACGTGTAAAGATATACGGCGACTGAAAGTACAAGGCTGCATAAAAAGTAGATCCAGATCCAATTTGATACAACACTATCATTCTTCTTAGCCTCATCATCTGGCATCCAGTTCCAGAAAGACGTGCTGAACATCGTCTGTCGCATTGTCAGCGAACACAGAAACAATAAGGCGCGGCGTACAACTTACTGCGACAGCAGTGGCAGGAAGAAAGATCAGTGTCACAATTGCCATGATGCGCATGACATAGTTTTCATTGAGCGCATTTTCAGCATGCCGCTGCGAAATCAAGCTGTAGACGGTATCTACCTGTGCTTGCGCTCTAGCCTCGAGTAATCTTTTGGAATCCTCTGCGCCTGCAATGAGGCCTTTCAAGTATGTGATCCGCCGGACGAAGCAATCCGGAAGGTCCCCGGGAGGCTTCGAAACTTCTTCAATCAGCCCTAAAGAGTTCAGACCGCCTTGAAATGTTAAACCGCAAAAGTATAAGGTTCCGAGAAGACCGGTCAGCTTCTGTGTAATATGACCGAAGTCGATCTCTTCAAGGCGCGCAATGCGCTGTTGTGGAGACAGATTCGCTTTTGGATCATCTGCCGCGCCATGTATGAGACCGGTCTCCTTCTCGACACTTGCCAGGTACTGAGCTCTTCGCTCGAGCAGCACAGCGAAATGATGAATTTTCCATTCTACCAGAATGGTAGGGAGAAGCATCGCGTGGTATGCATATTCAATCGAACCCCGCAAGCATCGCTTCATGTCGTCAATCTCGTTGGCCTGCAGGCCGTGCACAAAGCAGTTGACGATACCAGTGGTGGGGCATTTGGTGGTCGCAACACAGTAATTCCAGTCCTTGGAACGACCCCCACGAAGCATAATGCCCACTGGCGTAGCACTCGAATGGTCGATGCTGAACTTCGCTTTGATAGGCATTGTGCTGAGTAGCATCCGGAGGAATTCACTTGGCAGGTTCCATTTTTTACGAATGTCTTGAAGCGTAGCGCACGAGAAAGGAAGAGCGATGACCTCCGCGTCAGAAGTATGCTGCTCAGGCGCACAAACGAAGACGCGAAGTAGTGGCTTCAATGCTGCTGCGTCATACTGTGCCTAGGTCAGCTCCAGTTTACGCGATCACTCATTGGGCCATACCTTATCAAGCCAGGTCCTTATCCCATCTTCTGTGATCGACTCTTCACGAAATCGCTGCTCGGTATCCTTTTCCCCAAATTAATCCAACAACAAGGCAGCCGGGAAGAGGATCTACTCACGGCTTCTTCACCATACACTTCGATAATCTCGTTGCCACGTCCATTCAGTATATTTCGTCCAAAGTAATGTTCGTCGTTTCGAAGCCGAGCATCGTAATCGTCAAACATGATCTTTGTTTACCGCGTTCAAGGCACGCTGTCAGACCATAGATTTCGGGATAGTCGAGACATGGCATTTCTCGCAGTCGCTGCCTATTTGAATGGCAGACGCTGGCGCTCTTCGACACGGTGCAACATATGTTCCGCCACATCGTGGGAGCTGAGCTGAACTGCGAGGCTGTGGCTGTGAAAGATTATCGCATCGCCGGAATAGGTAGGTCTATTCTTCTACACCAATTATAATGCCCAGCATCCACACTAAATTTCTTCAGCTTCACCCAGCCTGATGCTGGAGGCGTCCTTTTGGCGTTATATTGTTGCACAGGAAACGAGTGAAATGAGGCAATGTATCTGCCTTATCCGCCCTGCCAGGCGCAATCGGTGGCGGAGCCCTTAGGAGGTCGATCTTCCTTGCGACCAGCGGTTTGGGCGGAGAGGTGCCGCCTAGACGGAAAAGGAGCCTCGTCCATATCCACAAAGGGATCTTGGAGAGCTTGATAGGTACAAGGGCGAGGCACAGACAGACCGTCACTTAGTTCGAGCCAACTGCTGCGAAAGTATTATTTGGACGACGGCATGACATTTGCACCCGACAGATGCTCCACGGAGGAAGAATGCACGAATCAAGCGCAATGCGGGGACGCGGGCTAACGCGCTTCGCTTAGCGTATGGCTTAGGAACATTGGAACCTTGGAAGGAACCACCACACGTGACTCCTTTTCCTCCAGGGCTCTTTTCAAAAACCCATCCTTCCGCGATCTGAGTAATTTGATTCTCCGGTGTTCCCGTCAATCGACTATTACCAAATCTAGGTTAGGTTGGACCATCCACTGCGATCGCCTGGAAGCGATGCAATCGCAAGAAAGTGAAGTGCACAGGACGCCATTTGACGACAAGGTCGTGGTTGGACAGAGTCATAAATGATCAACAACGCGAAGGTCTACACTAATCCAACTCTTCCAGCTATTTATACTTGACCAAACTTGACCTCATCAAATTTAACCTGCTCCGCACTCGATGTCTCAGCCTGCTCGATGTACTGCGTGTACGATCCGGTCCTTCCCTTTTCAATACTGTGCACAGAATGCCTCCTCATATCGCCCGCAGAACCAATGCCCATCTGATTCATGCGATCGCGCACATGCTGCTTCGCGAACAGATAGTCAATCTCCTCAAGCGTACGTCCAGTCGTCTCAGGGCAGTAGAACCACACATACACGGCGGCAATGAAGCAGCAGATCAAGGGCCAGATGAAAATCTTCGGACCAACAGCCTCGATACCGGTTCCGCCCCCGAATACCATGACCCAGGTCGAGAGCCACTCGCCGCACGCTGCGAGACCACCAGCGACGTGGCGGTACTTAAGAGGCGCAATTTCGGGACCGTAGATCCATGGGGGACCAAGCCAGCCGAATCCAAAGACGACCATGTAGAGCATGATCATGGCAACTGCAGACCAGTTTGTAGCCACGTTTTGTGAGGATTCCGGTAGAGTGGTGAGGACAATGTACACGAGCATGCAGATTCCGCAGCCAATAGAGGTCCAGAACATCATGGAACGACGACCGATACGTTCGATGTACCAGACTGGTGGGTAGGAAGCAAGAGCGAATACGGTGTTCAAAACAGCGGCCAAGATGCCGGAGAGGAAGTGGCTGTAACCAAGCTTGAGGAAAATCGTCGTGCTGAAATAGACAAGCATATTGATTCCTGATAGATTGTAAGAAGATTATTTTTTGGGCATTGTTGAGATGAGACGGCTACATACCCAAAAATTGTTGTGCGAATAGGATGAGGAAACTCGTTCGAAGGCGACGACCGACCTGATAGTCGGAATTGTCCCAGAAGAAGTGCAAGATATTGAATTTTGCATTATCTTCCTCATTAATGGATGTAAGAACTTCCTTCTTCTGCGCTTGCACAATTGGATGATCTTCGGGGAGATTATAAAGCCTGGACAAGACGGCGTCTGCCTCGGGAATGCGTTTGCGATAATAATACCATCGCGGAGTATCGGGGAGGAATACAAGGCCTCCAGCGGAGAAGATGGCGAAGCAGGCTTGCATGGCAACAGGAATGCGCCACAGATATGGTCGGGTCTCGAGGCCTTGAACAAAACCAAAGTCAATCCAATACGCGAGTGCCACACCAGTGATTAGCAAAGCAAGCTGCCAGCACACTTCAGGACCGCGCTCTCGAGCCTCGAGTGACATTTCAGCCATGTAAGTAGGCACTGCGCTAGCAATGCAACCGATGCCGCAACCGCAAATGATGCGTCCCGTAATGATTTGACCAACAGAGTAAGACGAGGCCTGAATAGCTGCACCAATGCAGATGAGCAGGTCCCCAAGTAAGATTGTTTTGCGGCGTCCAAGTTGCATGCCGAATAATGTCACTGCCAGGGACTGCCAACCCCGAAGGTACAGAGTCAGTTTATGTATTAGAGAAGTGGGGATACTAATTTGTTCGTAGCTTATTTAAGGGAAGGAAAGGCGCTTTTCTTCTGTCTCCAATAGACAGATAAGAGGTCTTCCTTTCGCATTGCTGGAATAACACATCTAATTTGTACGCGGGAGACTTGCCATGGCAGCAGCGGCGAGATTGTAGATCGACGCGATGATGGGAATGATGTAAACACCCTTAGGGTTGCCGATAGCATCGAGGAATTGTGGTGTTGATTGAATGCCACCGAGCACACCAGCGTCGTAACCGTACAGCATGAATGCAGAACCGCAACATGCTGACATGACCTTGTACAAGGTCCGTCCTGAGAGTTGAGAGAGCATGGCGGAATAACTGGACCCGTATCTAGTTGTGAAGGTCAAGGTGACGGCAGGGTGGGTGAGAACGATCAGGAATGATCGCTCCTGAGAGTGATTCGATAGCTATTTGGGAGAAAGCAAGTGATTTTCCAGGAGCTACTGCTGATTATTACCAGAAGAGTCCTTTAGAGAGGTTTATACTCCTGTGTCTCGCAATAGTTGAAGCTGTAGGCCGAGATCCGGGCCGTACCACGCAGACATCTGTCTCTCACCTCCGATCACGGCAGGCCCGTCTACCCCAGATTTTGCCCCCATTTCAGACCCGATGAGCTAGAGGATCTGCGCTCGCCACGGGATCTAGACTTTTGGAGCCGGACGCAGGCATGGCTCAACCAGGGAATCCGAGTATTGATTTGGTAAAATAGAATTGTCAAATGCGATACAAAATGCCGGCTTCGGAAGATGCCGTATGCAGGCTCGGGTCTGAGATCAACTCAATTCCTTGGAGCTACCTAGTCTTGCGCCTGCGCAAGAGATCTTTGAAATGAAGCCCCGTGTAATCGGTATCAAAATAAGTCACGATCTAGAAGAGCTCGATAAGACGACTGCTTACAACTCGTCACAACTCCAGGTGTCGCTAGAAACTCGCGAGGTGAGTAGTCCCGGTGATGGACAAAGAATCTGATGACTTCCGATGGCCAGCCATTGCACGGAATCCTGGACAAGCCAAGCCTGCGACGCTGCACATCGTGTTACACAAATTAGGCTTACCCATATTATTGGGTACAGCAAACTAGGGTCATCGAAACTTGTGCCGAAATCAATGCCCGGAACTAGGAGTTGCCTGCTGCATTTCGAGGTTGCTGATGGTTAGGTACCGTCCGGTCAGCTTTTGTGCGACCATGGGTTCGCAGCCTGATTCCACTGTAGGCTAATCGTTACTTCGAACTTGTAGGCTTGGATTTCTGGTGCTGGCAGAACAAGTGCGTGAAGAACCCGAGCGCATGCTTGCAAGCCCAGCATCGATCGCTTGCGTCAGCTGAGCGTCAAGGCTCATCGCGATCTTTAAATCAGGTTTGGTCCCTAATTTGAACTCTTGCATTGGTCAAAGTCTCTACCGTTCCGATGGCTCAGCCAAAGCAAGTGAGAGTCAGTCATATGGGAAGGTATCCTAAACAATGACCGGTAGCACCCACATCCTTGTGAAGGACTCTGATACTGAGATGCAGCATGGTTGTGAGATCATGCCACTTGGATTTCCCAACACCACACGCCATCAACACAGTGTTCAACTGATCTCAATTTGCTAATTTCATACTACCATCCGCTTCTACTGTACATGCCGGATAGCAGTTAAGCTGTGTGTTGCGAGTGCTGACAGTCGCTCGAACCATGATGGGCTGATGCTGGCCCTGTTCGTCGTTGTCGTGGTGAACTCAATAAGGATGCTGACATGCTTCCTATCTGATTGCCCTGCAGCGCTATTGACACTTACTCGATTCTTAGTGATGATGTGTCTTACTCCAGTCTACTCTCCATCTGCTACCATCTTCAGCTGGAGCCGCTCCTTTCTGTGGCGTAACGTGGGCTTGAAGTGTTTGGTAGTCGTACGCTACGATCTCCATCAAAGGGTTTCTACGAGGCTTGTGCAATATCCGCGTTTTGGCTTATAGATATACCTGGCTGTCAAGGTTGACTACTTGATGAATAGACAGGGATATTGCTCGGAAGTCAACATTGCGCTTTAGTTGAGCGGAAAAGGTAGTCGCCGTGCCAGACGCCTAAATTCGGACACGACCTGAATAGTTTCCCTGTGGACCTTGCGTAAGCTTATATGGGGCAAAGGGATGCCCTAAAGCATGTTTGATGGCCTCAATATCTATCTCTTGGGACATTTTGGAGTGAAGTGAAGCGGGAGGGATGACACTGCGTAGATCTGGTAAAAATGGAGGTCGGTGGTGAACGGTAAAGTTTTCAGTCTCTTTCATGCTTCCCCTATGGTCGCAGCGATTGCGAGGGTGGCCGGTGTTCGAATCAGTTTGTCTGTATCGCATTCCGTAAAGAACATTCTGAAAGTTAGCACCAACTTTGAGCTGAAAAGGGCGATCGGCGGCGTGCCGATTGCCTCATCATGTCTATTCGTAGGTAGTATCATCATTGAAGTGGTAATGACGGGCTCTAGTCTCAGTTCGCGCTCGATATACTGAGTTGAACTAGATTGGGTAGGGAGCGAATATGGTCCGGTCGCTGGGGTTATACGCACCGTGTTTACACTATTCACTCACTCAAACGCCCGCCTCGACCTCAAGTGCCGACAACAATCTTTTCGCAGGACCTTAACCTCGACTAGAAATGTGCATTGCTAAGGAAAGCAACCAGCATGGACTCATCACCTCTCACTCTACGCGCGTATACTCCGGCTCCTACTCCAGCGTCTGAAGACGACGACAAACTCCCACAACACACAAAACCCTCGCGCATCAAAGTCCTCGAGCTCCCCGAAAGACAACGCAAGCGCGCCGAATCCGCTGCCTCCTGCGCCGCTGTACATTTCGAAGATAACCATATCCGCGCGGCCTTCTTACACATATCAAAAGTCCGCGACGAATCTCACATCCGCGCCAAATGCGGCGACCGCACAGGATGGGCCGCTCTGCAAGTCGAAAAGCGCCAGCAGCGCGAGACTATGCCCGCCGAAGCGCGCGCAAACAGACTATCGCGTCCGCAACCTCGCCTAGCTGTGAGCGCGCCCGTCATGGCTAAGAATGGGTTATCGCGACCTCTGCCTGCGAGTCCAGTGGGGAACGCGTGGTCCGGGGAGCATTACTGGAAACCGCAATTCTGTGAGTCGGGGCCTGGAAGCCCGGGCTCGGATGAAGCCGGGTGCGCGCACAGTGACGCAGCGCGTCAAAGAGTGTACGATTCAGTGGTCGCGGACGTAGAGACGTGCGTGACTGACTTGAAGGCTGAAATTGCGCAGAGTGGTGAGCAGATGACGGATGCAGAAGTTGAAGTCATGGCCGCCATGACGGTTCTTGAAGAGAAGAACGCCATCTATGCAATTGAAGACGAGATGCCTGTACCGAAAGATGTTACCTCAATAACAAAAGACCTCGCCGACGACCAGAAACAAGCTCTTGACCAAAACCTGATTCGCTGTGAATCCGACTTTTGCGAATCAAATTGGCTCCAGTTCGCACAGAACTCATTGCAGCCTACGACAACCCTCGAATATGTGCGTGCAAGCCTTTATATGATCAAGAAGCGGAGGAGGAGCGCAGGGCTGGAGCCTTCGGAGCCAGCACACGGCCTCGTGCATGCTGTGCAGATCCTGGAAGAGAAGACAAGGAAGCTGAAGGCGCGAGACAGCTATGAAGAAAGCAGCGATGATGATATGGTGGAATATGGAAAGTTTCTTAAAAGCATAGCCGAAGTTCTTCCCAAGCAGGGAGAGAAGCGTAGTAGTATCAGGAGGGATGTTTCAGAAAGCGGGCTTGGGAGGAGGAGACTGAGGGGGAAAGCTCCTAGTACGCTCGACTTGGAGACATGGGCATCGGAACTGAAAGAACTCGAAGAGAAGGGTGGGGTCAATGAGTCTAGTAACGAGGATTTGAGCTGCTAAACCTGTCAATATGATCGTCGATGTTGGGACGATAGAAGTGGTACAAGGATGTACCACCAGTGCATAATTACCGACTATGCCTTCTTCTCAAAAAGCAGATGCGTGACACCCCATGTGTCGCCGCCTTCCCACTTGAATAATTCTGCACACGCCATGTAGAAAATTTGCCACCTGTTCCACCATGTGATTACGTCTTTCTCGCCGTACGTTTCCACGAGAGCGGGCCAGATGCTATCTTTGTTGCGAAGCATGGTCTTGAGCCAGTCTTCGCAGGTTTGCGCATAGTGTTGCCCATTTACCCACCATTGTCGTTGTACTGAGAGACTGGATTGGAAGTATAGTAGGAGATCAGCCGAGGGCATAGTCCCTGTAGGAAGTTAGAATTCATATGAATCGAAATCGAAGTTGTTAAACATACCACCCGTGAAGAAAAACTCGCTCATCCACCCACCCTCAAAGTCATACGGCGTATCTTTGTGACAAAAGATGTGAAGAAACAGCTTCCCGCCTGGCTTTAATGCTCTCGACACCTTCTCCAGAAGCAACTGGTAATTCTTCATGTGCTCAAACATCTCAATGGAGACCACGCGATCGAAACTCTCGGCTTCGAACTCGTAGTGGGCAGCATCCCCAGTAATTACAGTAAGATTAGTGAAGCTTCTCGATCTAGCCACGCCGTCAATGTACTCCTTTTGGGTTCGCGAGTTGGAGAATGCGGTGATCTGAGAGTTAGGAAAACGCTCTGCGAAAAAGAGGGAAGCAGAACCCCAGCCGCATCTGTAACGCCTTTGTCAGCGATGATTTTCCGCAATCCTAGCTTTTTGGTCCTACTGCTTCCGTCACGTGCCGCCTTGCTGACGGGAGCTCCTTCTGTGTTTCAAAGCATCGGACAGAGATTCTGGGATGAAATCTCCTTGAGCGCCAACAGCGCCCACTGACTCCAAACAAGGTACGCGACATCCGAATTTTGTCGTCACTCTCAAAGAAAATCGCACTCACCCCAGATCCAAAATCCTCATGCCATCCTTCAACTCTGCCCTCTCCACATAAACATCCAACATCTTGACCTCCGCCTCACTCAAGGTCTCATCCCCCTTCTCGTACAAACACGCACTGTACTTCATCTTCGGGCCCAGCATACCTTGCAACACACCCGTTCCCACCTCGTAATGCTGCTCATTCGCCTTCTTCGTTTCAATTGCAATGGGCCTTTCCCGGAGCAGCTTCACGTAGCGCATCTTAGATTCGTAAGCTTCGGATAAAGATTGGGTCGCGATTTCCTGCAGGCGTTGGGACAATTGACGACGGATACCGAGCCGTATCAGAGAATGTGGGAGATAGCCGCCATCGAGGATGGGGTTGATGAGGGAATCGGACATCAAATATTCGGAGAGGGCGTTCATGGTGGGCGACTAGACTGCTCCTTGAGGCACGATGTCAATTACCTGAGGTGGGTTGGTTCACCAGGTTGGACAGGGAGAGAGGGACGGGAAGGTGCTTGTGTAGCTTTGTATCGTGACTTTAAGACCATGTTATTGAGAAGATTGGTGTTTCAAAGACGAGGCTTGAAACGGTTAGTGCACGAGTAGTGTGACGTCAACGACTCGTGCAAATAGGAAATCGCGTTGCGAGAGCGTGCAAAGAACGTGGGAGACGACAAGGTCAAGGAGTCAATAACTCCAGTAGAGAGTCTGGAAATGGTTGTGGGCTAGGCACCCGTGTTGGGCAAAGCCAGCATGGGTGTTGCTGAATAAATACAAGGGATGGTAAGGTCAGGAGTCACAATCAAGCTTACCATTGACTTTTTCACGAGGCAAGAAGCTGATATTTGCATTTGCCTATCTTGAGGACTCGAAGGCTTGTTTTTGATGCAGGTCTGCGTTGTGCGCCATCCTTAGCGGAAGCTTAACCATATCGTAGCCCTTAATCGAGCCACAGAACACCATCCGCTACCCCATGAGTAACATACCAAAACATCATTGAATTACTCAGAACCACCATGATTCGACGGAAGCCTCTCCTCACGAAGTAGAGATACAATGAGATAGGTTGATCTCAAGCAACAGAAGCCCAGCGCGGCCACGTTCTATGACCAGTCCTCTTGCTCTGCTTCAGCCGCCATTAATTCAGGTCGACACGTACAGCCAGGGAGCTTCAGATGAACGACCCCAGACTGCGTCACCTTCACGAGCCAATCTGCCCAACCAATTTCAAGGTTGACCGTTCCCTTGACTTCCCCCATCTCTAGGCGCGTCTCCTTCTGCTCTAGCAAGTATTTGCGGAGCTGAATTGCAGCATCGACGGGCTTCGGCGCCACCACTTTCTTCCTACTCGCCTTCGCTACCTGCTTTGCGGTCGCAATTTTGGCATTGACCATGCGCTCCAGACGAGACATCATGGTGTCGCAAATGCCGGCGGAATCGGGTCGCAACTTAAGCAGCTTTCCCGCGAAATACTCCGCTTCATAGATGTCTTTGATGTTTGCCGCCGCAGAGCAGGGCTTCGTAGATGGAGATGTGAACGATGAGTCACCGTTGGCGCGGCAGACAAGCACATCATCGAACGAGGAGTTGGGTTCAATGATCTCGGAGACGGAGAAAGAGGATTGACTCAATGACGGGATCTCATCTGTATCGAACACATCCTGCGGACTGCCCACAACAGTCCTCGAATCGTCATCATCCTCTTGCTTGGTAAGGTTGTTCTGTGGAGGCCCGAATAGGCTCACCGCATAGATTGGCCGCTTGCTAGAATCGAGGACGTTGCGACTAGTCGGTGCTGCTGTCTGCACTAATTCGAAGCTGCTGTTGGGTGTGAAATTGACGTCCGGATCGTATCCGAAGCCACCGCGAGGATCACGCGTCGTGACGATCTTGTTGGAATGAACGTCCACCAGATTGATCGGTCCGAGGCCGGAATAGCTGATGGGACGTTTTACGACGGTTTTCACGGAGCTGAAGCTGTTAAAGCTACTTTCGGGCGTGAAGTTGATGTCCTGGTCGTACCCAAAACCACCACGAGGATCGCGTGTCGTGGCGATTCGGCCGGTGCGAGCATCCATTAGATTTATCGGACCCTCAAACTCCGTCTGCACCGGCGCCACGGTTTCTTCCAATTCAGGCGGAGGCGTGCTCCGGGTCAAGTTGAGTGAAAGCGGCTTGTTCGATGGCTTATTCACGTTCGCCACAATCTCGATGTCTCCAACACCCGCATCGTCAAATACACGTGATCGCTTCTTGAACCTGTTTTCAGGAGCCAGATTAGATAGTGAGAACGGAAGACGAAGGCCACGATCGTGGTGCCCCACATGGGAGTGCATCTCTGGAAGGGACGAGGAGAGAGGCAGCAGAGGTGGTGACGAGGGAAGTGACGCTGATACGAATGATGTGAAAGCGGATCGAGGGATCTTAACGCGAGGCGCTTCTATGTCGTCTTGGGTGTGTACTGCGCGCTTCTTTGACGCAGAATGACTTGAGGTAAAGGAAGACATTGTTCAATTTTGGTGTTTTGAGTAGTGGAAGGTGGAAGGTGGAAGGTGAATGTGAGTGTGAGTGTTGAAGAGTCTTCGAACAATAGAATATTTGCTGGCTTCTCAAAGATATGCCGCTGTTCTGGGGGCAGAGCGGTTTAAGATTGGGAAAGAAGCAGCGTGCCTTTTGAAGACAGGGTGAGTTCGCGCTGTATGATATTCTTAGCGAGGGGGTGTTGAGAATTGTGAAAGTTAAATGTCTTTTCAATGAACTAACCTTGCTGGTGATCATCAACTCCAAGCGGGGGTGGTTTAAGGCGGGATTAGAAGTGCTCAGGATCTTGTAAAATTGGTAGGCGAAACACCTGTCTCAGTTCTCCCAATGTCGAGTCTCGTGGCCTTATTGATGGTGAAAATCTTGATATGGTCCTCGCTTTTCTCCGAAAGGTGCAAATTTGAGAGTGGTTCATGCGAATGGAAACCGTGGCCGAAGCAGCAGTGGACAGATGTGGCGTGTTGGTGAAAGGATCCACTGTTGTGCACCGAGCGTCGCATTTTGTATACACATCACGACGCGACAATAACGCGGTAGACTAGCGGCGCGTCTACCTAACTCGAGACTTGTGAAACACGCGCCAGGTGGCAACGGCGCTAAAGTGCTAATATCTTACTCTCTTTTAAAAGTTGCAAGTGCCAGCCAGTATTGTTGTAATCGCAGTGATCAGCAAACGCGTTGTAGGTCGATTCCCCCTAGTTTATTTTATCCATGGAGCACATGACGTGCAGTCTCGCGACTCAGCGACAGTAATATGTACATAATAACTCGCGTTGAGCATTTGCATATTGGGGCAGCTCGATCTATACTGCGTGCGCAGACCTTTGTCACAGTACCGTACCGTGCGTAGCTGCACCGACTAGCACATAAGTGGATCGCTCACAAGCAAGGCTCCCAGTGATCTCGTGGAGGCTATGTTCGGTTTCGGATGACAAGGTATGCTTTATGGTCGTCCAAAGCGCCTGAAAGTGGTATCATGAAATCCTCCAAAGTTGTTTGTAACTCTTCTTTTACGATGTGTGCTTGCGACCAGTCATCTCTTTCACACTACAATTTTTTCCCATGCGCTAACAGTTCTACACCTGTCCTCACGACACCAATAGTCGCACCCGTCTGGATCGTCTCGCTTCCACCACCGCTAAGTCGATACTCGATATCCGCCAGACCTGACATCCAGGTTACCATCGTCTGAGGGGGTACGTCGTTCTTCACCAACTCCTCGCTCAATGCCGTCAGAATGTCCGCCAACGCAAGACCCTTTTGCGCCTTAATAGTGTTGATCGTCTTCAGACACTGTGTGATGTCGCCCGTTTCTAGCAGCATGTTGAGGATGTAGGTGACGTCAGTGGGGTGAGGTGCAGCTATGCAGTCGTAGATTGTAGTTTGAGTGATCTGGTCTCGCACAATGGTGTTTGGGTCCGGCGCTGGCCTGCCGGGTGGTTGTAGCGGTGTGCTCGATGCGTGGCACGCTTGTAGGACGTTTAGCGCACGTCGCATATCGCCCTTGCTTAGGGTTACAAGCGAGTCGGTTGCGTCCTGTGTGATGTTGACTTTCTCTTCTTCAATGACTTTGTCTACCAAACTCCGGATATCGCCCTCTTTTAGCGGTGAGAATCGGAACCGCGTGCATCGCGAGAGTAGCGCTGGTGACAGCTTGTGCGTGTAGTTTGCAATGATGCAGAATCGGGTGTTCGCTGTGTACTTCTCCATAATTCGTCGTAGTGCCATTTGTGCCGTAGCTGTCATAGCGTCGGCCTCATCCAGGATGATCAGCTTGAACGTTGCGAGTGAGGAAGCCTCGCCTGCTTTGGGTGCAGCAGCAAAAATTTGCTTCGTGCTACTGAAGGTCTTTATCTGCTCGCGGACCACGTCGATACCTCTGTCATCGGAAGCGTTCAGTTCAAGCACCATTTGCCGCATGTTTCTGGCGCCGTATATCCGCCGTGCGAGAGCGAGGACAGTCGATGTTTTGCCGGTACCAGGAGGGCCATAGAGAAGGAGATGCGGTAGTCGCTGGGTATGTCAGACTGTGATTTTGTTCCCAGTGTACTGATCTCTCTACATTTGAGTCTACAAACTTGTTGATCGTAGCTATGATGTCTTTGTGGCCTTCGACGTCGTCCAACGAATGTGGTCGGTACTTCTCTACCCTCAACCCAGTCAGTACGTATTCAGCGTATGATATTGCTCATCTTACCAAGGCAAAGAATCTTCGGCCTCCACCGGGAGGTTTGCAGCGCTCCTCTTTCCCTTCTTCGTGTCTCCACCGAACTGAATCGATGTGTCTGCGGCAGGCGCATCAACGTCCATGTCGTCCTCGTAATCAGACATGTTGGCCAAACTGGTGTAGTGAGGAGTTCTGGAGAATTTGAAAGACTCTAATAGATTTGGAAGACGGTGGTACGCGAGAAGATGAGGTTCAAAACGAAAGTGCGGGCGGGAGACGCGTCGCGCATCGGACGTGTCAATTGAGCCAGATGGGCGCACAGACCAGGCGCCGACATCCCACCTGGAAGCTACGACTGCACCGCCGTCACCTCCGCCCGCCGAAATCCCCAAGCTTCCCCAGAAACACCACAACAATATCTTGTAGAGCGGGCGCTCACATATCCAACATGCCTGTTAGTAACACACTTTGCTACCTCTTTTTGCGCTATTCTTCATCACAATCGCATACTGACCCTCCTCCAGGCCTACCACTCCGTCTTCCTCGATGAGCCAAACCAGCAGCTGATCGGTACCTTAACCACTTGGCCATATCTACACGCACCCTCTTACCCTTAGTACTAGGCAATTTCGCTCTCCTTCCTCTTCGCACACGCACGCGCGGTCCCGCGATCCAGCTCCCTGCCCTCCCCGCCGATGTCTCCGATCTTACAATTGAGGCCAACCACGAGTCTTACGACCCCCTCGATGAAGTGCTTAGCCTCTTCCGCGCTAACACGTTCTTCCGCAACTTCGAGATCAAGGGCCCTGCGGACCGAGTTATGATCTATGGCATCCTGTTTGTGAGTGAGGTTTTGAGCAAGGTGAAGCCAGGGATGGGCAGGAGGGATGCTGAGAAGGCTGTCATGAACATCGCGCTCGACACAAATTTCTCCATACCCGGAGATGCAGGGTTTCCTCTGAATCAGGCCTTCGAAGCGCCTTCGGATAGGAACCAGGCTGAGGTGCTGAGGCAGTACATTATGCAGATGCGACAAGAGCTGGCGACGAGGTTGTTGAACAGGTTATATGCCGATGGTGCGCAGGTTCCCAGCAAGTGGTGGCTGAGCTTTACGAAGAGGAAGTTCATGGGGAAGGCGTTGTAGAGGCGGCGTGGGGCAGATGAGAATCATGAAATGAAAACCAAATTTCTGGAAGATTGAAAGCAATAGATATTGAAATGTTTGCTATCAAGGTGTTCTGATCAAGCAACCATTGATCTGATGGCATTGCTTCAATCGTTCGAAAACAATTCGAAGCCTTCGGCCACAGATGGCTGTACATGCCACAAGTCCAACCAGCTATGCATGTAAATGCTCAACTTCATGCGGGTGTAGAGGTTTCCGCCCCAGTCTTCCTCTTCTTGCCGCCTCTCAGTCCCCTAGCCTCCACCTTCCCCTCAATCGGAAGCACCCTTGTCGCAGTAAACAAGAACCCATCTGCCCCACCTCTACTTGTCATAAAAGCGTGCGTCCTTCCAGGCAGCACCTGCCACTGTCTCGCTCTCGCAGTCTGCAATGAAGGAGCCAGCAGCAATGTCGGATTAACAGGGAAACTGTCTTCTTCATCCTCCCCCTCCATCCCATCTTTCTCCTCTTCTTCCAGCTTAATCTGCTTCCTCCTCTTCCCATTCTCATGCGCCTGCTGTCCGAATTGACTTGCGATGTACGCTGTCCGTCGTTCTTTGCTGTAGTAATCGCACAACTGCACCAATGGCTCTGCATTCGGACTATACACCACAACCTGCCCTCCGCCCTTGACAAGCGGCACGCACCCCTTCAACACACTTACGGGCTCCATACTACTCGCCACCACCAGTCCGTCAAACCCGCCCGCCCGCGTCTCGTCCACAACCCTTTTCGTGCGCTCCCACCTTCTTCTTTTTCGATAATAATTCCCCCGTTTCGAGCTCTTGAGCGTCGCGAGCGTCTCCTCGGGTATCACTTCGGGCTCAAGGTAGGTTGGGTCGTCGGCGGGGGAGAGGAGTTGCAGCCAGGAGAGGGATTTGAGGTGTGTGTAGAGGGGGTGCGAGGGAGTGGGGTCACCCGCATCGAAGCCGAAGTATTTGAGGTGGGAGAGGTTGGGTTGATTGTTGGGGTGGAGGACGGTGAGGGTGTTTGTGGAGGCGGAGGATTGGGGAATGTGTTGGCGGGGTTTTCGGGGTATGCGAAGCGGATCTGTTGATGTTCCGTCTGGTGCAGTTGCTGTTACGTCTGTTGTGGCGTTGGGCATGGGGGTATCTTCTGTCGCTGGTGTCGGGGCCGCTCCTGATACGGTTGTTGCTGGCGTGTTGTTGTCGTTCTGTTCAGGCTGCGGGTTGTCATCTTCTTCTTCGAAATCTTCGAAATCTGACTCCTCTTCTTCAGCAGGTGGATACAATATTCCCATCCGTTCGGCAAGTGCTGCGGTCACCAGTCCACCAGTGTCATCTACTACCAGCCATCTGCCTCCACCGACTTGATTGGTGCCGTCCTCCGCTGTCATAACACGACTCGTCGCTCCACTGTGAACATTTGCCCAGCTGCAAATCAATCCCAAAGAGTCATCGCGCAGCTCCATAATTCTGTACGCCTCTTTCTCGGTCACGTACTCGGTAAGTAATGGAATATCGAGCGAGAGTACTGTGAACCTCTTGAGATACTTTCGCGATTTCCGAAGCGTGTATTTTGCAAGGGAAAATTTCGTCTTCTCTTCAATGCCCATATGCGACGCCATGATTTTCTCTATGATATCCTTCCCAGAGCCCGACCCCGCCTTCTTCAGCTCTTCGATTTCGTCCATGGACAACGTCTGCCGTGAAGGATCGTCGACGGTCAAGCGATTGTTGCGCATGATGACCTCACCGTCTTCGCCCACGATGTCGTATGCGACGCCGCCCTCCGCGGGCGCATCATCTTCCCTACTCTCAGCTGGCGTTACATGGTCGCTTCCCAAAGCTTCCGCGTGGAGTTCTGAGGCAGGTACGACTCGGAGCTTTGGTTGCGCTTTCGGGTCTTCTTGTTCGAGGAACTCGTATGTGAGGCGATACGGGCGACCGATGATCTGATTTGAATTGAAAGTCCCAAACTTTCCGAGATTGATGTTACTATATGCAATTAGTTACAGTCCCCAACAAACGCGAAAAGCAGGCCTCAGGTGCTCACTATGCTAGTCAACGTACGTATTGGGCGTGGTCTCCACGAGCTTGAGGATGCCCGAAGGCAGGCGCAAGGCGATGTGCGTATTCGGTCGTACGTGAGAATGCATTGCGCGGCCTTTGGTTTGTAGTGCGTCTCTCTTCACGGAGCCATGCGCACACTGTGATTTCGCAAGAAAATCCGAATTTGGATTGATGCGCGTATCTTAAAATACGGTCGTAGGTCAGAGCCAAAATAAATTCGAAGACTCAACTCAGGTACCGTCGGGGAAAATTGACCGGTTCGACGGCGATCTGCACTTTTCCCCCACACATTGTTTGCGCCACCTGCGCCTCAAAGCTGGGACCAAGCAGTCGTCATCGGGCGAACTGCAAACTCCCATACACCACCGCACCCGAGAGCCGCGTACGCTCTGCCTCGTATTCGCCTCCATTCGAGCCACAGCCAGTGTCTTGCGCTTTTATAGAGAGCTCATCCTAATCTACAACCTGAATTGTCTGCGATAGCACTTCATTACGCGTCAACTTGCCAACGAACGGGTGCCGGAGGCTGGAGCTCAGTACCCGCCTATCGTGCAAGAACACCACAACCCGCCATGGTGCTACGCAAGCAGGAAGACCTCGTCCCGCGCCCTCTGTCCCACGCGACGAACAACCCTCCCTATCCAACGACCCCGTCCGAAGAACGCGTACCCCAACTCCCCGCCCTCTCCACCGACCACCCCAATGTCTACTCACCGGACCTCAACAAATCGCCAGCATTCCAGCTGAAGCCTCTCGATGAGGCACAGAAGCGAATTAATGACGACGATGACGACTCTGTATACAGCGACAACGAGTGGGACCAGTCGGATGATGACACTCCCGACAACGACCTGCCTGACCCGCTGAAGATCGGTGGAGGAAAGCCGGTACCACCTCCAGCTACTGAAAAGAAGGATTCGCTTCCCGATGTATTGAAGGCAGGACCACCGAAGGGCATGCCGATCAAGAAACCGCTGGAAAAGATCTCGCCGGAGCCTACGGGTGCTACTTCGTCGTCGTACGCAAGCAACGCTTCCGGAGGCTCAATACCGTTACAGACCAACAACCCATACCTCAAGATGCAGCAAACAGGCCAGAGCAACTTCGGCGTGGAGAGCAGTTCACAGATCTGGGGTGACGCTCCAGCGCAAGCTCAGCAATACGCCGTGGAGCTACCTTCTTTCCAGACACCTTCTACCCCGACGAACCATATGGCGAACCTTAACCTAACCGGCAACAACTCGCCACCTGTTGTACAACAAGGTTTTAAACCACCGACTCCACCCCCTGCGATCGCGGTGCAATCACCAAGCACGGCTGGTGGACCCTTCAATCAAGATTCGAATGGACCTTCACATCATACTCCAGGCCTCGATAGTACCTCATTAGATGCGTTCGAGCGAAGCTATGGACAACAACAGACCGAGCATGCTCGAATCGTTCCTCAGCCTGCGCCCGCACCCGCGCAACAGCACCCGTGGGACGCACCACAAGAATCTGCGGCCGCTAGAGAAGCTAGGGAAGAGCAGGACCGCCAGGATAATAACAACTTTGCAAGCACGATACAACCACCAGAACGTCCTCCGCCCGCAGCACCGTCTCCGTTCGATGAAGAACTAGCGCCCGCACTACCACCGCGGAGATCTCAGGAAGAACAGCCGCCACCCATGCCACAGCGACCACAGCAAGAACAGCCACCGCCTATGCCGCTTCGTCCACTGGAGACAGGTGTTATTCCAACCGCAGGCACCGTGCCCGAATCACCAAATACAGTGATGAATAGACAACGAAAAGAGACGTATCAAATCAAGCACATCCGATGGCATGACGTTATCAAGCGTGGCATCAGGACGTCACCGATCCTGACGCAGAACATTAATGGCCCCTGTCCCCTACTCGCATTGGTCAACGCTCTCGTTCTCTCGACACCGGCTGATGTGGAAACTGCTCTTGTCGAGACACTGCGAACGCGGGAGCAGGTTAGCCTTGGTTTGCTTCTTGACGCGGTATTCGATGAACTCATGTCTGGTCGCAGGGGTGACGCTGCTCAGGAGCTTCCGGACGTAAGCGATCTGTACAAGTTCCTTCTCGCTCTGCATACCGGGTTGAATGTCAACCCCATGTTTGTTCAGGACCCAGACGCAACAGACGGCACTACGATACTCACTGCACTCGCTGCGCGACCTGGCGGATTTGAGAACACGCGGGACATGAAGCTTTATAGAACTTTTAACCTGCCACTTATGCATGGGTGGCTTCCCGATCCTGGGTCAGACGCATATCGTGCTTTTGATCGCATAGCTAAGACCTACGAGACATCGCAATATGTACAGTTCCAGGAAGAAGAGCTAGACGCAAAGCTGCAGAGTGGTGAACCTTTGTCTACCGATGAGCAGCAGATGTTCACTGACATCCATGCAATCAAGGAGTTCCTCAATCTGTGGCCAACGCAGCTAACCACGTATGGGCTGAAGACTATGCGCGAGACTCTTCAAACCGGCCAAGTGGCTATTCTCTTCCGCAACGATCATTTCTCGACTCTGTACAAAGATCCCCGGACAGATAACCTGGTGACGCTTGTGACGGATCAGGGATACTCGACCCACGATGAAATCGTCTGGGAATCTCTCGTAGACGTGAATGGTCAAGGGAGCGAACTTTTTTCTGGTGATTTTCGCCCTGTGGGTAATAGCATTTCGCCACAGCGATCACAGACGCAGCCGCCTGTACAGAGCATGCTAAATGTAGGAGATGATGAAGGCTGGACCACTGTACAACGCCGCGGCAACCATGGCACCTCCTTATCAGGCCTAGCTCCACCCGAGAACGCTGCACCCCTTTCTCCCACTTCAGATACAAGCAGGGTAGAGCAAGAAGATCACGACCTCGCATTGGCACTGCAACTCCAGGAAGAGGAAGACGACCGCCATCGCCGATCGCAAGAAGAGCGTCGTCGCAGAGAGAACCAGCTCTCGGAAGATGCTATCACGGCACAGTCTCAACAGCGTTCGCCGAACCGACGCACGTCTCGCCCGGGTGAAACACCGCCCGTCATTCCGCCTCGTCGCAACAATGTTCAGACCCATCGTCCGGCCAACGAGCCCGTTCCGCCACCAACGTATGAAGAAGCAGCAACAGCACCAACTTACCACCCACCGCAAGGCCACCCAGCAAATCCGAGCGCTCCACTCCGATCTCAGGGCAGCGCTTAGCAAGCCAATGCCCCGGCGGCACCCCTGATTAATCAGATTCCGCAACACGGAAGGAGGAATTCCAGGCCGACTATGCAGCATCCGGGTCGACCTGGCCGGCGGCAGAGCGGCGTGGTGGGACCTGGTCAAGAAGATAGGGATAAGTGCGTAGTCATGTAGACGCGTACTGTTTCGATCTCCGAGTTATGTGTACTGACTCTTTTTGTCTATCTAGGGGTGGCCCGATGTGCGATCAGTTCTGTACTGTGTCTTAGCAGGTCGCGAGTATGTGTTATGGTATGATGACGCCGCGTTTGAAAGGATACCCCGTCTATTGCATTTTGGAGGACATGGTAGAACGAGTGTGCTGGGAAGGATAGGTATGGGCGCATTTAGCGTGAATGCATAGCCATGATGTAATATTGTTCAAGCATCTCTATTTCTAATCCTGTCAGTACGACCCACAACCGACCAAGCTCCTCTTATAAGGTGACTCTAGCACAGTAATCGGCTTGCTTACGTATTTACTCATGAGCTTGATATCATAGTACAAGTGGACACCAACAGAGCCAGGTTACTAACCTCAGGCAAATCTCTCGATCAAAGGCTCAGGGTTGGGAACCTCAAGGTCATAATGGGTGGATTGTTAGAGATGTATGATCTTTGGTTTGATCCCCTTTTGCCCGAGGTACCGCAACTCTTCATCTTGCCTCAGCAGTGTCATTACGCGAGAAGTGGACCAAGGTTGCAACCCAGAGTACCAATGAATTTCTTTTACTTGTCCTTCCAGTGCTTGACCTCACAACGCGATTCACAACGCGATTCACAACGCGCACCTTTCTCACGTTTGCAGCACCATGACGGACCAAGCAGAGGACGTCAAAGAGAAGAAGCGCCATGAAATCGGTTGCGAATGCCTTTCCGCCACATCCATTCGCGTACGTAGCTTGGTCAGAAGTACCAGAAATAAGCAAACAACGATCGACGTCGGTCGCTGGCACCGTTTAAGCACTATGGTATGAACAAGACATGTGAGAAAATTGTATCCTCACCTCGTCTGGCAAAGTGACTGAAGCAGAGAACATCAAGCACTGATGGAACAAGGCGCAAAATCTTCACGACGACATTATCGTAAGATATTGAAAGGGTTACCATAATTCAGGGATCGAGAGATCAATTTGTGAAACGATTTACCTCATTTCAACCAAAGCGAAAGGTCTTCTAACCCCTGGATCTCCACAAAAGACCTGTTCCTCAACCTTTCCTGAGAATCCTCTTTGCACTCTTTGATTCCGTGTCGCTCTGCGTGGAAATTAGCCGATTACTTATTTGGCCGGCATTGTTCTCACCGCTCTCCGTTTGTTCCGTTTTCGCATTACCAGGGTGGACCATCGTACCTTTCTGGTGTCAAATGCCGCTTGTTATGGTATTTAGGCGTTGTGTATGCCTCCCAGCACCACCAGTCTTCTTGCGAAGAACCTGGCCACCAGTATGCATGGGCAACAGGATCTGATTTCGAACATGTGTCACTGTTCATCGAAGAGCCTGGATCTGTTGAGTGTATGATGTAACTTGAGAGTTTCAGAGATTAGTTTAGGGCTATGGATTTGGTCTGGCTAGGATTATTCGAAGAGAAAAGATGTTGTGAGTAACATTCATCTATATGTGATATCTTCCGGGAAATTTTTCACGTACGCAAATGATCATGTATTCTTCTGTATGGACAATCTTGGAGTGATTGTGTAGTAAGTGAGTGCTCCAACCCGTATTGATATGCTTTTGCTTCAGGTTTTGTCACTCGAAATTGTTGACTGATAGTATGTGTCTCCTTGAAATACGTGGAAACATCATATACAATACACAATCCTTCAAGGGAGACTTTTCTGGTGTACGAGCCATCACAGCCGATCCGATTACATCAAGCTCTTTAGGGCGTTGTTGTCGGATGAAGTGTCAAACGCGTGAATATCGTACGCGTGGCGGAGCTTAACATTAAAGAATATCACCGAAGATATTGCCAAGTAAGACGCCTGGCATCGAGAAAGCTTTAACTTATATTAATGAGGAACAGCATCGCGCCAGACTCGCTGTAGAAATGGATCCTGGAGCCTGTCCATGATTTGGACCTCATTGAGGAGCACGGCGCATGTCTATTTGAGTCGCTCATTGGGGCGGGGATAAGATCGTCGTACAATACGATGATGCAGTGTACGATCAACATGATGGGGCATCATGAGTAGTAGCGCAAAGTGCAGGAAGAAGTAGACCAGGTAGTCGGGAAAGATGGAATGCTCAGCTTCGAAGATCTGTCGAGCTTACTAACGGTGAGAGCGGTGATGAAGAAAAGAATCCACCACCGATAGTAATACCGCTTTTACGCTCCTTGATCATGTCGTACACTTTCTCCTTCTCTCCGTTAGGCCTCGTGTCAAGTACATCCCACAGAAACCAAAGTGTGGTTGAAGCCAAATATACTGAGCATGACACCGATCATGCTGATTAAATTTAGAAAGGAGACGCTGTTTCGACATAACCTGTCACTGCGAAGGATATGATCAGCCGTACGAATTTGTAATAAAGCTCACTGTTTCCTAGCTTTAGTATCTTGATGCGAGAGAAAATCTATCTCATATATGTGACTCTTCAATTCAGAAAGACGTCAGTTGCTACGACAATGGGGAGTAGTGCAGTATGGGAAGCTTTTAGAGTAATTTGATACATAGTTAGGCCCCTAAGATACCGCATTTCCGTTGCTAAACGCATTGTCATCTGCAGTTGGCGGGTGCAAGTAACATCATGACACCAGAAGGCTCCCAATAGACCGCACGTTTTCGTATGCGTGCCTATGGGACGCAGGCTCTGAGTAGAGCATCTAAAAGATGAAGAGAATGACAATGCTGAGAAGCGGTCTGTTACAGCTGTAATTGAAAACTCAACAGATGAAACAGTAACGCCGAGAACCTGGGTATCTTATGTGGGGGAGAATGGAAATGCCAGAACGCCGCTGAAACCCATGTTTATCTGGGAACACAATCGTCAATCTTTAGCATCAACACCGAAGTCGTCTTGCACCTCCACAATCCTCACGCCACGCTGATCTGCGATGAGACCCATCAAACCCTGGCCAACGTCCTTCATCTCATTGTACTCATGCAAGAGCTTGATATGCTTTTTGTTGATTTTATGCGCGGCAGCCATGACATCACTGTCGGTGGGTTCTGAATTGGATGATTGAGAGCTCGTATGCAGAGACTCGGTACTTGCGATGAGGTCTCGAATGACAGGCAAAGCAGCAAGGGATGAGATGAGAGCAGCTCGCTTTGCCCTCAATTCCTCGAGAGTGATTTCTTGTGCGCTCTTCGCTATGATTGGTTGCGTGTCTTCGGTGATCGAGGCTGCGAATGAAGAAGTTTGCGTAATTGAGTCCAGACTGTATCCTGGAATTGATTCCGCACGAGAAGTTTCAGCTACCATCGAAGGGTCAGGCCTCCTTCCCACTCCCATACTCTCGTTCCCTTTCCGATCTCTCAACTGTGTCTCGGCAACATCTTGAGTTTCACTTAATTCATGCAGAATGGCACTTGCCTCTTCGAGTGGTGCATCGACTGTTGACAAGCTCGCGTTCAAATGAGTGTTATTCGGAGCTTCACTGACTTTTGCGTCGAGTTGGTGAGCCGATTGGATCGTCGAATCCAGGGCCGGTGCAAGATCCGCAGTAACTTCGTTATCTTCTCCAATGCTTCCAACCTGCTGCTGCTTACGTTTTAGAGGCAGCTGAACGACATCCATAGACACGTCAGGATCGGGGTGCTCCATAGTGACGTTACGGATGAAAATGCTTGGATCCTTTGTGGGTGATATTATTGGCTGGATGTTTTCCTCTTCTTTGGCTGATCTGGGCATCTGCGGCATTTCGGTGTGTTCCGAGTCTTTGTACGGTACCCTCCTTGTGATAGGAAAAGCTCTTTCTGTGGTGGTCGATCGCTTAAGAAGGCGCTCATTCGCAGAACTCGAAATATCACCCGGAGTGAGGCTAGGTGGCAACGAACAGCCGCGGAAATCAACATCGTAAGGGTCAGTGCTGTCCCTCTGGGCGTTTTCTCCGGCACGTGGACTAGACTGAGATCTCTCAGCTTGATGATCCTGTAGAAGGGGCTCTCCTTCCAAATGCAGCAGGCCTGCCTCGCCATGCTCTGCGAGCTTTATAGTCGGCAGGCCACCTTCTAGTGTTGAGACTGTATGCGCGGCTTCAAGTGATGCAGATTCGACGGTGTTTTTCATACTAGATAAGACAGACGGTTCATCGTCGTTCAATAGCTGAGTGTCAGCGGCAAGGGTATGTTGGTTGGCATAACTTGCATCCGATGTTGCGTTCGATGTTTCGACAGTGGGATGGAAGTTGCTCTCCTCAGTCTCGGTAATCGGCCCCTTCACGTTGCCGCCAGATGCTGGTTCTGGTGATTTTGAGATCTGCAGGGAAGACAGATCGGTGGGCACACTTGAATGCCAGTTAGAAGAGCCGCATGTGTCAGTAAGCGAAGGGCCGTGTTGGTGAGGAAGGTTGAGATCAGTGGTGTTCTCTTGAAGCGCGTCACACTGGGGGTTAGTTCTTGCAATGTTTTCATTTGATTGAGTGTCGCTCAACGCGACTGGCTGTTCATCGTGCTCTGCAACTTTGTATGCATGGCTATCTTCGGTCCGATTGACAGAGCTGCCCGCTCGCGCTGGAGCGTCCTGCGGCGGCTCGCCAACTGTCCCATCGAGTTGGCTAACGGCACTGTTCAGCGGCGCCTCAGGCGAAGAGGTGAACGGCTCGTCTTCGGAGTCAAGGACTTCGATTACGCGTTCCGTGCGTTCCGCGATGGCCATATCGCAGAGACTGACGCAAGACCACCGAAACCCCCACAAGGTTGAGGCGGGGATGGTGTTGACAGTCGGGCGCGATGGACGGTGTTGTAGCTTGGCGCGCTCGGAAGTGGAAGGAAGCTAAGCAGCTTGACGTAAGCGGTACTAACGGCGCATGAATGGCCACCTCCTCCGTGGCATCCTTCAGTACAATGGCTTTCGCCGTCTTGTCACCGAGGGCCCCTTAGACTGAAACGCTCGCCGTTGGAGCGTCGCCATTCTCTCACCATCTACACGTGGTTGCGAGGCAGAAAGAGCCACAGCAAGAGGCGATCATGGAGCTGTCAACGCGCCTATTGAGTCGCGGCCTCGCGTTCGGAGCCCTGGTGCTCCTCAGTGGCACATCGACCGTAATCGCACACGAACACCACATGGATAACATACCAGAAGGATCAGCTATCTCCGACGACCCTATTGTGAGCTTCTAGTATACGGTGCAGTGGTGGCGCAAAGACTGATTGAGAGCAGGATAGCATACTATGGACTCACATTCTCGTACAGGCCGTAGCATGGGGGATACTGTTCCCCACCGGAATGGTGTTGGGAATAATACGCTCGAGATGGCACGTCCCTGTGCAGACGACCGGCTCCATCCTCGCCCTAATCGGTTACTTCTTGGGCCATAAGCACAAAGGCCGTCAGTTTGCACCAAACGCCCATGCCAAGTTCGTACCGACGCTTATGTTCACGCTTCTCGCTCAGGTCGTGATGGGAATATATCTGAAGCTTCATATTGAGAGAGGGATCCATGGAAAGATAAGGAAGGTGGTTGTAAAGGCACATGGATGGGTGGGAAAGCTTATGCCAGTTGTTAGCTGGGTCCAGTTCGTGTTGGGAGGCATCGCCTCGATGGGCTTCTGTCGCGCCGACCACACTGGCCAATGTCTGGCCCATTTTATCATGGGCAGCGCATTCATCGCATACGGCATCCTGCTCACTATCCTACTTCTGGTCGGACAGTTTTGGCTTCGGAGGAGTGGACGCAGTCAAGAGTTCTTTGATTCACTTGTCATTGCGGCGTGGGGTTGCGTCAACACCTTCACTGAGCATCGTTGGGGCTCCGCGTGGGTTGGAAACGATTTGCAGCACACCACGATGGGCATCATCTGGTGGTGTGCGGGCCTCGTGGGGATCTGGCTCAGCCGCACAAGGGACGGGAGACCGAAGAGGAACCTTATTCCTGGCATCGTCATCCTGCTGACCGGTTGGGGTATGTCTGCACACCCGCAGCATCTGCCCATTTCCAGTATGGTCCACGCCGTCTTCGGATACACGCTCATGGCCGCGGGGTTGGCGAGAATCATTGAGATCTCTTTCGTCCTCAAAGATCGGAGCACGCTCTCTGCCGATGGTACGGATCCAAATAGCTTCCAGTACCTTACTCCCTTTCTCCTTTTCGCTTCTGGGTTTCTCTTCATGGGGGCCACCGAGGAACAGATGCAGCTCCTTGCAGATGCTCATGTCACACATGTGTCTTACGTCTTCATTCTGTACAGTCTTGCGTTCCTCCTCTTCCTCTGTAAGTTGACCTCCCTATATCGCGCCCGCTTTTGGGGCGGATCCCATTGGACCACCTCGGCTGACTTGTCCCAGTTGTTAACATGCTGATACACCTCTACGCTGTTCACGCCTGGGGCCAGGACACTAAGCGTGACGCAGAGACTCCACGGGCGAATGGCGTCCCCAACGGCCATGCCCGAGCCGATCGAAGGGTCCGCGATGCGGAAGAGTTCGAACTAGAGGGTCTCATAACCGACGATGAAGACGCTGTACCCATCGAGGACAAGGAGCGGCAGCCCTTGACTTCGCTTTCTTAACCGCGTTTCATCAATATCTCCTAGTAGGGCATAGATTCGGGGTTTGGCGCTTGTTGCGTGCTTCATTAGGATACCAGGGTTCGGTCTCACACAGCATCACATTGTCATCATTATGACTTGATCTCATTTGGCTCAACATTTGTCATGTTCGTTTACCATGTAACCCACGAGTCGTGCCAAAACCATTCATGTTGCAGTCGTCCGGTCTGTTTCGCTCTCATGCCTAGCAATCACACTCTTGTCGTATGCAGGGCAGAATTCGTAGACGCACCAGGGCCCAGTTATTTTGGCGAAATTGACAAAAAACGGCATTCGGCCACGTCCCCAAGCGAGCGAGCGTCCTTTCAACGTGTTCCCCACACGTGCGGGCCTGACGTCACGGCGTTATTCCCGCGGACCCTCAACCTCCTCCGAAGGATGGATGTCTCTAGAAGGTCCTGCGTGGACTCGAATCCATCTTGGCGTTAGAGGCGTTCCTTACCCACCAGCTCTGAGCTCTTTTGGGGTGTCGACGAACCTCTGCGTTGCTGCCTCTGTCTTGCTGAAGCAGGCTGATGAACTCTGTACGACCCCCATGCGGCGCCTGCCAGTCAAAATGCAGGAGAACAGAGGGCATGGGCCGAGAACCTGAAAATATGTCTTATTGCAGGCGACAAGCGCAGCCGCCGCTTACGCTACTGGCTAGATCACGATGTCCAGACGCGGTGGCAGAATGAAAAACTGCAGCACCTCGGCAGTGAGCTCAAAAACCTGGCTCGCTGCCATGCGAAGGCTATGCGACTTTCTCTACAGCCCTGGTCAACTTGTATCCGCGCCCCGGGCGCGTAGGTAGAACAGGAACTGCTTGGTGCTTGATTCTGCCGGGCGCCTTCCCCACCATGGACGCGCCCTTCTCAGTGGATTCAGATCGCTCTCGCGTCCACCATCCTCAATCCTCTGCTGGCGATGGTCCGAATACCATACCTAGCCACGATAGCAATAACCTCGTACTCGACGTCTTCCGCTACACGCCCATTCCGACCTTTGTCTTGGACGCCAGTCTGCACGTGACCCACGTCTCGGACTCATACTGTTCTGTCTCAGGCGTTCCCAACCGCAAGCAGCTACTTGGCGCCCACGTCGACAAACTATACGCAAAGGTGACAGTTCCGTCGAATGCTGTGGTCCACCAAGGCATTCGCGCTGCTCAAGACACTGCCGCCCCATCCATCCTTGAGGAATCACTCAACGATAGGATCTGGACTTTGCGTACCGTACCCGTTTTCCGCGACGGAACGATCCAATGCTTCTTGATGGAGGTGCAAGACACCACTGTGGCCCACCAACGCCAGCTTGAATTGGAGGAGCGTCTCTACGCAAATGAAACGTTCAAGATCCTGGTGGATACCGTCAGAGATTACGCAATATTCATGCTTGATCCCCAAGGCAACGTCGCGACATGGAATGCAGGCGCTCAGGCTTTCAAAGGTTATTCCAAGAGCGACATTATTGGGAAGCATTTTTCCAGCTTCTACAGCCAAGAAGACCGCGACAACGACAAGCCGGGTAGAGAGCTTCGTGATGCGCTACGAGATGGGCGTTGTGAAGATGAAGGGTGGAGGATTCGCCAAGATGGGACGAGGTTTTGGTAAGTGCGTCACGATCCTCTATCTCCACAGCCTGTTTCGGGTCAGCATAATGTGCACGATTGTATCTCGTCTTACTTCATAGCTTTCAGACCTCAGTATGCCCGGCGATTTCTTTGGCGTAGAATTTGGTCTCCCTTCCGACCTATGACTTTTTCCCAAACTGACTCGTGAAGGGCCAATGTTGTAATCACCCCTCTATACAAGGACGACGTACACTTAGGGTTCAGCAAGGTCACACGAGATCTGAGCGAGCGCAAGAAAGCCGAGTCGAAGCTAATTGCGGCATACGAAGAGAGCTCAAAGTTGAAAAGCGAATTCTTGGCCAACATGAGTCACGAAATCCGTACGCCAATGCATGGTATGCTGTCTGCCTTGACATTGCTTCTAGACACCCAGTTGAACCCCGAGCAACTGGAGTTGGCGCGTGTAATAGAAGAGTCAGGGGATGTACTACTTCATGTTATCAACGACATTCTCGATTACAGCAAACTTGCTTCCGGCAGCTTCTCGATCAGTCGCGATATCATCAGCGCTCCAGAAGTCATCTTGTCAGTCTTCCGCGCGCATCAAAGGGTCAGTAAATCGGGGGTTTCTTTTGAGACGCTCATTGATCCTAGACTGCCGATCGCTGCGGAAGGCGACAGCTTTCGATTTCGGCAGATCGTTGAGAACCTCATATCGAACGCTTCCAAGTTCACGGAGCAGGGAAGCATACGAATACACGCTACACTGCAACATGAAGATGAAAATACTTATACCGTCTTGACAGAAGTCATAGATACGGGCATTGGCGTTCCTCTCATAGCGTCTGGCTCGCTATTTACACCATTTACTCAGTTTGACAATTCTGCCACGAAGCGATATAAGGGTACCGGCCTGGGCCTCAGCATCTGCAAAAGTTTGGCTGAGCTGATGGGTGGAGACATTGGTTTCCATCCCAACCCTGAAGGTAAAGGGAGCATTTTCTGGTAAGTTTTCCCAATCTCCTCAGACTTTAGGCATATGGCAGCAATTCGCCGTTTAAATTGGAATACATGTCCAGCGCCATGCCGCAAGTTGGGCACCGCTTGGTTCTCAGACATGCCTCACGTAGGGGCGGATAGTCGTCTACATATTTCACCTTCTGCTATCAAGTATATGTTCAATTGACCACTCATGCTACAGGTTCACCGCCAAATTGGCCAAATTGAAACGGGCCGAATATTTGAACCAACTAGAGATAGTCCAGAGAAAACTCGACAACCTTTCCTGTCCACCCTCGCCTACACCAGCTTTCGACAAGCTCAGGTTACTCGCGGATGGCCGGCGAGTGCTCCTTGCAGAAGACAACGCGATCAACAGGAAAGTCATGCTCAAAATGCTTGCCGGGTTGGGATTCAACCACGTCGATATTGCTACCGATGGTAACGAGGCGGTATCAATGGCGACCAAAACCACGCCCCCATACGACGTTATTCTTATGGACATCAATATGCCAGTTCTTGACGGTGTGCAGGCTACGAAGGCGATAAGAGGCGCTGGGTTGGACGTTCCGATCGTGGCAATGACGGCTAACGCGCTCAAGGGCCAGGCCGAAAGCTACATCGCGAAGGGCATGACTGGATATATCGCGAAGCCAGTGGATCGCAAGCTACTGGTCGATCTATTGCTAAGCTGTCTGGAGCGAGAAGATTAGGGTCATTCAGAACACAGCCTTTGCCACCCGCATTGGAATCCTGCAACGGCCAGGTCTCGGTCGTCTATGTCTTGAAGCTTAGAGGGGGCTTCACAGCTTCTCGCTTGCATGCGACAGTACTTCACGAAAAGGTCACCAGCAGTCGTTCACCACCGCTGCTCGTCCTCATACTCGTTCCACGCTTTATGTGAGTTTCTTATTCTCGTCGTTTAGCGCATCATCGTTTGCGGCGTTCGGCGAAATTACTGGCTCTTTTCGAGAATTTATTTCCATCATGCTACAAGCTATAAGTGATTGCGTCTCCTTCTTTGGTCCACTACTCTGCAATTGGTGAGACGCAATTCCATCACCATTCCGGTGCCGCTACGTCGTAGACGCCTGGGAGTCCTACTTTGACAGCCCCGAGAGCATGAATTTTGCCAGTATCGCGAACAAGCATGTTTGTTTCCAGCGGGCCAAATGCGGTGGCGGTCTAGGTATACTTTAGGATGCAGCGTTCATTCCCTTGGCATAACTCCACACTGAAGCGTGGTTTCTCAATGCTGCTCTCTACGTCCATCTTTTCGAGAAAAATCTTTCAATTCTCCAAGAGCGAAGCGTCGTCCCGAACGGGTGGTCGCACATCTGGAAATCTTCTTAGCATAGCGAGCTCATGTGTTGTTTATGACCAGGGCGACGGTGCTCATCGCTCTATGGAAGTATAACATTCTGCTTTCAATCCACAATCTTCTATGATTTGTATAACTGTTATTTCGCCTTCAAATCATACCCGATGCTCCATGTCTTTAGCATCAATGTGCGTAGAGCGTACGACAACATGAGTCCTCCAATTGGATCATCGGAAAGGTTGCTTGCGATCAGTGTTGTACGATATCATGATTTGATGTCCAAATTTTCATTGTTTATTTGACATTTTATTTGATCGCTTGTTCAGCTCATCTGTGCCATCCACCTTCGCTTTCGAATACCTTCCCAATCTCGGTACACACTCTTAGCAGGTATTGGTCGCGATACCGCCCAGCAACAACACTTAGACCGATAGGTAACCCGTTCTCCCCCTTGAAACCAGGTACATTGACAACAGGGGTATGCATCGCCGTCCAAGGACCACAGAACGCCGCGCTACCTGTATTCTCAAGCCCAACAGGCGCCTCGTCCAGTACGCTTGGGGCAATGATAGCCGCATATTTGGAAGCAAATGCATCAATTTTCGGTCGCATAGCTGCCAGTTCATCGAAGGCCTTCAATTGCTCCTGTCGTGTGTGCTTGTCTTTGTTCTCGACATGATCAATCAACGACTTGTGCATCTTGTCCTTGTTCTGATGATAGTCTGCTAGAAAGGCAACGCGGCCATCGCCGGACAGAACCTGCAGGTGATACTTGTACATGGGTCTGAACTCGTCTGGCAGCGTGATTTCCTCCACTTCGGCGCCACGAGCCCGCAACAGCTCAGCGCCTTTGTTCAATGCAGCGGCAGTTCCTGGACCGGGCTCAGGCCACTCGGGTGTAGGAAGTGTTAGAAGCGCGAATTTTGCGCCTTTGAGACTAAAGGGTTCCACGCTTTCGTCGTCGACGAGTTGAAATGCGTCAAGAAGTAACTTCATGTCTTCAACGCTCCGCGAGTACAGCCCCAATGTATCGAAGATAAGCGAATAGAGCTTCTGGCCTTCTCGTGATATCGAGTTCCACGTTGGCTTCATGGCGTAGATGCCGTTGAATGAACCTGGTCTAATTGTGCTGCCCACGGTCTGGGTGCCCAGGCCGATTGGAACTTGCAGGTCGCCAACTGCGGCACCGGAACCAGATGAGGAGCCTCCTGGTGTTCGCGAGGCATCATGGGCGTTAGTGGTTTTTGGGCCTTTGTGTGAGGGACCTACTACTGTAGCTGCGAATTCAGTAGTAGTAGTCTTGCCTGTCCGAGTTCATTAGCTATGCGGTCTATAATCTCGTGATGAGAAAGATGTCTCAGTGTGAAGTGAGCTCATGCCGACGATCTTGTTGAGAGTCAATTGCTTACCAAAAATCAGCGCTCCATTTGCTCTCAGTATTTGAATGCTAGCGGCATCGATCTTGGGTGCGTCATCCACGTAGATGGGAGAGTTGTACTGGGTTGGCATATCTCTGGTGAGGATTACGTCCTTGACGCCTATCGCTACGCCGTGCAGTGGTCCTCTCTGTTTGATTGGTATGGTATCAAGCTCACGAGCGCGCTCTAACACCAGACCTGGGCTGAGGAATGCCCATGCATTCACCGTAGAGTCGCGCGCCGCCACACGGTCAAGGAGGGATTTCGCATATTCCTCCACGGTCAAGCTGCCATCTTTGAATTTGGCTTGCGCTTGTGACGCTGTGAGGCGGAAGGGCTCCATTGTCGCTTTGATTGGGAGTTGACGGAACCGAGAATGGGCAGTGATGAGGACAAACTGTAGCACCAGGCTATGTGTCGGTAAGGTGTATACCACTTGCGTCAACTATGCCGCCCATGTGTACTACATCTTTGTCAGACGGCTGGGGGTTGTCGGAACACCATCGGAATAGATACCACTCGTCTTATCGATAAAAGTTGAGCCGATATGCCGACAAATTGTGGGGAAGGATGGGGCGGTTACGCTTTCCCCTAAACTCTTCGGCATCATCGCATCATCGCCTCGTATCGGAAGGAATCCTGCCGAAACTCACAATGGAATTTCTCCGCGTTGTGCGCTTCGAGAAATCGCAAATGCAAAGATGTGCATACCGCTCTCAGAGATCTCTAGTATCTTGAGACGATACATATCATAGGTATTGCTCACGTGCATTGCTACATTATCACCATGGACGCAACACCAGCAAGAGAAAGATCACCAGACGTGGATAAAGGGGCTTTTCGACGGGAACACGATGAGCCTCACTCTATAGAAAAAGAGGTTACACATAGAGAAGGACCTGAGTCAGTGGTTTCCTACTCAGAGAGTGATGCCAGCAGTATCCGAAGCATAGGCGGCCAGACGAATGCTCTATCGCCAAAACGACTATTGATCGCTATCCCGGCCTTGTCTGTTGCACTCTTCGTGTCATTCATCGACAGCACGAGCGTGTCCACGTCAATTCCAGCAATCTCAGCAGATCTCGATACTGGCACCGCAACATCTTGGATTGGAAGCTCTTTCCTGGTAGCATCCACCGCATTCCAGCTCATCAATGGACGTCTATCGGACATCTTTGGAAGAAAGAACTGCCTCTTATTATGCCTGGCACTGTTGGCTGTAGGGGATATTGGATGTGGTTTCTCGAGAAGTCAAGAGATGCTGTTCGCTTTTCGCTCTATAGCCGGTATCGGGGGAGGCGGCATCAACAGCCTCGCCATGATCATTGTCTCCGACATAGTGACTATTGAAGACCGTGGCAAATACCAAGGTAAATCGTTTCCCGTGGTCCTTGTTACGAGCTAACCAACGTTTAGGCATTTTTGGAGCTGTTATCGCCCTGGCAAATGGTACAGGGCCATTCGTAGGTGGAGCTTTGGTTGACTCTGTCTCGTGGCACTGGGTCTTCTGGATAGTGCCAATGCTCGCCGTACCAGCCGCGCTCCTGATTTTTTTCTTTCTGCCTCTTCAGTATGAAAAGGGGAATTATAAGGAGAAGGTTAAGAAAATCGACTATGGCGGCATCGTCCTCAATTTGGCCGCTGTTCTGCTCATCCTCATCCCGCTCTCCGGGGGAGGCGTCCAGTATCCTTGGAACTCACCACTTATCATTGCAATGCTCTCTGTGGGCGGATGTACGGCCATAGCGTTCGTATTGTATGAATGGAAGGTCGCCCAAGTTCCCATCATGCCAGTTCGACTCGTCAATTATCCGTACTGCTGGGCGCTCTATGTCCAGAACTTCTTTACCGGCATGTGCTTCTTCGGGAATTTCTTTTACCTACCGATATACTTCCAGTCGGTCTTAGGGCTTTCAGCTCTGGTGTCAGGTGCCCTGCTTTTACCACTCATTATGGCGACTTCCTTCACGGGCATTGTCAGTGGCCAAATCATGTCCAGGCGCGGACGATATTGGTGGATTTGTGTGTCGGGATTCGTCCTCTGGACACTGGGCACAGGCCTCAAATGTGCTTTTAATCGCTCCACGAAGATTTGGCATATTGTACTTGTGCTATTAGTCGAGGGAATGGGCATCGGAAACATCCTGCAGTCAACGCTTGTGGCCATTCTCGCAAACGGAAATAACTCTGACAGAGCTGTTGCTACTGGACTACGTAACTTCATACGTACCATCGGCGGAGCCTTTGGCCTAATCATTTCTGGAGCTATCCTCGCCAACACCTTGGATACACGGCTTTCGCATCTTCCGTTCATGACACCGGAAATACTTCGAAACCTCACTTCGTCAACTTATTCGCTGGACAAGCTGGGCTTTGATGGCAAGCAGATGGACCTCGTACTTGATACCTACATTGCTGGGATCCGGTATATATACATTCTATATACAGCTTCGGCAGCTACGAACCTATTTCTTTGTGCTTGGATTGGAAATACCAATTTGAGAGGGAAGCCCCCGACGGAAAACGATGTGGAAGTGAACGAGGAAAGCGCTCCTTCGATTCAGCAGGTGCAGGAAACGTCCAAAGAAGCTGAGGCCAACAAAGTCTAGTAGAGCTGTGAATTTCTGGGATGATAAAAGTTTGGCATGCAGGCGTTCTTGTTCGTATTATTTGAGGCATTGATATACAGCATCATATTGCATATTGGGTGTGGCATAGCATAGCGTAGCACAACATCGCCTTGGGTCAAGAATCATGAACCTGGAAGAGGTATACCTCCATTCACGATATCTCCTTGACTTGATACGTGAATTTCAGGATCGTATTCTAAGGAGCAACTTTCTTGAGCTTACTCTTCGCATCGAGTGTCTAGAGGACTGTTTTCCTGTCACACTCTTCCCATGCCCACAGTATGCGGGGTTCACAGACCAGTGGGGCACGACAATCTGATTGGTGTTGCGACCAGATCGGTTGCATGCACCCATAGTTGCTATCGTCTTATCAAGCGCAGATCTTGCACGCATCGACCGTCGGCTTTCGTGCTGTGAGCCGATACCCTTGTAAGTGCCCCGATCCAGCATCTCGCGAGAGGAAGTCGTGCTCCGAAGCGTTCGCGATAGCGAGCTCCACGTAGTCTGTACCAGCATATGTGCGATAAGCAATGTTGGGGTTGGAGGACCCCAAATTGCGGAAACAGTCTCGGAGTGCCGGATTGAGCAGCGAATGTGATCCAACTATAAGGATAAGGCTGCTCATTTGAGCTCAGCACCAGTGCACTCTTCCTCTCATTCAACTTGCTGAGCTTCATCGTGGTATATCCGACTGGTCTTGGCTGTCTTATAAAGATGCCTCCTGCCTACCATCCCCACCCAGAGTACGACTATGACCGTGACTTTCAAGGCTATGGAGAAAAAGGTCTCAATCCGAAGTGGCCGAACAGTGCCAAAATCGCGGTATCTTTCGTTATCAATTATGAAGAGGTATGTGAGAAGGATCAGATGTTTAATTAATTCGTTGTTTGAAAGCTGAATTAATCATATAGGGTGGTGAAAGGTCCGTAATGCATGGCGATGGTATCGCCGAACAAAATCTGCGAGAGAATCCCCTAGGTGGTCTGCGTACGAACGAGCGGAACATCAGCGTAGAAAGCGAATACGAGTATGGCAGCAGAGCCGGCTTCTGGAGGCTCTTCAGGTTGTTCAATGACAACAAGATGAAGTTCACGCTCTATGCTGTGGCTCAGGCCGTAGAAGAGAATCCTGCTGTTGTGAAGCGGTGCGTCGACGAGGGTCATGAGATTGCGAGCCAGTAAGTGGAATAGCATCGTAATACAGAAGAAGCAGAGGTTGACAGCTTCAGTGCCTACCGCTGGGTCGATTATCACGACTTCCCGGTTGAGAAGGAGAAAGAGTACATCAAGAAAGGCATCGAATCGCTGAAGTCACTGTCCGGCTACGCACCCAAGGGCTGGTATTATGGCCGCAACTCGCCGCATAGCCGTACTCTTGTTCCTCAGGTCTATCAGGAGATGGGCGAAGAGCTCCTCTGGACTTCTGACACCTACGCCGACGACGTTCCTTACTGGACAGATCTGAGCTTCGAGAAGGACTCTGAGAGTCCAAAAGGGCAGCTTATGTTGCCCTACGCGTACGATACAAATGATTTTAAATTCCACGTCGTCGGTTCCGGATTCCGGGATCCCGCTGGATTTTATGATCACATCAAGGGGGCGTTCGATGTGCTATATGAGGAGGGTGAAAAGGGCATGCCTAAGATGATGACAATCGGACTACATTGCCGAATCATTGGTAGACCTGGTAGATTTGCTGCTTTGAAAAGGTTTGTGGAGGAAATTGGGAAGAAAGAAGGAGTATGGGTAGCTACGAGGACTGAGATTGCAGAGGCATTTAGGAAGGAATATCCGTACAAAAAGGGCCAATTAGCATAGATTGTGATATTCAGAAGCTACTCGTACACCTTAAAATGGATTCAATCAAATTTAATCATAACCAGCGAAAAATCCGTGGTCCCATGCCCCCTGAACCCCAGGACCGCCCTGCTCAGGCTGAAAAGATTCGCTCAAATTACTCAGGGGTACAGCACTACCGTCACTCCATATTGATGTTGGAAAACTGTGTCTTGTAGTCGTCGCAGCCTTGGACCCTTCTCCAGCCATCAAGTCGGGCACCTGAATATCCGATTGCACCATCTCGGTGAATAGGCGCCAACCTTGTCCGCCACCCGGTACATCTTCGTCAACCTCCATAAACACATCTTTCACTGCGCCTAGAAGTGGATCCGTGTGATTCGGAGCGCCAATCTTGGCCGTGGCAGGTTCGACCAGCATGTCCAGATCCCTTCCGAGGTTTCTGCTCGGCTTCGGCTCCATGATCGCGCGGATGACGCTACCTTGTAATGTTTCAAATATTTCGCCGTATCTGACCGCTCCAGGCCACCTCTCGCCGAAAATGGTCAGGCATGTTGTGCATGCTCGCGTCGCTTCCAAGAGATCGAAATTGAAGAGTCTCTTATCCCTCCATAAACAATAAACCAGGGTCAATCCAGCGACAAAGCAAGAATGCAGTGCAATAATCGTGAAGGAGAGCACTTTAAGCTGGTTAAGGCGTTTGTATGTTGAACATATGCGCGCTGCTGATTGCGCGCAGGTCACGAACCGATGATCCTCCACGGATAAAGTAGGCAACACATTGGTGTAAAGTGAGAGAATCGCTTTGTGATACTGCAACGTAAAGTAGTTGCACGAGTCAGAATCCGTACTGGACTCGGTTTCATACATCCATCGCGCCTCGTCCTGAGTTGCAGGAGCTGCAGCTGGAATATTGTTCACCCAGATATCAAGCTGGTGGCGAATTGCCTCTACTTCAGCATCCTCGCGAGCTCTGTCCTCCGGGGAATGTAAGTTCTGATCGATGTCCACACGGAAAACCGTGCGTTGAATCTTCGACTGTAATTGGCGAAGCCTGATATCGTGAATGAAGGGGATAATGTTGCTTTGAAAAGTCCCATGGTCCGCAGGACTATGAGCTGAGGTGAGATCCCAGAAAGCAATGTCACTACTGGGTAACTACGATCTGTTAGTTTGCCTGAGACCACAGTAAGTCATACCGGGCTCACCTCAACATTTATGTCGTGGTCTGCGATAGCAAACGTTCGACCAAGGAGCATGCTTGTTAAGCGATCTAGACAGTAACACGCCCAAAAGATTCGCCTCCGGAGTTCCAGATCGCGCGGGTCTCGCTGCGGTGAGTTGGCTGTCGCTTTTCTATGCATTCCAAGTTCGACACAGAGAGTCATAGCATATCTAACCTGCGACCAAACGCCTGCTCCATATGGTGCCCGTTGGCCGTAAACCGCAAGCAAAGTCAGGAATTGAACGGTCAAGGTGTTATGTCGTTCCATGATGTAGTCCATCTGCTCAATAGCAGCCGCGAAATGAGCTTCAGAGTCCACATCAACACCTTGTTGTTTAGTCAATTGGAGGAATCTCCCCGAAATAGCGTAGATCAGATGAAGAGTACACCTCTCAACAATCGGAAGCGAAGCTTGATCGTATTGGCGTTCGAAAATTTTCTCGTACATCATTCTATTTAGTATTGGCCACTTAGTGTGCATGCGATTAAAAAAGACGGAGAACAGATGCTGGGCTTGAGTAGGATGCGGGTACGGATAGAAACCGCTTGCTAAGCATGGTGTTGGTATCGAAGAGCCGAAGGAGCTCATACTGTCAGAGCGGAGTGTCTCGCGCCGCGCTGGCACGCTTGGAGCTTTTCTGCCATTGAAGATTGCCGATTGTATGAGGCGAGCAATGGTTGCTCCCGAACTTGATCCCATGTAGAAGGGCTCTGGAGTAGCATCTGTTGTGCCGGATGCACATAAAGAGAGATAAGCTACGCCATCAACAACAGTTGAGTCCTCTTCCTCAACGAACTGCTCGGTTCGCATGCCATCGTATGACGTGCTATTAGTTTCGGTTGGCTGACTTGGGCTGTTAGGATCTTCCGTTCCACTAAAATGGTCGCGCCTATGCTCAGGCAACTGTGCTTCAAGAAATGCGATTCTCTCTTCAAGTGCGTTAATATATCTGCCCAAGGTCAACACCACCATCAAGGAAGTTTAACGACCCATACAGCATCTTGCCTCCGGGATAGCGAGGCCTCAGTGTAGGTTCATATACACAAGTAATACCCGCTTTGATGCATGATCTACACGCGGGCTGCCCGCCTTCACACTGTTGATGTCAGATGCCATATTCGTCCAAACATGCTCTCGGAGAATTACTTTTTGCTTGCGGCCTTTACATCGTTGGCATGCTAGGGCTGCACGAGCTCGTCGAGGCGCAGTAGGTTGTCGAGCGCTGGGTGGAGGTGATCGAGCCGATGAAGAGGTCTCCATTGTACACTTCTGTCTCGGTTTGGTCGTACCGATACTGGTACCTCATGAAATGAAGTATTACTACGACTACAAGTCACGACAAGGCGCGTTCCTCCGTCGTCCTTATCGGCTTGCTCCAACCGACTGTCGGAAGGCCGACAGATAGCCGCCCATCACGTGGCATTTGCGTATCTATCCCCACATTATGCACTAAGAGTACGGGGTAACTGCGCCAGACAGCATCCCATTCAGTGCGCCCCGGTTTGTCATAGTTCGGGAACTTGTGGATGCAGCTTGGCGGATTTGGCAATGACAGCCTACTAGGTATGTAGCAATTGAGTCATGTTGGATTGGCCATAGGCTCGATTTGACTCGCATCCCGCTCACCAGCCTTGATACCTGTGGTATGCAGCATCACCACGACCCCTCCAACGTATCAACATTTCGATAGACAGTCCACATTACAAAGTTAATCATTTCACAGGCATATGTTACTAATCCTCGAAAAGTTCCAGGCCATGCCAATTGTAGCCAGTTAAATACTGCATTCGCCCTGCAGCCAAGCAGCCTTATCTTTCGAAGATGCGGAGGTCCATGTTTTCCTTATCGCCTCAGATCAGCAAATAGCTACCAGCATCAGAAGCCGATCAGCCTTGAATATTTCGGTCCAGAACGAACCGACGTCTCATTCCAGGTTCCGTTGCGTGTGCATTCGGCCAGTCGTGGGGTGGTCCGAAACTACCCCTGTTCACTGTAGGGGGAACTACATCGCAGAGACCGATAAAATGGAGACGTACATATGTATCTATGATCATGCCGAACGAATTTTACGGTGCTCGCACTTGCGGACAACCGAGCCAGATCCTCCATCATCATGCATCTTCCCACGTTTCCAGATTTTCGGGCCAGATTCCGCTCGAAGGAGGCATTCATTGATTCGCTAAAGACCACTAACAAGCATGGCCACGAGACGAATACAATTTATGATCCAAGATGGTCAAATAAAGAGTAAATCTTATGGGATAACATGCTCTTGCAAGTTACTAATGTCCTTCCAGTCTTGAACCTACCCCCCCAGAAGAAAGAACATGGACCTGGTACAACCTTCCGCTTTACTGGGGTTCAACCGCTTTCGGTACTGCTGGCTGGAATGCCGCGGCTTCATTGATAGCTGTCGGTCTTACATGGCAGGAAGCATTCATATCCTGCTGCATCGGCTCATTGATCAGCGCCCTGGTTGTCGTTGGAATGGCGAGGCCTGGCGTTCGCTACCACATCGGTTATCCCGTTCTATGTCGCTCGGTCATGGGGTTCTACGGCTCCATGTTCTTTGTCTTCATTCGAGCAATCGTTGGGGCCATATGGTACGGTATCCAGTCATACTACGGTGCCAACCTGATGTCAACTTGCCTCAAGTGCATCTTCGGACATGAATGGGATAATTGGGAGAACCACTTACCTGCATCAGCAGATGTGACCTCTAAGCAGCTTCTCTGTTTCTTTCTAGTCTGGATCATGGAGCTTCCATTCGTAAGCTGACTCTCGTTTTTCTGTCTTTACGAAACGCTAAGCAGACCCAGTGCTTCGTACATCCTCGTCGCATCCACACCTTCTTCACCTTCAAGGGTCTTATTATGCCATTCGCAACATTCGGCCTTTTCGGATGGTGTATGGCTCATGGCAGTGGTGTTCGAGACATCAATTCCCAGAGCGCTGCAGGAGCTTCAGTAAGAGCAGGGACAATACCAGGCTGGGCTATCATGAGCGGAATCAACGTCATCATGGGAACTCTCTCCCCAATGCTTGTCAACCAACCCGATCTGGCACGGTACTGTAAAAAGCCTAGAGATGCCGGCTATTTACAGGGTGTGTCGGTATTCTTCAGCAAAGTGCTCATTCTCGCGCTTGGTCTTTTGGCCACTAGCTCCATGGAAGGTGTCTATGGCGTTGCTTACTGGAACATGTGGGATCTGAACGATGCGATTCTCGATCACAATTGGACGCCAGCTGCACGCTGTGGCATCTTCCTCGTCTCCTTTTCGTACCTCCTAAGCGTATTTGGAGTTAACCTGGGTGCAAACTCAATTCCCTTCGGTGCGGACATGACGGGTCTGTTCCCGAAATATCTCACAATTCGAAGAGGCCAAGTGCTCTGTGCATTCTTAGGATTCGCCATCGTACCGTGGAAGCTTATAGCTACTGCACAGACCTTCATCACCTTTTTGGGAAGCTACAACATCTTCATGGCTCCACTTTGTGCTGTGAGTAATCGGTACTACGTTGATGGCTTTGGCTAAGAAGAAACAGATAATCATAGTCGATTACTGCTTTGCGCGGAAGGGCAACATCCATGTACCGTCGCTTTACAGAGCTTCTCGCGGAGGCCTTTACTGGTTCACAAGCGGTGTCAACGTCTCGGGCATATTCGCTGTAGGTAGCTCCCAGATGAAGTAGTTCTCAGCTGACTTTGTATTTCGTGTAGTGGTGCGCAGGAACAGTCATGGGTATGCCCGGCCTTGTCGCAGCATATAATCCCAGGCTCGTGCCTCAAGCCGGAAAAGACATGTACAAGCTCGGGTGGATCTTAACCTTCACCACTGCTGGAGTCGTGTACTTTATCCTCGTACAGATCCGCAAGCCGAGGGTATTCCCTACTGGATTCGAGGATATTCCTGTTACCTGGGAGTATCTGGCTACTGGTGGCAGGGATGGCTTTTTTGATGGAGAGAGAGATGCATACGCTGGAGGTTCGCCGAGTGAGAGCGTGGTCGAGGAACCTTATGGTCAGGTGGATGAGAAGCCGAAGAGTGCTTATTGAGGGCTTGATTAGGGTCCCTGTGAAAGCTGAAGAGGTCCAGGGTGACTCCGGGACTATACAAGATGCCAGCACACACGTTGTTTCCAGCAAGGTCACATGGTGTGGGGTTATGTTCTAGCGTGGTATAGGCGATATCCGGGGATCTCACGGCAGAAGCAATCAAACAAATCACGCACAAATCCATATTCACGGAGATGAAGGACACAAACACGCGACTAGTTATCGTGATTGGATATCGAATGCCAGTAAATGTTCGCACGGCTGGGAATACGCCCAGCTAGATACCAAGCTTTGCCCAAGAAAGCTTGAGAAAGATAAGAGTGGCGATAGATGCACTGGCGAGGCTTAACACTAGGCAAGATACAGAAGTTCCTCCCGGCCTACCAGCGCCGTTACCCAAGGGCCGGTTCGTGGGGCACTGGCACTGACCTTAAAGCCGCGCGGAACTGCAATTGAATTTTTCCCGTCCATTCTTCGCATTCTTCGCGTCCTACGCGTTGGAATTCTTTGCTTCTTATATTGGAACTCCACTGTGCGCCGCAGTCACGATGTCAGCGGAGAAAGTCGGCGAGCATGCGACAAGCTCATCGCTGTCGAGCGCTGATCGCAGTAACACACCCATCAAGTCCGAGCATGGAATTTTGGCCAGATTGCGTGCCTTCGAAGCCAGGCTCGATGCGAAATTAGGCATCGAGTCTGAGGCCATCACCCGGAAGCGGCCTGAGGAGAAAGGACCAGTACCGTGGCATCACCAACTTACTATGTTCTTCCTGTGGGCCTCGGGAACCATGAATACATCGTGTTTCGCGACTGGATTTCTCGGCTGGGAGTTTGGCTTGACGCTCAGGCAGTCAATTGTCATTACCATATTCGCGTCCATACTAGGCGGCGCGGCGACAGGTTTTGCTGCAACTTTTGGCGCGCCGACCGGTCTCAGACAAATTTCCGTGTCACGTTATGCATTTGGATGGTGGCCTAACAAGGTCATTGCGGCTCTCAACACCATTGTACAAATAGGATGGGCTTCCGTCGCATGCATCACAGGCGGACTCGCATTGACGGCGGTCGCGGATGGCCACATCTCCTTGATTGTGGGCATAGTTATTCTCGCAGTGGTCGCTACTTTTATCTCATTTATCGGTCTGAAAGCCATCTTGGTATACGAACGCTATGCGTGGTTCGCGTTCTTCATCATATTTATGGTATAGTTTGGCTTAGAACATTACATGGAGCATTTCTAACAAGTACTAGATATTCTTCGGTATGACGGGCAAATATGCGGATAACTCGACGCAAACCGAGCTTAAAGGCGCAAATCTTAGCGGACAGGTCCTGAGCTTGATTGCTATTGTCTACGGTAGCTCCGCCTCGTGGCAGACTATGGCGTCCGACTACTACGTTCACTACCCAGCGAACATCTCCCGCCTCAAGGTATTCCTTATGACTACGTTCGGTATTGCTATCCCAACCTCTATTGGAATGATAGCGGGCTGCGTCGTCTCCTCAGGCTTGAATAACCGAGCGGATTGGAAAGACGTCTACGAAAATGATGGCCTGGGCTTCCTCATCCAAACCATGATCTATCCACGCGGCTTCGCAAAATTCATACTTACGTTACTCGTTCTCTCCGGCATCAATGTCAACGTCATTTCCATCTATAGCGCTGCTATTTCCTGCCAGCAATTTGCCCGTCCGTTCGCCAGAGTTCCCCGCTTCATCTGGATTATCCTTTGCTTTGCCGCAATTCTTGGACTGGCTGTCGGTGGCCGCGAAAAGCTGAACACCTACCTTCAAAACTTCCTCAGTTTGCTCGGATACTGGTGCACTCAATACTTTGTTATTCTGTTCAGCGAGCACGTCATTTTCCGGAAGATGAACTTTGACAACTACGACCTCGAGGGCTGGAACGACCCAAAGCGGCTGCCAGTCGGTATCGCTGCTGGCACAGCTTTCGCTATTGGTATTATTGCCTGGGTCATGGGTATGGTAGAGACGTGGTACGTGGGACCTCTGGGTAAACTCATAGGAGAGGATGGAGGCGATATTGCGAACGAATTCACATTTGTGATTACTGCCCTGGTCTACATTCCAGCGAGGTATCTCGAGAAGAAGATCATCGGGAAATAATCCGGAATAACAACGGTAATTGAGACGATACTAAACCGCGAATTAAATACTATCTAATGTTCGTCCATTCACCTGAGGCTCAAATATTTCCTGCGCACGGCTCGCGTTCGAGCCTTTATCGCAGCACTGAAAACGGCACGCCCGCTTCTGCCTTCAGTGCTTCGATGGTGTTCAAAAGTCGACAAACATATGTCTACTTTCACGAGAATATGCTTGTGAGCAACACGCGACCGGATGTCTACATCCGCCGCTATCGGTAGATCTCAATTCTGCCGAAATCTCCTCCTAAAAGTTTTCGGCACAGCGACCTTATGCCGTGTGGACCTTGATAAGCCACTATCTCCACAACCATAATAGCACACCCAGCGGTGTGCCTGGATACTGGAAAAGATTTCGTAAATATGAGTAGAGGCGTTATTACCAGCACCGATAAGCCTGCGCCGTGAACTCGGTATTCTTATACATGCAGTCAATGCAGTCATGGTAGCACCCACGTTCTGGACACTCTGCGATTTGCGCTCGAGCGGTCTGATCGGTAACATTAGGTTCTGCATGCTTACACCCAGTTGATGAAGCGTACTCCCCGCTTTTACTGAGCAGATTCCGCGTGCAATTTACCCCATCTTGGTTCGGCTTTCACTTTTGCCCCTTCCATCTACAAGGGAAAAAAGGACGTTTTGATTCGAGATGGCAGTTTCAGTCCGAGCCAGCGATAAGCTCTTCTCACCTCTCAGCATCGCAAATGGAAAGATCACACTGAAGCACCGTGTCGTTCTTGCCCCATTGACGCGAAATAGATGTTTGCCCCTGCAAAAAGACGAACCGGGCAATTACAACAGAATCTGGGTACCGGACAAGCTAGTCACAGATTACTACAGCCAGAGGACGACAGATGGCGGGCTCTTAATCTCTGAAGGAATCGCCCCGAGCCTGGAAGGAAACGGCATGTCGGGCGTCTCTGGCCTCTTCCACCCCGCGCATCTCGCCGGTTGGAAACCCGTCACAGAAGCCGTGCATGCCAAAGGTGGATACATCTACGCTCAGCTTTGGCACGCTGGGCGCACTACGACAGAGCCGTTCTCTGGAAAGCATTCCGTCGCGCCGTCTGTCGTGCCGATGGAAGGGAACTCGGGTCGGATACCACCTGGATACTCGGGACCCGTGATGTACGCTGATTACCCACCGGTTGAGCTTACGAAGGAGCACATCGAGAGCACAATTGAGGACTACTGCAACGCCGCGAAGATGGCGATGGAAGCGGGCTTTGATGGCGTCGAGGTACACGGCGGCAATGGCTATTTACCTGAGCAGTTCTTATCATCGAATGTCAACAAGAGGACTGATGAGTACGGAGGCAGTCCCGAGAAACGGTGCCGGTTTGTGGTTCAGCTTATGGAAGGCCTCGCCCAAGCAGTGGGTGAACAAAATTGTGCGATTAGATTAAGTCCATTCGGGCTTTTCAATCAGGCGCGGGGCGAACAGCGAATTGAGACGTGGAGTTTTCTTTGCAAGGAGCTGAAGAATAAGTTGCCGGAGTTGTCTTATGTCTCGTTAATAGAACCAGTAAGAATCCAAATCCATAGCTAGTTTTCGATAGAACTCCAGCTGACTAGATGCAATTAGCGATACGAGCAAATTCACACATACGCGGAAAAGGATGAGATGATCGGCTCCTGGGGGTTGGACCCGTCAACTATCAACCTCAAGTTCCTACGCGATATCCTAGGAAACACGCCCGTCTTCTCGGCTGGAGGCTGGAATGACACTAATTGCTGGGGAGTCATTGAGTCTGGTGACTACGACGCGATACTCTTTGGCCGATACTTCACGAGCAATCCCGATATGATGGAGAGGTTGAAACATGGAAAGAGTTTTACCATGTATGAACGCGACAGGTTCTACGGACCGTTTCCAGACAGGGAGAGGGGTTATACCGACTATTTGACCTGGCGCCAGCAGGAGGATAAGGCAAAGAGAACTGATGGTATGGCAAGGATGGGACCACACGTGGCTGAAGTTGAAGTTGCGGCATAGATGTGCTTCTCAGACGATTCAGAAAACTATCGCTTCGTAGTGTTGTACCGGCAATTCACCATGTACTCTCATAATGGCTATACAGCCCCTCCCAGCCAATCAGAACTCCTCTTTAACGCTAAAATTGCAGTGAAATCGCCTTTACCCGCTCCGAGGGTTAGCAAATTAGCCAATGAGCTGCTTGCATGCGGGAGGCCTGAGTTTCCCTGTCAGATCCCTGAACTTCGCTATCCGTCAAATGACACCTCACATGTTGAGCAATTGCAGTCAAAGGAACGACAGATGTAGGCAAATATAGGCTAGCCTTACCCATCATCACTACGATCGACCTATCATGAGCTCTCGGTAGGACAAGGCTGTAAAGGAAGACAAAAGGATTCGCCATACCCCTGTTCTTGAGCTGACATCCGCAGCATCTCGCTCGCGCTGGACAATGCAGTACATCAGTAAAAGAGAAATATCGTCGACTGTGTCGCGGAGATGGATCCTGCATGAATAGAACAATGAGACTGTAGGAATTTCCAGTGTACCGCCCAGCCTCTAAGATGTATGTTGCAAACTGTGAAGATCATCACACAAGAGACACAGACCATAGACCATCAGAAGCTACTGGCACCTAAATTATCTAGTACGGGACCATCACTACAGCCCATTGAGTTCACTCAAGAAACGCTATGTATGGAAGGAAGGAAAGTCATTTGAGTATTGCATGTGTTGTATTGGTAGTATCACCCCGTCACCATAACGAGCCTAGCTATCTAATGCGCAGCGACGCATCCATTGCAAGCCAGGAAGTAGCCTTCAAATAGGTGACATCGACCCTCATTCCGTGCCCATGACCATAGTCGCAAAAGCCGACCTAAGTGACCTTTTCCAAGATACCAGGCAAGTCTACCGGGCTGTCCAACTCAAGCCGGCGCCACATCTTCACTCAGATCTCGTCTTGAGCATCATCTGCCTCCTCAACCGCCTGGTCAGCAGCATCCTGGAAGATGTTCTCCTCGATCTCCTCCTTTTTGACCTTCTTGCCGTTGGTGACACCATCGGTGGCCTCCGTAGTGCGACCGCGCTTGCGACCCGTAGACGGAGACAAGGAACCATCGAGGTCATTCGTAGGCTCACCAGCCGTGTCCGCGTTCTTCTTGGGGCGACCGCGGCCGCGGGCGGAACTGGGTGTCTTAGAAGGGGTGGACCGGACGGCCTTCTCTTTGGCTGGACTGGGCTTCGTTGGAGTGGCATTGAGGTCGCGAACCGGCTTGCCCGTGTTTTTGATATTAGTGAGACGATGCTGGATAGCCTTCGGAGTGCAGCCTGTGCGTCAAAAATCAGCGAAAGGTCAAGTCAGACATTGTAATGAGGGGCGCAGGTCAACTTACCATCGCCGATCAAGCTGGCGAGGTGCTCGAGAAGCTCCTTGCTCATCTTGATGTCCGCAAACTGAAAGACACCCTTGAGGAGCTATGAGAAGTTAGTATAAGACTACTTATGAGTGCAGGGCGCCTACAGTTTGATCTTTCTCGGGCGTCCACTGAACCATGGTTGATTTATGGCTGTTGCTGATATTGGGTTTGATTGTCAGGACGGTTCTGCTGAAGACGCAACGGATGAAGGCGAGAGGATCGTAGTGGGAAAGAGGAAGAGTTGGGAAAAGTTGGGTTTGGCGGTTTTACAAACTTGGATTGGGGCGCGAATTGTGAAGTGAAGGTGAGAGAGCAACGCAGGCGGACTGGACTATGGCAACAAATGGAAGCAGGAAGCTGATCAGCCACGCAGCGCAAGTGAAGGGGGATCGCAAGCCCTGAACCGTTTGTATGAATTGTGGTGACGGCTTGTGTCACATGGCAACCCGACCAATGCCCATGGACACGACTCTTGACCGGCCTTATATGCACTAATTATTGCTTCAAGTAATCAATTTGAGGCACAATGGTGTACTTTAGGCGAACGTAGGTATCTGCGATCCCTGAAAGCTGTACGTGCCACATATAATTAGTAATCAAATCCAGTGTTCTGGAGGGAAACTTCCCAGATCAATCGCAGTTGGCTGCGTGATATCATCCGCGCACCTTGGGCTGATATTGTGGAAGCGTGCTGCCGTGTCGTACCAATATCAAGAGAAGTGTTGATATCATTAAGGAATAGAGAAGCAGCCACCTGAGCGATTGCCGGACGCAGCAGGTGCTTGGTCGTACCTACCGTCGAATGCGATACATGCTATCACTCCTCAATCCTCATCGCTCCTCACGATCGACCTGGCTATTGAGCTACGAAATGTTCTTTTAGGGGGGAAACAATGCAGCCAAGCGCAGGGACGAAAAATGCAGGCGGTTGACGTGCTAGATTTGAATCGATTCTTTGAATATTGACACTGCCATGTCCCGGGTCGCACCTTCCTTTCTTCCCTAGCAGCCTCAATGTCCTTGTTTTGGTGTATGTACAGCAACAGAGCGTCTATGAACGCCCTGTGATCAGGGTCGCGCGTCCCCTCCGTCCTCGTCCAGCTCAATGGTCCCACGGGTGCTTCCAGCCCAGGAGCGCGGGGCCGTCCTTCTTCGCGCGATACATCAACTGCGCTCGTTAGCAGACAGCAACTTTCCTTGAGCCAGTGGCACGCACGAAGAACCACATGGAGGCGCCGAGGGCCGTGGACATGAAGCGGTAGAGGGGGCGGACCGGGTGGACGTGGATAGGGTGGCTGCCCATGGGCGCGTACTTTGGGGGGCCCATGGTGATAGTCGAGCCTGCGTTGAATTCAGCGATGGCGCGCCATATGCGGACGGCAGAGGAGGGCTACCTGTGGTGGGTTGGCTGCAATGGCGTGTTGGATGTGCTCGTCGTTCGGTGATGTGAGGTCGATCCAAGCTACCCTGCAGAACGGCGAGCGACGCCAAGCCTCCTTCTTACGATCGCGGCGGCCCTTGCAATCGTCTTCACCTCTCCACAGGCAGAGGTCCATTATGATGCCAGCACAATAAGATTCGCCCCTCGACGACATACCTCATGGCAGCGCCTGCCACGCTCAAGCTCCCGCGACCTCCACTCTCTCCGCGAGCCCAGCTGCGCAACTGCAACGCGCTTTCCGTTGACTGGCGGCGCCCGGCGCCCTAGTAAGAACAACCACGCTTCGTACCCATCGCAACCCCATCTGCCGCACACGCATCCCACTCCCCACCCGCCATGGCGACAGCGGTCGCCCCGACGCCTTCCAAGGGCCTGCAGCGCCGCTTCAAGGGCTGCTCCAAGATCGGCGAGTACGAGCTGCTCAAGAAGCTGGGTGAGGGTACTTTTGGAGAAGTTCACCAGGCGCGACACGTCCGCTCAGGGCGCATTTTCGCCATGAAGAAGATCCTCACCCACAACGAGAAGGACGGCTTCCCTATCACAGCCTTGCGCGAAATCAAGCTGCTGAAGATGCTCTCTCACGAGAACGTCCTGAAGTTGGAGGAGATGTCTGTCGAGCGCCCAAAGGCAGAAGGCAGGAAGCGCGCCATCCTCTACATGGTTATGCCGTACATGGACCACGATCTATCCGGACTGCTCGATAACCCCGACGTACACTTCTCTGCGCCCCAGGTCAAGTGCTACATGCTGCAATTATTCAAGGGCCTTCGCTATCTACACGACAACCACATCCTCCATCGAGACATGAAAGCCGCCAACCTGCTCATTAACAATCGGGGACGACTTCAAATTGCAGACTTTGGTCTTGCGCGACATTACGACGAGCCTGTGCCACAACGAGGGAAGGGCAACGGCGAGGCTCGACGAGATTACACAACACTGGTTGTCACGAGATGGTACCGGCCGCCTGAGCTGCTACTTCAACTGCGACGATACACACCGGCTATTGATATGTGGGGTGCCGGCTGCGTCTTTGGCGAAATGTTCAAGCGCAAGCCTATCCTCGCAGGTCAGAGCGATCTGCACCAGGCGCAAATCATCTTCGAGCTGGTAGGCTCGCCGAATGATCGCAGTATGCCTGGATGGAACCAGCTGCCCGGCGCGGAACCAGTGCGAGCTTTCGCATCTGGCACAGGCCAGCTCTCACAACGTTTCCGCGAGCTCAGCCCGCAAGGACTGGATCTCCTTAGCAAGCTACTGATGCTCGACTGGCGGAAGCGCATCAATGCCATCGATGCTATCGATCACCCTTATTTCAAGGAGGAACCGCGACCGATGCGCGAGGAAGATATACCCACCTTTGCCGACTCACATGAGCTTGACAGGCGCAATGCCCGGGGCCAGAAACAACACCTACCGCCGGCACCGGCAGGAGGTACAGTGGGCGGAGGTCCAAACGGGGAATGGACAGGCTCGGGTCCTCCGCAGAGCGGTCCCGGCTGGGGCAATGGTGATAGACGTTACGGTCCACCCGACAGAGGACCGCCTGGGGTTGATCGACCACGAGGAAACCACGACCGTAGGGCACCACCCCCGCCAGGACATGGAGAGCGCAGACCGCATTGGGGCGGTAATGGAGCAAACCTCCCTGTGCCTCCTGCGCATCCGCCCCGCTATGGTCAAGGTGGTGACCGTGGGCACCGCGACCGCGACCGGGACCGGGACCGGGGCGCTCCGCCCGGAGATACTTATATTCCTACATACGATGGATCGCGACCCAGAGAGGAACGTCGATCCCGAGAACCTGACGACAGGCCGAGAGACGGTCGGCGTGGATCCCGAGATTCTGGTCACTCGCGAGATGGCTTTACCGATGAACGTTCGGACCGTGGCAGGGGTTACCGAGACCGGGACCGAGCAGGAGATTCGCGCAACTTTGGACGAGACCGGCGCGATGGTAGGACACGTTCACGAAGTCCAGATCGAAGAGACAGGGCACGCGAGCGAGACCGAGACATTTACAGGCGATAGAGTCGTGTGTATTAGCAATCCTCACAGATCCTCTGATAAGATCTCAGCCGTGGGGAAATGGTCTCAGTTGTTCTTACACAGAAAAGAGTGTATTTGTCCTGGACTTCGGCGCACGCGGTTTGGTAAGACTGTTTCCTGTATAACATGCATGGCGCCAGTTGGTCGACACAATGGGACTTGGCGATGGCTATGTAGAGCGGCGTTTGGAGGGGTTTGACCAGCATTTGCACGGCGTCTATTCTCGCTCAATGTACACACATTGACGCCAACGAGTGGAGTATATTGATATACCAATGGATACGTTGATTACATGTGACTTGCGATCTTGGTGCGCAAACAGTCCGCTGCGCGATTTGATTGTAGCTGCACCTGTTCTCGTCTCGGACCGACGGGCTAACCGTGAAGCCTTCCGCTGTCTGCTGCATATGTATTTGCGTACACGCTGGCTGGCGCAAGCACAGCAGATGACAGTATGCACCGAATAGCGTACGAGCGTTCACCCCGCATCGAAGCGCAGCATGTCTGTTTTTGCTGTGTGGCTTGTCTTGCATACAAAGAATCTTGACTCGTTCGCGCCCTCGGCCGCGGTCGCAACATTCACGTTTCTTTGAGCCCATGACTCAGCGTTCTCGCCCCGCTGTCGCACCGAAATTTAACCCCACCGTCGCCATTGCCGCTATTCACGCTTTTACTTGAGAGAAGAGTCACTCGATCTTCCGCCTGACGTTTGTCATTTCGTCTGCAACCTCCGAAATCCGTTTCAGCACTTTTCTAAGCAATTGGTCTGTCTGATTGACAAATTTTAACACACAAAATGTCTACAACCACAAACGGATACAAACACTCGTCCGAGCGGATAGCTCACACGGAAGAGAAGCACCTTCCCGGTGGCTGGGTGGTACTGAAGTTCGGGGGTACATCTGTCGGCAAATTCGCGGAGAACATAGCGGCCATTGTAAGGTACGGCGGGTCTGGGCATGCTCTTGAAGCAAGAAGAGCACCTAATTAACGACGCGCTGTAGGAACGGTCTGAGCACCAACCGCGCCGCCATTGTCTGCTCCGCGCGCAGCGGCACCACCAAGCTCGAAGGCACCACCAACAGGCTCCTTCGCTGTGCAAGGGCCGCCGAGAGAGCCGGCTCGCGTGCCTACGACGATGTCGTTGAAGCCCTCCGTGTTGACCATATTCAGGCCGCAAAAGACACGCTAAAAGATGCTGGAATTTTGGCAAAGTTCGAAGAGGAGGTCAACGCCGAATGCGAAGGATTGGTCAAGATCCTGGAATCGGCGCAGCATCTAGAGGAAGTGACAAGCCGTGCCGAAGACAAGATCGTGAGTAAAGGCGAGAAGCTAAGCTGTCGCTACATGGCTGCTCTGCTGAACGACCGCGGTACACCTGCGCAATACGTTGATGTGTCGGAGGTATTCAAGAGTCCTTCGCATGCGAAGGGAGGCATGAGCGAAACCTTTTACACGAACCTCGCCGAAGCGCTGGGTAAGGAAGTAGAGGCTTGCGGCGACAAGGTCCCGGTGATTACGGGCTTCTTCGGAAATGTAGCTGGAGGAATCTTGAGCGCTGTCGGACGCGGTTATACCGATCTGTGTGCTGCTTTGGTTGCTGTCGGTATCAAGGCAGACGAACTGCAGATTTGGAAAGAGGTGGATGGCATCTTCACGGCCGATCCGCGAAAGGTCCCTACGGCCCGTCTCCTCCCGTCCGTTACGCCCTCCGAAGCCGCCGAACTGACGTTCTACGGTTCCGAAGTCATTCACCCGTTCACCATGGAACAGGTTATCCGCGCCCGCATCCCCATCCGCATCAAGAATGTCATGAACCCACGCGGGAACGGCACCATCATTTTCCCCGACCGCTTCGAAGACGAGCCCGGATCGCCTACCAAGCAAACAGGCCTCTTCCGCACCCGCTCATCCAGCCTCCTCTCAGCCTTACAGCGCCCGAAGCGCCCGACGGCCGTGACCATCAAACACAACGTTATCGTGCTTAATGTGCATAGTAACAAGCGCACGCGTGCCCACGGTTTTCTCATGAACATCTTCAGCATCCTAGATCGCTGGCATCTATCGGTTGACTTGATCTCCTCGTCTGAAGTGCACGTCTCCATGGCCTTGCACTCGGAATCTGCATTGCTTAGCGGCGGCGGAGAAGACGAGTACAAGATCAAGAACAAGGATTTGCACGGCGCAATCGGCGAGCTCGGCGCTCTAGGCGCCATCGACATTGTGCCCGATATGGCTATCGTCAGCTTGGTCGGCAAGCAGCTCAAGAACATGATTGGCATTTCTGGCCGTTTCTTCAGTGTCTTGGGTGACAACAACATCAACATCGAAATGATCTCGCAGGGTTAGTCTCGCTTTGTCCACTAAATCGATAACGGGAGATGCTAATTAAATTTGCAGGTGCCAGCGAGATCAACATTTCTTGCGTCATAGAGGAGCGCGAGGCCGACCGTGCCCTCAACGTTGTGCACACGAATCTTTTCACATTTCTCGAGTAGAGCAGCATATGCATAGGTGGCGTTTGAGCATTTATATCTTGCCATATAGTCACTTTCTAGTCTCGTTAGATACGTTTGCGTAGGGACGTTGCGCTTCCTAGTCATATTCCGAATCCATCATCATTTTCTAGTCATTCACTCTTGACTTGCATGCGTTTTCAAAGAATTTTGGTAAGCCATCAGTAAATATTGCGATACTCGCCAAAGTCCAGCAGGTATCACTCGTCATCAAGAAAGCCGCGCCTAACACGTTCGTCCGTTAGCTCGTGCTTGACCTTGGGGGTTGAGTGCGGTGAGGAGGGCAGCGAAGGAAGTCAATAGCTGGATGATGTGGGAAGCATCAACATCGTAATCAACAAGGCGGGGATCATGGCTATGCCGTATCAAGTCTCTCCAGATGGTATCGAAAGTCAAGTTGCCACGAACCACGTCGGCCATTTCTCCTTCGCTCAGTTGACCATGCCTAAAGTTGGGAGCGGGACAAAGGTCGTCAACTTATCGAGCAACGGATACAAAGGTGGACAAGTCCGGTTCAGCGACTACAACTTCTCCGACGGCGAGACGTGCGATAGGTGGCAAGCTTATAGACAGTCCAAGAGCGCTCATTTTCTGCATGGGAGAGCATTGGAGATACGGGAGTAAGGGCCTTCAGGCGTTTGGTACCATCCCGGAGGGACCTCAGCGAATCTGCGTCATCATGCTGAGGATAATTTGAGGGCCATGAGTACATGCCATCTATTATCTTGTATTGGGCTTAGAGGTTGATAATGGGCAATGTTGCAATACCGTGGGCACGTAGCACTTGCGGTCGGCGACTTTGGGGCAGGGGTACAAGATATACTGGAGGAGTGTTCCACGAGCCTGAGAAGCTGTGGAGGCTCAGCCAGCAGTTTGTTGGAGAGATGTTTCCAGTGCTGGCTTGACAGGGCTTGGAATGAAGATAACACTGTTGGTATGAAATTTCAACCGGATGATCAAGATCGCCTTAACCCTTCGCTGAGTCGTGTGTGGCTCTACACGACCGCATAATTAATCTTTCGCCGGGGATTCTCATCCCGATGGCTTCTGTAGCAGTTCGGGAGTGCACCGCAACGGAAGACTAATCAATTGTTTTGAGTACCGATTCCGATATCCGCGGCCGAACGGTCGTACTGCGATTCTCGTACTGATGAATCTCGTATCAATGACTCAGAGCCACCATTACAAGTACAGCTACTCTGTGTTAAATACACCAACAGCACCCATTTTTTTTCTCAACAATTGGAGTTATACCGAAGCAAAGACTACTTCCAGAAGCGTCCTAAAGTATCAACATGCCACACTCAGATACATCAATGAAAACCATTCTACGAGCCCTCTCCTCCCTCAAAGGACCCTTCCCCGTCACCGACCTTGCAAATTTACCAGCAACACCGCATTCAGCGTTCCGGCTATGGCTCGAAGACGCGATCGAGCAAGGGGAGAAAGAGCCTCACGCCATGACTCTCTCCACAGTTGACGCATACGGTCACCCAGACGCCCGCGTACTAATCCTCAAGAACGTCGACTCTCGCGGCTGGCATTTCGCCACCAAAGCCACCAGCCCAAAAGGTTGCCAGATCGCCAACAGGCCGTTCGTTGCAATGACGTTCTACTGGCCTCAACTAGGACGTCAGATCCGGATCAGAGGGCGAGCGGTCGAGCTGCCGGCCTCTGAATGCGCGAGCGATTTTCTTGAGCGCCCGGACGGATCCCGATCCTCGGCTATTGCATCGAAGCAGAGCCAAGTTTTGCTGGATAGGAAGATACTTGAGATGGAGATTGGTGAGGCAAAAAGTCTTTTGGAGGAAAATCCGGGATATGTAGATCCTGCATGGCGAGTGTATGCTGTGGATCCGGTGTCTGTGGAGTTCTGGCAGGGCGCGGAGGATCGTACGCATCAGCGTGTGCAGTATGCGAAGGAGAGTGGCGATAATGAGTGGACGAGGGTTGCACTGTATCCATAGTCATCCAGAAGCGATAGTGTTTTCGATAGATCTGGTCATTCCAAGGCTTCTCGAAAGGTATCCAAGTGACGCTGGCAAGTACTCTCGTTCAATTTTGCTGGGCTTGTTGTGCCTAGACAGAGCATCCATGCGCTGCCAATAACTCAGGGAAGTCGCAACCCACTGTCAGTTCGAGGCTCTAGACCCAACCACGCACCACATTAGATAGGAGCGTATCGAATACACGAGTTCTTCACCAAGCCCTCCGTCAAGGTGTAACTGTTCAGCGACCACCCATAACACTGTTCAGCTTCGAGGATGCGGCCGAGGCAGCTAAAAGCCGCATTATACACTGGGACACTCGCAATTATACTCTTGTGCATCGTCTTCTCTGATAAAATTCCTTGCGCCCCTGTTCCCGCTTAATTGCCAAGGTGCCTTCATCATGCCCTAGATTTTACCTTCATGTACTGGGAGTATATGGACACCATACTCGACGAGGAAAATAGACGGGAAATTATGGGTATCGACCGGTAATTCGTCATCTGGGTAACGAAACTACCCAATGCGATCATTCCGTGATGTTTGCAAGTCAGATATCGCAAGTCAGATATCACAATTAGAAGAGCTACAAGCCCTCTCGCCGGACCATAACAGAGCAACGAGGTTGAGGCAGATCATAAAACCCGTGGGAGGCAAGCTTAAGTTAAACAATACAACGAATTCGTAGTCATGATCTAATCATACAGGTCGCAGACCCGTCAGAGTCAGATTCGCCATACCAAGCGAGTGTATCTGACTAACCAATCCTCTAATAAATATTACCAGCATCCTATCTCCACCTTTGCCCCATTAATCTTCTACCAGCCCAGCGACCATCTAGTGGATGTTGCCGATTTCCATACGCTTCTTGAGGCGGTAAGCAATAGCCCTCTTGCGAGTAGCAGCGTCCTGGGTGAAAGCAACGGAGCCACCGAAGGGACCCGCAGCAGCGCCGTTGCGGACACGGGCAACGCAGACATTGTTGACGCCCGCGACGGTAGCATCGCAGGTCATGCCAGCGGGCATCTGAATCTGCATATCGAACTCGGTGCTTGTGGCGAGCGAGATTCCCTGGACACCGAGGCCGGGGACGTCCTTGGTGACCTGGGCCGGCTGGAAGGCGGCCTCGTCGGTGCCACCGGAGGTGCCGTCGACATCGGCCGTGAAGGGGCCGGCGCCGTCTTGGTTGATCTAAGTTGCGTGTTAGATTGCACTCTCTCAGGGAGAGAATTGGGGGATGCGTACCTGGCGGAAAGTCATGTCGACAGTGCCGTCAGCGTTGGCTGTGGGCATACCGCTGCTAGCGCCCTGGCCGGCAGCAGCAGCAACACGGGCCTCAGGGGGGCCTTCAGCCTTGTTGCCGCCTCCACCGAGGAGACCAGCAATACCAGTGGCACCAGCACCGCCGGCGGCACCGGCGCCACCGCCCCCACCGAGAAGGCCACCGAGCAGCTGCCTCTTCTTCTGGCCACCAGCTGCAGCTGTTCCGGAGAGGTCGTCCTCAACACCAGTGGAACCAGAGGCACCCTGGTTGGTTGGGGGCGCAGCACCGGCGGCAGTGCCCATGAATGCAGCGATCATGGTGGAGGCATCGACATTACCGTTGCCCTGGGTGCGGCCGAGAGGTCCGGTCTTGCCAGAAGAGATCTCGCGGTCGCGGATGATGGCAGTGTCGGCCTGGGAACCGCAGCCGCTGGAGTGGCGTTAGTAAGCAGGAGTGAATGTTGTGGTCAGCAGACGTACTTGGAAGAGCAATCTCGAGGGGTGCCGTCGGCGACTGTAAGACCAGGCATGGTGACGCCGTTTGCGCCGTTCATAGAGACAACGACACCGTGTGCGGAAGCATAGCTCGCAAGGGAGGCAGCGAAGATGATGGAGTAACGCATCGTGAATATGGAGGAAAGTTTAGGAAGTAAAGAAACTAAAGGATCAACCTGTGTAAATGATAGAATGTAGAAGTGAAATGCCTCAGACTCGCTGCAGGCTGTATTAGAGGAGTAGAAGAAAAGTGAAGATGCTGATGCTGGATGCTCTTTCTATCGTCGTTCCCGCCGCCCTATTTGTACATCGACGATGTTCCTTTGCTTCTCGGTAAGTGCGGTGGCGGTGGTCTCCTTGATTCTTGGACTCAGACCGGATACACCAATTGCGGCCGCAACCATGATCTTCCATCCTCGGTCGAAGACCTTGTAGTTGATCACGGCCCGGTGTCATTGGATTAATCGCAGCGCTTCTTGCCTCAAACATTGGCCTAGGGAAGACTTGGCTGTGGTATAGTGTTTCTCAATGGCCTTGGCTCGATGTGTTTAGTGGTGATGAGAGTAAAAGCGGTATAGCTGCAGACTGTGCATAAGGCGTCGGGTAGCGTTTCGAAGCGTGATGTGTTTTTAACTCTCCAAAGTGGGGTGCTTCATATATTGCCATATTTGGATTGACCCCATGTGTTTGTTTGAAGATGGCGTCTAGCCCAGAACAAACCAGACCTGGCACTGAAGATTTTCCTATGAGAAGATTGATGCGCGTTGAAATCGCGCACTGTCTGAGTTTTCTAGCGGTGTGCTCGAGGACATCGCAACCCAAGAATCTAGATGAAAGTTAGACATGTGCACCGTGACAGGGTATCGCGAACTATCAGCCTGTTTCCAACCAGCCTCTTACAAGCTACAGCCAAGACATCTCTAAGTTTACAGTGCATTGCTTGGTGTTTCTTCACTGCTCGGGGCTTTGAGCCAATCGTAGGCTTGGCGTGATTGACCACCGTTTCAGCTCCACGTTTCGAAGCTAAATACCAACCATCTCAAACTCGATGCGCCTTGTTTGGAAACCACGGATCCCAGTAAGCCGAGGGTGGTTTCAATGTGGAAGTCGATGATGGTGGGGGCTAGTAGAAGTTGTGATTGTGACGTTAATGAAACGGGATCTAGATCCGATACGTCAGAGTAGTGAGTACATGAGTAGCATTCGGCGAAGTCGGAAAATCTAGCTGTCTGAGGCTCATAGGCAAAGTAAACAGAGGTTGGATCTAACAACCCCCGCTCGCTCCTGCCGCAGCTCCAAGTCCTACGGCACCGCCCGCAGCACCTCGCGTTTGGTTCTTCACACCACTAAGGTACTGCATATTTGACTCTGCAGCCCATTCTGGCGGTTGCCCATACTGCTTGATTAGAGCCTTGTTGGTGGCTTTTTGCTCAGCCGAAACTGGGTCTTCCTTCTTGATGCGACCGCCAAAGACACTCGCAAACTTCTTCGACCTTGATGGCTGCTGCACTTTTTCCTCGCATACACCTGCAGACCCATTCCCAGAGCACGGATTCTGTGAATCGATCTCTACTGCACGCGTTAGGCAGTGTGAGGGATTATATTCGAAGGTGGTCTCACTTGATGTAGTCATGATGCTCAGTGATACAGCAGTTGACAAGGGACACTTCGATTTGTGTTGATCTGAATTTTCAGTCGTGATGTAGGTGAGATAGAGTCCCATCTCTGGAAGGCAGAAACGACATCTCTACGTTGCGTCATGGGGCGGTGTTCGCGATGCCGAGCTCTGTGGGCTTGGTTGTGGAGACAACCCGTGACGATCATCGCTGGAGTCTTGTACACTGAATGCACAGTACACCCATCAAGACACCGTTTCAAAACGGGAATGTCGAAAGTTATGCAATAGCTGATGAAATGGACGTGATGCTGATAGCGCCCGGCGTTGGTAGAGAAGACAATGCGCCGTGCTTCAAATCCCCGATGAGGCGATGCCGAGGTCTACTTCGGAGCTACTCATAGCTCCGACGACATCTTGTCTTCCACCACTTTACTTGCACGCATCTTCCTCTATGCTGCCAAATGCCTACCGAGATCCTTATCGTCGGCGCCGGCGCCATTGGAGCCTTCTACGCATCACGCCTCGCTCGTGTTCCCGACGTCCATGTCTCCGTCATCTGCCGCTCGAACTACAAAGCTGTAAAAGCGCACGGCTTCCGAGTGACGTCGGCGCAGTATGGCGACTACACCTTCACACCCACCCACACATTTGCAAACCCCGACGAAGCGCGAAACAGCCGAAAACAGTGGGACTATATTGTTGTGAGCACGAAGGCGCTGCCGGACGTGAGTGACGACTCTGCGATCCTGCAAGGACTAGTTGGCGATAGGACAGCCATTGTGCTCATACAGAACGGGCTGGGTGTGGAGGAGCCGTACAAGAGTAGATTTCCAGATGCCGAAATTTGTAGCGCTGTCACTATCGCGAGTTGTGCGCAGACGAGCCCAGGCCAGATCAAGCACAACCGCTGGACCCGGATAAACAGCGGGCCATACCTTCCGCACCTGGACACTGGGAGCGCAAAAGAGTCAGACGCAAAGGCAATCGAGAAGAACGGTGGATTCATAGCGTTGCTGCAGAAGGGTGGTATCATGGACGCGGAAGCCTACGATCATGCCAAACTACAGCTGGTCCGATGGCACAAGATCGCCATCAACGCATCCATGAACCCGTCATCTGTACTTGCAGGCGGTATTTCAAATAACGTCATGTCTAATGACTCCGAGCTCTCAATACATCTGAAGGGCGTCATGGAAGAAGTGTTAGCTACAGCACCGAAGATCCTGGGAAAGCCGTTCCCGAAGGAATTTGCGACGCCGGAACGCATACTACGAAGTACACAGAAGAATACGAGCGGTAGCAAGCCTAGCATGGCGCTAGACTGGGAACAGGGCAAGACTATGGAGTTGGAAGTCATACTCGGCAACCCAATTAGAATCGCCCGGGAGAGAGGATTCGAGATGCCCAGGATGCAAACACTGTACGCCCTGCTGCGAATGGCACAAGAAACAAGAAACACATCGAAGCAGAAGAGCAAATTGTAGTCAAATATGGAGCTATTTTTGTTCAGATTTAACGATGTTCTCAACTCTCTCTGACTCGTGGCTCTAGACCTAGAGCACTCCAACCCTGTGAACACCATTAGTCCTCGTTATGATCATCGAAATCGATTAGCGAAAGAGACTTTCAGGGAGCTCCAAATGAAGTAAATCCAGTGCTTCAAAAGAACAAATTCTTATCCAGTCACCTTCGCCTGCACCAGAGCCTGCGTCACCTGCGTCGCGATCGAAACTCCCTAGCCTTCGGGGCAAAACATGCTATGAAGTAAGGTCATGCCTGTGAGAAAACAGGCATAAATTTCGCCCTACCCAAGACACTGCCCTCTGGATTTCCAGTTAGAAGGCTTCTCTCTGCCTGAATACGGGTCTCTGTCGTACAAATTACCATGATTAGTACTGGCGTTTGGACTCGGCCCTTGTTCGATTTGACTCGCAATATACCACGCACCCAGGACCTTACGCTAAAATCACCCACCGGCCAGAAGGCGATGCAGTGCGTCTTATGGAACACAAGGCAGTGCTAGCGTCGATGTAAATTATTTCGCCCGGTTTCCTTAAAACGCCCAGGGGAGTACAAACGCAACATGACAGCAGGAATGCTTTGGAGTGATGTTGCATCCTGAGTAACGGTAGTAATGCAGAGGCATTACTTCAAAGCGTGATCAATGCTGGGCCTAATGATGAGCCTTATTGTAGTTACCAAAGGGTGTTCGTGTAACTCCACATCAGCACCCTTCTGTCAGCAAACGCCCGACGCCTCTCACGCCTTGCGCTCGCTACCACTGGAATCATAGTACTGTGAACACCAACATCACTTGATGCGACCGAGAAGTAGTACTCTGAACACAGAACTTATGTATGACTGTGTTTCTTCCTTGGGCTCAGCATCCGAATTCGGCGACAGTATCTCCTGCATGCGCATACCTCGACCAAGTCGCAGGTACCTATGGTATATAAATGGCTTCAATGCCCGCAACTTCTCCCCAGCATCGATCAGACTCAACAGGACTACCTCCCAGAGTTTCATCCTGATCACCAAACTTTTCTCCAACCAACCAACCAACATGCAGCTCAAGCTCCTCCTCGCCACCGCGGCCCTCTCGGCCCTCACTTCTGCTATACCCGCAGCGGAAAACCAGAACCTGGAAACTCGCGGCACCAAAATAGGCGATGCATACCTAGACAACAGGCACACCGCCGACCTAGAAGTCACTGGTGGTTGTGTCCTCGTCCCGATCTATGGAGGCAATAGGGTCAACTTCCAAAAAGGTACGAGATGCCGCTTCTACCGGTGAGTATGATCCTTAGGACTGTGTGCGGAAAGACCAATTGACTTGTAATCCAGAAATGGAAATGGCAGCGGAGGCTGTCAAGCCCAGGACCATATCGGCGGCAAGCCAGGTGCTGGTTTGGCAGGTACTGGTGGATTTCAAAACACGGCGGAGAGGTTTTGGGCTTATACTTGCTGGTTTGGGTAGACGTGTACCTTTGCGAGGATGCGGGCGCAGCGGACTGGCATGGTTCAACAAGTATCCCAAGTGGATGCTGGCCGCATTTTACAGGCGTGCACGATGTTTACGATCGTAGTCAGGGGAGTGATGCTGGATTTTGTGTTCTCTTTAGTCGCTCATTTGGCTCGAAAGAAGTTTACGTGGTGCTATGATAACACAAGCTGTGGTAAAACACGATGAAAAGAATACAACACTATGTTTAGGTACTTTAAGGGGTTACGTCCTTTCTGCCATGGATCGATCTTATCAACATGGATATCGTTGACTTTTGAGTCTGATTTTGATGGGACTCTTGCAATGAAATAATCGCGCAATTCACCCCAATAGTCGACAAGCTCAAAACGGGAGTCTCCATATAACTGACTCACTCCACTTCTTAACAGCCTGGAGCTAGGGAGTGTTCTTGCGCTATGACACCACCTTCATCGAGAAAAGCGAAACACCGAAGGCCATTGGGATGTCGTGTCACAAAGATTGCCTCGTCGTGGCTGGCCAGGGGCCTTCGTGGATGCTGTCCCAAGCGCTTCAATACGCGTATCACGTCTTCAAAGTATTCTGGTGGCTCTGGCAGACTCATCTTAGATGATGTAAGCATTCGAAATGACTCGTTCCTCCCTCGCAAAATACGCGTATTCGCATCTTCTACCGCATTGGCATCGCCTGCTGAACGCTCATTGGTCAATTTCTACTGCTGCTACCGTGCTGACAAGAAGGGCATGTTTCTCTCGGCAACGCAAAATCGTCCTCTCCCTTATAGCCTGGATGCATATAAAGGACAGAAGGAAAGAAAACATAGTAGCCACATCAATTATCATACCATCTACTGGTGATCTTTTCGGAGGACTCATCACAAAGTTCATCATCGTCTTCAAGATGGGCAACGGTCAATCAATTCCACTCAGCCTTTACGTCTACGCTCCCAACAAACCCCTGCCAATCATCTTCACCCTTCTATACTTCCTCACCTTCGTCATTCACACATATCAATGCCAGTAGGTATTCCATCCACCTCCATCTCCCCACACTGACCAATACCTCAGTCGCGACAAATCCTGGCGTCTGCTATCCCTCCTTGCCGCCTCCGGCCTTTCCTTTGCCCTCGGCTACGCCCTTCGAGCATATAACGCCTTCAACGGGTACTTGTACTCCACTACCAACGCAACACCTCTGCTTGTCTACATCCTTAGCCAAGTCTTCATATACATCCCCCCTCCGCTGCTCGAACTGGCGAACTATCACATCCTCGGGCAAGTGCTAGCATATATCCCGCGCTGCTCACCTCTACCTCCAAAAGCCGTGATGCGGGTGTTTGGGAGCGTGATGCTGGTTGTTGAGACGGTCAACGCGCTGGGCGTGAGTTTGAGTGCCAGCCCGGATGCAAAGAAGGTGACGAAAGAGCTGGGGAAGGTTATGACGCTCGCTGCTTTAGCACTACAACTTCTCGTTATCTTCACGTTCGTAGTGCTGGCTACAATGTTTCACCAGCGTGTGAGGCAGGCAGGACTACAATTGCGCGCCGTAGAGACAGCGCTGAGGACGCTGTTCGCTAGTATGGCGCTCATTTTTGTGCGCTGCGTATACCGGATGGTGGAACATGGGGGCAACACAGAGGTTGATTTGGGTGATGCAGGAAAGCTGGCCAAGCTAAGTCCGGTCATGAGATATGAGGCGTTTCTCTATGTCTTTGAAGCGACGCTTATGTTGGTCAACGTGGGGTTGTGGATTGTGTGGAATCCGGGGAAGGCGTTTGGAAGACACGTATATCTAGGAAGTGACGGGATCACTGAGGTCGATTATGAAGACGCAAAGAAGAGCAAGATTTGGACAAGGTGGCCTTGGCGTGAGAGGGGAAAGATAGGATATCGATTGGAAGATGGACCAAGGACGGATTCGGATGCGCTGCGCGGTTCATGACGCAAATTATTCCTATTTAATGCCGTGCAGCAAACATGCTTGGTGGTTCGCCCGCTTCTACGATTATATCATGAGAGATCAGATAGCTTCGATCGTCAAGTACCGTGCGAAAACGGAGGTTCATAGCAACAGTACAAGCAGGAAACTTTAAGCATATAAGAAGAAACAGAAGAGAAAGCGGATTGCCTTCACTCCATAATGAAGAACGAGCAACAAACTAATGAGTCGTGGGTAACACACCCGTGGATGCAGCGCCAGAAGCCAGCGCAAACGCACCTTGGGGATTGAGTCATCCTCAAACAAAGATAAGTCCCGTCCCATCAAAATATGATACGCCTCCAGGATTTGTGATTCTTCTGCATCGCCTGACTGACGGAAAGCAGATCGGTGGCCGAATGATGACGAATAATTGTACGAAGGACAGAGTGACTGCAACATTTTGAAGTCATTGGGAGGAATTTGTGATCGAGACGTGAACCAGTGGGGACAGAATATGTATTGGCGATTTACGAGTGGCTACGGCGATTCAGGAAAATCTCCAGATTACCCACACATGATACGAGATACAAATGACGAAACGGATGCTGCCTCCAGAAGAGACTTGACGCTAATTGCGGAGGCGAAGGAGCTGAGGCTGCTAATTTTAACTGATTATACGTGAGCACTTTCATGTGCCCTGATCTGTAGGGCGATGAAGTATCTTGGGCACACTCGATGTGCTTTTATGGTTGTGGAGGAGTCACGTATGAGATTGGTCTTTGCAAGCACCCTTAAAATCGTCAACACCACGACCCCTGCACAGATCCACGCCCTCTGCAAGTTGGTGTCGATACTGTAGCGCTATATTACCCTTGCAGGTATGCGAAGAACGGGCTGATAGCAGTTTCGACTCTTTGGATGCTCATATTGAAGGCGGCTTAATTATAATATGCCTTTCGAAAAGAGGCAGGTGTAGCACGTCACGGTGGAGGGCGGGGACGATCGGCCGGATGGGGAAATAGGGCACAACAGATTGTATTAATCCACGTCGCGATCTTACGTAGCTGCGCATATTTTGGAAGGGACTCCCTAGGCGGTGCCTTTCCACTACTTCATGTCCCACCTGACGTCTAAAAAAGGCTGAAGCTCTTGAAGGTGCGGCGGTGACACCACCACTGATCAGTGATGGAGCACTATTGGCAGCGCTCTAATTCCGCTTGAATGTTCTAACATCTCGGGCTAGAACGAGTGTTAATTGATCAAGAGCCCCTTATTCCGGGCCTGCAAAATATAATCTGACTCTCAACGATGATATCCCTGGAAAATCAACCCGTGAACCTGTGGATCGCGCAAGTGAATGCGGCTCTGTTGAGTAAACTTTGCGTTTGGCGCAGCAGACGCTCGGGGCCCACTTTGGCTTGGGAAGGTAAGAGAAACAGTGTGCGCAAGCTCAAAAGGGAAGGCGCTCACCAAGTCCTTATACATACACCACTGAGCCGTTGCAGATCCCCAAGACAGCACTCTCCCCTTGTCGAACCCCAAAATCAACTCCACCTCTCCTTCAATATGAAGTCCCTGTGCTTCCTAATCACTATAATCGTTGCTGCGGTCACGGCCATTGACATCAGCTTCAGCAACGATGCGGACTGCAAGGGAGTCCAGGTGTTGTGCTCCAACTATCCCCCGGATTCCTGCTGTAAGCCATATCCCACCCACATCGTGGAAGTGTTCTATGAGAGAGAATTTACGTTCCTATTCACTGAAGCACTTATCTGGTAATCATATCGACAAAAATTGAGGATCTGTACCATGGTAGGGTGGGGGCATTCTATTCGCAAACAACAATAACGCCTTCGGATCTTCGCTGACCTTGTTTCCGCACTGCAGGCTATGTTCCCAACGAAGGTTCCTTCGCGCATGTCGTCTTTGTTGCCGTACCCGGAAATTGGCGTATCACGATGCAGGGCTACGTACAGTACGATTGTAAAGGCTTTCGAACTGGAGGGGATAGCCACGACACTCCGGGCCTACAGGACTACTGTTACGCAGGTCCAGGGCTTCCGCAGGCCTGGCGGTCGGGGCGATACCTATTCCGCTCGGATGCTCACGAAGCGTCGACGACACCAGCCACCAACTGCTCGCTCGTCGATACTTTGATCCTCGGGAATGGCACCAAGTACGCGCTACATGGTCTAGATGAGGACGCAATTTCTCAGGCTGTATGACTCCGTCACAATACTCATGTCCGGGATGTGGCATCTGCTAATGATATCCTAGATCGAGACCGTGGTCAATGGGACCGTCGAAGCGGCCATTGAGAAGTTCAATTTGTCCCAACTCTAGGCATGAATACCACCAAGGAGCTACATCCTGTAGTCTCGTGATCCAAGGTGAGTTTCGCTGAGGTCCGAGGCGCAAACGACATGCAGCATTCAGTACCGAATGAACACCTTTCGAATATATGGAGGAAATTCGAAGAACGAGTAGGGCAACTCATGACGGGTATATCTATATGAATTGAACATTGCAAAACATGTAGTCCTCGCCTGCACCTAGAAGCTGTGGCGTTTACAGAGCCAATGAACGTTAAGTGTGCCATGCCAAGGTGTCGAAATGACGCAATACGCGTATTACGTAAGTTATCCGCGTCTCACGATCCTTCGGTGTGTACATATGGGATTCAATGTGCATTTGACAATGTAATACGCGTGTTCCGATGTAACTGCGACTTGCGAAGAGGGACGACGTTGGACTCTCGGGCATCCTCAATCGCGTTACGGCATGCAAAGGCGCAGCCACAGGAAGTCGCGCGGAGGGTGTTTGCAGTGGTGAGTCGAACGCAAAGCCGACGAAACGTTGAAAGCCGCCCTAACCCTTCTGCACAGTAAGCGAAGACATGTCAAGGTATGTGAGCAGATGGTCGTCAATGCGGACTGAACCGTATCCTACACTCGAGCTAACTTGCTGCGTTGTATCAACAGTGCGACGAACAACACCCTGCTTGCCGTCTTTGCGTTGTCTCCGAGCAAACCTGTAGTTTTTCGACTAATCCTTCGATTAAGAGCTCTAGATTGAAATCCCGTCCTAAATCGCAGTTCGCTGCCTCTAGTGGCGAGAATACCCCGAGCGAGGCGACAGATTCTACGCTACCCAATACACCACCCGGTCCATCGCAAACTTCTCGGCATACCTTATGTATATACTCTCAGCCCACGGGTCAATCGGATCTGTTCCTTGATAATGTCGTCAACCTCGAGCACATGGAGCTACTCTTCCATTTCATCCAAGCACAAGACCTCTTCAGCCTCGGGGGTGACAGAGTGACCCATGAAGAACACTTTACCACCAACCAGATATTCGAGACATGCCTCCAACATCCTTGCCTTTTACATCAAATCCTTGCTTTCTCCGCCCGACATCTCGCCAGCATCTACCCCTCTAAAGCTACCTCTTATCTGCACCAAGCCATTACGTTACAGACACGCGCCGTGTCGCTCTTCAACGCCTCCAAAGCTCCCATCACGAAAGAGACATGCGTTCCAATCCTTCTCTTCTCCACGGTACTAGGCCATCAAGTTCTTGCGGATACGTTGTGCAGACGAGATGCGGAAAATTTAGATGCCTTTTTGGTACAATTTGTACAGTGTTTGGATACGCTCAGGGGCGTGTATGTGATATTTAAAGAAGCGAGCCCGTTCTGGCAAGAGTCTGTTCTTGAGCACATACTATCGCTCAGCTCGGCATTGACATCGCGAGAACCGGTCGGGACGCGCTGTCAGCGCGTCGAACAATTAGTTGATACATCCTTGAGCCTCAGTCTAGGAGATAAGGAAGCGTGTCAGGTGGCGTTACGGTATCTTCAGATAGGCTTCGATGCCTTACTCGCGGGAAATGAGCCAAAGGGCAATAGACACCAGATGATGTTTCTTTGGTGTATTCTGGTGCCCAGAGAGTTTATTGCGTTGCTATCAGCGAAAAACACGGAAGCTTTGGTCGTGCTGGGGCATTATGCGATGCTGCTAAATTATGGACGGGCGATGTGGCAGGTGGAAGATGCAGGAGAGTATATACTAGGGCTTCTACGGGCAGATCTTGATGGAAAGGTGAAATGGGACTGGATATAATGATACCTTGGCCGTGGTGTCTGAGGTTGCGCCTCAAGTGGGGCCAGGCAAGTTTCTTGACGCGAGATGCGTAGATGCGATGAATGGTCATGAGCATCCTGAATTGGGTTAGAGCTCAAAACCCCATATATGAGACGCATTTTTAGTAAGCGCAGACCACGATGCTTAGCTGAACTACCTTGTAGAAAGCACGCCACTTTTGCGAGGTTTTCCCTATCTCGGACACATCGGGCTACTACTGGTAAGCGATCACATGGCGCATGATTTGCGACAAAACCACAGACCTGTTCTTACTCAACTTGTCCATGGCTTTCGCGCGACCGTTACTTATACCACTGACTTCTGTTGAATATTAGCTGTTGGCGCTGTGGAACACGAGAATCCAAGTTCCACTGTGTAACGTCACTCACACGGAGGCTCGACGCCAAGGGCCGAAAACGCAAAGAAACACCTGAGCACCTTCCAACAAACAAATACCGCACAAAGAAACCAGAGCCACTCCATAGCTGCTCGGCATGATCGAAAAGCCAACGCTCATATTTATTCCCGGCTCCTGGCACAAGCCCCAATGCTACGAAAAAGTCATCAAACTACTTCAAGACGAGCACGGCTTTAAATGCATTGCCATCACGTTACCTTCAACAGCTGGCAACCCCAAGGCCACCTTTAAAGACGATGTCGACGCTGCTCGAAACGCAATACTCTCCGAGACGATAGCAGGCCATGATGTCGTCGTCATCGCGCATTCCTACGGCGGCATGGTTGGCAACAGTTCCATCAAAGGCCTAACACAACCTCAACCCAATGCAACTCAAGCAAATTCACCTAAAGGTCACGTTATAGCACTAGTACTCATTGCAACAGGCTTCACAATCACCGGGTTCTCCTTCATGGACCCTTTATTTGGCGTACCACCTCCCTTCTGGCGCGTGAACAAAGAAACAGGTTATGCTGAGTTGACGGCCGACAATCGCGAGCTCTTTTACCACGATTTGCCTCGGAAGGAGGGCGAGTACTGGGTCAACCAATTGACGACTCAGAGCTTGAAAGCGTTGTTTGAGGGCGGGAAACATGCATATGCAGGCTGGAAGGATGCGCCGACGTGGTACATTGGTACTGTCGAGGATAAAGGGCTGCCAGTAGTGATTCAGAGATTGCAAGTCGGTGCGGCGAGAGGCCAGGGTGGAACAGTGCATCATGTGGAGTTGCCTACTAGTCATTCGCCCTTCTTGAGCATGCCGGCGGAGGTTGTGGCGATAATTCTACGGACTGTGGAGGAGGCTGAAGGCTCGCAAAAGCCGCGTGCGCGAGAAGGTGCAAATCTTAAGATGATCGAGATTCCGGCAGTGAAGATCCTGGTGCCGGGGACATGGTTCCGCTTCGGCTTTCCCCTGGCTATTGGGCGGGTGCTGGGCTGGGGTTTCTGGTCTTATCAAGGCTTAAAGGGGCTTTTCACCTAGCGGTATAAGTAGAGACAGGATTCAGGTGATAAACACTATTGTTATCGGACCCGATAGAATACCACTCTCCTTTCAAAAACATATCCGGCTGAGATTAATCTCCCAACAGGTCACTGACTGTTGTCCTAGCATATCAATATTCCGGCTTTAGTGATTTCTATATAGTCCTGCTCAACGGATTGACCTATTACTTTTTGAGTCCTCATACAACAGCAAAATGCAGATACTCCAGAAACAGCTGCTAGAACTCCGGATCCTTCTTTCCACCCTTCGTGTTGGTATACGGAAAGATGGTCACTACTTTGGGACTGTACTTTCCATGCGACTCAAGCGCTACTGCGAAGCTAATCTCTATTGGTGTAGCCTCAATTTCCTACGTTGGCTTATCGAGCATCTCCACTGTGCACGCAAGTCCACTGGGGATATCCTAAATATTCTTGTTACGAAGTCTATACTGCCCTTGAGAGCAGTCCTTGAGGATCATCCGCCCTAGTGCCGAGGGTTTTCACTCCTAGATTGAGATAATCGGCAATGTTTCCCCACACACCTTCACGATTATCGATGCTGATAGCATGGTCAAAGACCTAGTTGGCTATGACGGCACCGGATGTTTCGAATGACAGATAATTCAGGGGATTCGACACGTCCTCCTCGAATGTACGTGCCCTTCTATACTACTTCGTTTGGAGTACTCTTGACCTGCGAAACGGTTCAAGCGTGCCTTTCGCAGGAAGCGCCTTCGCAGTCGTAAGAAATACCGTTCTCCGACCGTATTGTGGATGCGATACCGTGATGGCTCTTTGATCTTGCCTAATCCATTTGATGCTCCGCGGTTCCGCCCCGTATACAACATTGGTATCATTCCCTCCTCCTGATAATGTATATATCGTGTTGGTGAAGACTTTGAATAGCAGTTAGCGAATTGTGGACTTGCTCGGTCGCATCGGTCGGAGTAAGTCTGCGCCCGCCGGCCATTCCCGCCGCGCTTACCTAGCCGTCGCTCATTGGTACATTACTGGAATTGACAACATTTGTACTAAGCCACACAGTCCGCAAATGTACACTGCCCAACAGCAATGCAATGCACCATCGCAAATTACGTGAATTAATTTTATTTATCAAAGATCATCAAGAAACGACAAAGTCACGGCCGCACGAAAATGGCGCAGGCGGACATCCTTCGTCCGACCGACCGGCTTTGCTCGATCTTGCTGACCGAGCCGCGAGATCCGAAAAACACCGCGATTATATATCAGCACCATCCATAATCTGACACCTAAATTTCAGGCTTAGAACTTCGTGATTTTCATTACATCAATCCGCAGCACTGCCACAGCCTCCTCTTACGAGTCTGCGAAATCGAAATGTCGTCTACCCTTTCGTTTGAGATCGCGTACTCACTCTTCCACTGGATGAGCGCGGACATCTCTCCACAGGTACTAGCTGCAAAACACCGAAGGACAAGCTCAACAGCGAGTGTGAGCTCCAGCGCGAGCTTGATGAGCGAGGGCGTGGAGGCGCAAGCTTTCACCGAGCGGAGAGCAAGCGGAGTTAGACATCGAAGATCAGGCTCAGAGACTAGTGGAAACAATTTTCGAAGTGTTTGAAGTGCCGCGAGAGAACTTAGAGAAACGATACATGAGTAGTGTGCCGGAGGATGGAAATGAGGTAATGTTCTTCACTAGACTGTGCAGGCACGACTAACGCGCATCAGTCCCTATTCCTCGCCTTCTATAGGAGCAGCAGAGAGCAACCAGCCTCAACCCCAACGGGCCGCGGATAGAGGACGCCTAAGGATTAACGACAGGCCTATGAGCAACGGGAAGTGAAATTTGGGGAAAGGAAAGGGTAGGCGTACGACAGGACGAACGTAGGCCTGAAACGGCTAGATTATAACGCTTTTGAGTGTAGCGTACAGATGACGTAAACAAGCGCACCTGTCTTGTCTCCTTGCTATCCGAGATTCTATCACACTACGTGTACGCATCTTTCACTCTAGCGTAGCTAGAAAAGAGTGCATTGCTTATTCTCCAATGATCGCCTTCACTCTGTCACATGGACTTCCTGTATGATCCACCCTACATCGAATTAAAACACGCGCATTTTCGCCGTCGAAGCATCAATGCTAAAAGACAGGAACATACCCAATGCTGTACCTATTGCATCCACCCATGAACCTTCGAAGTGCTCAAGCCAACAAGCACGCAGCGAACACCGCCCCTATTGCCAAAGCTCCCACTTGTTTGATTGAGAGATAAGGAGATAGTGAAGCACCATTATCGATGGGAACGGAAGGCGGCGTGAGAATCTGTTGTTCATGAGCCATGACATTGCAGCAAGTGAGATGGTTCTCAATAAAGGAAACCCGTTCAGGAAGCGACTCACCCTATCGATCACGTAGGCAACTCCATTCTCCAGTATGATGTTAGTGGAAATGATCTTTGCACCATCGATATAGTACTCTCCATCAGTGGATTTCGTCACTGTGAGCACCCCTCCTCCTGCGGTCTGCAGCGTCTGGCATTCTTCCAGCATCGGTAGGTAGGCGGATAAACCCCGCACGACGTGGTTTTGTATCACAGTAGTACTGAGAGTTCGATTACAGCCCTGCGCTGCTATCGCAGCGTTGCTTGGGATGAAGAACGTTCCGCCTCTCTGTGAGTCAAGAGCCGTTGTCAAGTTACTGGAGTTCAGCAGCGCCCCGAAAGAAGTCGTGTCTGAGAGGGTCGCAAGCGTCCTTGAAAGATTGGTCGGAACAGTGAACATCCTGATGTAAGAATACTTAGTCGCCACAGGCAATGAATTCAGACTCATGAAGCCAGCTTACCCATCGATTGTATAAATGTAGCCTCCGTTGTACTCGATTTCAGGCTTCACAACAGTGACCTTGTTTCCAAGACCAGTAACAAGCTGAAGAACTGGGGTATCATCATGAGGGTACTGGGAACTGTTGCTCTCGCGCTCGACCCTACCGTCGATCATGGCAAATTTCTGCCTTTTGCCGCCTTCCAAATTCGCCCGAACATCATCGCTTGCGGTAGTGAACAGAAACGGGAGAGAGGAACCTTCACGTTTACTCAATGTTTGAGGCAGAGAATCATTTGTCTGTTGCCTCTGCTGTTCTTCGGCGATCTCGTAAGAAAGTTTTTCGATATCGTCTGGACTAATGTTAGCTCTTCGAATCGCCCCCGTTCGCTGTGAGGGCAGAAGATTGGCGAGAACGGAATCAACTGGCGCGAAGATTGTGTGGACGTTGGAGCTGGAGACGAGGGCGCAAAGAGCGGGGTTTGCCTCAATCACATCGGCGAATAGGGTCGCATTGGAGCTGCGAAGCGTGCTGAGGAGATCAGATGCAAGAGTAATTCTGGCCAAAACCCAGAAGTAGTAAGACCCAGAGAAAGTGGGCATCATGATGCCAGCCCAGAATGTAGGATGTGTTCAATAATGATGGGTGAGGACCGACGATTCAATTTGCTTTTGGATCCAGCAGGATGGCCTATAAAGGAACCGAGACCATACGCTAACCTGGTTGAGAATGCGGTACACGTCCTATATGATGAAACAGAAAGGAGTCTCTATTGCATATTCGTGGGATGTAGTGGAACGCCCATACTGGCAAAGCCCAAATAGCATGAGTGCCACTCGTGGCAGATTCGATGCTAGCACAGCATGACCGTGGCCTATAGGCATTGACTTGTCAGCTTGCTGCTAAACGTTCTGACTGTGTATCAGCAAGCAGAAGACCATTTCAACAAAGTCCGTAGATGCGTGGACTGCGCGATCGGCTGTGGCTACCGAGTCTAGGTTCGGAAGGGTTCAATTGATGGCCCCACAGTAGATGGAGCTTTTCGGTTGCTGTTCGGAAGCTTTCAATTCCTGGTCTTACTTAAGCCTCCTATGGTAGGAAGAGCTAAGATGCCTGGTGATCGCAAACAATTATTTTTCAGGCGGCTTACACTGCGTCCGTACTGTTCCTCAAGCCAGTACTAACCAGTGGTGTCCAATCACCGGAGTGTGGCAATACAACCAATATTGTGTACAGTGGCTCAGATGGCTACTTGGACCGCTTTGTGTTACTTATAACCGAGAAACGGGTACTTTTGTGCTGGGACGATTGGATGCTCAGGCCGACGGGCAGCCTAGCATACATTGTCCTCCTGTGTCAATCACACATCACACAGAGGAGCGATGAGCGGGTATCAGGTGACTCGAGGAGGGGAAAGGTTCAGCCCCTTGAAAGAATGTCGTTCAGTCTGCTTCGGATCTCGCATGCCACCCCGCACCCTTCAACGTCTTACGCCTGTCTTTCTCAACGATAATTCCGAATGTCGTCACATTACGAGCCTACAGTAGGCTCATACATTCTCAATCGTGTCTTTTACTTCCCTACTGACGGTGGCTCCGCCCTAGCTATTGCTGTCAGTGCAGCCAATGCTTCAAGCATCCTTTCGATCTACTCGATCCTCGTCAATACAGCAGTGGGGCAAATCTGGGCTATCATCGTTATAATAGGAGTTTATTCAATTCTACGGCGGCCAGCAGAATCTCGCTCGCATAATGAAGTGGTTGCGTCTGTCGGTGTATTGAACGCAAAACGACCTCTTGACGTTGGCGCGTTGACTTTCAATTACCTGTGGAAACTCAAGAGGAACTCACCTTGGAGTATGCTACTATGGTTGTTCGTCTCCATTTTCGCCTTGATAGCCAGCGCTGGTGTCCCTGCTCTCATAGTCCGCACCATGGTCCTTGGTCACGGTGCTCCCGTGAACCCCAACAGCATCTATGTCCCGTTCCCCCCCAACGTTACCAGCGGAGCTGCCTTTTTACTGAATGCCATCGCAGTCCCATCAGCTTTGCGTGCAGCGGGAAGCGTGCAATCAACAGACCTCTCATGGTACGACAATAAAGTACAGATCGATAGTCCCGTCACGCTTAACGGTCGACCTGACATTGGTGAGGGAGAGTATGTGAGCCAGTATGGCTATCGATACGACGTGGCAGCCAAAGACTTCGGATTACAGCGCTACACCGGCCTTGTTCTACACGTCGAGGGTTTATGCACTACGGAATACGGCTGGCACTCAAACTCGTCTAGCACAGATGGCAAAGAATCGTACTGCCTCTGGGGTAATTGCAGCCTACCAATCACCATTCCAGTCTACGATTCACCCATACCAGTCGCCGTTTTCAAGACAGATCTTGCGTCCACAATCAACAATCCGGCACATTTGAACCATTCGTTCGCCATGATTGTCTCTTCGGCTGGACACACGAGCTACTTTGAAGGAAAAGACCCTTTCTATCTCACTGGACCAAAATACACAGAGATTCGGTCAAATAAGGTATACCGAGTCAAGAAAGGCCGCCCCATCCTGTCGTGCTGGCAGTCAGACGCGTGGAGGTACAGAAATCAGCAATTCGCAGTCAAAGGTCTAAGCAGCATCATCACCGACTTTCCAGAAGCATTGGGAAACGTTTTGATATCTCATCTATCTGAGCCCATGATGACAAAACTTGGGCTTCAACTGGGTCAGTCGGCGTTATTTTCGGCCAGATCATCGCTTGGAATCAACTTCTACGCCGCAGGTGCCAGCGTCCATGCGGATCTCACTCACCTGATTCTTGCATCATACATCGCCACAAAGAATATTTTGACAGATACTGCCCTGGTAAGGGGCGATAACGCTACAGACACGGGAATTCCAAGTCTTTTGGACGATGAACAGTTGAAGGATATGGCCATATTCGTGATTTACAGCAAGGACATCAGCGCCCTCTCCCTCGCGGTACTCATTGCTGTCCCCATAGTAGTTGCGGTGATGTTCCTGATTGCCTACATCGTAACATCGCACCCTTGGTTCCCATGGTACGTTGTGCAAGGCTACCAAGCAACAGCCCTCTACAACCTACTGGACGAGAAGCTCTCCGGTGCAGAACAACCTTCTTCTGATGATACCAAAAAGGAGCAGAGCCATGGTCATCATTCATGGAGGCATAATACGATCGCACGGTTCGAAGGACCTAGGGCTTCGGGCAGACAGGCGTCTATTGTTCAAGGAGCTGATGGGCAACCCACCTTGATTGTAACAGAACGCGCAGAGCGTCCTGAGCCGCGTCAAACGCCTGGTGAAAGGTGAATCAAAAACTCTCCTTTTCGCGTTCATCGTACGCGCCTCAAGTTCTACGCTTACTTTACGAAGGCATGAAACTACGACCCTGTTAGGGCCGGAAACTGAGAGATCAGGAGTTACAACAATGTAACTGTACCGGCACTGGCAGCGGAGTGCATGAACGTACTGCTGGTGAGTTGCGTGAGAGGTAAAGGAGATTGGTTATATCTTTGGGACATTAGAGGCGAAATCGCAGGTGATTGAGGAAATGACGCTCATTTGAACAAATAGGTAGAAAGAAGGCGTTATGATGACTGACGAAAGTGAATCTTGGGAGGGTCAAATCTATCTTTAGTGAGTGTCAAACAAATCTTCCATTCGGAGCAACTTGAGTACAAGAACGGGTGGCTACCATGGATTAATTCTGTCTACTCTCCTTATCCAAATGAACCTCATTACCCCCTTTGAATATGAAGAATTCAATTTGGACCAAATACTCTTCAAGCTATATTTACTTGGAGGTGACTGTGACTACGTATCTCCAAAGGCAAAGCGATAGCATATACCTCCCCTCGATTCTGCATCCATCGATGGTGCGCCGTTGTGACTTGACAGAATGATCAATGCCCGGGTGTGTATTCTGACAATTATGGTGATCCAGTCATTATATCACGATTCGTCGACGATTCTCTGTTGCAATAGTCATTTTAGTAATAGAATGTATTCCAATGAGGTAGTTACATTGCTCTCAATACATTGGAATTTCATGCAAGCGGCACCGGCCCCCATGCCGCACAGTCATCACACTTGAGGCATCGCTGTTTTGCTATATCGACGGAGAGCTGGAGCACAGGAGCTGTGCTGACCTCGCGAGTCATCATGATAAATATAACGGCAAGAGTGGACGCTTGAAAGAGTCTCATATTGGTAAGTACGTCTGATACGTTAGCTAAGACTTCAATATCGCGATAGGTCTTGAAAGACCTTCGTAGAATAAATTCGACGATTGAACAATTAGAATTAGAGGACGTTAGCGTGAAGTGAAAAGCTCTACTATATTTCGTCGTTGAACAGAGACTCAGAATGGAGGAGTTCCAGTTGCCTTGGTGCTCGGTCCGTGTGGGCGAATCGCGCCACTCCCCAGAACATGGCCTACCAATATGCGCCCTCAACGATTGACTCGTTGTACTTCCACTTGTAAACCATCCAAATTTTGAAGCGACTACGCGGGCGATTACATTATAAGCTACACTGCCCTTCAAAATCTGAATGTTGGAGTTGTGCACGATAGGTACTAATTTCAGCTCGGAGACTTACTCGTTCGAAGGCAATGCTTACCCGGCAACCGCCTGTCGTGTCTCACGTGATGCACAGATATGAGCTCGGCAAGCTGGGCAGCGAACGTAAGGCTGCTGCCAGTACGCGCCGTTAACAAGTTGCTTTAGATCCTCCAGATGGAGCATATGACCACAAGCACGCAAGCGAACGCCAGGGTTGGTTGGCGTAACGTTGCCCCGGAAGAGCACCTGGCAGATGAGGCATTCGTCCTCTGCTTGGAGGTCGGACGTCTCGATCTGATCAGAGAGCTGGTGAGCCTCGATGAGGGGGCCCACAGCTACAATTTCAGGTGTAACAGCGAGGTGTAATTCGCCCGCGTATGCAGGGGCATGCTCATATAATAAAGGTTGCTGAGCATAGTGTTCGAACTCGCACAAATCGGGGCCAACGTTTTCTTCGGGGTCGGGACCGAAAACCTGATCTATAAGCGTGTCAAATGGATTCTGCTGGGCTGCCAGATGTGGCAGTTCGATGTCACGTTCATCGGGAAGGTCCATCGCGTTTGGTTGAGGGATACCCCGGACCAGGTCCAGAGAGTGATGGGTGTGTAGGTCCATTAAAGGGGGCGCGAACGCCCCAGGGGGAAGCACTGGACCTAGGAAGGGGTTACCAAGTCGTGTCGCCCTGTAAGCGTAAAAGCGATCGTACTGAATATCTTCAGCAGCCCATTGAACCTGCTGCACGAAGTGCTGTGCCAATCTCTGAATGTTCATGAGGCTGGGAAATGGGCGATTTAGTGATTGCTGTACGTCCACAAGGAAATAATTGGCGGCGGCAATCATGTCACACTTCGCAAGGATCCAACGAATGTGCAATGGCGCGTTCGAGAATGGGTTCTCGATCATTCGACGCCAGCAATCACTCACAGCTTTTAGTCCCGCGTAGCGGGCCGGCTCGCTCAGCTCAGGCATGCCCTCTGCTGCGAAATTCCACTCCTTTGGACCGTACTTATTCCATACCTCGGCACAGTTCAAAGCTAGGCGCATGAACTCGCGCAAGATGTGAAACGCATCATCATCCTGGATAGACTCGCGACTATCCCTAGCCTTGTTGGCAAGCGCAAACATGGCACGAGCCATCTCTGGGTTATCGTTACCAGAAATCTCATGTGGTATAACGCTCGGTGGTGGCAGATTCGCGAGGATTGGTTGAGGCCCTACCAACACAGCCAGCTTGACGCTTAAAGCATCCGAGAGGCTTGTATGCAACGCGCAGCGAAGCAACCAAAGCTTCAGTTGAATAAGGGCAGGGTGGTCATGCTCCTTTGACAGAAGGCTGAAGTCTAATCCTCGAACAAGCCCTATTGAATCACGGACGGCCATCTCGAAAGTTAACGAGTAAGTGCTGCCGAAGAACGCCAGGTTAATGGCGATGGAAGTCTGAGGGTCGTAGCGACTCAATTGGTCTTCGAAGAAGAATGTAGAGTGACCCAAAGGAGGATTAACCTGAACAATGTGAGCGACGACAGTTGCTAGAAATTTGAGAACCTCGCGCACTTCCCTGATGTGGTCAGTGCGGTGAAGAAGATATGCCAGCCCATATTGGGAAACAACTGGGAAAGCATAGTCGGCCATTCTGCTAAAGTGTCCGTTATTGAAGTCGAGAGCTTTAACTGGACGAGTATCAGGCAAGAGATGTTAGACGTGTGCAGTGGTCGTCGGACGTTCCCTCGGCTGGTTGAGTTGTTTTTCGGTATGGGGAAGATTGAGAGTAAATTTTTATAGCCAACATCGCTAGATAATGGTGGGTATATCTCTCATACGAGTTACATTCTCTGTGAATGAACAATGTCGTGAGATCAGGTGCGATGCCTAGCAATCTTTGTGATTTTTTCCTCGATCTGGTGCCCCACAGGGTGAAATTTTGGTCTAATTGTGACACAGGGATTCGCTCACGCTCACAAAGGCGTTCAAGAGAGCCCTAAATGATGATGCGACCATACCTTCCCACAGAGCGACGAGTATGCTGCAGCATGCGCTTTAGAATATGTAGAAGACTTCGCTCCAATTGATGTAGAGGCATAGTCTCGTGAGCGAGCCGGGGTGTCAAGCCATCTGAAGACTAGTCAGCGACTTTGCAGGGTACTATAGCTTACGAAGGGAGAGAGAGAAACAGACACTGATGAGTAACATGGATTGGTCACGGGTGGTCACGGGGAGTGCCTCACTATGCTGTAAATCCCGTAGATGTACTTTGTTCAGCAACACCGCCTTCCTAGGACTCAGTGCCGCTGTCTGAGAATATTGACAGAAAAGACGTGGCAGTCGCAACGGGCACTTTGTTGTCTGAGTGCGGCGCCAGATCTGTCAGTGGCTGTCTCGCAAACCCTTCTTCTCACATTGTTGAGTTATTCCTTTCTTTTATATTGTGTCTGAACACTGCCGCCATACCTATCGACCCTTGGCCACTGCTTGTGCCGTGCTTGCTTCTCTACTTGAAAGCGTGTGAACGCGTGACGTATTCGTCTGCCAAGGCATTGGGCATGTTTGAGACATGCGCGTACCCATCGGTCCACCTGCCAGCAAAACAAACAAAACAGCTCTTTCGCCTCAAAAGTATGGCAGTGGCCACCTTCAATCCGTCCCCGCTAGTTCTCTGCGAATCTCCCGAGCCTCTTCCACTTCTCATCTCATCAGCCATTTTCATCTTGCATTCCCCCCACCCGCTAAGTCATCACTCAGACTTCCACTGTCATGGCCAACCGTACCGCACAAGAAGAGGCATGGGATCGCAGGAGGTATAGCGTACCGCCCAGCTTCCTGCGTGTGGAAGATGTCCGCGTCGCCGCCACCAAGACGACGAAGTAGGTCTTTTAGCCTAGGCCTGTTGGCACTTCTAAGTAACAAACAGGTTCTTGAAAGGCGGCGTAGTAACACTCGTCGCCGATTCAACGTGCTATCCGATCTATCGCGACCTCTTGGCCCAGCGCTCAGCATACATGCGAAATGTGCTCGCCACAAAATACGAAGGACCTGTCCCTGTAGAAGTCGAAGGAACGCATCTCGAAACGTACCTACACTTGCTGTTGCGAGACGAACTGATTGTCCTGCATCTACCATCAAATGATTCGTTCGACATGCTGCTCGGTGTGTACTCTGTAGCGTCAAAACTGGACGACCGAAAATCAAAGCGAATTACCATGCACACAATGGTCAGTCTCGCCCGCGAGAAAGGCCATGGCCAAGACCGCCCACTGCCAAGTGCAGAAGCAATCTCCCTAGTCTATTCCACGACGAGTGAGAACGATCCTATACGCCTCTTCCTCCTCGATCTGATCGTTGATAGAGACGACATCAAGTGGATGGAGATAAACTCAGAGGGGCTACCGAGCACCTTCTCTGCAAAACTGCACGTCGCAGTCATGAAATTTCAAAAGCAATATGCTGTACCGCTCGCCGATTCTTTTGACCGGTGCGATATCCGAAAATACCTGGAGGAAGACATCCAGGACGTACCGGCGGGTGCTGAGACCGGAGAAGCAAAGGCTGCGAAGGCACAGGCCGACGAAGCAGAGACTAGTGGACTCATTAGTCGCTGTACCTCAGTTGCTAGGTCGGTTGCGGACCCTAGTGAGGAAATCGCGGTGGAATCGATCTTAAGCTGATGACAGAAGTACGCGTTCCTTTTATACTGCCGCCTCGCATCTCGACGACGATGTGGAGCTTTGAGGAACTTTGAGTTTGGAGTTGCCGATCTGTGCAAGGAGAATGTGGGTTTTCGGTGTCGTTTCTTGGATGACCATCAGTATATAAAATGGTGGGCGTCCGGTGTGTCGTGGGTTGACTCGAAGTAGCGTATGGGTACCGGTTACGTATCTGCCAGGTCGCTTGAACCGCTCTTTACATGAGCCTTCATCTGTACATATGTGCTGTTCTCGTATCTTTGCGCAATCTATTGCCCTTCGTAAGCATTGTGGGACCTCAGTCGCGTTCACAAAGTACGCCTCAATACTATGCTCCAAAACCCTTATGCGTCCTTGTCGGTCTGGTGAAGGCTAGCAGCCTCGACAGCTTCAAACGTTCGAAATGATCTCTACTTGAGAAGACATTGCTCACATCGACCCCGGCTGCGTTTGCTGGTTGATGTATATGGGAATATCGCGTGAATCCCACGAGAGCTGCCCGCACGAGCGCACGTGTGCGTCCATCGTCAACGCGTTTTAGATGACCCCGTTGTGTGGTTGCTGGAGTGGCGTTGTCGTTGCATCTTCTTGCGCTCAAACGTGTCCAGTTGCGGGAAGTCGTGTTTGTGGTCGTTCCTTGGCGTCGCGTCACTCTGCATCGCGACTTCTCTGGGCTTGTTGAACCACTCCTTCGGCCTGAACGTACCTTTTGTATAGCGCGTTTCGAGTCGCATTGAAACATCTGAGCCTTTCGGCTGACCAGGCAACTGCTACAGGGGTGCCTTCCTGTAGGCAAGAGCTTGAAGACGTGGCGGTTGCGGCAGGAATGACACGCTGTAGGGCAAGCGCGCACCATGTACAAACGCGCCTGTTCGGCTCACACTGTGCACAGGAACACACCTTGACACCCACATCCGAGTCAGAGCATGGCAAAAGCGCACCGCACAATTGATTGGCCGTAAAGGGGTTGTCGACGCGTCGAGGGCACACGAAGATTGGCAGCAGCGGCGAATCATTCCTACGAACTTTCATGATCCTCGCACTGCATTCGCCGAATGCGAAGATACGGGTCACAATGAGCTCGCCAGCGAAGGACATCACGCAAGACAGCATAGTCGAGCATCGTGATGGTAAGGAGCGCGGAAGCCGGAGGAATCCTTGGGCATGCTCTCAATATACAATCGCTGTTACTCTGCTGGGCTTGGGGGCGTTGGTCCTTATGGCGCAATCCTTTCTGACTAGGCAAATGGACAGCAAGGGGTGTGTCATGTCATACATGCGGCCGGCCTACCTCAGAATGGACGACTTCGACACGGAGCACACTAGGTTCGCAAATAAATACGCGTTGTATCTGTATCGGGAAGGCGGCATAGATGAGGACTCCAGAGTGAGGGTCTCTTACTTCATTCTTGGACTGAGCTGACGGCTTGAAGGTCAAGGGTGTGCCTGTTCTCTTCATCCCGGGAAATGCTGGAAGCCACAAACAGGTTCGATCTTACGCCTCCGAAGCAGCATACCACTACCACAATTCTATTCGCCATAACACCGCGAGCAGTGTGGGCAAAGGGCCTTTGGACTTCTTTGCTGTGGACTTCAATGAAGACTTCACGGCGTTTCATGGACAGACATTGCTGGACCAAGCGGAATACCTCAACGATGCCATCTCGTTCGTTTTATCTCTGTATCATACACCATCACGGTTTTTACGAGACTCGGATCTACCAGACCCAACATCGGTCCTCATAGTCGGCCACTCCATGGGTGGCGTGGTCGCACGCACGATGCTTACTATGCCGAACTATCAATCCAAATCTATCAATACCATCATAACGCTTGCCGCACCTCATGCCAGACCTCCAATTTCATTCGACGGAGATATCGTGCGCACGTATGACGGAATCAACAATTTCTGGCAACGCGCTTATTCGCAAAAGAGAGCGTCCGACAACCCTCTACAGCACGTTACTTTGATATCCATCGCTGGAGGAGGCCTAGACACGATCGTGTCGTCAGAATACGCGAGCCTCGCTTCACTGGTGCCTGAATCACATGGCTTCACTGTTTTCACATCCTCCATCCCGAGCGCCTGGACCGGAGCGGACCATTTGGCCATCACGTGGTGCGACCAGGTGAGGAAAAGCGTGGTACGCGCGCTTTACGATGTCGTTGATGTCGCGGAACCCGCACAGACGATCCCACACGTGGACCGCATGCGTGCGTTCAAGAAGTGGTTCTTGACGGGACTCGAAGATAATGCCGAGAAGTCCTTACCGCGTGAAGATCCAACAACGCTACTGACTGTCGAAACAGAGAGTGCCGTTGTTCCTGAAGGCCAAAGATTCGTACTGCGGACGCTGGGACGGCTTGCGCCAGGACCTAAGGCGTATCTCCTTCCCATCTCGGAAGGCCAACCCGATGGTAGCAGATTTAACCTTCTCACTAGCGAACAGTTGGATTTTGCTGGGCAAGATGGCAGACTTGAAGTACTGTTTTGTAGCGTCTTGCCGGCTCAACATGGCCACTCCACAAATCTTTTCCAAGTCAGTTTGGATCTGTCGGGTCATAGCTCCGTCCCCACAAGGCTGGCCTGCAAGAATGTCGCGTCCGATGCTGTCATTCTTCCTGCGTCCACGATACACTCCACGCATCCCTCCAAGAACGATCAAAAACCCTTTTCGTATCTGCAGTACAAGGTGGAAGATTTTCGGGGGCATCAATTCATTGCCATCCTTGACAAGGCCAAGCAGCACAGCTATGGTTGGGTCGTTGCCGAGTTTAGCAACGAAGCCGAATCGATACATCAGATCGATGTCAGCCTGCCTCGCCTTCTAGCTACAAGCTTGAGCCTTCGTCTTCCTGCTCAACGACCATTAATCGCAGAGTTCAATGTTCCCGCGTTGCATTCGAGCCTCTTGGCGTACAAACTCAACGTTCGACAACTGGGATGTTCCACAGGCGAGCTTTTCATGCCACTTGTCCGTCAGTACATTACCGAAGTCTACGAGAGCAAATATTTTGTGAACGTCAAGGATGCGGATATCAATCTTCACGGAGTCGCGCCATACATGCCGCCTCCACTGTTCGCCAAGCAGACTGGTGGCGGCCTTTCTTTCCAGATCTGGACTGATCCTAACTGCGATAGCGGCGTCGAAATCGCGTTGAAAGTCGATGCCTTGGGAAGCTTGGGAAAGCTTTGGATGCGCTACCGCATCGTTTTCGCCGCTTTCCCGTTGCTTGTCGTCGCACTGGTGCTTCGGCATCAGTTCATGGTCTACGACGAGAGTGGTGCATTCATCAGCTTTGCCGAAGGCTTGAACGAATGCATGCGAGGCTCGCTGCCCTTCACGTTGGTCGCTCTAACCCTTTTGTCCGTCTCACTGGCAGGCATTCATGGGCAATTCTCCGCCTCCGCCCCTGACTCTACCTATACAGATGCTAGCCGCTTCAGTGACACCAATCACGAGCTGTTATTGGGCTTGGAGGACCCCTTTTTCTGGTTCCTGGTACCGTTGTTCGGCATGATGTGCATCGCTATCTGCGTGGTCATCAACTATGTCGCACTTGCTCTTGTTTCCTTGCTTGCACTGTTATACTCGCTGTTCACCTCCGCATCGCGGCCTGACGATCATCAAAGGACACCTACTACGTTCGCCGTGTCTTCGACGAGGCAGCGTGTTGGTACAACCCTTATCCTATTATCGCTGGTGTCGACAGTAATTCCTTACCACTTCGCGTACGTGGTTTTATGCCTTGTGCAGCTGGCGACATGTGTACGCAGTCTAAGGCTGGCAAGAGACACGGTTAGTCACCACTTTGTCCAATTTGCCTGCTCGATTGCTGACTCGCCCCAGCGACTGGACATCAACTACAGCTTCTCCAACTACACACACTCCATTTTGAACCTCATGCTCTGGATATTGCCAATCAACCTACCAGTGCTCGTAGTCTGGATCCGCAACCTTACCGTCCACTGGCTTACGCCGTTCTCATCACACCACAACATCCTCTCCATCATGCCGTTCATCCTCCTCGTCGAGACGCTGAGCACAGGTCGCATGATCCCCCGCGTCCGATCCCGTCTCTCGCTGCTGACAAACGCTATACTATGCTCCATTGGTGCATATGCGGCGGTTTATGGCGTCACGTACGCCTATGTTCTGCATCACCTGGCGAATATCTTTTGCGCGTGGCTTGTGGCGATTCACTTTGATACCTCTTCACTCTCGGCTGAGCGCATTGGAAGAATTCTGGATACCATGGATCCTGACAGCGATACGAAAAAGCGACCTTGAAGGCTGAAACAAACGATTCCATACCACGAACTACCTGATTCATAAATTATACGAGCAATGTTTCCAAGGCAGATGTTCGTCTAATATTGTCATATGCATTTTCAACGGCGTCATATACCCTGGTCTTAGAGCGTCTTCTGCTTCGGCATTCCAGCATCGGCGATGTTATGACCAGCACACATATAGCGAGGACCTCGCGCTGACTAACATGGGCATCAAAAACCGATCATCACTGTTCTGGTCTTTTGCATACTAGCTAGGCATGGCTTGACCATAATGCGTAATCCAGATGTTTGGGACTGGACAGTAATGGGTGGATGGGAGCTTTTTGGTTATTTCTGGAGAGGAGTGACTACAGCGTCAGGTATTTGACTTGTGGCTCGTGAGATAGGTATCGGGTCGTGTGGAGGTGCAGATGGGAAGTCGTTTAAGAGTCAGCGACGACACTTGAAAAGTCCATTATCTATTCGGCATGCTTTGCGAAGTGACGTGAAGGGCAGACACTCAGTTGTGGAAGGACCACCGATCGGTTGCCAACCAGCGCATACGATGGCAGAGCTAATCTGGTTAGGCTTGCGATCAAATTGCGGTCCAGTGTGCATGCTTCCGCTAGATGCAGTGACCCGCTGCATCTATGGGTACGTCCCTGACACGCTTCGGGGATGCCAGTCCATGTTCAGATCAGTCCAAAAGAGATGCAGTCGTCCGTTCCACCCGTGTGGGCTGTTTTGGGTTAGGATACGATCTTCGTCCACATTGGCGGGTCAAGGTGTCAAGATAGACGATGGTTTACGCGTGCGTTCCCACGTGTGCGCATCCGTTCTTTAGGCTGCGCTACGTGTTTCTCCAGCTTAGCGTGTCCATTTGGTGGAGGCGCAGCCGCTGCATGCTCCCGATCCCATTGCCCCATCATCGATATTCAAACACATAGATAAAACATGTAGGTACTGTGCACTTGTCCCCACTCGTGGCACATGTGCAATCTGGTGACATAAGACGGACTTCGCCCAGTTCGTGGCACGATATCGGGCGTCAGGCAGAAGGAAAGTTAGGGAACGCCCGACACCAACACCCACTGCGCCCCCGGAGTCCGGCATCCGCAGCAGCCAAGCTCAAGCTGATATCCACTTTCGAGCCTACAAGAGGGGTACATCTGCCCTAGGCCACCTGCCACTACCTTTCCCCACCACAACAATTCATTCGCGTTCGAATCGTCACCTTGCGTGACCGCCAACAGGCGCACACATAATCCTTCACCCACCCATGCTCTTTACTTCAACAGTTAGCAGACAAAGTGCAAATACCTCGCTACCACAATGACAACAGTCCTCAACATGCGCGCCTTCCCCGTCGCCTCAGAGCTCTTCTCCTCGCTCTCCACGCGACCTGGATCGAAAACGTCCCTTCCCATCCCACGATCCACGAAATCGTCTGCGCTGTTGGAGATGCTGGGTATCCTCGTTTGCTTCATTGCTGGACTCTACATTGCCATCCGATTGTACGATTGCGCTTTCGGCCTGCTGGATGCCCAGTTGCCCAAGGCCTTCACAGCATGCTTTGCAGCGGCGTATATGTTCCAATTGTTCGTGGGCTGGTTGGAGATTAGGGCGGAGCAGAGGTGGACGGAGATGATGAGGAAAGAACAATCGGACTCGCAATAGACTTCATGTTCGGTACGAAAAAGGGCGAAGGATGTTCATCTCACTGCATACATGTCTCAGTTGTCCATTGGTTAGCAGGAGCATAGAACACAGAAAGAAGCCTGCTCAGAGGAAACAAGAAGGGACAAGAATAGAGTTGGCACATCGGCATTGGGCGCGGCAAAGGCAAACATCGTATATCTGTTTGCTAGCGACGAAGCAGGGCTTCACTTGGCCATCAGTATACCCTGGGTGGCATCTTCATTTGGCGCATTTACAGGATAGCGGTAACGGTCGCAGCCACGTCATAACTTGGCTCTTGGTTGCATAACATGGGTTTGAAAAAGGCAGCATATGCAAGGATTTTTCAGGATATACAAAGATCATTCCCACGCTTCTCATGAAACTACGCAGAAAAGCCACGTCTGCCACGTCTATAGGCTCCTTCTTGACCGTGACCACTACGAACGACAACGTGGTTTACACGAAAGTATACGCACCGAAACATGGATGCTCTACATGCATCCCGTCTGCGAAACACATCAGATCTCTCGTCGTCTAGGCGACGCTTTGGCATTCTGCGCGTAAGAGTGAACAGTATTGTGAGACGGCGCTCAAAGACCCTACAAAAGGAGTGCACAATGGAACACACCGAGCGGACAGCAACCTCAAATGACGAAGACCCTTATTCTGAAGACAGTTCCCTTTCAGTCACTGATTCAAAGCTCTGCCGCGCCTCATCACCCAACAATAGCGATGTTGCAGACAAAGACCCGGTCGAGGAATTATCAGAACATAGTGATAATGGACCTGCACCAGATATCCTCGATAAGTCGGAAAGTCAATCTTCTGTATCTGACAGCCCTCCACAAGATCAAGTGCCAGCAACTTCAAGACTTAACGAACGGTGGAAAGCAAGGAGGAATCCTCCCGCCGGGCATGTACATAACATCTACTGCCCGTTCTGGCAGACCGGAGACACGACGACCCCACGGCCCGAGTGCCCAGACAAGACTTTCACCTTGTTGAGTGGTAACCCGTTTACAAAAGAAGGAGCTGAGTATCTCGAGCGGTGGATCGAGGGGTTTAAGCGGAGGAGACAAGGCAGAAGGGAGACTGATGATGAGACAGACGTGCAGTGATTGGTCACGGGGGACCTTATATTGTAATTACACCAATGTGGGCTGCGGCTTGAAACGTAGGCTTGAAATGCAGTCAGTCAAAGACACCAGATTTTCAAGGCAATTTATCTCACGTATGTATGGATATGGGGCACAAACAACATAGCCTGCGAGTTTAGTATCTCTATCTCGTGCTCCGTGGTCGCAATTTGATGCTCTGTCTGGAATTTGTGATTGCTTCTCGCCGCACCCGAACTGCGCAATCCTAATGCTTCACTGGACCCAATTAAATATCACGTTTATCGGTGCTTTGCGTAAAGAATGTGCCACCTCCCACGGTGCTGGAATCAGAAATTTAAGAATTCTCAACAAACATATTTACTATATGGAGGGAATTATTAGCTAGATCTTATTGAACTCATCTTTTTAGACCTAGTAGAGCCTAAAATAGGCTACTAAGCTGTTAAAATAAGTGTACTAGAGCCAAAATAAGTATACCAAAGTAGATAGACCAATACTTTACTCCCTATAGTAAATATATTCGCTGAATATCCTTGATTCCTTGTTCCAGCGCCGTGGGGGGTGGCACATTCTTTTTGCAAACGATAATAGTTTGTGAACTTGCAGTACCAGGGAATCCATATTGCTCAAGTCTACATATCAGCGACGTTGTACATAGATGTGGATCTCTTCATCAATGACCTTTCCGCACATTTGGGTGCAGATCTACAATGGTTCGCCGCTTGCAATTCTGAGTAGCACCGTACTAGTAGTGAAGTCACTCAACGCTACGGGCACGGTATAGTGTACCTTGACCAATATACTTAGCGCTTACTTCGTAAGAGTTCAGTGTTTTTCAATCATGCTTTGATTATCTTGTACATCCTCCGCCTTACTTGGGTGACTCCGTACTAGCGTTTCTATAAGCACTTGCGGAAGGGCGAACTACAATCTGCATCACTCAAGTACCGTACACTGCCTTGTCCGTCGTCATAGAGAGCAAAGAAAATGACTAGAAGGTGATTCAGAAATCTATAAAGCTCCACTGAATCTCTTCGACATCCTCCACCAACCAGCAAATAATCCTCCAGCCCAATCCGCAGTTGACACTTCAGCCTCCAGAGATAATCCTCCCCAATCATGAAATTCACCGCTTCCATCCTTGCTGCTCTCATCGCCGTCGCCATGGCTGCCCCAGCCCCCGACGCTCAACTATCTGATCATGCTGCACTCGTCCGCCGCAGTATGTCATCCCCCTTCTCTGGCCTCAGAGACTAACATATGGACTGTCGCGGCGGTGAGCGAACCAAACACAAACATCGCAAAGCGGTGCGACAAGGCGCGCTACAAGAAGTGCGCCGATCCCTGCAAGGCTTTCAACAGTGATCCCGGCGGATCTCTTGCCCGGGCACTATGCCTTGCATCGTGCAATAGGATCTATGGTGGAAACTGCTGACTTCTCCACTGGGAGTAAGAGGATGTTTGGGCGAGATGGTTCGGCAGGGAAGGCTCTCATAGGCGTGTTCTGGGCCCGGGGTGCGTATCATATTCACTCATTAAGCTGTGCTGGATCCATTGCTGTTGAAGTTGAAATCGAACTTTTGAAGGCAGATGTGAGCATCATGACCTGAGCTTCGTTGTGAACATCGCGTCTGCACAGGAACGCCAGAATTTTATCGCTTCACTTGCGCTGAAGTCATGGTCAAGTGTATTGTGATGTCTATGTTAATTTGTAAGTCGGAGCCCTTCGAGATCACGGTCAAGCTGTTCACGAGTGTGTCCAAACAAAATCATTGATTGTATGTAAAGTAGTGAGAACTACAATCCTGTCTTCTACCGAAGACGCCGTGCTGGTAAGGGATAGCAACGCTACCATGTCATAATCTCCGTCGATTTATTGCTCAGTCCGGGGGAACACACGGCTCTAAGCCTCAGATGAGGTGCTCCTGTTCTTGGAGCGAATAGAGTCCTTCCAGCGCTGGAAGGTCACTCTGTCATGGTGTCCCGGTTGAATTTGCGATGGACCACCAATGCGTCCGACTAATCGAGCGAAGTCTTCAGGATACCCCCAACTCTCAGTCGGATGAGCTATAGCGTGCTCGATGCAGCGCGTTAAGTCGAGCGCGTCGAAACCGGACGGAAACTTCTTGACGTGTTGACCCAGGCACTTGAATTGGATGGAGCCAGGATTTTCATCGGCGGTGGGAATACCTTTATTCGTCGAATTTCCTCGCACGTCTTCTTCTGTGTGCAGACCGGCAATGTTGAGATTGCTGGAGTTGTGTCCAGGAGGCGTTGGATGGTCCGCTACGGTCCACTGTGAATAAGCAGGGCCTCGCCTTCGCATGCGAGCTTTCATGACGGTGTAGAAGTAATTACCCTTCGTGAGACTAGTACCCTTAAGCACACGGTGCTCGTTGACAATGTGTGCAAAGATTGTGGAACTGCCCCCATTGCTGATAAGGCGATCGATGACGTCAGTACTCTTGAGATACCGAGGGAAGAAGACCATCAACTCCACTGCAGTAACGTTGGCCTGCTTTCCGGTTTCTGGAAAAGGAACGTTGGCGGAAGGCGCGAGTTGGAGAAGATCATACGGGTTGGCGTTGGTCTTCGGCCTCGGAACCCTCTCTTCCCACCCTGTAGCGAAATTGGCTGGATCCAAATCGAACGAGACTTCCGGGATGACAGGCCTTGACTGTGGACATAACGGCCTAGATGATCTTTCAGGTAGAGGCTTAGCCTCAACCACGAGCATTGTCGCCCTTACGGACTGTTTGTCTCCATCCTGTTCAGAGGTCTGAAGCTCAGAGCCTTTGAACGCAGATCGCTGTTTCCTGATCTTGACGCCATTCTTGATAGCCGCCCAGCGAAGTGGAAACGAGGAATCCTCATCAAGCACGTTCATTGAGTGCTCATATGGCACACGTTTATCAAGGCGAGATGCATTCCAATCTTGTACAATCTTGGTCTCGAAAAAAATGTACATATCCAAGATATCGTAGGGAGGAGTGTCGCTTGTTAACCATAGACCTTGAGCGTGTCGGACGTTCTGGTGTAGTGCATCGGCCAAGGGCTGTGTGCTCAAGCTGTACATAAGCAAATTTTCAGTTGCTTGATGCATAATAGCATCCATCTGCTCATGTGTGGTAGTCTCCCTATCTTGATTCAGGTGAAGATGGGTATTGCCAGTGGACCCTGAGCGAGAGCGGCCTCCAGTACCTGTATGGCCTGAAGAATGACCGCCATCACCGGTGGTGTTGCCAACCCGGCCAAAGTCGACGCGCGAGTTGCTCTTGTTGCCAAGGTGGACTTCGGGGAGCTTCTTGGAACCTTCGGCGCTGTAAGCTTGGTCATAAGTACTGAAGCCCTTTAGCAGCATTGTAGCATGATCGTCGAGTCCTTTGAAGAGGCGGGAGCCTTGATTGCCTGCAGAGTTCGAGGTCGCGCTTTGCGGGGGTCGCTGTAGGATGTCCCGGTATGACTTGCGTTCGTAGTATGGCAGGTTTTCCGCTAAAGCGCGGGCATTGGGAACAGGCGAGGGGTGAATATCTTGACTGCTAGTCCGAGAGAGCTCTGAATTCGCCTCTTGTAGGGTTGCATCGGGGGAGCCCGGTATGATTTCCGGCTGAATCGAACCTATTGTATGCTGACGTCCAGTCGAGCGCTCCGCCGGTAAATTCTGGTTGCCCCACGCGAACGAAGTAGAAATGCTCAGCTCCGAGTTGTTGTTCAGGTCATCGCGCGAATTAGGAGATTCGCTCATTGTCTACGCCGTGTTAGCTGATTTGTTCTCTGTTGCGGTCAAGAGTCGGATCGCGGGACTGGTGCTGGAGAGACTGAAAGCTCGAGGCTTTTATATGAGCGGCGGGTGCGCGGCCGTGCACTGGCTCGGGGTGAAGGGCCTATTTCGTCACTTCCACACGTGCGCGCCGCACGGAGCCTCTACCTGGCTCTTCTTCATGAACTTTCCACAATCAGTTAAAGGAAGGACGCCCACGCTTTGAGATAATGGCACGAGATTCGATGCTATCTGCCAGTAATGCGTCGGCCACACCACTCCATGGATGAGAGCAAATGACAGACCAACTTTTAATGTAAACATGGTCTTAGGTGAAGTAATAGGCACGACGATTGTGACACAGTGCCAAAACTCTAGAGACCTAACCTCAGATGAGAGTCTACACAGCCAGAACGGTGGTTTCAGAGTAATAACGCGTGTTCTTCGTTCAACTTGAAATATTCACTCCATGCTTGCTGGTTCCGTATAGAGATAAACGAGGTTTGACGCATCCATGTTACCCTTGCCTGTCCTCAATTGAAACAAATACTGCTCGGTTGAAGGATATTCTATGTTTATACAATCTTTAGATAGAGCTTGTGTGTGTGGAGACAACCTCGTATACAAAACACCAACTGCTTGCTTCAGACAGTGTCCAAGCTTTGCAACATCCCGAGGTTACAGTCAACGATCTATGAGACAAGCGATAGGGCTTGGTGTAAAGCATTCCTCAAGCTCAACCACGAGGAATTCACCATCGAACTTTCAACTGACGCTAATTCCTGTCCATTCAGGTACATTTACACACTGGTTCTTTAAAAACAAATCCTTCTATACAATAGATTGGCCGTCTTCTCAAGCCCATTTGCTCGAAGACTTGTATTCTACCAGATTTCTGGCCTAGAGCATACCCGTTTGGTCAACTCGGTTGAAAGCAGAAGATGATCGATTGTACCTGAAGCGCATACGAACAGCTCACCATTATTCAATGACAGCTCATTGAGCAAAACACCAATCTCAAGAAGAGACTTGCGATTGCTGAACGCAAACTTCTCGCCGATCACCGCAATGAGGACAACGCGACCAGTGAACAACCGGACTTCGCGCGCTCCAGATGGTTGAGCAAGCAGATCAGGAAGATCAGCTTGTTGAGACGCTCGAGGAGAAACTGGGAAAGGAACAAGAAGGGCAGTGAGTGCGGTGGCACTTAGGATGGCCAAACAGGCGGCACGGAAGGAGGACTGGTGGGATCTCGGTGGTTCTTCGATGATCGAGTGAAATAGGTTGAAGGTTGGGTGCAATTATGACTTGCGAAGGCGGGTTCGAGAATAAATTTACATAAAGGTCATGCATGGCAGATTTAGTATATCCTGAGTTTTAGCTGCATGGGCCTATAAAAGGATGATGGTGGTTCAATACCACGGTCATCGCAAGCGAACGGAGATATCTGATATCTTTCTTGACTACCAACTTGAGATATCTAGTAGGTTGCAAATTGCTTATATTCAAAGAATGGCTACGTACCTAGGCTTCCCAGTTGTCTTTGGAATTGTCTCTGCTTGCATGTGTCAGCGCTTGGAATCAAAGACACACAGTTGGCTGATAAGAGAACGGTGGGGGAATAACAGTGTGTAACATATGATGCACAATTCGCAGGACTACTTATGTATCTACGCATCCTTAGTGCCCATGTCAAACAACAAGAATTCTGCAGCCTTGTCCCCTACACTCTCCACCTCAACCTTTCCTGGTCCCGCCAAGCCCTCAACATACGCACCATCTCCCTCGCCCAACACCACGTCTCCGATTTTGATCTTCGCGCCGCCCTCTTTTGGCTGCGTCCGTCCGGACATGATGTTATGCAAGAAGATCTTCCTTGAGCCCTCCGCAACAATATCATGCGTGACGCTCTTCCCCGGCGAGAGGATAGACGCATCCATGCTAAGATCCGCCTGCAAACCGATAGGCGAGGTATCCGTCTTCTCGCCCAGGCGACTGGTATCCTCCATTATGCGCACCAATTTATCTTTCTTCTGCTCATCGGTGAATTTCTTCGTCTCATAGTGAGGCGTCAACCTCGATTTATTCGGCTTCGCCCAGATCTGCAAGAAATGGACCTCGTCTTTGCTATCGCGGTTGTATTCCGAATGCCTGATTCCCGTGCCTGCGCTGGTAAACTGCACCTCGCCCCTCTTCAGATTTTCAAGGTTGCCCATACTATCTTTATGTTCCAACGTGCCATTGACGATGTAGGAGAAGATCAGGAACTCGGCATGCGCGTGCGTGCCAAAGCCGGTGCTGGGCTTGACGCGGTCCTCGTTTATGACGCGCAAAGGGCCGAAGGATTGGTGGAGGGGGTTGGGCGAGTAGTATGAGGCGAAGGAGAAGGTTTGGAAGGTGTAGAGCCAGTCATGGTCAGCGTGGCCACGCTGAGCCCAGGGACGTTTGGTGATCTTCATGGCTGCTGGTGAGGCGGTTGTTGCCATGCTTCGGACAGTAGCCGTTGAGGTTTTGGGGAGGACGGAGGAAAGTGCGCCGCGGATGGAGGTGGAAAACGCCACAGTGATTGCTAGAACTGCGATAAGTGCTGCGAAGCTCTTTGTCGTAACGCTCAAAGTCTGCGGAATAGGCTGTTGTTGTGATTGCTCGGTTGCTGCGTCTGTCATTTCAGAAAAGAATCCTCAGCACCATCGAAGTAGTGGGTGATTCTTATACTTGTCAGTAACGCTGCGGGGTTAGTGCGAGAAGATTACAGCGGCTTCGTCTACGAAGCCTTATTTATCCTAAGCATTTGCAATAGTGAGTAAGGCCTTACGGGCACGGCACACGGCGTCGAGGTCGGCAAGCTTCGTTGGCTTACTTAAAGATGACGAATTGCTTTCGAGATCTCGGAGCGCGCGAGTGGTGCGTTAAGCGATAGCGCGGAACTAGAGCCGCTACCACTTGCCTTTCACTGCGAGACTTGCATACATCGTCATCACCCTGATACGAATCATACCTAGTCCTTCTATCAGTAGTTCCGGTCTCGTTCTCAAGAACATTAGATATCGGGGCCCGAGAGGATCGTCGGGATCTCTTCGTGTTTCAGGTACAATCGTACCATTCACGAAACCCATCACAAGCAAGAGATAGTCATGGCACTGAAGAGGTTCAATCCGAATACGCTCCTTGAGAATTGGACAGACGAAAAGTATAGTCCAACACATAACGGCAAAACATTCGAAGAGTGTATCCGAGCCGCCTTCGATATACCAAAAACCGACAACTATGTATACAGAGCCCAGGGCGAGACATCTCTCGCCATCACACAGAGAGCAATTGGTGGCAAGCGCGTACATGGTATGCACAGCTGGTACCATGATGAAGATGGTAATCCTGTATGTAATCTCAAACGCGATATTTTGTCATGGGTTTATCAATTCGTTTTCTTGTCCTTTTAGGAGCTTGCTATGACCTGAGGAAAATTTAATCTGACTCTTCCAGAACAACCCTCCCCACCCATCAGCAGACGACATATCTGCGTACACCAACCTTTTTTCCCCTTCAGTCTCCCTCCCCAAGGCCTTAAACGCATTTAGAGCAACGTCAAAACCCAATACGCTCCGCGCCACTATTTCCAACCACCTCCAATGCCGCTTCGACAACACCACCACCGGCCTCCTGCCCTCCAAGAAAGATCGAACCCACACGAACCCCTACTTTTCCTTGTGGACTTACTCTTGCGAGGAATTAGAGTGGGCAGGTCCCTGGCCGAACACTGTGCATACGAAGATAGCACACCACATCCTCCCTGTGTTCTATCACCACTTCGGCTGCGTGGTCCCGTCATATGCGGCGCTACATGTCATCGCGAAGCTGGCACAGCCCGCAAAACCCTCGAAAGAAGATGTAAGACCTATCTTAGATATCGGCTCAGGGAACGGGTACTGGACCTTTATGTTGAGGAATTTTCCGCTGGTAGAAGGGATGAAGAGTCTCGATGTCCGGCCCGTCGATAACGGGCTGTCCGAGTATCGCGTTAGCTGGGTCGAAGATACCATGCACGAGGACGGCAGTGGGTATCTGAAGAAGAATGATGGTGGGAAGGGGTGTGTGCTGCTGCTTGTATATCCGCAGGCTACGGGCGAATTCACGGGCCCTGTTCTTAAGGCATTCAAAGGAGATCATGTTGTGGTCGCAGGCACGCAAACCGGGAACGGGTTTACGGCTTTTCAGGATGTGGTGGTGGATGAGTGGGTGAGGAGAAATTTGAAGGATTTTGAGTTGACGCTGCGTATGCCGTTGCCAAGTTTTGCGGGGAAGGATGAGGCATTGTTTGTGTTCCAGAGGAAGAAGGCGGAAAAGTAGAGTAGAAGAGCGGCGCAACTGAATAGTAATGTGGAACAAGCTACTGATGCCACTTGGGGGACAGCGATGCTCTTGATAATCCATTATGTGGCACCTATTTCACATATTGAAGATCGCTCGACGTTCTACCTGCTTTCGAATTGCCGCTTATGGGCACTTGCTTGCGCACTACACCACGCCTTTTGAAGCTTGATTCTACTCCAGACTCTCTTGGACCAGCTCCGGCACGGCACCTATCCAGAACCCCACTATTAGTTACATGCGGAATGTATTGCAAAGATAGCGTACGCCCAGAGCTCAAACTAGAGCGCTGGGTATACACATTGCGACGCCAAGTGCTCGTTGTACAATAAATGATACAGCAATTGGATTATGCTGCAGAATTTTGTTGTCTTGAAATGCACCTTCCGGATATATATCGCGCAGCATGTGACAGCGGTCTTGGCAATCGCAATCTGTAAGACGTCATCGCGCGCAAGCAGCGACAGAAACTCACGACGAAGTAGAATGTAGTCACAGAAGGTCAATTGGCTTCGATGTTTCAATCAGAATCTGATTATAAGATCTGATACCAAATTGCAAGCGGAAAGCTTGTAGGTAGAATACCGAATCACTTTCCGGAGGACGGGGCACTAACCGAATTCGATGTGCTAAGTGGCAGCCAGCCGCGGGATATCCTCGCCGCAAGCTTTGCTTTTATCGCTGGACTGCATCAACACCTCCGCCTGCCCATCACCACCCGCCCGACCTTGCTACGACCCGGCGCGTAGCTGCAATCGGACCCAATTCACATATCCTGCCCTTCACGATGCTGGCCGGACGCTCCTTCGCCGCCCCCGCGCGGCAATGTCTGCGCCGGGCGAACGCGCCCTCGAGGTGGACGCCCGCACTGGTGCAGGTCCGTCAATCGCACGGAGCTCTGGAGCTCGACTGCAGGAGCTCGAAGCTTCTTCTAAGTTGACTAAGCTAATTGAGAGACAGTCGCGAGGCTACGCCGCCGAAGTCGCAAAGTTCAAGGGCCAGAAGGGCAACGACGGAAAGTACACAGTTACGCTGATTGAGGGCGACGGTATCGGCCCTGAGATCGCGCAGTCCGTCAAGGACATCTACAGCGCCGCCAACGTGCCCATTAAGTGGGAGCCCGTCGACGTCACCCCCCGCCTCAAGGACGGTAAGACCGTCATCCCGGACGAGGCCATCGAAAGCGTCACCCGCAACCTCGTCGCCCTCAAGGGCCCGCTCGCCACACCCGTTGGAAAGGGTCATGTCTCGCTCAACCTTACTCTCCGCCGTACCTTCAATCTCTTCGCCAACGTGCGCCCCTGCAGGAGTATCGTGGGCTACAAGACGCCGTACGACGATGTGGACACTGTCTTGATCCGTGAGAACACCGAGGGCGAGTACTCGGGCATTGAGCACGTTGTGGTTGATGGTGTTGTTCAGAGCATTAAGCTCATCACGCGCGAGGCCTCTGAGCGCGTCCTCCGCTACGCCTTCCAGCACGCACGTGACATTGGCCGCAAGAAGGTGCGCGCCGTCCACAAGGCCACCATCATGAAGATGTCCGACGGTCTGTTCCTCTCCACCGCGCGCGACGTCGCCAGGGACTTCCCCGATATCGAGTTCGACGCTGAGTTGCTGGACAACACCTGCTTGAAGATGGTGACCGACCCGCTCCCCTACAACGACAAGGTCCTCGTTATGCCCAACTTGTACGGAGACATTTTGTCTGACATGTGCGCTGGATTGATCGGTGGTCTTGGTTTGACTCCCTCCGGCAACATCGGTGACGAGTGCTCCATCTTCGAGGCTGTTCACGGTAGCGCACCGGACATTCAGGGCAAGCAGCTTGCTAACCCCACCGCGCTGCTGCTCTCTTCTATGATGATGCTGAGGCACATGGGCTTGGGCGACCACGCGAACAACATCGAGCAGGCCATCTTCAAGACCATCGCCGAGGGCAAGGTAAGATTATCCCGATACATCCCATGTGCGAATTTACGCTGACGGCCGTAACAGACCATTACTGGTGACCTTGGCGGCAAGGCCAAGACCTACGAATACGCCGATGCGGTCATCAAGGCCCTTAAGTAGATATCCCGATCTCTTTTTGCATGTGTAGCATTGATTCGAGCGCAAGATGAAGTTGGCTTGGGTTGGTAGCATTGACCTTATATTTTGTCTAGATGTACCAGTGCGTTAACTTGTACTATATGCTGCCAGATCACACGAATAGATGCTTACTCTGTTACTCTCGGCTTTTGCACTGCATATTCGGTGAACGTTCCTCGAATTCGCACGCTCATTCTCTCGCAACAGGCGTCGAGTGAGCTTATGGGAGATAGCTACATAGGCAACGTCCCCCATTTTAGCAATGCGATACTCTTCTACCCGTTTCACATTCATGATCGCGGGTATGTCATACTCATCTGTAACTTACAACATGTAATACCCGCCGTTTACTGGGCCCCCAGCACCTTCTCGATTTCTTTACACACCGCCTCCGTAACACCTTTCGTGTTCTCACTCCCGCCCAAATCTTTGGTCTTCACGCCCGCCTGAGTGACGTTCTCAATCGCCTTCATCAATGTGTCGGCGGCTTTCTCCTCGCCTGAACGACTCGTCAGCATTCACTCATCGCACCATGCTTCTAATACAGAGTCACCTACCAAGCCACCGCACCATCTCCGCCGCGCTCCAAAAAGCACCTACTGGATTCGCAATCCCCTTGCCCGCAATGTCCGGCGCAGACCCATGGATAGGCTCAAACATGCTCGGGTTCTTCCTTGTAGGATCCAGGTTCGACGAGGGTGCAATACCAATGGAGCCCGACAGCGCAGCAGCAAGATCGGACAAAATATCCGCATGAAGATTCGTCGCCACGATCGTGTCTAAAGATGCTGGGTGAAGCACCATGCGCACCGTCATGGCGTCCACAAGCATCTTATCAATCTCCACATCCGGATACTCCTTCGCCACCGTGTAGAAAACCTTGTCCCAGAGGACCATGCCGTGGCGCTGGGCGTTGGACTTGGTGACCATCGTGAGCTTCTTGCGAGGTCGGGAGAGTGCGGTTTGAAAGGCAAAGTGCATTATGCGTTCTATGCCTACTTGACTAAAGATCGATATCTCAGTTGCTACCTACTCCTTGTCAGCTTCTGATCACGCCTTCACAGTGGAGAGGGGGAGTTGCTCGGACTTACAGCGTGAGGAGTGTCTTCGTGCGATGTGCCTCCCTGCCCAGAATATTCTCCCTCGCTATTCTCCCTCACAATCACCCAGTCCAGATCCTCTCTCTTCACATTGGCCATAGGGCTTGCGATGCCTTCTAGGATGCGTGTAGGGCGCAGGTTGACGTACTGGCTCATCACTTTGCGAATGGGGAGGATAAGGTTCCAGAGGGAGATATGGTCGGGAACGTCGGGCCAGCCGACTGCGCCGAAGTAGATGGCATCGTGTTTCCTGAGCTGGTCCGCCCAGTCGGGTGGCATGTACCAGCCGCGCTCGAGGTAGGCTTTGGAAGACCAGTCGAGGTGGGTGAAATCGAACTCGAAGGTACCTAATAGGAGGGCGAGCTTTAGTATCATGAACAACCTCCCAAAGATAGTGGAAGAGAACCAACCTAGCGTTTTCTGGAGGGTTGTAAGGACTTGAATAGCTGCTTCTGTAATCTCGGTGCCGATGCCATCTCCGGGTATGCAAGCAATTCGATGCACCTTCTTAACTGAATGAATACTAGATACCATGATTGCTCTTTGTTAGTCCTGCTCGACTTGACTTGCACAACGCTGCGAGGACGAAGATTATCACTGTCACACGTTCGAGACTGCACTTGGCCTTTGAACCACAAGCTACGACCAGTATGCTACGGGAATAGGAAGCTCAGTTTACATGGAGACATCGGAAGCTACCCCCGTTCGTCATAGCTCCCAGCCGCACCTTGCCCCGCTTTGCCCCACCACGCCAGAAGCCTCACCGCTCTCATGGACCCTGAACACACTTGTCCTCTGTAAACACTTGTTCTTCTCTTTAACCCCCAACTTTGAACTCCAAGAGAAGCAAGAAATTAGCACAATGTCTGTTGCCATCCCTCCCGGCGGTACCTACTTCGACACGCTCAAGAAGAGCTTCGTCGACGTGCCTGTTGCGGCGGATAATAAGATCTCAACAACGGAGTTTTTGGAGGCTGCGGAGAGCTTGCTTACGCTGTTCGGTATGTGTAGATTGGAAGGAAAGCGCGTTAATATCATGTTGACTTGGGAATGTAGATGTTCTCGGCTCGGCCGCCTTCAAGCCTGTGAAGAATGACATGAGCGGTAATATCAAGGTACGTGGGGATTGGAGGAAGCAATTGAATGAGGTGCTAATACAGGAGGACACAGAAAATCCGTGACCGCCAACTCGCCGCTCCAACCCTTTCAGAAACCCTCCAGGACCTCGTCATTAACGAGCTCAAGGAGAAGAAGCACGTCGCCACGGAAGGTCTCTTGTGGCTGACCCGGTATGCATCTCTTTCCTTGTCTTTCCCAATTGTCCGATACGTATGATATACTGACACGGGCGTGTCTGTAGTGGCCTCGACTTCACCGCCCAAGCCCTCCGCCACAACACCGCCAACCCCACCAAGGAGCTCTCCGACTCCTTCCGCGACGCCTACGGCAACACGCTCAAGCCGCACCACTCCTTCGTCATCAAGCCCATCTTCAGTGCCGCGATGAGCGCCACGCCATACCGCAAGGACTTTTACTCCAAGCTTGGGGATGACGAGAGCAAGGTTCAGCCAGCGCTCGAGTCCTGGTTGACGGCGCTGGAGAAGAACGTGAGTATTCTCCGGGACTTCACTACGAGCAAGGAGGCGAAATGGTAGAGAGTTGTTGCATTGTTGGCTGAAATCGCTTATTGGGGTATATATACGGCACAACCATGACTGAATGATCTACGGCATCCATCAATCATCCAGCACCGCATCCAACGCACTCTGCACGCGTCCCGTGCCTTTGATGACCTTACTCCTTGCCCCTCTCCGCTCCCTTTCATCTCCGACTGGCTGGAGCCGTAGCCAATCTCTCCACACCCACCGCGCCCGCCCGTCCACCAAGCCTAAACTCACAGGCCCAAAATCACAACTGTCGTAACTCCGGCGCCAGTTATCCCCTCTACCCACACATGCCCCCGCGGCACAACAATCTTGCCCACCTCTACCTCCCCGTCTCCACCCAACGCCCACTCCCTAGTCCCAAGCCCATCCCAACCTTCCACGCGCCTGCTGTTCACGACCGCGGGATCGCATGCGTACCCTCTATGCGGGTACACGGTATCCCCCTCGACGCCGACCACCCTCTTAATGCTAACCTCACTCCGCTTATGAGGCTTCCAAAACGTAATGACATCGCCACGCTGTATATCCTTGCGCCCCATCACCCCGCGCTGTATGAAGATCTTGTCTTTTGCGCCGGTTTCGTGCGCGTGGGGAGAGAGTGTTGGGGACATGGAGGAGCCGTTCACGGTGTCGATTGTGAAGACGTGGTCGCGGAAGAAGAGGGCGGCGCAGAAGGAGAAGAAGGCTATGGAGGCGCCGGATTTGAGGGTACGGACATTGAAGGCGAGTGGTGGAGGTGGGGAGTGGGAGGATGAGTTGGGACCTGGAGACACCTTGGGAGTTGCGGAGGGTCTCGAGTGGGGTAATGGTTGGTACGGTGCTTGATTGTATTGTGATCTAGGTGCCTTTGGTGGCCTAGCTATCCGAGTGGGCGGTTTGGGTGGCATTGTAATAGTGTAGGAGGTGCAATGGCAGATGTGAAGCCCTGGGATGAAGCTGCTGGTAGAAGCTCGGGCCAAGCTCGCGCGAGCCGCTATCGATAAGACACAGTCGACTGCCCAGATCAAGAATGAACATGTCTGTTCCCATTCCACCTAGACCATTGACACCGGCTCTGCATCTTGCCTCTTATTGTGAACTGGTACTAGATAACCGTTGGAAAGTCGAGGCCCTAGAAAGGCGCAACTGTTCCGCTGAAGAGCCGTGGTGAGCTTGTCTCCAAATTTCCTGTTCAGTTATACTAACTACCAACTGGAGCCTCCTACCTTCGATCAGCTCGGTCTTTCATGCTATGAGTGATTGGGATATCCCTATTAACTCTTATCTTGTCCTGTGACCAAGCTGAGCCTTCGTAGCGCGCCTTGGATAATGTTGCTTCGGTATCCATGTGTTTTCGCAGCCGGTTGCTGGATGGATGAGACTCAAGAACCATAGAGACTTTGGCAGAATCACAACTGAAGACAACAATAGCCAACTGTAGCATTCGCAAGCTACGCCGATAACGTTTGGAGCGAAAACTCCTTGTTGACCATCTGGTGCCTGTACCTAAAATAGCAACGGGAGGGTGCATGCGCAGCAGGCTTGGCCTGCTCGCGATCCATCGGCAACTCGTCCTGCGCCACATCATCACACGCCATCGCCCGCGCCACCCGTATGACCGATCTGCTCTGGCCTAAAACCTTCCGACGATAGCGCCGGTTAGTCCCAGCTCCAGCAGCCAGGAACAGGACTTTCGATGACTTTTCACAATTTCTTGTAACCGAGTCCCGTCTCAGATTGCGATGATGTAATTCCCACGGCCATGTTTGCTAGGGCGGGTAAATGCAAGAAGCCGGACTGCCATGCGAAAGATGTGCGGCTGGCGTGGGCCAAGGTGGAATTGCTCGATGAAACGACGCATGCGACAATTGGGCGTCTTGGTCTAATGCTGGTCGATGCAGCTGGCGGCACGATTTGCTGGTTATACAGATCATCGAAGGCATCCAACGACACTTCAGCACGATGGAGGCCGCGTAAAGAGGCGCTCGTTTACAAGAGGATGAGCCTCGGCGCACGTCGCCAGCACAGAGGCTCACCAAAACACCGCAGCTCTGCGCCACGACTCTGGCGACCGTAACTGGATTGGCGGATCCACCATGTTTCGCAGCCTTTGTTCTCGCCGTCGCTCAAGCAACAATTTTAGCACCATCTGTCGTCATGGCAGGGACAACTGCGTGATGCAACCAGGCGATCACCCCAGGGCCAAGCTCTTGAGCTTCTCCACAAAATCCGCAGCCGCGAGGCAAGGAACGCACCAATCGCGGCTGGCCCTCTTCTCTGAGACCCCGGAAACCGCATGGCTTGTGAAGGCCCGGGGCCATGAAGTGGCGGTGCGGACCAGTGAAACTGAGCCAGCCATCATAGCTACGTAAGAGAATTGGGAAGGCGGTGCTTTGCGAGGGAACCAAATGCGGTCTCGGTGTTGTTTGTTGGTCTGTGCTAACGCTCGAAGGCTCGACCGTGCATTACGTCGTAGAGAAGCTGCTATAAGAACGCCGTCCGCCTTGCTCAACCTGCACTCCACCTCACACACCAGCCAACAACCAGTCATCAATCGACCTCCAACTCAATCTACCACACCTCTACAGCCCAACCCACCACCACACACATCACAATGCGTTTCTCCACCGTCTTCGTCGCTGCCGCCGCCGCCGGTGCTGCCAACGCCCAGGTTGATTCCCTCGTCTCCTCCGTTCTCGGTGGTGTCACCTCCGGCCTTGGTAGCGATGTTACCTCTGTCCTGAACAGCATCACCTCCGACATCGGCTCAGGCGCTGCCTCTGCCACTTCAGGTGCCGGATCCGCCATTTCCTCAATTGCTTCAGGCGCTTCCTCCGTCGCTTCTTCGGCCGCCTCCGGTGCCGGTTCCGCTGGCTCTTCGGTCGCAAGCTCTGCTGCCAGCGAGGCCTCTGACATCGCCTCCTCTGCCTCCGCAGCGCTCTCCAGCGCCACCAACGGAGCTCAGTCATCTTCCATCCTCTCCGAGGCCAGCTCCCGTGCTTCCAGCGCTGCTTCCGCCGCCAGCTCTGCGGCTTCATCTGCCGCTGAGACTTCGGGTCTTGCTGCTCCCACCGCTGTTCCCGCCATGGGCGCCATCGCTGGTGGTCTCCTCGCCATGGCCGGCCTTTTGTAAGCGCTGGATGAGAGTTTCGGTTTGCATCAAAAGTCAACTATCGCCAATGGCATTGGCTCGGATCAGCTTGTATAGCTATCTTCACTTCGCCCGTTGAGGCATGAATTGGGACTATGAATTATAATACCGGTGTTCTGGCTATCCTGCATGGGCATCAAGACTTGTCGGATATTGTAATGTACGCATGAATCAAACAACGATACTACTACAAACGCTTTGCTTCGCATCCCTCATGTGCTGTTTCCCCTATTTTGCCTCGTGCTTGTGTCTTCACAAAATCACAATTCATCCGGATCACCCGCCTCGTTGCCGCAAACAAGCTTTGCTGGCATCACAATCCCTGCTGCACATCAAACGCCCCGCGCGCGTGCAGGGGCGCCCTGCCTTGCTTTGTCCTGCCGTTCCTTCCATATTGGACCAAATGCCTTGTTTTCCATCCTTTTTCATCCTGCCAGCACAATGTTCAATTTCCATTAGCAATTTCCCATACCCATGTGATCCGCTCCTTCAAGCATGGCATTTGCAATTTCCCTCACAGGCTGGACAGCGAGGAGCGGAGTTGCCAGCTTACGTGGCCATGATGTCATGATTGACGTCCCTGTGTCATGGTCGTGTCGTCTTTCAGCTCCGCTTTTTGGGGGTTAGCGTGGGAGTGAGTGTGCTGAGACCGTTTAGCGTGATGTGGTGTAACGCCTAATGCGGGATGTGGCGGTGCGAGTAATGCCTGCATTGGGATATGAAATGTGAGGGGTGCATGGGAAGCTGTATTGACGGATGCAGATTGCATGAAGTCTAGTCATTGTATGCTGTTTGCTTTTCTAACTCGTTTGCGCTTGGTGTCGACGAAAACATTTTGGCGCAGAACAGTGCCAAATGTTGAATGCTGGGGCTGGTGCTGGTGCTGACGGACGTGCACGCCATTTCAAGTACCACTTTTTTAGGCAGACAGTTTCCGTGCTTATGCACCCCCAAAGCTTGATGGGACAAGAGACTTGTTCTCGCGTGGCAGTTCTGGCTCACCGGTCTGGTTTCAGCTCCTGTAGATCAAAACGTACTCCGTATACGCACATTATAAGGATCTACAAAGAAATGGGATGCTGACGTGCAAGAAAGGTGGTTGATTCCCACGCAAAGAAATAATTTGCGACAGCACGTCAATCAGGATGAAGTTTAGTAGGTCAGAACGTCGCGGAAGGTGATTTCAGCCCCCAAATAATGGTTATGTTCATGCAATTGCTCTACTAATTTGGTCAACCTCATTTACCAATCATACCTGCTTCCCAAAGTAGCCCGAAAAGGACCAGCGCGTGACTCCCTTCGTCCTCCGCTCTTCATTGTTCAGATTGATGTCCTCAAACTCGCCTTCCTTAAGGTTTTTTACATGCTGCGAGCCACCAAATAGTTCCGACATCGCGACATCCTGCGCATACTGCTGTTCCAAAGCCCATTTCCGCTGATAGCGGGACCACGCGAACCAGCAAATCACGGTGAAAAGCATGACCACTGAGATGATGCCAAAGACGGCGAGAATGATTTTGAGGGGACTGTAGACCTCGTTCGCGGCTTGGGCGGCTTCGAGTTCGTCGCGGCGTTCGAATGTGAACAGGAAAGATGCCATCTCCGTGTGTTAGATAGAGCGCAGCTTTCCAAAGGCAAGAGTAAATCTGTAGCTTTCTTTGACGTTCTAGGATCGTTAGGTTCAGTTGTTATTCTTCGAAAGTCATTGGCGACAATAGGGGCCTAAGTATATATCACATAAGGCAACTTTTCTCGGCATTGTGTATCTAATAAGGAGGCACAGTGACCTCCACGACGTGAATCACGAGAACGAAGCGAAGCCCCGACAATGTGAATGCCAAAGAGAGACAGGACACTCACGTTCTAACTTCACTATGTAGCACTGCACACAAGTACCCGCTTTCTTCAATTCTCCAAGATCAAATCGCTACTGACCAACCTCAAACCACTAATTGCCTCACATTCTGACTATGTATACTCCAGTTGTCCTCTTCGTTCTCATCATCACAGCGCAGGCCGCTCCATACAACATCACTACTACTGTCTTTCCCGCCAACGACACGATGCCTATCTCACTCAAGTCGAACAACCCATTCCAAGAGAAGGCGGAAACCAACGCGAAGGCGTACAACAAGGCATTCTTGTACGCGGGTGTGCCTATCATCGGGCTGATCGTAGCAGTAATCTTGATGTGTGTCGTTCTGAGGTGCTGTAAGAAGCGGAAATTGGCGCAGGCGCAGATGAACGAGTATCCGGGCCCGCAAAATCGAGCATCGGTGGTTGAGGCTCAGCACAACGACGTGGGTATTGATAATTGCGCCAAACGACGTGATTTGCATTAATGAGTCTTCGGGTAACGTATGGTAAGAATGTACAAGGTCTGCTGGCGGATCACAACATCAAGTTGGATCTGATGCTTCGCCTCGCTTATATATTCTACTCGATTCTAATTCGTGACGGTTCTGAGCTGTCCCCTGGCCAAGCTTTCCCGTTCATGATACCACTGTCTGATTCCTCCATGGAGTTTCTTCGTCACCGCAACTGGTTCGGTTCGTCATCGATCAGAATTGTTTCGTCTGTATGAGGATCGCCGCATACGTATGCTGGAGCTTCATAATCAAGGACTGATACACTGCTGAGAAGACAAGAAATTGTGCCCTGAGCAATCTTATTCTTGATGTGTTTCGGTCTTTTCGGGCCAGGTGAAGAATTCGGGTTTCTCTAGCTTCTTGAGTTAGTGGTGTGTATTCTGGCAGAGGGACATCTATCTTGTTGGAACTTGGAATTGCGGAACGAGTAAAATGGGTCTTATATTATCTAGCTGTATGTCCAGTGTATAGGCGCCGCAGTCGTAGTAGCGTTATGTGCCCATCAGTAACGACGATGAGCACATGAAATGACACGTGCGTATAGACAGCATTTACCACTCTTATTTTGAAACTATCTTCGGTACCGCTGTGGCCCCTCTGCAGTGCCACTCAACGTATTGCACATTGCCTTCTAGACTGTCCGTTATGAACAGCGTCATTCCATCTTTTCCACCAAAGCAGCAATTCGTCAAGTTAATGCCCTCACTACCCGACACTATTCGAGCTTTCGGTGTGCCATTCGCGTTGAGGACGAACACCGATCCCAGCCCCGGATCGCAGACGAATAGACTGCCTTCTTCATCGACAACTAGCCCATCAGGCCCGACGTTACCAAATCCTTGGTAAAACAGGCCGACTTTGCTGGTAGTGCCATCTGCATGCAGGGGTAATCGCCAGACCGCGTTCGCACGTGTCATAGCCACGAAAAGAAAGCGTTCATCGCGGGAGAGGGCAAGTCCGTTCGGCGATACACCATTTGAGACGAGAGTATCGAGCTTGCCATCTGGCGAGAGCCGATAGACCCTACCCGTTGGATCGGTCAATCCCGTTTGACCCTGATCTGTAAAATATAGATTCCCTGCTTTGTCGAAAATGAGGTCATTCGGCCCCTTGAAGCGTTCTAAATTTCTCCTAGTTATTCGATTTGAAATGTTTCCAGTCACAGGATCGAACGTCAGGATGCCTTGCTTGTAGTCGGCGATAGCAATCCTGCCTTCTGGGTCGACAGCGAGCCCGTTTGGTTCGCCATCCCATTCTGCTGCAACTGTGACTTCCTTGGTAGGCGATATGCGGAGAATGCGACCGTAGGGAATGTCGACAACGTAGAGGTCACCTGATGTGGTATATAATGGCCCCTCCAGGAAGATATTCTGGAAAGGTCGGCTGAAACCGCCACGCCATTCTGTGGAACGATCTTTGCATCTTATTTCATTGGGGATTCGGACATACAGTGATGCGGTAATGGTTGGCGGGCAAGGATAGAAGTTCATGGCTGAGAAGTGCACAAGATTATTTGGAGTCGTTGGATCGCGACGGTTAAAAGGAAGTTCAGCAATACTATTCGATGTCGTGTTCGCGTCCCGTGCTTGACTACTGAGAGGCGTCCATGGATTCACGACACCCACGTGATTCGGAGTGGGGCCGACGGATAGAGAAAGGCGCAAAGCCTCCACACTTCCGTCTCCACCATCCCAACACGACCCTCGCTATCTTCACCCCACACATGCCATCCAGCACAGCTGCGGACGCGTCCGATGGTTGGATCTCGGTCACTGGCGACCATCTCGCTCAGACACCGGCTAGGTTGCAGCTCCCAGCTTGCCAGAAATGCCGGCTTCGCAAGGTCCGATGCGACCGAAATGCACCGAAATGCGCCAATTGTATATTGAAGCAGGTTGCATGTATCATTGTTGATCCCGAGACGGGTGCGCAATATGCACGAGATTATCTCCGACAACTCGAAGAAGAGGAGGTCACGTTGAAGACTAAGCTGGGCAACTGCTCGATTCCGTCTTATGACCCGCCGACCGCTCTTCCTTCTGATAGTCCTGACCAGGCAGAAGGTCCAACGATAGGGAGCACCGCCTCGCACAATTATTATGTTGGTGACGGAAGTGGTCTGGGGTTCCTACATAACATTCTTTCCGATTCGAGGTGGCAGGAACATCGCGTCCGGATCATGCATCAGCTGGCTGCACGCCCAATAATCCAGAGGCAACTCGTCCAGCCAAATCCTCTACCCCCACTTCTCGAAGCAGAAGCGCTCTTGGATAACTACTTCACTCGGTTCCACATTCATCACACTTTTCTCTTGCGCGATGAAGTATTGGGCATCTTCAATCGACTGTATTCTCCTTCAGTGGAAAATCCCATCACTAATCAAGACCGTTTCCGCCTGTTCATGGTGTTTGCTATCAGCGCCACAACCAGGCACCGCGCAGGTCTCAGCGCTGAAGACCCGTACGGCTACTTCAAGGCCGCTGAAGGGTACCTCGTGAGCGTCCCCTTGATCAAGGATCTCGATGCCGTGCAAAACTTGCTTTTGATTGCTCGATTTGGCATGTATCACCATATTGGGACATCATTATGGGAGATATCTCAAGTATGCATGCGCCAGTGTATTGAATGGCGCCTACATACTCTACGCTCAATTACGCTCGATCCTCTCAGGGAGCAGCACCGTCGACGCATCTTCTGGGAGTGCTACATTCTCGACCGTTATAGTTCGGGCATTCTAGGACGACCGTTTGCTATACTGGAGAATGATATCAGCGTAGGCCTACCGCTTGATGTCGATGACGAGACCTTGATGGCTTCTGCGGCCCCAACGCTCGATCAAGTAGGAGGGAATACAAGTTCTAGTCCTACAGAAATCTCAATATTTATCCACTGCATCAAGCTTCGACAGATTAGCTCGCGAATTCATACCAGGTTCTATACGGGCCCTGGCTTGGACATCCAGCCCAATGGGGTTGCAAAGCCGGGTCGGTCATCACGTAATCTCTCGATAGGACATATCTATATGTGTTTCTCACGTTTCCAAGCGGAACTAGAAGCATGGCGCTCGACAGCTCCGATATACCCAAACCCAAGATCGCTTTACGAAAGACCGGAATGGCACGATTTCCTGCACGAGAAAGATCTGATGCTGCTGGCTAGGGGCGCTTTGCATAACATACCTCCTCGTTCACTCGTCGCCGAGGCGGCACTGAAAGAAATATTCATCGCTTGCTACAGTTCGGCTAGACAAGTCATCGAGCTTTACGCCAGTCTCATGGATAAGCGCGCCATCACATGGACTCGAAGCTATTTTCAAGTTATATTCACTGCTGGACTTACTCTCATTTACTGCCTCAATCTCGACGTGATCAAACTCAATGCGACCGAATCAGGAATTTACCAATCCCTCGAGACGTGCCAAAGAATCTTACAATTCTTCAAAGAGAAGATGCCTGACGCTGGGTCTTTTACACTGGCGTTTGAGCTGTTGAAAACCGAGTGCGTGAAACCTCGCATCCTCACCACCCAAGAGGTGCGCCATACGGATAGTGCGACACCCTTCGGTCCGTCGGATTCAGGCTTGACCTCGTCAAACAGTGGAACACACAGCGTGAATTTAGGCTCATTAAGCAACCCTGTGGGCATACCCGATATACAGTATAATCCCTTCGTCGACCCGCAACTATGTGATCTGAACATAGGAGAGCCAAACTTTGGGTTCATGGAGGACTTCGATTTAATGACCCAACTGGAAGCAGGACTAGGCGAGTACGCATGGGGCTGGATTCCACTGGACGACAACTTCTCGGATCAGATGCATTCACATTGATGCGCTACGCTTGAGTTGTGCGTATGTAATCTGAGAGATGATCTATAGCCGCCATTGCCGTCTCCATCTGTGTCTGCGCAGTTGCAGCTCCTACGTGAGGCGTCGATAATACCCGGCCTGTTTCCCACAACCCTCCATAACGGTCTTTGGTCGGAGGCTCTTGTTCGTGACAATCAAGGCCAGCACCCCATATAAGGTTATCCTTCAGCCCGCGCTCTAGGTCGGCTTCGTTGATGATGCCACCTCGCGCTGTGTTCACAAGGATAGCGTTCCTTCGCATTATGGAGAGTTCGCGATAAGAGATCAGGTTTCTCGTTTGAGGCAAGAGCGGGATGTGCAGAGTGACGACATCTGAAGCTTCGAGAAGGTCTTCGAGGGTCTCTGCCCGCTTGTGTGGAACCTCGCTCCACGCATCTTTGGGCAGCAGCGGGTCGTACGCGACAATATTACAACCTAAACCGCTCTGGAATATCCTCGCGACACTTTGGCCAATATTGCCCATACCCACGATTCCGATGGTCTTGTGGCTAATGATCAATCCTGAGCATTGCTCCTTTGGTATCACGTCGCCGCGACTTTGGATGGCGGTTATTCGACCAATTTCACGAGCGACAGACATCGTGAGCGCCAGCACTGTTTCGGCCACCGCTTGCGCATTCACACCTGGCGTGTTGAAGATCTTGATGCCACGCTCTTTGCAGGCCTCTGCATCAATTTTATCTATGCCTGCCGACAGTCAGTTATAGGCACTTCAGTTAATAAGCCATGTACATACCAACACCTTGTTTGCCAAGCGCCTTCAGGTTTGGACATGACTTGATGTCTTTGGCGGTCAGAGACGAACCCCGAATCAGGAGGTACTCCGCCTTTTGTCGCCATTGTGAGTGCCGCGGATCGGTAGGCAAGACTGCATCAAATAAATCCTGAGCGTATTTTGTGGCTTCTGGATGAAACGAGTCTAGCAGGTAGACTGTCGGCTTCTGAGATGTTGTCGGTTCAGACACGGAATCGATACGTCCTGGAGCCATCTTGAACGTGTAGTGAAATTGATACACAAGCTTCAGTCCACCTGCAAATATCAAGTGGACACTGTCTCTCTTATGTACGAGCTCTCATCAGGCATGCTCACATTGCAAGTATCATTAAGGTTACATGATAGTCCGGACGCCTTCCGAACAGATCTTCAAAGTCCATCACATGACGTCTGTGCCGAATTATGAGTGAGAAGAGGCGCGCACGGAGATCCGAAGCGTCCGAAACGCGTCCGGTGGCGCTACTCGGACGCTTCGGAGCCTAGCGGCGCCAAATTGTATGAGTCGTTGAGGAGCAGTTCTCCACAAGTCTGGGGTCCCCACAGAACACACGCGGGATTATGGGGGGTTTCTCCAATTGTCAGCTATGGTAAGCTCGTCCTGCTATTAGGCGTCTCCCAATGCCTTCGCGCTTGTCCAGGCGTACAAGTATTGGGGCTTCCGCTTCGTTGCATTCACAACAGTCCTATTTCCTTAACTGCTTTTACTTTAAACGGTCTATCAACGATGGGTTCCGAAAAGCCGAGTCTCCTCAAGGGGACTGTCGACGCCGTCAAGGCTTGCCCTCGTGAGATCTTCAATTTCTGGCTCTTCTTCTGCACTGCAGTATGGAGCTTTTCCGGCGTGGCCAAAGGGTTCGATGAAGGTGCGTACTATCTACACATGATGGCTGATCCTCGTGAAACTGACCCATGTCGTAGGGAATATCGCCTCCATCGTTGTCATGAAGAGCTTCAAGACGCGTTTTGTTCTCGACCACGAGACTGATGACCAGTATGCGAATACAAAAGGTTGGATCGTTGCAATGGCAACAGCGGGTGCCGTTTTCGGCTGTCTTGCTTGTGTCAATCTTGTCCAGAGGCTGGGAAGGAAGAATACACTGCTTGTATTCACATTAGTCTATATTGCAGGTATCTTTGGTCAGACTTTTAGTAGCGGAAGCCTCTCCGGCCTGTATGCCAGCCGCTTCATAGCGGGTCTTGGAATCGGCACGACTACCGTGATCCCATCCATCTATCTGACTGAGATCGCTCCACGAAGTATTCGAGGTATGTCAGGACAGAAAACTCCATTGACAAGGCCTAACGGTAGATCAGGGTTGATTACTCTACAATATGCTTGTTGCCAGCAACTGGGGGTTGTCTTTGGCTTCTTCTTTAACTATGGTATCACCAAGCATAACGCTGGCACACAGCTTCAGTGGCAGCTTCCCACTGCACTGCAACTTATACCTGCCGTCATATGGGGAGTTGGCCTTCTGTTCACACCAGAGTCTCCTCGATACCTACTTTCCAAGAACAAGCGCACCGAAGCGTTGAAGGTTCTTTGCGATCTGAGAAATCTTCCCGAAGATCATCCATATATTCAGGAAGAGTTCGCCGGGATCGAGTGGCAACTCAACGCAGAGATTGAAGCTGTTAGTGGAGCCAGCGTCTGGGATTTAACCAAGGAAACATTCACGGTTACCGAGAACCGTCGCCGATTCGTGCTGATGTTCCTCTGCCATATGTTCGGTCAGTGGTCTGGCGCAAATGCCATCACGCAATACTCTCCCACCATTTTCGGTTACCTTGGCATCGCTGGCGAGGAATCACGCTTCCTTGCAACCGGTCTTTATGGAATTGTCAAATTCGTTTCAGTGCTGATCTTCTCCATCTTCATCATCGACTTCATTGGCCGACGACGCTCGCTCATCACTGGAATCTGCCTTCAGATTGTGACGTTGACCTACGTTGGAGCTTACCTCGGAGTAACGAACAAGATGTCGACCGCAGACATCGAAGCGAGCTCGAGCGCAACAGCTGCAAGTAAGGCCTCGATCGTTGCGATTTTCCTCCATGCTGTGGCTTGGTCAATCGGGTGGTTTTCGATCCCATACCTAGTATCCGCCGAAGTATTCCCGATCCGTATCCGCTCGCTCAATGTTTCAATCCTCATGGCTTTCCACTGGGCCTTCTACTTTGGCTGCTCGCGTGCCATGCCAAGTCTACTTGCCGCGACCCATCGGTTTGGCGCCTTCGCTTTTTTTGCCAGCATTTGTACCTGTTCCTTGATTTATGTGTTCTTTGCCTTGCCCGAAACAGCGGGAAGGTCCTTGGAAAGTATGGACAGGCTGTTCGAGCGGCCTTGGTACACGGTCCGACAGGTTGCGTACCCAACAGCAGCAGACTTGGCCGATGGAGGTCTTGGTGATGTCGAGAGGAAGATCACTGACGAAGACCTTAACAAAGTGACCGAGGTTCGAATCGAGTCACAGACAAGCAAGAATCACTGAATCCATTAAGCGATCAGACGGAGTGGTAGTGGCGTGCGCCGCGCTCAAGCGTTGAATTGCGACCAGGGGATACCAGTCTCGCTACCGATATTCACGTTGCGGCCATTGTACATAGTATATAGTTTTCACTCGAATGCGATCACAAATATTGAGCTCCGGTACGTTAACTTGTCGACTAAGTTCTCAATTCTTTTGCGTCGGGAGGAACAACCAATCGGACATCTCTCCGGACTATCGGACCCTCCCCGAGACTCGATGCTTCTCGCCTTCTGCACCCCCACACACGACATGTCCGCGCTTCGTTCGCAGGCCTGTGAGCGATGCTGGCGACGAAAGCAAAAGGTAAGCATACTACTATTCAAACGTGCCCGATAAACGCTTTCTCACCAATCTCAGTGCTCCCGGGACACTCCGGTGTGCGTGCAATGTCGCGACGCCTCGGCCACTTGCGTACCCCGCGGCTTTGGTCCAGCTTTGGACAATGGCGAAGTCGCAAGTGAGACGGGAATCGAAGCTTTAAAAGGAAGAATACGTAGCATGAGAAGGCACCTTCAGCACGATAGGCAGTACAACTCGCCTACGAGAGCGCCCATGCTTTCGCCTGGGACCCATGCACCATACCACGAGGCCACAACTACGACCACAAACGTATCTCTGCCTGAGGCCTCTGGTGATCAGAGTCATCATGAGATGCAAGACGATGTGGCCTATCTGTCCTTATCAGCAATGGCGGAGCGTACAGACAGTCAAGTATTGTCAGCCGAGGGTCTGTCGTATTCCAGCATGTTGTATGCAGCTACTGAAGTGTCTGGCTCGGATCTTACGCTGCCTATTAATACCAACGAAGCCCTCTCTGGGCCACTTGCTGAGCTTCGACAGAGCAGATTGCCTGATGTAGACCTGGCGAGCACCGAATTAAGCGCAGCATATCGTTGTTACGTCGAGATGATTTGTCAGACCTTCCCCTACATGACAGCTGCTGAGCTTACAGAATGTCACGATAGTATGACTATGAGGCATGGGAACGATGATGGTCCACAGCCTCTCCCGGAGCACCTGGCCATTGTATACCTTGGAACTGCAACTGGTCTTCTTCTGGGCATGCACTACACCTACAAAGAGATGCTTGCCACAGAGTTTGCACTCCGAGCTGTTCGTCTGATGCCAAAGATCTTAGATCATGCTGGGAACCTTTCAGCTATACGTAGCCTCATAGCCCTAGTCATCTTCTCGATGTACACTACCTTTGGAGGTTCGACTTGGCATCTGCTTGGCTTAGCCATGACCCGCTGCATCTCTGCTGGTCTGCATACCATCCGCTTGTCCGATCACAGATCGCAAAATAATGAACAGCGAGCTGGCAGTAGCCTGCTATGGACGTTGTACATTCTCGATACGTAAGTCATTAGTAAGAGTGAAAAGCGCTTAATACTCACCTATCGAAAGATATGTCAGCACCAGTCTAGGTAGACCATTCTCCCTTAACGATCAAGACATCATGGTTTCGGTGCGTACATCAAGTACAACAAAATCGCACTTTCCACTGACGGTTGTGACTAGCCGCCAACATCGCCACCTTCCGGAGTAAACGACACGAATGTGGAAGAAGCAACACTTCGGTGTTTAATACAACATGCACAAATGATAAGGTCCATCCGTCAGTCCATCAAACCGGACGACGGTATCTTATGTCATTACATTAACATCCGCCACTGGGCGGAGACAATACCTCCACAAATACGGATACCAAGAGACCACATCGTCAGTTTGTGCTCGAAAGCATACGTTCAGCTCCTCCAGAGTGAACGTTTTCTCCACGACCTGGATCGAGCAAGCATACTGAAACAGGTCATGGGGGTGTTTGACTCCTACCTCGAGAAGGTTGAAGAGCAGCTCAGCAATCCACAGTCTGGTGCTATCGCAGGCCTTGAAGCGCTGCACATCTTTGCTATCGGTGTCATATTGGCAACACGCCCAGATTTACAAAACGTCAGAGACCCGCAACAGAACGCAAACGTACAAACGATAATATCTCAAGTACAGATAGGCTTGACCTTGTTGTCCACCCGGTACTCGGTTGTGCGGACGTATCGCGACATTGTGCTAGAGCTACAACGGATAAATATTAACTCGAGCTCGGTGGAGAAGCTTCGTTCGTTAGTCGCCGTTTCAGAGCTTTCTGTTCCAATCCAGCTCCAGAACTTGATTCTCGGATTTGCATCATCGATCGAAGCTTGAGGCATCTGTTCACCTATCGGCTAAACTGATTTACACGACTCAAGCAAGTTTGTAACACATTCTGGAAATATTTCGATGATCGGAATGTAATTGTAAGAGAATGTCGAAAAAGCAATGGCAGGATTCTATGAGTATCCTATGAGGCAACCCCGTTCGCTGCAGGAAATACTTCCTGGACAGCCGCACTGAATGAAGCCTTTACATCATTTGAAACCTTTTCACCCGAGCCATTTACCCAAGGGTTGGCTCCGCCGGATTTCTTGACTCGTTGAGAAAGCTCGTTCATCTCTGCCGCCCTCTTCGTGGCTCCACCAAGGAGCAACGGCCCATCTGTAGCCGCCATCACCCATCGCACGCCCATCTCGCAAAACTTTTCGATAAGATCAAGCCGTGCATGTAGTCCGCCGCAACCGACCCACTTTCCATGCTTATTGCACGCATCTATCGTCTTGCGATACACCTCCGTCAACCTAGGGTTCTCGTAGTCTCCCGGGATCCCCATTTCGGCCGTCATATCATTGGTGCCAATCAGTAATGAGTCGACACCTTCAAGTGCAGCTAGCTCCTCGACGATCTCCACGGCCTCCAGTGTCTCCACCATGGGTATCACTAGCGTGTTGGCGTTCACTACCGGGTTCGACTTCTTGGCCGCAATGCTTCTAAACTGGAAATGGGGCAAGCCGTTCGTGCTCGACCGGTGACCTTGCGGCTGGAACTTTGCTGCTGCGACGACGTCCTTTGCGTCTTGGACGGTGCGGATGTGTGGTACGATCACGCCAAGGGCGCCGCCGTCGAGTACCCGCGAGATGAAGAACTGGTCTTTAGAAGGGACACGGACTATGGGTGCAATGCCTGCATATAAAGCTGCTATGCATAATTGGCCTGTGACTCTTTGGTTAGGAATGTCCTAAGATGCGTCCACGGAAAGCATAATACGAACCGGTGGTGTCCAAGTCGAGAGATGAGTGTTCCATGTCAATGAGGATGCCGTCAAAACCGGCTGTTTTGGCCATCATGGGAAGCTCCACACTGCGAACCAGTTTGACGGAGAGTGTGTACGCGACTTCATCTTTGAGAAGTTTCTCGCGCAGGGAGTTATATAGCGGGACCTCAGACATGTTGATGAAAGGATTGATCACAAAAAAGAGGAGGCCGTCCAGGGGAGTTATGAGGAACAATTGCACAACACAATGAGATTGAAAGTTTGCCGCATACGACGCGCGACGCGTTCTTTAATAGCAGACTGCGACAAAGACTCACGCGTGTTTGGCCGAAATCTCGCCCCGCGGCTGCCATCATTTTTTACTTGTCCCAACCTGCTCCACTACGCACTCCACGGGGCACCGCATTGGCTTCGTCACGAGTCGCCGTTCGGACTGCCACCGAGAGATGGTTTTCGGCGCAGCGCTAAATTTCGGGGCCTTCGGACAGAGGGCGACGGACACTCTCCGATGTGCCGCTTTGGTCCCCTTGTATTGTTGATTAGGACTTGTACTCTCGGTCCACAAATGCTTCTTTAATCAGCCCCACTCTCGGTTTGCGTATGGCGACTCGTTCGACCTTTCGAGACTGTCTTGACATGAGTTGGGTTATGTGTGTATGATGTCACGGGAACTTGCTGAGATGTTAGCAGCGCCTAGGATGCTGGCGCTTCGCCGAAACATGATATGATTGAACTGCGCGGCAAGCTATGAGAGACTTCAGGACGTTTCGTCTCCAGTATGTGCAGTAAGCGAAACACAAATATTCGATCGAGACGTGCCCGCTAACAGCAGCTTACGGACTGGAGACCATATTTACAAACTTCGTGCCCTGGAAGAGTTTGCAGCGGCTAGAAAGGACCCATTCAATCTAATAGGTGCTTGCAATGACTGACAGGCGGCCGCCATCGGTCGTGAGAATCGACCCGTTGGTATAGGCCCCCGCTCGGCTGGACAGGTACAAGATAACACCAGACATCTCCTCATCAGTGCCAAATCGCTTCGCAGGGACGAATCCTGCATCACTAGGCACCTCTTCTTCTGGTTTTCGAGACTTGATAAGCACAGCAGCCAACTCGGACGGGTAGACTAGTGTAACGTTATTAGCTTGCCGTTCCTTGCAAAGTGCAGGATGGTGCAATGCTGGAAACTCACTTCCTGGTGCAATCGCGTTCACGCGAATCCCGTGGTGTGCCAGCTGACTACTGGCATGCTTGGCGACTTGCATGATCGCCACTTTGCTCGAGAGATATGCAGGAGATGAGGTCCAGTGCCTGCTGTATGCCGATATGCTAGTTGTGAAGATAACGTGACTTTGGATCAAGGGCACCTTGCTGCCCTCGGCAGGCTTCCCATACCCGCCCAAGAGTGCCTGCTTGTTGCCTGCGTCAAGCAATTCTACAAAGGCTGTCATCGTGAAGAAAGCAGCAGTGACATTGAGATTCAACGTATTGGTCATTTTCTCCGGATTGGCGTTGGTGAAAAGGGTTTCCCGGAGCTCTTTGATTGAATGGTCCGGGTTGAAGCGAACCGGTGGACCGATATCGCCTGAATTGGCAATGACAAGGTTCACATAGCCAACCTCATTGGTGATCTGGTCAACAGCGGCTTGGAGGTCTGCTTTCGACGTCACGTCGCCTTGGATTGGGATGATACTCTCGTGCTCTCTGGCAGCCTCTTCAAGTTTTTCGAGGCGTCTCCCGATGATGTACACCTTTTTAGCACCGTTGAAGGCAAGGGCACGGGTCATAGTCAGACCGATACCTATTACCCAAGTCAGCGATCACGATCAGTGACCTCTTGAATGTGGGTACTGACCAGTTCCTCCTCCTGTGATGACGGCAACGATGCCATCGACCCGAAAGAGAGAGCTGGAATCAAAAGCTGAGGAAGAAGCCATTGTCTTGTGTGATGGCGAGGATGATTATTCGGTGGCTTGTGTGACGAGGTACTGCGTATCTCAATGAGCCGATTTATAGTTGTACTTGATGTCTGACACTGTAATGAGTGTATGCGCCGGATAACGCATTCGTCATCAAGCCGACCGTCGAAGAGTTGATTGCACGTTGGAGCCGTTGGCGGCCGCCGCTAATGCACCTTTTCCGTTATACATGTGGTTCGGGCCAACCAAGAGGCCGGGTTTATGTCACGGAGATAAACACTGGAGCGGACTCAGATCTTAATACGGCACAGATCATCTCCGGGTGTAACATAATATGATATGGCCATTTACCAACTCTAGAAAAGATGAGGAGGAAGATGTTGCGCGTCTATTTGGCGTTTGTGCTAGTCTTCAATCACCTATCGATAGTGTCCTTGGCAGGGGCGTCGTGACACCTGCCGTGGCGCTGACCTATTATTCAATCTTTACGCAGACCCCAAGGTTCGGGCTGAATTCTTCAAGATGTCTCACAGGCTTGATTACGAGCACTTTGGTCAAGGGCGGCCGCCGTTCCACTATTTGCTCATGCCCAATCTGAACGTCCTCAGAAACGTCGCCTTGGCAGAGTTGTGTTGAGCATAAACCGGAATAACTGGCTGGTATTAATCTGTGCTATGTTTGGACAATCGTGTAGAGTCCAGGACAAGACTGCAAGAGGTTTGATACACAGAGTTACAAACACCATCACGAACGGTCTGAACTAGTCTTTAAGTCATGGAGCAGTGTTTCTTTGGTAGTATTTCGAGCTACAAGCGTGCTCGATCTGATAACTTCCTCTCCTTTGGTTGACTGCGGCGGGCAAATTGAGCAGCTGCCTTCCCTGCTCTCCTACCAAACACAGCTCCCGAGGTCAACCCACTACCGCCAGGATAATTACCATAAAAGAGGCCACCAAGCATCTCGCCAACACAATAGAGGCCTTGAACCTCTCGCCCCTCATTTGATATAACGGCAGTAGTCTCCGGGTTCACAGCCAATCCGCCAAACGTAAAGGTTACGCCACAACAGACCTTGACTGCCATGAAAGGCCCTTCATCTAAGGGCAATGCCCAATTTGACTTCGCCAGAGGCAGTCGTGCTGTCGAGGACTGCGTGGAGAGCCCGTCTTTGACCGAGGGATCCCATTTCTGATGAGGTTGTTCTTTCCTGTTTGCGTATACGGCATCGTTATAGTCTTTAATTGTTTGGACGAATGTCGATGGGTCCGCCAGATTATGGTCCGAGGCCAGCTTCTGCGCGAGCTCTTCGAGTGTAGAGCCCCATACTTTCTGCACAACCTCGTCCCGATATTCCTCATCTCGTAACCATGGTATGGCTTGCTGGTCCCACACCTGGAACGCTATCCCGTCCGGTTGCTCGTGTATTGCTCGTCCGAACTTGGCGTACGTGTAATTGCGCATGTCAATGCCTTCGTCGACAAAGCGGCACCCTGCATTATTGATCATTAGCCCTAGCGGATACCCGGACTTTGTGAACTCGTTTGAGATGACGCGGTCGCCGCTGTCGGTAGGCGAGTTGGCATCCCAGCATGTTGAGTGGCATCCAGACCAATGACCTGCTTGTCGAGCGCTTACATCGCGTATCGCAAACTCCAACGCATCGCCGGTGTTAAATGGGGTGCCTCGAACATGCGCGAGATCCCAGCCGGGGCCGAGGAATTGAGATCGCATACGGGGATTCGCTTCGAAGCCGCCAGCTGCAAGAATGACCGATTTGGTGCGCAAAAGGGTCTCAAAGCCATCATGAGCGACGACAACGCCAGTGACGGCTCCAGACTCGCTCGTGACGAGACTTTTCGCAGGAGTTGAGTAATATATGTCAACTCCATGTGTTTGAGCTGCGGTCAGGTGATCTTCGATCAAACCCTTCCCTCCATCCTCGGTCTTCAAGGACATACCGCCCCAGAACTTGTACCTTCCATCGACTTTATAAGCTTGCCGATTGAACGATAGCTGAAATCGAATACCGTTCTTCGCTAACCACTTCACCGCGGCGTTCGACTCGTCAATCAACGCCTTGCTCAAGACCGGATCTGTCCGTCCAGAAGTCATGCGATCCATATCCTTTCGAAAACTCTGCGGCGTGTATGGATCCATGTCGATAATGTTGGCAGTCTCGGAATCGACATTGTTGACGATTGGTATCAGGTCTTGGGCTCCAGTGTGCACTGTGCGAAAGGCGCCTGCAGTAAAGTACGTGTTGCCTCCTGCCCATTCTTGGGGACATTTGTCGATCAGAACGACGCGTTGTGCGCCAGATTCTGCGGCGGAAGTCGCTGCTGAGAAGCCTGCGTTGCCGCCACCCACGACCAACACGTCGATGAGGTCAGACGGGGATAGAGAAGGCATACCGGATTGAAAGCGAAATAAGGTTTTGGAAAAAGGCTATTCACTCCTCAATCCGTGTCATGTATTGATCCTCGAAGCTCGCGTCTCGTGTACCATTCTTGAAGTCTCCGGGTATAAAGTCGAAGGTGCGAGGCGAGCTGCATGTCCTTTCCGCATTGGGTTATGACCGTCCCGCGGGGTACTAGTCCCACAGTGACCCGCCCCACATGTTCAACAACTCACGATCTAATAAGTGAGCAGAAGTCTAATGGTTCTCATCCCGCCTACAATTCTAATTACAGTATTTCAGTGTGCCAAAGTTGTGGGGGTGTTCATACGGTAGCCGCAAACATGCTCCGAACCACCGACGACACCTGAGCCCATAAGTGTACAGATTTATGTGCGCTTCATGTTCTATGGTGAACATCTCCTTACCAACATCGGGTAGCTTGAGCTCCAGAACTCACCATGACTACAAATTTCCGGGCGTAGAGTTGGGGAAAGCGGTGCCGATAAAGGCACTATTGTATTCGGCACCTGCAGTGCAGTCTTCACGTGCATTCGTAAACCACAGTGCATTACTGTTCAGCAAGTCAGTGGGAACCCGGAACGGAACATCAGGGTATACGTACTTCCTTGGCCCATGGTATACCTGAAAGCACATGTATGGCGCCAAACTGCATGATTCGTGGAAGCTGAAGCTGTATAAGGTCCGTTGAGGTGTACCTATTCCGCTGCCAACAAGATATGAAAAAGACTAGCGCCGGAAAATTAACAGTACGGTGTTATAGACCTGCGGGGGTGGGTCGTACGGCTAGACCACAAGCAAGTAGCTCAGGAGTCGAACACACCATCACTCCGCAAACCCCGGACTGCATCGTCCCCTGTCTCTACAAGCGCAGGCCGAAGTAGCCGTGGATGTGAGTTGCGACAGCCACCATTTCTCACAATGGTATATTAAATGCGCCAGTGTTGACGCGTCCGCAATGTGACTGGAGGAATCACTCTTTGATAACGGAGATTCTCGTTCACTCCAAGGTCCCCAATGAACCTGCGTTGTACAGCGATGCGGGCATATAAAGCTTGTCCTCAAGCCAAGAGTGCTTGTACTCTCTACCAAGAACTCGGCTCCTGCATTCACTGCTTGTCCGTCATGGTGTTCCTCGTTCCTTCACTCCTAGTCGTCTTGGCCACTCTAGGCAATGCTTCGCCCGTAGCCCAGCCAGCCGTTACCCCAGCCCCAAAACCGGGCGTTGTCAAGCGTGCGACTAGCTGCACCTTTTCGGGTGCTAATGGTGCCGCATCTGCTAGTGCAAGCCAGACAGCGTGCTCTACCATCGTGCTTTCCAATGTCGCTGTGCCGTCTGGTGTGACACTGGATCTGTCGAAACTTCCCGACGACACTTCGGTGAGTAGTATAAGCCACATTCATAACGGCTTCCTCAAGTCTTCTCTAAATACTCTCGTGACAAGAAAACTCATTGACATGTCTGATTCTAGGTCATCTTCGAAGGCGAGACCACCTGGGGCTACAAAGAATGGGCCGGCCCTCTCCTTCAAATTGAAGGCACTGGTATCAAGGTCTCCGGAGCATCAGGCGCCTACCTAAACCCCGATGGAGCGCGCTGGTGGGACGGCGGAGGAGGTAGTAGTGGAAAGACGAAGCCGAAGTTTTTCGCCGCGCATAACCTGATCAGCTCGTCCATTACCAATCTGCACATCGAGAACACACCGGTCCAAGCGGTCAGCATCAACGGTGCGAACGATCTGACTATTACTAGCATGACGATTGATAATTCCGCTGGTGATAGCGAAGGCAAGAACACGGATGGGTTTGACATCGGAAGCAGCACGAATGTTGTTATTGATGGCGCCAATGTGTACAACCAAGATGATTGCGTGGCTATCAACTCGGGAACCGTGAGTCGTTTCGCCGTTGATGTTGCTCAATACTAAGATGAAATACCAGAAAATTACATTCCAGAACGGCGTTTGCTCGGGTGGACACGGGCTGTCGATTGGATCCGTAGGTGGTCGTGACAACAACGTTGTCGACACGGTGACATTCTACAACAGCGAGGTCAAGAACTCGGTCAATGGTATGTAGCTACTCATGGTCTCTTGTGTTCGATTTAACAAGTGCCAGGCATCCGCATCAAAGCCATCGAGAACGACACAGGCACCATCAAAGGCGTGACATATAACAAGATCACCCTGGCTTCTATCTCGAAGTATATCTCATCTTTGCCGACCACTTAGGACGTGCTAATTGCTCGCAGATACGGCATCCTGATCGAGCAAAACTACGACGGAGGCGACCTCGACGGTGGGACCGCATCTTCCGGCGTCCCAATCACCGGTCTGACCATCGAAAACATCACAGGCAGCGGTGCAGTGTCAAGCTCAGGGTATGATGTAGTCGTCACGTGCGGCAGTGGGGCTTGCACCGGGTGGACTTGGAGCAATGTCGTGGTCACAGGAGGTAAGACGTACTCTAAGTGCACGAATGTGCCGAGTGGGGTGGCGTGCTCCTAAGTGTGTTGGGAGGATTGATGATGAAGAGGGAGGGTAATCGATGGGGTCAGATGAACCTTGTGAGAGACTTGTTGTACTGTCCATCGATTTGCAACGCTATCTGCCTTGACAGTCGTGAATCTGTCTGGGATGTATCATGAGTATGACAATAATGCCTGGCTATGCTTGATTAACATGTTGCTTGGCTCATCATTCAATTCCCATTGATGTCGATACATCAAGCAACCCAGAGCTTGGTCTCCCTCGAGACTCTGTGCACTCCCTCAGAGCCGTTTGCATAGTCGCCTCTTCAGGAACCTCGAGGATCCGGAATCATCCTCTGCGGTGAGTCCGGTGGGTTCCTACCCGGATCACTTAGATCAAATTCGAATTGCAGGAAAGGGCGACGTGCAGGTTGCCGTACGTGGAATGCCAGGCAAGCAGCCTTATGATCCGTATCCCCATGGAAGACTACCACTCCATCCACCCACATATTACCCAGATTTTCTTTGTGGAAAGCGAGAAAATAGCCGAGTGTTTTTCCAAGCTCACTTCCCAGGATAGCCAGACCACTATTGGTGGTGATAGAGATCCAACGTCCGGGCCATGGGAGGAGCGGTTCGTCGAAACCAGTGCGCAAAAGATGCATGAGCGCTCCCCTGATGATCTGTCGGGTCTCTTCATTGAGGATGCTTGCCACGAAATACCACTCGAGCTTCTTGATTGCTTCGGGGCCTAGTGCTCTCGCACTGCTCTCCCACGTGACATACTGCAGATCCGCCATGTTACGTAGCTCAGGAAGTTGTCCCTCTAGAATTAGAGGTATACGTTCGGAAGCAGCGGTGACGGTACTTTTTTGGAACAAGTTATAGATGACTCCATTGGCGACACTGTATCCCCATGTCAAATACATGCCTGTGTACCTATTACGCTCGCCGGTTTGGCTTCTAGGCTTTGGATAAGTCTGTTGGTCGAGGGTTTTTGCCGGGATCTGTGTAAACTGTGTAGCGTCAAAGTGGTTGATAGCCATCGTCGTGAGGCTTCCTCCATCTTGCCAATCTCTGTTAGATATCCTCAGACTGTCGAGCGCCCTTGCAATTCCGTAGCTGCTGGGTGGAAGGCCATCTGCCCCTAGATTGCGTACAGCTGGAGGGAGAGCATATTTCATCTTGTAACCCCAAGTTGCTGTGTCTAGGAGCGACCATCTCTTTGATGTGTCAACACCCAGTTCGTGGTTTGACTGGAAGAAGGCGTTGTAAAGACTTATGCCTCTGCAGAGCGCATGATTCCAGACTTGATCAAATGGAATCTGCGGCGGTGGATTGTTCCTCCAGCCCTCACGGTAAGTGTATGCCTCGGTGACCCATACAATCAAGAGACTTACCACCTTCGGGCGATCTCGGTATCGTTGAGGTCGCCACCATCGGTGTACTCAAGGCGCTGCTGGAAAGCGAGACACAGGGTCAGGAGGGCCAATACCACCCACAACGTGAGCTTCATGGCGAGGACTTGCTTGAAGAGGATTTGGAAGTTATGTTTGAAGCTGTAGATAGACACCGACGGTGCGTTTGCTGTTTAGAAGTCGCGACTTCCGTCCGGGAGTAGGCAGGAGCACTAGCGCGTGGCAGGCCAAACGCCGTCGAAAACCGCGCCTGTCGGCTGGAGGAACTTAAGTTTGGATCTAACACTCACTCCTAACGAGAATAAAGGTAGGAGAAACTCCCCTTCACCTTACTTGCTCTAACACTGCCCTACGAACCCGATATCCATCTTTAGCCCGGCAGTCTTCACCCTCTCCACATACTGATCTCCCAAAGTAGCAGGTGTAAGGACACCTCCACCAAGCCTCTGTGCCCAATTCTCGCGATCAGGTCGCAGCAGTACAATGGCCGCTTCGCTCAGCAGAATTGCAGTTAGCGAGTACATACCTCCTGAAAACGCCATCTCGCAGATCGCGGTCTGAGGAGTGGAACCGTCACTGCGCGCCATGGTCTTCCAAGACGTACGATCTTTTACTTTGGCTCTACGCACGAAGTTCAGCGATCTCATCCAAGAGAGGTCATCTTTCGGAGGAATGATAAGGTTCACTTACTTTTCCGAAGGTCCCTCGCCTGGTGATGGCAACACACTCGTCAACAGCTTCCGAATAGGTGACACCAGCAACATCGGCAAGCTTGCTATCAAACCAGCATGCCAAAAGAAGCCTGATACACGGTTTGCAGCCTTCATGCCCGTGAAGTAGCTGAACCCTTCGCCATAGTCCATCAAGCTCCACGACCGATACACAAGACCTGCATCAGGAATGCCGATCACGCTATCCGTCAACAAGCCCACATCATCCTGCCTCTTCGTCCCACTCCACCCGAACGCACGGGGCCGATTCTTCGGATGCACACCATCCAGACACAAGGCCAACGGCTTTATCGACTCTTTCAAGTGGGTGAAAGGATACGACCCAGCGACTCCGATAAGGCTATGCAGCGTACCCCCACTCATACCGTTCCTCCACTCTTGAATCGAATGCACAACCTCCTTCGTTTCTGCAACGCAGTTCTCACGTAGAAACCGCACAAGCGCGTACGCAGCCAGATCAGCGGGAGCGGAGTCCATAGCGCACTGCGTGATCAAACACGCTCCGTTACTCTTCGCTAGCTCATGGCATTTGTGGGCTACCTCGTACACCCAGGGCGTCTCGCCAGTGCTGTCTACGTAGTGTGTTCCTGCAGTCGCACAAACTTCCATCACTAGGCTGCCGTGGAGGTGGAAGGGACCCACGGTTGTAATTAAGACGCGGGTTTTACGGGCTAAGGCGACTAGGGCATCTTTGGTGTGTTCGATTGTTTCCGTAGAAGGGGGTGGGCGGTCTGGACGCAATGGGGTGAGTGTTGATGAGAGGGCATTGAGCTTAGACGGTGAACGGCCGGCGATTGCCCAATGAAGGTCGGAGGGGAGATGCTTGGTGATGTATTGTGCTGTAAGGCCTCCGGTATATCCAGTCGCGCCGTACAGTACGAGATCGTACTCGCGGGGCTTTGTGTCTGCCATTAGTAGGAGGTTGAGATGTTGGTGTAAAATGCGTAACTGAGCGCCCCGTACCTAATCAACATGTTTCGGTGATTCGTGTTCATCTTAAGGTCTTTTATGGCCTGGCAGACCTTCGTCGCATCCTCTTGCTCTTCATGATTTTGCATTTATCGTGGAGGCGCGTTCTTTCCCAAATTGGACTAGACTCCACAGGTCGTGAGTTAGGTCCACGAGTGTCGTGGTCACACTGGTAATCAAAGTGCACAAACTGTGCAAGGCCGGGTGTCTTGTCGACGGTCGGTCACTAAATGCCCCGCTTCATGTGTATGGTGTGAAGATGCTCGGGGGAACTGAGGGAAATGCAAAAGCAACACTTGGACGATGCCGTTCGGTTTCACAGCATATAATTCGTTGCTGTCTCTATGCGTCACCAATCGCCACGGGCAAAGTAGCGCTACAACTTACTCGCCTTCCCTTTATCGCCCAATGTGACCACCAGCTTCCCAAATTGAGCCGCGTTCTTCATATCTTCGAACAGACCATCTAATTGACCTATATCCATTCCGTGCACACTCCTGCTAACAATAGGCCTGATCTTCTTCTCGCGCACGAACTGAACCATGTCCGCGAATTCTTTGCGTGAGCCCATAGTCGAGCCGCGAACTTCGATATTGCTAAGAACAGCCGTCATGAGGAACGGCATCTTTGGTGCAACAGTCATCCCGTAGACGGAGATAATGCCACCAGCCTACTTTGATGTCAATACCGTCCTGTGGGCCGCGAATAAGAGTGATAGCCTTACCTTTAGCAACTTCGTGCCCTTAGCCACAATATCCCCTCCCGCTCCGTCCACAATCGCATCAAAAAACGGCCGATCCTTCGGTAAACTTGCCTTCAACTTCTTCTCCCACCCCTCTTCTTTATAATTCACGCCTCCCTTCGCCCCAAGCTTAATCGCCTTATCAATCTTCTCTTGATTCCCGCTGCTCACATAGACATTGCACCCTTGTGCGACGCCGTACAGCAACACCATCAGCGCGACACCACCCCCAATACCCGTCACGAAGATGTTTCTACCGGGAAGAGCGTTACCAGATTTGGTGAAAAACGCCCTCCACGCTGTCAGTCCAGTCAACGGCAACGCCGCCGCTTCCGCATCAGATAGATGCTCCGGACACTCCTCCAAATCACCGACATCCATTGTAACCACCTCTGCCAGCGTGCCTGCAGGATTAAATTTCGTGCCGCCCATAATCGCATAGCCCTTTGGATGCTCAGGGCCATCGGGACTGTCTTTCCAGCCAGTCCCCGGGTTCAGGAGGACGCGCTTTCCTCTCCATTTACGACCTGCGGGGGATGAACCGGTGGATGTGACGACTCCGACGCCGTCGGCAAGGAGGGGCACGCCGAAGGCTGTGCCTGGGTAGAGGTGTTGGCGGATGAAGAGGTCGCGGTGGTTAAGGGCGGCGGCTGTGAGGGTTATGACGGCCTTGCATCTTTGTTAGTGAGCATTGGGAAGGTAGGAGGGGAGACGAACTTCATTATCTGAGGGTTTTGGTTCTGGAATCGTGATTTTCTCGAGGGGATAGTAGACCTGTCCTGGTTTGCCATCCACCTTTTTAATCGCGATTGCGGATGGCATTGTAATTTAGTTCGAGCTTAGGATTGAAGTGCGTTAGCGCTTGCGGAAAGGTTTACGTATTCATCAATTCGGGGAAGAAAAACAATGCGAAACCTTGGTCCAGCGCTCAATGCAAGGGACACTGGGTATCGTGTGTTGTGAAGTTTATACATCAATTATGTTCGCAGATACGGAAAGCTATCGAGAGACCGAGCGCAGCCGAGGCATAGGAGCTCCGCCTCCACCTTGCGGGGCAGCGACTCCGTCATTGCAACGGCCGCCAGACTAACCCCGGTTAACCCCATCGCTACAAACCAAGAACCCAAACAGTCTTCTCAAATCACCTCTGAGTTAAGTAGCCATCTCAGTAATCACATGTAGCAAATGTGTGATTTCGGCTTCAATCTTGAACGCCATAGAGATTACAAAGCTTCCCACATTACAAGCACCGTAGCCTTCGTTGGCAATGCTTCTGCAAAGGAACTTTGAGTGCATGCATAATCAGATTTCCCTACACATATACCATCAAATACGATCCTCATCCTCAAATCACGATTACTAGCTCAGTCCACTCCTGCTCCTCAATTTCCCACTACGGCCTCCACCTAAAGCTCGGATGCTTCCAATCCAAATCCTGCTGCTGTTGCAACGTAAGCCCCGCCAACTCCTCATCCACGCGCTTCTGTTCCCTTTTCTTGTTGCTCCATTTCATCCAGAACAATAGACCCGTCGATAGTATCAAGATGCAGCTACTCGTCGCCAAATTCAACCCGTTACCAATATGGTAATTCGGCTTATCAAACGGTAAGAATGACCAAGTCGAAATAAGGCCCCCAACATTTCCCAACATAACATTCGTTCCGATCGCGCTCGCCCTCGCCGTATCACTAACCACATTCGCAGAAACCTGCGCGTTGCAGAGTGCACCGAAGGAAAACGCGCCGCTGGCGATGAGGAAGGTGGCACCGTAGCGTGTCTGCGCATCGGTGGAGGCTAGAAACATGATGTAGCCGATCATGATGAGCGGAGCGGAGAAGATGAAGAAGATGCAGCGGCGGTCGAAGCGCCAGGAGAGGAAGGGGAATAGTACGGTGAAGAAGCCGCCGACGACGTAGGGCGGGACCGTGTGCAATTGTTGGGAGATTACGGTGTCTTTCGGGTAGATAGTTTGGACGATGGTTGGGGCAAAGAAGGCGAGGCCTTGGACGGTGATGTTGTCTGTGCCGTGCTGTTAGTAAATGAAAGGGCCATCAGGGAAGAAAGGGTCTTACTGAGGAGGAAGATGAACGACGTTGTCAGTGTGACTGGGCTGAGAATGCCGCGCAGTGTTTTCGTCTTGTCGATCTTGTCGAGAACTTCCGTCGTGCCAACCCGCTCCGACTTGACTCTTGCATTGGCAAGATCCTTCTCTTCCTGTGTCAACCACCGCGCCGTCTCCGGGCGATCCGTGAGCGTAAAGAAAGCAATCAGCGAAAGACCGCACGTGATAATGCCCTCGATCGCAAAGATCATGCGCCATTTGTGCAGGCTTCCAAAGCCATCGAGCTTCAAGATAGCACTAGCGAGCAAACCACCAAAAGCCCCAGCCAAGGGCGCCATAACGATGTACAGACTCAACCTGAAGGCAAGTTCGCTTCGTCGATACCAGCGAGACATGTAGTATGCAATACCGGGCAGCATACCGGCCTCGAAGATTCCAAGCAAGAAGCGCACTCCAGAGATGGCGGCCCTCGAATGCACGAATGCCGTTCCAAGCGAGCAGATACCGAAGCCCAGGGAGATTAGCGGAATGAACCAGCCAGGACCCATCCATTTGCAGGCCATGTTACTCGGGATCTCAAAGACGATGTAGCTGACGTAGAAAACAGAGAGCACCCCATTGTAATCGTAGCCGGTCATACCCAGGTCCTTTTCAAGGCCAGCAATTTTCGCATTTCCGATGTTGGCTCTGTCGATGAAGCAGAAGAGGTAGAGAAGGGCCACTGTAGGCACGATGTAGAGATCGATTTTCCATCTCAGACGCGATTCGGCCTTGGGGTCGAACTGGACAAGAGAGTGGCCGTAGCTGGGAAACGTTAACAAGAGTGGATAACGGAAGAGGCGGACCTCTCACATGTCAGTCGCGACCTGTCCCCTCTCTGCTACCTGGTGCGCATCGCCGGCTTTTTTGAAATCCTCGAGATGACTCGCACTCGTCGGTCTCTTATCCTCCATGGACGTTGCGGGGTCCATAGTGCTCGGTGTTCGCGTCTTTAGCTCTGAGGGTCAACGAGACGACATGCAAACACCAGCAGATCCCTCGCACCTTATACGACCCGCACCCACGGATAGCACACTGCCACCTGCCTGCATCTGCTCCAGCATCCTTCCAGCCCGCGCGCCAGCCAAGCAGCCCGCGCTTTGACACCAACCCGCGCTGGTCCCGATCAAGACCGGCCGCCCGCCTTGGCGTTGCCCCGCTCCAACCAAAACCTGGAGAAGTCGACGCTAAACCCCCAGACGTCGTCCACATTTGATCGGCGGCGTTGGCATTTCGGGCAACTGCACCGCGGGAGGAACACGCGGCTTTTCCTCCACGCGAGGGCATAGCAAGCACGCTGCCGTTGTGTGATTCCGGGGAGGTACCCCGCAAAGTCCAGGCTTCGGGTCATGAACAAGGGCCGAAGGGGGCTTTTAATAGAGTTTGCGGGTTGACGCGTGACTTGGGCTTGCGGTCGTTATGTACGATATGCACGAGGCTGGTGTTGTTGTACAACACCATCTAAGTAGCTCGTTTTATTCATATTCAAGTACAGTCTTGAAGCCTTATCAGCAGAGTTGAGGCGTGCATGCAATGTCTGCACTCAAGCGATGTGATGGCGGAATTACAGTGCAGTCTTGAAGAAGCAAACACAAATCAATTGGAAGCATGTGGACCCCATGCACTGCCTATGCACAGATAACGCGCTCCTGCTGTATGAAGTGGATACTCCTGCTGTGAAAGTGGAACTTCCGACCATACAGAGTACAGAGTGGGAATTCCGACAATGCACACTGGAAGTTCCGGCCAACATGCAAAGCATCCAGCGCTATGCCAGGATACGAGACGGATTCGGATCCTGTTCCCCGGGCGCCAGGTAGAACGTTCTACCTGAGTCACTATACTTATAATCTAGACTAGGTATATATACTAAGTATATCTAGGCTACGCAGAGCAAACACGACGCAAATATTGTAAACATCAGTAACATCACTGTAGACGATAGGCAATGTTGTCAAGTCCTTGCTGCCGCGAAGCTCGCTTGCTTAGGAAACACGTACAGAGAGCGGTCCCAATATAGCAAAACCAGTGATGCTCTCCGGATGTTTATTTACCCGACCATGCATACATCCCCAAGTCAGTCAGATCAAATTCAAGCCAAAGGTATCCTTCCCATCCCAAAACGCCATTAACCCCCCGAACCCTAGTATAACGTTGAGAACATCATTGCTGCACCTGACTCACGTGTCCACCATGCGCAGGCCCACCCCACTCACTCTCATCGTCGCTGCCTACATCTGTCCAGCTCGACGGCGTCATGATACCCCTGTTCTCTCCCACTTCGCTGAACCCTGCTTCCGAGAATCCAGCCTCGGTGAAGCCAGACTCTGAGAAGATTTCAGAGCGCGCATCGTGGTCTGTGTCGTTCTGCATGCTCAGTATAGCGATGTCGTCGGCTTGGCTACCGACTATAGACGCGCCTGTGAAGTCGCCGGATCGGTCGGAGCGCGGGGTGAGGGTCCCGGTAGATATGATTTCGGCTTCGTCGTCGGAGCGAGCTTCGGATGTGAAGGAGTAGAATGATTGGGCGATCTGGTCGCCGGCTTCGGAGGGAGCTGCAGAGGCGGGGATGGACGCTGTTTGGGGGTCCTCGGGGTGCAGGTAGACGGATTCGGGGGTGAGGTCGATGAGCTGGGCAGTATGGGGAGAGGCAGTGGGCGAACCTTCGATGGTGGCGGAGCTCTCGCGGGTGTTGGGCTCGGTGTAGGTGAATGGTTGCGGTGAGTGGGCTTCGTCTTCGTCGTGGTCGAATAGTATTTGGTCGTCGGAGAAGGGATTCACGAGAGTAGCTGCAGCAACTGAACCAGCCGCAAAGCCAGCCACGCCGCGGTGTCGGAGTGCACCGCTCGTTGCATCGTTGCCGGTAGCCGTTTGCGCAGTAGATCCGGCTTTCTTGAGCATGCCATCACTGCCTACAAGGTCGTCGAAGCTCTTCTGGCTCGCATTCGTCTTTCGGCGCTGTCTACGCTCCGCCAGCTCAACGTCTTCCTGTCCGATGCGTGCGAGCTCATCCAGATCTACAGCGATCCCCTCCTCTCGCGCGCGCTTTATCAAGTCATTGCGATTCCACCTAATAATCTCCTCCCTTTGGCGGCGCTTGCGCTCATCGAAATCTTCGGACGATTCGGACGGGCGGCGGGGTTGTATCTCGTCGCCCAGAGAGTGCAGCGCTACGGCGATCTTGCGACGGGACTGGTCGACCCACTGTCGAACCTGGGGAGATTCGTAGATGGCGATGCCGGCGGCGACGATGACCGAGGCGGCTATAATGAGGCCTATTGGGAACGGATGGTTAGGCCTCCGCGGGGCACGACGGGTATGAGAGATAGGAGATTTTGAACGAGCGCGGGAGCCGGAGCCTGCAAGCAGGTTGGCACAGGTAATGGGAGAGACATGAGAAAGCAATCAAAGGTGTTGTGTGAGGTACAGGGTGGTGTCGCGGCACAGCAGCGAGATGCATGAGCTCGGTGGGCTTACCTTTCGCTAGTGGCGCAGGCATCGGGACGGCGGCTCTGCTAGTGACCTGGAAGATGAAGGTGTGGAGTGTTGGGTGTTGCTAATGCAGCAATAGTATATAGGAGCTCCTAGGTAGAATTCATATGGCAGCCTGGTGGCTTCGAAGAGAGTGAGCAGACGCTCTCGAGGCAGTGTCGTCGTAAGAGTTACCGCCACCCAAAGTCCGAGCGCAGCGTCCAACAGGGGTCGAGGCGGGGCTTCGGTGCCCGTGCTGTGCCTGCGCTAATAGCCTCATTGGAGACAATGGCATTCCGTATCAACCGGATCTACATTCGATATCTAAATGCAAGAGTCCCATGTACACGCTAAATGCGTGTCTTGCGCTTCCATACCCAAGGCTGAAATAATATGTACAGAGAAAAGAGATCATGCATGGTGGTCCTCGAGCTCTTCAGCCTTCCGCTTCGCCGCATGCTCGGTCTGTATGGCCCAGAGGCACGCAACGATGCCCAGAGCGCTCGATACCAAAGTGACATAGTACGCCGCTTTGTAGCAAATTAGGCCCTCATCGCAGTTGAACTCGCCACCAACCTGCACCTCTGAGTGCGAGTCGTACACTGCGCCGTAGAACAAGTTGAAGATATTCCCACTCACGACAGGTGCGAGCGTCATGAATCCCCAGTTGACGGCGAATCCGTCGGCGCCAAAAACGTCGATTACAACGGCGGGGAGCACACCAAAGAGAATGCCGTATGCGAGCCCACAAAGACCTGACACAGCCCACAAATGGTGCGGATCCTCAATACGGGTTGCGCAGAATTGAGCAATCAGAAACACGGTTGCTGCTGCCACTATACACCACAAACGGGATCCGCCCAATCGCTTCACAATCACATCGGAGCCAATCCCCGATAGCAGACGCCCTGAAAAGGAGCCGAGCGAGATGATTGAGACGTGCCAGAGTTGGCGGTGGGCAACGAAGTCTTTACTGGCGCTTGGATCCCAGTGATTCCAGAGTGCTTGCGCGTCGTGACCAATGTTGCTGCTACTGTCAGTAACCCAGACAGAAGCGCCGTTGATAAACTCACTTGATGGTCATCAGTCCGACTCCAGTAAGCAACCCCATAATGACCCAAATCTGCCAAAATTCAAACTTGTATAGCAAGGCCAATCCAGTAATATCTAGGCAATGTGAGTGATTTGTTTTCCTACTGGCTCTGCTGGCCGCATCGTCCTCTGGAAGTAGATCGCCAGGTCCGGACAGGAGCGAGGACGTCTCATCTGAATCATCATCCCGTTCGTCATTGTCTGGTTGATACGGTTGGCAAAGACAAGGGGCGCTTGAAGTGGAAAGAAAGGCATGACTTACTAGGCTCCGACTGGGGTATTGACGAGTTGCTGTATCGGCTACTGTTCTTGCTACCGTTAGACCTGGTCCGGTGCAAGACATTCGAATTGCGACGGGTGCGCTCGTTGGTGGGCAGGACAGCATAGCCTGTGCCAGTCTTGTGGTCAACGACATGAAGGAACGGTAGTGCGACAAGCACAACCATGGACGTTCCAAAGGAGAGTAGAACGAGTAAGCTAGAAGTGTCTCCTGGAAACGCTATACCAGCGATGAAGGTGTAAAAGAAGGCACTCAAGCCGAAGGCTGCAAGAGGGAAGGCAGTCGCCGTGCCTCTGTGGGTGGGCCAGTTGAGTGTAGCTACTTTCATGGCGGCTTGAAACGCAGCGCAGCTACCTATGCCGCTGAGAAACGAACAGAAAGAGAGGAGCGCTACGCTCATGGAGCTAGCTCCTTCATCATAAGCTGCAATCATCAGCCACGCACTTCTCACCGTTTGCAGTCAGCTTACCAATGTGTATGGGATAGTAGCCCGCGAACAGGGAGAGCATGCCAATCAGTCCAGCAAGACGTGGACTCTTTCTGTCTGTGATGATGCCTACTGGTATTCCCGCGGCATACATGCCCATGTTCCCGGATGTCCCCTGATATCATGGTGAGTGCGAGGTGGTGAATGTGCGCGAGGATCGTACAATAATATTGCTCTGGGTTGTGGAGAGTTGGAGTTTCTCAGCGAACTGTGGCGCCCATGCTGAATAGGCATACTGGTACATGTCAGCCCAAGTCGCGACAGGAGTACTTCAACTCACATTCGTTCCACATGCAAGAGCGATGGCTGTCGCTGCAACGACGGACACTATCCGCGTCTTCTGGTGCGTCGGCCTTTCCGCGACGACCATTGTGCCCAGTACGAGCAGACAAGGCTTTGGTTATCGCGATAACATCAAAGTATGGAATTGTAGTGGGGAATCGCGCTGAGGGTCTAGTTCGGAGGCTGATGAGATGCCGAGGACGACAGTATGAGTGTTTGGATAGATGGAAAGATTTAGAAAGACTTTGATGAAGGAAAGTACCAACGGGAAACGTGGAATTTACAAAATCCACGATACAATGCGAAAATAGTAGGATGCAGCAACGTTGAGATCGGGTGTCATCCCGAGCGGAGATAAGCGTTCCCTCAGCTGCGCCAAGCCACGTTGGCATTGCCCTGGCGCGCGAGAACGTCACAGGCGCCAACTGCACCCTCCTCCTAGACACAGACACACGATCTCGACGACATCGCAACCATGGGCGCGCTTTTGTCTATCCCGATGCTGGCTCTGCCGAGCGTCGGTACAGTGAGTAGAATGCGCGCGACATCATCTTTGCATTGCTAATTTGCCCAGCTCTGGGGGGTTGCCGCCTCGTGCTGTGGAGCAGCCACCTGCAGCGCTGTCTGTGGATCTTGCGGCGGCAAGTGTGGAAACAGCATCGCTACTCGTATCGCATACGCCCTCATCCTTCTCTTCAACTCTATCGTATCATGGATAATGCTCACCGACTGGGCTATGAAAAAGCTATCACACCTCACGCTGGACTACGTCGATATCAAATGCCACGGCGAACAGTGCTACGGATACGTCGCAGTGCAGCGCATCAACTTCGCCCTCGGTTTCTTCCATGTCATCATGGCTATGATGCTCATCGGCGTACGCAGCTCCAAGGACGGTCGCGCACCTATCCAGAACGGTTTCTGGGCCCCGAAGATCATCGCATGGCTGGCTATGGTGGTCCTGACCTTCTTTATCCCGAACTCCTTCTTCATCGTCTGGGGTAACTACTTCGCTATGATCGGCGCCTGCCTCTTCCTCCTTATCGGTTTGATTCTCCTCGTCGACCTCGCACACAATTGGGCAGAATATTGCCAGGAGAAGATCGAGGTCACCGAGTCTAGAGTGTGGACTGGAATGCTCGTGGGATCTGCGCTATTCATGTACCTGGCTTCGTTCGCTATGACGGTTGTCATGTACATTTACTTTGCGAGGAGCGGATGCGGCATGAATCAGGCTGCAATTACTGTGAGTACAGCGCCCAATTCTTGAGAATTCGTGATCTAACAGTCCTAGATCAATCTGATCTTGTTGCTCCTTTCGTCGATCGTGTCGATTCACCCAGCTGTCCAGAACGTCAACCCTCGCGCCGGACTTGCTCAGTCGGCTATTGTTGCCATCTACTGCACATACCTCACCATGTCTGCAGTCGGCATGGAACCCGACGACCACCAGTGTAACCCGCTCATTCGCGCTCGTGGCACTCGCAAAGCAACCATTATCATTGGCGCAATCGTGACTTTTGTTACTGTTGCATACACTACAACACGTGCGGCTACGTATGGCTTGGCTCTTGGCGCTCAAGGCAACTCCTACGGAAATGGATACTCTCGCGTAGGAACTGAAGACTATGAACATGGTCTTGTGACCCAGCAACCTGAATCTCGTCGTGAGATGCGAGCTGCCGCTCTCCGCGCCGCCGTTGAATCTGGCTCACTCCCTGCCTCTGCGCTAGACGAGTCAGACAGTGATGATGAGGATGAGGGACCGTCAAAGAACCCACGGGACGACGAACGCAACGCCACCCAGTACAACTACACGCTCTTCCACGTCATCTTCTTCCTCAGCACCACATGGGTTGCCACGCTTCTGACCACCAACTTTGACGAAAAGGACATGCAGAATGACTTTGTCCCTGTGGGTAGGACGTACTGGGCTAGCTGGGCGAAGATCATCAGCGCGTGGGTGTGTTATGGAATTTACACGTGGAGTTTGGTTGCTCCGCTCATTTTGCCTGATCGGTTTGACTACTAGTATAGTGGCGCAAATGTTGTAGTGGGTGGCATTTTATCATGTCGTTTGCTGTTGCTCTTCTGTTGATTTAACTTCTTCTATTAAGGCACATGACCTTCGTTGTAAGCATATACCCACACTATTCCAACTAATTCAAGCATTGTTTGGCGATATCGATTCGTACGGCGAGACTCCTCAGACCGGTGTCCATGGTATAGGTTCCCGCAGTAAGACAAAACTCTAAGTCCATTCTGTTACCCCGGCATAGAAAGCACAAAAACCGATTGTACTCTGACCTTTTGCTGGTACTTCACGTTTACTACTGCCACGAACTGCCACGTCTTCAAATTTGCACGTTTGCAATGCAAACCTTCCCTCGGCACCAATCGAACATGTTCACACTCATGTACAGCACACCTGTCCCACCAAGATTTTCCACGAGCAGATCCTGCATTTACTCGCTCACTCCATTACCACCGCGGACCGCTTTCACATCCTTGGTATCAACATGACACGTGACCATAGTGGCCAACTCCACGCCGGGACTATTGGGCTCTTTGACGACGAGGACGAGATCGCGACCACGGAAGCTAGGGTCGAAGGACGGAACGCTCTTGTCAAAGCAAGGCAGAAGAAGAAGGATGAAAAGGCGAAGCAGAGGCAACACGATGGATTTTGGCATATCATCGGTCGTGCTTTTGGTTTCAGAAAGAAGAATGTGAGGGATGACGATGTCCTAAAGCCTTTGTGCGAGGCGGAAGCAAATGACGGATGCGCAATGCGTGAAAGGAGTGAAGGAAATAGAGGAGCAAGACGAAGTCCGGTTCCCGAGATGTACGACCAATGGGAAGTAGATGAGGAACTTGATTCGCCGTTCTACGAGGAGCTGGGGATGGTCAGGATCAAAGCGGCGAATGGGCGGGATGTGAAAGTGGTACACAAAAGTCAGATACGGAAGGACGATGTGCTTGATGATTATGGAGAGTGAGAGCTGGGGGAAGAAAGGAGGGAGGAGGGAGGAGCAAACGGGTGTTGAGGGTACTAGACGTGGAGGTTTGTCAGAATGATACATCATCGTGTATTCTAGGCCTCATAAGTAAATAAAATTCTGACATGCTATTGTATGAACGCTATTTACATCATGTGAGAGACGCGTACGCTAATTGCAGTGTCGTGAGTGCGTGTTCACAACGGCTGTTTGTGATTTCGCTGGTTTGTAACGTCGTGCTATTGAATCCTCCCTTCCCTTTCACATCATACACCTTACCCATGAGCCTAGTCCATATCACGATTCCCTGCCTTGCTCAACAACAATGTCTGCGTTCAAGAACCTCCTCCCCTCCTTCTTGAAGCTCAGCAATAGCGGTAACCATGTCCAAACACAACCTCGATCCATCAAGTACCGCTCTTGTCCCTGCACTGCTAAATTGCAACGTGAAAGCAAAGCTCTAAACGACTCTCTCACAGCCACAGAAGCTCACCTCTCTACCCTCCATACCAAGATCCACAGAACTCTCTCCACCTACGAAATCCACTACGCCTTTTTACGTTACGTGGCTCACGATGCGGTCAACTCGAACGCTGCGTTACGAAGGAGCCAAGTACAACTGGGCTGTATCTCGCACACAGTAGAGGAGGCGTTTGAGGCTGTGGAGCTAGCGATACAAGTTGCGAGGTTGAAGTCTAGGGCGATGAGGGAGGAGATCGAGAGGTTGTTGGCGGAGAATGAGACATTGCGGGCGTTGATCGCCGGTAAGGAAGAACATACGAAGGAATCGCGAAGGAAAGCCGCTGAGACGTGGGAAGGCGCCGAGCGGGAGAGCGGGGAGTGTGACTTTTGAGAAAGATGCGCTGTCCTTGCTGTTCAGAAGCATGCCGAGATTCTACAGCACTGTAGACGGGTTACGTCACCACGGACGTGTCCAGCCCAATGGCCTCGTCCTTCAACAGCGCAATCGTCTCATCCCAAATCTTCTTCTGTGCCTTCTCACCATCAGACGAAAGTACGAAAGATGAAGGCCTACCAGTACTGTTAGCCCTGTACCGCGTTAGTAGCTTGAATAAACTTACGGCGTCTGTCGTTGATCGCTGAGATACTGCCCATGTGAGTCCTCGTGCTTCACAAGCGCATCAGTCAAGCACCTCCCACCCTGTTCCGGCGTCCACGCAAAAAGCCATAAGAAGACATTAATAACGCTCGCACTATGTCTATGCAGCCCACTGTAGCAGAACCCCGGGTTAACGGTATTGACAACAACCTCCTCCTTGTCAACCTTTGAAGCCAACTCCCGCGTCCAAAGCACGTTGAGTAGTTTCGAAGTGTAGTACCGCTGCTGCTGTGTGCCAAAAGTCTCTTCCTCATCCATCTTTGCGAGAATCTTCCCGGCGCTGCGCTCTTTGAAGGGGATCCAGAAGTGGCCTTCCGAGGAGACGATGATTAGTCGAGACGGTGTGTTGTACCTTTGCGCTGTGTGCTTGAGGGCGGGGAGGATGGCGAGGGAGACGGCGGAGGTACCGATGTGGTTGATTTGTACATTTGTCTCGTGCCCTAGCGCCGATTTCTTGTAGGACATCATCTTCACGCCTGCGTTAAGGAGCGCGTAGTCGAGACGATCTAATTTTGCTGTGCGCTTCCCCAATTCGGCGATGCTTTGGTAGGATTCGTGGTCTAGGGGCCAGACTTCGATCTCGCAAGTATCGCCACCTTGCGATGATGAAAGCTCTTTCTTTGCGGCCTCGCCTTTGGAGACGTCTCTGACGGCGATGATAAGGCGTGATATTTTACGTGACATGAGCTCGCGGGCTGCTTCGAAGCCTAGGCCACTGTTCGCGCCTGTTATCAAGGCTGTTTTGCCTGACAGGGAAAGGGCTGAAGGCAGCGGTTTCGGTTTGATAGTCCATTGACGATAGACGAAGCCTAGGAAACCGCCCATGTTGGTCACGTCGTGGAAGTTGAGTTGATTGTGATTGAAACAAGATGTTGCTGATGGTATGTCAATGCGGCGTGGTCGTAATGGAGCCGGCACCGGATCAATGATCATTATAAGACGCTAGCCTCTTTGAGCCGCTCATATTTTACAAGACGTCCAAGCAGCAAATTGAAACTCAATTGTAGTATTTCGTCATAACTCATCATCTTGATCTCTCGGAATCAAATTCATCTGAGGAACTTGACGCAAGAATGCTGATACAAGAACTCCCATGCTCCATGCTCCAAGGACTTCAAGAGCTCTCTGAACAGTAACGAATACTCAAAATGACAGCCTCAACACACGTGCACCTCACAGCAGCGGCATAAGAATCTCCTTGACCCACCTCTCCACCCTTCTCACAACTTCCTCTTGCTCTCTTCCTAAATTCAACTCTCCCAACATTGCCCTCTCCTTCTCCAAGAATGCCTTCCAAACATCCTCGTCACACCCATCTCTTACCAAGCTTCTTAAGTCTCCGCCTTTCTCGAAGAACCTATTCAAGACGTCTCCATCAACATGTCTGAACCTCGGCGCCGCCGGACCTCTCCCCTGCACTTCAGGATCCACGTCTCTGGCCTTGATATTACTATCTTTTGTACCCTCTGCTCGGTTCTGTAGCAGGTTGTGCGTTTGTCCGCTCATCAGCTTGACGGTGCTGAACTGCAGTGCGGTGTCGCGCTTTTGCTTCGCTTCGATGAGGTTCTGGAGTAGGCGGAGGAGATGTAGTGCGGGTCCGTTGAGGGTGGTGAAGCTCAATATGGTGCCGTCGGTGCAAGCGCCGATTATGTCGTCGTTGAGGACTCCCTCAGGTATTGATTGAAGTGTATCTGGATTGTAGACGCGGCGCCAGGGCGGGCGAATATCGCCACGTTGGATACGGACGACAGAGCGCGGGAGACAGGCTTCGAACATGGTGGTGGCTGCACTTTTATTGGATGCAGGATGGGCTTCGACGACGCCAGCTGCAGCACTTTTACTGGACGCATGGTTGGGTTGAAGGAGGCCGGTTACCGAGGCGGTTTTATCGGTCAGGAGGACAATGGTGGCTTGTTTCTGTGTGTCGAGGCGCTTGGGATCAGGACTTTCCACCGCGTTGAAGACCAGATGGCGTAAAGAGGAGCGTTGACGAGAGTCGCTGAAAATTTGAGTGATCTGGAAGGTTTCGCCTTGCGGTGGGTAAATCTTTTCGACTCGAAAGCAGAGGTGGGAGTCGTGGCTAGTGGAAACATAGACCAGATCGTTGGAAACGGTCAAGTGGACTCCAGGTGAAGGCAAATCTATGTGCGCCCGTCGCTTCCATCTATGGTTGTTAGTTTCTAACCGCCCAAGATGGGGATGTGTTCTTACCTAGCTGCCTCGGTGCGTTCTATCTGCTCTACTTGCAGCGTATACCCAACAATGCTGATGATATGCTGGCTGTCGTAACCGGCTATGCAGCGTACAGGCTCGTCGAACCGCTTCTTGTCTTGCAATTTGAGGCCGGATTTGGTGATATTAAGAACAAGTCTGCGTCCTCCGGTTTCTCCTTCCGGTGGAGTAATTTCGGTACCGACCAAGAGAAGCGCATGCTGACGATCCTCGGCGCCTGAAAACACCCATCTAACCATTGAATGTACGCGCTCGTAATGCTTCAAAGGTATTTCGGACCTTTCGAGCTTGTTCTTCGGCGTGCTAGGCGAGGATTCATCCTTGATCTCGGTATCTGTATTTGATGCATCGCTGAGCAAGTCTACGACCTTGATGCTAGGCATCATGATCCTGTATTTGTGTGAAGCTGTTCCTTCTTCTTTAAATTCGTTAGTGACTATAATCATGTGATGTGGTAAGTCATCTGCCACCATGAGCTTTACGGTCGTGCGCGTAGTAGACAGCTTCCGCGGAATGATCTTCCCGTCTTCTGGTGATAAAGGGGGCGCGGCCTGGCCCGACCACTTGATATCATAGTCCATTCGAGCGTAGACCATTCGATCTCCAAACACTGCGAAGATAAAGCCACCGAGTTCCTTGCCAGAAGCTGCCGTTAACGGGACTTGGTCTATGGCATTGAGGGCTCCCTGCAAATAGGAATTTTGCGAATCGTCAAGCCATATAGAGTCGATGCGTACGCCGAAATCGCGGTCTGACAAGTGGATTCGACAGAAGTCCGCGCCGCAAGCTACAAATGCCGTTGACGTAGTGATTTTGTTCGGAGTAATGTACACAGCGGTATCTCCCATTCTTGTTATCAATAGTTCATCCGCTGTAGCAATTAAGTAAATACCTTCATAAAGGCCAGCGAACTTACACTGAAAGGCAGAAGCTCCACTGCCGAGGCTTGCGAGATCTACGCAGATTAACAAGCCAGTCCTTGTGCCACACACAAGCTTCTCGTGCCCGCGCGTTGTTAGTAGCACCGCACTCTCGTACGTTTGTTGCAATCCTGAAGCTCCGGCTGAGGATATGTTGGTATGATATAGTTGTGCGAGTGAACCCTGCTCGTTGGTTGCGAAGAGTGAGAACCCGACATGTCTAATCCCCACGAAGATGAGAGGTCCGTTTTCGGAGATTAGTATATCGATACAGGTAGGGTCATCGGGGAGGGTCCATCGGCTGGTGTCTTCAACCGACCTTTCGAATGCCTTATCGTTCGAGACTTGTATGACTTGAAGGATGGACTGCGTTCCTTCGTAAAACACGACCGCAATGAATGGAACGCCCGGCTTCGTAGCAGCTCCTAATAGCGGATTGGGGAATGTGATCGAGCCGACCTGGTTCAATTGTGGGCGTGAAACAAGCCTAGCTTCGTGATAGGTGACTTGAACGGCCAGACTTTCAGTGATCGAGCAAGCTGATATTGTTTCCGCATGACGTATAAGACCATCCTGGCTTGGTTGGTCGGTCTCCCATACTCCACCGTCCCAGGCGCTCCCCAAGCTACCTTGACTGTACGACCCTTCTTCTTGCGTACGAGAAGCAAGTAGAACAAGGGTCTCCGGAGGAGCATTTACGACAAATGTCGCGTAGTCTTGTCTCCTCGATCGGCCCTCCTGATCAAAGGTAGTGCTGCCATGATCCACAATCCAGAGCCCTGTAGATCCCTTCAGCCCTTCGAAAGTATCATCAACAAGAGCTCTTAGCCCTTGTCGAAGCTGCGACACCTCTCCGCAAGGAGCTTTGCCATTGGAAACAAAGATACTGGCCCGTTTCCGATCGTGCGGCAGTGGAAAGTTGCCAAGTCGCGTTACAGACATATCGGTCAGTGGTGCCCAATTCGGTAGCGACTCCACGAATCCGAAAGCATTGGTCTGTGAATATGGCACCTTGTCCGCATATTCTTTCGGCCACGCACCCACCTTGCATAGGTGTCCATCGCTTCCAAAGCCTCCAGCGATAAGCACGTCGGGATACGACTGTGCGAATTCCGAGCTATCAGCTTTGAGGCACGCGAAAGCAGTGTCTATTGGGTACGGCCAGCTGCCGGCATCCGAGATCTCGAGCGAATGGGCAATATCCCCAAGCTCGACGTATATGACAGTGCCGTCCTCGCGCGCCACATAAAAGGCCTCTTTGACAAAGTCAGGATTGCGAGGGGCGCGATCCCATTGTACCCACAGTGGTTTGCCTCTATTGCTACCTGGCCGCAGCTGTTTTAGAAAACGTGTAGGTATGGGGTATTTCGATGTTACTGGAGGCCCGGCCAATACCCCTTTGCATATGGAAATATGTTCGTTTTGTACGAGCAGGAAATCGGTACTGCGGCTGACGGGAATCAGGAGCGATGGATTACGGTTGTCTGGATATGTCAGTCTCCTTGCTGAAAGAGTAATTTTGACGGACAGCATGTCCTTACCAAATTCGAGGACAGACCTGGTTATCCTAGGCATCGTGTCTAGGCTATTTCGAAAGTCCCAATCGTACGAAGCGACTTTGGTTTTGCCTTCGTGAATGAGATTGAAGATCAAAACAACGTGAGCATCGTCGCTTGCCGAAAGAAACTCCATGTGCATGATGCGCCCATCAATCGCGTACTGTGCCTCTTCAATTATGGGGGCCTCGTCATGTCCCGCTCGCATATCACTTCGCCAAATTTCCATCGTTTTCGTTTTGTACAACATGAAGGTGCCCTCATAAGCAGCTACAGCTATAGCGCGGCATCGTGGATCTATTGCTAGGAATTGGCCCGGTCGATTGAACCGTGACGCCGCTGTTGGTAGTCGGATAGTCTTCTGAGCAAAGGTGGCTGGGTTCGTATGGTCATCTCTTGCCCACAAGAACATGAGTGCCCTCGTGCTGAGAGTCAGTACTATCACTTCGAGAGGCAGAGTGTTCATTTCTTCCCCTGTTGTGGACCTTCGTGCGCGGTGGAGAGAAGCCCTTTTCAGCAGCGGACTTTGCTCGGAGGTGTTGATTTGTACCTTCCGGGGATCGCCAAATGCCCTGGCTGCCAAAATTTTGCCCTTAAAGTCAGACTTGGTTGCAATGTGCCGAAGATGTCCATAGTCGCAGATCTCCTTGAGCTGGACGAAATCCTCGCCAATGAAAATCACGTCATCCAAATCTTTGTGACGGATGTTGGCCGGTATTATGGTACTGTATAGAGGACTTCCGACAACCGTCTTGGAGAGTATGCCGACCTCTGAAGGCACATGGGGGCGATCATTGCCGACGTCGTCCATTTCGACGTCTTCCTGCTGCTGATGTCGCGACATGATCTGATACACATCAGCAGATCTTGAGACCCACTCTCCGTCCACCAGGACGGAGCCTTGAACCTGGAATTCCATGATGCAGGGACAAGATAGCAAACCGAGAGGGAGGCAACCATGCAACGAGGCGTCACTCAGAGTACAAGGTTGAAAAGGCCGCGCCTGGATATGCGGGGCAATGCAAAATCGTAATCCAGTCTGGGTCTGAGAGTCGTATATGAAGTCGCACCGAGTTGAGACACAGGGCAGCTTTCATCTTGGGTGTTCCTGGAGTCCACTGCAATCCTTTTTAGGCCACGAAAGTCATCAGGCATAGAATGACGCGGCCAACACCGAGGACAGCGCTTGCATAGCAGGCTATAGCATTGAATAATTGGAACGACAATCTTTGCGTCAAGTTCAAATCCAAGGCGGCATAGACTTGACCTATGCGATTTGGAAGAGAGTCGCGATACACGATACGAAAACCCCAGGAGTCACAGACAGGATATGTCGCAGTCGCGGTGGAGGGCGTGGCGGATGTGTAGGACTGTGCTGTACGATCGATAAAGGTCGACAGGGATCGGGTATCTCTCGATCGTGCAGGGTGCACGACAGCGCACACAGACGGCCGGTATTGGCTGTTCGTCTTTGCAAATCGCCCGAAGCTGCACTTTGCGGTGGTTGACTAGGTAGAAGGAGGGAAGTAATCCGATGGCGGGTTATTATAATCCAGACTGAGATCGTGCGTCAGCCGTTGGATAGCTGGGATGGCAGGCCACTGTCGCTCTTGATTATTTTGCAGCTTTGCGAGCCGTGAATGTCAAAATGTGTGCGCGGGAGGGTGCAGCTTCTCCGTCGCGACCCTGCCAAGACTGAGGTCACGCAGAGGCAGGACGACACGACGCGAGGTGGAGTTGTTTTGAAACACAACCTCATCGCCCAACAGCCATGCCACGACAGCAGACAAATGCCATGTCCCGGCAGCACTGCCGCTGATCCGACAGTACCCCCTTTCCACCTGTTCCAACCACATAGGTCTGCGGCGCGCCGACTCGCGATGCCGGCGCTCTCGATATGGCTTCACGACGCTCATCCCGCACCACCCCCTCCCGTTCAGTGAGCTCCGGCAGCCTTTCCACCCGCCGCAGCACCGCCACTGCTACCCTGTCTCCCGCCGAGAAAGAGAAAGCTACGCAGATCAGCGCCGCATGCCACAGTCGCAACCTTGAAGCGCTTGTGCATCTTGCGACCAGCACCCACGGCCTGCTCAGCGACGATTTGCGCCGTGCAGCATGTGCGTCTGTGTGCTACCTCACTGTGTCAGCCTCTAACAGCTTGCAGGGCCAATCCTTCTCGGCCATACTCCGGACCAACAAGAGCCGGTCTCGTGGAAAGAATTACCGGCACATAGAGACGAAGGTCAGGTGGCATTAGATGTCAACCGCGCATTCGTCTACTACCCAAAAAATGGTACGATTACCCTAAGACCCCTGCGGTGCGGGTTACCCCGACACTACGTTTGGGGACGCCTTTGCAAATCTTGATACACAAACGCTGGAATCATGAAATGGATCGCGTGTGTGATGTATCTGTGGCACACATCATGCGCGACCTTCACCAGCTTCCTATCGCAAATCATACCAGACTAAGAACGAATGCTAATAAATCACAGAATCAGAAAAGCAACTCGACCGTCTGAAAGAAGAGCTTTCAGACATCATCGTCGAGACTATCCGCCGCCACCCAACCCTAAACTACTTCCAAGGCTACCACGACATAGTACAAGTCTTCCTGCTCGTACTCGGTCCTCATGATGCCCCCGCACCTGTGGCTCGCCTGAGCCTGCTGCGCATCCGGGACTACATGCTGTCCACCCTCGACCCTGCTATAGCGCAACTCAAATTACTCCTCCCACTGCTCGAAACTGCCGATCCCCAATTATATGACCACCTGCCCAAAGGTCAACCATCCTTCGCCCTGGCAGATGCCCTCACCATGTTCGCGCACCACATACAGGAGTACAAGGATATTGCAAGGTTATTCGACTTCTTCCTAGCCCGGCACACGGTCATGCCGATATACTTCTTCGCAGGGGTGGTGCTTTCGAGGCGGGAGGAACTGCTTGAGATTGACAAAGAAGATGAGGACATCATGCATGCGATGCTTGGGAAGCTACCGCAGCCATTTGATGTTGAATTCCACATTGCCCGCAGTGTTGAGCTGTACGAGCGGCTGCCACCGGAGAAGCTGCGCAGCTGGGAGTGGTGGAATATCTCCTCATCGAGCGTGTTAAAGACATCTACGACTCCTGCTGCGCTGAGTCGTCTTACGCTAGAAGATGGCGAGGAATGGATGTTGCAACAAGAAAAGGAGATCCGCTGGCAGCAGACTCGGGCCAAGGCCCAAAAGAACGCCCAGATCCTCAAACGTAGACTATGGGTTTACCGCAAACAGGGCGTCTTCGGGCTCGCCATTGTCGTGGGCGTGTACGCAGTATGGCTCGGTCGATCAGGCAACGCCAGTAGACTTCCCGCTTTTGGGCTTTTGAATGACCTCTTTAGACGAGTCGTGGGTATTGTACGATGAGCTGTATGATTGATTATGTAGGGTATGAAAAAGTTTTCCTGCCGTATAGCTGTCACGGCGTACTTAGATTCGCAGATATGTATTAGAGACAGTAGTATCAATCTTGTCACAGTCACTGGGTAACATCAATTATCTCCCTTTCACTGATTTGCGATAACTCATTCGTATCTCACCCATAAACATGCATATAGTACACTCCGAGGAGTTTTCAAGCTACGTTGGTATGTTGACTTTCCCAGACCATCAGTCGCTGATTAGATTATCCACCATCCCTCAAAGACCGTTATCACGATTGACACCTTGCAAGCAGTCCGAAGATCACCACAACAGCCGTAGAAAGTCGTGAGCTGTCGTTCAGTGGTCAAGTGGGGGCCTCAGGGGAGTGCACCAGTCGCACATTCTCAAACACTAGACAAGTATCATGAGTATGTGGCTGCCAGGGACTTCGATGATATCAATAACTTACCATGGTCTTACAAAAGCGCCTGTTGCACTCAGTAAGGGAATTTTTCTGCTGTTGGCATGTCAGTCCAGGAGCCCGCGGGCATGAGCAGGTATGTACGAACCTCCAAGCAGCCTTGATGTCCTTGAACGCAGTACCTGGGACAGTAAGGTCTCATAACAGCGAGTCCGATGCCGCTGTCGAATGTGTTGTCGGACGTGGGCTCTGGCTCATCAGCCTTGTCGACTGCGTTCTCACGACGTTCGATCTTTTTGTCGTCGGAAGCCATAAGAAGGAGAGAAGGCTTGCCGCACTGCGAGTCGCATTTGGCGCACTACAAGATGTCAGACATGTGCAAATCGAGAGCATGACCTCTCGGCTTGGACTCACGTCGGGGTCCTGACACTTCATCTCTTGGCAAGTGTCTAATCCGAGTAGTTCCTATAATCGTCAACTCATTTGTTACTGCATTGACTTTCACGTCAGACAATGTACGTTGTTGATGCATTGCGAGAAGATGTCCCTGCACTTGGAAGGACAGACTCGGTTGCCCGCCTCACTGCGTTCATTCACGCTGGAGATATCTGATAGAGGTCAGTGATTATTGCATAGCGGGCTTCTTCCTGGCAAGAAGGACGCACCTCGCGACGAGACGGCAAGGGCCAAGCCCGTAGCGGCAAGAAAAGCGAACGAGAGGAGGTTGGGCAGCTTCATAGCGGATATGCTCTGGAGATGGAAAGCCTGCTGTTTAGAGAATTGAGAAGGGGAGAGCGGAGAGCGAGAGGAGTTAGGTGTGAAAAGAAGCGAAGAGAACAAGTGGAAAGCACGCTATTTAAGAAGGCACAACGCGTTGCACTCCGATGGAAGCCGCTCTCCCACCGCCCATTTGAGGACGATGATGGTGAAGATGAACGGTGAATACTTCTGAAAACTTCGAAGATAGGAATGCTGGTCCTGCAGCAGATAGTCGTTTACAGCATGATAGGTGCACATGTGCAGCAAGCGTCGCTGTGCATGTACAACGGGCAGTTCATTCCACTGACGACAATGGTAGGAGCTTCCAATTTGCCTTTTGTTTGCTTCTTCATTTCCGCGCCTTCCAATTCGGCGCTCACCGACTCCATCCGTTTGACGACGGGCCCCCTTTCACCGGAGCAACGCGGCTCTTGCCTCTAATCGTATAAACGGACGCTGTTACCTGCCGTCGTTCCACTACTTCTTTCTATCCCTTGTACACTCTCGAGACACCTCCAACCTTAATTTTCCTGCCCAGGTGTCCCTCCTGGCACATGATCAACATGAAGCTCCTTCAGCTTGCGGCAGCCCTCGCCGTCACCGCTCTCGCAGCGGTCACTCCTTTCTCCAGCGACGATACTGTCATCGCCGGTGTTGAGACCCTCGCCCGCCGTGCCTTCGTTGCTCGTCAAAATGCACCGTGGCTAGACCCTCGATGCATGCCATGCACCATCTTCGAGCTCAACTGCGGTACGTACCCTTCCATTGTCCCCTTGCCCCTCCCAATGGCTGTCGTGTTCAGCCTCTGTTCTTCAGGCCTGCCCGGGTGGTGTAGCTGTTACGCTACGACCATGTACGTTGGGAACACTCAGGTGACCACCTGGACACCTGCAACGCGCGCGCCACGTGCCCTCAGAAGTTGCACGATACCCAAGTACAGGGCGATTGACTAACGGGACGCACTTCAGTGAAGGAATGCAAGGACGGCGATGAGGAGTGTTACCATGCGTGCTACGCCAAAATGTGCTCGGTTGGCCCCGAGGTTTGTCACAATCCTAGAGAGCGGTGCGCGCATGACTTATGCCTCGACAACCATGCCGTGCCTAGGGGTCTGACCGAAGCGTCCACCTCAGGACCATCCCCGCGCGACCTCATGACTGCTACCGGCGACGATTCATTCGATCGAGCAGTCCTTGCGCATTATGAGGAAGCACTCGGTCGCCGCGACCAGGACAATCTGGAGATGGGCAACACTGCAGTCTGCAACCAATGCGATGATTGGATGAAGAACTGCAAGAAGACCCAGTGCCCTCGTCCATGGGCTCCAGAGTGCCAATGGGGCTGCCAGGCCAAGATTTGCAAGGACGGGCCTCCCGAATGCCGCAAAGGTGGTGCGTGCGGTGTGCATGCTCGCTGTGGTGCAAAGTCCAACGTGCTGACGTCTCCTGATCCCCCTACCTCTCTTCAAGCCCGTGGATTTGACCCAGGATGGGATCAAGAGGAGTGCGACGACCATCTCAAAGGTTGCATCGACGCATTCTGCCACAACCCTCTTCACCAAGGACCCAACTGCGAGAAAGCCTGCCATAACGCCCTCTGTGACGTCCAAGCCGAGTGCTGCAAGGCCAAGCCTTCAACATCCTCTTCCAGCCCCGGTTCCTCATACGCTCCTCAAGTCCGCAGTGATGGAGACGGAAAGAATCGAGAGCAGTGCGATGACTACATCAAAGGATGTATCGCTGGCTTTTGCCACGATCCTCTTCACCATGGACCCGACTGCGAGGAAGTCTGCCGCAACACCATCTGTGAGACCCATACCGAGTGCTGCAAGGCTAAACCTTTTGTACCCTCTGTCGAAGCCTTGAACCAGCCAGCTCAGGATGCCGCTTCTCCTACTAGGTTCCTGACTGTCACGGCACCCTCATCCTCTTCTTAGGACCATTCGCTTGCGACCCCTATCCGGGATGTTGCTTCTCAATACCAAGGGGTGGATGACGATTCTAATGAAGTGGACTGACTACTAGCCTGAGAGCTATCCGAGGTTAAGCTTGACAGTGATTCCGAGAGCCATGGGAGATTTCATCTTTTAAGGAAGATAGTTGATGTTCAGCGGAGGGAGGACAAATATGAAACAAATTCAACAGTATTGGTGAATCTGTTTGATTCATTGCATTCGGACACCCGTGACTCCATCAGAAAGTGACCGATGTCCTTTTCCGATCCCATTCAAAACGCCATGTATATCATGCCATCGTAACTCGTGACACACGGCTTCCCGATCTCCTGTATGGCCTCACTTCCTCTCCGGACCAGAGTCATAACCCGCCGCACCATCAACTTGCTCCATCAATTTTCCCTGCAACATATGCTTCATGTCTTGCTCATTCCAACTCGGTGCCCTACCCAGTTGACCCAAGCTGAGACCCCTATTTCGCGCCTTCTTCACTGCTTCGGCCTGTCCGGTGCCAATGCCTTGGTAAGATGGTACCACGCCTTGGCCTGGCGGCGGGAAGGCGATCCCATTGACGGGCGATTGCACCTTCGCGAGCCCGGTGACTTCTTCGGCGGCTGTTGTGTCGTCGGAGAGATCGGATCTATACGCATCATGTGTATTAGCGACAAGTCCTCGCGAAACATGCCATGTCCAATTTTGAAAGTGTTCATGGGCAAAGGTATAAAGTGGAAGGCAACTTACGATGCAGAAACCTGGCCCCTGACTTCCCTCAACGCCTTTTCATAATTCGTACTACTCGCCCTGATCGGACCGCCCGGCCGCCTATACGCCCTCTGCGCCTCGGACAAGGTATTGTCTGCAATGTCTGCGGGAGCCGCAGAGTCGGTCTGCTGCATGGCGTTGAGATTGAATGCGGATTCAGCTTCTGAGCGTGTGTTTGGCGTAAGGCCAGATGGTGTTGGAGCAGCGAAGGAGCCCTGGCTGGGAGGGAGAAGGATTCGGTGCGTTGAGTCACCCATTTTGGTGGTGAGATGGGGTGACCGACACGCGGGGTTGAAGTGATGGGATTGGTGGGTGCAAGATGCAGTGTGAGGTTCGAGACTGTTATCGAACACTGATGTCAAAGCTTGACAAAGATGTAGTTTCCCTGTACCACTGTTAGCACTTGCTACTTCGTAACGTTGACACCATGTGAAGCTGCCCTCCAAGTTATGCAAGCAACCGCAAGCGTACTTACAAACAGGGGAAACGGATTCGTGGGTTACAGACGTTTTCTTAGTAAACTACATGCAGCAACTATCACGAGCTCTGAAGGTAGACTATTTGAAGGCTATCTGCAAGACGTATGATGACATCGCTTGGCGGTGACGTACGGCCAAAGAGGGTCCAGGAACTTGCGGGGAGGCTCTAGCCGCATGTGTAGCAACGGTAACCGCATCAAGTAGTAGGGGTGATGATTGTATTGGAATATCGTCGATCGCAGCGAATCTTAGATGAGCGTCGCCGCATTGCAGCGTCGTGGGTCTCTCTTAGAGGGCTGGACTCTTATAGGGGTCTTTTGTGAAGGCCATGCAGGGGCGATCACATAAGGAAGGAGGCTACCGACGCGATTGTTGAAGCAGCAAGGGAGGCTAACGAATTCGCAGGCCTCGAGCTGTCCAGAATTATCCATTCTTCGTACCGGTCAACAAAGACACAATCTGGATCGACATGACCATCAGCGACGCAGAAGATCCATACCACTCTCCAAAGGCTCTTGCGGGGTATCGCGACTATCCCTTAGAGTAGGCAGGTGATGATGCTGGATCGGCACAGTGTATGTTCGCGAGTCCGTTGTGCAATCCTTTGGCGTTGAGCATGACGCGCTTCTGCTTATCACCAACCGCTGTGTGGCGGATATGCGTCATGTCTGAGCGCCAACGTTGCCGATAGATGAGCCCTTTCACAGTTCACCAGCAGCTGTTGAGTGTATTGCTAAGTAATACAAGCCTCGCAATAGGCATACTGCGCTACGAGCGATTGCTTGTAGAACAGGACCTTGTATCAGGAATTGGTACGCCTTGAACAGCGGGCGCCTGTACAGTGCTCGTCAAGCACCTGGCAGGTATGCACCCTTTCCAGTACAAGGGACAAATCTACTCATCGTCCTAATTTTTATCTTGTGAGGAACATAGCTTTGAGGACTCTCTTATCGTGAAACACATCATATGCAAGCAAGGCCAAACTACCCAGCGTTATGACTCCTCTGTACACAGCCAACGAACCTTCCACACTCGTTTCATCCTACCCTTACCCTAAAACCCAATCCAAAAACCCCCACTTCGCTATTCTGCTCCCTTCAGCCTCCCACAACATATCCCATACATCACCAACCTTATACCTCCTCGCCCTCACCATCTCCATAAACCTGACCATCTTTTCCGCGAAATCTTCCCTTCCCTCTTCATGCATAATCGTCAGCGCAGACCCCTTGACACTCGCCGCAAGCCATAAGATGGTCATCTTAACCCCTGGATCACCACCAAACGTCCTGCATCCCCACAGTCCCGTGTATATTCTAGGATAGCTCGCTGATCCAAAAGCTCTCAGCGCCTTCGCCATCTCGCGCTTTACGTTGGTGTGTTCGACGTCCGGATACGCTGTTCCATCGTACGAGTCTAATTCCAGCGCGTCCATGAAAAGCATTGTTCTATCCAGCCACTTAATTTTATACTCCTTACCGTTTTCACCTTGCGGTGCAGTATGTGTGCCACACATTCTGATCTTTCTCCCTTGACCCACCGTCTTCACTACTGTCTCGCATCCTCGCACAACCAGCACTTGGGAATCCGTCAGAGGCGGCGTGACTAACACGGCCGGGCATGCCTCTGGCGTTGTACCGACGAAGACTTCTTCCTGTGTAGCGGAGCGTCCAAAGCCGATGAATTTGTTGGCGGATATGACGACTGCGTTGCCTGATGTGCCGAGAAACTGTGGCTCGGATGTCTTCTCGCTCAAGCCTGTAATTGTGATATCTCCGAGCTCTTTCAATCTATCTTGGAGCACGCCATTTCCAAAGGATACTTCAGATCGCGATACTAGTTCGTACGTCACAGTCCACTCCAGCCTCTCCTCCGCTATCGCCATCTGTGCGAAATAGTCCAACACAGCAGTGATGTAGATTCCCGGCGCACTGACATGCGGCTGCTCCCCCTGGTACCAGATCTCAAAATTTTGGAATCCATCTTGCCAGAGAGGCGCAGCCAACGTACTCAGAAATTGATGCGCGACTAGGCACCCAACCTGCTCTCTACTCAATCCCACCTTCCCCGTGCCACCCTCCTTCAGCACCGGCAATCGATGCATAGGGAATAAACGCGGCATATCAAGCGCTAGCTCCTTCACTTTCGGCCAGATAGTGTTCAGAAGCTCTTCTTCGCGCGCATGGAGGCATGACTTTAGCGTGTGGTAGTCGGGGGGAGCTGTTCCACGCAGTTCAACGGCGATAGTTTCCAGAATGTCTAGGAAGGCGGAAACAGAGGTAACAGGGGGTGTAAGGAGTGCGCTGAGTACGGACCAGAAGGGGACGGACGGTATGTCTGCGTCGAGGAGGCCGAAGCGGTCCTGGGTGGTAATTGTGGGGGAGGAAGGGAGGGTGTAGAAGGGAGGCCATGTTGAGGTGGACATTCGGTGGTGCGGTGGTGCGGTGGTGGGAGGGTTTGCTGTACTGATGAGTGCGGCGGGATGGTGGAGTTTATCAAGGGATGTATTGCGCTGAGTGATGGGTAGATGGTGTGGTGGTTCTGTGCGTCCTTCACTTGACAATAGATACTGCTGAAATGCGAATTGGTGCTACGGAGTTTTCACGTGGATTAGTTGGACATGGTAGGGGGCTCTTCCAAGTTTAGGTGTTAGGTAGATGGCTCATCTTAGCGTGGTACCACTCGTATTCACGACTTAGTAGCGACTCAAAGGGCGCTCAAGTACTGCGAAGGGCGCTTTTGATTTTCGCGCACAAGATTACACATGTATGCAGGTGAAGATAAAAACGCTTATTGTTAGCAGGGTGGCAGCTTTACCAAGGTCGGATCATGAGTATGAAAGAGGCTCGTAGAGTACAGTACATAGCGAACCTGTGTTGCCTACATATAATATACAGAATCCTTTTTCGCCAGAGCTGGAGTCGCCATCCAAGATGCAAATGCAGGCCAAGTATACCTACGCTTCACCCATGCTAAGTTTTGAGTCCTCTATATAGTACAGCCTTTTAGCTCTCCGCATATCTCTACACGCGCTTCCACTTCTTCCACTTGTTTCCTTCTCTCCTTCTACTTCTTCTCCACCTTCGCGTCAGTCGCATCATGTGCCGCCTTCGGAACCAGCTGCTCGCTCTCGCTCGTGGGCTCGTGGTCCCGCTTCACCTGCTCGGTCGCCTTGTTCGCGCGGTCTGTCGCGCCGCTGGGTCGATATTCCTGGGGCACGAGGCTGGAATCGTGTTTGCTCGACGAGGGAGTGCTGAGGGGCGCAGGGGTGGATTGCGCGTCCGGCCGAGTAGCATCCGCTATGGCAGTCGCAGGTGCTGCCTCTGCCGAGAGGTCGTCCTCGTCGTCATCAGCATCAGATTCGAGCTCCGAGCCGTACACATCGGGGTATTTGCGGAAGCAGCCTTGCATGTCCCTGTCGGGTGTTAGTGATACCTTCCCCACATTCGTTTGTCGTGTAGAGCGAGTCTTACTTGAACTTCTCAATGCAGTCCATGCCCTTCGGCTCCTCGGTGCTGTACACAAAGCAGCTGAATGCCGCCTTGAACTCTTCTCCACACGGCCCGTCAGCCATGCCGCCCAAGCACGGACAATCCCAGTTGATCTCGCCCGTCTCTGGGTTGAATGCGCCCTGCTGTCCTGCCTCCTCCTCCAGCTCTTCTACGCTCCCCGCTGTGGCGACAGTGTCATTTGCTTCGGCGGCGGCCTGCTTCTGCTGCTGAGCCTGCTGCTGCGCCGCCAATTGAGCCTCGATAGCTTCCCGCTCTGCCTTTCGCTTGAGGCGAGCTGCGGACACATCGTCGATGGTGGGTAATTGCTCGGTCACTTCGTCTGCGATCGGAAGCGTTGCTGCGACATCTACAGGGCATTGGTTAGCACGCCGTCACCGTTGCCACTTTTATCCTGTCTTGTAGCACTCACGTCTCGGTTCCTCCGCCCAGACGTCCGCAGTGTTGTAGTAGTATATTATTGCACCAGCAGCACCGACGCGCGCAAACAAGCTCTTCCAACTTCGTGACTTCTGTGTCGGGGGTGCTGTGGAAATAAATCGTCGCGCGGGCGCGGCAGCGCGAGGAGCGGCACGCGCCGCATTTGAGGCAATTAATCGGGTCGCCGGTCGGAACATTGTGCTGAACAGAAAGGAAAAAGAAGGAAGATGAAGAAAGGAAGTTGGGGTCGCTGGCGTGAGAAACCTTGTCCGAGCTGTCGTCCGCTTGTCAAAAGTTCATCATTGGCGTTGGCGATGCTCGGACCTGCATTTCTAATCTGATCGGGAGCTTGACCAAAATGGAAAGGGCAACTTCGCACCGCTAAGTCGGCCGCTTCGGCCGCCACTACTACGTAGGAATCACTCATCGAACCCAACAGGCACAGGAGATGCATCGTACTGGTACGCAAGCTCGAACATGTGTACCGTGTGGCTGTATCAATCGAATCCCTTATCGTACATATCCTCATATGACGAATGACCACCAGCACCGAACATCGGCGACCGCCTGCCATCAACAAGCTCAGAATATGCTGATCTACTGGTGAGAAGCCGCTGATCTCCGCCATTTGTTGGCACTGAAAGTCTGTCTCTCTCGCTCAGCAGGCTGTTCAAGCATCTGCTCCTAGACGCTGCAGTACCCAGGAACTTGAGTCGCGCAATGAGTTGCTCGTCAGCGACCGTCTCGAGTAGAGTCCTTACAACTAGGTGAAGCTCATCGAGCCAAGTTTCGACCTCGAAAATTGATATTCCGTCGATAATACAGAACACAACCGAGTTGGGCAGCTGTTCAACAAGTCTTTTGAATAGGCGGCAAAGTGTGTTTATGCTGTTCGCTCTAAGACCTCCTTCCCACTGTCCGAATCGCAGAAAGCCGACATCGAATTGTTGTATAGACAACAGCTGGGCTATCAAGCTCTGAAGCAAGCCTCTTGGTCCTGACAAGGGATCAAATCTTGAACTGTGAGTTCCACAGAAGAAGTGGAGCACGTGTACGCCTTTTTGCTCTCGAAGAGACTGGATGAGCATTCCGCAGAGCAAACTCGTGGATGAGTAACGAGCCATACCGTCCTCCAGGTTGCCGTCCACAGCTAGAACATCTGAGTATGGGCTTTGAATCCAGCGCTTCAAACGAGGTGATTGCAGTACCCAGTGCATTGCGCCCTGGCTTTGCGCATCGCAAGATTGTGCATTTCGAGTTACGAGGTCCAAGTCTTGGCCCACATCTTCCAGAGTATGACCAAGGTGAGATCCCAACTGGAGCTGAAGACCTCTAAGGTCAACGTTGCGGTCAATTGCGTCGTATGCTCTCTGGACCCGAGCTGTGTACCCTATTCTTGTCAGCCCAGTGCGGCTCATTGGAACGAATTTCATACATTCAGCGTTCTTGATTACGTCCTGCAACAACGAAGAGAGACTGTTGTGAGCTTGGCTCTGCAACTCAATTGCTTGTCTTTGCATCTCAATCTCCTTCTTTAGCATTTGTGTCGCCTGCTCATGCGAAGTTACGTCGGATCGAAGCCCGTCAATACCTGCCACGACAGTTCTCGCAGAGCTGTGCAGGACTTTGGTTGTATTGTCGATGGATAAGACAACATTCTCGGTTCTGTGTACGCTTGGACCCATGTTTGCAATGGATGCATTAGTCTTAGCTGACGAAGAGAGATGCAGATGATTGACTTGCTCTTCTAGAGCTTCCATCGACATGTGGAATCGTCTTTTCTTCTCGTCCAAGTCCTGATCAGCAAGAGGTCCTTTCAGTCCGTCCTTGATCCGGGTTACTTGAGGCCATGGTTAATTGTTATGGTCAGGATGATCTTTAGGTCTACTTACGCAACTTCTTGTCCATGAGGCAGGCGATCATTGCTTCAATCATCATTAGTATGTCAAGGTAAACAGTCAAGGCCCTGTCGCGTAGCTCGAGACTGTCGGGGAAGATCTCGTGACAGCGCTGTGTCTTTTCGATGACCGCTGGTAGTGTTTCGAAGGCTTCGAAGATCTCAATGCGTCTTTCGCTTCTCCTGGCGGTGATCTAGGGAAGAGTCAATGCTGTCGCACAACGAACGGCACCTCGAACCACACGGCACCTACACCCAGTACGATTTTCAGGCCTCCGCAAAGGACGCTGAAGTACTTGTCGTTTGGTAAGAGCCCAATCCATGGAGTTGCTGTCGCCGAGTAGTCACCAAATTGGCGTAGGTATCCTCGCACTGCTCCTTTGGCCCCTTTCTTTGCTTCTTCGATATACGCCGCCTCAGTATCTTTGGCAGCTCGAATCACCTCGTCCCAGGAATGCGCGCCTCGGATGTTGATTTTCGCACTTCGAGCTTGGGTAAAGAGGACGCTTTCATATTGCTGTATGATGTTGCAGAACTCATCTGTAAGGTGCCTGGAATTGTCAGAACACTTCGCTTGATTTGCTGTGCTGACTTTACCCAGCTTTCTGCTGCTTGAGTTGAGGAGCTCTGGCTCTTTGGCTGTTGAAACCGTCCGATCGGAAGACTGCGTGCTGATGAGGCGCGTACTGATCGAACCAGTCTTTGACCAGCATGTTCGGCCCATGCTGGGTGGTGTTTGACATGTTGCGCTTCAGCCTATCTCATTTAGAGCGGAATTCTTGCCTGGCAGAAGGTTGGTCTCTCCAGGATCCCGTATACGAATACGTCCACAGCTCAGCCTGATGCCTTCGCTCCTTTGGGAAAGGTCTCGCTTATATGCATATGCAGAACGTGGGACACGTCAGCGCTTGGAACGATATAGGTTGGGGCCGCCAAGCTCCACTAGCCATGTCCCACAGATCGTTGTTGCATCCTACTACACTTGGGACATGCCGAGCTGAATGCTGCCCTGGAGTTTTGTCAAAGTTACGAACGAAAGAAGGTTCTAAGTCGATGCCCCTCCAGGCAGCCATACAAGATGTCCGACAGCACTATCACAACGCAAATTTCCCAATTGAGGGCGCAGATTGAAGCTCTTGAGGCGATATCGAACAACACAAAGAAAGCGGGCAATGATGCTGATACAGCGCCAATTGTGGACACGAACGAGGAGCTTTCCGGATCTGCCACTATGTCCAAGACACGAGTTGATGTCGATGAGCTCGATGGCCCGAATCATTCGAATTCGAACTCAGAGGTGAACGCCACAGGGCCAAACTCGGCTGAGCTTCAAGCAAACGGAGCAACATCCGCTGAATCTGAATCCACAACAGCAACCACAATCCCACAAATAAACCGCGTGACTTGGACACAGTTCAAGAACTCGACCGTGGGAGAGACCCAACGCTACGCGATCGATGTGCTGGTGGGCCCGGCAAAGTTCTATTGGCAGCGACGTAGAGAAGAGTTGGGTCTGCAAAGAGGTGTGACTGATGAGTCTACTCTTGGACAAAACCATCTGACCTCCATGCCTGATCGATCAACCCAAGCACAGGACAACTCCTTAGCGACGGACGAGCATTTAGAGACACAAGTCGAGATGCCTGAGAGGATCCGCATCAATTGCGAGGAACTGTTGGCAAGCTTGGGAGCTATAACGGAGTCCTCCGTCGGGACAGAGCCCGTCGTTATGCTTCGGCCGTACAAACTCTTGGTCCATCACAATAGTGCTATAAAACAGCGGCTCCAGGAGCTAGCAGCGCAACACTCAAAGTCCACAGAAGCAGCATTGCAAACAGAAGGATCGATCGACAATGGTCAGTCTATCCCAGCCACTGTAGACGCTGGAATAACTGGTGATGAGAAATCCTCCGAGCACAATGCCCATGAGATTAAGAACGATCAACTGGAGTTCTCTGCGGATAGTGCGAGGTCGCAGATCGAATTCCGAAGTCTGCAGTGTCTCGTCCAGTTCATGGACACAGAGATCATGCCTGTGTACCAGCGGTATCGATTCGGCACCCCGAATAAAATCCATTTTCGTGACCTCTGGTTCCTCTATCGACCGGGTGACCTCGTGGTATCATGGAGAGACCTTGACGCGGAAGATTCAGCTATCAAGTCACCCGGAAAAGGACCGCCCGCCATATGGAGGGTCCTATCCGTATCGAAAGGTCGACCTGTGCTTGGCTTTCCTCACGGGTTTGAAGAGCGAGGCAATCGACTAAGGCCACCATCGCCTAGGATCAATAAGTTCACAATACTGTGCCACATTATTGCTTACGATGGCACATCATTTGGGCCCCTTGATCACACGTTCGAATTCTCATCCTTCGAAGGTCAGGAAGACATCGGTACTTTGGACCCTTGCCCGATTCGATATGTTCCAAACTACGCAGAGATCGAAGCACGATTGGTCGAGAGGGGTAGGAAATTTGTGCAATACACGAGCCCTACCCATTGTCTTTACATCGGACTTACTTTGTCCAAGCATCCCAGCGGTCTCACTTGCAAGACTGCTGAGAAGGCCACGCCAGTAGACGGTCACGTCATCGTTGATTTCGAAGAAGCCAAACTTGAGAGTTCTAATTGGGTGGTAAATCATGGAATGCCCGCAGCAAGTGGTGGTTCCGGGCTCGAGTCGACTGAAGACTATCCGAGATCTATCTGGAAGGACAAAGCACACAAAGTATTGGAAAAGTCGGAACCTGACGTGATTTTCGAAGACGATCATATTGACGCTGCCGATATGGACGACTTCGTGGCGACCAATGCCTTTCTTACTGCTCACAAGAGTTCCTCTGGTGAGAACGTGATCGACCACCGAGCTTTTGAGCGCATAGACTTCGCTCTCCTTCCCGATCGCGTTGTAGGGTTTGATTTGCACAGGCGCAGATTTAGCATTCTGGCACTTGACTGTTTACACCCAGTGCGGGTAAACAAAGGAAGTTGGGCGGACCTCAAACTGCCTCGTGGCCACAAGCACATGGTCCAAGCCCAGATCAAGACACATTTCTTGGAGAAACAATCGCGCCAGAGGCACGCTTTGCAGGATTTGGATGTCGACCTAGTTCGCGGAAAAGGGATGGGACTCATCATACTGCTCCACGGTGCCCCAGGTGTAGGTAAAACTTCAACAGCCGAGTGCGTTGCGGAGTCACTTCGAAAGCCACTTTACCCAATTACCTGTGGCGATCTGGGGGTTACAGCTAGCGAAGTCGAGAGAGTGTTGAACAGCACGTTTGCTAAGGCTGAGACTTGGGATTGTGTGCTGCTGCTGGACGAGGCCGACGTCTTCCTTGCGCAAAGAACGAGGACCGATCTGAAACGAAACGCAATCGTCTCAGGTAAGCATCCGACTTGTCATTGCGCTCCTGTGTACTGATAACCGTTCCCAGTGTTTCTGCGAGTGCTGGAATACTATAAAGGAATACTCATCCTCACCACAAACCGGGTAGGCGCATTCGACGAGGCGTTCAAATCGCGAATTCATCTACATCTTTACTATCCAGCCCTCAACAGGGATCAAACTTTGGCAATATGGAAGATGAATCTAGACCGAGTCATCAACCGAAAGCAGGGACGTGTCACTGCTGACGAGCAAGAAATCATGCGTTTCGCTGGTGCTCATTTCGAGCAACACAAGAAAGACAACACAAGATGGAACGGCCGACAGATACGAAACGCATTCCAAACAGCACTCGCAATGGCTGAGTACGAATCTCTCGAAGCCGCTGGCCTGGCAGGAGATTGGGAGGAAAGTGTCGTCCTGGAAGACGTCAAATCTCATCTCAAGGTAGCACACTTTGAGACCGTCGCAGATGCTTCATCCCAGTTCGACATGTATATCGAAGAGACCATCGGCAGCACCGATTCGAAGCGTGCGTTCATGGACAGGGATCGCGCAGATCATTTCAGGCGCATGGTACCGACCAACGCCCAAAGTTTCCACCACAACACATGGCCGTACGGAGCACAAGGAGCTCCTGACCCCTATACACAGATGAAGTCAGATTCCTTTGTATCCTCTTCCAGAGCCGGTCAAGGCGAGTTCTATCGTTCGCAAGAACCTCCGTTCCGCCAGGAGCAGCCTTGGCCAGGCCCGATGCCAGGACAGCCTTCACAAGAGCCAAACATGCCACATCCGTACCTGCCCCGCGGAGCAGAGCCTCCATCTTGGACACACAAGCCAAATCATAGTGAGCATGAATTCTCAAATTTTGCATACACCCAGCCCGAAGGTTTACGGCCACCCACTTCATCAACGCCTTTGAGTCACGATCACAGGCCCATGGCACACATGCCTGTCACCTCGGGTGCCTCTCAGCGCCAGGATGAAGATGGGTATTAGGTCCAGCTTGCGTTGCAGATCTGCAGGCGTGGAGTCTTGCGACGGGAAGCTGGGCTGCTGCGTGCTTGGTCTAAGGAATGTGAAGCATGGCTGCGACTGAAAGCTGGGCTGCTGCGTACTTTGCCTTTAGGATATGAAGCATGTCTGCTTAGTTAGCTATCTTATCCAGTTTAGTGTAGTAAGATAGCAATGTTGTAGTCCCTAGTCCCTCATAAGAACAGGATGACACTGCTTCTAAACATACTAATTGCACGGACAGTGTGCGTCGAAACACAGTCGTAGCTATAGTCAAGCTAAGACAACGCCACTCTGATAGATGCAAGATGTCTGGTGGGTCAACGGTTGACTGCGCTCTCAGTGTTATCCAGCAGCTACGTCGTGTACCATGCTTCCATCCTTAGGCATCATCACTCAAAAAAACACCAACAAGTCACATCAAAGCTATTCCCACGACGTTGTCAAACAGCACGTGATAAAGTGCCGAAAGAGAACGCCCTTTCCATGCACGTGCCATGCAAGTCATGCCAATGATTCAGTTGGATCTGCCGCCTTCAGCCGCCCCTAGCATCACCAATCGAACACAAAGTGCACAGAAGCGTTATCGCGCTAGTACAAAGTTCAACATGAGTATCAATCACTTGAATTCTCCCACCATGCTATGTCAAAACCCATCAAAAACCCTCAAGGGTATAATAAAAGCCACAAAAACCCGCTCGACGCCAAACATAACATCCCCCTCTTAGCTCCAAAGAAAGATCAGATCCAGACGGGGGTTGGAAAAGGAAGAACGATATCGTACACAGAAAATCGGAAGTGGAAATCATCCTTGGAAATGATCCAAGAACACGAGAAAAATAAGGTTTTGTTCATGGCATCGTGCGTCCGGTAAGTCGACGACCGCGCCGACGCTCGCTCGCTCTTCGTAGTCAATTTGTGTACGTCCATGCATAAATCGGCGCATATACAAAGAATCGAAGAAGAAATGGTCCACTTCATCAAGGTGGGCCATAGAAAGAGAAAGATCATCGACAGTAGTATGGCAGCAATCGTTGATCCAGGAATTACTACAAGTGATTTGAAAAGGCGCAAGCGCAAAATGCATCGCTGATGGGGCTCGTGTTTCCAGAAAAGGTCGGGAGGAAGCAACAACGGTCAAGCTAGTCCTCATCGAAGAAGACGTTCTTGTGGTCTTCGAGAAGCGTCTGGACGGCGTTTCTCTGTGTTTGCATGTCGGTCAACTCTCGGTTTATATCCGTCGGACGCATAATCGTCGGGGCGAAAACCACAGCGAGGTTGAGCGGTGTCATCTGGAATACATTAGCACAAGCTAGTCAGGACAGGGCGTGGGAAAACATACCAGGTTGTCCTTGGAGTGTTGGATGACGCGAGCCAGATGGAAAATCAAGAATTGGAGCGTGTCGTAATGCGGACGAGGAATCTCCTTGAGCACAGCACGCAAGGCCCTTGCTCGTTGCTCTGGATTCTCAATCACACCAGCGTCCAAGAATTGGTCGTAGTGTGCGTACGTGATCAGAGGGGTCGGTAGACGGCGGAAGTAGTTCTTCAAAGTCGAGGTCACGGCATGAATGTCCAGGTCGGGATCCGAGATGTCGAATTCGTCGTTGGCTTCGAATCCACTCTTGCAATGGTTGACCTGAGAGGAACCACCGCTCTTGCGGTAGATACCCTCAACATCCATTCCTCGGGTTTCGACTTCTTCGATGCAGCGGCTGACGATTGCAGGAAGCATCCTCTTCTCGTACTCGCATCGCTCGATTAGATCCGAACCGAACAATACTGAAGCGTCGACCTGGTGCGTGCTGCTGTTCTCATGCTGCGTCGGCTTCGCCCTGTCTCTGGGATTGTTTGTAGGAGCCTTGCCGGCGCCAAACCAGCCTCGTGGGGGAGCCTCTTCTCGGCTCTTAAGCGAGCTCGTCATCGTCGTCATCGATGCAAAGTCTGGCTGTGTGTGTGTAGATCCGTACGGAGTGCCGATGACTTTAATGTTCATCTCTTCCGCTGGTTTCGTTTCGGTTGGACCGAACGCTCCTTTGAAGCCTTTGGTGACATTCTTCGTGATTGCTTGGCCACCCTTCTTCCAGTTAGAGAATTTGGTGGCCTTTCCGGTCTTGCGGATGTTAACGACCTGTGGTTGCGCCAGGGTGGCTTCGCTGTCTGCTTCGTGCAGATTGGAATACGATGGCTCATGGACGACCTCGCGGGCGTCGACAGATATATCAGACTTTCCACCTTTGTAGTTGGCACTATAAATGCCCAAACCATTCGCCGGCGACCGTGCAGCATCAATTGACTGATTGCCAATGTGCTGCTTGTTGGTCTTGAGTGTTGATTGAATTTGCTCAATGAGGTTTTGGTTCATATCGGCAAGCTTCTTGTTCTGGGCGCTCAAAGACTCATACTCTTGGAAACCTTTGTCCTTCATCTGAATCAAATTGGATATTTCGTCGGTGAGGGCCGTGCGTTTTGAAATGAGTTCCTCGATCTGGCCACCGAGCTGGTCCTTCAGCTTCTGCAGCGAATTTGCAAAATCTCGCAAGATGTCCGACTTGAGCTGATTTATATCCATGGTGGACCCGCTGTTTTCTTTGGCTTTCTTAAGGTGCTCGGTCATGATTTCCAACTCGCGAATGACCATCTCACGCTGGGTGTCGAGAACGGCCATTGTGTTGCGTTTCTCTCTCAGCATTGTGTTGGCTTGTTTAATATCGGCAGCGCTGTGCACGGTCTCCTGCAAGCCATTCTTCTCGGCCTCGAGTTCAGCGATTCTTTGTTGCGCACGGCGAAGTTCATTCCTTAGATTCACGGCCTCCTCATTAGAGTTCGGCGACGCAATGGTCGGGCTGCTGATGTCTATGGAGCCATTAGTGGGCCATTTTTTATGTCCATGTCCACGAGAGGTGATCGAGCCGCGGTCGCTATGACTCCGGCCATGGCTTTTGACGGCATTGGAAACTTTTCTTAACATACCACCTTCTTTTTCATGACCTTCCTGATGCGAAAGCAAACGCGCAAAATCCTCATCCATGGAGAAATCACCCTGCGCACTATAGCGAGGTAGCCCGCCAGCCGAGTAGGTCGTATTGGAGCCATCGCTATGCATGGTACCCACGGATTCGGATGTTTTGTGGTTCTGTGGTGCCGGTGGGGGTTGAGGAGGTGCGCGCGGTGACACAAACGTATCCGTGGAGGGGGGTGGGCGTCTTCCTGGGGCGCGCTGAGGTAGCCCTGGCGGGTCCATGTCTCTATCGTTTCCATAGAGACCGTTTTGCTGGCTGTACGAAGAGGTGGTAGATGGCTTCCGCTCGGCCTGCGGCAGTGTAGGCGTGGTGGGAGAAGCTGTGGAGATCTCTTTCCTCGATGTTGCAGTAGATGACTTCATCGAAGAATTGGCGAGCGAATCGCCGCGTGCTGGTCGCTCGACTGGGGGTCGTTGCTGGGTTGAACCGAAGGATGAGCTCGACGTTGTGGACGAGTCGTCACGGCTCGTGTCCACAGGAGCGGGCGACTTTCCAATCGCCTCGGTGGGTGGTTTAGCAAGCCTTCCAGTCAGATCCGTGGCAGTGGAATCACGCGAGGGCGAACGAGCGGTGGAGTTCTTTCGCGCTTCCGCTCTCTTATTCTTAGGCACTTCTTGAAGCTTGAAAGCCTCTGCAGATTGCGATGGAGCAGGCGACGCATGCTGGCTGCGTGTACGGTCGGTAGAGACAGCAGGCGAGTCGCTCGAGCCGTCCTTTCGCTTCCGAAGTGTGTCCACAAGCTGCTCTGAGGGCTGCCTTCCCTTCTCCTGGTACGCAATATGGGGGCTCGTCGGCTGTCGCTCTGCAGAAGCGGAACGAGACCTGTTCTCCTTGAGCATTTCCCTATGGCCACCCACGGGACGGTTGAAGTAGTCACGAGCAGCCTTCGCATCGGCTCCTCTACTATGTGAATTGTTGATAGGAGATGGCCCAGGCGCGGGATTTGGGTCCAACGCGAAGGGAAGCAGAGTTCCGTCCTCATCGCCATTATCGGACACCTCTGTGTGGTTGTTTTCTCTGTAGGTGCTCGCAGGCAATGTCACATTGTCTAGGGGAGAGTTGTCAGTAGGATTCTCAGTATTTGAGCGAACGCGGGGGTAACTGGGAGAAATGAAACAGCGCGTACCCCTGCGGGCGTCGTTCTGTGAAGCGGGGGAGGCTTCACGCCTAAAATTAGCAGGTGAGGATTCGTTCCGCCTAGGTTGCGGCGGCCTAGGAGACACATCAGTGGTAGTCGGCTCGGAAAAGACATCGGACGGGGTATCAATGTCAGGGGTGAACTGGGTGGCAGCGCTCGGAGGCAATGCGGGCAACGACTTGTCTACTTTTGGTTGGACCGAGGAGGAGGGCGGCTTTTTGGTTTTCTTTCGGCGGCGTGCCATCAAGGATTCATGACATGACATGCAAAAGATACCCTGCGAGGTGCGGGCATATCGCAGGTTCTCGATCTTGCGCTTGCAGTTCCTGCATCGGAAGCAGTTTGCACAAAAGGCCTGGTCTCCGGTCAAGATGGCCAAGTCTTCAATTTTGTTGCCGCAGTGGTTGCAGCTGTATGTACAGTTGTTACATATGAGCGAGCCGTCACCGAGGAGCAGCAGGTTCGCGTCCGAGTCGAGGAGGGTGCCGCACGTGTTGCAGCGAAAGCAGTCGATGTGCCATCGGTTTCCCGCTATCGCACGTCAGTGAAGGTAGGGTGGAAGGCGCGAGGGCGCCGGGTGCGGTGGGCGAGTGCATACCTAGCTCGAACGCCTTGCCTTCCTCGAGAATCTGCGTGGCGGTTAGCTCGCTGCGAAGAGGCACTGATAGGTCTTGTTCTTACCTCGCCGCATCCCTTGCACGGGTAGACGACATCATCCTGGTCCAGCGGTGACTCTGGATATCCTCCGGGCGACTCCATCGCGCCCTAGAGTGGATATGCGGCCGGCGGGCGGGGCGGCGATGGGAGGCCAGCCGATGCCAGCGGTGGTGGTGGGGGCGTGTGAGGGCGGAGGCGGTAGAAAGCAGTCGAGTACGGCGAGGGGACCCTGATTACGAGCGGAGAGCTTGTCGTCGAGGTGACGGAGAAGGCAGAGCTAGCGAACGAACGCGATTCACGGCGGGTGTGCGACCGTTTGTCTCACGAGGCCCGGGGCGGCCACGGGCGAGGAATGAAGGGCGGGCGACCTGGACGGCGGTCGTGGGATTCGCAGTGGTGAGTTGAGCACGGCGGGAGTCGCAGAGTGATTTGACAGTCTGCAGGCACGCAAGCCCTCGCTGTCCACTTGTCCCGCTCTCCTGCGAAGTGGACCCCAGCCAATGGGTGCAGATGTGCGGCAGTCCATGCGCAAGCCAGACTCTGCGGGCGCAAGGGTCTTTCACAATTGCAGTATAAATCAGCGCTCGAGACACAGGCCGCGCGCGAGCTATAGTCTGCTACTGTCGCGCATACAATCGCTCTGTGCAGACGGCGACGGTGCATGCCAACAGCTCAGCCGCAGCGCAGCGCAACACGCGCGCAGGGTGGCAGGGTCCGATATTTGAAACGCTTGTCTTTCGCGATGGTGGTCAGGGCTGCCAAGGCCTCCACATCGAAGATCCCTCACGATTGACCTTGACCTTGTCAGTGACCACGGGCTTGTCGATAGAGCAGCAGCTTGACTCGCGCGCACTTGTGGTGGCTTCTGATGGAATGGTCTCGCCACCTGCAGTCCACGCCGTTGCGGTGCTGCGTGCCATTTCGCATTCACCGCTCGCAGGCGCAGACGACGCAGTACCGCTAGCCTCGTGTGTGGACTCGTTTCATTCGAGATTCGTGCCGGAAGGAAGCGAGCGAACCCCTCAAACCACGACGGCCCAAAATAGTAGTAGTCGGCTGCTGCTATCGATAGACGCGGCACTTCTAAGACCGCCGCACCAGCTCTCGTCATCACCTCTCACCATGCCCACCTGCCCTCTCCCTGACCACCGTCATGCCACCATCGCCACCATCCACGTACATCGTGTACAGATCCGCTGTTTGAGCCTCCGCAGCGCACCAGCTGCTGACCGTCCCCACCGCAATGATCGCTGTCAGGGCGCATATCTGGTCACGAAGGAGCAGTCGAGGCCTCATCTCATAGACGGCCTCGTCTGCACAATTCAAGCTATGTTCCAGTGCATGGGACCGGTTTGGCCAATGCCCAACGCGTCTACACGTCTTCTCCAACCCGAGGACCTGAGCATGCCGTACTTCATCCGCGAAGGAGATTGAAGGGTCGCGAGCAATATGCGCGTCACGGCCCTGTGCACATTCTCACTCAGCTGCAGGGCAGTCAGCCTTGGAGCCGCCTCTCAGCTGTATGGAATACGGTATGTATGCGGCAGGCCTGCATTCGGTTCATTTGGGCAAGAATTACGACTATCCTCCGCGGCTAGCATGCGTCTGATACCCGTGGCCCCGAGATAATCACGCGCTTTGTTTCATGTTGCCGGCGGGTGAACGTCTTCTGAACGGCCCAGCCCCGTGGAATGGACACCCCAGAAAATATCCGCAGCCACAATCTCACGACCTTCTGTTCTAGGGCGTTTGTTTGGAAGCATGGCTCTGGGCATAGACTAGCGGCGCACCTTAACGACATTGGAGTGCTCACGTACGAGCTCTGTGTGTCCTCGAGGCCCATGATCTGGCACTGTTGCCGTCGCACCTGCCGCATCCGCGATTTCCTGCTACCGAAGCATTCTGCACCCCTGTTCAGGCCCGGTCCCAAACGCCTGTCGAGAAATCTCCGACTAGGCACAAGCCGCCGACATTCCCGACGTGCTCCCGTACGGCTGACTACGGACCGATACTTTCTTCGGACGACCGTTACGAAGAAGGAAGCAGTCTTTCTAGCGCCCACAACAAGGACAGCGCGACCTCTCTTGTCAATCTCTCTCCAACTTGTCCACAACGTAATATCATCTCTACTATCTCTCTTACTTTCCGTGCGGTACTGTCGTACTTGAGATCGCACGCAACAACAGAACATGCAATCTTCTGACACACCGCTACAATCGACCTCGGCACCATCAAGTCGTACAGCTAATTTCCAGGGCCCGCACTGCTGCTTCTGCGGCTTCTGTGACATCGATAACAAATTGTGCTATCGTAGTGGAAGAAGGCCTACCCATGGCCGAACTCATGAAGAGAAGGTACCGGACACTTATCAATACCACGTTCAACTGCCTGTATTACAATGCCGCCCTCCAACTTCAATCTTAAGACGTCGCATGTACTAGAAGCGAGCAAGTTCCCTTCAGTAGAAGTGAAGTACTCGAGAATAGACTAAATACGCAGATGAAAGCCTCCCTTCTACAGCAATCTACACAGGTTCAAGTGGCTTCTCGGTTATGCCTTCTTTGAGCGATCAGCTGCCGTGCCAAGTCGAGCGAAACAAACTGTCCATCCAGCGTCGTCTCTTATGGTATATTCACATTAGTCCACTCCAGAAGGTCACACTGCCACTTCGTTGGATAGGCCCGGATGGCCGAAGGGGGTCGTGTCGAACAGGCTAAGGTACAGGTGGATGAGAGTGTGGAACTTGAAGGCGGATCTTCGTCTGCAATCTTTCAGTCATGACTGAATTGTGCACATCAATGGGATGATCGGTGATTTGTGATAATTTAGATATGTATGATCTCTCGAAAAGCTAATTGGCTACAGCTACATAGCGTTGAGGTAGCCTTCTCAGTAGTAATGAACGCCATAATAGTGTCAACGAAGGAGTCTAATCAGCTTTTCGAGAGATCACATATACTCGCCGTTGAAGCTGATCCAGTACCGTGGGAGGTGGCATATCCTTCTCGCAAACGATAATATAAGAATGAGGGACAGGATACTCTTCCCATCTCATCCGCATCTTTCAACATTACGTGCAGCATGCGTTCCTTCATCAATTTCCTTCCGCTCTTGCCAGCAGTCTTCGCTGGCCCACTCGTCATCAAGCCAGAGAGGATTCCGGGCTCGTGGATCTTCAAGGTGCACAAGGATTCGGTCCTCGAAACGGTCATACAAGACGTGTCCGTTCTTTTCCCCAACATCAAGCCGACTCACACATACTCTTTCGGTGATTTCAAAGGGTTTTGTCTAGATGGTGTTCCCTCTACGACCGGACTTCAGAAGAGGATTGATGGTATCGAATTCATTGAGGCCAACACCCAGGTCTATGCTACTGCTCTGACGACTCAGGTCGGCGCAACATGGGGTCTGGGAAGGATCAGTCATAGAAACAGGGGGAACAACAATTATGTCTACGATCTCACTGCAGGCCAGGGTTCTTTCGCCTATGTGATCGACACGGTGAGTGTTCCCATGCTGTCAGTCTTCCTGTCTCACGTTAAGAAAGGGTATACGTACAACCCACAACGACTTCCAAGGCCGTGCCGTCTGGGGTAACAACTTCGCTGGCGACAAAATCGACACAGATGCCAATGGCCACGGGACCCATGTCGCCGGCACCATCGGCTCGAGGACCTACGGCGTCGCGAAGAGAACGACGCTCGTCGCTGTCAAGGTCCTCGACGCCACCGGCTCAGGCAGTCTATCTAATGTGATTGCCGGCATTCAGTGGGCCATCCAGAACGCCACGGACTCGGGCAGGATCGGAAGAGCAGTCGCGAATCTCAGCCTCGGAGGTCCAACGACCAGCTCGGCTACAAATGCAGCTGTCGCTGAGGCGGTCAGGGCAGGCTTGTTCGTTGCTGTTGCGGCGGGGAATGATGCGCAGTCAGCGAGCCTGACCTCGCCAGCTTCCGAGCCCACCGTCTGCACCGTCGGCGCCACTGACAGAAACGATGTGTTCGCTTCGTTCTCCAACTACGGAAGTCTCGTTGATATCTTGGCGCCGGGCGTGGACATCATGAGCACGTGGTATACGACCGATAATGCGACTGCGGTTCTGTCGGGGACGAGCATGGCGACTCCGCATGTCGCTGGGCTCGGGGCGTATCTACTTACTCTTGAGGGGCCTAGAACGCCCGAGGCTCTTTGTCAGCGGATCAAGGCTTTGAGTACGAAGAACAAGGTCACTTTTCGGGTGACCCAGTGGTTGGCGAGGGCGACTACAAACAATACTCTGGCTTACAATGGGAATGGCTCTTGAGGGGATGGAGTGGAGAGAGAGGGTCTGGAGAGAGAGGGTCTGGACACTCATTGTCTGGCTGTACGAACGTGGAGCAATGACAGGAACTTTTAGGAGATAGCTGCTAGGCACCAAGGATGCATTCCGTATTCCAAGCATATTCGTCGTTCTCAATGATTATCGAATGTTACCACTCCTAATGTCCCTTGCTGTGTGATCCTTCATGGTTCTGTATTCGCTGGACCCCTCACTGCAAGTCATGTCAGCGAGCCCGTAACCTTTGTAGCTGTACGACATTATTGTCGTCTAGAACGTCCCTCCCCACCTGATCGATTTCGATGACATATTCACCCTATCATTGGTCGATTTCTGTTGAACAACTTACTTTTAGTCGTAGTAGACGGTGGAACAGGGTACCGACGACGGAGTGAGAACGTCATAGAACTAACAAAAGTTTGACCCAAAGCCATGATAAGGTGGGGGAGTAGCATTTGGATAATCCCAGCAGCTTTTATGGCGCATCAAGGAACAAATTCTTTACGTCAAGATGGCTACCTCTGGCTTCTCCTTTTTCTTATAAATAATTTTCCCGGTTTTCTGTGCCCGCTTCCTACAATAATGTCCAGATTTCACTGAGTGGCCAGATTTCACTGAGTGGCCAGATGAACGGTTCGACTATAGTCTATTTCGAACTCGATCAACTATCCGCGACCCTGGTTTCGGGATGAACGAGTTTGACCCATAACGGATTTGTCAGTAGCGCATGCTCGACACCTATCAATGCGTTAGCAGCACAATCTCCGTTCAACGCAATACTACAGATGGATCGGAAGTCCTTTTTAGGTGAATCGATGTTGGTAACGTTAATATTGTCAGAATAGACGCTTCTGAATTGAAGCTTTAGTTGCGATTCGTGAAGGGTGGTCGACAAAGTGGTGCGGCTGAGTACACATGTCCGGTGTTGTCTGGTTGGGTGCTAATACATGCTTTCCTTTTTGACAAGTAACCTTTGAATATGGCTTACGTTTTGAGAAAGATGTCCCATCGGCATGGCGCATTTTTGGAGTCGTCACCAATTACGTGCAATACTCTTTTTTCGAACTTCTACCGTGCAGGATTTTGCCCTTGTCTTTGTTCTCAACTAATTGATGAGATAAGATCATTTACTCTCACACAGCATTGCTTGCCTGCCGAAACCTTAGTGAATCCCCACACCGAAGTTTATGTAGTCTCTAGAAACCTCGAGCTTTCCTTTCTGCATAGCTCGACTACTATGACCATGATTCTCAACCTAGGCCACCGCGGCTCTTTACAACTTGCTGTCGTTTGGACTGATTCAAAGCGCCCCGTGCGGTTCAATATTCCAAGGTTGTTGAGTCGGGGGACCCACAGCACCTCAACGCTCTGCGACCCTTCCAACTTCCACCTTCAACCATAGATACTTCCGAGCCCGTCATTGACAGCTCCTGAATCCCAAACGCCTAGTCAATACCTCCCCAACATGTCTTGCAAATTCCCTTGGCCCACACTGCTCCGCCTCACCTTCGACTCCCTCCTATGCCTCGCCTCAGTAGCTGGCTGGTACAAGAATCCCTCAACCAATTGGAAGGACGATTGGGGGGACTATTGGAAGGACGTTGAGAAAAACGATTGGACGAATAGTTGGAAGGACGTTAGGCAGGGCAATTGGAAAGGCAATTGGAAGAGCTGTGTAAAGAGTTGGGTAGCTCTCTTCCTCGGGACCTATCTGATCTTCGTATACATTGCATACGATATCATCAACTTCCTTATCCACGGACGCTGCACGTTAATATGTTCGTGGGAAAGCTCAACACGTTAAATGGAACGGATGAGACCCGAGTTCGGGTGGCGGGTTTACTGCTTGGATAAGGTTGGCTCGGGTGGTACAATGTACTGGCTTTCTGCGTTGTAAGGTTCTTCCTGAAGATACGTGGGGGCTCTTATCCCAGAGTGTGCATGAGAGGACGTTCTTTCGGACGCAGTATTCAATTCACCTGAAAAGGCATCCATTCTCCGCTATTCACTCAGTAACTTCAGGTCACGAGACCCAACTTAGGACATACGGTCTCGGCCACCATCGGAGTCAGACACTTCTCCGTTAGCTGACCGTCACGCCATCACAACGCGCCAAAGCATATAACGTCCGCGTTTCCATCACAATTCCACTCCGTGCTTTTTGTTGCACTGCAGACGCCAACAGCTCTGGACTTTCATATACGCGCCAGTACCATCACATCGCATTGGAATTTGGAACATCACGACAGATGCTCAGCAACTCAGCATTTTCCCTGAAAATTATCATTACTGTACAAGCTCCTTACGGGCTCCAAACGGAGAAAGGAATTGATGGGTATCGAACAGTACACTCAGGCACACACTACGCGTACCTATGCTGAAGCAAGATCAATGACCGAGCAGGCTATCTAGTAGGAAGAGGAGGGGGCCTCAGAAGGCGTAGGCTTGGGAGAGGGCTTTGGCTTAGGCTTGGAGGTCTCCATCTTCTCGCACTTGACACTCTTGATCTTCTGGTCCCACGCGGCGGGCAGCGTCTTCTTGGTGATTTTCTTGTCCGAGGCGTTGAGGCAGAGAGGTGTGGAGGAGGTTGGGCATGTGAAGTCGCTGGATCCCACGTTAGCATCGTCCTCCAAGGTGCCCACTCAAGTTGAGAATAGTAATCGTAGTGGTGAGGCATTTGCGGGGTCTCGTGTGGACGGGATGGGGAAGGGAGAATCTTACGTGTAGAAATCACATTTATACCCCTCCTGCACGACCAAGCTGCGGGTCTTGCCCTCCCAAGCCCCGTACAAGCTGCTCAGATCGAGGCATCCGGAGTCGGCGGGGATGGGCGTGTAATCGGTGGGCGAAGTCTTGCCGGCGAGGTTCTTGGCTTTGTAGAGTGTGCATGCGCCGTCGTTGCTGAAGTCCTGCACAAACCGTTAGTACTGCATGAATCGTTGATGTGGGTAGAGGAGTACGTACAGGAGCATCACCTGAAGCTGAGCTAGATCCAGTACCAGAGCCAGAGCCATAGGTGGGAGTAGACGGAGTGTCGTCGGGACCGGAGCCGTACGAGCTGGAAGCAGGATAGGCGGCTGCGAAAGTGGGGACGGCGCCCAGCAGAGCGAGAACAGCGAAGGAGGTGCGCATGATGAAGTCGATTGGAGGTTTGATTCTTTCTTAAGGTGCAGATATGCGACGCTGGCTGATATGTTTGGACTAAAAGTTTACTTCGAAAATAGACACGGACGCGAAGAGTTAGTTAAACGAGTGGCAGCGTCCAGCAGCGGAGCGTGGAGCGCGAAGGCAGCGTAAAGAGCGAAAGCGTTGTAAGACAACAAGTCGGGGCGTGAGCAAGCGTGCGAGCCAAAGGAAAAAGAGAGCACCCGTGCCTCCGGAGCTCATCGTGCCTTATATGAGAGGGCAAACACCGTTGCCAAGGGGAGTCCGATGCAGCTCGCAATTAGACAGTGAGCATTACGGGCCAACCCAGAATGGATCGGCAAACCTTAAGTCCCCAAGCGCGTGGGTGTAATGTTTGCGCACTCGCGGGGCGAAGCGCCATAGAATAATGCGAAACACTGGATAGATCTTTTTGTTCGATAGGGAGCGAGATGGCGCAGGTACAGCGAAGGTGAGGGTGGAGGCGGCCCTACAAGCGTTGTGATTGGTTAGACGGGGTCCGGATGCCGACCTCACATCAGGCGCCTTGGGCAGATTGCGAACACTCGTCTTTCGCTACAAAGTCCGCTATACGCCTACTTGTCTAGACCTTGCTCGTACGCCTGAGTCGAACGCCCAGTGGCCCAGCCCCAAGCTGTAGGACGTGCGCTCCACAGTGGGCGCGAAGTAAGGGGGAGTCCGATCACTACGTCCGTGCGCGATGACAAGCATCATGAACCCAAACACTGTGGAAAGGAACCACATTCTGGACGAGGATATCGCAATGGCGTAGCAATACATGTGCGATTGCGTGATTCGTTGCGTAGCGCGTATACGGAAAGGACCGGAGAACGCTTCAGAGTTCCTCCTTTACAAGTGAGCGTCCAGGTATCCTCCGCAGAGACAGCTCAGCGACGCCGCGCAAGAGGCGCAGGTTCGGTTGAGGCTCTGGTCCGAAACAGTGAGTGATGACCTTTCGGGTGTCCTCCATTGAAGATGACAAAGAGACTGCCCGATCCGTAGCAGGGGAGGGCTTCCGTTTCTCATACCGTCTTCATCAGATTCTGGAAGGCAGGTTGCTCCACGATCGTATAGGGCTGAACGGGCTGTAGTTGCCTCTCAGGACTTTCTCTTGGTATATCTCCCCTTGTCCTGTCCACCAGGACCGCAGCTGCCGAATCGCGAACCGACAGGTATGGGTCTCCTGCACGACATTCCCAGCATACGCAGTCCGGGGGATGGAAGTTCTTTGGTATGATGCCGCACACCTCCGCTGGCCACATCAATCCTTTCCTGGTCTCTTTGTCGGATATCTGCCATATGTCAGCGACCACCTCTCTTGCCCAAGCGTTGAACCACATATTAGGAGCCCGGACGAGTGCGATGGCCCAGTTTGCAAAAATGATCAGGGCAAAAGGTCTTCTCTCCTGCAAGAGTTTGAAGTAGGCGTGCGGAGCAGTCATCGTCCATACGAGTGCATTTGCCCAAAGTGGTGGCTTGCATGGCGAGTTCATGAAGAATCGTTCCCAATGCATCAAAGCCTCGCGGTAGGTCTGACGATGCTCGTCTTCGACAATGGACGAGGTGTCTAGGAAGTGGCTGAGGGAGCGAATGACTTTTGCTCCCATGGCGTGCATCACGCAGGGCTTCCGCTTCATAGGCTGTGGTTTTACCAGCTCTCGTAATTTACCGCTCTCGACACCTGCCATATTCGGGCCAAGGGCAGCCCACGCTCCTCGAAGTATTTGCAAAATATCAATAAAGGAATCCAGCGGACTGGTTGCGTTATCGAAACCGAAAACAATGGGAAGGCCGATGGTATAGACAAGGATCAAGAACGAAAACGCGGTAATGGCCCCGCCATTCTCGACTGTGACTTCTTTGACCGACTCGCGAAAAGAGACCAGGGCTTCTTGGTGCTGCTTGAACGCATTGTGGATATGACGATCTCGATTACGGGTATCGATGACAGAAAGATGCAGCGCAGAGAAGGCTAAAACGCTGTGCATAAGAAACAAATGAGACTTTGCTTCGCCAGGCACGTTGACCTGGAACAAGTGGAGAGTATCTTTGGGCGCAAGAGTAAGGGAGGACGTAGTTGCATAATGTCGAAGAAGACCCAGGTCGTCGGCGTCGAAGCTAGCTAACGGCATCGGGTAGGCTAGTGCGTCTTCTGTAGGCAGGGCTCTACGATAACGTTCAGTACTGTCTGGTGCACCTGGTATGCATGAAGTAGAGGTACTGACGCGGCAAATTGCTTTTCGATTAGCGGGCGAACCGCTGCGCTCCACGCGGTGAAGTCGCATGTCGTTCCCCACTTTGTGCAGTTCCCACACTTGGGCATCCGCATGTCACACTGTATCGAGTAAGTGAACCGCACTTTCTACCACAGCATTCCAGTAGATGCAAGACGATTTGCAGGGCGTATGGCTCCTACCGAAGCCATGGTCATGCTAATCCTGCGAGGGCAATGAGATGACGCGGTACCTTTTTCCTTCGTTTCTTACATTGGCTGCAGCCGTTCCGACTCTTAGTGTGATACTTGCGTAAGCCACCCGCCATTACCCGGCTTTGGATAGGTCTTCAACGGCCGTATGTTTCGATTCCTATGCTCGTTCAAGCCGCTTTGAGTCGGTGAGCTTAAAGCTGTCGTGAGGATGGGTGAAGTTGGTGGGTGGATCGAGGAACGGTTCTTCCGGCGTACACTTGACCTAACAAGGCTAAGTTTCGCCACTTGATTCGTGTGACAGCAGTATCTTGGCGGCGGGGGTTCTATGCGTACGGTACAGAGCGCCATTCTTTAATGTTCTTTTATAACCCCTAATCCGTAAAGATGCTCTTGAAATAGTCGTGGTCCGGTCGGGTTTCAAGGTGCTCTAAGTCTCTGTTTTGGGGGTATACGCAGCAGCTACACCGCAAAACCTCCCCCATCTGTAGAAAATGAGCAGTAACTTTGCAAGGTCCCGGCGGGAGAAACGACCCCCGGGGTTGCACGACAGCCGGTATTCGGAAACGGCAGTCAATCCGCATATCTGGCCACAAACAATCATCCATTGGATGCACTTGTAGAACACATAGCATCAAAGGAGCTTAACGATGAAGAGATTCATATATTAAACAAGACTACATCTTCCGCTGCCGAACCAAGACGAAACGAACCGAAGAACTCGAAGAGACTGCCAAAGACCAAACGTACAAGCAACTGCTACTCTTGGAAGATATGCCCCCCAGACCTGGACCGAACCGCCTACTTTTCTTGCAACGCCATGATGAAGAACTGACCCCAACCCCCGAAATGCCCGAACGCCATTCATGATATGAGGATGGAGCGAGGTGGTACAAGAACGAGACGGGAAAGAGATCTGGATGGGCCAGCCGATGTCTCGTTACTCCAAACCTCGTCACCAACAATACAAAGCTGTCTAAGCCTTGCTGCGCTTCGCAAGATAGTAAGTCAAAAGATTAAGATGTTGTTCCCGTGCGCCTGCAACGGCCTTCCAAAAAACTTCTTTTTCGCCACCAATGCGCTCGTGCAGCGAGACGCAGACGTCGATGTCGGCTTTGCGCACATCAGCGTCGGTATCGTCCAGACATCGTACAGCTAGTCTACCCAAGCGGGCGGTCTGTTCGTGCGTCAAGGGTGTGTTTTTAGCGCCGGAGATCTGAATGAGCGAAGAAAGTGTGCTGAGTGCCATCGTTGTTGTCCGGTTGGATGGAATTGACGACGAGGACATCGATGAAGACTTTGAGTTGGGAGAAGAGGTTGGGGTGGATACAGGCGTGCCTTCGACCAGAGAAAGCACGGCATCCAAACAATCGGACGTTTGACCGTAGCGGACAATCTCATCGGCGGTGGCCTCGAGGTCCGTAGCAATGTGTGAGCTGTTTTCGTACTGTGACTTTGTCTGCAGCAGAGTGCAGAGCACGCGAGAAAAGTGCCGGGCCGTCTCTTTGCGGTACAAAGACAGCATGGCACGGATGGTCGCCAGCGCCTGGACCTTGAGGTTGGCCACTTTCGCGGGGGGCGCCTTCAGAAGGTCGGCAGGAGTTTCGAGATACTCCAGGCAAGCCACAAGTAATTCGCTGAATTTCTCGTCGTCGGAGCCCCATATATCCTGGTTCGATTTTACCATGTCCTGAAGTCGTCGGAACATGTGTGCTTCCACCGTCTGGCTCTGGATCTTCTTAATACCACTGGCAAGGAGCTGTCGGTTCTTGAGGACTTCGGGGCCGTTCGCCTCCGCTGTCTCTGTGTGCATAACGCTTCCAGTGCTAGTCGTCTTGTGGTGACCGCGTGTGGGTGTCCCAGCTGCCTCGCCCATCATAGTGTTCCCATCGAGGCTCTGGGAACTATTTGTGCGCTCGGCGTTCTTCTCGTTCAAAGGTAGCTCTTCCAAGACTGGTTTCTCGGCTTCTGTTGGGACAGTAGTTGGTTCATCGCCTTCGAACGGGTCTTCGTATACCTGAACCTCCTCCTGGGCTTCCGTTACCCGGGTGCTTGGCCGATCTGGCGACCGCATGCGAATGCTTCGAGCGGATCCGACACCCGTGTCACCCATGGATTTAGGGCTCTTCAGAGGCGAGTTACGGGGACTTGCTACCGCCAATCGACTTGACGATGTCATCGGTTTCGGTGGGCTGTGCTGCGCTAGCTGAACCTCTGGCCTACCGAGATTCGGAATGACCATGGTGAAGTTGTCTTCGTCTCCAATATCAAGCACGTCAGTGTCGGCCGAAGCGGTATCAATTTGTTGGTATCGAAATGGAACGCCACTAGGTTCGTGGTGACTTTGCGAGCGCACAAAGGGTTTGACCAATGTTAGATCCTCATCCTTGCGAGGACTAACAGCTGGACTGCCGTGTCGCGAACTTGTGCTGGGCGCTTTGCGATGTGTTGCAACTTCACCTAGCCTAGACTTACTACGAACCGGGCTGATGTTTGGGCTATTCTGAGTCTGCGCTCGTGGGCGGCTGATGCTTTTTGGTGCGATGGCTTTCTTACTCGTTGTTGCAGCGGGGGTCTTCTCGGGTGTTGTCATTGACGGAGTCACCTTGCCTGTGCCTGCACGTCGTATTGCATAAGGATCGGCTGTTGCAGGCCTGTGTAGTTCAGGCCGACGCATTGGTCGTCTAGCTGTACCGCTCATCAAAGAGCCAGTACCGTTACCTGACAGGGCCGATTTAGTTGCGCTCCCGAGTGCCGAAGGTGGTCTGCCCAGACTAGACGATGTTGATGCACTATTCGCCGCTGACTTGGAAGAGCCTAGTGATTTCGCTGATTGCGATTTCGCAGGTGAGTAAGTAGCTTGAGCAGAACTGGGGCGTTCGGGAACACCATTGCCTGCGCCCATCTTTGCTCTCCGTTGCTCAGCAATCTTCGCCTTGAGCAATTCCCTTCCAGCCCCAGGGCCCACAGACTTTGAGAACGCGGATGTACTGCTTTGTGATGATGCAAGTGATGCATTGGGATTGTTGGGATCTTTCTCTAGTCCGTTCTTCTCTCGCTTCTCAAGTGTGTTGAATATCCTATGCAGGTGTTAGCGCACGAATCTCCTATAGAACGACTATCTACATACGCTTCAGCCTTCTGAGGCCAGACGAGGGCGAACGTCCAGTATGTGCTTCGATACGCTTCTCGAACCTTTGGGTTAGCATCGGTAAGACCTTTTTTCAAGACTTTTTCGATCGTGTCCAGTCCAGAATGCTCAAGTTGTGATTTGTGCTTGCGAATCAAGGCTTTTACCCAACCCGAGGAAAAGCACCGCGGCTGCACGTTCTTGTCTTGCGATCCAAACGAAACATGCTGAAGCAGACGGTTCGTGTATGATGCATTGGACATAATGGCCTCCACAGTCGCGTTGCCATTTTGTGCGGCAATGTTCTTGGTCGCAGCGCACATTTTGATGAAAGTCTGCAGTAAAATCTCTACCCATTGGTCTATCGCGGGTCCTAGAGTGGCTGCAAGCTCCTGCACCAGCTGGCATCCATTTGTCGACATTGTTGTACGCAATGAAGTTGCAACTTTCGTGATTCCGTCCAGCAGAGACTTCACACCCACAATGAATGTACCGTGAAACTCACTTGGCGCATTGCCTTTCGTTATCCGCCGTAACTTGGTCGTATTTTTGTCTCGCGCTATCCAGTTCTGCTCGGACTCTTTCCCCTCGAAATGGGGTGCCATATCCCGAAATATGTCTTCTAGCTCGCGCTGTGTGTAAATATGCAGCGGGTCCATGGACACGGGCTCACTTGGCGGAGGCTTTTCGCTGAGGATGCTGTCGGCGAAGCCTGTATCCGGCTGTAGGGTATGGGCGCGTGCTGCCGTTATAGGTCGGACCGGAGGCGGCGGCGGCGGCGGCGTATCCGCTTCGACGGGACTGGCGCCATCCATGTGGGTAGTAATGTAGGTCGCGATGGTCTTGCGCACGTTGGCAGCTACAAGCTGCTTCTTCAGATCTACCTTGGCGCGCTCTGGCGCCGTTCTGTGCTTCCGTTAGCATGCCACTTGAGCACTGCGGTGAAGACTCTCACCTAAAAAGGTCCACTACGGCAGTTTTGGCAGACTCGCGGACGCCTGCGTCGGCGTCTTCGAGGTTTGCTACAAGCTGGGGTACGTAAGACTTGAAGGGGAGGCTATCCGTCTTGTTCATCTGTATGCGCGCATTAAGCCAGTGTCATACGTTCCGAAGAAATGGGGCACGTACCTTGACGAGGCAGGGCATCGAGGCCTCTTTGGCGCGCGGGTTCGCGCCCTTCATGGCATTTTGAATGACGGTCTCGACCTCTAGAGGACACAATGGATGCAGGTCGGCGAGGAGCTGCCCGGCGGCGTGTCGGTGGCTTTCGCGCGCATCGCCCAGGCGATCAACGAGAATGGCAAGAAGTCTGCCGGACTGCGATGTGATAATGGACGTCTCGTCTTGCAGCTGCAATCGCTTGATGAAATGGCTCAAAGTCGCGAAACCGGTAGAGACCAATGCTGCAGAGGTGGTGGCGCTCATGGCAATCCGTATGCATTCGAAAGTTGACGCCTGACAGGACTCCGGGACGCGACCATGCTTGATGGACGATTTTACAGCGGCAAACAGCTGCAGGCGCGTGTCGACATTGGTCGAGGGCTTCTTGAGGGCCGCGAGGAGGGCCGCTACTTGGTCCTCCATGGTGGGCAAGTGTTATTGTGGTGTGTTGAGGGTTGCGGGGTACATGAGGCAGACAGAGCTGTGTGTGTGGTGTTGTTGTTTGACCAGGGCCGGCCAGCTCAACTGCCCGCTTTCTCTTTGCTTGGCGTGTTTTGGCCATTCGTTTCATCGGCAACCAGTCGCCCCCACACCACAACGCCCGTCGGCAATAAGTGCCTGGTAGACGTGTAACATGGCGCCAGCGCACCGACTTACTATTAGATGCGCTTCCGGGATGCAGCTTCGCGGTGACCCATGTGGCGGTCCTATCGGGCGGACGCGCTTCTGCTACACCCTCGCGGAAGCCGAAGGGCCGTATGATACTCCATGCTTCCGTCGCTCCTTCACACTGTTCGGTCATCGAGGAAAAGCAGTATTCTACCTCTATGATCTATCAAGCTTGTGAGACCATCGTAACCTTGTGAAGATCGTTCATCACACTTGAGTCCTAGCACGACCAATCGCACGCTGCGTACAGCTGCTGTGGATCATCACAGGCTCCGCTTTGAATCATCACAACAGCTTTGCAGTATACCCGAACGAATAGCACCTCTAGCGATGCTCCAGGCGTGGGGCTTGACGTTCACACTAGCTCACTGTGCAGCTCTAGGCCGCGACTACCCCTCACCCGCTACACTGGCAGAAACCACTCCATGCTCAAATACCGCGACTGCCCCTCCTCTGCCCCTTTCTTCTTCTCACTGCTCCCAGACAACCTCAATTCAGCAATTGACTCTTCGTACTCCCCTCTGCCCCCCTCCATTCGAGACAGACGCTGATTGATGTCTAGATCATACCCAAAGTATGGAGCTCGTCACGCACGAAGCCATGTTCTGTGCGCGGGCATTATCCCAGCCACATCAAGGTAAAATCAGTGTTAAGTATGCTGAGCATGGACCGGTGTTCGTTTCCATCTTGCACTTCATCCATCAGAACCATCCGGAATGCCGGACTGGATTCTGTGGGTGAAGTGTATGCTGGACTCGTTCTGAGATTATACGGTTCCAACTTGATCTGGATAATACCAGCGAAAGGATCATGCCTTCCTACTCCTGCCATTTGAGGACAACCTTAACAGTTCGCAGGCTTCGAACACCGTTGAGATAACTTGCCAAGATGTCTCCTCCCGCCGCTACCTTCGAGAACCCCGTCGCTGTGAGCGGCTTTACCATGCCTGTCAAGAAGACCCTGAACAACCTTGCGGTCAAGCCTGCTGTCAATGGTCAGGCTAAAACCCTGGCTGAGATGGAGGACAAATGGGAGAGTTTCACCTTCTCTCCTATTCGTGAGAGCCAGGTCTCTCGCGCCATGAGTACGGCTTCATTTCTCGGGCCTGTAAGACTTCGGACTGACTGTTCCTAGCTCGTCGCTACTTCACCGACCTTGACAACTACGCTGAGTCCGACATCGTCATCGTCGGTGCAGGCTCTTGCGGTCTGAGCACTGCCTACGAGCTCGCCAAGAAGCGTCCTGATCTTAAGATCGCTATTGTCGAAGCAGGTGTCGCTCCTGGAGGTGGCGCTTGGCTTGGCGGCCAGCTCTTCAGCGCTATGGTCATGCGTAAGCCCGCCGATGCTTTCTTGAACGACCTCGGCGTTCCGTATGAAGATGAGGGCGACTTCGTTGTAGTGAAGCATGCAGTAAGTCTCATAACCGTCATACCATTGCCCCCAGATCCCATCCTGACAATATAGGCGCTCTTCACCTCGACCCTCCTTTCGAAGGTTCTGTCCTTCCCCAACATCAAGCTCTTCAATGCTACTGCTGTTGAGGACCTCATCACGCGCCCCAACCCCACTGCCTCCGACCCTAATGCAGTGCGCATCGCTGGTGTCGTCACCAACTGGACTCTCGTCTCCATGCACCATGATGACCAGTCCTGCATGGATCCCAACACCATCAACGCCCCACTTGTCATCTCTACAACCGGTCACGATGGCCCATTCGGTGCCTTCTGTGTCAAGCGCCTTGTTAGCATGCAGCAGCTTGAAAAGCTCGGCGGCATGAGGGGCTTGGACATGCGCACTGCTGAGGATGCAATTGTCAAGCGCACTAGGGAGGTTGTCAAGGGATTGATCGTTGGTGGTATGGAGTTGAGTGAGGTCGATGGTGCAAACCGTATGGGGCCTACCTTTGGCGCTATGGCACTGAGCGGTGTCAAGGCTGCTGAGGAGGCTTTGAAGGTCATTGATGAGAGGAAGGTGGAGAACAGCGAGTAAAGGGCCCAGAGTGAAGTATATCTCAGACCCTTGAGTGTCTATTGCTTCCTTGTCGCGTTCATACCGTCGCTACAACTCTATAGCTAACATTCGCGCGCAACAAACCAATGAAAATTACATTCGCTCAATTGTTTCGCTGCATCCCTGAGCATTTCTCTAGTTGATGACGTCTATAATATGTGCATTGATTCTTGTTCGATGAATTGAGCAAGCGATCCGGCCGATTCATCGCATCTTCGACATTGCTGAGTCTAGACGGAACTGGAGTCTCAATGCGCGGCCTTTCTCCTTACCCCTGGGATAGGATTTGTTAGATATCGGGGTGCTAGACTGGGTAAACCTGATGCTGAAGGGTACCTGGCACGTTCTATTCACCCTCGGCCTTGCAGGCTGGGGAAAGTACGAAGGAGGCTACGCCAAGCCCATGAAAGCTGCCAAAGCCTCCGTCTTCTCCAGCGAAGAGAGCCATAGGATTACTCAATGGATATTGGAATTTTGTCAACAAGACACGTTGCCTTGTGCTCTTAGTCATAATCTACGGTGCACAACGATCCTGGCTCTGCTGTGGCAGATGGCGCGGAACCTTCCACTGTGAGTAACCTTGTTTTAACTGAGCAATTGATATGCAACTCAATATGCTGGGAATACATGCCAACCCCTCCAAGCGCTGAGTATATCCCCGCGGCACCAATATAAATGGTCAAAATTTGCACACCAATACCATCCCATATCCAACCAGCTTCACCCAGCCCATCCTTCATCCCTTCTCCTCTTCAAATAACTTCCCCAGTCCGCCCGCATCCCCACCTCAAACAACCCACTCACCCCGTCACCCTCTGCCCACCCATCCCACTTCTCCAATCCATAAAGATGCCGCATAGTCGGCCTCCCATGCGGACAACTCCACGGCTTATCCATACTCCCCATGTGCCTCACAATATCCTCCATCTTACTCTTCCTCAAGGTCTTGCCAATCATCACACTCCCCCGACACGCCCTACTCGCTAGAAGCTTCCTGATCTTGGAAGGACGCGGGATGTGCGGGGACGTGGACAGCGAGGAGGAAGGGGGATTATCCATGATGAGGGCGAGGAGCTCGGAGAGGTCGTGCGGCGTGAAGGTTACTTCTTTGCTCATCGGAAGGGATGTGAGGCTGAAGCGAGTCCGACCATCTTGGTCGCCGGGATCTGAGTCTTGCTCTACGACGAAGCCGTTGGCGGTCAGTGAGGGGGTGTTGGAGACGACAAGTTCTTGTTCTACGGCAGTGAGCTCGAGGGGGTGGGGGTGAACGAGGCGCTGGGAGACAAGGACTGTGGTTGCGGAGAAGCGCTCGAAGTTGTACTTTTCATCTGAGGCGTGCTGGTCGATTATGAAAAGGTCAGAGGATGGGGAGGTTGCTGTTGGTGGACGGACCGCGAGGATGAAGCCTAGGTTGAATTGTCCTATTATGATCATATCATTGAAATCAGACTTTGTGACTGTCAAAGAAAGGCGCTCTTCTGGGTCTTGGTTGTTTAGCTGGGTGTTGGTGGGTAGGCTGCCTGCGGACTGAAGCTTATCCGCTTCCTGCAAAGCAGCACCGAGGTTACGCAGGTATCTTGTAAGAGAGGGTATATTCGTCTTGATAACCCGTTCCAGATTGATGGTAGAATATTTCTTTTGAGAGATCTTGAATAATTTGGTAGCCCGCTTCAAGTTCTCCTCCGTAGGTCTTGCTGCCGCCTCTTCAGCTTCAGCAATCATTCGAGCAATCTTCGCCTCTTCGCGGGCTTTCTTCTCTAACTCATCAATGTACTCTTCATCGGAGTCGTCAGCCTCAACAGTAGGGGCGGCTGCAGCATCTTCGTTATCCTCGCTATCTTCCTCATCTGGCACGGTACGGGGTGGAGCACTTGATGATATGTCAATCTCATCTGTGCACGGAGGCTCAAACTCTGGATGGGGTCCTCTTTTGTGCGGAGATGGAGAACGGCCAGGTACAATACGCAGACTGCTGTCTTGATCACCTTCATACTCCTCATCGCTTTCTTCCAGCTGCGTGCCGGGAGCGGCGAACCCACGCAGGCCCTTCAGGAAGTCGGGCCGCTTTGGCGTTTGCAAAAGGGGAGTGCCGGTCGTAGAGAATTTGGGGGTATGAATACGTGCCCTTTTAGATGCCCGCGACTCACTACCGACTGTAGACACTGTGGTTGTGTCGCCAATTGTTATAGTAGCTTGTTGCACAGGCGTGCGCATGGGGCGCATGCGATCAAAAGCGTTCTGAATGGTGCTTTGAGTGAGGCGATGTGGAGTCTGTATGATAGCCGGTATGCTTTCTTCGTTCTCCTCCCTGTCTGCCGCTTCGGGTTCTGGATGTCTTAATGTGTACTCTAATGCCGTAGGTTTCGTATGTTGAGAGGCAATTCGGGAATTGAAGTCTTCCACTACTTTGGAGCGTGGTCTGGCTTCTCTAATCGATGGCAAAGTCTCGCTCTCTGGTTCGAATAGAGGGGATTCCTCACGCTGGACAGGCTGTACAGGAGCGTTGTCCGTAGGTGGAGACCTACTTCTTCGAGGTGACATCCGGTGATCCATCGTCACCTCAGTGGTCCTAGCATGCTCTAAAGGAAGACTCCCCTTTCTACGGTCTGGAGGGCCGATGACCCTCTCCTCGGAGTCTCTCTCGGCGAATCTTTCAACGAGACTTGCTTTTATGAAGCCGGGGCGAGGCGGCGCCTCTGCCGATAGTGACAACCCTGACCTCTCAACGTACGTGGAGGACAGTTTGTGCGGTTCCGGGACAGGGTCGAGATCGAATGGACCGTCAGGAACGGAAGTTGTGCTTGGTCGGTTTTGCATCGATGGTGTTTTAAAGGTAAGATTGGACGGTGTCCGCCTGCCCAACAATTGCGCTTGAGGCACACTCTGATCGTGGCCTTCAAAAAGCTCAGCCAAGGCATCCCTCAAGCTCTCCAATAACGCGGCTTGGTCATGAAGCATGATCGTTCTCTTGTCTGGGCTGACATTCACATCGTAGGCATTAGTATCCAGCTGGATGTCGGCGAAGACGAACGGTGACTGCGACATATTGTACGATTTATACACCTCATTGAAGGCTTTTCTAACTTGCGGTAGATGACAAGGGCGCGAGTTCACGAAGAACATCTGTCGATCAGGTAGCCCACGACCCTCGCCTACTACAGGTCGCGAGATATGACCGACGATCTTTACGGCGTGGGATCCGTCTTCTTGGGTGCTCTGGTTACGCGCACTCTGAGTCGCACCCGTACGATTTGAAGGATCCATTTCCAAGTGTAGGTCTAGCGGAATAAGCGCGAGGAGCGCCTTTGCACCAAACACGTTTGCGAGGTTCTCCTTCGTGCTGGGATTAGCATTAGTAGAGAATGCCACGGTCTTCTTCCTAAATACACATTAGTCATATGTTGGCTCTTTCAATGGGCAAGACGCACCCTTTCGCCAGCTGGTTGCTGATGTTGAACTTCACGCCCGTGCGAATGCAAGCATACGCCTGAAGCAGCTCTAGCACCTTGCTATACTCCCGCTTGGCATTCTTCTCCAGCTCTTTCCGTCTCACGGGCAGGTTATGGAACAAGGTCTCCACCACAACTGTTGTACCCTGCTTTGCCGCGACCACCGACGTGCCCCTGAGCTTGCCTGACTGCTCGAACTCCAACTTTGTGCCTTTTGGTCCATCTGATGCTCGAGCTGTTACAATGTGGAATTTAGAGAGAGCGCAGAGCGAGGATAGCGCTTCGCCGCGGAAGCCGAACGTCTGGAGCGAGGAGAGATCATCGTAGGTGGAGAGCTTGGATGTGTAGTGTTTTAGGGCGATAGTCTCATAATCTTCCGGAGCGATGCCGGAACCATTGTCCTGGATCTCAATGGCATCGAGACCATTGTTCTTGAATCGGACCTCTACGGGGAGCGTTAGCCATCGCGCTCTTGGTGCAGCGGGGCATTCAACGTACCGATGGAGGTGGCGCCTGCGTCGATGCTGTTCTCAACCAGCTCTTTGCAGACAGAGATCAGGTCGACGATGACCTGCCCTGACTGGATTTGATGCACTGAGCGGCCCTCGATGGGCTTGATGGTGGCCATATCAACCCATGCCTGTTAGCATTGCGGTGCTCTCGGTGACGACGCGCTACCACATCGCGTGGACGCGTCCCCACATGACCGGCGCCAAGATTTGTACCCATAGGGCTAGTGTAAATCTCGTCCCACTTTGAACCCTACATCTCGCGACGACCTCAGACTTCCAGAAACCTATAATATAGTCTTTGTAACTCCGAGACATTATGTCGTCCGAGTTGAACGCTTCAATGAAAAGACTGCGACAGCTCTACGGGCAATCCGCACGCACGCAACGTCAGTAAGTGCTCCAACGCACCATATCCACCAATGAATTCTGGTCGTATGAATGGTCACGTAGGCAGAAGGCATAACTCGGACCCTCTTCTTGGGCGCTCTTTTTCATTAAACACGAGTTCCTTGTTTAGCGAACAAAGGTTGGCCGGTAGTATATAGAACCCTGGGGTAACTCACTTCATGATGAGTGTCTAAAGAGGCAACGTGATACCGTATTGTCGGTGTTCACACAGGGAGTTGCTACGCCAAGAAGTCCGGGCCATCTTTTAGCCACTTTGAACTTACGTTTTCGAGCGCTTCATCTCGGTGTGCACTTCTGGCCGAAAGCCACATACGGCGTTTACATTCCTTTCTAATGAGAAACTCTAGGATACGAGATCTGCAGGAGGAACAATGCAGGCTGAATGTTGACTTCGAGCGCCAATTACAGCAACATGCACAAGCGGACTCCAGGCAGCTGGCGGATATGATGCGCACAAAGCTCCCATTAGAGCTTAGGGAACTCCTCTACAAATATCTATACCTTGAGGATGCCCCAATTCCAGTAGGCTCTTACCACTTCACGACTTACGTGCCCGAGCCTCTAAGGTCAGAAGAAACCAACATGACACACGATGAGCCTTTCATCCTGATTCCCGAAGGAGCGACCAGACAGGATCACAGCATTGAGCGGGATGAAAACATCGTTTATCCAGACAGCAGATTGCTCGATCCTGCGTATGTTGGACACCATATAGCCAGAGAAGCATCGATCTATTATTACAAATCAAACACTTTCTCAGTGTGCACCCTGGAAAACGCGCTATCCAATTTTCTCTTCAGAGATCCGATATATAACTTCACTGGCCAACAAAGGACACCGCAAAGCGCTGAGCCACTTGGGCTTACACCAATTGACCATATCCGTAACCTCCAAATCCGTATCAAATACGAACACTACAGCACTTACCTCACCTTCTACGACAACCTTCACGATGGGGAGAAGAAACTTGTACAAAGCATCTTCGACGCCCTGCATGACTTCAGTAGTCACGTCAGACCCGCCATTGCATCACAGCTACACGTCGAGTTTTGCATGATGACGGCTTACAAGGAGCCAGTTGATGAAGATGGGCATAACCGCGACAATCGTCATCACCTGAACCTCCTCGAAGCCCTCCGTGTTCCGGTATACATGCTCAAGCACGATCTGGGCGTGGACATTACAATCATACACTATGACGAGCATGTGAGCGTATTCCCTAGAAATGTCACCGCCATCTTTCAATTGTCAGAGGACAAGTGGTCAAAGGTATGCGTCATGCTTATATATTGTTCGGCCCACAAGTGTGAAGCTAATATCCTCGTCTAGGAAAAGCAAGCTTACAAGGCCGCCGACATCTCGTACTCACCGTCGCAATACTACGTTGATATCCGTGGAAGCACGAAACCTTTTGCTCTCGATGATTCTATTAAAATCTTGTATAGTCGCTGGGGCCTTTCTTCAGCCTTCAACAAGGAATGCAAATTTTCCATTAGAGAAAGTGAGGTGTGGCCTATACGCCAGGACTTGCTAAGGTCTGGCCCAATGGAGGAATAGATGCTTCTTGAATTGCATATTGGCTAGCTCGGTAGGTTTCCATGGTTGTCAGTTGCGCGACGCAGAAGGCGGCTGCGAAGGCGGCTCACTCTCGACAGGAGCCTTGCTTCAACCCAACTCAGATATAGTTGGTCACCTTTTTTGACACTCAAACTGACTTTTTGTCCCCAGATCCTGCCCTTAGATACAGTATGGACATCGACGATACTGTATTGAGTCAAAATTTGGAGACGTATCATAGCTTGAGGTTTTCTGGATTACACTAGCAAGAACTATACTATGAATACTTCATTAGCATTCTAAGCGAACCTACCGAATTCAATTCGGTTTTCTTGTCGGTCACCGTGGGCGTTGAGAGCGAGAAACAGTAAGTACGCACTGTCCGTTGAAATTGGCAGTAACTGGAAGCGTTCAGTTCTTATACATTCACAATACCGCCTGAATTCAATCCTTCCTTTAGACACGCCCTCAAGCAATGCTGTGCATAACGCTGCGCGAATGGTCCGCTAGATGCTCGATTTGGTGCGTGTGGTCAGCACTCGTGAAAGCTCAGCATATCGAGGACAGCAATGACGCTCATGATCCGCCGGTCTGGGCCGTACGCGAGAATGAATTCTTAATCCTCCGGCGTTAGCCGCATGCAGCTAAAGCTATATTTCCTTCATGCAAGATTCGGCAACGGCGATGCGAGATGTCAGATCACGCTTTTCACCAGGGCACCGGCTGCTGCTGTCGAAAGGTCGCAGCGGAAACTAGGCTGGCTCACATGGGTACCATGCAGGCATCAATTGACATGTTCGGTCTTGATTTGAAGAATGAGACCCATCAACACCAGAAACAGTGTTCAGCCTTGTGGCAGCGCCCGACAAGGATAGTGGTTCACGGCACGACATACAGTAGCGGGGTTTCCTTGGCATGCGTCATTGGTCGCTGCCGTCCCTTCCAGATGGTCTCACTATCCTTGCAATCACCTGCCAAGTATCGCAACACAGTGAATGCAGGTTTGTAGGCTACAACGGGCCAGCCTTCGCAGTGTCTTATGTACACGTCTGCCCCTCGTTCCGCTATTCGCATCGACCCATTCCACGCTGCCATTGAACCCCTCACCGAGGCGCGCTAACATTCCCGATACCCCGCTAAACAAACATGGCAGACGGCGCAGGCGACCGGGGGTTGAAAGACAAGATTGCGCATCCGTTTCCTAGTTTGCGCCAGAAGCTTAAGGATACGCATCTGTATGAGGTGAAAGTCAAGGCGACGCATGCGAAGCACAAGATTGGGAAGTTTGCGAACCTGTTGAATGCGAACCATCGCCATGACGAGGAACATGAGCAGAAGACCGACGAGAAGAGAAGTCGGGTCCGTGAAAACCACCGCTTTGAGAGCTTTGCGCCAGAAAGAGACGGCAATATGATCAAGTGGTATGTCGACGGCCGAGATTATTTCTGGGTAAGCAGCTTGAGGAATCCTGAGGATGTGGACGCTGAATGAAGGAAGGCTCTTTCCGAGGCTTTGAGTAATGCCAAGGAGACGATATACATTGAGGACTGGTGGTTGTCTCCGGAACTTGTGAGTGTTACCGTGGAATTGGTGTCCATGAGCTAAGTGAGACAGTTCCTACGTCGACCTCCTTACTACAACCAGGAGTGGCGTCTCGACTCGCTTTTGAAGAAGAAGGCACAAGAAGGCGTTAAGATCTTCATCGTGGTATACAAGGAAGTATCTGCAGCACTCACTTGCAACAGCCGACACACCAAGGATGCCATCATGGGCCTAATTACTGATGAGGACGCACCCGGCTATGGCAACATCAAGCTCATGAGACACCCGGATCATAATGTCTTTGAGAATGCCGGCGATATGACATTCTATTGGGCTCATCATGAGAAGTTTGTTGTAATCGATTACGCAGTAGCTTTTATCGGTGGCCTGGACCTCTGCTACGGCCGCTGGGACGAGAAGCAGCATCCCCTGGCAGATGTGCATCCTTCGGGGATTCAGAACGAGATCTTCCCCGGACAAGACTTCAACAACAACCGCATTATGGACTTCCAAAGCGTGGAGGACTGGAAGTCGAACCAGCTCAGTAAGGCGGAGTATGGCCGCATGCCGTGGCACGATGTGGCGATGGGCGTCATTGGACCGTGCGTGTACGACATCGCGGAACACTTCGTTCTTCGCTGGAACTTCTGCAAGCGAGACAAGTACAAAAGAGACGACCGGTATCCGTGGCTGACGCTTGAGGGTCGAGAAGGCGAAGATGAAGATCTTGTCGGTGTCCAGCGGCCTAAGTTTCCGGTCGGCGGCTATACACATCATCCGTTGAGTCCGCTTAGTGGGAAGAATCTCGACAATCGCGGGACTGTGCATGCGCAGGTAGTACGAAGCAGTGCAGACTGGAGTAGCGGGCTGCTACCTGCTGAACACAGCATTCAGACCGCATATTGTGATTTGATCCGCGAAGCGGAGCACTACGTCTACATTGAGAACCAATTTTTCATCACAGCTACAGGCGAGGAGCAGAGCCCTATCCACAATCAGATCGGCCGCGCGATAGTTGACGCAGTAGTCCGGGCAGGCAAAGAAGGCCGGAAGTTCAGAGTCATAATCATTATTCCTGCCATTCCTGGGTTCGCTGGCGATCTCAGAGAGGACGCGGCTACTGGAACAAGAGCCATCATGGATTACCAGTACAAATCTATCTGCAGAGGAGAGCACAGCATCTTTGGGCAAGTCAAGGCTCAGGGTGTAAACCCTGAAGACCACATTTATTTCTTCAATCTTCGTTCATACGACCGACTCAACGTCAACGCAACGCTTAAGAAGCAAGAAGAGGAATCGGGCTTGAAGTATAAGGAACTACAGGTAGCCGAAATCGAAGAGCTCGAGGCCCCGCTCGACGACGGTGAAGAAGCACGCAACCGCGCTAGAGAGAAAAGGCGGCAGTTCGTAGGAGAGGAAAAAGAATCCGTTGGATTGGGCGACCAAGGCGGGCTCATCGACCCGGACTCCATCGCCGATGACGCCATGCTCACGGAAAAGAAGCCCAGCACCGAAGATTGGGAAGGTGAGCCTGAAGCTGAGAAAGAAAACTTTTTTCAAGAAGAACTTTACGTGCATGCCAAGATCTGTATTATTGACGACGAATACGTCATCTGCGGTTCCTCTAATATCAACGACCGCTCGCAGCTGGGCTACCACGACAGTGAGCTCTCCATCGTTATGAAGGACACAGACCTGGTGGAGATCACCATGGATGGCAAACCCTTCAAGGCTGGCCGCCACGCGCACACCCTCCGCTCTAATCTCTGGCGCGAACACCTCGGCCTACTACCCCCACAGTCCCTCGACGCCTCCGACGACCCGAACGCCCAGCCGCCAGGCGAGCACTCCCCCAACGACACCCTTCCCGGCGCTGAAGCCGATTTCGTTGTCGATCCGCTCGGCAACGACCTATGGAAAATGTGGACGGAGCGCGCGTCCACGAACACCGAAGTGTTCCGCGAATTGTTCCATGCAGACCCCGATGATAGCATCCTCACTTTTGAGGACTACGATAAGTTTACGCCGAACCCCAAACAGGATAAAGAACACAAGCAGGGGCATCTGTACGATATGTCGAGGCCGGTGGAGGAGGTACGGAAAGAGTTGGACAAGGTCAGGGGGGCATTTGGTGTGGATGCCAATGAAGTTTTTGGAGAATGTGGAGATGGCGGAGAAGGGGTTGCAGGTTAATGCTTATACGGAGAGCGTCTATACATGAGGTTTAGATGATGGGAACGGCGGGAGATCAGGGTCCTGGCCGAATTGGGATGATCATGATTTGGTAATGGCGCGTGCGCCTGGTTTTGGGCTTTACGGCTGGCTGGTACTGGCAAGGCCGATGTAATGGGTTTTGTTTTGTTACATTGATTTTGTTATCTTGTAGTTTTTTAATCGAGAGTATCATTTGTTATTTTGTAATTCTAAAAAGGATGTTATCAATGTCTCACATTGAAGAGTTAGGAGGCTAAGTCACGGAAAGGGTGAGGGAAAGAAAGGAAAGTGATGCAAGTCTCCAGGAATTCGAAGTGACTGTTCCTATTACCTTACGCCATAATCTTAAGCTAATTTGCACACTTCATCGTTCCACCACGCTCCTCGTATAGGTCCGTATCATGTTCTGGAAAGCATGTAAACCTGGATTAACACAACACATTAGATCCCCAATAAAATAACGCTAGGGACGGCTTACCTCGAGACCCGTGACGCAACTTAGCTTCCGCGACCACCCAAGACTGAATTCTCTAGATCAATTCCCGAATAGAGCTCAAGAGGTAATAGAAACAGCGGATTGGCATCGGAAGCTCAAACATTTAGCCTTTCAAGGCTGCAACAATCTCTTTAAACCACTCTCGTTCGTAACCACGGAATATCCAGTCAACATTGTTTATAGACCTTCCTCCTCTTGTGTTACATCATCATCAAGCAATACCCGGGTACAAGCTGTGTAACCTTCGTCGGAAATTCCAGAAACGTATAGCATTACGGCACAGCAATAGCGGGGGGCTAGGGCGAACAGGTGGGTATTAGCACCACCATAGGTTCCTAAAACACCATAGCCCGATGAACCCACTCATTGCACGACGTGTGTGCTGTTTTCATATTGGGCACCTTGTTCAGTCGTCACATCCTATGGTCCGTTGGTGCCTAACCTGATGCGCCGTGACATCGAACCTCCGTAACAACGATATATATAGACTACACCTCTCTTTGTCGGCTCCAGGATCGAGTCTGTACTGCTGAACTTATCGCAACCCAGCCCTATCAGCATCCTTCCCAGCCGTCACTTCTTCGCAGACTAAAGCCACCTCCATCATGTCTACCAACCCGGCTGATGCATACGCCCTCAAAATAAAGCGGGAACGCGAGGAGAACCCTATTCAAATCGATCGCTTGGATAAGGCTGTTATAGCAGGTTTGTCTCGACTGGTGACACTGGACTTCCATTCTCATTGTTCCAGCATTGCCAAGAGATACCGAGATACTTTCTATCGTTCCTTCCGGGGCAAGTGCATGGTGCAAAACGTTTCGAATCGACGCAAAGTTGCGGAATGGCGAGCTTAAATCCTACTTCATCAAGGTCAGTGTCCTTCCAGTTACCCAGTATACCTCTTTTGCATCTTTTATAGCTTTTGTAGTGTGAAACCGGTGAGGCAGGCCGGCGTATGATGGAAGGCGCGTTCCGATCGGAAAAAGCATACTATACCTACACCCCTGGCCATGTACCAAAGCCCCTTGGCTTTGGTAATTTTAAAGACGAGCCTGATACATGGTTTTATCTGAGCGAATTCCATGACATGATCGATGAGCTGCCTGACGTCCAGCAATTCGTGGATATAGTCTCCGAAGTCCACCGTTCCAGTATGGGGAAATCGCCAACTGGCAAGTTCGGCTTCGCAGTTACGACACATCTTGCCAACATTCCGAACGATAATACCTGGCAGGAGAGCTGGGAAATCTGGTACACTCAAGCGATGAAAGCGATGTATGAGTTTGAGAAGCAAACTCAGGGCGAGGACGAAGAATTGGATGACCTCTTCGATGAACTTTGCAGCAAAGTCATACCACGGCTCCTTCGACCTTTGGAAACAGGTGGGTGCTCTATTGAGCCTTGCTTGGTACACTCTGATCTTTGGCCTGGCAACGTCATGCCGGATGCGGATACAGGAGATTTAATGATCTTCGATTCTTGCGCCTACTGGGGCCATAATGAGGCTGAACTCGGGCCCTGGCGCGCTCGACGTTATAGATTGGGCAGGCGATATCTCGAGCAATACCAGAAGGTCATGGGCATTTCTGAACCGCATGCGGACTGGGACGACCGCAACGCCCTTTATGCCTTGTACGTGGCTGCAGCGTTACTCGCTCATTAATTCAATGTTGACCATTGTTTAGACGTTATGACTTCCTTGTGTCTGCCCTCTACCCTGGTGAGACCAAGTTCCGCCAGATGTAGGTTGTCCGTGGTAAAGCGAAACTACCCGATGCTAACGGACCGAAGGGCTAAACGAGAGATGCGGGCATTGGTTGAAAAGTTTCCTGAAGGGCTGCAAGGCAATCCAAAAAAGACAGAATTGGGCTAGTGAGGCTGCCTGAGACCGTCGAAGCTTCTTCTGCAATATTGGGTGAACTGTTCATCACGGCCCAGATATATGATCTAGGGCCCATTATCTTATATACAATATGCAAGTAGAAATTGCTGCGAACGCATATGAGATTGACAGTGACTCATTTTTATTTTGTCTGCGTCTACTGTAGTACAGAGGCAAGATGGACGCTTTCAAGTCAATTCTCATAGCTATAGTGAGTACCTCATCACCAGACGCGGTATCTCGTGTTGCCCGGCATGCGTGAGGTAGTGTGCAGACCTACAGTATACTTATGTCGCTAGTACAAGCCATGGGCACATACGATTAACGAATATCCGGATTGAAGACTTGTATGACAAGCTGCATCATCACACTAATAGAATTACGCACCGTCACCCTTCCACTCTTCCGCCCACCATTATCATCACCGTGGCCGACCCAAAAAGTTAGACTATTCAGCGTCAACTCCTCTCAAAAGTTAACCTCTCCTGTTAGAGGTAAGGCAAGCTATACGTATATAATCACGTAGCATAGGGTAACTTAAGCTATAGTACATGTCTGAAGCTGCGATCAGATACTACATAGCCGTCTCCCATATCGGCGCGAAAACCAATTCAATTTTTATCGTCGGCCGCTGTGAATCTCCCCAAGAGACGAATATATTCAAATGATCAGATACTGTTCATATTACACTATCACAATCTCATACCACTCGTTCAAGTATACACAAGACTCAATTTGTAATCATTAACTACATCCTATCCGTCATCGTCTTCCAAAAATCGTATCAATCGACCGTAAGCATAACCGTCATACTCTGCCATCAACATGTCTCGTGAGCACAATTTATGCAAAACTTGAAGCCAACCCATATCCACACTCATGTCCACTCGCGTTGTGAAAAACAGGTGCAGGTGGGGGTATAATGCCATATGCCGCAAGTGAACGGTAAAACGCAACGCGAAAAAAAAAGCAGTCGCAAAAAAGACAGTACAATCTCTGATACAATTTAGAGTGGGGAACTTCATCCGCGGGTTCGTCGAGACGAATTTTGGCCCGGGTCAACAGCTCGGACTTCGAACGCTTATTTCTTGCCCTTCTTCTTCTTGTTCTTCTTGGAAGGGGTCTTGGGCGAGCTTCCGTCTGCAGGTGTGTCCTCGGTGATGGGCGTGGCGGGAACAGAAGATTCATCCGCAGGTGAATCCTCAGTGATAGGTGTAGCAGGGACAGCGTCATCAGCAGGCTTGTCGTCGGCACCGTCATTCACGGCCGGAGGATCTGCCTTTGGGGCCTCTTCCTTAAGCGCTTCTACCGTGGGGGCATCTTCTTTCGGTGCCGCCTCTTCGGCGGCAGCAGGGACAGCAGCTTCGGTTGCGGCGGGAGCAGCATCGCCGTTCTCCTTTGGAGTCTCCGGGGCTTCGGTTTCGGTGGCGGCAGGAGCGGCAACATCACCATTCTCCTTGGGCTTCTCGATCTCCTTCGGAGCATCGCTGGGAGCTTTGAGCGCAGCGTTCAGCCTCGCCTGGAGCTCCTCTTGCTCCTTCTGCGCGTTCTGGAGCTGTTCTTCGGCCGTGGAGGCCTTCGTCTCCGCCTCTTTCAGGCTGATCAAAGCTTCCTCGGCCCGCTTCTCGGCGTCTTCGCTCTTCTTTGTGAGCTCGTCGATCGAAGCCTTTCCGTCTGCCAATGACTTCTCGGCGATTTCCCGGGCCTCGGCGGCCGAGGAGTGCTCGTCCTTCAACTTAGCGAGGCTGGTCTCCAGGTCGGCGGCGTGCTTCTGGCTTTCCTCTTTCAGCTGTGCATGTGCTTTGGTGAGCTCCTCTAGCTCAGTCGCCGCACCAGTCTGTGCAGTCTTCGATTCCTCGGCAGCCTTTTGGGCGACATCTAGTTGGGTCTGCAAGTCAGTCAATTTGGAGTCAGTAGAGCTGGAAGCCTCGGTCGTCGCCTTAAGCTTTTCTTCGAGCTCAGCATTCCTTTTCTTGAAAGTTTCAGCTTCTTCTCCGGCCTTGGAGACGGCGTCCTTAGATTCCGTCTCGGAACTGTCCAGCTTAGCTTGCAGGTCCTTGATTGTGCTCTCGAGCGACGCAAGCTTCTCGTTGTCGGCCTGAATTAATGATCAGTATACACGAGAGAAAAGATGGTGATCGGTGATCATTGACTCACGGTAGCAGCACCAGTGGCAGCGTCCAGCTTCTCTTGAAGAGCTTTCAGTTCACCTGCGCTCTTCTCTGCCTCCTCGGTGGCCGTCTTAAGCTTGTTGTTAAGCTCCTCACGATCAGACTGGGCAGTCTTCAGGTCTTCAGCAGCCTTGTTGCTGCTCTCAGTCGCGCTCTTCAGCTGTGTCTCGAGCTCAGCTTTAGCGGCCTACACAAGATCGGTCAGCGATTATAGATCCTTAAGGTATTGTAACGGGGTCTTGGGGTAACACAGGTAAGATACATACCTCAACAGCCTGGAGACTCCTGACCTGCTCCTGGAGCTCTCCAACCTTAGCCTCGTGGCCGGAAGAAGCTTCCAGTTTCTGCTCCAAATCCTTCACGCGAGACTCGTGGCCAGAAAACTGTTCTTGTGCGGCGGTCAGCTCGCCTTTGGTCGTCTCGTGCGCAGACTTGGCTTCATCAAGTTGAGATTGCAGACCGGCAACGCCACCAGCCTGTTCGCGGGCCGTAGCAAGGTCTTTTTCGAGTGCCGACAAAGCCTCCTGGTGGCCTGCCTTCGTCGACTCGTGCTCGGTCACACTGGAGTCAAGTTTCTGCTGCAGCTCGGTAAGCTGGGCGCTTAATTCGGCGTTCTTGTCCTCGGATGTCTTGGCAGCAGTCGACTTCTCATCAATTTGAGCTTTGAGGGCCTCAATTTCTTTCGTAAGCTCGTCGACCTTCTCACTGGATGCCTGAGCCGAGGTCAACTCCGCCCGAATCTTCTCGATCTCGCTATCCTTCTCCTTCAGAGAGCCCTCGATCTCTGCCAGCTTAGCGGTAAGGCCGTCGGCCTCAGTCTTCGCCTGGCTTGTTTTGGCGTCAGCGTCAGATTGCGCCTTGGAGAGCGATTCCTCTAGTTCCTTGATCTTTGAGGACAGACCATCAGCATCACCCTTCGCTGCTTCCGCGGCTTCCAGTGCAGCCTGTTTCGACTCGATGTCGGATTGCGCTTTGGAAAGTGACTCTTCGAGTTCCTTGATCTTTGCAGACAACCCATCGGAATCGCCCTTTGCTGCCGCTTCGGCAGCGGAAATGGCGTCATCCTTCTTTATCAAAGACGCCTGGAGGTCGTTCACTTGGGTGGTCAGAGCTCCAGCCTGGCTCTTTGCCTCATCAACTTCCGCGCGGGCAGATTGGATTTGAGATTCAAGATCGGCATGACCCTGCTGAGCCTCCGCGAGCTTCTTTTCGGCGTCTTCTGCCTTCATGACGGCGCTGGCATGGGCCTCCTTCTCCGCAGCGAGCTGGGTTTCCAATTCAGACTTTGCCGAAGACAGTTCATCAATCTTTTGCTTCGTGTCTTCGACTTCCTTCACGGCACTATCCTTCTCGGCTTCAAGGGTGGTAATCTTCTGGGCCAGCTCTTCAGCATCGCCTTTGGATGCTTCAGCTGTTTTCAACTGGGCTTCTAGCTCAGATATCCGGGTCTGATGAGTTTCGAGCTCGCTACGGGTCGCTGCGTGAGCATCAGTGGCGCTGGCAAGTTCGGTCGCCTTGTCGGCAGCTTCCTTCACGGCGCTATCCTTCTCGGACTCAAGGGCGGTAATTTTCTTCGCAAGCTCTTCAGCGTCGCCTTTGGATGACTCGGCTGACTTGAGCTGTTCTTCCAACTCCGAAACACGCGTCTGATGGGTCGCAAGCTCGCCACGAGTCGCCTCGTGTGCTTCATTAGCGCTGGTCAGCTCAGAGGCCTTGTCCGCGGCTTCTTTCTGGGCTGCTTCGAGTTCTGCGAGTTTTGAGGATAGCGCGGCCTCCTTTTCGGCTACAGACTTTTGCAGTTCAGCAATCTCTCCAGAAACATCGCCTTTGGCGGCCTCGAGAGTAGCGATCGACTATAAGATGGTCAGTACATCTTTCGAGTGTAACGCAGGACAAGATCAGGACGGCATGACTTGCCAATGGCAGGGTAGGCATGCTTTCCCGACGCAATGTCATGTAGAATAGGAATGACTTACAGCTTCAAGCTCCGTAATGCGGGTCTTGTGCCCATCGCTCTCCACACCACGAGCATTGTGCTCTTCCTGCAGCTTGCTGTACTCCTCATCCTTGCTGGATAACTTTCCGGTAGTTTCGCCGTGGGTGGCCTTCTCTGCATCGAGTTCTTGTTGAAGCTTGGCGAGTTGACTGTCCAGCTGCTCCTTTGCATTGTTTAGCGACTCAACAGCTTCGTTCTTCTCGGTGGTAAGAGTTGCGATGATGGCCTCCTTCGCCTCGACATCGGCCTTGGGAACGAGGGCTCCCTTCTCTTCTTCCCATGCGGCGCTGCTGGAATCCTTCTCGGACTTCAGCTGGGCAATGATCTCATCTTTGGCATCGACATCACTCTTAGGAACAAGCGACCCTTTCTCTTCTTCCAGGGTAGCATTTGCCGCACGGAGCTGCTCAAGCTCCGAGTTGGCCTACGTATGATGGTCAGTACATGCTTCATAATTGTAGCGGAAACTAATATGACGTACCTTTGCAAGGGAGTCTTCAGCAGATGACTTATCCGCAGACAGGGCAGCAATCTCGCTGTCCTTAGCCTCGATCTGAGACTTGGGCACAGTGTCACCAGATTCCGTGCGCAGGCTGGCAATCTCGGCCTCCAAAGCCTTGACGCGCTCCTCAAGTTCACCGATCTGTTTCTTCAGCTCTTCCTCACGGGCGTCGCGCTCAGCAATCTTCTCGGCGAATTCTTGCTCGCACTCCTCGACGACAGTGTGCCTCTCCTTGGCCTTGGCTTCCCGGACTTGTTGCACAACGATGCTAACCATGTGCTCCTCTAGGTCCTTCTTGTCTTGCTGGAGCGTGGACTCGCGCTCTTCAAAGCCCCGTGCCCGCTCCTTGTATTCCTCTTCGATGCCGGCGATAGTCGTGTCCTGGCGCTTGACGGTCGAGTGGGCCTCTGCAAGGTCGGATTGAGTCTTGTCGAGCTTCTTGCGGAGCTTCTCGATGGCAACCTCAGGCGGGTCCTCAGCGCTGGGCGAGGGCGGGTCGGAAACTTTTTTTTTTTTAGTGATGTCAGCAGATGATTGATACAAAGAGAGTAGGCATGGGTAGTGTGCTGGGCCATAACTTACCAGCTTCTACGCTCGCATCCTCGGCCGCCTGTGAAGCTTCACGAGCGGGTGTTTGCGGTGGCGTGTCCACACCAACATTGCGTGCAGATTTAGTGTCCTCCTTCGGGCTGTTTACAGCGTCCGCATGTGCTTCCGTAACGACTGGCGACGTTGGGGATGGCGGTTGCTCCGGCTGGGGAACTCCACCGAAAAAGTAGTTGTACGCCCTCCTCATACTGCTGGTGCGTTTGGGAAGCTTCGGGCGTGCCGAATTGGTCGACTTGCGTCCTCTGCGTTCTTCCTGCTGTTGTTCAGGAAGGACCGTCACCGGTGTGATGGTTTCGTTGCTCTTTTCCCGGCGGTGGCTCGGTTGGCGGGAAAGAAGCTTGCGGCCAAACTTCTGTGAGCCGGCGTTGATGTCGGCGAGGATCTGCTTCTGCTCCTTGTTGGAGACACTATGGTTGGGGTGATCAGTGAAGTTCAGGAAGTGTTGGTAACACTATGTACACCGCCGGATTGCGGGCAGGTGCAGCTAGCTTGAGAAGGTGCAATGCAATTGGCTGCCGAGGCTGGACATACAACAGGCCTCTAGGCAGAAGCGTGCTTACCGGAGCTGAGAAATGGGGTGGAGCGTGGTTGAAAAAGTTGTGTATGGAAAAAGTTCTAGTAAGAGAAGTTAAACTCACTCGTAGCTCGACCGACTCCTTCCAAAGCTCGGCATGGCGATTTGCAGGTCAGCACTGATAGCAACTGCACTGCTAGCGTATCAAATTTTCTTTCCTGATTCTCCTAAGCGGGAGCGCGAGCACAGCGTAGGTATTGGCCTTTATGTACGGGGCATAAACGCCGTGTACGTGCAGCCAGAGCTTTGCGCCGGGGTGCCAATCAAGAGCTTTGACGTGGCACAGGTCCGACGTACGGAAGAGTCAACGATCGGACAATGCAGGTGCTCGTGACGGCAATGAGCAGAGGCGGTCTACAGCGAATGCGCTTGGTTAAGAGCAGCGTGGTGGGATGTCCAGCTTTTCCGATGCAGTCGTGACAGCGTGCACAGCTCGTTGACATATGATCGAGCGAGCACGGATACTTATGACGAGTCGTCCCTCCGAACGGTACTCGACTTCATGCGGACGGGTCCTTCAGGCTCGCACTGCTGCAGGAACTTGTCCTGTGCCTTTGACGTTTCGTCTCCAAGCGTCGAGGCAGCCTCTCACGCGCTGTCGACCATCACGAAGTCGGGCGCGTCACCCGGGATGCCATGCCCTGAGAGCGCTCTCCACGCGCCCAATCGCGCTGGCGGCAAGACGTGGACGGCGAGGAACCATGCTTGAGGAGGAGGGCCGGGGGGTGGATGCGTTGTCGGTCCCGCAATGTCTGTGCGGATTGGCGACTGGAAAAGTGTTGACCGCGGGATGCCAAAGAGGCGGTCAATACAGGGTATTCGCACCATCCGAGGTCAGCCATCCCTCGCAGCATTGTTGTGCACAACTCATCACTGCTCCTCTCCGCAATTGCCGACCCTCAGAGATGCTCAGTCCAGAAAACCAACACTGGCGAACGCGTCTGGCCATGCGTGACAAATGGACAATGCCAACTGGCACTGCAGGTTGTGCAGCGGCTGTCGGAACGAGTCTTGCGGACCCTGCATACCCGCCGCCCGCAGCGCCAGCCAAACGGTAAAATTCGCGTGCTTGTGCAACCTCGTGAGTCGCAGCCACAGCTCCACATTTCGGGCTTCATGCAGATCGCATCGTGGGTCGTGCAATGTTGCGCCGACTCGCAATGCTGTTCGCAGCATGCAAACTCTTCGTTGACCTGGTGAGTCGCGTGAGCTCAGTGCAGTTGCTGGTGCTTCCTTTGCAGATGCCCAAGAGCATCGCATAGGGCAGCAGGGCGAGTCAAAGTGCGCAATTGACGCGGCAGTGGACCATTTCCTGACTCTTCGCAAGACTATACAAGTAGACACGCATGTGATATCGCGGGGTTCGCATGGGAAGCAGGCAGCCATCGCGAGGATTAGATAGATGCACACACCACAAGTCTTCGACAATCTGCCCATTTCCATAGACAAGGCGAGGGACAGTGATCTCGTACTTTTCGACGGACACCCTAAACCATTTCGCATGCATCACTGCCAGCCCACCATTACAAGTCATGTTCAAAAATCGCTTCACAATTGAGTACTACCAGGGTATACACGAACGCCTTCAACGTCCCAATCATGCTTCAAATCCGTGAAGTTGTCCCAACGAACACCTAGAACCCCATTATGACATCTCCCCTATATCGCGAGGTCTTACATAGTCCGCCAGAAGTAATTTGTGTAGAAGTTGCGAGAAAACTTGGGGTCGATGTTGACGACGTGAACATCACCCTTCGCAGCGTTGCGGATAACGGCCTTGTTGTATTGGCCCGTAGTGTCGGCTTCGACGTCGATACCAAGTGACCGATATACCTTCAGCTTCAGTCTATATGAGAAGTTAGCAAGCAATGTTCTCGAGCCGCGCATGCTGAAGACGACATACACCGTAGCGTCTTCCTCGGGTCCCTTTTCTCTCTCTCCGCCCTCTACCCCTTCGGCCTCCAGATCCCCTAGTACACCGCCCAATCTGCTCAACTCGCCCTCGAGCCTCTCACCCTCCATTTCGAGATCGCTTGCTTGCTTCGCAATCTTGAATTTCTCCGTGTCCAGACGTAAGATTTCAGCTGCGTGCGTGGTCGGATTGTGATGCGACAGTGTGTGGTTGTGGTTTGAGGACAAGGTCTGATGCGTGCGGTTGAGTCGTGTGAGCGTAGACTGCAGGGAGGACATGTGTTGCTGGCGGAAGGAGGAGAGCGTCCCAAGGGAGTCCGAAATGCGGAGAAGCGAAGAGCGGTCGCTGTCAAGTTTGAAGTGCGATGTGCATTGCGCGATGAGCTGTATACAACTGTTAGTTATAGAGTAGCTAGGCAGGGCAGAAGAGCATACGGAAGCGGGGTCCTCGTCGAGAAGCATTATGATGAGATTTGCGTGTCGCGGCTACGTGCTGAGTGGTTTCGCGTAGTTTGGTTAACAAAGGTATTGTATCAGCAAGATTATACTTTGGTTCGTAAAGCGACGTCGCCAAGTCGCGGTTGTGGTGTTGACATGTGGTGTTTAGTGGCCCGAGCGTTGCACGGCAACCACACTGGGCTGCACCTTCCGCCACACTTCGTGGCGCAGTGGCACGAGCGTACGTCACTCACAACCGAAAGTCATCCGCGCTCGACATTGAATCCTTACCGCCTGCACTTTTGGACATCGAATCGTAGGATCCTACAGACTTCATTCAGACTCTGCGATACGCACACATTTGAATAATGTCGCCCTCGTTACCATGTAAGTCTGCTGTGGGTGAGCGCTGGATACTGGAAGCTTACTGACACATGCTAGATGCTGCCGATGTCGAGTCGCCGCTCAAGCCAGAAGAGCTTCAAGTCTTACGCGCGCAATACGAAAAAGAAGGAGAATATGTTGGTCTACAGACCAAATTCAACTACGCTTGGGTACGTGTTCTCACTTCGGCTACCTATCCCAAAGTCCACATCTGATTTCTCCGAAGGGTCTCATAAAGTCCAACGCCCGCGGCGAACAACAAGAAGGCGTGCGCTTGCTATCCGAAATCTTCCGCAACTCCCGCGAACGACGGCGCGAATGCCTCTACTACCTCGCCTTGGGCAACTACAAGCTCGGCAACTACGCCGAAGCGCGGCGGTACAACGAGCTATTATTGGAGTTGGAGCCGGCGAATTTGCAGGCTGGGAGCTTGAAGGATCTGATTGACGATAAGGTTACGAAGGAGGGACTTATGGGCGCAGCAGTTGTGGGAGGTATTGCTGTTGCGGCGGGACTGGTGGGCACGTTCTTGTTGAAGGGATCAAGGAGGAGATGAGACTCCGAGCGGTGATGATGGAGAGGGAGTAAACAGGTGCACAATGTGATACCTTCTGCGAAGTTTGCATAGGCGTTAGGGTTTCTAGCTTGGCTCTAGAATGTACAGCTGTTAACGGTATGGTGGGTACCGCATATGGGGCATGATCCGAAATTCTCTACTACGCAAAAATGTACTCAAAGAGCATGAACAAATACGGTGGTAAGATGCGGGGATCTCAGTGTCTCTGTCTAACAGTTGGTGAGCTGTCGTCTGTCCTGTGAGTGAGTTGTGCAAAGCAGAAGCACGTAGAATTTCGTAGAAGAGGCTCCAGACAGGTGTTCGACAAACGGAGTCAGAACGACAAGCGCGCTTGACTTGAATGACAAAGCGACACAAAGCCTACCCTACAACCCTTATACCGTTCTTCCTTCTTTCCCAGCTCTGCGCGCAGTTTTGACGATCCTGGATAGAGGCGTTGCGGGATCATCGGCGGACCCTTTGCCGAAACGTTGATCGATCGGTTCCAAGACAACGTCACTGGCCGAGCTCACCATCCAAGGTTCCTGGCACAAAAAGTCGCCCGCGGCTTCTCATAAGCAACTCTTTCCATTCTGGTCCCCACGCGACCTTCGTGCCGTCACCTGTGTTTCTTGCGTATTCCTGCAGTTGTACAACGCCACAGCCCTCCTAGCCACTCGAATCATTGGAAGCAGGCGCATGACAAGACTGTTGCCCAGGTGCCCTGCATAGCTCAGCAGCAGCTTCCCTCGCTGCACACTATACGTGAGCGCCTTTTCTCTTTACCTACGCGCTTTGTGTGCTCATATACACCAGCTACCTAGGACCTATCCTCCTTCTCGCGCCCTTTCCCCGCAGCCGTACCCCGCCACCATGAGCGAGTCAACGCCAACCCGGCCGAGCGCCGGCCAGCGGGAGATGATGTTCTGCCACGAGTGCCATGATGAGTGGTATCGCGACGAGCGAGGCATAATCTGCCCGGAGTGCGGGTCAGAGTTTACCGAAATTGTGGGCGCACCTTCAGCCGTGCCAAAAGATCGTGAGCTAACATGCAACTGTAGATAGAAGATGGAAACGACCCGCGCGATAACGACATGTACGGCCACGAGCATACCGACGACGATGATGGATCGATGCCGTCGTTAGAAGAAGCCGATCCGCACAGTCTGTTCCGTGGCCACAACCCTTTCCGGGCGGTTGATGATGACGATCCGGAGGAGGCAGACATCAGCCAAATGCCGCAATTCCAGAACACGCGAATACAAAACACCGGTCCGGGCAGATACCACTTCTCCGCTACAATACACCAGACTATTCCGCTCTCGGGAGCCGCGTATGGACAGAACGGCAACGGTCCCAATACCATAGGTGGAATCACTTCGTTTCTCTCAAACTTGATATCCAATGCTGGAGCGATGCGGCAACAAGGGCAGGCTGAGGCGGGCGATGGTCAAGGCCGCTCGACACCACGTCCTGATCCAGAAGGTGGCCCCCATGTACATAGGTTCACATATTCATCTGGCGCACGTCTTCATCCTCGTGATAGCAACAACCCAGGCCCGCGTCTGGAGCCAGTCGATGGCCTCAACAAGTAAGTTGATCGCATTCGTAAATTTATTCTATGTGCTAAGAATCGCAGTGTCCTCTCTGAATTATTCGCAGCCTTCGGAGACCCCAACGCAGCCGGTCAAGTGCCAGGACACAATCATCCCCATGGCTCTCCAGGACAAGCCTTCGGTGGTATGCCCATGGACCCTCTCATGGGCCTCTTCGCAGCCCTCAGCGGCGGCCAACATGGAGATTTCGTCACCTCCCAAGAAGCCATGGACCGCATCGTCTCACAGCTTATGGAGCAAACCGCCAATAGCAACGCTCCAGGCCCAGCTTCCCAAGCCGACATCGACGCCCTCCCCCGGAAGAAGATCACAATAGACATGCTCGGTGATGATGGAAACGCAGATTGTAGTATATGCATGGATTCCGTCGCGCCGGAAGAGGAGGTCACGGAGCTACCGTGCAGGCACTGGTTCCACCACCAGTGTGTTTCTGCTTGGCTGAAGGAGCACGATACGTGTCCTCACTGTCGCAAAGGCATCACGAAGACGGACGAGAACGGTCCTAAAGACGCGTCGTCAAGTGCAGGCGCGACTGCAGGCTCCACGTCTTCGGGCGCCGATCCTACCGTGAACATGCCCGGCGCTTTTGGCGTCATTGGAGAAGGCACCTCGAATAATCCGTTCGTTGTTCCGGGAAGCTCGCCGCCTGGTGCCGGTTCCAGTGCACAGCAAGGCCAGTCTAATGCGAACGACGCATCAAATAACAATTCAAGTGCGGCGGAGCGAAGGGGTTGGTGGCCATGATTGCCACCATTGCCATCTTTTTGACTCGAATTGAGCTGATCTTTTTGCAACATAGCGCGACATAGTCATGGCGGCCATAGAGCACGGATACGCCAGAGGAGCAGGACGGCATCTGAAATCATGGATGGAGTCGAAGGGGTTCTGACCCGTATGCGACGACGTCGACGGTCCGAGTAACAGTGCCCAGTCGAGTCACGAGTTGTCGGGTTTCCGTTCCTGATCCCTCGCCATCTTACTGGGGGTATTGTAGATGGTCGTTAAGCGCAAGCACTTCTGGCGTTAGGTTTGGATAAAGGCATGTTTCCCGGCGCATGCATGGCTTTCATATGGATTCCCCTGATTGTTTGAATAGCGTTCACTGTACCTTATCTCATCTTTATTTTTCCATCGTGACCATGGCTTCTGGTTCTGCGGCATATGTGTTATGTAGAGTACGATAGTGATTACATGGGAAGGAATAAGGATGGTCATCTAGCCACGGAATTAGCCGGATGGTTAAACAAGTGAAATGCTTGCATGGCTGTATCATTGTGCGCTAATTGTAGCAGCCAACACGAGTACCGCTGCGTTGAAGTACGCTGGACATGCAAAACGTCACCTTGTTTATCATCATCCTTCTTATCAACCTCCTTGAGGTAAACATCCCCCCCCCCCCCTTCTCTTCTCCTTGCCCTTCGACGCATTATACAAGAAAGCCAACTGCCCTTATCTCCTCTCCCTCTTCGCCCGCTTAGCTCTTCGATCTTCCTCATTCGGATTCACCACCGGATCCAAATGATGATATCTCGTTTCATTCACATGCGATACCTCCGGAACATATAAGGTAGCCTCCTAGCGCTTCGCGCCCTTCTTCTTGGCAGCAACGACCTTGAAGTTACCACTGTCGAGCGTGCTCTGTTGTTGCTGCTGCTGCTGTGCACTTGTATTGCTCTTCTTAGCGACCTCGCTCCATCCGCCGCCAGACTTATTCTCTGCCGGGCTTGACGTGTTACGCTCATCGATGATGCCCTTGTCGGCCAACTTACGGCGGCGCAAAAACTCTTCGGCGAAATGACGGCTATCAATGTTATGGGTAGCGGCGTGAACTGATTCTGTGATGAGCTCGAGTTCAGGCGGAAAGGTGAGCAGTGAAGCAATGAATTCCTCGGCTGTTCCTGGTTAGACAATGACGATAAATGGTTGATGCAAGCAACTTACCATTGATGCTCTTGTTGAGATCACCGCGAACCTCTGCGACAGCCCATTTCTTGAACTCCTCTTGAGCATTGGCTTGTCCACTAGCTTGACCGCTCGTAGTGCTACGGGTCACGGCAGGCTTCTTAATCACAGCTGGAACCACACTGCTGCTGGCAGACCGAACGGCAGGCGGAGGAGCGGGTGAAGCAATTGGTGCTTTGGCCTTACCACTAGATCCCACAGTGGTCCAGGCGCCACCAGCAGCCGCTGGAGGGGGAGCAGCTGACTGCTTGCTGGCAAGGTCGGCATATCGCTTTCCGGAGGCTAGGCTTTGTGTGGCAGCACTGAATGCGTTCGCAGTGGCTTGAGCGGCAGCTCTCTGCTTGCGAGCCTCTTCCTCCTTCTGAATTTGCTGAAGCGTCTTCTTCCCCGCAGCAGTTGTTTGGCCAGGCGTCTTGCCGGCCAGTGGCTTGGCCCAGGCGGATGCGTTTCCAGCTCCAGCTCCAGGCGTTACAGGCGAAGCTCCGCTTGCCCATGTAGAGCTGGAGGGGAGGCCAGGTTGAGGCACTGAAGCCTGAGCTTGAGCGGCCAGTTCCTTCTCATAGGCTTCGCGACGAGCTGCGGCGATAATTGCTTCGCGTTCAGCAGCCTTCCGAGCCTCCGCTTCTTGGATCTCCTTCAGCGAAGGGCCGCGAGGTGCCTCTGATGGCTCCTTGGCCCATGGGGCGATCGATGCGCTAGGAGTGTCTGCTGAAGGCGTTTCAGAACGAGATCGTGACTCTCCCGCAAGTGAATCAGCGACTATGGGCTTCCTCTGTGCCGCGGGTGCAGGGAGCGGCGACTGAGATGGCGGCGGAGGGAAAGGATGGATCGCTGGCTCGACCTTATTCCAAGCCGATTGAGGTTGGGGCGTTTGCTTAGCCGAAGCCGCCTTCTGAACTTGTTCAGTCAAAGATAGAGGTTCAGAATGTGTAGCAGTTAGCTCATCTGACTGTGTCGGGTGTGCTATCTTGTCTTGCGCATGCTCCGGTTGAGAGTCCAGACTGGAATGCTCGGCAGTAGAAGCAGTTGGTTTTCCAATCACGCCCTCGGGGGGAGGCAGAACTGTAGACTGTCCGAGATCGGTCTGTACCCTAAGGTCCTGAAATTGTTGCAATCGATCTGCAGATGCTTGAGCAGCCTGTCGTTCGTTGGGGGCAAGTCGCTGCAGGGCGTCATGCTCAGCTTGTTCACGCTGGAGACGGGCACGGTCATTAAGCATTTGAACAACTTGTTGAGCTTGCGCGTTGGAGTCCTGCTGTTGCTGACCAAATTGAGGTGGAGCACCGCCAAAGGACGGCTGAGCAGTGCGGCCAAGGTTGAGTCGGTCCATCACTGAAGTCAGGTCTTCCTCTCGAATATTCCCCAGCGCGTCAACGTTGGGACCAATGGGTCCTAGACCGGGGACGGGCGTCGGTCTAAAAGCGTTGTCGAGCAGACCGGGGACAGCCGCACCACCAGGAAGGGGTCCTTGACCGGGAGACGGTTGGTAGCCGCCGGGAGAAGTAATGCTACCATAACTTGGCTGGCTGTGAAGACTGTGTGCACTGGAATGGTGTTGAAGCTGATGGGGCAGGATGCCGTGCGAACCTAATCCCATCTGCTGCTTGGCCAGCGCTTGTTGCGCAGCAAGATGTTCCTTTTGGCGGGCCATCAGGTATTGTTCCTCTTGCTTTCGGCGCTCAAGCGCATTCTGTTGCTCGGCGGTCAACGTGGTACCAAAGCTTGGAAATGAGTTAGCAAATGGTGGCTGGGCGCCTCCATTCGGGCCAGCAGGGGCATTTCCTGTCCAAGTAGTTCCTGGCGCGGTTGTAGAAGATGGAGAGCCGTGCGGTATCCCAATTTGAGGCACAAGGAAAGGTTCCCTAGAGTTTCCGATGCGACGGATGAGCTGCAGCAAGGGTTCGTAGTCTGGATCCTCCTGCTTCTTCACTAACAACTCAGGTGAAAAGTAACCTGCCTTGTACCAATCGTGCATCTCCAGTCCAGAGAAAGGGCCTTGTATACCTCCCGAAGGATCACGATAGATCCACCGCATCCTATCTGGCATGACCATCGTGCGTTGCTGGGGAGGCGGAGGTATGTTCGATGCTGGACTATTGATTCCAGGAGTTTGGGCTGAGGGGTGTGCCGTTCGGGTCTGATTTAGCGCAGCCATCGATAAAGAAGTCGTGGGCAGGTTAGAGGAGTTAGTGGCTGAGGATGGGCCGAACCCGGGCCCAATTGAATCCTCATGATGACCTCCTGAGAAGTCGTCAAATAGGTTACGACCGCTTCGAAATGGGCTTTCGGTATCGCGAGGGGGCAAAGCACTGCCAGAACCTTGACCACCGAAAGCGCCACGCCCAAAGGTCCCGGTCATGCTCTGTTGACGATCCCCTTGGCTGGAGTTGTCGTCAAGAGGTCGTCCTTGATCGCCCGTCCGCATCTGTTCCTGCATAGCAGTGGGGAAAAGAGAGCCTAGTTTACTCGACCGACCGAACGTTCCAGCGTGGCCGGAGCCAAAAAGTGAGCTGCTGCCAAGCCCTGCTAAACTCGGCGACTGTGCTTCTCCTACGTTTCCAAATAGGCCATCCAGACCGCCTCTTAAACCACGTTCTTGAACGGGTGTGCCGATGGATGGCTGGCCAGTAGACCACGCAGATGCACCGCCCAGCCCCGGTAGACCGCCCAAACCTGGAAGCGTAGGAAATCCACGTGAAGGTCCTACGCTTGAAGTCTGGCTACGATCACTTGCCGCAACCTCAAAGGGTCCAGGTACTCTTCCAAGGCCTCCAAGACCGCCGAATTGGTGTTGGTGGAAACCAGATCCTGCCTGGTGATCCACCTGAAAGCTACCCATCCCAGGATAATGAGCGTTCTGCGGCTCAGATCCATCCGAATCTGCATCTTCATGATGATCGTGTCTAACATGGTCGGGACTCGCAAATGGGTTCGTGTCCGTCGGGCTCATGGGCTCGTGGCGTTCTCCACCGCGGTGGTGCGGCGTTTGATGAGCGAAATTGTCCCTTCCGTGGAAGATGTCGCGCAAGCCTGTGTTATCTGCGGTCATGCCAAAATGTGAAAAACCAGTATCATCACGAGCATCTAGCCGTTGAGGCGTCCCGAAGGCTCCTTGGCCCTGCTGGCGAGGAGGGCTCAGGTCCTGTCCACCGCCCAAAGCTGCACTTCCAGTACGGAGATCGTCCTCAGCGTAAGGGTCGGTGTCGTGACTGGTCGGTCGATTCGAACGAGTATCCGTCCAAGATGGATCGGCCTCGGTGACGGCTCCAAGGTTCCCCAAAGACGCTTTCTCCGCCGGACCCTTTCCGACATCCTCGAGACTACCCTTATTCATGAGACCCTTGAACCTGCTCTCGCCGCGAACGCTTCCAAACCCCGGCTTCTTTTCAGATTGGGGAGCTACGAAGCTACCAAACGCGCCCATTGGTGAAAAGCCGCCACTTTGCGCGGCACTCCACGGGGAATTAGCGTTACTCGAACCCAACCCTCCAGTCGCTGTGCGCTTCAGAGTTCCAAGCAGACCAGCATTTTCAGCTGCGTTCTTGTCCTTGTCACGTTCCTCAGTCGAGGGAGCTTGTTCCTTGAAGTCAGTACGCCGTCGCACCAAAGCTGGCGGTGGGGTCACAGCGCTTGACTCCTCTCTTGCGAACCTAGATGTTGACGGCGATGCTAGCCCGCTCGAGGGGAACGGAAAGGCATCGCCCGTGTCACGGCGACGGGTACCTGGCCGAGCGCTGGTGGGGGATGACACGCCATACGGCCCGCTTGTCGAGATAGAGGTCTTGCGTAGGGACAGCCCTTCTTTCGGTGTGCCGTCCTTGTTCGTGTTCTGCGCGGGCGGTTTCAGAGGTGAGTTGACGGATGAGTTGAACACCTAAGCGAGGAACCCAATGTTAGATATGGGAGCAAACAACCGTAGCGCGGGGTCAAATTACCTCTCTCTCATCCTCACTCAGGTTGGATAGACTGAGCGGTAGAACGTTCCCGTCCCTATCCCAGCACAGGTCGACCCCGCCTTGACCCTCCCTACCATGATCGTCCTTCCGGCCCCAATTGGAGCCGGAGGTACCATTCGTGATGTTCGGTTCCCAGTTGCCAACGTAGAGATCCGAGAGGCCGTCCCTCAACTCATCCAACTCCCGATGCGACCGGAAAAGGTTGATCATCTGGTCTCGAGCGTACCGGCCCTCGCCAGAGCGGCCGGACTGAGCATGTGGCGGCACGTATACGCCGGGGACTGAGGCTGATGTGTTTTGGGTGGCGCTGACGTCGCGGGAAGAGGTCTGCGCTGTGGAGCCGGAGAGGGTTGGTGCATGTGAGGGTCGGCGGAATGTTTGCGTGGCACCATTCGTGCGTCGAGGCCTGCGAACGTTAGACTGAGCGGAAACAAGATCAAGCGGCATGTTTGTAGCGAGAGTATTGGTTATGTTGACTAGTGATAGGTGTATTGTGCGGGGAAGCGAGTCTGTGGTAGCTATGCGAAGACGTATCGTGTATGCATGAAAGGTACGAGGCAGGGAGCGGCTGCACTTACCAGTCTCCGCCCGAATCTGCCCGCGAGGAGCTGGCGTTGGTTCCTGCTGCAGCAGACGCGAAAGATGCAGGTGCCATGGCAAAAGGTGTTGTAGAGGAGTCCCGATCGAGCAGCGCGCTGTCAAGGGCGAGAAGAGATGGAAATGCGGCGAGTTTGTAGTAGGTAGGTGCGACCGCGGGAGAAGTAGCGAGCTTACAGCTGGGTGCGAATGAGAGGAGGGCGATATTATCGTTCACGTGCGTGTGTAGTACAGAGGATGGGAGCTGTGTCGAAAGCCACAAGGAAGAAGCTCTGCCGTAGAGTCGCCCCAAAAGAACATTGAAGTCAGTCTCCACAGGCGAGGTCACGTGCATAGCTTTAATTTTCGTCAAACCAACCCCCCCGTCGTCATCTCAACGCGTCCGAAGGCGCACGCGACAACACTAGTCAGCAGCCTCGCATAGCATCTGTCACGACACCCTGCATCGCCTTCGTGTCGGACATTGTTGCTGTTTCGAGCTGCCCATCTCCTATTGTGCGACGAGTTCTGCGGGTCGTACCTGTCCGACAGTGCCCTCAACACTTGCGAAGGTGCCGCCGTGGCACGCATGCCTCAACGATCCGACACAAATGCGCGTCACTCCGCCCCTTTGGAACGCGCGAACAACGGGGCAGGTGTTTGATATAGCCCAGTATAAGCTTGATTGCTGACTTTGCTCTTCAAGTTTGCAAGCTCTACTTGCGTTTCTTCTTTCTCGAGTTAATATTCCAGCTCTTTCTGTCCTGGTATACCCACCTGCCTCATCACGATCATCGCATCTCTCTACCATGATCGTGTCGTTTTCACGTAAAGAAAGTTTGCTCCTTTTGCCGTCCGCGCTCACATCCAATGCCACTGGTCGCGCAGGGAAATGTTTGCTATCGGCCTGCTCAGTATCACCGACCACTCAGCCACATCCGCACGATGGACAGACCATAGCCCTCTGCTGGCTCGCTCGTATACCACAGGCTGAACCTCACACTATATCCTTAGGTGTAGTACTGATCTAGAAATGCTATTGACAGCTAGCTCCACGATGTCGCGACTGGCGAGCTCAAAAGATGGTTTATAAGGAGCCCAGCAACATGTTGAAGCCCCACGTCACCAGCAGCTCAGGGGCTCAAACTTCACCCAACTCACACAGTTTGCTACTCACCGATCGTTCCCTTCCACTCGTCTAGCACGGTGCCCATCACTTGACTCTGTTCGTCCTTATCTCTTCTCCGCATTCTCTACACTCTCGATTTTCCTTCCCGACCCCGCTGCATCTGACGAGTGACGACTTTACCAGATCGACTGAGTATTCAAACAAACCAAGCCTCAAAGTTGCTGATATATCGTATGCCTTTTCCTAGAAAGGGAAAACGACACAAGAACGCGATCGCACGTTTTCATCCATCGTCGCCGTTCAATCCACATAAAATGGCTCTGGTTCCACGTCGAGATCCTTGGGGAAAGAGCCTCCGCGACCCGCTGAGCGGTCCCCGTTATTCCTACAACAGGTTTCATGCGCAGCAGCAGGATGCGATGAGCGGTAGGTGGGATGGAAGAATGTCCTTGAACTCTTATCGAAACTTGCTGGGCCGTGGGGGTTTTGGTAATCCACGGGCATCCCGTTTTAGACATTCAACCTACAGCGGTGGCAACTATGGCTATGGCGGCTATGGTCGACAGTCGTTCTCCCCTTTACCGCGATTTGGCGGGCGGGCAACTCAGTACCGCAGTCCCTACTCACGTTATCCTTCTTGGCCGACATATGACTATGGCCGCGGCGTAGGCAGACCCAGGCAGCAATATCAATCAAGATATCCCGCTTACTCACCCCTCCGAAGCCGACGTCGACCGTACGGTCGAAGTTCATACTACGATTACGACGACGACCTATCTGAGGAAGACTATGAAGAAAGCGACTTTGAAGACAGCTATTATCCCTCACCGAACGACAGGTGGACTAGAGGCTATAGAAGCTATCGAGACTGGGGTGACGGCGACGAGGACGATGATGATGATGACGATGACGACTGGGAAGGAGACGCATTTGACGATCTTGAAGAGGATGACAGTGAATTTGACGACTTCGATGATGATTCGGACGTTTATGGTTACGGTCGTTATGGCTACAGGGGAAATAGACACGGTCGAACTGGCTATAGGTACTAACACGAGAATCTGACGTTCACTAAGTTTCACCTGACTGTCAGCCCCGTGTGCTCTTTCCCATGGAAATTCATTGTCTGCTTCGTCCTCTGTCTCATGTCCTCTAGTAATGCCTTCGCCTGTTCTTGCTAACGGTTTGCTATATTGTTTCGAGTCGAAGACCATCATGAGATAGTCTTGGAACAAAATCAAACCTGAATTTGTTGTGACACCACATTTGGCTGATATACTCCCTCGATTGGAATCGACAACTTTCCGCGTCAGTTAACCTCAGTCCAATATTTCCCTGCCCTTCAGTAGCCTCCTCATGCCCATGAATCTCCCCAAACCCAGCGCCGCCATTCTAGGTTTGCTCTCGGCCTCTGGCTTCCCTGACGCGGGTGCTGACCCAATGACATCCACTTGTCCGCCCCACACACAGCCCTATCTTACCCGCGTTTGTCCTCCCATCCTGTCAATAACCTATGTACGACGCTGTGTGTCCTGCTCACGCGCTTCGTACCACAATCTACCCAATTGCAACCTCGCGGGTGCCAACGTTGCTTCCAGCGTCCGAATCACTTACCAAACGACCCGTAGAATACATGTCAAACCGCTGCAGACATCGTATGTGCCATTACCACCGGGCATAGTTCGTTTGGTGAGATCAGAGGACGGCAGCGAAGTACCGATTGCTCTACTTGATAGTATATGTTGATTGACTACGACCAAACAGATTGAGTGGATAAGCAGGTGGAGAAGGGGTGAGGCAGTTTAAGTGGTGGGTATAGTTGGGCCGTAGGGTGCGGGATCGCCGGCGGGTGTAAATCGGCGGGTGGCTATAGTACCTTTCCCTAGTCACCAACAGTTACCCATGCTATGCCAGAGCAAGTAGCAAAAACAGAGCATCGGATCGGCCATTGAAGTGCCTGTATGCGAGTGGTATCTGATAGGTAGGTATATCAGTACCAACTACGATTGGGTTAACGTACATCTTTGAGGCGGATGTGTTGAAATCTGTGTGCTCAATAATCCAGCACTTTTCTAGTTCACTTCCTTTACCATCAGCCTCAGAAGCAAGACACGACAACCTCACCGTACATGCCCTCACCCTCACCCTCACCCATCACTTAACCCGACCATTTACCAGTCAATCATGTGCCTCCTCTTCGCATACAACTATACCTGCTCTCCAAACCACACTGAGGTTCTCTTCCACCCCTGCCACCTCTTACCTACACGTCACTACCGCCTACGCAGCGTAACCACCCTTCTTAGCAACAACCCTTATCTCAGATTCTGTCCTCGGCTATGGGAGAAGAAGGTATATCCACCTTTCTGTGGCAAGTGTGCTAGGAAGATGGAGGGGCGGCGGACGTGAAGGAGACGGGGTTGGGACTTGTTGCTCTGATATATGTTTCTAGAGGCTAGAGTCTAGGAGTAGACACAATACGCTAACACGTTAAGTATGTGAGGTGGATTTGTCATTCTCGTGGAATCTTTCGCGCATTAGGAAGTGTGCTGTATCTAGGTAGATCTGGGGATACCACCATACAATACCTGATCCAATTCCTGGTTCTATGCACGAAACCACGATGTATCCCCATATCCTTCTCTGCATTCGTAGGAATTGTAGCTAGTGGCATCCTGACTGACCAGCGTCGTTTGAATCTTTCTTGATGTTCCATAATTTCGATTCGCTTTGTTTTAGCCTTGTAGTCAACGCAACGTACAAGCTCTTGAAGGGAAATGTTCTGTGATCAGTCATAATCGCGAAGACGAACTTTTCGAACGCACTTTCGGACTGGTGGTTTGCGACACCCGGTTGTCGTGTCCTAGATTCTTCAGGGTACAAAACGTCCCGAGACTGGTCTTCCAAGAAGAAGATGAGCTATTCCGACATCTCAGTGCGGACTTTTATGATGATACATGCAGGGTGTTCCTTCGGATAACACAGTCGGATTAGCTGGTGTTAACAACCGGATGCTTTTTCCTGAGTCTGTAAGGGGTTGCTCTCGTATGGTACCGGCGCGCACCTGGAACCTATGGTAGCAGACGCTCTTCTAGAGCCTGTTTGCCTCACGTCTTGACAAGAGTCTCTTCATGTCTTCCTTCAGAGGTGAATTTATCCCAGCAATATCCACGGCAAAGCCCCGATATATCTTATCTACATCCGACCAGCTGGCATTATGGGACGCCACAAAGCTCTCAGCCACATTACTCGGGTCACGAAATCAGCTCTTGTCTTTACACATGGATAAGATCTATCCTATTCGCTTTGATGTTGATTTACATCCAGGATGCTTTCGAATTGGGAATATAGCAGTGTGTATTACAATTATTTCTACAACATCCATCCGGTCACTCCTGTGGTCTTCGATGAGAATGGAGGGACCTTGGTCGTTTTCCTCATAGGGAGTGGGCGTGAAGTGGAATTCGAGATAGCGAATGCAGTAGTAAGGGATCAATCCGTGCTCAACATAAAAGGTGTCATAACGTGCTCCTGTCCACAAATCCTGGCGGTTGCCATCTGGAAGTTCCGGCGAGACCTAGAGCAAAAAATCTATACAAAAGATCTCCGGCCTGCGTTCTAGAAGTTTTGATAAAATCATCGGTCCTGGGGGATGCAGCCTATTGATCACCTCAGTCGCGCTGGCTTCGTGTATGGATCTCAAGCTGTTCGAGCATAGGTAATCTTAACGCAGGCACAAAAAGCCACGTCAACCATATCTTCTCTTCATCAACGACAAAGAGATTCGGAAGGCAAGAAATGTCGGCTTCTGACGCGCGCTCGAGGATTTCAGTGCGGAGCTGCCGACAGCGAAAAGATCTCATCTCGCTACTCGCGTGGCAACAATATTAGTGACAGCATACTGGTAGAAGTGGTACGCTATATTGGTTGCATGAAGGAGTGAGCGATGCAGTGCCACTAAGACCATGAAAGCTTCACGTGATGCCCACAGCAATCACATGTGATGTGTGGTGACACTAACCCTGAAACGGACCTTCATGGTAAGCGTGAGGTACATACCACTTGTCATCGTGAAGAATGTCTAACAACAGTGAAAAGGGTCCACATTGCATTTCTTTGCATTACGATTGCTATGAAAACTCACGAATACGCCTCGGTCCTCGCCCTAAATACGCTTCCTTCCAAGAACCCTTGCACCTACGACTCCGTCACCGCCCGCTCAAACCCAGTTCTCCTCCTTCCCACCCCTCTCGCACCATCCCTGTAACCGTTCCTCGCCCTTTCCATTAGCCCCGTAACATCTTCCTGCATCCTCCTCATTAGGCTGTCCAACGCGACGCATTGTTGTTCCATGCTTTGCTTCATGTCCTCCATGCTCCGCTTGACCTGCCCCATCAGCTCGTCTACCCCTTTGAGCCGATAGTCTAGCTCCGTTATCTTCCTTCTGATCTCATCGTTTTCATTACAGTGGGAATGAGTGTTGTGTACGGGGAGTGGAGCCTGGATTAAGATGTGGGAGTGTTGGTTATGTGGATATTGACCGGTCTGTAGGGGATGTTATCGTGAGGGAAGTGGGGGTAGCATGACATGACGATGAGGTGCCACAACGGTGAGTGATGTACAAAGTGTCATGAACCTCTGTATGATGAGGTTTTCTTATTATGAAAAGCGTGGCAGTGGTCGCACGAGCTTGGTAGGACATGCGTGTTCCACGTCTTTGGCGCTACAATCGTTCACACGCGCACTCACAAACAAGCACGGATGGCAAGCATCGAAAGGAGAGCTCCTTTAAACGTTCAGGTGAAAATGATTCCACCATCGATGACGATAGTCTGTCCCGTCATGTAGTCTGAGTCCCTCGAACACAGAAAACTCACAGTGCTGCTCACGTCCTCGGGTACACTGGTCCGACCCAGGGCTATCAATTCACCACTATACTTCTTGATTGTGTCCCCCTTCTTCGCCCCGTTCTTCTTGCCCAATTCCTCATCAATGAGATCCCACATAGCCGTCCCCACAATACCAGGTGCATATGCATTGACGGTGATCTTGTGTTCTGCCATCTCCATGGCGAAAGCCTGCGTCATACCACGTACAGCCCATTTAGAGGCGCTGTAGTGAGAAAGCAGGGCAAAAGGTTTGAAAGCCACGATAGACGCGGCGCCGAGGAGTTTGCCTCCACCGCCCTGCCTGATCATCTGTTTGGCGGCCGTTGTGTAGCAATTAAACACACCGAAAACTAGCAGCCATTAGCTCTCCCCAACCTCGATCAGAAAAGGGTAGCCTACCATTGATCTCAAACATCCGCTTCAGATCCTGTTCCGTCAGATCGAGCAGCGCCTTGACCTGGGCAATTCCGGCATTGGCGACCATCGTGTCCAGCGGACCTAATTCATTGACGCTGGTCTCGACCAACTTTTCCACTTCAGAAAGGTTAGAGACGTCGGCTGCGACTGCGATTGCGCTTCGTCCCATGCTCTGGATTTCTTTGACTACGGCGTCGGCTTCAGATTGGTTTGCGGGGATGTCGTTCACGCAGATGTCATAGCCATCTCGTGCAAGCCGGAAAGCGATCGCTTTGCCGCTGTGGAGGTTAGAAGAGCTCAGGTCTGCGGGAAGTTGAAAGCCTCACATTCCGCGTGCTGAGCCGGTGACAATTGCTGTACGGTTGTTGTTGGGTCGTTGTTCCGTTGCTGGTACGGCATATCTTCGAATTGGACTAGACGTCGGTGCTGCGACTCGTGTAACCGCAAGCTTTGGCAAAGCTTGCCATAATGTTCTAGCTGGTATACGGAAGGTCATAATGTAGTGAAATAGTCAAAGCACCAGAGACGAGGTCGAGCACGAGTGGATAACGATGGCTTGGTAGTTTTGTAGCCGTGGATCTACATATTTCTCCGCAATGCACCATCTGCTACTACTAGTAAGGTCGTCGGCTATACGGAGCAAACACTAACCCCTCTTCAACGAAGATGGCGTATAAGTGGTGCAAAACTGAGAGCTAGAGGTCCTCTGGAATTAACATGTATGGTTGCAATTGGAAGCCTTACATACGTCATTGTCGGATTGCGATATTCGGTAGGATTCATTTCAAGATGTTCGGATAGCTCAACGGAAACCAACTCGACCTCTTTCATCTCGTAGGCCTTGGGGTCGAGCAGCGAGGTTGCGGCGATGGCGGGGAAGGCGCACGGGCTAGCTCCTTCTGCGTTGGCGTATTTCGCGAGTACTCCTCCCGAGGCGCGTCAACATTGAAACCCAACCGCAACTCTAGCGAACAATCAAAGTACTCAGTACTCCAACATGTCTCGCCAAAGCATGGCGCCGCAGCGCAATCTGTCTCTTACCGAAGAATTGGAGCGACTAGAACAGTCAATAACCCTGACGCTACAAGGTAAACAAACACTTCTTCTACCCCACATGCGTAACTGACAGCGAAAGAAATCGACCACAACTTCAGCCGCGCGCACCGCATCGTGACGACTAGCATTCTTCCGATTGTTGAACAATATGGCAAGCATTCTGAAGCCGTCTGGGAAGGATCGAAGGTAGACAGACCTATGCAACGAGAAAGATCCAACGGTCACTGACCCGTCCAGTTTTGGAAGACATTCTTTGAAGCCAGCGCAAACGTCTCCCTCTCCGGCTATGAAGCGGAGGATCCCGACGAAACAACTGCGCACGAAGATACGACACAGCAGTCACAGACGTATGAGGACGAGACGGTCGACGGGGACGATACTGTGACCGGCGCAGCAACCACCCCACAGCGACGGCCTTCTTCACAGTCGGATATGGAAGACACTTCAGAGCTGGAATCGCCCTCTCTCGCACATGCGCACAGTACACCACGAGCGCCGCACACAAGCGGACAACAACCTCAATTCGCTGAGTTCTCCTCTCCATACGAAAATCTTAGGCGTGAGGTGCTGGGATCTCGAACACCTAAGCTTGAACCCACAACGCCTGGCAAGACGGACGCATTGCCGGATATGGCCGGACAATTTGATTCTTCGCCATTTATACCTCCGACTTCGGGAAAGAAAGCACCCGCAGACCAGGGCCCACTCCTGCACCATGTGCTTGACAAGACATACCGCATTCAAGCGACTCCGCTCATCAGTCCGAGAAAGTACAAGCCGACAGGTGCTTTCACACCCATGACTGCTCGGCGGGGTGCACCAACGCCTCGCGAGAAGACAAGTGCACTGCCGGACTGGGCCGACGATTCATCTCCGCCCTCATCGCCAGCACCACAATTGCGTGCCGACATCTTTTCACCGATGAAGACCCCACGGACGCCAGGTGTGAGCGTGCAGACACCTGGCAAAGGGAAGCAGGCCTTCAGCGTCACGAAAACGGGAGGCAACATATTTGATAGTGACAGTGACGACGATGATTTGGACTTTTCTCCACCGAAGACAGTGCAGTTCCATGTCCCGCAAAGCAAGTTGTATCAGACGCCTGGTAAGTACCATACGCACATCTTGACTTCAGGCATCTGTTAACATTTCCATAGCTCGCGAAGCTAGCAGGCGTATCGTAGAGGATCTACTCTTGACAGCTGGAGGCGATATCACAGATTCGACGGGCGGGATGGACGAGGATAGCCCTAGTGTAGTCCGGCGGCGGGCTGATCTTGATGATTCGTTTTAAACATTTATTATACCCGTTCACAACGAACCTTATCGAAACAGATCTAATCACCAACATGGGCGCCCGCGAAATTCGGTGTTATGTGCATTATGTACATGTGAATCTAGACAACGTTCATGCACGTGTCCATGATCGGATCATGTTGCGCCACGCCCGAAGGAGCGCTAGCGGTCGATCACTGGACAGCTTCCATGCTCCGTCATCTGCAGCTCATGCTAGGCTCCCCTTTCACTGCCCCAGCTTTACGCTTTCCCTCGTTCCTTTTTTGCATTTCATCGCGATGCCTCGTGGGAGCCGAAGGCCCCCTAATTCCGGCTATGCTCGAATAGCGCAAGCTGAAGAAGAAGAGGACTCGCATGATGATTCTGAGGACGAGTCGCATGAGCGGACGCTCGCCAGCTCCTACGCTCCCATACAGCCAAGAAAAGAACGCATGCGCATGCCACGATCGGGCGACTCGTCACCAAACCTGCGAAGGACTACGTCCGGACGCCGCCAACGAACCAATTCGGGAGTGGACATCAAAGCTATAAACGCGCGACTGGAACGCTGGGCGGAGGAGATTGCCCAAAAGTTCAAGATCAAGAAGCAAAAGGACACGCCAGATGATGAGGCTCTCGAAATCCACCATTCCGTGTTCCAAGCACCCGACTGGGTGCGCCCGGCTACGGCAGAGACGCTTACGTTTGGTTACGAGGACTCTTCGGATCGGATGACGAAGCTGCAATTCGATGACATTGTGGAGAGCGTGAGGGTAGCTATTGAGCAGGGCATGCACCCGAAATTGATCACGCAAGGTAGCTCGGGCAGCTACTTCGCGCGCAATTCGCAGGGTAAGGTGGTGGGCGTTTTCAAACCCAAGGACGAGGAGCCGTACGCGTCGCGGAACCCGAAATGGACCAAATGGATACATCGGAATCTTTTCCCGTTCTTCTTCGGTCGAGCCTGTTTGATCCCGAACTTGAGCTACGTCTCCGAAGCGGCCGCATATGTCCTAGACAGTCAGCTGCGCACGAGCCTCGTACCGTACACCGAAGTCGTCTCCCTCTCCTCGAAATCCTTCCACTATGATTTCTGGGATCGGAGAGCATACTACAGGAAGAAGAAGCCATTCCCGGAGAAGGCGGGCAGTTTTCAGGTGTTCCTGAAGGGCTTCAAGGATGCGAATATCTTCTTGAAAGAGCATCCATGGCCGGACCAGAATAACGCAAGTCTCCACAACTCGCGGAGAAATAAGAAGCGAAGGTGGGCCGAAGAGTGCAGACCCAGCGGGCCCCAGTCGGAAGACGAGGACGAGGAAGAGGCCCGATCAAACACGCCGGAATTACAGCAAAGGAGAGGGTTCTGGTCAGAGGGACTGCAGCAGTCTTTCCGGGAGCAACTCGAGAAGCTGGTCATTTTGGATTACATCATGCGTAACACTGATAGAGGGTTGGACAACTGGATGATTCGAATCGACCAGAAAACCCAAGAGGCAAGCATTGTCGCGGAACCACCCAGAACAAATGACCCTCTAGACGATGAAGAGGAGGCTGTACCCAGTAACTACACGAAGCAGTCCATGTCTGAAGCGGATCCCTACGGTCGCCGGGAGCCTATGAAAGCGACAAGCAGATCTACCACGCCCATGCCCAGCGGTCCAACGCCAGCGATAACGATTGGTGCGATTGACAACAGTTTGTCGTGGCCGTGGAAACATCCCGATGCGGTAAGAAGTTCGCGTTTCGAGGTACAAGCATTCAGCTGATTTCGTTTACAGTGGCGAAGTTATCCGTTCGGCTGGCTATTCTTGCCAGTTTCACTCATTGGGAAGCCATTTTCCGAAGCAACAAGGCGCCATTTCCTCCCTCTTCTGACCTCCAAGCAGTGGTGGACTGAGACGCAAGCAGCTCTGCGACAATGTTTCACGCAGGACAAGGACTTCAAAGAGCGAATGTACGCAAAACAGATCGCGGTCATGAAAGGCCAGGCCTGGAACGTAGTAGAAACGTTGAAAGAGCCCGATCACGGCCCTCTGGAGCTAACCCGAAGAGCGCGTGTCTGCGTATGGGACGATTTGGTGGAGATTCCCATTGCTGTCCCGCTCCGTGAGCCCTCAGCAGAAATGCGCCGCAAAACCCAACCTAACCGGCAAAGGGTCGCTGAGCAGGAAGAAATGGACATTACGGCACTGTCTACACCACCACAAAAGCCGCAACCGGATCTGCTTATGAATTCACCGCCCCAGGAGCTGGTGAACGAGAACCGGTTCAACCTTTCTCGCGAATCCAGTTCTATGGATGTGCGACGACAGCAGCAAACTGAGAACTCTGACCTGCCTGATACTCCAGCTACGGTGCAGGGCGTGACGTGGAATTCTCGCCTTGCTACGGGGTCACCGGTGAATGGAAGACCTTCACACAGATCGCGCATGAGTTACGACGTACCCCGACGCCGCGATCAAGACATGCGCCGACATCACCGCAGATTATCGCTTTCCTCTCGGCGCGGACACAGCAACCTTTTTGTCGGCGACGATGATGATGATGAAGGAGACCTTGGATACGCCGCAAACGAGGATATGGACGGAAACCGCAAACGCGTAATTGTCGAGCGGCTGGAGATGGTCAAGGCTAAGAACCCGGTGTTCACTTGGTGTTGATGTACGATGGACAAAGATCGCACGATTTTTAATGTGAGAGGCACCTGTTTTTCGCAGATAGAGATACAGAAGACTTGCATTTGGCGGCGTTATTGTCTGCATGGGCGGCGATCGGTTGCATATTGTGGCGTTTGCCTTCGGGTCGCTTGGCCATGTGTAGTCATATACGAGTAGATGCTGGACCCCCACGGTCCCACTGTCCGTACCTCGCATGCGGTTCCACTACATGCTGCGAGTGTCTCGATAGCTGTGTCGCATTGGGCCCATGGCTCCTCCGAGGACAAGCCGTTGCACCATATCCAGGTGCGTCAGTTGACCTGATCATCTCTCGTTCCTTTTTCCCTCATATCGCTATCGCATAACGAATTGCCGAAAGCGAAGTTCTCGGTGTCATCTGACCATGTAGACGTCGCACGGACCGTTACTAGCCACGGTGGCGCTGGGAAAATCGCTGACCTCGACATCTGCGTCAAAGGCGGAGGCAGCAATCTTCGCATCGGCACCAGCCTGGTCGCATTGCGACTTGATCTTCTCCTCGAGGGAACGTGTACGACCTGGCATGTTGATGGTTATCGCTCGAGGCCTGTCGCGTCGCTATCTTCGGCGCCCGCCTCTTCTCGCACGCCCACCTGACTTGTACTTCTGATAGAACGGTCGGGAACGGCACAGCACCTCCCGCCGCCGTTTGGGGCGCAACCTTTGCTGGTGAAAGAACTCGACGCTCGAACTGTCTCTGGAAGTTTCAAAAGAGCTGGAAATACTCCCAATAGCTGAAGTCTCAGTCAAGACAAGCATCAGTGCTTGAAGGCTTGGCGGCTACATGCGCCATTGACCAACCTCAACCGCCACCGTTGCTCGCAGAGCCCCGTTCTCTTACTTTCCGCCCGACACGGAATTCTCACCTCGACCTGTTGTAACTGTAATTCTGTGTATGACATATAATCATGAATCCCGCCGCCCTACTCGATCCCAAGGGCGCGCGCCGTCGAGGTAACAATCCGCACCTTTCTTATCCCTCTTTCAGATCTTTCAACCCCACGACCACACCAGACATGTCGGAGGCTCAGGCGGTTTGGCCGCCGGAGACCATGGCGTCATTCACGCGGGACCACCACGTCTACCCACGTGGCTCGGATTACAACGAACAACAACACTATCCATATCCGTACGTCTTCCAACAGCCGCTAATTGCAAACAACGAAGCAGCCGTTCCACAGCCCAATCCCACTCCGCAATATCAACCGCAACAGTTTGACCCTCGTGCACTCCTCAATCCTAAGTCGGTATCAAAACGCTCGGCAGCGGAACAGGACGCAGAACGTGGCCGAGAAATTGAGAACGGCCAACAGCTCCCGGGTCAAGTATCGCTGGTTGAGCGTTTGCACAACGTGCATGAGCGCACCGCTTCACCGGCGAAGAAAGTCAAAACTGAAGACGATCACAAGAAAAAGAACCGCTCGCCAGCGAGTTTCGGCGCAGGGGCGCTAGATTTGAAGAAACAGAGCAACGGAAAACCTCAAGTTCCACAGCCTAACCTCGCCATCGACCTCACAATGAGTAAGTTTGTCTGCTACATAAGGGTTTTGGCAATGCTGACTAGCTTGCTAGGCGACGATGAAGATGTTGACGTTCAGATTGTCCAGGACAACTCAAACGAAGTGATATGCATTGGCCGCATCCGATCTATCTACATTCAGGCACATCGAGTGCCGTTCCCGGACCCCAAGAAGCACCAAGGCAACTATGGACAGCAGAGCCGCATCAGAATCTCCTTTCGACGCGGTGGCGGCGACCGGAGCAATGCCGTGATCATGGCTGTAGACGCCTCTGGTAGGGAATTTGGTCGGATCGACCTCAAGACTGCACCAAGTCTCGCTCCGCTCATGGACAACGCAAAGTCCACAGGCATGAAGTGGTCAGCTTGGACGGAACCGCGCCGCAAGACGCCCAACGAGGGACCGCCGGGCTCACCCATTAGCGCACTTCTGAACATGACGTTTCAGTTGTATTGCCCACGCAAATACGCACGAGATCTTGGAAACCACCTCTATAAGTGCAAGGTATTACTCGATGATCCGCTGTATGAGATTGAGCGCTGCGACTACTTCAATCCTCAAACCCACAAGCAGTGGAGCAAGGGTGACACTGCGCAACCCACATTCGAAGCGCCACGACCTAACTACCCTGCCTATGTCTTACGATCGGTTGACGAGATTCGCACTGATGTGCAGAACATGTTCGACACTATTGGCGAAGTCGAAGAACTGCCGGTCAGAGAGCCTTCTGCGACTGTTCAAACACCACTTTATAAGCACCAAAAGCAAGCACTACATTTCCTCTGGGACAAGGAGCAGCTGTGGGATGCCGAGGATGCCGATAAGCGGAAAGACTCACTGTGGCAGCCGAAGTTTCGAGATAACGGGCGCAAGTACTACACCCATGTCATCACTGGGTCAGAACAGCCTTCCCGACCTCCGGAATGCCGTGGTGGCATCCTAGCCGACGAGATGGGACTTGGAAAGACGCTCAGTATACTGTCCCTGGTTGCCGACGATGACTCTAGGCAAGCTGCTGCCATATTCCAACAGAAGAAGCCTTCAGTTAATCCGCATTCAATGGTTCACCCGACCATCAACTCACGCGGAACATTACTTGTATGCCCTCTCAGTACCATGTACAACTGGAAGGATCAGCTGGAGCGACATTTCCCTCCCGGACGAGGCCTCAAGTGGATCAATTATCATGGCAAGTCTCGCGCATCCTACTCACCGCAAGAACTCGCCGACCATGATCTCGTCATCACCACCTACAACATGATCTCGGCCGATTATGCTGAGAAGTCTGTACCTCTTCCAAGGGTCAACTGGTTCCGCATCGTATTGGACGAAGCGCATGCCATCCGGAATACTAGCACCAAGCAATCAATTGCCGCTTGCACTTTGCCGGGTCAGCGAAGGTGGGCTGTGACCGGTACGCCTGTACAGAACCGACTTGATGTGAGCATACAGCTTTTCTAGTTGGCAATATCTTACTAACGTTCATTAGGACCTCGGGGCTTTGTTCCGTTTCATCCACTTGCAACCCTTCGACAACACGACGGGCTTCAATCAGCATATTCTGTCCCCGTTCAAGAATGCAGACCCTGACGTCGTTCCGCGACTGCAACTTCTTGTCAGCTCTGTGACCCTCCGAAGGGTCAAGGAGAAGGTGCTTGAGATCGAACTGCCTTCTCGCACAGATCAAGTCGTTAGACTCAAATTCGCCAGAGACGAACAGAAGCTGCATGACTGGTTCGAGGCGGACTCGTCTCGGAAGGTCCAGGCCGTCACATCCGGAGACAAGATGGGTGGCAAGTCTTACGCTCGTATTCTTACAGCAATCACCAACCTCCGACTCATATGCGCGCACGGTCGCGACCTTTTGAACGAGGAGGCGTTGAAACTAACTGACGGCATGACCTACGATAACCCGATGGAAATTGCCGACGACGACTGCACTGATGCAGCTACAATCAATCGGCACCAGGCGTACGACATGCTTGAGTTGTTCCGGCAGATAGACAGCGACGATTGTGCGTATCCTGATTGCCGGACCAAGCTCGCTTCTCAAGACGCCGATGAGGATGAGGAGGACGATGCGAAGGCTGACGTCTCTGGTGCCATGACATCTTGCTACCACATCGTGTGCGCGAAGCACACCCGAGCCTTCCGACAGGAACTTCAAACTACTATGCAGGACGGCCTATGCACTTGTCCTTTCTGCGATACCCGAATCACACCTATCTTATTCGAGCTGAGGAAGTCGGATTATGCAGCGTACATGCAGGAGCAGGAGCGGTTGAAGCGGGATCCCAAGCTGGCGAAGAAGATTGGCGCCTATAACGGACCTTCTACCAAGACGAAGGCGCTGCTGGAGGACCTTGCTGAGCATCGGGCGTGGAGCGAGGCCAATCCGTCTGAGGCTCCCATCAAGAGGTAATGTCGCGCCGTTCAGCTTTTGTTCTGAGCAGGCTAACATAATCTTAGCGTTGTCTTCTCAACATGGACTACGCACCTCGACCTCATCGAGATAGCCCTCACTACTAATGGCCACACATACGTCCGCCTCGACGGCCGCATGCCCCGCGAAGCACGCAACCGCTCCCTTGAAGCCTTCGACAAGGACGACTCGGTTACCATCATTCTCGTCTCCATCGGCGCCGGAGGCCTCGGTCTCAACCTCACTAAAGCGAATAAAGCGTTTGTCATGGAGCCGCAGTTTAACCCTGCTGCTGAGGCGCAAGCTGTCGACCGTGTGCACCGCTTGGGTCAGACGCGGCCGGTCACGATCAAGCGATTTATTATGGAGAACAGCTTTGAAGAGAAGATGCTGGATTTGCAGCGCAAGAAGAAGGCGTTGGCGGATTTGACCATGGCGAGGGAGAAGAGTACCAAGGAGCAGGCGGCGAAGCAGAGGCTGGAGGATTTGAGATCGCTATTTAGGTGAAGTAGTCCTGCATATCCGCCACCATGGGGAGTACTTGCACATATTGACTTTCAGGCGCACTCGGGCTGGAGTTTGGAATCTGCATCGATGGTGGAGTGGAGAATAGCAGCATGTTCAATCTCATGGCGGATCTTGCAAGGCCGGTCGCGAACGTACTGTATGGTACACCACGGCGCCCAAGGCACATACGTATTATTCGGGAGCATGGCGTGAAGGAACCTTCACATTGGGTATTTCAGGCACCTCGGGCACTGCCGCAGTGCAGCGTGTTTATAGATCATCCTTTCTCCGGCACTACCAACAACGATGTCGATATTGTCAAAGCATTCATCATGTGCCACAGCTTCCCCATATAAGTGTGTTTCAGAATACTCAGGAGTATTGCATCTCGCTCGACTCTGCATTTCGCATTCAAGTGCAAATCGATGTTCAAAGTGGATGTAGCGCTGTTCGCATCTCCCGGAGATGGCGGAGATGGGTATGACTCTCGCTACGCCAGACCCTCTCTTGCCCTGTAGCAAACTTTTGAGTGCCGTGACCGAACCATGGGCCCGTAGCTGCTGTTCTCTGGAGTAGAGGAAGCTTGACATGACTTCGCGTCGGTCGGTGTCACCGAACCGCTCATATCGCTTCATCGATTCTTTGAAACCCTACTACAGCTGAACGCCAACGAGTCACTCTTCGCGCAGTGTTATCGCTCCTTACTCGTAGACATCAACGGGTCCCAAGACCTAATGAGGCCCACTCCTGATGGATCTCGACCCGCAAAGCAAATAGTCCAACCACTCAAGCAAACGGGGGCCCGCATTATCAGCAATATCCGCCCCTGCGTAGTCACCCAGCTGCTTGCCTGCGAATATCCTACTCCAAGTTGCAACACAATGCATTGCACTCACGCCTTCCCACATGCTCAGAGCAGTGATGGATGTGTTTCCACATCAGGACGGCCATGGAGGGTGTTGCTGCAGTGGGGCCAGAGGACGGTTGTTCGGACGGGCGGAACCGGGTATCCTTGCCCATCAGCTCACCGAGGTCGGGTCGTCGCGCGACCGTGTCGACAAATACATCCTCTCAGATTAACGCGTCGCTAAAAGCCTAAAAGCCATTGCCCAAGCAACGACGATACAGTTACGATGCTTGCATCACACCACCTCGCTGTCTCTCTCAGTGAGCTTTGTCGATGCCGGGTTCCGATTCGGTTTTACGGTTCATAGAGGGAAAGCGCGAACGTAGAAGCATCACAGAAGGAAGCGAAAAAGGATCGTCAACAAGAGATAGGACGCGGAATCTTTGGGAACATGAAAGAGCAAAGCAATTTCTTTTTCGCGACGCAAGAGCCTTCGTGTGCGCCCTCGATCTAAGCATACCCCAGACCCATCAATTCCCAGGACTCCGGTTCTACCAGGGCTGTCCTGCATCCGTCGAACCACCCTCACGAACCGGGCCCCCGCCAGCAAAAGATCAGCGTCTATGTTGTGTAGATAAAGTCCGGGCGCACGTCGCCCAGATCCCTGATCTCCTGCTCGCTCTTTCCCTCGACCAGGTAGTCGCGCCTTCCCGTTTTGCGCATGTGGTTCTCGCGCCTCAACAAGACATGCGTGATGACGCTTCCGCCGAATAAACACACGAACATGTAGCCGAGAACGGTGCCGTGGCCGGTCCAGTATCGCGGCTTCTGCGGCGACATGTAGATGTTCGAGGAGACGACACCATTCATATTACCCCAGCCAACGACTATGCCGACCATGACGCCGCGCTTGAGCGAACCCTCGACGTTGTTGGACGCCCAGGTCAGCGTGTTGGGGACAGTGGGATAGATGCCAGCAGCACCGAGGAAAGTTCCGGCGTACTGCACGTGCGGGTTCTTGCTAGCGAGCAGCATGGCGAAACCGACACAGCCCATCAAAGCGACGGCCATGTTGGCGTAGCCACGATACTTGGTGCGGTCCGCAAACCATCCAACGAAGACGGTCATGGCTGCAGCAACGGCATACGGTGGCACGGACATGAGCTGAAGGTGCGTTCCCTTGTAGCCCATGCCGTCTTGGAGAATGGTCGGCAAAAAGAGCGAGAACGAGTACAGCGGGCATAGGCAACCCATATACTGCAGGGCGAACACCCACGTCTTCCAATCCTTGATAGCCTGAAACACATACTTGCGGCTGATCTTCTCTTCCTCGGCACGCGTCTGGTTGTCAGCTGTGAGACGACGCTGGGCACGCAGCCTTTCCTCGGGAGTGAGGAAACCTGCAGTGTCGGGGAAGTTGAAAACCATCTTCCAACAGAAGAGACCGACAAAAACAGTCATGAGACCCTCGAGGATGACTGCCAAGCGTTAGACGGTTCGGAGACCCATGTTGACCATTACTCACAAATCCAGCGCCATCCCTCATATCCACCAACACCTTCCATCTGGATGATGGCGGCGGCGAGGAGACCACCAAAAGATCCGGCCAAGGCAGCGGCAGAGAAGAAGAGGGCAGCACGGAAACCAAGCTCTTGGCGCTTGTACCAGCAACTTCGCGGCGTCAGCATTGCTTCTTTGTGTTCGGCTCAGGTGCACTCACGAGAGATAATAGTTGACACCCGGGAACAGACCCGCCTCGGTGAGACCGAGGAACCAGCGACACGCAAGGAGTCCAGCCTGGTTCTCGACGCAACCCATGACGGTCATGATGGCACCCCAGGCGATGATGATGGAAGTAAAGAAGACACGAGGCGAGTATCGCTTGAGGAGAATGTTGGTGACGGGTTCAGCGCCCGCGTATGAAATAAAGAAGATGGTCAAGGCATTGTTGTAGTCACGGCCCACCATGCCGATGCCCTGCTCTAGTTTGGCCGTCTTTGCATTTCCGATATTGGTTCGGTCTAGGAACGACAACAGATACAAGAGCGAGAGCCATGGGACGAGCCACAGATCGATCTTTCGCACCAGGGCCTTGTCCTAGGAGACTGTTAGAATGAAAGCAGACGAAAAGATGGAGAGACGGAGCGGTCGTACAAGGCGGGCGCGCTCCTCAGCGCTCTTGCCAGCATCTGGGTCGGGCAGGTCATCATGGAACTCAGGTGGAGAGCTCGCACCACTCTCGAGCTCATTGGAGAGGATCTGTTGCTTCTCAGTGACGGGATCGGGTACGGCTGCCATCCTGATGGTGTTGTCGTTGAAGTACGAGTGACAGCTGTCGAGACTGACCAAGGGAGGCAGGCCGGGGTATTATACTGCCCACGCAGCCCTTCTGGGACTGCAGCAACCACAGTGGAAAACGAACCAGGATTGCTTAGCGGCAGGACCCCATGGGGACGGTTCAATGGGACGAGCTTTTTGTCGCAAGTCGCTGCTTGGCTCGCCGCGGCCTTGGTGGCTGTTATAGCGAACCGGAACGGGGAGCAAGCTGCCAGGCAGCTTCACCCTTGGGACACCAACAGAAGACAAGGGAAGCCGCCGTGCAACGTTGCGCCTGCCCCATTGCAAGCTGTCGCGCTGCCAGATCCTGTACGCGGTCCACGTCAAGCCAAAACGAACACGGTGGAAGTTGAACTCTGTACAGACTTTTGTGTATCTTCACTCCATTCCACACTTTCTGGACTTCACTCAGGCAGTCCACGGTCACTCTGGCTGCGATACGCTCGAGTACCGGGCCAAGCGCTTCATTCAGGCAGGTCAGATGTTCCAGAACAGACGGGCTGGCGTCGGGTTCGCTGCTGGGCGTTATCTCGTCGACGCTCAGGAACGCCACCCAAGACCTTGGCAACAGCGCCCTCCAGCCATGTAAGGATCACGCAGCAGCAGTGTCGGGGCGTGTTGCGTCCACGCGAGCGACGAAGCTTTGCCCAGCAGTCGCACGCAAAAAGATGCACGCAGCGGGCTTTCGGCGCGGTCACAGCATTTCACGATGTTTTTGTGGTGTTGAGCCTCATCAGACGATACTGGCGGGCGGTTTCCCCGCAGACACGGTCGCGGGGCGGGCAATCCATCCATCTTGGCTGCCCATTGGCGCACTAACGCCCCGCCCTCCGCTCCTCTCGTTCACTCGCCCTCCCCGCGCCGCCAGTACGCAAAATCACACCGTCGCTGGCTGCTTACAGTATAGACGCAGCCGATGAATGTCGGATAAATGGTAGGCGGCGCCGCTGCAATTCGCCCGCACAGATGCCGCGCGCTGACGCCACGGGGATTCGTGCGCTTGGCCGCATATCCCACCCCGGACTGGCCATTGTATGCGTGTGCCATCCTCGCCCGTCGCGCAACGCTGGACCTGGGTCGCGGCGTACCGGCCGCCAGGCCACACGTGGAACGCGGCTATCAAGCACGGCTCGGTGCCCGCTATTGCGAGCAATTGCAAGAGGATGTGGGAGCGGATGCGACACTGGGGAGGCTGTGTATGCCATGCCGAAGCCTCTCGACCGATGACTGCCCGGCCAGACTTGACTCATTTACTTTTGCAGTAGTCAGCGATACTTCCCAGCTCATTAACCAAGCGATTGTTTCGAGCCTGTAATATCGAATGCAGTGTAAGCGCGCTGCATAGGGTTCGTAGGGCAGAGCTGGCCATCTGACGGCCCATTCAGCCCTGAACCTAGACCACCTCGATAGGGTGCTTCAATGCATGTTACTGAAGTCCAAGCGCTTTCTTTTGAGATCTCTGATAGCAGCCACCAGGCACACTCATAGATTTGACAGATCTTCCGGTAAGCGATGCGGCGTAGTCTTCGCTCCGACCCTTGCCTCTCTATCTGCATGAGCAATTTGATGCCACTGCAGAACGTGTCCTACGATTCTATATCTCTTGCAGAATCTACCTGCAACGGCGCTGCGTTGACCGTTGCTGCGGTGGCCTCGCCTAGGTTTCATTGACGATTCTCGTGCGAAGTCATACAACATATATAGCCAAACACTTGTCGAGCATGTCTCACCTGCAGCGCATACATGCAGCCTCGCCGCCTCTTCTACGGGCTAGATAATGAATAATGGGCTGTAAGAACCGGACCTCTTTCTCCCTATCGAGCTCATAGAGTATATCCTCTTCGATCGGCATTTTTACTACCTGATGTGTGCGTATTGGATCACCGATTCGAATCCTATCGCTGCTTACCCTGGGCATATATCTCACTCACTTCTTGTCTCAAACTCCCAACGCACTGAGAATATCTGGATAACTTTAATAATCATACTGTGCACGTCTCGTATACACAGCTGACACTTCAATATCCCGGACCGTTCTCGAGCCAATACCTTCCACTAAGTTGTTGCTTTGATCCAATTAAATGGTTATGCTACTGACTATGGCTTCCCAAAGCATTGTCTTTGTCGCTCGCACTAGATTCAGTATTATTGAGGGTTCGAGAGTGACCGTGGCCTATGGTACATCATATGCGCAATTCTTTCATCGAACTGAAGACTACCGACACTTCGAAAATGCATCTTATGGTCATAGATATAATCAGATCGTTCATCTTCGTCATATTCACCGTTATCACAACAGTGTTAGGTCGTGCATTATTACAATGCCCCCACTTGCAACCAGCAAGGCTTCATCAAGGTTCCGACCCCTCTTGTCACTGCCGAACATGTTGCACTATCAACTCGATGCCGGCCCGTGTATAGGCAAACACCAAATTTCCAAGAGCATCACTATCGACATTGGTGATCAATTCATGATAATCATGGTACATACAAGATTTATGCGGCGCTGCACAGGGTCTGCGATTGCGATGACTTGCATTTGGATCACGACCACAGCAGCCATCAACAGTTTTGGTTCTGCTCAGACGTCGCTGCTAAATGTGTGCGACCACAATGTAAGCTCCATTCATCACGTTGCAGCCGTTGCGGCTACAAGCACCGAATACGACACCACGTCGTTGGTCCAACGTCACAGAAGAACAAAGATACATACGCTCGTCATACACAACCATGTAGCACCCGGACACACCCCAACACCAAAACGCTCAGCCCCACATGGCATCTATGCGCGTGGTCAAGTGCACGCTCGCACCGACCAACGTAGCGGCGAGTGTCACGATGCACGACGGGTACCTGCGGCGGGGATTTACGATAAAAGGGTCACTGTATATAACTCGGAGAAGGGATGCGTCGGCTACCGATGCGCATAGGTGTGGTCATCGTGTAAGACGATGTGTTCACACAGGATAGGGAACGGAACAGATTTCCAGAGCTGTGGGGAGCTCCAGTAGGTTACGAGTAATTTTCTGTAGTCATACATTATACATTGTTTTCATATCGCATACTATCACGACTTCTATCTCGTCAATCTACGAGCAAACGTCCAACTTCGCAACGCTCGGATCGTGGTCGCTGATCTGCGCTGCCTTGTCCACCCACGTGTTGATGTGGATGTGCTCGTACTGCGCGTGCTTCTTCAACGAGTTGGAGATGAACATGTGGTCGAGCTGCTGCGCCTGCATATCAAAGAGGTAGGTGTACCGCTCGACAGGCTTAATGTTCGCCACGGCATCGAGGTCGTTGAGACCGGAGGTCTGGACATAGCTCTTGAGCGGGGCAACGGAGATGAATTCGTTGAAGTCGCCTGCGGTGATGACGCGAGCGTTCTTGTCTTTGGCGAAGATGCTCTGTCAAACGTTAGCGGCGCTCGTTCATCAGAAGATATCAACTTGATTACCTTTACGAAGTTCGCAGTCAAATCAGCCTGCGCCTGGCGATCCTCCACGCCACCGTTGACCGGCGGCCTCGCATCACCCTGAATACTGCTACTCCCACCCTTGGACCCGAAATGCACATTCACAGTGAAGAACTTGCCCTCGCTCTTGCCCTTCTTACCCAGGGCCTCCCATTGCGCAACGAGCGGCTTGCGGCTCGCAGTCCACGCCTCGTTGGTGGGATCGATAAGACCAGGGTTGTACTTGAGGGTAGGGCCGGCAAGGACCTCGTTAGCATCGAGGGAGCCTCCTGGATTCGGCTTGTACAGCCGGATGAGCGAGGGCTTGTAGAAGTAGGCTGTGCGGATGTTGCCGCCTGGGGCACCACCGTCTTGGTCATCGACGGGGTCGACGTCAGTGAAAGCGTATTGTGGCCCACCACTGTTGGCGATGGCAGCGGCAAGCGTTGAGAGTGTGAGGTTTGCGGAAACGATGGCGTCGTTGGTGGGGCCGTTGTCGTCCTGTACCTCCTGCAAAAAGACGAGGTCGGGAGATTTGAGATAGTTGACGATGTGCGAAGCAATAGCGCCGAGGTGGCTGCTGTTGGGTGACAGGTTCTCGACGTTGTACGCGCCGAAAGTGATTCCATTGCACTTTCCGTCAGACTTCAGCTTGGTCGCGGAAGGGAGAGCGGGCTTCTGAGACTTCTTGACCTTGATGGCGGTGGTTGGAAGGATACGGTAAAATCCAAAAGCTTGAGTGACAATACCAGTGATCTCTTCCAAGTCGTCTCCGAGCTTGGTAGTGGATGGATTCGAAGTTCCGTCAAGGGGTGACCCAATGATAATGGTCTCAGGATTCGCATCCTTCTCGGTCTGAGTCAAGCCATCACGGCCGTTACGTCCAGTGACCTTCCAGTCGCCGATGACCCATGTATCTCCATAGTTATTGGGCTTGTTGACGGCTGTGGGCTTCCGCACTGTCACGAGCTCGCCGGACAAGCTCTCCCAGAAATCCATACCGTACTCCTTGGGCTCGAGCACAGGGTTTGCGACCGAGATTAGGGAAACGTTGTTCGGCACGCCAAAGACAAACCCGCCATCAAGACTGCTGAATTGCTGGGTCGGGGGATCCGACGTATCCTTGCCGATGACGAGTGCCTTCACGGTGTTTCCACTCGATAGCTTCTCCTCCAGTGTCGGGCTCGCCAGCTCAGTCAGGTAAACGTAAGCCTTGCTGGATCGGTATTCCGAAACCTTTCCTCCAATAGATATGGCATCTCCAACAGTCAGATTATTGGTAGAAGCAAACTTCGCACCGAAGACATAGATGGATTCCGAGGTCCTCGCATCGCGATCCGGCTTGGTCGAGCGAATCCAGATACCATCGGGGCCCTTCGCAGTCACAACACCAGTGACATTGGAAACCGTCTGTCCACTGTAAGGCGAGAGGAACTTGTTGCCGTTGATTTCAGCGATAGTCAGCGCAGAGGAAACAGCGACCGAAGCCGCGAGGCCAACAAGGCGAAGGAGAGAAGCCATCGTAGCGAGTCCGATATGCTCTGCCCTCCAATGCTAGGCGCAACCCTTGCTCTTATACTCCATAATGCCCAGACACGCAGGTCGTGTTTGCGGCCTGGCCGCCGTGTTCTCTGCCATTTTTGCCATAGTAGGAGAAATGATAGTGCGCGAGTATCGATTGCTGGACGGCGGAACTGCGCGATGTCTTCTTGGCAGGCTGTGGCGGTAATGCCCAGATGGGGGCTTGAACGCGTGCAGCAGGTGGTTGGTTGAGGGAGGGTGGCATGCACCGAGGCTATGGTTGGATTAGGAAGGCGGGACTGGCATTGGATGGCGTCGGAGATGAAGCGGCCATGGCCGTGGGGCTGACATGTCCTCGACACACGACACTTGTACTCAAGGGCGATTCATCCACGCCTCTTACGCGATTCGACTGCACGACAGTATACAAGCTTCGATGACTTCTACTGTGACTATTCCTGGTTGACAACGTGGGCACGAGCCATGCGGCCACTGGTAGAGCTGTACAACGACGAAGAAAGACGCGACAGCCAATCACGCGAATGATTTGCATGTTGGTGTCGTATGAAGAATCATCTGCCTTTCCCTAGACTGCTTGCGTGGCGTGATCGGAGAGATCAAGGAGAGTCTGTACTCGCAACTGGTACGACTAGTTACAAAAGAGCGCTGGCCTGGACAGCAGGAAGACGAACAATGACAAAAGCGCGACAACACTGCGCGGACCATTGACTCCCTCAACACCCCCATACCTATTCTGTCCTGAGAGGGTTCCCGATGGCTTAAGCAGACGTCTTATCCGCTTCACTAGGGACACTACAGCAGCATTAGTACTTCCAGTTCTCTTCTGGGTGACTCCAGTTGCAGTCATCAAGGTCTATGGTGATCACCGTTTCTGGAAAAGAACAAGGCATGTCCTAGCTTAGAGTAAGCCAAGCTTCAAGCAGGTACTCCTATGGAGACGAGACGGGAAATGCATGCAAGCAAGAATACAGCGAACGTTTGGATAGGGGTGTTGTATCTTACCTGTGTATTTGCGTCTTCCATGGAACCGATGACCAGCAACCTCCTGTTCAAAATCTCTCGATTCCCTGTATTCGTGACGGAGGTCCGCGTTCCCGTCAATTATCTCCGCTACGAGCATTTCGTCAAGCAGAGTTAGCGGCTCATCGTCCGTCAAATCTTGACCTTGTTCGACTAAAGCATACAGACACTTCGAAATGTGAGCGAAAAGCTGCTTGACGATAGGCTCGTGCTTCAGGCGTTGATTACGCATGACCGCGCGCCGAAGCAGCTGGTCTTTCGTGTAGAAGTTGAAGGTCCCGACGATTCCGAGGTCCATTTGTTGAACCTGCCATTCGCAAACCCGGTTCGCCCAAGCAATCCGCCTTTCGTTCTGAAAATACCGCAAGAGGAGTTCTGGGTGTTGCACAAGTTGAGAGACAAGTCCGGTCGGCATCGGCCGGGCAAAACGGACAGGTACTTGCTGTGCGCACATGTTTGCCAAGCGCCTGAAATGCTTCTCCCGCCAGCTGATCTCTTTTTCTAAGCGGTCCCTGTCCTTATCGAGTTGACGGGCTTCGTAAAAGGTGTATTCTTTATCGATCGCGGCCCATTCATCGGACATGCGGAAAGACGGAGGTGGAGAGAGGTCCTTCAGCGCTGGACTCGAAGGGTTCGATTTGCTGGTCGCCCCTTCAACCGTACATGGTACATCGTGGAGGACGCTTGTGGGCGCTGAGTCAGGTACTGGCTCGCAGTATAAGTCGTCGTCGGTATCGCTAGTAGACATTGTTGATGATACGGGCGATCGAAAAAAAGAATAGATGGAGTTCGGTCTTAAGTGGAACGTCAAAGAAGTTGAGGTTAGGTAAACCCGCGAGGAGAGGAAAGCACGCGCCAAAGTCCTCGAACCTTCCGTCTGAGTGAGACTCACCTTCACCGCTGCTCAACTGAGAATCTTTAGGTGCAGTGCTGGCGTTGGTCGCACCTGCAGTTACCCGCTCGGTGTTTGCAGCAGCCGAAAGTTTGTTAGCTGTATGAAGTTACGTCGTCAATCCGATGTGCAAAAGCAACGATTACCGGCTTGATATGCTTCCAAACTGCTCTGCAACGACATATGCTCGGACTGCTTTTCCGACGTGCTGCGGTAATAGGTCAGCCTGCCGCTGAGCTCGTAGGTGCGTTGAAAGGTTTTGCTGTCCTCTTGATGTTGTCTGCCATGGTAAACTTCCGGTGAGCCACAACTTGCTGCTCCGGCTCTCTGTATTTCAGACCCAAGAATTGTGCTTTGAGCGATCATCTACGAACGGGAGTTAAAAGGGTTTTGGTTGAGGAACGGACACGATAGACTCAAGTACGACTATCTATAACAGCTCAGCGTGCCGAGAAAGCTACAGAGTTCAATTCGTTCGCTCCGACCAATTTCGAACCCTCGGTCAAGATTTGGTGATATCTTCTCTAGAAATGTAGATGCAGACTTGAAATCGGCACCTGGGCAAATCGACATGCACGTGATTGAGCGGGCGGGCGTTTAGCCAGGTAGGGCCTCTCCTCCTTCTTCATCCAACACGGACATAGCCTCACCACCATCCTGTGCCATCCCCAAACATTGGTTCCATTTCGTGACCTGGAAAATGCTTTCGCACACCGTTTACGCCATCCAGTATCGATGGGTGAATTGCTGCCAATGATGCGGGGTCTGGGTACTGACAGGGAGCTTCCGGCAGAAATAGCCATCGCGTCGGGTCTGACACGAGGCCACACGAGATCTGATATTTACCCATCCGCAAACATGGCAGTGGGCTTCGGAATTGGTGCATCGGTCTTACAAATTATCGTGCATACGCATCGTATAAGGCGATAGAGAAGCGATGTTCACAAATGGGCCTTGGGCATCGTGTGAGCCATCTTTATATGCTTGACTGCCGTCAAGGTGTATCAGGTATGCTTCTCGATCTTGTCTGCTCGACATGTTTGTCTTGGGAGCTTTCTTTCTGCTCGCAAGCACCGTGCTTGGCGTCAACTTTGACTTTGAGAGCATTGAGCTCACGGAGTCAGAAACAACTCAATTTCCAGCCATCCGATTCGCCGATCCCGCACGACCTTCATCACAGGAAGAATGTCGATATACTCCTGACGATCATGAGTGGCCGAGCGTTGAAGAATGGAAGCTCTTTAATGAAACCCTCGGTGGTATCCTGCTCCAGCCTCGGCCTTTGGCAATGTCATGCTACGCAGGGCCTGAATACGATGCTACCAGATGCGCGAGTTTGCAGAATACTTGGAGAAATATGGCTCAGCAGTGAGTCACTAGACAGGCTAGAAGTCGACGGTTACTCAACTCAGACAGCGCAAATCATCCTATCAGCGTGATGTCGCAGTGGTCTTCAGGGATGACCTGTGTTCCAACGAACAATCCTAATTCGACTTGTACCCAAGGTGGATACCCGGTGTACACTGTAAATGCAACGACTGTACGTCATGTGCAGATGGCGGCCAACTTTGCGCGCAATAAGAACATACGGCTTGTTATCAAGTACGCGACTTCCACCGAGTTGTTCCAGTACCGTTTGGTGATCTGCTAATGCTTTCATAGAAACTCCGGGCACAACTTTAATGGCAACAATATTGGTGGCCATGCTCTGTCAATTTGGGTGCATAATTTACGAGGCCTGACCTACTACGCAAATTATACAACCTCTGGTTATACTGGTCGCGCAGTAGCACTGGCTGGCGGTACAAGAGCGACAGATGTGAGTCTTGCGTCGAGGACCTACAATACAACCATTTTGAACGCGGGCAGCGGCGACGTCGCAGTCGCAGGCGGATACTTCCAAGGTGCCGGTCATAGTTCATATGCAAGTTTCTACGGTCTCGCAGCAGATCATGTGCTGCAGATCAGGGCAGTCACCGCCGATGGGAGGTTTGTCGTGGCGGACGCAAAGACAAATGCAGCTTTGTTCTGGGCAATTAGGGGAGGGGGTGGAGGTACGTTATCCCCTCATCTCGTACGAGCCAGGCATTGACGGATGACAAGGTACCTTTGGCGTCGTGACCTCCATAATTGTTCGGTCGTTTCCTCTAACACCAATCACCAGCACGAGCATCTCCTTCTCAACGATATCCCGGCCTGGACTACCAGGCGTGTCAAATGATGCCTTTTGGACTGGCATACAAGAGTATCTAAACTTTTCAACATCACTATGCGATAATAAAGGATTCGGTTACAATTTCATCAGGCATGCTTCGAGCTCTGGCGCTACCGGACTCAGCTTTACCTCTTCGCTATCACTGCCGAATCGCACGATCGGCGAGCTGCGAAACTTTACGAGACCCCTCCTGCAAAGACTTAACGAAGCCGGTATTCCAATATCTGTGCCTACAATGCGAACTGCAGACGTGCCAAACATGCAAGACCAGAAGCCTGGCATTGCAGAACGCGCACTCGGCGACACTGTCGGCAACACTCTCATAGCCTCACGACTCTTCCAGCGGTCCAATTACGCCGACAACTCTTCCATTTCCGATCTACTCGCCACAATACGTTCAACAGTCGAGGAAGGCGGCTACGACATCCACGGCCAAGTCATGGGTCCTACGCTCTCGATCTCTGGCAACCCTAATAACGCCGTGCTTCCGGCATTTAGAACGGCGATCATGCACACGCAAGCCTACGAGCCTAATGCGTGGTGGGATGGCATGGCTGTTGTCGAAATTCCCGAGCAGCAGGCTGCGCGACATGGCAGGCTGCAGTCGTATATGCGGCGGTGGAGGGATATTACCCCGGAGGGTGGAGCGTATATGAATGAGGGAGACATGCAGGACCCGGAGTGGAAGGAAACGTTCTACGGGGAAAACTACGAGAAACTGCTTGAAGTGAAGAAAAAGTGGGATCCTGAGGGCTTGTTTTGGGTCATCTCCGGGATTGGCAGCGATGAGTGGGAGGTGAGAGGAAGTAGTGGAGGTGGGAGGGACGGTTTGTATACGCAAGATGGCAAGTTGTGCAGAACAGATAGCAGATGAGGTCATTTAATTACATTGTGGATAGGGTGTTCTCAAGGGCTAGTAGCAGCAGTCAGAGGTTTGAAGAAATTGCGGGGACAAGAGATGGTGCAGAGGCTCTTACCTTCTGGGAAGGAGCAACCATATGCACCCGACTGCCTTTACTGGATATCCATGTCCTCGTTTGCCTTCGTCGTCAAGGCCTGATGACACCTAAATGTGTTCTTTTGTTTCGCTACAACTACCTCCCCTGCTTTCCCCACGCCCTACAGATTCCTCCCTAACACAACACTCGAACATAGCAAATTCCTCGACAATTACACCACCACAACTACCAGTAAGTTCTCTTCTGCCTCCTATGTCATGCCCCCCACTCACCATAGCAGCTACGATATCAACAACAATGGCAACAAACGGCGCCCAGAAGGAAACCTTCGCCACCTCCAACGAGGCCGCCGATCTAGGCCAAGAGCGATATGACCAAGACACCGCCGCCATTGGCGACCGCGACGACGCGCTCTACGCCAACGGCCCCGTCCTCGTTCGCCAAGGTCGCGCCCCCGCTGGCATGGAGCAACAAATCTTCGCTTGGTCAGCCTTCCAATACGAGACCGAGGAGCGCAACAGCCGCGAGGAGCTCAAGGGCGACTTGCACGGTGGGCAATTGCATCGGCAGAATCGCGCCGCTCGTGGTGAGCAAACGGGTCCGCCACCCCCGAGGGAGCCGCGTAGAGGCAAGGATAGGCGTGGCGGACCAGGTGGTATGACGGGTAGCAATGCGCAGGCGAACCCAGGCCTGGAGCCCTTGATTTGTGGCAGGAGAGTGGATGACAAGACGCCGAAATTGGCGAAGGGAAGGCCTGAAGAGCTGGACGAGGACTTGTTCTGGGATAAACCGATCTGCTGAGGCGCTTGTGGCACGCTGCGTCACCAGCACAGGTAACTAACGTCAACTCAGACGAGGCCTTGAATTTGACTGCTTCTTTGAGACAGCAGCAGTCGGTGGTCGCGCATCATACGAGTGCACCTAAACACAGATCTATGCTAGTAATGTGGGAGGAAGCATTATAATGTGCATGAAAAAAGTAATTCGAATGTTGATAAGTTACATTACCACGAACAGTAGTCGAATGAACTCTCTCCATGTCCCCAACCATCATTGACTGCAGGCGGTTAAGAATTCGCTAGATATAGAACTAATCATTGTGTTGCAAGTCAGAAGACAATTGATTGATTTAACATCGAGATTCGGATCTGAGAAATTTGACACAAACATGTAAATTGTGAATGAAACATTTTAGAACATCATCTTGAGCAGAGAAAAAAACTCGGAAGCAGCTGATAAAATTGATCAAATGAGTTCAATGGTTGAAAAGGGCCGCTCGATCAGTGCGCGACCTTCTCGATGCCCTCTCTCTCTCTCACTTCATCACTGACCTGTGCACGCTCGCGGATCAGGCTGCCGCGCAAACGCGCCTTCCAAAACCGAGGCGCACGGAGACTAGTTCCTAGATATAAAGTCCACTTCCCCCGTTCACTCCTCTCCCTCACCTTTTCTCACTCTTTCGTCTGCCGCTTCAAGTGACAATCTTATCTGCCATCCAACATGGCAATGGAGACTCATCAACCGCAAACTGCTTACAGTAACGCTTAGCTGGGACGAAATTGCCCTTAAGGCTTATAAGTCATTACAGGATCATGGAGTTCAGAAGTGCTTATAGAGTTTTTCTTGACTAATACAACGGTCAGTTGTCGCCTTCTGAGCTTCATGGTTTCATGGCAGTGGCTGGCCTCAGTGCATACAGACTGGCGATGTACTGGATGAGAGTCGGCCGCGGTTGTGGTATGCGTACATGCTCATCAGAGCTGTACCCGCCTGGAGTACCTTCTGGCTTCCGTCTGTGGTGATTCGGAGCCGCCTTCTTTACAGTTGACCCGGCCATACAACATGGCACTGCTGTTCCTCCTGTGACTCAATCAGGGCTCAGATCAAGCACCAAGGACACTAAGCGGACGACATACTACGAGGACGACAGGACTATTACGACAACGACAACGGGACTACTACGACAACAGCGACGATCAGACCATGAGGACGACTACAGCAACCATCAACGACCCACGGCGAAAATCACGGCAATCAAGGCCACCAGGACGAGGTTCCGGACCCGGACTATACCATCTCTTTTTTCATTGAGCAATCGGCCTTGTAGCCGGTGCTTGAGGAAGAATGAATTACGTGGCGCCATTACCCTCGTCGTTTCCCCAAGCGACAAGCTCTTTTAAGTGCAAATTCACAGGCTGACAAAGTGCGAGAATAGATACGGTAACCCCGCGGTCAACCACTTTTATTCCTTCCAAGCAGGTGCTACCCCGGAGATACCGTGTACTCCACTGGATGGAAACCCTCATCTCCATCCCCTCCGTTCATCCCCCTTCTTCGCCAGCATGACTTTTTCTCCCTAGTCAAGTCAGCACATTTCTCCCCTCTTTTCATCAGCACGGACCATACCTATCATCTAACACGAACACTGCAGCAACAAGACTGCCGTCCCACCCCGATTGAAACACGTACCGCCCAGATCCGAGCACTGCGCTTTGCACGCCGCGGAGTCTTTACCGAAGAACTGGCCGCACGCTTGGGCATTAGTGAGGGTGAGGAGGGCAAGGGCGAAGATGAAGGATGTGAACTGCATTTTGAAGAGGTCAAAGGTAGGTTGCGGAGAGGCAAAGAAAGTCGGTAGGTATGCGTGATATGGAGAGGATATCTCGGTGGAGTGTGGTACTTATACCGCGGCCAGTCGAGAGTGTGATGGGCATGTCATTCTTATGTTCCTGAAAGGGTAGTTGATTGTAGAGGTCGTGTAATGGACGATGCGACCGCGGATGGCGTCAGCATCAAATGCGAGCCGACACTGGGTATAGTTCAAGGCATGAAAGGGATCTAGCGGCGCGAGCTGAGCTTCTTGCGACACCCTCGAGTTGGGGATGATCGCCCTTATAAAGCCAACAGGGATGATCTCGTCCCTAGCATACGAGGTGTTGGCTCAAGGTTGGTGATTCAATCACTCCTCACGCTTGATGTTGACGACGGGCGCGAGGGACTCTGGCTTGCGGTGGACGACCGTGAATCCGTCCCCGGTAACGTTTGTTTTGCCTTATCCTCGCTCTTTCAAGACTTCTTGAAGCTTCGATGCACCATACCACAGAAGCTCTCCCAAAGCACCTGATCGTTGCCTCTCAGCCAGTCGATGACCACTTCCCTGGTACTTGCCACTATAGTGATCCTGAAAGCCAACACGACCTTGATCTCCGTTAATCTATCATGCATATCTGTGTCTTCAGTCCCAGATGCAGCCAGCTCTCTTTTCTTCCGCTCATGTTCACGTCTGTATGCACGTGACCAGACGTTTCCCGCGGCTTCGCCGACACCCGTAGCCGTTTGAGGATCCCAAGTCCAACGAATATGAAGACGGCGCGCTTGCTGATCGATGGTTTGTTTTGCGGCCTTCGCATCGATGCTTGCGGGTAATGCGAAACGGTATTCGGTCGGAAAAGGGAGATATTCGTTCGCAATCTTCTCGATGCGAGCTACGCTCTATAGATTATTAGCACATCTGGAACGCAAGCATTCATAACGGCAGCGTGTAGTCTCACATTAGAAGGTCGGTAGTCCGTAAAACTCCACGCAACAATCCACCGCTTCGTCCCACCGCCGACATCAATACTTCCGACAGCCCAGTTGGTAATGCCTTTCTTTTTGAGGATTTGTACGACCGCTTTCGCACTTTTCAGCTTGCCAAACATACTGGTATACCATGTGACCTTGTCACGCAAAACAAGGCTTTCTTCAACGATCCGTGTCACGAAGCCGAGATCTCCACCCTGACACACCATCTCGTTGGCAGAACCGGTACAGACCGCGTTGGGTTTCACTGACTTCCCCTCCCCACTCAGACTCTGCTGCATATCCGCTTCATCTGAGAAGAAGGGCGGGTTGCAGATCGTGAAATCGAGCATGTACAGGCCAAGATACTGCAGCGGGATGAGCGGCTGGCTGTCTATAGTCTGTAGCAATTTTGCCCTCGTGATGAGATTGTTGATGGTCAAGTTCCGCGCCGCAGATTCAAAGCTCTTCTTATCCACATCTGTAGCGCACATAGTCCAATTAGGCCGCGATTTCAAGCAAAGCATGGTGTAGATTGCGGACGCGCCGGTGCCGATGTCTAGACCAACGACTTGCCGCTCCGGATTATATCGATTCGAGTAGTTGGGATTAGTGGAATCGAGAAGGATGTGGATCCAGGATACGTAGTTCCAGCGGTTTGGTATGGGAGGACATAGTCGGTCATCCGGTACTTCGAGGTGCAGGCCAAAATCTACCTTCAGCAGCGCTTTTGTGATAGCTTTTGTGCTACTTGGTTCCTGAAAGTCGAGTTTGCATTGATGTCTTTGCCATACGGTATTGAAGTCTTCATCTTGCTGTGCCAAGTCTTTGAAGTCGACCGATTCGTATGGTGGACGCGTCGCCAAATCCATGATGACGTCCGGCTGCTCAGGAATCATTCTATCTTTCAGGTCGCCACCATTGATATCGTTGACCGGGCGATCTCGGTCATTTGTGAGTACATGTCGTGTCGTGTCGTGTTGTTGATAGAACCAAGAAAGGCGAGGGCGCTTACCGCTTAGGCCACCCCAGACCTGATTGGCCGAGCGGACCAGGTAGAAGAAGACGCACGATTGTAACAGGCAGTGGAGATATGCTATGGCTGCAGATAGATAGAATGAACATCATGTTATACAGTAGTATTCGTAACAAGCGTTGTGTGTCCAAAACTTAGCTGGTCTATTTAGGCTCTCAAATGCAGATCAGACAAACTTTCCATAGTCAGATGAATTCCAAACTCCGTGTAACCGCGTAGAAATCATGTCGTCAGATCAAGAAAGGTCCATCATATGCGCCATCTGCCTCCCCCAGTCGGACTGCATCCAGCGACGGGACCGTGCCTGGCTTGTAGAAGCCCAGGAGCTCTTCCATATCTTCCTCGGTCATCTCACACAGCTCATCAAGGGTCCATTGTTCGCAGACTTTTGACATCCATTGCATCCTTTTCGGACCTTCCTCTATGGCAGGAGCAACCTTTCGCAGCTTCTTCCGAAGTATGCCGACTCTTTGCACCGCCGCACCGATGTTGTGGGGCAAGGTATCTGCAATCTGCCTCCTGACGATGTTTGCCAGTTTCGGTCCATTGCCGTTGGTGCTGACCATGATTTGTAGGGGGCCATCGCGGTGCACGCTTCCAAAGTAGAAGTCGCATTCCGGCGGTACGTCGGCGATGTTGGCGGCTATTCTCTTCTCCTTGCACAGCTTGTAAATTTGCGTCGAAGCCTCGGGATCATCGACAGCACATAGCACCATATCAACGCCTTCCAGATCGGACGGTTCGAATTTGCGATCGCGAAGCTCGACTTGCTTCTGGTCTACGCGGTATGCGACCTCATCGTTGAGACCCGAGCGCGGGGAGACGACAGTGACTTTTGCGTCTGCATTGAGCACATTCACGATGCGGCCGGCCGCTACCTGCTCTACATCAATTTGGTGCTGAAGCAAGTGCACGGGACTCTCTCACCTCGCCGCCTCCGATGACAAGAACATGCTTGTTGCGAATCTGCCAGGCAAGGATGAGCGAGCCTCCGCCTTGGATCTCAGGATACTGGCTCTTCATGTCGGCGCGGGGGGAAGAGAGAAAGCATTGTTCAGCGGAGATAAATTATGACGCCCGTTCGCAGCCACCGACGCCACACCTGCGACGGCCCGGCATGTGATAACGACCATGAACCTCGACAACATCATAAGTCGACAAGGCGATTCGCAGAAACGACGATTTGTTGGCAGCTGCGACCAACGGCTCATATGCGGCATGTCCATGTCCGCGGGCTCGTCAGCCCTGTGGAACTGGAATGATCCCTGCGCCACGCCCCCAACCTAGTGTGCCGTGCATGTACCAGCGTGCTACATTGCGCCAGGCCCACGTCGACGCCGCTGTTCTCCATGAACACCGCCGAATCCTCTCGACCGCATCGATCATGACCTCGGGCAGGTCCCTGGGCGGTGGCCGCGTGCTCGGCAGCGGGCGAAACTTGTCGCCCGCCGTGTCCCCGCGCCCGCCTGCCCACCACCACCACCGCAATGCTAGCTTACTATCGCCCTCGGAGAGCTCCATATCGCTCAGCTCGCAGACGTCCAACAGCCCAGCAAGTACCGCCGAAACGAGGGACGATATAGGCAGCAAAGTGCTGCTTCCAGGCTCAGAGAATGCAGCGGCGAGCGCCTCCAGTAGGCTTGTATGCCCCATCTGCAACGAGGAAATGGTAGGTTGCACATCCATATCGCTTGAGTATATCTACAGGCAATAACAAATACAGCTGACGTTGCTCCAACTCAACCGGTACCTGAACCACTTCCTACCACAATCATCCTATTCTGACTAGTTTCAGACATCTTGACGATAACCACCAAAACCTGGTAGAGGAGGAGCAAGATGAAGTCAAAAACTGGTTCGAGCAGCAAATGGAGAAAGCAAAGAAGTTCCAGCCGCTGGCCGTCCTGAACCAAAAGCTCAAAGGCCTCGACGTCTTCGAATCCAACGATGCTCCCACACCGCTCCCATCCGCGTACGCCTCCACCGCCGCCCCTGCGCACGAACCAGTACCGGTCCGCCGAGACCCCGAAGAAGAAGTCACACGAGCACACTGGCAACGGCCAAGTTACCGCGATGTTTGTTCAGACCCGATATGCGGAAGGCCCATCAGTGGACAATTGACGCTGGGAGGCAACAATAGTGCCGTCAACTGCAGATGCTGCGGGAAGCTATTCTGTGAGGATCATACGATGTATCAGATGAGGCTATCGCGGCAGGCAAAACATGATCCGGTAAGGGGCATCTGGTGCAGAGTGTGCGAAACATGCTACAAGTCAAGAGAGGGGTATAATGACCACCACGGATCAGACCGCGACCACTTCAAAAAGTTCGCAGACATCCGGCGGAAAAGGGTAGACCGCGAACATATGGAGATCAGCAGGCTCGAGAAGCGCTTAACAAAGCTAACCCAGCTATTGGCAAATCCGCCCCCGGATGAAGGTGCCACGAGCAGCTTTTGGCCGCTTTCGGGAGCGAAGAACCAACGGAAAGTTCTAGAGCAGTCCATAATAACATGGGAGGAAGATGCAAAAGTTTCACATTGTCCGTTCTGCCAGCAGGAGTTTTCCAGCTACACCTTTCGTCGACACCATTGCCGCATGTGTGGCCGCGTCGTGTGCGGTGATCCAAAGACGGCGTGCTCGTCCGAAGTCGGGCTCAACGTCGCAGCAGGCTCTAATGGAAACGAAAAAGATGGCAACCAGATGGGTGTTGACATACGCATGTGCAAAGACTGCAGTCACACCTTGTTCAGCAGAAGCGATTTTGACAGGGAGCTGGCACAGAAGCCGACGGATCAGCGCGCGTATGAGAACTTGGCGCAGTTCGAGAGGGGCATACGATTGCTCCTTCCTCGGTTCCAGAAGCTGCTCATGGCACTGCAAGACCCCGACAAACCCCCATCACCGCAACAGCTCACAGATGCCACCAAAGTACGGAAGAGGCTCATGGATGCATTTGCACAATACGATACTGCGGCCAAAAGAATTCGAGATTTGCCGACTGAATCTCCTACCCAGATTAAGTTGCAGAAAGCCGTATATCAGCAAGCATATAATTTTCTGAGTACACACATGCTGCCATTACGGTCCTTACCAAAGGTTCTCAAGCACGCGGTTCCTCAGGGCTCTAAGTCGAGTGGTCGTCAAAACGGAGGCGGCGCACTTGCTTCCATCAAATACAATGATAGACAGGCGGGAAGTGTTGTCAGTAGTAGCAGCGCAGTATCAGCACTAGAATCGGAAGAGAAGGAGCTTCGTGAAAGACTCATTATCTTAGAGGAGCAAAAGTTCATGGTATCGGAGATGGTGGCAGACGCTACTAAGCATCGTCGATTTGACGAAGTCACTAGCTTGGCCCAGAACTTGGAGGATCTAAACAGGGAGATCGATCAGATCAACGGCCAGCTTGGACAACTTGACTTTGCTGGTGCATACCAGCGCGAGTTGGCGAGTCCACCACCCGGATGACCGGAAAGCGGATATAAACCCATCCAACTTTAGCAATACAGTTCGTATTACAATCCGCTCCAGAAGCTCCGACTTGCTCCCAATACTTGGATATATCCCAACAGACCTCCGGTGGTCGCATCAAATTTCAGTGAGGGTCAATGCCCGCCTGGCATGCGTTTGAGGATCTCCACAGAACAGAACAAATCACCACAGCCAAGCTGCGGTTTTCCAGCGTTGGAGTCAGCACTCTAACTGCACTGATGACGACCGTCAACAATGAGAGTAGGATTGCAGTAGGAACATCGGATGCAGCATATCAGTCAGCACCGATAAGCGAACATGAAGTGAGCATGTGGAGACTATCTAGTCCACATATCATAGACTCTTAGAACTGAGGGACGTTCCGCGCTAGCTAAGCGTTTCAAAGTTTGTGACTCGAATCGAGGACAATGTTTACTCCACATCAAGGTTTCCGTGCTGTAATGCTCAAGTGCTCTTTTATTCTTGTAGAGTCCAGCGCAGTGAAGCCCGACTTTATACCGAGCAGCAATTTGTGCGACGATTGCGCGGTCCCAGCACAAAACATCCCTGCTCTGCCGTCCGCAGTAACATGGCATTGTAGCCCTTCCGACGATTCCCATCACCAGAAATTTCCACTTATCTAAGCGCAAGGCTGACGGCTGATGCCATAGCTCCCGCGAATTGCATCAGAAGATGCGGAACCGCGCCCGTAGCATGACCAGAAATCTCCGAATAGCTTCATTTTCGCATGCCATCACGGCTGCCAGGCCTATCCCGGTATATAGCGTCACTTCCGCTACGCGCCTATTGGTTGAAGCTTTTGCAATGTGAGGTTTCTCGGCTAAGACCGCTGGACTACGCTGAGCTGTCATAGCCAGCGGATATGGAATCTGAACTACAGGATAATGTGCCCAGGTGGTGTTGGAAGATATGGATAGCCATGGTAGCCCGAATCAAAGCTCGGGGTTGGACACATGGGGAATTGCGCTGGGCGCGCGACTGAGGCATGGAGTGCTGCTTCCAGAGACTGCCGATTCCCAAGAACGTTGAAGAGGAGTTGCATAGGAAAGGCTTCTCTGCGTGCCTGAAGCCCCAAGAACAACCATGCCAAACATACTTTTACATCCACCGCAGTGGTCTAGGCGGCTGACAACATCGCCTAGCCAACATCGCTATCGCATCATGCTTTCGGTAAGTCCCTACCTATCATCCAACCAGTACACGCTTCTAGATATGGTAAAAGCTTGCGTACAATAATTTTGTACATTTTAATAACTGACAATAATCAGATTCCTTTGCATATCAACCTTCGAAGCCACTAATGTGTGACTTGCGCGACACACTTGCTCTTACTGTTCCAAATCGTCGTCTACGTGTGATCTAGAAGCCCCACATTGCTATTTTTGTATGCTGCCAGCAAGAGGAAGATTGCACTGGGATATTCATACTACCGTCCGGGAAAATGCCCACTTCAACCGGCAGCTTGGTAATAGCATATCTCAAAACGCAACTCAAGTCAGCTAACAACGTTCCTACGACGACCAATTACAATTAACTGGAGCTGGGCACAATATATTCTCGATTGCTGATACCCCGCGTGGCAACTGCAAATGCTTGCCAGGAACAACTTTGTAAATGATCAAGTTCGAACCCGGAAATCCAGAATATATCTTTTCATATTTGTATCTCTTGGGGCTGTACAGATTGGGAAGAGCACTCCGTGTATCCAAGTAGAATGACGCACCGTGGGCTAAATTGCATGCATTCAGTGCGTCGATAACTTCCAAGACAACAAGCTCGGTGCAAGGTGGCCTGAGGCGAAGGGGAACTGGCAAAAGAGTGGCAACATCAAAAAAGAATATTTCAGGGCTTCGCACAACGGGATATAAGAGTGGTATGTTTCGCCTACGCATCGGTCGTCCTCTCACTGTTGCAAACCATCTTCCTCGTGCCTAATTCCCCTGGAGATACACTTCCTCTACTCCACCTTCCTTCCACCCTCTACACCAACGTCTTCAAGATCGGGCTCGTACCCATTCAACGCTCACCACACCATCACCACAATGCACCTCTTCACCTTCTTCGCCCTCCTATCCCCCACCCTCGCGCTTCCCTCTGACAACACCAACTCTCCCTCTGCAATGATATCCCGATTCACGCAATCCGACGACTGCAAACTCCCTGAAGTACCCACAACCTGCTCCGGCGCCGCGCAAAAAGACGTCATTGTCCACTACGGCAAGAACACGACGCAGGAGGAGAAAGACCTGTTCCTAGACGCGGCGAAGGCGTCGGGCGCCACGATCAGAGACGTTATGAATAATTTTGGGTAAGTGAGTCTGGATTTCAGGGGTGTGTGGGATCGGATTCTTCAACGGAAGCTGGCCTTTGGTCCATGTACAAGAGAACTTGGGATCCCTAGGCCGGCTGCTAGTGAGGACTGTGAGCAGTGGTACATTGCTGATTGTGTGGGGACAGGTTCACGGGTTTCATTCCGGAGAAGGTTGTTGCGCTCATGGCGGCACACGGCGCGACTTGTGGTCTTACGATTTATGAGAATGGATGTGCGGGTATTCCGTGGTGTGGCGAGGCCCCCTGCTGAGGGCATGCAGTAATAATACTATTCCTTGATGACCTACACCTTGAACCCTTGATCATTAAGTACCTAGGATGGGAAAGTTTTAGAGAAGCTGTGTACATTCACGTTGCCGCGTCATTTCCGTCTTTTGCTCAAGGCAAGCCCACGGTTTGTCGCTCTCCTGTATTTGCCGTTAGAACCCCTTAGATGATCCTTCAAATTGACTTGGGCCTGAAAGTCAGCGAGTTCATCATTGCTCGCAGCGTCGGCGGCTGCACTATTTGAAGCTGTCCCGAATCCACATCATCCTTTCTTCATGATCTGCAGCACACTCCTTTGAAGTTTCTTCCTACACTGTTTTTGGGAGCTGGTTCCTGTAGCTCTGCTGGAGTTTCTGCTCTTTTCTTTTTTTGCACTTTCTTTTTTGCATCGCCATGTGTCTTCGCATTGTTGGCACCCTTTTACTGGGTGTTACACTGTTCGGTTCTTTTGCACTGCCTCCCTCTCGCCAGACCTCTGGTTCTCGAATAGACTTCGGAGCGGGTTCTCGTCGCCCAAGGAACGCGTGAAGACTGCGCTGGGGATAGGTTTGATGTGTTTTTGGGGCTTTTTGTTTTGATTGACCAGGTGTGTCAAGTTTACCAAGGGCACGTGGTGCTCGGAGTACCTAGGTACACGTACAGCAAGTCACTGAGTCCGGTAGCGTTGCAGCAGAGGAAGCAGTAATCCCTACATAGTGCCGAGGATACCGGACTGTGACCAGGCCTCATCACAGCCTTTCTCCACCCCAAAACGGCACATCAACACCCTTCATCGATCACTGTATCTTCCTTGATTCCTACGCGCTCCACCTTACCTTCGTCACACGATCAACATTCTCAGAATCCTGACCTCATCCTCCCCGTGCACACTCCCAAAACGGCAGGTTACGTCTTCCCATCGATCGCGGCATCTTCCTTGTTTCTTTGCACGAATCCAATCATGAATCATATCAGCCTCATTATGAGTGACGCACGTCACAACCCGGCGAACCCGCTCACACGACCTCTCGCCTCCAGGTGGCAGGGGGGCTGTACCTGCATCACGCGGCTCCTGCCACTTCCCGATTCCTCCTAGCGCTGTTTACCCGTGCGCCCAATAGTCCAACTCGGGCACGCTAATACCCTTGGCATATCCCAACCGGACCGCCGGGTCCCAAAACAGGCACTAGCGGCCCCCGAAACAAGAATCCAGCGCCCAAAGAGGAGGCGAAGTTGGACATCGATGATGATTTGTTCAGAAATCAAGGAAGCGGCTGCGATCAACGGCGCTGCTTGACTTTCCCGTTGGGGAATGTTGAAGGGGCGTTTTGGAATAATGATGAGGAGTGGAGATTGTTTCTTGAGTCGGGAGATTGCAGGTGGAGGGTTGGAGTAAAGCAGGGAAGATGGGTGATTGATGGGTAAGGTAGAACTTCCCCTTACGGAATGTTCACGGACGTGTTTTGGCACGATATGACGACCGAGTGCTCGAAAGAGTGGATTTGGGAGAAGAAACGTAGAACAGGGAAGATAGAGTGATCGATGGTAGTGTTGAAGTTGCCGGTTTGGGAGAGTGAAAGGTTATGAGGTCAGTAAATGTGGAATTGTGGCGAAATTGAAGAAAACAAGGAAGACACAGTCATCGATGGAAGATGGTGATGTGCTGTTTTGGGAGCGTGAATTGTGGCATTGAGATCAGTCAGTTTGGTGGAAGTGGAGATCATATAGAGAGAGAGATGAGATTAAGGAAGGTACAGTGATCGATGGGTCAAGAGAAGTTGCATTTCCCGTTGCTATTGTGTGTGTTGTCGAGGGGTAGAAATAAAGGCGTATGCCAGAGAGAGGTTGTATTATGCAGACGAAAGTCGAATATAGCCTCACGGAAACGTAGATGTAATGCCTCTTGGTCGACCGCAGAGTCCTTCACGCACATGCACTATGGCAACTAGCTTTATGAGAATCATCCCCTGTCTCCTTCCTTCCATTAAAAAGTGTGTCTACATCAAGCTATCTACAACGTGGGAGTTCCCCGAGAGGAAGTGAATAAAAGGTAAGCGCAGCCGCGTCCGCCAAGGGAGGATGTGAAGCGGAGGGTATATGCCGCTGCGCTCAAGAAGGCAACCTTGTCCGTCCTTTTCCAAACCTTTCCGTCCCATCTTTTTCCATGTGAACAAGCCTGTACCATAACCGTACCTTCCATCCTAAATACCATGTCCTAGGTTCCCCATTCTATCGACCTCTCAAACTTCCTTCTCTGTTCCCACTTCAGACTCTTCTTAGAAAGCCACACCCACAGCCGCCGGACTCGGCAACATCCCTAGATGCTGACTCACGCCCTCCTGCCTCGCGCCAATTTCCATTCCCCTCAAGATGCCATAGTTCGGACTCGGTGGCGGCTT